CCGTGTTTCTCTTGAACACCCCAGTACGCGTCCTCGTGTTCTTGATGCTACGGACTGCCCCCTCATAATATTCTTCACAATATACAAAAATACCCTCTGTACTACAATGCTTGTACTACCCGCAATACAATGAATCCGTTTATGCAACAGCCGAGAATTTTTGTCGTTGGTTGCAATTGTCACTCTCCTCCCACTGTGACCAGTTTGTGTCTGCTATGCGGTCCCCTTTCGTCGATCCCTCGCTGTGATTTTTGATGGGGTAGGTCTCTCCATCCGTGTGGATGACATCTCGATGACTTTCACTCGTGCTCATTTCGAGGTTGCTACGTACGCGCATTGTAGCGTGTTCGATCGCTTTAAGACTATCAAGCAGCTGCTCAGCAAGGCACTCCCCTCCCAACTGCTGCCTCATGCATCACATCCAGACTCAAAGATGATCCTCGTTGGTTTTCTTACCCAGGATGCTTGCTATGCAGAAAATCTAACTGCTTTGTCTATGCCTGCACTGCGCGATGCTGCACTGCGTGTTGTGACTAAAAAGTCGGATGCGCGGAATAAGGAGTGTAGCATCAATGCAATCATGTCTCATTTCACGGCTAGACGCACGAAACTTGCCAGCATGTCGGATGACGTCCTCTTCAACAGTCTCTTCGATGGTACCTGTCCCACCTGCTTGCACGACAACGCGGGGTACTCTGCTTGCTGCCGAGTTTCATAACTTGTATGGTCCAGAGGTGGCCACTGCCATACGCACTCCTCCTGCGATCAGCGCCTCTCTCGTTATCGATTTAGCGGCTACGCGAGCCTCTGAAGCCATGTCTTTGCCGTGGATTTTGGCATCTGTTGATGATCTTGCTTGCCGTCTAGAGAAGCTGAAACGCACTGATGTCCAGCTGTGTATTCGTCGATTTGCACCGTGCTATCGCGTGCTCTACAACAAACTCTCTCATCGAAAAACATGTAATGCGCTCGCTAATCACGTTCGACAACGTGCGCTGTCCCTGTTTCATGCTGGAGCGAGTATTTTGGGTGATGTTTATCTTGCATATTTTCCGTTCTCGACGTTCGACTCACTTTCGGATAAGGACATTTTCTGTCAGATCATTGCTCACGAATTCGGTGTGCTTGTTACTGAACGTTTGTCACGGGAAATTGTGTCGCGGGCTGCCGGGTACAGATCAGCGCGTCTAGAACGAAAACAGAATGCACTGGCAGACATGAATACTATTCGCATGGAACGAGCACGGGATTGGCCAATGCCTGTTTCAAAGGAGGTGATTTTTGATTGTTTGAATGGCTATATGAAAGGTACTATGTGGACTGAGCCGCCTGTATGTGCCGTGTGTTCGCAGTACGACAGAGCTGCTGTTGACGTTCATCTATCAGGAGACGTTTTGTCCTTGAATCTAGATCTTCTCCGCGTCTCAGATGACTTTGTTATCAGAAAGTGCATTGTTCAAGGCATGTCGTCGTGCTTCACTTTTGATAACGATCTGATTGATGGTCTAATGTTGGAGAAGCGTGGTGTAGTGTTTGAAAATTCGAGGGCCGTTTCACTCAAGATATGTCCACAGTGCAAATGTTCCTTGGCGCAGGAGAAGATCCCTTCATTAGCGCTTGTGAATGGTTTGTTCCGTGGCAGCCTCCCCGACCAATTTCACGATCTGACTTGGGTTGAGGAGAAGATATGTGCCATCTATTCCATTACTGCACATGTCACCCGCTTATTTCAATCATCTGACCCGTCGCAGCCTAAGGTTTTTCATGGAAATATGTGCGCTCATGACACAAATGTTATGTCTACCGCTTCCGTGTTGCCACGGACCCCCGCCGACATCAATGGTTTTCTGAGTGTTGTATTCATCGGTCCTCAACCGTTCGATCCGAAGCGTATGGGCACGTTGTTCCGCGTCCGCAAACATAAGATCTGGTCTTTTCTTGTGTGGTTGAAGTCTCACAATTGTTTGTACGCTAACATTGAGTTAGATTTGGCTGTATTGGATCAGTATCCAGCAGACGGCTCCCTTCCTGGTCTACATGAGCGTGTTGTGGAGGATCGTGAACTTGATGCTCGACGTGTTTTCAGTTCCGAGACTGCTGGGTTTGCAACTCATCCTGCCGAATTACTGGAAGCCCCAGACATGCCGGCGAGCGATGTTGCAAGTGATGAACCGATAACGCTGCTTGAAAAAATGGGTGTATCTGATCCTGAGTGTGACAAGGTTAGCGGCAGAACATTTGTGGCTTCCGCAGTTCGAAACCTGATACGTCCTGATATTGTTGTACACCACAGCGCTGATGCCGTCCCCGAGTACAACAACCCCCGTCTTTTTCCTGGCATGTATCCGACACTGTATCCATACGGGATTGGCGGCTTCGAGGACAAATCGCGTCTGACACCATTGTCGTTCGACCGGCAGGCCAAATACTGCCTTAATGTCTCGGATCGTGGTTTTCGATATCACGAATCCTTTATTTTTGTCACGCTGAATATGCTACAGAGACGTCAGGCTCATCTGCAAACCTATTTTGCTGTGCGTAAATCAAACTTTGACTCGGTTGCTCGTAATTTAACCAGTGTCTCTCCTGACGTGCTCATACGACTCGCAAATCGGCTCAAACAAGAACATAAGCTGTCGAATCTCAGTACGGATGAACAGAATGCGCTCAAACTCCTCCGTCAAGTTAATACCATGTCCACTCGCATCCCTGGTTCACAAGCTTCGAAGATCTTTGTGAGGAACGAGATCCGAAACTATTACGGGTATTTTGGCTTACCACATATTTTCTTTACATTCAATCCGAATCCAGCACATAGCCCTGTGTTTCAGGTTATGTATGGAGATTATTCCGTTGATCTTTCGGAACGCTTACCTCGCATGCCCACAGGTCGTGTTCGTGCAACACGTCTCGCTCATGACCCTGTCGCTGCTGCTGATTTTTTCGAGTTCTCTTTCAGGTGTCTTTTCCATTACCTTCTGGGTTGGGATTTTGATCACAATCGGTCTGTTGACGATGGTGGTATTCTAGGACACATTTGTGCATTCTACGGTACGAGTGAATTCACTGAGAGAGGAGTTCTTCACGGACATTTTCTGATATGGTTGGAAGGTGGTGTGAATCCTTCAGAGCTTCATGATCGGCTTCGAAATGACCTGAGTTATCAGGATAGATTTTTCAAATTTTTTGAAGATGCTATACACCATCATTTGCCGGAAATTGATGATGCAGTAGACTCTGATTTCGAGCCTCGCGTTCAACGACCGCTGTGTCCTCCGGAATCATCGGATGCGGCCTTAGACATCTTGAATAGTTGGGAAGCAGCCTTTGTGACCAAGGTGAAACGATGTGGCGAAGTGCTCCAATGACATACGTGCTGGGCTGTTTGCCATAAGTATGGCAATGATGCTCGCTGTCGCTTTATTTTTCCGCACGAGATAGTAGAGACCTCTTACTTCGACCCGGAAACAAACTCAGTCGTTCTTATGTGTCGGGATGGAAATGTTAATTATTTCAATCCGTACCTTCTTGTCTTTTGCAGGCACAATCATGACATTAAATGTATATTGTCGGGCAAAGGTGCAAAGGCCGCTATGTTCTACATTTCTGATTATATTATGAAGATGGACTTGAAGACGTATGAGGTGTTATCACTGCTCTCCCGCGCTGTTGCTCGCATTCCTGAATCGACGTCTGCCACCAATGTTGCGGACAGTGCAAAAACACTTTTGCACAAGTGCTTGTCTCAATTTGGTCGCCAGCAACAAATCCATGCACAGCAGGCTGCACGGTATATACAGGGCTTCGACGATAGTATATCCTCGCATAGAACTGTCCCGATGTTGTCTTCTGTCTTGCTGGCATATATTAGAGAAAATTATCTGTTGTTGGATCAAAAAGTCGATGAGATCGATGGGGCAGACGAGCACGAACTAGTCCAATTACGCATTGCTACGGACAGAGAAGGAAATCTTGTGGAGGCGAATCAGATCCATCACTACGTTCACCGCGCTGATTCCTTAGCGGACATGTGTTTTTATGACTTCTGCCGATGTGTTCGGATCGAGAGGATAAGTAAAAGTGCAAAAAACAAAAACACGTATGAAACTCGCCTCGGTGTTTACAGAAGGCACCCTTTAAAGAGCAGCCATCCGTCATCGGAGACCCACGAACTGGTAGAGCACTCGAACGAGAAGCATGGTGATGGTTACAGAGAACTGGTGCCTCGTGTCGTTGGAATGTCGATTCCACGTTCGTCGGATATGAAAGCTTGGTCTATTTTCGCACTGGCTCATTTCAAGCCCTTCAGCGTATCACATCGACTCCTCGGTGGACATGAGAGCGTCGTAGAAGCATTCCAGGCATATGACTTCTCCCCACGGAGCCGAAAGGTGATGCTGAATTGGGAATCAGTTCATGAGTGCGAAGATGAACGAGACGCTGAGAGGCTTCGCAAACAGACACAACTTACTGCTGAGAGCAAAGCACTTACCTCTTCCTTGGCTCTGGGTAGCGTTGATGATGATATTGAATTCGACTTGTCCGGAAATCTCTCACGGCGTTCTGAGCAGGACTTCCGCATACAGCAGATCGTCCTTCTCATGCAGCAGTCGAGGTGGCTTAGCCGACGCACGGAACACGTGGTTTCTTCTGATCTGAATACAAGCGTGAGCAGCGATCTCGCAAAAAAAGACACGGGTGTGATCGTACAGTCCGGTAAAATTGACCTACACATCAAGACCTGGAAAGATGAGATTAAGAAGCAGGAGGATATGATAGCTGACTCACGAAGAAATGCGCTTAATCCGGAGCAGCAGTTTGCACGAGTTGTAGTTCCTGAAACGGAGTGTACAGCCGAAGGTGGAAGCAAGGTTTATGCGAGTGCTGGCGCGTCAACTTCCAAATGCGAGGCTACTGAAGCGCTGAATCTTGAATTGAATGAGACGGGAAAGATGTCGGATAAGGATGTCATCACTGACATTGGTTCGCGATTCAGCCTCAACGCTAAGCAGTGGATAGCGTTCAGGATTATTTCGGACTACTTCATGGCAAGATATGTCGACAAAACACATGAAAAAAATTCAAATGATCAGTTGATCATGCTCATGACAGGTCCGGGAGGTACGGGAAAGACTCACATTGTCAAAGCGGTACAATCGGTAATGCAGCATTATGGATGCGCACATATTATTCGGTTCTTAGCTCCCACGGGTTCTGCGGCTGCGTTAATAGATGGAATGACTGTCCATAAAGGTCTGGGCATTAAGATAAAGTCAAACAACAAAGGTAAAGGGAATCGTGAGCCCGGAAACAGTCTAGAGGATTATTCTGTGTTGATCAGTGTCCAAAATCGCACTCGGCTTCGAGATGAGTGGAAGAATGTTGAGTTCCTGCTGCTGGATGAAGTCTCATTGGTTAGCTTGCAGCTTCTGGCCGAAATAGACCACGCTCTACGTTATGCGAAAGAGAAGCCTGGTGTTTGGTTCGGAGGCATTGCCATCATCTTTGCTGGGGATTTCTATCAATTTCCGCCTGTCGGTGGTAGTCCTCTGTACACACCTATTTCGTTGTATGCTGGCCAGAATGACGGCGAGGTACAGAAGAGACTTGGTCGACTAGCGTGGAAGACGGTCAATACGGTTGTCAATTTGACAGATCAACAGCGTATGAAAGAGGATCTGGAATACGGCGATGCAGTGAATCGTCTTCGAGTAAGAAAATGCACTGTGGACGATGTTGATCTATTCAATTCTAGACTGATAAAATCAGTGACTCGGCAAGATGGAATAGATATGGGGTGTCCTGAAAATGTTGATGCGGCCGCCATTGTTGGAACAAATGAGCTGAGGGAGGTACTCAATGCTCGAAAGGCTGAGATGGCTTGTGGCGACAGAAACGAGCTTGTTGTTTGTGCAGCGCTTGACAAACTTTCAAGCCGTGAACTTTCACGTACAGAACGTGAAAATCTGTTACGATTGAATACTGCAACGCTGAAGTCATCTTGTGGTCTTCCTGGTTATGTTATGCTGTTTGAAGGCATGCCTGTCATATTGCGAGTGCGTAATCTATCAACAGATCTCGGAATCACTAATGGTTCACAAGGCGTTGTGCGTAAAATTTTCACAGCCACGTGCCCCGCTGGGTTTACACGTGCATCCTGCATCTTAGTTGAGTTCCCGCATAGCAAGGTACATCTAAGTGATCTTCCAAAAGGTTACTTCCCCATTCTACCTTCAACCTGGACATTTACCACCTCGATAGACTGCGCAGAAGGCAAACCAGAGAAGATTCGTGTCACTCGATATCAAGTCCCCATTCAGCCCGCATTCGCTGTCACAGGACATTCTGCTCAGGGAAAGACCCTCTCTCAAGTTCTTGTCAACCTTCACGAGGGTGGCTTTGCAGCGTATGTTGCTGCTTCCCGTGCTCGAACTCGCAAAGGTCTCTGCATAACGCAACCCGTCACAGTCGACTCTCTGAACAAACGAGTTCCGAGTGATCTCTCGGTCGAGGTGCGGCGTTTTGAAGCCATTGAGCATAATACTCTCGTGAAGCACGGGTTGTGTCAAGGTGACCTTGTTCCAGTGCCGGATGCAGAAGGTGAACAAACGTTCTCGCAAACTTCGGTTTCAGCGCGGTTTGACACAGACATTGTACCTAGCTCGACAAAGAAGTGTCGGATTGCTGAGGTAGACTCCGACGACAAAGATTCGCCTGTGAAAACGACCGTTGCTTCAAGGAACCGACCAAGTCGGAAATGAGCTCGTACTTCGTGGGAAGCTGTCGACTGTGATCCACGCGCACTGCTAGTGTCGAGTCTCCATCACACTCCTGCGACAATCCAGGCTCCTTCAGCTGGCTGCAGATGGTCACCTGCAAACTGGTCCTGTGCGTACGACAGCGTGTTCATGGTGTGTTTCTACATCTATCGTGAAGCCTCTCTCTCTTGGCGAAATCTATGGTGCGACAGTGACTGTGATCTGAGACGCGGGTTGGCAGTATCGTTCGAGTCTTTGATGGAATCAGAAGCTAATCTTATGTCTCAAGATTTATTTGATTGCTTTCGTGACAAGCTGCGCGACCTTCTATCGCTGAGTGACCCTCAGATATTTCCTCGATCCGGACCCCTTGTTACCTCTGCTTGTGCGGTATTTGGTCGCTTGTTCCCGGAGGTAGGAAGACAATTGATTAAGGTTAAAGCAGCTTCGCCAAGTTCAACACGAGCCGTCGAGATCCTCAACTTCGTTCTTCCGTGTTGGTGTGCTCCCTTTCATTGGCATGATACGAATAATACGTCAATCTCCTTACAGCTCTGGTTTCAGCTTTGGCTTTGGAGGCAAACGGCAAAGCTGAACTCGTCCCATCGCCGTGAGCAGTCTGCGGGACATGATGACGCGACTTGGAAGATGGCTCTCAGAGATACACCACTTGTATTATTTTTCGAGGTGCAGTCGACGCAGACAATGATGATATTTCCCAGTCGGACACTGGTGCTTCCATGTCGAGATGGCGCAGTGACATATCGACTCGAAGGGATCGTATATGTTGGTGGTCAGCACTTTTCTGCTCGTCTGATTACTGATGATCACGTCTGGACTTATGATGGTCAAACAAACGCAGGACACCCGCAGTTAGAGACTGCGGTGAATCTCGCGGTCGGTAGTAGTGATTGCAGTCTGGGACGTTTTTCTCACCTCGGAGGCCGCGCTGCTCACATTTACGTCTACTCGTTTCAAGAGTTCAATCCTGCTCCATTCGTCGAAAACTGATCCTCCAGTCTCAAAAGTTGTATTCCGCCATCTTCATCCTCTATAAATTGATGCTTCACAGTCGTCTTGTTTTCTTAAGCTCGTTCTTCTTCCTCTGTTTCACTCGTCTGTCTGCCATTATTGACTTGTCATGTCGACCTCTTTACCAGTCACCCCCGAGCCGTCTCGACCTTCGACTCCTACTCCTGAGACGGAGGTGGTTGAGTCGCCCTTGTACAAATCGCTCCTTTACAGTGTGAGGTCCCCTGGTGCCCTTACAGCTGAGGCCGCGAGCCAGAAAAATATTCCTTTTGAAAATAATCCCCGTCCTCTGCGCACGTTCATGAATGACAGCGCGGAATATTGGGTCGATGCTGGTGGCAGCTTACTTCGCATGAAGTTCCCTGCTAGACTTGATCTCACTGGCCAGTACAGTCGTACTGGTCCATATTTCAACATGCCGCACACTGGGGTACGTTGGCGTTTTTTTATTTTTTTACCTTGTGACTGTGATCTGAGACATGTCATCGACATCTTGACGCAATGATTCTGAAAAGAGCTCGAGTGCAGTTCGAACTGCGTCCTTTGCATGCATCTGATCCCCTCGGTGATCATTACCCTCAAGAGGCTCTGGACTGCTCGTCCAGAGCCTTGGATACTCTGGTCGCATTGACCAACGAGGTTGAAGATGCTCGCAACGCTTGTACGTTGCACACACGCGTTGACATCTCGTACTGACAATTTTGTAGCCATCGAAGTGACAAAGCATCCAGCAGTCTCGAACTTCTGGCGGACGTATATGGAGCAGGACTGATACACCTTTTTGGTGCAGTCGGATTCACTCTTTCGTGATCTTCCGGACCCTAGGACTTTGGCGATGCCACGCTTGAGCCGGCAGGATATTGGAAGTGAGTACATAGCATGATTCGCTGCGACTTTCTCACTGACTGAATTTTCTTGTAGGATCTGGTGGTTTGCTCAGCCCCAGCAAAACGAAGATGTCAGCCCAGAGGCCCGTTGCAGCATCCTCCAGTCAGGCGAAAAAAAATGAAGGCAAGTCGGTACTTGATCGAACAGTTCATTGTCTGATTTGACACAGAACGTTTGCGTATTCGCGATTTGTACAACCCGGAAAACCGTTACTCCGGTCTTGCGCAGCTGGGCGACACCAAGGTCGAATCTCCGGACGTCCGCAACGAGCATGGACTTCTTATCAACGTTGGCGAGTACAGGACCAAATTACATGACGGTGATGTCGTGGAGGTCGAAGTCATATTGAAACTGTAAGTTTCTTCATTCTATGTCCTCAATTTTCTCTGACAGTTATGATCAGCTGGAACATCAGACCACCCAAGGATGCACCACCCAACAGTCGTGATGCTAATGGCTCCCGCGCTTACCAACTCATACTGCGGCGTATGCAGTTACTGCCATGTGCAGCATACACGAAGCAAGCTCTCCACAATTCGAAAGGAAAAAGGAAGGCCGCTGACGAGCTCCAAGGCCAGTCACCTACCAAGACTTCAAAGGGGCCGGCGAAGGGTCGCGACATTTTTGACATGGAGCTTGAGACTGACGAGGAGTAGACTCAAATATTGTCTATTTGTCTAGTACTACATTTGACCTGCAGATTCGTGCCTGATCGTTGTACATACTCGACTGTCGTATTTTGATATACTGTTGCTGCCGTTATACATCGTTGTTTCTTGGAGTCGGGGACTGGCGCTTTCCAGCGCCGCTACGATTCCTACAGCACATCTCACACACCCATCACATCTCCATCCATGCATCTCCACACACCTTCACACAGTCTCTGTCTTTCAGCAGTTTTAATTCTCTCCTTAATTTAGAGAGATTTGCCTCAGTAGCATCCCTTCGGGACAATTCTACTTAGCTTGCCTCTCAAGGTTATATCCTTGTGACTCCCAGAGTTCGCATTTCTATTTCCTCACCCACACCATGGCTTCATGTTCATCATTAACAAAAAGCATGGTGATACTATGCTGCAGTAGAAATATGACAAACACTGATAGTGCGAGTGGTGGTTAGGCCACCAACTTGAATTCAAATTTCCAATAGTGTTTCATGCACACTTCAATCTTGCACAATCCTGCATCTCTTGTGTTACATCCAAAATGTCCACAATTGGTACAATTACCATTGTCTTTGTAAGACAGGTACAGTTTCTGTTGGAGGATCACATCAAGAAGCACCCTCTGCATTGGGGCAGATTAACATTGTCTTTGGGGTTGGGGACAACTGCGCCCCTTCATTTCGTTTTTCAATCTCCATCTGTATAGCACTTAAGTATCTCGTCTGCATCGTGTTTGTGTACCTCAGTCGTTGATCCACAACACTGAGGTATGCATCTTTGTTCTTCTTGCACCAAGCTCCATACTTACAATACTTTACATTAGCGTGATTCCAACAGGTACATAGAGCAATAACAGTTGTTGATTCACAACACTGAGCATGATTCCAACAGGTTATGAGCCCCGTGTTTTAGAACAGCATGGAAACCAGAAATCACGAACTACTCGTGTTGAACGACTCAAATCGTTATTAGCTTTATCGCAAATTCTCTCTCTGGCGCATCTATCCCACGATGGGAAAATATGACCACACCCCAGAGTTGATGGGTGCAGATAATTATATTCCCTGGGAGATGCAGGTGCAGCTCGTCCTAACGAACAATGATCTTTGGTGTCATGTCACCAAGACGGTAGATCCTAACAACATTCTTGGAACAGCCTCAGTCCTACCCATTGCAGTCAATAAATCAGCACCAACCGATGCCGAGAAAGCTGCTATATGCACGTGGCTTATAAATGATTCCAAAGCGAAGACTATCATACTCTGTAAACTTGCGCCCAGCATTCATCTCCTCATTCCCCGTAACAACACAGTCACTGCACGCGAGTCTTGGAGAATCCTCAGGAATCACTTCCACCGCAACAATGTCAGCTCTCAGTTCGTCATTCATCGGCGCATACAGTCTCTCCGCATGAAGGACACGAACAATGCCAGTAACTATGTGGGGCAACACATCAGTTGTCGTGACAGGCTCATTGGAATGGGCACTGCTTATTCTGATGAAGAAGCCGTGTTCAATCTCTTGACCGGGCTTCCCACTTCCCCCTTGTGGCAGATATTCTGCACCCAACTAGAGCAGCGCATGCACGATAGCTTCTCCGCAACCATCGTCAGCACATCAATCAGCAGTGGAGCACCCATTCATCAGGAAAATGTGTACTTGCCATTATAGCTCCTAATAGCTCCTAGTAGTATCTAGGAGCTATAATAGCTGTTATAGCATAAATGCCAATTATTGGCAAGTCCCTTCTATAGCCCTCATAATAGCGGCATATTTTTTATAATGGCTATAATTGCTCCTAGTAGCTATAATGGACAAGTCAAAAAAATTTCAATGACTTTGGCATTATAGCTCTTAGTAGCTATTTGTTGGCATTATGACACAAAATAGAAAGGAAAAATTCAAGTATATTCACACTAACTAATACATGGGCGTATAATACTAACTACAATATCTAAGAGATCTTACCAAAAAGTCAAAAACTTGAATTCTGAGGAATGCTAGGAGAAGCAGAAGGAAGGGAGATAGCTAGCAAAAGAGGGTTAGAGAGAGAGAACCAGAGAGAGATAAAAAAAACTTACCAAAAACCACAACAGGAGCAGGTGTAGGAGTGAGAGCAGGAGCAAGAGCAGAAGGAAGAGCGAAAACAGGTGCAGGTGCAGAGAGCTGGAGAGAGAGAGGAGAGCGGAAAAGAGGAGGGGCAGGGGCAGGAGCAGGAGCAGAGTGTGAGTGTCTGAGAAAAACAAAGGAAAGAAGAGTGGACTCACCAAATGACAAAAAAGATCAGAAATTGCCAAGGGAAGAGCGTGAATGAGAGCAAGAAAGAAAAAAAAAACATTAGGAAAACTCACAAAAAAGACCTATGCTTGCTCACTGTTGATGGGCGGGAAAGTAACCCATTTACTTTAGCGCCTCCCGCCCTCCCGCTCACTGTTTCCCACAGTGCCCACAGTTATCAGTGAAGAGAACAAAATGAAACCAAAAGGTAAGAAAGAGAAAAGACATTAGACATTATTCATGTTTGTTTGTGTTTGTGCTTATATCATCACAATTGCAAAAATTTGTCTAAGTCCTTTTGATTAAGCCAAGAATAAGGAACGACTAGGGTAAACCGTGGGAAAGTTTTCAACCAAAATGAAAGTTATAGATATTGTCAAGGGAAGTCTATCCATAGTCTCATGACGTCCATAGGGTAAGATCCTAGTGAGTTATTAGCAATATACTAGAAAGTGATGTGTTCAAGAAAGTTCAGGCACACAAGTCATGTGACCATGTTTTGCTTATTAAAACTATGATTGCTTAATAGTGACTAGGATTTCAAATGATAAGGAATGACTAGGGTAGATTGTGGGAAAATTTTCAACCAACTAATATTTGGTGTGCCTGAACTTTCTTGAACACATCACTTTCTAGTATTTTGCTAATAACTCACTAGGATCTTACTCTATTGACGTCATGAGACTGTGGATAGACTCCCCTTGACAAGGACTACAACTTTCATTAGTAATTGATAGTACTATAGTATATACACTCCAAGTGAAAAAATTTCATGACATCTGGTAATAGCACTTAGTAGCTCTTGGCAGTCTCAGTAGCTCTTAGCAGGTCTCAGTAGCTCTTAGCAGCTACTTGTAGCAACAAATACCTGTTATGGCAAAAACACATTTTCCTGATGTTACAGCCTCATTCCAAACCAATAGTCTCACCTTCGAAAGCTGCACGTTGTGCATCACCTCAGAAGCCACTCGCATGGTCAATTCTCATCCCACCGTCACATCAGGTCCTGGTTCGGAATATGCCAACACCGTGACCACGTCTACATCCTCCGCTACCAATGTAAATCCCATTACTGGCCTGCGAAAGCACAAAAATAATCCCCAGGGAATCTTCTGCCCATTGTTATCGCGAGGGAGGTGGAATGGCAGGACAAGCACCTTGACAAAAGAAAAGGAAGGAGACTGCAGCGGTTGCTGCCGTCGTGCCACCTACTCCACCTTCGTCATCAACCAGTTTACCACCAGTATCAGTTGCTGCACTTGCCACCACACTCTGCTCGCCCGAGATGACTGCCACACTCCGTCGCAATCTGTCCTGCGCCAGTATCGAGGAGATACCTGATGACATATCCACCCATGTTCACACATTATCCACCATTCTCGATTCAGGTACCACCAGCACCCTTATCAGTGATCGTACTATGTTCTGGACCTACTCAACTCAGGATCTGGTGGTCGTGAAAACTGCGAATCATGGCTCTCTCCCCACCTCAGGTTGTGGAGATTGTATGGCATGATTAAAGATTGGCGGTGAACGTCATCGCGTGTGACTCTCAAACTGCCTTCATGCTCCTGGAGCTATGTTGAACCTGCTCTCCGTGGGATGGATGCTAGCAAAAGGTTGGGACTGTAACTTTTGTGGAGATCCGGCTCGCTGTGAGCTAGTATATTGAGGCACGGCATTGGGCGCACTCCCCATGTCAGGAAGGCTGTTCTACGTGGACCTCAAATTTATTCCACTACAACAGGACATCACTCCTCTCGTTCCCGAAATCTCAGCCTTTGCACGTGTTCCGCTCACCTACGACATCTGGCATGCTCATATGGGCCACACTGGTGGGGAATCAGTGCGCCGTCTTCCTCATATTGCACGCAGATTCACCTTGGACTCAAATGAAACCATGTCTTGATGCGAGTCATGCATAATCGGCAAGCACCCACATCAACCTCACCCCACTTCAGAGTCCCCTCCAGCCTCCCGCTTCCTTGAGCTAATTCACTCCGACATTTGCGGACCCATTCCCATTGAGACCCCCCATCATAAGAAATATTTTATAATCTTTCTCGACGATCATACTGGGATATTGGATCTCCAACTGCTGACTACGAAGGACCAAGCGTTAGAAGTGTGGCGAACGGTGTGAGCACGTTGGGAGAATAGTTCTGGTCTATGGGTAGTTGCCTTCCGCACAGACAATGGAGGTGAATTCATGAGCGAGGCGTTCAACTCAGACCTTGCAGCGGCTGGGATCGAACATCAGCTCTCCGCGCCATACTCCCACCAACAGAATGGACGAGCTGAGCGCGTTATTCGCACTATCGAGGGGAGAATGTATGCAATGCTTAATTATGCACACCTACCACGGAACCTGTGGGGAGAAGCGGCCCTCACAGCAGCATACCTATTCAATCACACAGAGTCTCGCTCGCTGCCTGCCGGCAAAACACCCTACGAGATGCTCCACAAAGTCCAACCAGATCTCTCTCACATCCGTGTCTTTGGCGCACGATGCTTTGCGCGTATTCCAACAGAACTCCAAATGAAGTTAGGGCCGAAATCTCGAGAAGCCTATTTCATGGGCTATGCCCCCGGTGGTCGCACCTGGTGCTGCAGAGATAAGTCAACTGGCACATTCTTTAACTCACGTGATGTGATCTTTGACGAGACATTTTCGGGTCGACCGTTTCCTTCTAACAACAACGATTCAGATGAGGAAGAATCTGCGGTGGCTCCCGCATCTATTCCTTCCTCCATTCCCTCCTCTGTCCCATCTCAAATGCCTGCACCAACACTCATCCCTTCCACCATTGAACCTCGCCGCTCAGAACGAACCTGTCTGCCCACTGAATGTGGTCAACTCTTCAAAGACCAGCTAACAACGGATCGAGAACGTCTGGTGAGACAACGTGAAGTTCGTCAAGTGCGCATTCAAGGGGTGGCTATTGAGGGGGTGAATGCTGCACCTGACTCAATCAAACTCGACCCCGACACCATAGTACCTGATGAAGACGAGGTAGGGTCTCCTCAAATGCTCGCTGCCCTGATCGCCACCGAGTTCGCCGGGCTCTCCATCCGCAGTGATACACGCCGCAGTCCACTCGCACCAGGCTACAACATGGGAATACCACCATCTATGTATGACGAAGCGATGCAAAGGTCCAATCGCAACCTATGGCTGGAAGCTATGCACAAGGAGATTAACCTCATGTCAGAGATGAACGTCTATGAGTTGGTGGACTTACCGCAAGGGAGATGGGCGATAGGTTGTAGATGGGTCTTAGAGTTCAAAGAGGACACGAAGGGTGGATCCGTGCATAAGGCACGACTCGTTGCACAAGGGTTTTCACAGGTGCCAGGTGTGGATTTCGGGAAGACCTTTGCCCCCATAGCAAGACCAACTTCAATTCGCCTTCTCTCAGCATACACGGCAGCTCACGATTGGGAACTCGACAGTTTCGACGCAAAATGCGCCTTCCTTTGGGGAAAACTTCGTGAGGACATCTTCATGTGTCAACCTCCCGGATTCGAACACCTTGGTAAAAATGGAGCACGTCTGGTCTGTCACCTGCTATTGTCGCTTTACGGGCTGAAGCAAGCTGCATTTGACTGGTATGAGTTGTTGAGAGCGGTTCTCATTCACTTAGGGTTCATCCGCTGCGACGCTGACTATGCAGTCTTCATCTACGACCATGTCCAGCAGGGGGTGCGCGTGATCTGCATAATCACGTGGCACATTGACGATGGGCTCGCAGGCAGCAACAACCAAAGGTTTCTCAACTGGATAAAGGGTTGGAATGCGGAAAGGTTTGGGATAGCAGACTTGGGGCCGGTAGTCAAGCATCTGGGAGTCCAATATGTTTGCTCGCGCACCACACAAGAGCTGTGGATGCATCAACAGGAGTACATCACCTACCTACTCACGGAGCACAGTCTCCTCGACTGTAACCCTGTTTCGCTCCCGATGGACCCCGTCTTTCCCTTCGGACGCGACACTGACATGCACCCCTTCATCCAGAACCTCGAATCAGAATACCACAAACTCGTTGGAGAGCTGCTTTATCTTGCCATGTATACCCGTCCCAACATCACCCTCGCCGTCATGAAATTATCCCAGCACAACTCCAACTCTCAACCTCGTCACTATGCTGCGGCAAAATGGGTCCTCCGCTATCTCGCTGGAACTATATCCTATCACGTGCACTATGGAGAAACGAATGCAGACACGACCATCTACAGATTCAGTGACGCCGACTGGGCAATGTGCCCAGAAGACCGTATTTCAATCACTGGATATGTGTGGTATTTTTATGGTGGTCCTATCTCTCACGCAGCAAAGAAACAGACTACCCAGGCATTATCTTCAGTGGAGTCAGAGTACATGGCGTTAACGGGCGTGATTCAAGACGGAATCTGGATCAAGTCCTTCTGCGAGTGTTTGAAAATTCCCCTTACCCTTCCTCTCAAACTCTACGCTGACAACACTGGCGCTATAGCATTGTCGGAAGAGGCTGCTAATCACACCCGGACGAAGCACATTGACCTGCATTACCACTTCATCAGACGCCACATTGAGGCTGGCACTTTCCAACCCATCTGGGTCTCCACTCATCACAACAGCGCCGACATCTTCACTAAAGCTCTCCCGTGTCATACATTTGTCACTCATTGTTCTGGTCTCTCACTCATGGCAGGTTGAGGGTGTGTGTTGGAGGATCACATCAAGAAGCACCATCTGCATTGGGGCAGATTAACATTGTCTTTCGGGTTGGGGACAACCACGCTGTCTTGTTACTTGAGGGTCTTATATATGTAGAAGTGTGTAAAAATGCAGTGACAACACAACTACACTTTCATAAGACAAAAGTTGCCAGCTCCTCAAGTTCACAGTCAACGGATTTTCTACTTCTTAGTTGATAACGTGTTGTTCGTGGGTGGTCAAAGAGTAAACAAGTTACCTCTCCTTTGCTTTGATTTCTGTATCTGAAATGAATAACCCTGATGTTCTGCTGTGAATATAAATCTGTTAGGTATGTTTCACCCTAGTAGGTCATGTTTCAACCTATGAAAGTCTGTTTCAACTTTGTCGTGTTCTCCTGTTACGTGTCTCACTTCCTGTAGAAGCAAGATTGCTGACTAGAATATGTAATACTCAAATAAAACAAATAGATGGTTGTATAGGTTATCCCTGTAAGATAGTACACAACTTGATTGACAAAATACAATGGTTTTCAAAGGTAACTCGTAGACCTTCACTTTCTTCTGGATCTCACACGTTAGAGACAGAAAGCAGGAAAACTCCACACTTCAGATTCTTATGTTCCTCACGGTTGGGAACAAGAATGGAAAGGGAAAAACTTATTTATTTGGTAAGATGGGTGTCCTTAAATACATTTTTGGAAACCCTCCTTACTAAGCATGACTCATCACTGGATTGGTAAGAATATGCTTACAAACCAAGCCTTTTGGTGTGCTGAATCAGCTGCTTACTAAAGTACATGAATAAAATATTACAAAGCATGGGGAAGAATTACAAAGCATGACAAATCAATGACAAAACATGATGAGTCAAGCTGAATCCTTACAAATCAGATTTTTACCAGTCACATGACATGCTTACAAACATATCTGAGTGGCTGAATAAGCTTAAAAAAATGGAAAGAGGCAGAAACAAATAGAAACCTATAAGTACAACTAAACAATATGAAACTTAGCTTATGATAGTGAGAAGTATATTCTTGTACACTCTCCTATTCATCTCCATTTATGTATGTCATGGTATGAAGTGTATACCATGCATGACAGCGCCCCTTCGTTTCGTTTTTCAATCTCTGTCTGTATAGCACTTAAGTATCTCGTCTGCATTGTGTTTACATACCTCAGTTGTTGATCCACAACACTGAGGTATGCGTCTTTGTTCTTCTTGCACCAAGCTCCGTACTTACAATACTTTACATTAGCGTGATTCCAACAGGTACATAGAGCAATAACAGTTGTTGATCCACAACACTGAGTGTGATTCCAACAGTTTCTGCTCACAGCAAAGTGCTGTGAGCTGCGAGATTGGATGATTATTGTGAAATTATTAGTGATGCTGTTGGCTCAACCTCTACAGACCTCAATATCTGTAAGGTAGACACCACACAGTGTACATGTAGTGTGGGACATGACTGTTCTGAAGGACATTGATATTTAGTTTTCCCTTATGTGAAAGGAAGTTAAGGTATGGATAGCAGAGATATATTTGCATTGTTTGACAGACACAGCAAGATAGTAACACATACTTGAATTGCCAAAAACACAAGGTCTCAGTACATGCAACAAAAGCATTACACATTACATAATTTCAGATTTACCCAGAAGCTCTTGCACATGCCACCACTGCCACCAATCATTGAGTGCATGAAGAAATGGTCAAGTGTGTTCTACATACTATTTGAGCAACATGTTGACCAGCTAAATGTCACCTTATGTCATATCTATTACAACATTTATGTTGTGCTTTGGGTGCTTCAAGACAAGCACATTCCTGTTCAGGCTGTCTTCTGAAGCCAGATGGATGTGATATCAGGCCAGGTGAACTCCAAATCATGCACAATTGTTGTTTGTGAGGCTAGAATCAAAATGTTCGGCACATATGTGGGGGACTCAAATACTGACTGTCCCTGGTCAGTCATGTGTGTGGAATAGACTTAGCAACTTTTCTTGTTGACTTGTCACATGATCATGAGACCAGGTGTTCGGGTTGAAGAATCACAGAGTTTTTCTGAATTTAGATAGAAGTGTGAATGCAGTGATATGTGCTTGTGCAAGGCATAGTTGTGCTCAGCGATGATTTTTCATAGTTTGTCTCTTTTTTGACTACAAGTAGTTCATTTCTCATCTGCAGCTTCAACTGACAATTGCAGGTTTCCTTTCTTTTTATGTACTGGCCTGCGAATGTTTAACACTTCTGCAAGTTCTCGATCACCATGGTCTTTTTCCTACTGCGCCCTCTCAACCACACATGGTGATTTCTACAGACCTCATCGTATTCTATCATGCATTGTTTGAGTGTTCATGTGATGCTATTCATGCACTTGCTTCTGCCTTGAAGACACATTATGCCCGCAGAGGCTTTCAGATGACCAACATAGATGTGAGTTTTAACTTTCCAGGCTTTCAGACACTTGCCCATTAGAACATAGGGTCAACTCATTCAAAAACTATTTCACTGTGAACTTAGCCAAGCTGTCTAGTGGTTTGACATCCTGCAGATTGAAGTTGAACAGCAGACTGAAGCGGCACTCCAAATATGTCACAAACAAGTGTATAAGGCCTGTGGACTTTAATCTCGAGAGAAGACTGTCATAACTACTCCCATGCAATCTAGTACAATATTATTTTAAGGCCAGTGCACCTCCATTCTCACACAGCATTGTCCAGCCTGCTTTGGAGGCATCCTTTTCAGCAGACATTGTAGCGAAGGTGGCAATATTCACATTGCGATAGATGGCAATTTCCATCATCAACATTGACAATCTGCAGGTGACTGTCCACGCTTTTACAACCCCACATATTTTCTTCCCAAAGCTTAAGTAGACAATGTTGAGCAACACATCCTCTCACAGCATGAACATGCATAAAATATTTGCATTTCTTTAGTGCCAGACAAAGCCATTAACCAATGCAAGTATGAACACTAGTATGAGGCTGTGGATTGCAAGAAGCAGAAAGCTGTGATGGATCCCATTGATGATATGGACATCATGGCTATTATATGTTATCATGATATCCCGCTCTTCTTCACTAATATTGATTCACCCAGTGAGCAGCAGAAGTATACCATAGCACTTATTGAGCATCTCTTCTCTGTTGCTGCAGGAAGCCATCATCATTACCCTTTATGATGTCAACTGTGTCCTCTCACAATCATTATCTCAAGTAAGTGCTTCTTTAATAGATATATTTTAACCTTATCTATCTATTTAGTATGTCGGATGGGTCATCGCGGCCACTATGTCGGTGAGCCATTTCGTAGAAAAAATTCTAACTGTGCGCGGTCAGTCCATGATAACAATAGATGAGATAGTAGCTATGCTTACCTGTTCGGACAATATTTTGAGGGGAATCTTCAAATCGAGTTGGAGGCAGCAACTTTTGGATGTACTAAGTCGGTACAGATGGTTACAATATTCTCCTTGGTTCAGTGACTTTACATCTTTGATTTGCAACCACAGCTATGCATGCATATGGCCACAAGTGGGCATGTCAGCTTGAGTTTAATCCTCAGATGTGCATCGGTCTTGGCCTCTTAGATGGGGAGGGAACTGAAAGACTATGATCAAGGTTTGTCAAATTGATTGACATTCAAAGGTCATCATCAGGAAGTCAGTACTAGTACTCTGATGATCATTTAATGACTGTAATTCACGGACAGCGCCAGAGATATTGGGGTTGATAGACAGGCAAGCAGGTGCCATCGGTCTTGAGATGTAAGTAGATTTTAGTAACTAAATCAAATAGTGGCTAAAACATAAAGTTAATGGCCAGGGTGCAGTGGTATAAGAAGTTTTAAGTAATTGTGGTATCAAAGCTCAAGACCTTCAGGAACAGTGGGTGGATCAGAAGAAGTCCCAACTGTCCATTCATGCTCATAAGTCCGTGAGTACCACTTGAAGTCTCCACACTAAGATTATCATTTTCTGTTGACGGATGCTTCTGTATAACTGAAGAAAGAGCTTGACATTATCCTTGCTCTGCAGGCTGATTTAGATGCATCAGATAGGGAATTGCAACTCACATGTACTGTGGTAGAGAAAGGCTTGGCTACCAAAGAAACCTTAGATGCTCTAGAGAGCCTTGAGCGCAGTTGTGGTCATTTGATAAACAAGATTAAAGCATTGTATTCCTCACTCAACATTCATGACAGATTTTCAGAACTACAAGGCATTGGTTTGAATTTTGTTCAAACTCTTCTCAATATGCTCATAGTGCATAATCTCAAAATAAACATCCAAAAGCGAGCGATAGGAAGCTTTTTAAATAGGACAAACTTGACCGACACTATAGGTACAACAAATCTGCCAAAGAGCAGAAAGTGTTGGGTCCTGCTACCTAGCTGCTATGTCTGGGTAGACAGTGTCAGACCCTAAAGAGTTTCTGAACTAGGGAGTGCTCAAGCAGAGAGAGAGAGAGAGAGAGTGTGTGTGTGTGTGTGTGTGTGAGGAGGAGAGATGGTGTCACTCCAGGAGGAGGACATGATAGCTTTCCGGCACTATATACGCACACTTATAATGAGAGTATCTACTGCATGATATGACAATCCATACATCTCTACAACTCTCCTGAAAAAGTGTGCAGAATTACATTTGGAGTATGGTACACAATCACAAATGATGGAGCTAGCAACTCAAACAAACAAAACAAATATATTTGTGTAGCACCCAACTGACTGATTGATTGTGTGTTTCCTGAACATTGTGTGGTTGAGGAATGTGTGCAGAACAACACTGGACCAAAGCTCAAGAAGCTCAACCTCGAAACATACAAGTATCATGCCCTTGGGAATTATCCTAACACAATATGGCGCATGGGAACCACCAATAATTTTTCTACATAGTTGGGATGTATATGCTGAGATCAATGCATTGCCATGCAAACCTGATGACAATCTCGAGCGGTTGGTCGCCTCCCTCATGTTTTGGTTTAATGCAACTCATCTAACTAATTTCAGGAATGCTTCAATGTAGCTGTTTGATTTGTTTTTTGGAAACCAGGTGAAATATACTCGAGGAAAGCCAACTGGTGCATTTCACCACATTGTATAGAAGTTAGAATTGCAAGTAGATAGACATGAAAAAGACTTACATATTAACATAGTTGTACCACCAGTCTTCATCACCATCCTACTTGTGACAGACAAATGAGGGTCCCAGAAGTTGATAGGTATAGATTCCAGTGTTGACGCAATGCCTTTGCCCAACTAGGGTCTGGGGTGTTGTGAATTGTTGAAATGATCTGATAATAAGCATCTCAATAGTTGTAAGTTCCATCATCCTCCTTCCACTTGTCAAGCGACCCAATAGCAAAACAGCTCTGTATAATGATATTGAGTAGCACAAGTAAGAATGCTGAAACCCTTTAGAGACGTACCTGAATTACATTATATGCAATATTCTTTGCCTCAACTATTCTCATATTGTGGAGACGTGCATTACATGAACACGTGGGCTTGTGAAAAGATGCTTCATCACCTGATGGATGTAAAAAAACATGAATACTTGAAGATGAATTGACATAACAAATTTAAAACAAATTCGCTCGCTCAATAAGATATCTCTTATCAAAAACCCTATACTACCCTAATGCTAATCATAATTGACACAGCCAAAATACTTGAGGATGTTGTTTTCCTTGAGATCAACAACACCATGCCTTTGTGGAATATCTACTGCTTTGGTATTGATATCAACTCTCCCGGCCATAAGGTATTTTCATCTTTATTGTTAATCTTAGGTGCTTATTTTACATTTATATAGAAAATTGTTGTCCACTTCAAGAATTCTGGGGGTCCTTGACTTCATATAAGCCAAGCCCAGAAGTCTAGTCCAGCAAATCTGACTTCAAAGGTTCTGATGTCAGGGACATCAAAAATGATCAGAGTGAGGAACTTCAACATGATCATTGACTTGGGCATTCCTCATGATAGCCAATGAATGTGAATCTATAGATATTCACATAGCACCCAACAGTCTGATTGATTGTCTGTTTGCTAAGCATTGTGTAGTTGAGGAATGTGCACAGAACTGCACAGAATAATATTAACTCGAGTATGCTACACAATCATAGCCAATGAATGTAAATCATCGACTCAGATAAACAAAATACAGACATTCATGTAGTGTCAAAGCAAGAAAACCTCTCAAGAAGTAAGCTACTCAACTGACTAAATTATTATATATTGTGTTTGACATTGTGTAGTTGAGGATAGGCCAAGCTGAGCAGGCTAGCTTCACAATCAGGTCAAAGTTACATACAAACGACTTGGACAAACTCACTTGACAACTCAATGAAGCATACATACAGTGTTACACAAAGTAAGGCAGTGTGTGTGTCCAATGAGCACATAAGATTTATATCTAATCTGACCTGGGCTGATCAAGGGCTTCACTTTGGGCCCATGCATAGCCATATACTGGGCTATATTATGATACAGAGATATGTTGTTAGTTTTATAGGATTTTTATATGCACTGTGATTGGCTATTTGACCTCTCAGGAGGCTTGTTTAAACTCTTGGTGAATTGTCATACAGGTGTGGAATTTGTCACTCTACATGGAATATACTATAGTGGTTCTTCAGTACAGTACTTCTTGTCCTCCAATTCATCAACACTGCCATCCATAGTCATCAAAAGCTGGCTGAGGCTGGTTACTATCTTTGGAGTTAACTCACTGAAGTTGGTTCTACTGGAATCAGCTCACCTGTCCATTTGTTTATTAACAGCGCCATCTATAATTACTGAAAGCCAGCTGAGGCACGCTATTTCTGGAATAAACTCACTGCTGTTGGCTCTATTCGCAGGTAGGATCTGTGGGATAGATTCTTGACTCACATTTTCCTGCTGCCATGTGGCAATCAGCCTCCAGGAAGGTAGTGGGGTGGCACCCCAACAAACACATGAAGTTTTTGATAATGAGAAGGGCTGGAAAATGGTTCAGGTGATAACACTTGGAGTCAGTAATGACAAGAAAGATGATAAGGGACAGGAGATGATCAGGCAATGACACAGGGAGTTGCTGATGACGAGAAATGGGAGATGGCTCAGGGGATCACACTAGAGAAGTTTCATTCAGCGTGAGACAATGAAGGCTCTTTCAATTGACGGTGTCCACAAGAATGTGATGATTCAGTTCTCAGTGACATGATGAAGGGTGATTAAGTATCTTTAAGAGCATCTACAAGCACATTCTGCTCATGAAAAGTGAGGTTGGATATCTTTGCTCTGTGTGAGCATGTCACATTTCTCACCAGGCATGAGGGTGTTGTTAGGATAGTTGCAGCCATAATTGCCTAGTAGGGATAGGTAAGGTTTTCCAAGAAGAGTTTCTCCCTCACCTGTTGAGTCTGCCTGTGACAATTTCAGTGATTCAACAGAAGCCTTGAGAATGAATCTTACCACACGGAGCAGTCAAACCACCCATAATGTAAGGTAACTCATCTGGTTGTCTCTAACTATCAGGATCATTGGTTCTACGCCTCTCCAGCCACTCTTATAACACTTCCTCCACAGGCAACACATACTACAATGTGATGTGGTCAAGAACATAATCAAAGCTTGACAAAATCCATAGATGACAAGAAGCGGAATAGCTAGTTCAGAGGAGGAGGTAATTAATTGAGGAAATGCACCCTTCAAGTAGCAAGAAGTCAAGCATAGAGGGTTCTGAAAGCTCGTGAAGTTCTATGTGGTAACTTGTATGTAACAGTGACTTCCAAGTTCAAATTCACACCCATGCTGCACCATTTCAATAGTGATCTTCAAGTTTCAACTTCCAGTCATGCAGATCCTACAATTGATACAAGACTTGATTATATATTCATGCAGATGTTTCATACTCCTGCCTCTTTGTCTATGAATGAACAAAGTGTAAGTAAATTGTATAAACCTGTCTAAGGACAGCAAATGTATGCTCTACCCCTAAAGAAATGTGAATCCAAACTAGGCAAAATCATTAGGCAAAATCAAATCAAATCAGATATATACTTTAGAAAGGACAGTGTTAAATATCTTCTGGTCAGGGGTCAAGGCCCTATTAATAGGCTTCCTGAATGGGTGAATACACTATGGCTCTATGGAATAAGCACTATCAGCCCAAATCCAATAGCTATTGCCTAGAAGTATTTGATGACTTTTATAAATGTGAGTGGAGTGGAATCATCTGGAAAAACTGTATGGCTATATAGAGAAGAGTGTATTATACAGAGTGCATAGTGCCATATAGCACTATATGCTCTCTAGCCCCCTGTATGCCCACACCATATGTGCAAAGCACACTGTGTTATAAGTGATGGATGCTCTATCCATGGCTTCACTCAGACACTCTCCGAGTCAGTACCCCCGTTAGCCACATGGCCCACATCGACTGAAAGTGGTGTTCTCAATGATGTTCTCGACAACTTCTTGCTTAACACTGACCCTGCTGGTGATCAGGACCCATTGTTTTATCTGTCTCTCCCTGTAATATGTCTTGACAGCACTGCTCACAAAGATCAGAAAGTGTCAACGTCCTCAGCATTAGCTGCTGAAGCACCCCCATCTGTCTCAGTGCTCCAAGGTTCTGTGGCCAACAGCAATGAAGACCCTCACATCACAGCCAGGTTCTTCTCAATCAGCCCACCATACCCTCGACCCTCATCTCAGTACTCAACTTAACAATATGTGGCTCACTATGTACACCAAACACGAGAATCTCAAGACAGAGCACCAGCATTGCATGGAAATGAAGAGAACTCACGAGCAGCGCCTGAAAGGTCGCTTTATAGTCAACTACTGGGATGAGGTGTGTCACTCAAGTTTATCCTGCTGCTGTTCACTCGGAGTGCTAACAAACTTCAACACAGAGTGATGCTGATCTGATCTCTGTGACGGGATATGAGAAGTCCACAGTCTGCTCTTTGTCTGACCACCACGATCTCCTTCGCACACCCAGCATGAACTTCAGGGATGTCGAATATTATGATACCAAGCTCCGCAGGTGGATACTCAACAACTGGGACCATCCGCTCGAGGTCACCACTGACACCCAAGTATTTATTCGTCAGTGTGGAGTTGTCTGCAAAGACCTCGGCGAATTACTGCGGAACTATCAGGATGGCCCTGCAGGTCCCCCTCATATGCACAAGAAGATGACGAACAAGCGGTGTGCCCTACGTCAAGAGGTGAAGATGCAACAAAACAGCACTCACAGTAAACACTACTACAGTTCAGATGCTAAAGCAATTGGCAGCCCGTCCATCCCTTTTGCATCCTCTACACCACACACACCAACCCCATGTCACTTCTCTATTGTTCAAGCCTCGAGTCTCCCAAGCATCAAAGATGACTCCGAGTCTGAGTCAGAGTCCATGATCACTAGCATATATGAATGTCCCTCCCCACTTCCAATGCATCCCAACCTGAAGAGAAACCATGACACAGTTGATGACAGCATCCAGACACCTCCCCACAAGGTCCTCAAGCTCGACGCGAACTTCACATCAAATCAATCTACGTTGACGACTCCAAATTTACGCACTCCTACTGGCATCATGACATGCACCCCAGGCCAAAGCAAAAACACACCCTCCTCTGGTCGTTGGCCGGCATTTATGTATACTATTGATATGTCAGACGGATTTGCAGTGATGGAAAGCACCACGGAGGCGTTGGAACCGTGCCTCTGACTAAGGCCTACTTGAAGAAGCTGAAGCAGCTGCATATACTGAGGACGGTCACTGGAGCAAACTGGCAGCCTGTGTGCCCCTCAAATAATATTCACGGTTTTCATGTATTATAGCACTCGTACTGTAATATAACTGTCCGGATGTGTCTGAACACATAGTAAAGGCAACTTCGTGTTGCCACCGCTCCTCTTCATCTCGAACTATCACAAACCTACATTCTTGGTATGTTGCCTTCAATGGTTTTTTCATGTAAGTTCATGCTCATTCTTCGATGTGGGGATCATATTGACTATTGAGTACTACCTAGTGTGTCAAGTGTCTCCTGCTGCTCAACTATTGTATTTTTTCCTTAATCTACAGAGCCTCTGTACGTGCGTTTTTGTGTGCCCGCCGTGTGTGTATCATTGACATTGAATGATGCTTTGAAGGCTATTCTCCATCAATGAGTCTCCCAAATCTTTCACAGGCATCCGAGTCGTTGCAGTCCATTCTTGCTGCCCACCAAGCGCAACCAAAACCAGACTTTTTGTATACATGCAACAACTGCCATGAGGAGGTTCTGTGGAAGAGATGTAAATCAAATGATAATGGTAATGAGGGCTGCTGGATGGCAGTGGTAAGCCTTTGGTTAGTTGTTCGTAGACATGCAGTTGACTCCTTCATTGGCTATAGTGTAGAAAATTCTCTGGCAAACAGGCGTGCACGTTTTTCCGATGGTCATCGGGATTGAAAAGCGCCTCTGGTTCACCTACGCTAGGGGCCTCGCCTGTATTGCAGCCTGTACATTTGAGCAACACCACCCTGCTGCTTATATGCACTGCTCTGGCATGCAAAAGGAAGGCACACTCCCTTTGTGACAACAAGATGTGTCGTAGACACTGCCGCCTTCTTGGTGGTTGCCGTGCCAAAGGCCATGACCCTGCTGTGTGCCCAGACCCAAGTCCCACATCTGATGTGTCCCGCTCACCATCACCATTGATCGCCATATGAAATTCACCACCTGCTGTCCCTGGACCCTCACAACCCAAACAAAGAAAGACATCCCATTTACCTTCACCTTCACAGCCTATACTTTGGAATTCTCATTCGCCATCTCCCCATATTGACTTGAAGGGCAAAGGCCGAGCATTTTGTTCACCCTCTATTTTGCCAAGGAAGGCATCCGTACCAGCCACAATCCAGGAGAACCACCCGAGAGATCATGACTTGGAGGTTGCTGAACGAGCAAAGAATAATGTTATTGTATATGCATGGAGCGAGGCAAGGCTGCACATGCACAACACTATCACAATGTCACTGACACTGATTCAGGATGGCACAGAGCCAACTATCTATGAGTTCCAGCAGGGATTCAAGTTCCCGAACTTCTTCTTTAGCCACAATGTCCTTCAGAAGCTCAATATGCTATATGACGCCACTCCAGCCCCTTTGTGTGTTCAGCGATACAACCACCTACTTGAAATGTGGACCATGTTTGATTTGGGCCACATGGTAATATTACAACCTCATAATGGAGGTATTCTTCTTGTCAAGCAGGCTTGCGTCAAGGACTGCATAGGCTTCCACGACCATCTCCACAAGCTCACTCAGATTCCTCTGCTTGCCACTACAAACCTATCTCGCCCTCCTAGCTCTGTCCTTCTTTTACCTCGTGCCACTACAAACCTATCTCGCCCTAGCTCTGTCCTTTCTCTCACAGAGAGTGATGACGACAATCGTCCAGCCTGTCCCATAAAGTGCTGTCACTCCTCTATACTATCTTTGACTGACGACTCAGATGATGACGGTGATAACTCTTGGTGTTCTTCATCTCTGCCATCAGCCTTGGGTCCTATCATCGCGAAGGAAAGCTCAGGAAGTGTCCTGTCGCATGGAAGGTCAAAGAGCAGCGCTATTGAGGTAGAGAAGGTGTCCGTTTGGCCAGCTGACTTCTATGTGGTTGGTATCGCAGATGGGTTCAATGCATGCAAGAGGGCAGCAGAATCACAATGCAGCATTGCAGCCGCTTTTGTCAGACACTTTGGTGTGCCATTCAGGGCATCCACATATTATGACAACCGCAGGCTGTGGGAACTTGGCACCAATTGAGTGCTTCGTGCTCAGTTCATCTCATATGGACGAGTGGATGAAGGGCGGTGGGCAGCCTTTGTGGAGAAGGCTGAGCATTTGAAGTGAGTCTTTCCGTGCACATCAGCATCTGTACTACTAGCCTCTGTACCCATACTATTAGCCCAATATTAGATTTTTTGTACCATCCATCACTGCATGAAACTGCAAGATCTAGGCTTTAGTAGTAGAATCATTATATTAGTGCTTACCTTAACGTCACGTGCACCGCACGGTGTGGGAGAAATCATAGAAGTCCGCTATAGTGATAGCGTACCGATCCTGCTGGGTGCGAGAATAGTAGTCGACCCAAGGGGATAGCTCTGAGAGCAGTTCCTCAAGTATGAGCGAGGGGAACAGTGAAGAAGGAAGGAGTGCGCTGAAGACAGAACGGCTGTGTACACGAGGAGATGTGGAGATGCAAGAATGTGTGGAGATGCGAGGTATGCGGAGATGCGAGGTATGCGGATGCGGAGAAACAAGTGAATGTCTAGAGGGTACCAGGTATGCGAACGGGTAGGGTACCAGGTATGCAAAACGGGTAGGGTACCGGGTATCGGAACAGGTAATCGGGTAGAGCGAACTAGGTACCAGGTATATGCGAAGACGTGCAGAAACCGCCTTGCAAAGGAACTCAACTAGGACTAGCAATAGTCAACTGTCAATGGCGATGCGAGCGTTCGCGCGGGATGAGAAGGCAAACAAGTGATTGCTCAAGCAAGGAATGACAAGGTAAGACTAAGCTAGTGACTCCGCAACACACAACCAGGGAGAAGGAATGTAGGAAAGTGCTGGATACGAGTCCGCAACGTAGTATATAACAGAGTCCGTAAGAAACCGGAACTGTATAAGCGAACGCATATGTACGCAAAGTCGGAGGGAGATAATATGTAAGTAGCACTATGCGACCTCGTGCATGGGAACTGATATGTACATAACTGGCCATGCGAACGGTTAGGAATGACTAACTAAGGATGAGAACGCACCAGTGAGGACGGACGGATGCAGACAGGACATGGACGGATAGTACGATGCGATGTGATGTGATGTGATGCGATGAGTGCGCGGATTCCGCAACCTCGTGTGATGGTCCGCAACGGCCTGTGGAAGGTATGCGTGACTTCGTCCAGTAAGGGGAAATGGTGCCGTACGGGGCTGCAGCCAGATCGTCTCCTACAATGGTATTGGACTTTTTGCTTCTGTTTGAATTTCGACAGATCCTCTGAAGGTAAGGTGTCGTCATGGATTCGGTTTGTGCATGGGGATGGCCAGGGTGTCCAGAGTTGCTCTGAACCCTGTGCCACCCAGCAATTCAGTCATGGCACCTTATATTCTGTCTTCTACCACTACCACTACTCCTACCTCTTGTCTCTACTAAAGCCCTGCTGCCATTGCTGCTCATTTTTCACGTCAATTGAGTTGTTGTATACTATCTTACAGGGATCGCCTATACAATCATCTATTTGTTTTATCTGAGTTTTACGTATTCTAGTCAACAATCTTGCTTTTACAGGAAGTGAGACACAATCCACAAGCCAGCCAAACACTAGGGTTATCCTGTTCAGATACAGAAACCAAGCAAAGGAGAGGTAACTTGTTTACTCTTTGACCACCCACAAACAACATATTATCAACCAAGAAGTAGAAAATCTGTTGACCGTGAACTTGAGGAGCTGGCAAATTTTGTCTTATGAAAGTGTAGTTGTGTTGTCACTGCATTTTACACACTTCCATACTATACAACCCTCAAGTAAGAAGACAGTGTGAGTAAGCAATGTGGTGCAGCAACTTTCTTCTTGACCACATCAACTTCCGAACTTCATAGACGATCACCAGCCATAGCTCTCTCATTTTCTGCTCACCCACCCACCGCTCCCTTCTCTCAGGTTCTTGGTCAGACAAATCATAAGCAATTTAGAATCAACACACAAGAACAACCAACACGAACCAAACCGCTGTAGGAGGCGATCTGGCTGCAGCCCCGTACGGCACCATTTACCCTTACTGGACGAAGTCATGCATACCTTCCACAGGCCGTTGTGGTCCATCACACGAGGTTGCGGAATCCGTGCATCACATCACATCGCATCGCATCGCAACGCACTATCCATCCATGTCCTGTCTGCATCCGTCCGTCCTCACTGGCCAGTTACATATCAGTTCCCATGCACGAGGTCGCATAGTGCTACTTACATATTATCTCCCTCCGACTTTGCGTACATATGCGTTCGCTTATACAGTTCCGGTTTCTTACGGACTCTGTTATATACTACGTTGCGGACTCGTATCCAGCACTTTCCTACATTCCTTCTCCCTGGTTGTGTGTTGCGGAGTCACTAGCTTAGTCTTACCTTGTCATTCCTTGCTTGAGCAATCACTTGTTTGCCTTCTCATCCCGCGCGAACGCTCGCATCGCCATTGACAGTTGACTATTGCTAGTCCTAGTTGAGTTCCTTTGCAAGGCGGTTTCTGCACGTCTTCGCATATACCTGGTACCTAGTTCGCTCTACCCGATTACCTGTTCCGACACCTGGTACCCTACCCGTTTTGCATACCTGGTACCCTGCCCATTCGCATACCTGGTACCCTCTAGACATTCACTTGTTTCTCCGCATCCGCATACCTCGCATCTCCACATACCTTGCATCTCCGCGCATTCTCGCATCTCCGCATCTCCTTGCATACACAGCTGTTCTGTCTTCAGCGCATCACTTCCTTCTTCACTGTTCCCCTCGCTCATACTCGAGGAACTGCTCTCAGAGCTATCCCCTTGGGTCGACTACTATTCTCGCACCCAGCAGGATCGGTACGCTATCACTATAGCGGACTTCTACGATTTCTCCCACACCGCTCTCATCCAACTTTATCTGACACACTACGCCCATTTACCTGAACTCACTTTAGTTGACCTGTTTGGGCCCACCCACCCTTCACAGCTCACCTTTTATCCCAGGTTTGGTGTACCGAACATTCCGACGCTAGCCTCACAATCCTCCATTATACGTGATTCGGAGCTCACCTGGTCAGGTATACACATCTGTCATCATCTGTCCCCTTCTGTCGACATCTGTCCTTCCGGACACCTAATGGATCCATGACCTGTAGCGGATATCGTCACTTTCCCCTGATCCCTGTCCATCCATGTCCATCCATGTTCATCCATCCCCATTGGTGCGTTATGTGTCCCTTCTTGTCACTCTGATCATCCACAGTCTGTATTACATGTATGTTCCCATGCACAAGGCCACTTGCTACCATTTACATATTACCACGCTATGGACTCGCCTGTACTTACCGCTGCCACTTAGAGGATTCCGAGTTCTTACAGATCACGATAAATAGTCACGCTGACATCTGCCAATAATCACTTCCTTCTACTCCCTTGGATTTAGTGTCTAAGTCCGTGTGATCAAGTCCCCTTAGTTTTCCGTATTTCAATGGATCTTAGTACAGACACTTGCACTTCTGTTTCTCCGTACTCAGTCAACTATCTTCCATTCCACGGATCACTTCTGGTAGCTCATTACATCGAGACCTTGAAACCTTGAAACCTTGAAACCTTGACACCTTGACACCTCGATACCTTGCCAAGTCACAGTCGCACCACTAGACATCTGTCCCATTAGGTCCGCTTCCGTCCAAACATCCGTTTTCACACTGGACTTTCTTTTCCGTCTTCGCATCAGCCTCATAGATCCTAAGCCCGTAGGGTTGATTCCTTCGCACTTATAACACGAAGACTTTCCTTCAGTAGCAATCCCCTTGGGATGAGCACTTTAACTGGCACTCATCCAGATCGGTAGTCTATCTGAAGATCAGAGGCGAGCGGATCGGGTGAGGGGGCGCTAGTAGATAGAAAACTCTAACTTCAGTCTGGTATTGGGACTCTAGGTCCATAGTACTGTACCTAGTAGATAGAAAACTCTACTAGTAAATGTTAGGGCGCAATCATAAGTAAATGTAATCAAGTACTCACACTTCAGTCTGGTATTGGGACTGAAGTGCTCGTGTGGTAAGTACGAAGTCTATAAGCTAAAAACGTTGCTATACTAATATGAGCGTTGCGGGGGATCGGGGTGAGACATTGCACACTAGCTCGACGTCACCTGTCCGTTCCTCAATCGGTCGCGCTCGTACTACGTGGTGTCATCCGACGTCTCCGTTGCCACGGGATCCAACAGTCTACACCAACAGGCTACACGGAATCACTTTCGCTCATCGGGCTGGTGTTTCTGACTGGAAAGCTCTCAGAGCTTTCGCCCAAACATCATTCTCTACCAACATCATTAGTTTTCATTAGCAAAACCGCACAGTATCCAAGTCACAGTATAACTATCCCTCTTCTTTCTCTAATCACATAAGTTCTCGATATGCATAGACATGCCATGATCATACTAAATGTAGGAGTTACACATTTTTCAAGGTAAGTATAAGAGTTGATCATAAAATTTATGTTTCAGTGGTGCAAGTTCTACATGCTTCAAGTGTTAACAAGAGTAAGAATTGACATGATATTTCCACAGTATTTGTACATAGCAGTAGCAGTAGAATAACGGTGAGCAATTCGCAAGCATGGGTAGCAGTAATATCAATGTAGTGCCCTTTTTTAACCAAAGAAAGCAAGAATATCTCTCGTCGAAGGTCTATTCTCTGGGGCTGACCAGCACTTCTGGACCAACAACCACAGTCGGTCATCCAGACCCCTTGCGCTGGCTGCAGGATCTTTAGGACGTGGGGGCATCTCCCCCCGAGAAAGTTTGATGATGACGTGCGTCGTGTGACGGATGTGATGCCACGGTATTTCATGGGTCATGATCTAGAAGATGCTATGAGAAATGCCAACTGCTTTCAAGTGAACTTTCGGCTTACCTCGAGTATAGTCATGCCATATGCGAAAATGTCAGAATGGGTGGTAAGCATGCCAGCGTCACGGCAGAGTTCTGGCGCAAGCCATCGCTGAGAGTTCGAAACTCTGAACAAAACGCGTCAGTTCGTCGAAAGAAATGGTATTGTGGTTCTCAGTACCCAGCAGACATCGTGAAACTCACGCCCGTGACATCTTCCAAGACCTGATTTCGCATATCAGCGATGTGTAGATCAATTGATGGAATGTGATTTTACCTTGGCGAACCCAAAATCAGCCAGCAGGGGGTTCCCGTTGACGTCGACAACGATGTTGGACTAGATGCGCGATCACGTCAGGCCCTCAAAGTGAAAATCAAAGCTACGAACTGCTTTGAGGTCGCCGTGCACGATCGCGGGTGACATACTATGCAGGACATTCAAGCCCTCGCAAATACCTTTGATCTGCAACGATTCAACACGACACCAAACATTCCTCAGAAAACATACCAAAGAATAATGATCTACGGTGGGGTACTTTTTGATATACTCGTCCACTGTGCCATTGACCATCCATGGACTTACAACATACCTGATCAAATGATATGGTAAGAGGAGTGGACAACCACTTGGGGAAGGGCTCACGGGAAAGGTCCATCGGTTTGACAGAAACCGTAGAAAGGAAGGATATGCTCTCCATGGTCGGCTTCCCACACGCGTATCCAGATATCCACTTCTCTCCTGAACCTCTAGAAGGTTATGTGAGGATGTAATTTCGAGCAGATGGGAGTGAAGACGTACCCGCAGCGACTGATGGTCACAATTAACAGCCCGTAAGATTTTGATGGACACCTTTTCTTCGTTCAAATAGTAGCCTTCCCATATATCTGCTGTTCCCGTTCCCTTGACGGCATATTGCCCGATGCGCTTCACTTCACCGCGTCTAAGGTGCATGTTCGGTAATAGTGAATGCGATGAATGTTGTATGTGATACAGGTTGCTTTCCATACCACGATCTGTCGTTGGAACGAGGCCCGGAAGATTCTGCAGAACGATGAGTTCATCAAGACTAGTCTAGCAGGGAGTTGAATAGACCTTTTGCATCAATTTCATGATCTCACGCAGTTCTGCCGTATGCTGCATCTGTGCCACACGCATGAGCTCCTGCTGGTTCTTGATGTCACCCAGATACTGGACCATGTCGTCCTTGTCTCGTGCACGACTCAAGTCGAAGTTGATCTGCCATGCATGGATTGACAAGTGAGATGTGACCTTGAAGCGGGGTTAGGACGATTTTTCCAGAGCACGCTTCATTACCTGTAGTTTGAGCAAGCAATCGGAAATATCGGCGTGACATTGCTGAATGGTGCCAGCCAGCTCGTCTTGTCTGACGAACAGCTTGACCCTGGACATGGAGCACCACGGCGCCATTTTGTCCAGAATATTTTGAAGGCCGCTGATGGGCAGATCAGTTGATTGATTGACGATGGAACTAGACCACTAACCCTTGGGCGCTGGAGCACAGCCTAGCCTGTTGATCCGGGGGCAAGTTCTGCCCCTCGTTATTGATGATGGACATGAAATTTAGGCATCGATCTTGGAGTAGAGTGATGCCATTTCTGTAGTGCGTTCGTTGTTAAGTACTCGAATCTGTAAACCATCGAGGATATAGTACATACTTATTTGCTTCCGCTGTTGCGAACATGTTGATTAATGTGACCAATACGCCCGTAGCGGCTCCGAGCCATGGCACTGGAGCAAATTGAGCAGCTGTCTGTGCTGCACCCATCAATGCCTGAGCTGCTAGATTGGCCATGTCTAACTATATGGCAGCTATAGCTGAGGATGGAAGAGTGCCAGTTAATAAAGACGGAAATCGATGAGGGGCAACCTACAGAACCGCGAGTTTATATCTGCTGTGCGCACTGCATAACTCGTGTGTGGGATTAGACGCTCTAATTATGATGGCATATGAAGTTTGCGGAAAGATCCTCCGCCTACACATATCAAAACATCCAATCGCATGAATGTTGGTGCGGTCCTCCCTTGGCTCCCAGGTACCAACGCCTACCCTCGCCCACCCCGTGCCGCAATCAAGGTGCATTGTGCAATGGAAAGGAAGTTCCTGCGTCACGTGCCTGTAGTCACGTATTTTCATTGTACCATGGATATTAATGTTGTCATGCAATTGTCATGCACAGGAACTGTCATCACCATGGCTCGAATGTTCCCCACTTCTGGCCCATGTCTACCGCCTTATAAATCTCTCATAATACAAGGAGATTACCACCCTTCAGCTCCGATTCACATGTGTCTGTCTGTTCCAATGGGTGCCAAGGCGTTACTTCTTTCTTCTTCTCGCCAGGCTCTCATACGCAGCCTTCGAGAATACAACGACGAATGGCTGCTTACAGATTCTGGAACAGGGAATACTTGTCACAGTAGTTCCAAAGTTGACATCTTGTTGGTCCCCGTTTTTGTGTATGGATTGGGGTAAAGTGATCAATTTACCCATCTCTCAGCTACCCTCCAACCCCAAATCACTTGGTCGTGTTATTATCCGCATTTAGAACACATGACGCCTCTGAACCTGTTCCTCTCGATGCCAAAGCAACTCTAGACTGCGTCCCATCATTGCTTGTTTTGCACGAACTATCCGCGTACTTCTTGCCCATGAACGAAAACAAACCGTATGTACCGTTCACTCCTCATGCTGTGTGCAACACGTTTTTAGGAAATTCGGTCCTTGCCAAGGCACACTATCGCATCGTATCTCCAGCTTGTTAGCCACGCTGTTGCTTTGGCGAATTTCCTCTCTATAGAACCACAGTGCGTTGGATGCAGTTCAGTATTGTATCGATGGATCGAGCGTTTAATGACATTTAGAACGCCTATGCGCTTCGCTCTATTTGATTCTCAACTTGACAATCTGAAGCTCCCCGTCCTACGAGCTCCAATTATCCCCGTGTTTGACGGAGAAGAGAACGGTGATGAAACATCTAGATCTGAATCAGTCGATTTGTTGGCGCACAAGTATTTTGAATGGGTCGGCACGTTTAACAAATGTTTTATTCCTCATTTGCTTTTTTGGGTTTGCCTCGCTGATTCCTTCCATCAGCCAACCCAGAAACTGATTTTCCATCTGATGGAAGTGGGGTACGCCGCTGCACCCTCACGCTGCACAAGCAAGGCAGTGACATTCGGACGGATATCATGTGGCGGTGGTCAGAAGTTCTAGAACGGACCCACAGCCGCTATGACGAACCCACAACCACATTTTTCTGGTCATGACGTTGGGGTCCAATCCCACGTCTGGCTTTGCCTGGGATCTTTGAACACAGGATCCTTGATCACTGAGTGCCGAGGAGTTGACTCCGGCCCATGTTCCCCGCGTATTGCTGTGGTGCACTATCCTTGTTGTATCACCCTAAGTAGGTACTTTGTCTCTTGTGATATGTCTATTGCGTCCACCACGTCATGCGCGTTTGGTCTGTGCCATCTGAACAATTCGCGTCATGCTGTGTTGCCGTACATGATGGTACATCGGTACGTGTCCTCCTATTTCCTTGCGCGCATCACTATGGCGACCTCCGCTTTTTTCTCATCATGGGCATTGTTGGTGTTCAAAACGTCAGCAAATATCAGATTGATGAAAGGAATATGATGGATTCATCGCCAAGTGCTCCAGTCTTCGTGTCAATGTATTCTCATTTGACGCAAACACAGCTTCTGCCGAAGATGATATCTATCTATTGGATGCGTAGACGACTATCGGTCCCATCGTTGACAATGAAGGATAATCTGCTCCTTTGATCTCTTTGTACGTGACTTGATTTTGGCTGATTTTTGTGTAAACACGCGCGTTCGCATTACCGCTCGGAATCAACCAACTTTGATTGCACGAACATAGCATTTTTATACTATATTTAAGGGAGAATTGTCAAAATGACGTTCACAGCAGCCGAGTGTCTGCTGAGCGTTGCGAGACATTCCTCACGAGCAGCCTTCTGCAAGAGACGGCGATGTTTGAATGCATCATCATGGACGCATTCCATGGCCGAGGCACGAGGTTTTGCAATGCAGGGTATAGGGCAAGTCGCCCCGGGAGCCTTTTACTAAGTTATAGTTCCACTCGTATCGTCTACACTCCTTGTTCCGCTCCTTCGACGTAGTCTTTAGCTCGCCTCCGCTTGTACTAGCTAGAAGCTCGCTTAGGTTGTTTGTGTCGCCCCTCCCTCCGTCTCTCTTAGTCTCTCCAAAGGTCTTAATTTCAATTGTTCGTTCGCGTTTCTTGTTTCGTGTGTCTCGCTTAGCTTTAGTCCTCCGTTCACCACTCAGCCTTGTTTTTGTTTCTTTCATTTTCTTTCCTGCTTCTCTGCTCTCTACCACCCACGCACACACACCTGAAACACATCTTTCAAGTCCGTGTTTGGTCAACACGTTGGACGTGCCATTGTGGGCTCGATCATGTAAAGATGATACATGATTGTATATCAGCCTAGGCCCGTGTAGGCTGCGACATGTATCTGCGGACCAAATAGAAGGGTACAACTTTATGTAAATGTAATCCGTTCCCGAGTCCCGACTTCCAGAATTCAAACAGACTTTGGGCTAGCATCCTCCGCTACTCGAAGAATATGGCATCAGAAGAAGAGTCTTCGTTTGCCTCTTTCATTCTGAAACCAGGTTCATCCCTCCATCCGACGTTTCTTCTCGCTGTCGATGCGGCATTTGCACTGCTATTCTTCGTTTTCCTTTGGTCAGCCTACCTAACGAAAGGCAATCCGCACTTTTTCGTTTTGATGGGTATCCAACTCGCTCTGTGGGCGAGCGTGAAATGGTACGTTGTGTTGGGCATAAAAATGTTGAGCAGTACACTGAGGTCAATGCATAGGTTTGTGCAAGAGCTGAAGAAAGCTCCTCCTGCGAATGTGACGACCAATATGGAGACGAGTACAAATAAAAAAGAACAATGATTTATAGTAGATACACGACGCGCAGAGCAATGTACTCTTCATCGACGTGCCTTGTCATTTCCTTCATGCCAACGTTTCATTCGTTTTGCGCTTTCCTGAGCCAGTGCAAACACTACAGACTGGTGAGTAAGCGTCCAAGTCATAGCTTTAGGCACTAACATTCCCTTTCTGTACCATCAAGCCCTTCTCTGAATGACTGTGCTGTGTCGGCAGAAGGTCCACCTCCTCCCGCAGGGCCAAGCGCAGCGAAATGCTGCGCTTGGTCGATCACCTCGAGCAACCGTCCTTTGAAGGCCTGAACAAAACGACTATTGGCAATATCACACAACGCATGCAGTCAATGTACCTTTGTTAGAACTTCTGATATGCCATTCGCCTGCTCTTCGCCCAAACTTATAGCTAGTTAAGCATGCTCCCTGAAATCAACAGCGAGACTCACATATCCATGACCAACTTCCCAAAACCGTACCATAGTCCACCTGCACCAACCAAGTTGGATAGCTTTACGCTCCGTGGCTCAGCCTTGAGCGCGTTTCTCACTCGTGTAGCAAATGGTGAAGGGATAGTGAAATCAGCCCAGTCACTGAAGATCCGTTTGTTCTTACGCCCACTGGATATCACTTAGACGCACGAGAACAATATGATGTAGGCCAGCCAAATTGGTATTGGTGCCTTTGTCAAGGATTTGATCTAAGGTGGCTTTAACAATGATGACACGCAAGGAAAGGGCAATTGAGACGCGCACGTCACGGTCAGATCCACCTGCGAGGTGGCCCATGTCAGGGATGTCGACTTTAAAAGTACATTGTATTTTCTGGGCCAGGCATTGAGTACTAGAATATAAAGTACAGCGCACAAACCTGATTTTCAGCTAGTATGGCATCAATGGAAAAGTAGTCGTTATCCATGGTGGTGGTCACCCGGTGGCCGCGTTCGTCAACACGCGTTTGTGGCTGAAATTTACGTTCACTTTGGCACAAGCAACACTCACGCGCACGGTCGTCTCAACCTCCAACCGCTCTGTCATGAACCACCTACGTCAAGTATTGCTTTCCTCAAGACGACCGGTTCGTCCGACTTCACTAGCACTCCTCCGCTGTCGCCGAACATTCTCCTTCACATCGCGACTACAAGCCTCTGAAAACGAAGACGCCTTCCTTTCACAATTCAAGAACACTTCAATATTTGGGAAACTTGCGGATAAACCAGAGGCTTTGATGGCACTCCGAGATTTTGCGGAACTCATGAGAGCTCAAGGTCAGACACGAATTCTTGTGATCATGACCAAATGTTCAAGCATCACGCTACCAGGGATTGATGCAAACGCCCCACCTTCGACATTGCAGATGATGAGATTGGCCGCGAACTCGGAGTTTAGGGAAGCAGCACAGAAAGTTGTCACTGAGTTGCAAAATGCGGGTGTGGATCTAACTTCGCAGGTGAGGAAACTTTTCTCAGAGGTTTGCGCTTTCGCCAATTTCTTTCTTTCAGGATACTATACAGGAGCTTATGGGCCTGTCTAAGAAGGTTGGAGGTAATTGAAATGGGTTACTGTAGTGTAAAATAGGTACCTAGTAGTACCTCCTAGTCTCTGATATAAGCGAACTCGCCGGTTGTCCTGTGTTGTGAGCTCCTTTCAATCTTTTGCAGTCATGTCAGACGAGGCAGGACCCTCCGCGGTACGTTCTGAAGCCCCAGAGAGACCCTTGCCATCTACACCGTTCTACTCTATCGAATACCCGGGTTATGTCAAACCCGAATCTGTTCCGTTGGCCGTGAGCAACCTCGGAGGGCCTTCACGCCTTGAAACCGCGTTCAAACGCACCGCGGCCAAGAATGAGGCTCTTCTTGAGCTCAATCTACGACCAGGGAATCCATTTGCTCACCCAATACCGGGCGATATAGTCAGCACCAGCAATATTCTATTGAAAGTCGTGAAACGGACACGAAGGCGCCCGGACGGAGAATATGTCGGGGAGTTCACCGCAGAGGCGGTGGGCATAATCCCGAAGACAGCACGGTTTCGCAGTGAGTCTAATCCATGCTTGCAAGTGTCCCAATAACTCGTTCGTAATTATAAGGTATGGCGGATTACCAGTTTCAACCTGACATGAATGATCCTTTGGCCCAGCTGCGTCTTGCAATGGACCGGATGGATGGTAAGCACAGTGTATTGGTTCGTTGACCCGCATATCTCAACTTCCGAAGTCGATGCAATCCGAAAATACTCGATTCCGGAGGAGAAAGAGGACTATGTGGTTCCAGCTTCCATTCACCCACCCGAGCTAGACCCAGCATTAGCAGAGCAAACCGAGCAATCTTCTGGAACGTGCAGCAACCTGCGGTTATTTCCCCCTCCGCTGTTCAGCCGCCAGAACGTACCGCAAAACTACAAGCGCGTGCTTCTGCTGCGTTCTCCTCTAAATAGCTGACCAGCCCGTAGCTTCAAGGCCAACCCTGCTTCGATAGTGACATCCCTCATCAATGAAGAAACCGGTGAAGAACGCAAGAGGCTCATCAATAAGGGTCGATGGAAAGGCCATGGGCCAGTGACGATCGCTTTCAGTGATCCCAACGTTTGACTCATCCTCTCGTACCTCTGTAACATTTCTGATTCTCTGCAATAGGTTCCTGAGGGCCCTCCTCCAACAGTCGAAATTGCACGCACTCAAGCTAATAGCGAACTTTTGAATCGAATATTGGAAGTGAGCTGATCTTTACCCTTCATTTTTGACTACCCGTTCATTTGAGCAGTTCATGAATGCACGTCCTGTGTGGACTCGCGCTGCTCTTTATAACCAGTTTTCGCCAGCAGAATCAAGAGAAATACACAAGTACGCGCTACATTACGCAAACCACAGAAATCTAACCAGCGGTTACAGCTCGAAAGTTATCATGCCTTTGGCTGGATACATGTTTTCAGATGGACCATGGCGAGATGCAATGATTCGCTTTAAATACGACCCTCGGAAAGAATTGGATGCTCGAATGTGAGTTTTGTGCATATTGCTGCTGGCAAACACTTACTGTCAAGGTCTGAAGATATCAACGGATATATTTCCGGAATGCCAACCACCCCGTGGCACGGCCTTCCGTCGTAGCGCGCCGGCAAGAGGGCAGATCGGCTGCCACATACATCAACAGGTCCATCGAGCAAGAGGAGTCGTTCGAGGCTGATCGACGGTAAGCTTTAAATAGATGTCACTGTGTCCGGCCCAATATAAACAATCACTAGCAAATCACACATATTTGACGGGACCACTCTCACTAAAGAGACAGCCGCGTTCCAATTATGCGACATTCACGATCCCATGTTGAAGGAGATGATTGAAGATGATGAAAACCTTCGGGAAGTCTGTGACGTGAGTCGCTAATGACGTGAAAATGGACTCTCACTGACCATATGTATCGATAGGAACGAGATGGGTGGTACAGTGCACAGGCATTGGAGAGAATCAAGACTGTCCTCCGACACAAGTTTTTCTCACTACTACAAGGATACGTGGCAACACAGGAGGAATGTGAAGCCCTCCTGGAACAGGATGCTGTCGGCAAGTCACAAACCACACGTATCAAGCGCCTTAAATTCGGCAAACACAACATGGCGAAAGGGGCTTTGCGGCCCGAAGATGCAGCTGTGCGTATTTGCAAGTCCTATTTCACGATCCTGTCTTATACCTTCCTCTCTCACAGGCTGCAAGACTGCAAGCAACTCTTGATCGGAATGCCAAAAACCTCCTAGCGAGTCGACGAGAAATGTATGGTGGTCGAAGTTCGCAGACAGCAGACAATTTGCGATAATGTGATAAACGTAAACGATTCCCATTGGCTGACTACGCTACTACTAATGACCGTGTATGGTATTTCGATAACATGAGCTATATGCAGCATTCGTGGACGATGCATTGTCCTACTTACAAGTGGTTGACGTGGCTTGTAGACAAGGTGCTGGAAAATCCCACAGGCGAGTGAAGCCTAGTGAAGCCCATCTGATTATTTCTGTCCTTGAAGAAATTCTTTATCGTGCAACCTGATACCCCTGTTCCATAGACGCCCACCAGTCTGATTTGAACGTTGTTAAACTAGGGTTATCCGAAGGTACTCGGTCGAACTGCGGATCTGCCTCGGGTGTATTACTGCTATGGCGCATGCCGTTCATGCCAAGTTCATGCAAAAGAATAGTGGAGTAGATGATTTCGTCTCATTGCAATCTCTGCAACCCAAATGGCGATAAAGGATCGCGAGCGCTGCGGACAAAAGGCACGGACCCAAGTAGACACCTAAGCAACAACCATTGATTCCCTGCTCTGGGTCTCATGACTTGCTCAGTGACAGTTTGAGTCAATCCCAAATTGGGCACCGGCCGAATTGAAATTGATCGGCCGAGAAACATTGTTTTAACAAAAGGTGCTTTAAAGGACAACAGTGACAGTCAATCTACAATATCATTTATCCTCCCCACCATCGTTTAATCTCCTCCTCCTTATCATTATGCCTGGAACAGTCACTGGTCCTCGAACTCTCCATGATAAAATCTGGGACGATCATGTCGTGTGAGCTCCCCCTGTCCTTGTATCGGTCATGTGCTGATTGACAAGCAGAGATGTGAACGAAGACGGCCTTGCCCTCATTTACATCGACCGGTACGCAAACCAGTTTCTGCGCTATTGACGTAAACTCACTATGTCGCAGGCATCTCGTCCATGAGGTCACGAGCCCTCAGGCGTTTGAAGGCCTGTGAGCATAATTATCAAGCTGACCTTCGTTACAATTTCCTGACAGGCACTTAGGAAGAATGCTGGTAGGCCCGTTCGTCGCCCGGACTGCACCCTTGCCACTGTGGACCATAATATTCCGTATGTTGAAAGATACATTTTTGTTTCACATAGGCTAACATCGTGATAGCACCATATCCCGGAAAAGCTACAAGTCTGTGGATACCTTTGTCGCCGAGCCTGACTCGCGGGCGCAGGTCATGCAACTGGAAGAGAACGTCAAGGATTTTGGGTTGACTTATTTTGGGCTATCTGACAAGCGCCAAGGTTGGCATAAATCCAGTTTAGTGTGTGCGAACGCGAAATGACATCGGTTCCAGGTATCGTGCATATCATTGGTCCCGAGCAAGGCTTCACGGTGAGTTCTATCAGATGTTGACGGCATGGGGTTGATTGCATCTTATCAGTTGCCTGGCATCACTTGCGTGTGCGGTGACTCACATACCTCAAGTATGTTCAATATGCTGCTCGTCGATGCGAGTTGACGTTGATTTGATTATAATAGCACATGGTGCTTTTGGTTCCCTGGCCTTCGGTATTGGAACCTCCGAGGTGGAACATGTCCTCGCTACCCAGACTCTCTTGCAGAGAAAAGGCAAAAACATGCGCATCACCGTCGATGGTGAGCTCGCCGAAGGCGTTAGCTCAAAAGATGTCATTTTACACATCATCGGTGTCATCGGAACTGCTGGTGGTACCGGAAGTGTCATCGAGTACGCCGGCTCGGTATTCCGCAGCATGAGCATGGAGGCTCGGATGAGTGTTTGCAATATGAGCATCGAAGCCGGTGCTCGTGCAGGCATGGTTGCACCTGATGAGATCACGTTTGCGTACCTACGGAACCGTCCTCTCGCTCCAAAGGGCGAGGAATGGGACCGTGCAGAGGCATACTGGAGTACTCTCAGGAGTGACGAGGGCGCTAAGTTTGACATTGAAGTCAACATTAACGCCGCAGATATCCCTCCTACCGTCACCTGGGGCAATTCCCCTCAGGATGTTGTCGCGATTACTGGCAAGGTCCCCGATCCATCTACCATGTCCGACCCTTCGAAACGTGCCTCGGCAGAGCGGGCCTTGGCTTATATGGGCCTGGAAGCAAACACGCCCATGGAGGACCTTACTCTCCAGAAAGTGTTCATTGGGTCCTGCACAAACAGTCGTATAGAAGATCTTCGATCCGCCGCCCGCATCGTCCTCGCTGCCGGTCCAGATGCTAAAGTCGCCCCAAATGTGCAGGCCATGGTCGTTCCCGGATCTGGTCTGATTAAACAGCACGCTGAGGCGGAAGGGTTGGACGCCATCTTCAAACGTGCGGGGTTCGACTGGCGTGAGGCTGGTTGCTCAATGTGCCTGGGCATGAATCCAGATCAGTTGGCCCCTGGTGAACGCTGCGCTAGTACTAGCAATCGCAACTTCGAAGGCCGTCAGGGTGCCGGTGGTCGCACGCACCTCGTCAGCCCTGCTATGGCTGCTGCTGCAGCTATAACGGGCAAGCTGACAGACGTTCGCAAGTTTTTCGGCGCAGATGCAGAGGAAAAGGTTGCTGCTGGTCCTAAGTTGACTCTCGCGAGTGCCTTCGACTTCCTGACCGAGTTCACCGGACCTACGACTGAGCCAGAGCGCCCATCGCATGCCCAGACCACAACCCCTACCTCTTTGCCGCCTGCTTCTTCTCCCTCCGGAGTCTCGAAATTCGTCATTGTGAAAGGCATTGCCGCACCCTTGCATAATGACAATATTGACACCGACATGATCATCCCGAAGCAGTTCTTGAAAACTCTAAAGCGGACTGGTCTTGCCAACGCTTTGTTCTTCGCTCAGCGGTTCGACCCGAAAACTGGGGAAAAGACGGATTTCATTCTGAATAAATCTCCTTATGATCAAGCCAAGATCCTCATCTGCACCGGCAAAAACTTTGGTTGTGGTAGCTCTCGGGAGCACGCAGCTTGGGCTCTGTAAGCGTCCTTGAATTTTTTCATGTTGTGACCTGCTCACAAAGCCCTTTCAACAGGAATGACTTCGGAATCCGCTGCGTAATCGCGCCAAGCTTCGCGGACATCTTCCGCAACAACACGATGCAAAACGGCATGCTGCCATTGCCCCTGTCTGAGGAGTACTGCAAGGACCTCGCTGCGGATGCAGAAGCAGGCGTGGAGATTGAGGTGGATCTCGAGAAGCAGGAAGTTAGGCGTAGTGGAAAGCCGACCATCACTTTCAGCGTCGATCCGTTTAGGCGGCACTGCCTTGTCAACGGGTTAGACGACATCGGCCTGACTCTGCAGAGGGAGGAGGCAATTGCTTCATTTGAGGAGAAACGTAGTGCTCTCTGGTCGTGGTTAGATGGGTTCGGATACCAGGGTCAGAAGATTCCTGTTGCGGGCACGACGAAACCGGGCAAGAAGATGGAGTGGTAAAGTTGAACTTTGGCGAGAAACAAATGTACTAGTACTGGGATATACGATTATGTACTTGAATCAAATGAATTGGGTTCCGCGCGCGAAATAAAGGACTTTATTGGTGTCCGCATGTTCAGCCTAATAGTAAGACCACATACGGTGCTTCTTTTACATAAGTGAGCACTACTGCCAGTGCATTTTCGCCTATTTTCGCTCCCTAAAATATTGCTTGTAGCTACGGACGACGAGGATGGCCCCTACCAAGTCCCGAGATCCTCAGCCAGTCAAAGTCACATCCAAACCGACAACTACCAAGCCCGCTCACCGTGATCCGATCCAGTTGGGAGCTCAGCCTAAAGCTGAGCCCAAAGAGCCACCCAATGCCACTGGGCGGCATGCGACAAAGCAGACATCGTCTCAGCAAGTTTACACTAAGAAGATACCACATCGCTCTGGCAAGCCTATGATCATCAACTGGTTTCAGCGCAAGTTATCTGCTACTGTAAAGCCGAGCAGGATTGCAGATAACGTGTCTGCGCCGGGCACCTCACACAAGGCCCCCAATGGCAACAACGGTGCAAGCGCGTCTCCGTCTCATTCTAGGTCGAATAGTCGTTCGGTATCTTCTCCTTTGCCGCAAATCATGCCAAGTTCATCGCAAAGACAGGGAGCAATTGGTAATGGCAGTCGAAACGGTTATACCGCCTCTCAACGGAAAACTATCTCTCTAAATGGAGAGGGTGATTTGGATACTGGGTTCATATATTCAGACGACGAAGATCTCGACGCGTCGACTTATCGCTCGTCACTAGCTCGTGACTCCTTTTGGTCTCCTACAAGTGCGCTCGAAGCGGACGAAGATGCCTCTCTCAGACCTCTCCCCCCCAGCTCACCTCCCTCTCCCTCGCTATCCCACTCCTCCTCTTCCTATCTATCCAATTCTCGCACCTTCAGAAGCATCGCCGCAAGCACCAAACCAACTACTGTATTAAGCGTCGACCTTGGTCCTGCTGGAGTAGGACACATAGCACAAGTTCCTATCACACCGGTATCCCAAGCTAATCCTCGGTTTTCACCCCATGTACGAACATCATCCACTGGAACAAACAGTGGGTTGATAGGCAGTGGAGCATCCGTTACGTTCTCTGCACTCCCGCCCTCCCTTCAATCATCTTCTCGCCCACCTTCCTCCCTGAATTTTAGCTCATCTACGCCGGTATTGCTGGGTCCGTCACCTCACGTGCCTGGACTACAAGCCCCTCTGTATACCGCATATCATCCAAGAAACAATCCTCGGCCCTCTTCACCGCCCATGGATAATGCTTCTGTTTTGACCCTCGCTTCTTCAGCTTATGCTATTTCTGGGGCACGTTTGACAATGGGATCTATGGGCTCAACTGCATTGTCGGGACTGATTGGAGGCGGAGACTCGATTTCTCACTTAGAGGACAGCTTTACCGGAGATGCAGAAGGCGACGTCATGAGCCAGTTTGTTCTTGGAGATGATGATCGCCAAGATGTTGATGTGGAACGCGACGTAGATGCCAGTGTACGTGCTCTTCGTCCACGGAGCTCCCGGAGAGGAAGTTGGGAGAGTGAGGTTAGTGGATGGAGTGCTAGGATTCTGGGAGCGGGCGGCGCCATAAGCATGGGCAGCAAGAGCCTGTGGACAAGCAATATTAGCACCAAGACTGGCGGTCCTCTGAGCATGGAAGATGATGAAGCCACCGGCGATTTGGGGACTTCACTTGAAGAAAAGACACCATCGGACGGACCAGATCAAGCTGACGTGCTCGCACCTGACGTGCTCGCGCCCGAGGCGCCTGCCGCACGCGACGGACAGCACTCGACCAAGGAGGCGGTGGTTGAAGAATCCTCCGAATCTGTTGATGATGTTCCTGCTACCCTCGGCCGGGCTTCAGGATCCACAACAATTCATAAGCTCCCCCTAGCGGAGACCTAAGGCATGTGCATGAGCGTGTCGGTGGCCTCACAGCTGAATGTTTCCCTCTACTACTAGAATACTGGGAGGCGATGTCGATTTTACTCTGGATCACTGGGGTCAGGCACAACCAGATGTCACAGCGGCTTTCTTTCTTGCTACTTTATGTATGTTCTTCGTTCATGTTATACACTGCAGTTACCATCACTCTCCTTGACGTTGTTCTGATCATTGACGCGCATATCACTCTCATTTACATAGCTCTGCATCTCATTCTCTACCATCTTGTACACCAAATTTTATTGTTACGCATCTGCTCGCCCCATGCAGTCTTATAGGACACTTCCGAGTCCTCCGCCGCTATACACAGCAGCACAGTGCACATGGGACACCCTGCTGACCTCCATGAAGTACTAGTACTATTGTGACACGTTAGTCATGTGCGAAAACCCGACTTACTCGTTTTAAGCTTAGCAATGCGCGTGATGGGCCATGCTGATTCAGAGGTACTTCTCCAAGCGCGTGTCCTTACTTAATCTATGCTATTCGGCAGTTTCTTGATACGTCTTAACGACAGCTGGGATGTCGGTTCTCGATCGCTTCCCTGCGGTCTTGGTTATCTGTGGGGCGTAGCCAAAATGAAGTTAGGACTTGGAGTTGCTGGTATTGCTATCTCCCTTGCTGCTACCGCCCGGGCGGACTGCCCAGACTACACCACTTATGCACAGGTGAATGATTCCCAGATGGTTAAATATCTTGCTCAATGGCGCAGAGTCCTCAAGGGAATCCCTCCTCTGGCCCTCTGCGATTGCCTTACATGCGGCCCGACCCCGCTTGCAGGACTTTCAACAGCACTTCAGTGGAGGTATGACGCGTCTAATGTTAGAAGGACAATGTGGAACTAAGGTGTCTGCAGAAAGTTATTCTGGACATGAAGTCACGTCTGAAAGACCCTGACGTTGCGCGTCTCTTTGAGAATACTTTCCCAAATACCCTCGGTACGTAACCTAATTGTTGCGGCAATGGTCACCCATGAAACCCTAACAGATACTACGGTGAAATACTACGATGAGGTATGAGTGATAGTCCCTGTTTTCTACGCGTTCTAACTGCCGCAGGAGGAGAACTTGGCATTCATCATTACCGGGGTGAGCCACTTTCCTCCGATATGAATAACATATTGATGGTTGCGTCTTCCAGGATATCACGTCCGTTGCTCCCTTTATTGGACTCCATATTTCATATTGATTTCCATTGCCGCTTGAAGTGCGCAGTGGTTGCGTGATACTGGCAATCAGGTACCTCAGTCTCTAAAACTTGCATTTACATTGTATTCAGCTTTTTCTTCTTTCAGTTTGCTCATTACCACGCCCTTCTCTCTGTTGATGCCGAACTCGCCAACCTGGTTAAGGCTGTGATTAATAACGAAGCCCGCTATATTTCACAGTATCCTTATTGTGGTGCCTTCCAACCTCCCCCTGAAAGCGGTTTGGCACCCTCCATCAATGATTGGGCTCTTGGTGTCGTCGTTAATCCGTCAGTTTTTCGCTCATCTTGGTGATGCGCGTCCTGTGATGCTCTTTGCACAGCCCTGTGAATAACCAAACAGTGTTTGAGTGCAAGGTTTGCATCTTGAAAATCACTTGAACACTCAGGCTGACATACACCTCATCTTCAGTATGAAATCGACTCGCTGTGTGGCTTCATCAAGCTTTCCTACTCTTACTATGAAGCAACTAAAGACACATCCATGATGAATGCCGAATGTTTGTCTTTCGTTCAGTTTAGTTGCACGAGGTTTTCATTCTTGGTGCAGGGCTCGCCGCTATTGACCAGATCTTTCGTGTCATCGACGAGCAGTCCCAAGCCTCCTTTGATGCTGGTTGGAACTTCGTCTCTTACTACAACTGGACAGGTCTTCCAGGCTCCCTTCCTGGTGCAGTAAATAATGGTGGAAATGGTGAACCTAAGGGGTATACGGGTATGGTTGGGACGCACCACAGACCTTCCGATGACTTGAGCACATTCGGTGAGCTTCTTTGGAGGCCACTTGGTTCCTCTGATGATGTTCGTCGCTTTCAGCCTTCCTCACGCCGGCTAATGCCATGTTGAGCGTTCAGCTAACCAATCTGGCTACTATTTTGGACCACGCTGGTGTAGCCCCTGATATTAGCGCTCGGGCGAAGCACTGGAGCAAAACGATAGAACAGGCCATCTGGGAACACACAGTACGTCGAGTGTGACAGAATTTCTGCATTTCGCCGATACCTTTGTCGTAGGTTGTTGATGGTATCTTTGCATACGAGACTAATGGTATGTCATCGAGAGCTGTTTTTGCACCAGTTACGAAGGACTCTACTAGGATTGGGTTCACGTTATGTGATGGACGATGCAAACGTTCCAGTAGGTGTCCAAGGTCATGATGTCGAAGCAAGCTATTAACCTGAATAGTCTCTCCTGTCGCTTCCCTACCTTGGTTTCCTGGACATGAACCACCCTGATTACGTGAAGACCAAGAATATGCTCATGTCCCGCGGAAACCCTTACTACGCCAAGGGTCAAAGTTTCAATGGCATTGGGTAAGCGTGATCGAGAAAGAATGAGTGCCTATTTCTGACACAAGGCAGTGGACCTCACATAGATGTCTGGAACCCTTGGTAATGATTGGCAGATTGGAGCTCGAGATTTAGTGGTCTGATCGTTCTATATAGGCCCATGTCTCAGGTCACCAACATCTTCGGAACCAATGATGATGAGGAAATCTTGACCTCGTTGTACACTATTGTTAATGTGGGTGTCACAAGATGTTATTAATTGATTCTCCCCTGACTGCGCACGCACGCAGAACACTGGCGGCCTGGGTTTGATCCACGAGTCGATCAACATCTACAATGTATCAGACTATACTCGCCCTTGGTTCGCGTGGGCTAATAGTTATTTCGCTGAGATGCTTCTGGACCTCGCGCAGAGAAAGCCTCACCTGATATTTACGGATAATGACCCTTACACACCTGGAGAGTAATTCTAGATTGTGTCAAGTCACCTAGATATTGATAGGCTTGTCTACTATGATGCAATACCGTCCACTAGCACTGTCTGTCAATGATCCACTCACACACTTTGTGCTGCCGCCTGCTGCGGCAAAGTCAACTAGCCTGAGTGTGGGTGATGGTAGCGCTAATTGTGATGCTGAGCCACAGCCACCACTGTCAGCTGTGAATCACTGCTGTCAACTAATACGCTTTATGTTGAACTGGCAAACATTTCTAAGATTTATCCTTCCTTCAACTTCAACCATTTCCCTTCTCCTTCTCCTTCCTTCATATTGATTAAATGGCGCTGGCTCCGCGCGAGATCGGAACACTAATTGTTGTTGTCTTGAAAGCGGTGTGTATTGAGTTCAACATTCTATTAACCTTTACATGTATCTGACATGGCGAGCAGAAAAATCTGCCCAATAAGAGGCATATAGGAAAGCAAGCACCATACTGTTGTGCGTTCTTGAACGAAGAGAAACGTCGTACAAAGGCGATCAAGCGGGGCGGTCAACACCCAGAGTGGGACGAAGAATTCCGCTTTACTGTATACGAGGCCACGGACGATGAACTAAACTCGCAATCGTCGGACACTCCCCCACCCCCTCCACCGAAGAAGGGTCGACCGAAGAAAATAAAGGGCGGGAATTCGATGAGACTTCAGTGCTATGCGGATGATCCTCGTGAACCAGACTTGATCGGAGAGGCAGTGGTCGACTTGACAGAGGTTCTCACAAAGGGAGAGACGGACGGTATGTGATATGCTAGGATTTGCATTGGTCTTCAATCTGATTTGTTCAATCTTTTGGCAGAGTGGTTCACACTCATGTACAAGGACAAATATGCAGGGGAGGTGTACATTGAACTAACTTTCTGGTCAAACGTATGTGTCGATTGGGCTACTTGTCTCGGATCATCTCATAAGGTTGTGTGTAGGAACCTCCTCCAGGTAAAAGAAATGCGCCGAAAGCAGCTGCTGGGAATATCAATTACGGTGGTCCAGGAAATTTCGTGCCAGCTAATGGCAGTACCCCTTCTTTGAACGGATCCAGCGCACATTCGACTCCTTCCCGACTTTCTGTCTCTAGTAGCACCCTCGACAGCCATCTGCCATCTACTATTCGTTCATCACACTCGAGAGCAGAGCTCTATGCGCCCGCATATGAGCAATGGAGCCGCGTATCGCCATCGCCTGCTGATCAACTTGCCAATGACTTTGGTGAATTAGGTGTCATGGATCCTAGAAGACGGGAGAGCTTTCCGGTATGTTTTCCTTCTATGTGGCGTAGATGTTGTCATGACCAGTGACTTAGCCCGCGCAAACGATACGTCCCTCAACGTCTGCGGGCTTTAGTTCCTTGCCTTTGCAACCGCACGCACATGATCAGCATACACTTGATAACGGAACGTTGGCGACCTCACACGATGGGGTGCGAGCTGCCACTACCTTACCATCCAGGATACCTTCGGGTCCTGTTCCATACTATCCTCCTTATGAAAATGGTTCGACTACCAATCATCCACCCCCTCCCCCATCCCGACAAGGACACGCTGGGCCGCGATATAGTTTGCCGGCTTCCTCCTCGGGATTCAAGCCGATACCATCACCATCCACGTCTTCTTTTGGAACGATGACAACGTACCCATCAGAGCAATCCGGTTTCTTAGCGCAGGAAAGACCTCCATTACCGATCCCTCCATCTTACCCTCCAGCTCCCGTCAACTACTCGCCTCCTCACCAGATCGGCCATCCTTCCCTTCCCCCTCTTCCACCCCCTCATGTCACAACGGTACCTCCCCCCAATGCGTCTCATCAAATTTCACACTCATATAGCACGCCGCAGCTACACAGTCATGACAAATACCAATATTCAGATCCCCATGGACCAACTGTTGCATTCCCATCACAAGAGTATATACCATCAACATCAGGCCCTCAGACATACCACACATACGCTCCCACAACGCCATCACCACCTCACGATTATGCTTCTACTTCCCAGCATATCCCAGTATCACGAGGTTCAAGACCACTGCCTCAACCTCAGATGGCTAACAATGCACCACGAACTCGCCATCTTTCCGTAGCTGTACCTCCGTCATCAAGCTTCCCTCAATCACTGAATGCGCGTAGTCCAATCCCCTCTAATTTTCCCAACGGTTCAGCCTACCAAAACACCCCTCCACCCCCACCCCTTCCAACGCAGTATCATTCCACCGCCCAGCCCCATTCTGGGCATCCATCGCCTCAAGGGGATCCGCAGAATCCAGGCGCAGCATCCTATGCTCTTTTTCCGACTTCGCCGGCTCAGCCGCACTCAAATGTGTCCCCAGTACGACCTAGCCTGCCGCAGCCTCCCATGGGATATCATCCTGTGCAGCCTGCATATCAGCCCCTCCCTCAGCCGCCCCCGCCCCAACCCGATCTGTCACGTCACGGACAGCTTCATCCCCCCCCTTCATTACTGGTAAATGCCCCACCCGCCAATCATTCTTATTTCCCTGGCCCGCCCCCTCGGCCTCCGCAGATGATTGATCATTCTCATTGGGGTCAGCAAGGAAACTATGGACAGCCAGCGCCCACACAAGGAGACTGGCAATAAGTCGAATGTGCGTAGTAATAATGCTCCATCGCAGTAGCAATGTAGACATATTTCGGACTGTTCATCCTTCCGTTTTCTGTTCAACCATGGTTGATCCACGGTTGACCCACGGCACTGTCGCTCCTTAGCACACAATACCTGTAAAGAACTGCTGTATCTGAAGATCATCTATTAACGATATTTGACGCGAAGTCTGGAGGTATTTTGGACAGAGGTGTCACGAAGGATCTTCGTTGGACCGTTCTTCCAGTCGTCGAGTCCTTTCTGCTCGCCATTTTGCAATTTCGGTTTCTGTTGCGACGAGCCCTCGACGAGCAAGGTCTATCCTGGCCTCACGACGAATAGCATGCTCAGACTGCCGCCTTTCTGCCTCGTGAGTCAAAAGGGCATTATCTGCCCCGATCACTAGACCACCCAAGGTGACTGCAAGGAATGGGCCAGTTGTTACACAGTTGCCTGAGACGGGGATTCTCGGCACACTCACATACGGAGACCAGGAATGCTTTGAATGGCAGTGTCTGTCGTCTTTCATATAAGGTGTTAATTACTGTACATGAAGCCATCCGTTGTCACCGCACCGGAAGAGTGGCCATGCATAATGGGCAAACGTGACGACCCCAACGCCGAAAGCTCCTGCTCGGGCTGCTCCCTGCAAGTTCGATGTTTTTGCTTCAGCCCATGTTCGAATAGCACAAGAAATATTGCTATTCGCACCTTCGTCGCGGCCCTCACTTGTACAGTATATGCTGCATCGACTTCCCGCTGTAACTGGGAACGATCTGACATTATTTGGAGTACTTCGGAGCGGATTCCGGAACGATGGGTTTGCCATAACAATTCTATCTGGTAAACCTATCATTCCAATACCCGTGTTCTGTACAATATAACGATAGACTAAAACTAAACAGTAAAATAATGCACATCGGCGAAGGTTATAGTGTACCACATTTCATGTATTCAGGTGTGATTCAATCTCATCACATCACCGCGCTTTGAAAAAGCCAATAGGTCGGACTCCGTCTTCAACACCTGCACCACCTGGTCATTGCTGAAACAAGAAACCTTCGATGAATTCAAGATGAATGAACGAAACCTGCACGATAGGGTGAAACCAACATACAAATGCAAGCTGTTCCCGAACATTGCGCAAGTCCCAGAGACGCACGCCACCATTGCGACTTCCCGAGGCGAAAAGATGAGACCAGGTATCTCCTTTAATGAAACGACCATGCAACTCGGTCGTGTAAAAGCCAAAGCGTTCAGCCGGGTGCTCCGGAACCATACGATGGTCACGAAGCTCGAACTGCAGATCTCGATGGCCAACCTGTGGTCATGTTAGAAAAGGGGTCATATTAGACAATGAGTTGCCATGTCCACCTCAAGCAAAGTGCAGAAAGGTGATTCCGTCTTATGTGCGTGATACGGAGAATTGGATGTCTTGAATGTATGCACAACACGTTCCGAAGACAGGTCCCATAAATGGACATTGCAATCCGCCCCAGCGGATATGAGTTTGTGACTAGTATCACGAATGGGAAGCAGGGACTGGATCACAGATGTGTGCTTGATTGCCAAAAGTGTCGAGGAGACGCCCATTAAATCTTGAGAGAAATTCCAAATATGAACGGTATGGTCATGACCTCCACTGGCAAACATAAGTGGTTGCATCATTGTCGACACAGCACTCGTCCCCCCCTTTTTGGTCTTATTCCAAGGACGATCGACAGCGCGAAGACTGGTCCCCTTGTGAATTCAGATACATTAAAAGAATGGGATTGAACACTCGCGAATGCTCACCCTGGAGGTTTGGAATGTCAAGTATGAGATTTGTTTCTCTTCGCGTGCATGAGCCAGGACGACGACCGACGTATCACCCGCGTGAAGTACACATGCATCATCAACGGACTCTTGAGCTGGGGCAGTCGGCCTACGAAGGTTATGCTGGAATACCAGGCTAGGCATATCCAGGCTCTCAACGAAGCCGCGCATAGACACGGTTATAAGAGACGAATTCCAGTGTGCACTAAGTACGCGGCGAGGCTTATCGTGGGTGTCGAGAGGAACGCGAGAAGGACCAGGACCAGTGCTGAACATCAAACTGGTATTTTTTGGGGAAATCTTGTTCGGGCCGTTGGCTAGCGTCTCGGAGGATGCTTGAGCTGGTTCTTCCATGCTGCCGTCTCTGCTGATAAGATCACATAGTAGGACATGATCATCAGAATCGCTATCGGGTATGACAATCGGTTCCGCGGCAGAAGTTACATCCAAAGCGGATAGTGTCTTAGATACCGACTTTATCTTTAAGACTCCAGAGCGGAAGAAGCGTGTCTGCATTGTAGGAGGAATATTTATATGTGTGTCCGGAGGATCAACAGTAAGGTCGATGATCTCTTCTGGGGGAGGTACAACTCGAGATGGGAAAGCTTTCTGCTTGCCTGGAGCGAAGCTCTTTCTTTGAGACATCGCTGCATTTGTTGAGTAGGAGCCTGGAACCAGCCCCAATGAAGAGTGCATGAAAGATTTCGCCAGCTGTGGCAGTCTTGGAGCTGAGCTGCCTGTATCCTCGATGGGGCGGACCTTGGGAGTCTCCTCGTCATATCCAGAAGCGCAGCCCTTTCCTGCAATTCAGCAAGGGTGTTATTCACGAATGAGTACAGCGAAGTCACCATTGAAACCTCCAGAGTGTTATTCGCCCTCTTATCATGCTGTAACTTCTTTCGAACAGCGTGCGCCCTACCACTAGGCAATTCACGTTGCACGGCTGTTTCACGAAGAGACCGAAAGTACGTGTATTAATGACTGTCATCCAGAATATTTCGAAATTCACCTCCACTCATCTTTCTAGGAACAATACGATTGTCGTGAATTGCTTTGTAAGGGGACAAAACAGCCTGTGCTTCGTGATCGCCAGGGATGACTTTCGAGCATTGTGAAGGTGGAGGAATGTTAATATGGGGTAATCCTCGGCTCTGGAAGTGCCTTTCTGAGCCTTGAGACTCCCCTGAAGAAAACTGCTGAGAATTGAACTTCGTTCGCTTGGGCGAGCGTTGGTTCGATTGTTCTAGACTACCCGAAGGCTCGAGTTTGATATGATCGATCGAACGACCCGATACATTCGATGAAGAGGCCGAGAAATTTGTGTTCGAATTATTCCACAAGGGAGACGTGGTAGAGTGGGGGGCAAAGTTCCTTTGATTAAATGGGCGATTCGGCGGACGACCTCGACTAGCATCAAAGCCTCTGAATAATCCACGGTGTCCTCCACGACGAGCAACTTGGATAGCGGGTACGAAAGACTTCCCCTTGCGATCTAGGCGGACTTCATTTGGTTGTCGATCTTCCATGCAGAGTGACCTGGTTCAGGAGCCGGGAGTATTTTAAGCTAGGATGAGTAGATAGTGAAACATATTAGTGTACATTTGTTTGGCTTCGTCTTAATTTGGTCGAGTACTATTGAACTTGAGCGGAAATTCGGAATCAATTAAGCTTAAGAGTCAACAATATTCCAGTTTTCTCCAGCATTGCTGCATGGCCCTACAAGCTTCAAGTTCCAAGAGATCAAGTTCTCCAATCTCAGGACCTGTGAAACGCCTCAAATATGAAAGAACTAATTCAGAGGGTTGTGTGCCCTACGCTCGCCCCCTCCCACTTACAGCGGCCTACGGAGTGGAGGCAATAAATTTTGCTCCAGGCACTAGAGTCTCCGCTTTCACTCACGCAGATTTTGAAACAATGCTCCGCGAGAGGCAGCATCTCCTATTCACCCAAGGTCGAAGGGTTGTCGGCTTGCCGCTCGTCTTGTGAGTCTGCGGTGATTAGACTCGCACATGGGAGTCGCTGATCTTGGGTTGGTGTGAAGCGATGATGGCGTGATCCTGCACTGGTATTTATTCTTCAGACACAAGTAACTCCTTAGTGACAAAGTTCTGCCAGGGTCTCTGATTCTGGTATCGAGGACAGCAACAGTGAAGCAGGGCCGAGTCTGAGTTCGGAGTCGTCTGCTTTTTCACCCGACGGCAGTATTCCACCCTTGCCTGAAGTGAAAACTTCAATATCCGGTCCTGTAGCGGCTGGAAATAAGGGCCGACGTGACGCAAACCTGAGGTACGATGCTCTTGCGCCACAACTCGATGAGTTGCGCTGTGGCTTACCTATAGTAGCCGAACTGCAAGTCCTTCCGACTCCGATTCCGAAATTCAAATTATTTCGTTCAGAGTAGGAGGCAACGAGGTGAAGAAAAACGAACGCCTGGAAGAAAGTTCACATAAGCTTGCTCAGGTCAAGAGCGAAGTACCTGCACACGGCAGCACTTCTGGACAAGATGGCGATGAGCGAATCTCCTTGTCCGAGAATATACCTAGCTTCTCGAAACCAAGAACGGTTTCTTCGATGCGCCGAGACCAAGCCATGGCCGAATTGTGTGGAGACTGGTCGTCTAGCATGCGAAGTTCCTCTATGGCTCCCAGCTCTGACGATGACAGACCCAATGAGCCTACGGACGTTAAGGAGGTTGTAAAGGCCTCGTCATCAAGGACTGAAGTCAGACCCCCTCGTACGCGAACGGTCGGTGCATTGCGAGGACAGAGACCCACCAGTCAACGACCATCCATGTCAACTTCCCTCAAAAGAAGCACTGCAGCCGCACCCAGTGGTGTACCATCCCAACCTGGTAAACGGAACAACTGTCACACTTCTGACCACACGTCATCGACGGAGGACGGAAGTGAAAGCGATGTTTCACTGCGATCGCGACGGGCGATTTCACTATTCTCGGAATCGAGCTCAGACCAGGAAGTCGTTAGACTGCCCTTGCTCAAACGAGTGCCACTGCCAAAGACTCCTCACGGCCGCTCCAGGAGGTTGTTGATCCCGGCTTCTGACAGTCTACCATTGGCTGCGATAAGTATGCGGGCAGATGCCCAGTTTATACACCGCCAAGACCAGTGAGTTCCGATGTCATTACCTCCTGTCCACATATTTTCACTTCGAGCAATTGGTCAGATTTCGTCTCACGTTGAACTCTCTCCCTAACCCGGGAGTCCAACAACATGTGGAAGATGCGTGTGTCGTGGGTGACACTGTTGTCATTGGCTACAATAGCGGGCCAACTCAGGTTACATTCATCCCTATTACTGTGCGTGTATTGCATTTGGGTATTACGAGACATTCACCTTCCATTAGACAGAAGCTCCTTGCAGAGTCGATGCGCGGGCTTTGCCACATGTCAGCTCTCCTCAGATGTCAAGATCTTCTGGGGTGGGTATAAGGTGCCTCGCCGCGATGCATGCGGCGGCCGGCTCTGTTGAATTTTTTACAGGAGGTCACGACCGACGCATTTTTAAGTGGAGCGCCGATGCGCAATCTCTAGAAGAGCCGACCGTCACCAACATTAATGCCTTCCTGGATTCTGGTGTCTCCGCGATGGCTTATCGCCATCACGACAACTCCCTCGTGTCCTCTGATACTAAGAAACTATATGTTACGGACCTTACCCGATTGCACACGCCTAGCCCAGCCCAGGTCTCCAACGATGTCAATCAGATACATGTCCACCCCCAAATGCCAAACTTGACGCTGCTGGAGGTGAGATGCTCCGTTAATTTGCAAAGTTGGACTTTGATAGGCTTCGCAGGTCCGACATCTCGATCATCAAATATTGATTTTTGACCGCAGGAGGGGTGGCTTCGACAAAGCTCCATGTTGCACATTTGGATATCGCGATGCTAAAGCAAGATTTCAGTCATCGTACACTAAGGGCAGCATCCACCATACTTTTTTTGCACGTGGTCATCAAGATGGAACTGTTGTCCTCTGGGACTTCCGTAACGTTAAGGTACACTCATTTTTGCTATCCAATGGCGAATTTTTCTTACTCTGACACACGAAGAACATTGTGACGAAGAGACAAAGCCAGCTCACTGAGTCGGTGGTGCATACAGTGATTTCGGACAGCCACGTTGTGACTTTCGGCGATGGTGTGGCAAGTGGTGTGGTGACGTTTTTGAACGATTTTTTGCATAGTTGACAACTGTCCCTTGGTCCTCTTCATCACCCTGAGTTGCGATCCTGGCGGATACCTTCCAGCCTGGCAAACCACGCATGTTTATTCCATTACCAATATTTCTGCCGACTGTTTACAGTATAGATCTTGAATCTGCGAATAGGACGGATGTGATCAACACTTTGCGTGTGTGATGGCTCGAGAAACGATACGTCAAATGGACCAAACCTAACTTGAAAAGTAGGTAATGGAAGGTTCTGTTGCATATGATCGTTCAGCGCTAACTTCAAAGACACACTACCGCCGTCAGAGCAAGGATATGGGAATGTAGCCGTGCTTAGGCCCACATTGCCAATGGTCATGCGTTCAACTTCTGACCCAGAACATATACGGGGTTAGTGACACATCGTTCCGCCTGATCCGAGCAATAATTGTTGAAGGAGATGGTGCCAACAATCTTTGACATCAAAGCAGCGGGACGGACCCCGCATGTGGACAACCGATGATCCAGCAGTATGTTGCGAGCTCAAAAAAAGGATTGATCGACTCGAGAATGAGGGAACCTGGTGCATCTGGTATAAAATAATTAAGTCATAGAAGGACAGCAACCTCACCATTGCCTGCAAGGAGGCTGTAGCGGCAGCTGGAGAGTAGATTCATTTCCCGAGGGTTGAGTACGAAACTGATGTGATAATGCCAACATTAGTCTCCAAAATGGTGGTAGATTGCCCCCTTGGCCAGGTATTAATCTTAGATGCACTGGAAGTTGGCAGACACACATGACGGGTTCTCCAAGGTCAGGAGACCATGTAGTACGCGTAAGAAGGACACTGCCAATTCTAAAATCGTCAGATATTCTTTGAGCTTCCAGAAGACTTAGGGTCATGGGGACCCATGGGTAGATTACCGAATGACCGTGTGTTGACTTGTGGGTCAAGAAAACGATGACCTCAGTTGATAACGCGTGACAACGTGTTTTCGATTGTTTGAGCAACACGACCAAATTGGGAAAATATCTATTCTTCTCTTTACTTCCAACCGCGCGGTCAATGTCCAAGGCTCTGAAGGCGAAAAGTCAGCTGGTGGCAAGTACTTCCCTGCAACGTTTTCTCGCTTGAGTAATAAAACTATTCTAGCGCATTCTGGTGGCTGCGGGAAAGGCTGCACCCACACCACCCGTCGGTCCAGCGCTTGGTGCGCGTGGTGTAAAATCTATGGATTTCTGCAAGGAGTTCAATGCGCGAACTGCGCACATTGAACCTGGGGTTCCAACTCCTACTTTAATCACCGTTGAGCCTGACCGCACTTTCTCGTTTATCACCAAGACACCACCAACGACCTACCTCTTGAAAAAAACTGCGGGTATAGAAAAGGGAACAGGTCGCCCTGGTCATGAAGTCACCGGAACAATTAGTCTCAAACACGTGTATGAAGTCGCAAAAATTAAAGCCAAGGATGCGCATCTCAAGCATTTGAAGCTCGAATCGATCGCTAGTACTGTTATTGGCACAGCGAAAAGTTTGGGTTTACAAGTTGTGCCGTGACCTCCTGTCACAGGTATTCGCAGGAAAGGTACGCAAATGTGGTGTTGCATTGTTCTCCTGATGGGCTTACGATCGAGATTCGACTCGTGCGTGCCGCACCTTATCAATCTGAATCAAGACATGCGATCTCTCATCGAGTCCTTAGAACACGGGGTCGCCACCGCATCCCCCAGTCGATATTTGTATGATAGGCCTTGATCGGACGTACTCCAAAGTCAAAGGACTGGTTGCGCACTAATCTACATCGTGTAATGAAGAGATGGAATGGGAAGCGCCTGATGCAACGAGGAGCAAGTGGGCAAGGTTGAGTTCATTCACCTTAAATTACGCTTCTCTCTCTTCATTTGAACAAGCACTCTCCGGTCTTCGTAAACCGAGGTTGCCTTCTAGCGAGCGCTCCATTAACTCCAGGCCAGGTTGCCTAATTCAGAATTCATGAAACTTTATTTGAGCTTCCTCCACCCCCTTCATCCTCAGGCATAGGCGGTATTTTTGCCGCAGCGTTTAGCAGAGGTCATGGGCTTATCACTAGTACCTTTGTCCTGCTTATGGGATCTCCCGCCATGCTGTTGACACGCCTCGCTCAGGTTTAACCGCATCTATCCCGCATTCATAGGACACGTTCTCAGGTCTAGTTCCACCGCCAATGTCATGTATCCGACCTGCCATTTGGAGAGGCTTCCTTACCGCGTGTAGACTGGTGAAGATCTCCTCGTCCTCTTATTTCTTTCTTTGATTCGTGCGTTCTTTGAGTATTCTCGGCAACCTTCTCATGCCAGACTGCTTGCTGATCCTTCGGTGACTCAGTGTATAAACGAACTTTTTGCTCTTGTGAGATAGAAGGTCGCATGTGTCATACCGGGTGACCTCTTCGACGCCAATCTACCAGTCTTAGAGGAATCAGCGCTTGTGTGTTGAACGCGTGTTGTTCCTCGATCATGTCGGCCTCGACCTGAGTTGCTGCATCGGACCATTGCTCCACAGACAAGTCTCCAGACCACATAACGACACCACGCTTCCTCGTCTACACGTTTGTTGTGTCCTCATCTTTATCTGTCACAAGTCCACGTTGTCGATGAATATTCGCGATCAGGTGAAAAACAAGAGGGGTATGCGGATGTTATCAAGCTATTCCACAATATAAAAGACCGGGTTTTCAACGTCGGACTCCCCAACACCTGGCGAAAACCAGCACCTACTCTCGACAGCCCTCTTCCTTTGTTTACGCTATGGCAGCACCATCAAACGAGGTACTTTCGTGGACCAGCCAGGATCCGCGCGAGAGCCAACTCTTTAATGCCTGGGGTGTTGTCTATCGCTTTGCGGTATGCAGCTCCGCAACGTTCATAGGTCGTAATGGACCCTGATCAACATCCTTAGACTGTAGTGGCCCCTAGTGGGCAGAGTACTACTACCCTCTGGCGAGCGGTACGAGCTAACAAGGAAGACCGCGTCGCAAAATTGGAATGGGCATCGAATGGCGGCCTCGGCCGTGCAGTAATAGGCAAGGTAGAGTTAAACTCATGTGGCGTCCTTTATATCCCTTCTGACCGTGTTCCCTCAGAATACAGTCCCGATGTCCGACTTGGTTCGCCCCGATCCACGCTACCCGGTCAGTTGCATCAAATCTTCTGATCGCGATATCGCTTACACTATCCATAGGGCGCGCGCATATTCAACGCACCCGATGGTCTGACATATCGCTGGCGGCAGGCCCCCGGCTCTGCTGATGTCGTGGTAGGTCTCTACATCTTGTCCTCCCGGAAGTAAAACCAACTATTGCTCCCGCAGCTGGAAGATTCCGCTGGAAATATGGTCGCAGTCTTCCGCCCCACACGACCAACGCGGTATCAAATCGGGGATGTCTATGGCGAGCTGCACTTTCTGCGAAACGCTGGAGCAGCTACCATCGTGAGTACTTGTTACCCCTCTCGCTACGCGAGAGCTCAATTTTATTTTTCCCCATTTCAGATGCATCCCCCAATCATGGACACGGTCACAGTGACCGCGATGCTATACCGATTTTGCCAGGCATTTGGTCTTTGATGTCATTTTTAACGCATGTTAGCAATCTTATTCACACTGTAAATTGGCCCATATTCCCTTTGTACGTATCATTGTTGAACTCTTCCATACATGTAATGCTATCCATTTCATTCGAGAGAAATTTTCTTCCGAACGAGCCGGGCGCAGCATCAACAGCGACTTTGACATCTTCCGATGATCGATAACACGCATTTTCGGCACTCACGTGTAAGTCCACGATGCAAGTATACCTCGTTGTGCCACCAATCGCCCACAATCATTGCGCTAATGCGACATAATCAAACCGTCATTTGATTTAATACAATCTGAGTCCAAATGACGCCGTATCTACAATTTCCCCTTTGCCAAGGGCACCTCTTCTGATGTCACGGCGTCAACAATCTCATCTATGGTACGTACAACCCATTCGGTGCCTTCATCACTTGATAAATACTTGTCTTCATCGTTCAAGTTCTCCACATTGCGGGCCTTGAGAAGCCCGAAAACGTGGCTGATCAGCTGAGGTCCGACTCTGGTTTCAGCACGGAGAGTAGCGATGCCGACGACTGATCCAAGAGCGCGGGTGAGGTTTCCTTGCTCCAAGTCCCCTCGCGGCAACGGCGACAAGATCGTACCATAGGCCTGAATGATAAATGCTGTCACAGTGAATTAGACTCATATGTGTAGTGTGTGTAGCAAAAAATAAACTCGAGGCGCGTTTACACCGGGGTTGATAAGACCATGGGGTAAATGGAATCAAGAACGTACTGATGAAATCAGGATGAAGGTCCCCCAACTTATTATACAGCTTCACCGCGTGAGGCTGGTAAATTGAATTCCATAGCGCCTGACCCCTTGCGACGGTCGCCTCGATGGATTGCGGAGTTGCTTCCCTGAAGAAAATTTACGGGAAAAAAAAAGATATGACGCTGGGACACTGCCTCGTGTTCAGAGACCACGTACCTGATGGAGTTCTTCCGTAACGCGGCGTAGACGTCTTCTTCGAGTGCGTCCTTTAGCCCCGTCAAGGACAGAATCGTCTGGAATTACGTTGAGTCACCTGACCTCGGCGGCGCAGGTATCCGAGGCCATCAAACTTCTGAATCTCATGCAAGTTGCACTTACTCGAGGTACACCAACGAAGATGACGCTCTTTAGTGCGGCTTCCCGCATGATGGCAGCTTTGTACACGACCTCCGCAAGGCTCTTTCGCGATTCAGGCAAGCTGGGATCACTCCTGGTAACGAACCGATACAAGTGGCCAACAGAAGAGGGTCTGTTGATGGTAAGGAGTGTGCATGTCTGTTATCTCCGATTAAATGGGGCTAGAAGAGCAATTTCGCAAGAGGGATACGTACCGAGAGGACGAGCCATCCGTTTTCAGCGTTTCGCTGTTTTGCCTCGTTCAGGGTGCGGTTGAACACGTTATGAAGTCTTCCGAGAGAGGGACTTGGCCAAGCATCCGGGTTACGGAGCGTCAAAAGTTGTTTAACTGCAGGCGGTAAATGTTTGACCATGTCGTGCTCTCTCGTTGTTCGGGGAAATGAGGGGGACTATATACGTGAGGTCGGACTTGTAAGTCCGACCTGCTGATCCCTTAACGGCACGCCGTACACGGGATCCCGTCGAGAAAACACATGCGCTCACTGTCAGCTCGTCACTGTGCAAGTCGCAATTGATCGCTATTTCCTTTTATAGAATTATCTATATTGATCACGACTAAGTCTGAACTGCAGCCTGGGAATTTTCATGGTAACATGCTTTCAGTCTGAGGCTCGCTCACAGAAAACAGTATATCTAATTGCGGAAATAAAGTCTGCATTGTTCGACAAATGCACGACTTTACGGTCGATTGCGTCGCACACCAGGCGACATGCGAAACCAGCACACTACTTGCGACCAGATAAGGGCGATGGTGAGATAAACGATAAGTAGAATGAAGTGAATCCAAGAGTGGCATATGAAATATTGAGGGTATCATCGGGAATATAGCGAAGCTGATAGGGCTACAAGCCTGAACCCCGCGGGCTATGTATTAGTCATGATCAGAGCTAAATTTCCCTAGCCAAAGTAGGTGTAGGCAAGAGAAGTGGGCTGGTCATCGCTGCCAAGAAGAGAGTTGTCTGTATTCACGCCTTGAAGGTCACTCATAAGGCCTGGCATATCACAGATCAGCAAATGTAGCACGGAGATGAATCGCATTCATACCGAATGGGAAGGCAACGGTAAACCACTCAGTGCTGTCGACAAAGTTGGCGACGGTGCTAGCAAAAGCATAAACCTCATCCTGGGTGGCCTGTGAACCACCACTGAAGTTCTTCAAGGACACGTCAACTTTGGAGACTTGATGTAATGATGTGAATAAAATACCTGGTCAGCAAACTCCGTAACCCAGATGGGCAGGTTGTAGAGATTGTGGAGCTGAGTGGCATAGGTGATGAAAGCTTGAGCATCAGTGCCGTAAAAGTGGAACGCGACGGCGTCAATCTAATTGGGAGAAAATGAGGAGAGGCATAACGTTGTGATTAATGAATACAAACGTGGCAACCAGAGCACTCTTGGAAGAAGCTAGCCATCCAGTCAAGACCAGTCTGGTCATTGGTGCAAGCAGGGGAGACGAGGTAGTAGCCTTGGTCTTTCAAAGGGTTGATGTATTGCTGCCAGAGCGAAACGCCATCGGAGGGGCTCATGTTGGACTGGCTGGATTCGTTGGGCCTAAAAAAAAGTGTGTCAAAGTCAGAGTCAAATATAGCGCTGTGGGACATACTCGTTCATGCCAAGGACGTAGTTAGCGTAACCGGCGACGACCAAGCTCTGGAAGTCAGAAATCTGGTCATAACCCCAAAGCATGGGAATGCCCTGAAGGCCATAAAGGTTCGAGGGCAAGTAAGGGCTCCAAGTGTAAATGCTGTGATATGATTAGATAAAGGGATGAAAGAAAATTTGAAATGCATACAAGCCAACATTGGGACGAGCAGCGAAGGTGGGGAGGTAGTCAGCATTACCGTTGTTCCAGGCCAAACCCCACTTCTTGCCACTTGAGCTGCCAGTGGAAGCGGGGGTGGAGGTTGCGGCGTAGGAAGAGGAAGTTGTTGAGGTTGATGCCGGTACGTATACAGTTGTCGAAGACGTCTCAGTGGGACTGGCAACATAAGTTGAGGTCCAGGAGGAGGACGCGACAGTGCTGCTATCTGTTGGTTTTGGCTTACACCGACCATTGCTAGTAGACGAGGTTGTGTCACGCCTTCTCTTTGCGGCGAGGTCATGAGCACGAGCATAACGAGCGACATGAGAGCGGTCTGTTGTCAAGGCATTGACGGATGTAGGACCAGACTGGAATGCAAGAAGAGCAACTGAGGCCAAGGCGAGAAGATTGAACAACTTGAGAGCGGCCATTTTTTGTGGTTGTGAGGTTGTTCTATAAGTTTATATATAAAAGAATGAGGACGGAGATTGAGAGAGTGTGGTATGAAATGAGTGAGGACGAGCCGTAAGCTCAACGCGTTGAATGAACAAGGGATGGCAAAAAAGAAGGGGTGAATAATTCTCAGACATTTTATCGATTGAATTATGTAAGCTCTCGCACGACCCGCTCCAATCGCCATGACATTAACGGTCTATTGCGATCACCGTGGCTTGGCTTGTCGTCGTCGTCTTGAACAGCGAGGTCATAGAGTAGATGGCATTGACCTAGGAGGTGGTCTATGACTCAAATATTATGTACACTTTTGAACCGAACATGAGGACCTAGCGTCACTGAAACATGTTTATTTGTATGTAAAATGTATTTTTTCAGTATAATTACAAAAAGGGCAGCGTCTAAAACCGCCCAAACAGTTTCTTTTTTTCTTTTCAACTTTCAACTTGAAACCAGGTTCATCATATAGTTCATCACCGCAGTTCATCCTCCAATCCCCCCCTCAAAATGTCCGACGCCCAAGCCGCCCAAGTTACAGAGAATGGCGTGCCTCCGGCTGCGCAAGAGTATGTCATCGAAGAAGCTCCCCCATTCAAAGTATCTATTATCCTTTTTCTATCTCTTCTTCAATTCCTCACTTTCCTATCATGAAAAGGTCTTCGCTGGCAATCTTGCGTACTCTACAACGGATGAAGGGCTCAAGACTTTCTTTGCCCCCGTACAGAGCGACATGTATGTTCTATGCACAGCTTCTATCACTGCATCTCACTCTCTCTTCGCTTTACAGCATCACAGCCCAGGTAATCCTGCGAGGTCCCAGATCCGCAGGTTATGGCTTTGTCGCAATGTCCTCCGCAGAGGCTGCCCAAAGAGCTGTTGACCTCCTCAATTCACAGGAGCTCGACGGCCGCAAAGTAATCGTCGAGATTGCTAAGCCAGCAGACCAAAAGGACAAAGAAAAGAAGGAGAAAAAGGCCAAGAGGAGACCCAACAGGCGCGGTGCCAAGGCCGTACCTGGTGAGGTCACCGACGCTGAGGCAAACGGCGAAGTCAAGGCGGAGGATGCCGCTGCCCCTACTGCTGCTCCGGGCACTGACGAAGCAGCTAAGCCCAAGAGAAAAAAGAAAAAGAACAACGTATGTAATTTACACTCAAATTTTTTACACACAGTGATTCATCAATTTCATTTCGCTTCCAGCGCAAGTCCAGCCGTAGGTCTGCTCCTCTGGAAGGTGACAACCTACACGAGGAGGCTGGTTTCGAAGCTCCTGCCACAGAGGATGCCTCTGAAGAAGCCGCACCTGCCCCCAGGAGACCTCGCGTCAGGAAGCCCAGGGTCCCTCGCCCAACCCGCGCTGTCGGTGAAGACCCCGTCGGCGAGCCCTCAAAGACCACCCTGTTTGTCGCAAACCTCGGCTTCAGCGTAGACGATGAGACCCTCTCTGCGCTCTTTACCGAATCTGGCGTCAATGTCGTTTCCGCCCGCGTTGTTCGCCGCAGGTGGGGAACGCCTAGGAGGAGCAAGGGTTACGGCTTTGTCGATGTTGGCAGTGAGGAGGAACAGCTCAAGGCAATCGAGGTTGTTCAGGGCAAGGAAGTCGGCGGCCGTCCTCTCGCTGTCAAAATCGCTGTCAACTCTGCCCGTCAAGAAGTGGCCGACGAAGCCGAGTACACTGCCTGATCGCATCATCCGCTTAATACATGATCCCGGTCCCATATCCCCTTGACTTTCTTAACTTAACGCACCGGTGCAAGTTCATCGTGACTTAGTATTGTTCATCTCGCGCCATGATTTTTTTAGCGTTTGTTTCCCAGTCAAGTCATGCTTTCATTCTGGCGGTTTGGTGTCCTTTTTTCTTTCATCGAACTTTGTAGAGTCGCTTTGGGGTCAATATTTGCGATGTCTACTTAGTAGGACTACGAAAGTTTTTCCATGGCTATTGATGGTGATAAACCCCCTGCTCAAAACGGACGTGTGTGTAAATTGTGGCATGTTTGTCAATCCGGCGTGAAGTCAATCCATGGCCGACGAGGATGATTACCTCTCGGACAAGTTTCTTGTTCAACTTGCAGCCGAGTCTGCACCGAAAACGTATGCTCAGAGACGCCAAGAGGCGCTGAAGCAGTCTCAAGTCAAGAATGAGCAGAACCGAACCAAGAGTCGGCGTCAGAGGGAGCAGGAGTCCAGGGAAGAGGGGCTTAGCAAGAGCCTGTTTGAGCGTGCACAGGAGGAAGAGATGGCCGTTGGTGGGAGCAAGGCACTGGGCATCATGGTGAAAATGGGGTTCAAGGTCGGGCAATCGTTGGGAAAGATCGAGGACAGCCCTCCAAAGACCACCGTGACAGTTCCCTTACCTGGTCCGTCCGAGGACGAGTCTTCGCAGGGTACATCCAGGGCTCAGTCAGAATCTGCGGATCTTGGAGAGGACTCGAAAGGAAAGCCTCGACACAAGGTTGAACCATTACCCCTCAATGAATGGCGAGGCGAGTCCACCCCGAAAAACTACTATGGAATGAAAAGAACTAACTTGATGCCATCGTTATTGTAGGGAAGAAAGGCATCGGTCTAGGGAAGCGTGCTCGCTCACCCAGCGCCGCTGATCGCCTCGCGAAGATGGCGAAGATGGCGGAGGCAGCCAGTCATGAGAGTTTCCGAGATCGCGCCCGCCGCGAATACGAAGAACGGCGAGCAGAAGGGCGCCTCGGTCCTACACGACGAACGTGTCTCACACTCGACGAGAAGGCGGGCATTACAGTGCGTTTTGTTCAGATAAGTATGCGGGGATACTAAATCTACTGTTCTGCGCCATAGTTCAATGTCCTCTGTTTGGACCCGAACGACCCTGAGTCTGTGCCATCGGGCCTTATGGACGCGCTATCAGCCCATACACTGCTTGTATCACCGTTGCCTTCCGCCTCAGGAGATGCCTCCCATAAGGCACGTCTACGCGCCCAAATGGCAGCTGATGCCCTGTTACCGGTTTCTTCTTTGGATGAAGATGACAACGACAACGACAATGAAACACCCACAACAGTGGAAGAATTCCCGCAAGAAGTCATCGAGGAAGCAGCTTACTTTTTGCGATTGGGCGTGAGTAGACTGTTAATGGAATTGTGTGACGCTTACCCCTGACTCTGGCGCAGCCGCGGGACCGCTTAAAGCTCCTTCTCGACTATCTCCGGGAGAAATACTCGTACTGTTTCTGGTGCGGGACGCAATATGAGGATTCTATTGATTTGGAACAGAATTGCCCTGGGCCTGAAGAAGATGAGCACGACTAGATGTCTAGTGTGGGGAATATGTTCCCTCCGTAGCCAACGTCAATCGTATTGATTGATCTAAACGTACACAATTTCCCTACGAGAATCAAGATGTAGTACAATCGTGAGTCCGAAATTTCCACAAGCAAAGAGCGAAGTTATGGCAACTATGAGAAGGAAACGAGGGAACTGAGACGAAATGCAAAGGAAAGCTGTGTATGCATGTGTAGAGAGAGAGAATTAAAAGGTCCGTAAGTCCTTCCTTGGGATACGCGGTAACCACATCGTACACAAGCTGTACCATCATCAGACCGCGGAAAACATAGAAGTGGAGATGTCCGTTATTCGTAACGTGAAACTAGCGAGGGATGGGGGGAATGGTGGGCAACGACATTGGCATCAATGATGGTGGAGTGATGATTTCTGGTCTTTCGACGTATTCCCGTTGAGCGAAAGTGAGGACGATGGGCGAGTTTTGAGGTGTTTTGCGGCGAACGTATGATGAGATAGGGGTGATGGATGGCCTTTCTCTCTTGGAGAAATGAAGGGGTGAAGGCCGTCGTGTGCGTCGAGGAGATGAAGGGGGATTTGGTGATGAAGACTGTGGATTCTGGTAAGAAAAAAGTGTGTCTAAAGGGAAAAGTCGATGGTCTTACCCTGCTAGAGTCTTCTTGATCACTCTGACTGTGTGTCAAGGACACTGCACTGCTTTGTCTAGCAGAGGACTTGAAGAAACAAGACAATGAGACGACGAACACTAGATCAGTAAACCAAAGTACTCACACTGGCTGAAATATACGGTGAATATCTGACTGCTCTGACTCGACGAGAAGCGCCTGGACGTCTATCTGAGTCAATGTCACGGGTTGTCGATAGGTTGGCACAACGGATGGAAGGGCTCCAACTGTCGGTGGAACTGCCCATTGAAGAGCAGGAAGAGCAGGAGGATGAACGATCACGAGTCCTAACTATGCTCGGGGTGGAGGCTGGCTTAGCATCATCTATGCCTAGAGAAGCCATGAGTTCAATGAATGAAGGGAGAGCGGCCATAGACACGGCGATCTCAGACGGAGTGCAACGTCGGGAGGACAGTCTTCGATGGGCAATCAAGTAAGAGGGCCATAGTTATAAGGATGTTTTGACGCCTTGGATACGGCCCACGGTTGTCAGGAAGGACGGTCGCCACCTACGAAACTCTGGAGTTCCACTTGTGACTTTATTTTTCGTGAAGGTTTGCACTATCAATAGGGTTCCAGCCCGGTCGGCAAGGAGATTGAGAATAAGGGTGTTGGCGCCTATTGAGCTGGCTGGCCACACAGGATTATAGAGCTCCTTATACCGCGAACGCATAGTACATAGCCGCAATACAACTGATCCTTATCCCTTGATTATTGTTCGTTAACAATGACTGAGACGATCTTCGGTCCATTCTTCCAAGCCAGGCAGGCGGTGCACAGGATAACAATTACGACTAAGCAGCGACCCGAGCAAGTTTGCAGGGTGACTGTCTCCACGCCTACAACCCAACTGTTTCCATCATTCAAGCCTGAAAAAACTTGAGACTTGGTAACTTTTTGTCGCAACGATCGCCGAATCTCTATAGCGTCTCCATGCAAAGAGTACTTTAACTGCGCGCCCATACCGTGACTCACGCACGTGTACTACATCACGCGGTAGTCACGCGTTTCGACTACCAAGCTTTTTCGTTCTACTCCGCGATGAACCAGCCAGGACAACAAAATACCAACCCTGCGGGGGGTGCCTTCGTACATGCACCTCGCCAGGATATGGAATACATTTGTGCAGGTATTCATGACCGCCTCTGTGAGCATCCCTTTACGAACATTCTGATCAATATTTGAAAAGATTGCGGCGCCAAAAATGAAATAAAGTCTAGGGAACCCATACGTTGTCGTGAGTGTGGTCACCGTATCATGTACAAGAAACGAACCAAGCGGAGTGCGTATCTGTTGCTCTTGAAACCAAGCAACTGTTGACCTTTCCCATTAGTGGTTCAGTTTGAAGCCCGGTGATCTTTCCCGGTTGCAAAACGAATGTCAAAAGAGGTGAGTAGTTATGGCTATTTCAGTGTTTTAGTACGTTAAACACGGATTACAGACGTTTCGATTATTTACTATTACAGTATAAGGATAGACACCTGTCGCTGACAACCTCGTTACCACCGCCCAAGTCGCTTGAACCAGACATTCAGGAAGCAAGTCACCACCAACCGATCTAACATTGCGCTGGCGCGCGGGGTCACTCTCAGTATTTTCTCGTGATTTGACCACGATGCAATGTATTTGTCTTGTGAATCTATACACTGTTTTTGTGGGGGCACATCAGCAGGTGCATGTTCCAGCCTTCGTGACACGTACATATAAGTCGGTCCTATTATCTGATATCTTCCACTTGTACACGGCATCGGCACCGGATTTAAATCTGCGAGAACTAGGATTCAAATGCATCAGCGGCCGAGATACGACCTCGGACGAAATATCCTACTGGCTAGTAGCATTCTTGACCTTGCGAAGATCCTTGACAGAAACCTGTTAAATAGCTTATCAACAGAGTGCGTCGTGTGATCAGCACCATCGATCTCACCTCCTCCAAGCCAAAATACACCGTGGTGGCGATAGTGTTCGAGTTCCAACTGATCTGTCCAACAGCCTCGAAGATCAGACTATTCATGTTCTTTCGGTGATAAGTTGTGGTTCCGCCAGAAGAACCGGTCATCGAATGTGAAAACTGCGATGGGAGTCAAAACGACGAATGCTAGTCAAGGAGAAACTTCGACGCACCTTGTATAGTTCCAATTCCTCGTGTTCTCCTGTTCCTATCACTTGATACACTCGGAATGTCCGTGTGTCGTCGGTGGATTGAGCAAAGCGGAAGACCATGTCGGTTCCAGCCATCTTAGCTGTGGATTTTTTGGAGTCTGAAGTTGCAGTGAGAAGGAAGGAATCTTGGTCCAAGTGGCGAGTCTGGTTCACATGCCAGTGATTATGAAGGCCTAGAAAATATTAATTGACTGCAGTAATGAATCTCGCGTCCATTTTGCGTGGACAGAAACACTTGATCCGAGCGAATATACGGTTGGGAGCTGAGGTCACTTCTATCAGTACTATGACGCATCCTAATAAGAGCAAGCCATTGACTCGGTGCACCTGCGGGGACAATGAGCCATCGGGATATTAAGCGATTGCTAAAACATGAGGTAATCGATGAGGTCCCTGAACGGCGCGTAAGTAATACACAGAATGTTTCCGACTGCTGAACCTCGAAAAAATTGATACACTTGTGGCTTGCCGGTTGCTGCTCAAAATATTTTTCAATTTCAGAGTGCCTATCAACCTTAACACAGGATGAGTCGATATGCAATATCGAGTACCACGACGAGCACAGTTAGGCATTAAAACCACCAACGGTCCGCCCCAGGGAAAAACGAAAAGACTCCTCCCGCGCCCGTTTTAGTTGAGCGAGATTGTTGACGTGTGGCGTGCGGAGGCGAATAATAACAGTCACCGAGTCAGGCGATCCAAAAGAAATGCCACGTTCCATGTAGAGACGACGACGATCACGGTGAACAAGACACCCTGCAAACCACGTGTCACGTCAATTCGAAACATACAAGCGGGGTAAAAAGCCGATTGAAATCCGTACATCCTGCGAAGGAAAAGAAAACCGCATCAGCTCAGGGTAAACGAAAAGATGGTGGATTTGTACACACGCCGACAAAGTACATTGGCTGATAGTATAGGGACTATCGCATGCATTTTTGGCTCTGAAGGCCTTGCGGCCCGGGACATGATAAGGCATGATGTAGTCGGCAGGGAGAGGTTTTGTCATGAAACAGATATGGCTGACGCCGTGATGTCAACGTTAAGGGTCATCATGAGAACAGGACGTTTCAGTGAGCAACACGCTGCAAAATGACGATAAGAGGCCAAGATTAAACGTCAGCGAACACAGAATTGCTGATATTACGCCCCCATTTCGTCGAAGCTGTGTAAATTTTAGGCAACTATTGTGTCAGAGTTCTGATGCGAGGGGGTGGGGATAGCGCGATTTAAGGGCAGACCTTGGTGGAGACGGCCTCGAGGCCTATGTTTGCCGACATAATTTATCGATGTTATACAAGACTGAGGTAAAGTTGCAAAAGCTGGTGGTCAGGTTCATAAAAATTAGCCCAGTTTTGCCGAGCTATGGGTAGAAAGTCACTCACTGTTGCGTACACAGCGTTGCTACATACAAAGCGACCAGGGTCCACCACACGTGCATTCCGAGTGCATACATATGCCAGAGACAGTATGAGGTAGCAATAAAATCAACCCCATGGTATAACGAAAAAGGGTAAGCGCGACTAGGTGCGGTTCCGCTAGGTCGTCGGCGCCTCCGAGACTTGCAACCAGTCTGCAACATTAAGTTAGTCTAAAGCTTAGTCTTAGACTAGTAAAGTCAAAAGAAAGCAAATCATGCCCGCATGGTGGTACTAGGACCGGGCGGCGCCCGATAAGCGCCGAACAAAGACTGACACGGATGATTATGTCATACGGCTTCGGCAATTGAATCTAGCCGAATGTTGGAGTCGGCATCGCACTCGCTGCCGACGGGCTGACTACGCGGTCCTTGCAAAACAAACAACTCGTACTCACTTTTGACCAACTTCATCATGCCTGATCATGATGCGCCCCGCAGTATATCTGGAGAACTTGATCCGGTATGTTTCTTTATTACTAACTGTCTGTTCCTCATCGGTCTCATCAATAATAATTCTGCAGGATTCTGATATTGACTCCCATCTCGATCACGATGATGGGGTAGGAGGTCCGAATAAGCCAGGCAGGAAAAAAAATCCAAAGTATGTTGACTTCAGACTGGTTGTGTTATGCACCATTGACCACCGAGAAGCTCCCAGGCAGCACGTCGTGACCAGAATCGTATTGCCCAGCGTGAGTTCCGTTTGAGGAAACAGCAAAGGGTGCGCCGGTTCGTAATTGCTCCTGGCATCATCATACTAAGTTCGCACTTTTCAATAATCAGATTCGTGACCTCGAAGCACGCGTGGAATTACTTTCTGCGTCCCAAGATGAAGCTCTGACTGATTGTAGAGCTGTTCTTAGGGGTAAGCGATGATAGCAATTTGTATGCGTATTGCTTACTGTAGCATGACAATAACATTTTACAGATCTCATGGCCGAAAATCAGGTCCTCCGCGGTCTCCTAAAGAGCGTATCAGGTTTCATTGGTGATGGCGCCGGTGGTATGCTAGTAAAACTTGGTTGGGACATGGCAGACTTCGACAGCTTCGTCAATAAGGCAGAGACGGACACTGCATGGGAGAGTTTCCAAACCCGCAAACATTCTCACACTTCGCAAACATCGAGCGCGATGTCTTCAACGCTAGGCGCACCGAATAATAAACGTCCAGCAGACGACGATAGTGGTCCTGGACCGGCAAAGAAGACAAGAGGTATGAGTAACTCAGAGCAAAACGGTGACCGTCGGGATTCTTATCCGCTCATGATGCCCATGAGCTCCGCGGTGCCTCCTGCTCCCTCCTTATATCCCCCACCACCCCCGCAAGGACGCTCTCAGGACAATTTATTTTCAGATCTCATGCAATCAGGGAATTCGCCTGTCTTCATGTCCACTACAACGTCTACCACCCCAAGCCATTATGCTGCTTCGGCTGATTTTCAACCTTACGTGCCCCAAATGAACGTGAACGTCGAGCAACGCTTAGGGGCAATGTACTCCACAAGCAAAACAAATGCAGCTGTCCCTCCTCCGCAACGGGTTCTACCTCAAAATTCGTTGGCAAACGATGAACCTGACGAACATGATATGGGAGAACTTCAAGATCCCAAAAAGATTGAAGCTATGAAATTAATCAAGTCGGTTTTTTTAAATTTCCTGCTGTACATCTCGTTTTTAAGTGTCCTTTTAGATATCACCTCGACAATTTCATGAGAAACAGTGCGTATTGTCTTCCGGCTTCGTTACGACCAACTCTGGTGCAGAGGTGAGTGCGAGTCTCCCAAGCTCGATGGTTGTATGCTCACTATACATCCTCAAGAACGATAAATCATGGTATAATTGTTTCGCTTTCTATTTGATACATATTGATTTTTTTGCAGAAAGTATTATCGACCGTATTATATATCCTGAGCTCCGAGATCGTATCATCCTCCTTCGAGGTAGGGACATCGCCATTTTTGAGCGCGTCAACGTTCTGATATTTTCCAGGGCAAATTTCGTTAGCGGACTGTCTTTTTGACTACAAGAAAGCAATCAAGCTTCATGGAGACGATGTTCTTGCCCAGCACAACTGGGAGCTTGCTGAGTGGTGGTTGCGGAAGTACAGGTGCGCCTTGCAAGCTGTCCAATGTCCATATATCCTCATCCTACCTAGTTACCTCGTCGACAAGACAACCTTGAATGTCTGCAATCGCTGGAGGCATGAGCGCGGTGAACCAGATTTGTCGCTATCCGACATTGGTGCTCAAGGAGATTCTCCCGGGTCTTAGGACTGTCGTGTGTCCAGGTTTCATGGAAGAACGCTTGTAAAACTTATTACTGTAAATAATTGTACGTGCGCAGACTTCGCGCGGTAATATATTATATGTATTCCGAGCTACATCTACTTTGCAAAAGAAGTCATGACGCAGTGGTGTATACCGCACTGAGCACCATGAGCACTTCATGCCTTGCTGAGTAGACACGCGTAAGCTCACCATACCATAAAATATTGTGCACGTGTAGCCTTCATCTACCAAGAAGCTTTGCGCACGCCAGGAAGTTCCAGCTTGAGCGCCTTCAGTCGGAACTGGTACTGTCAAAGTCACAAGATGAGGACGCGTTCAACAAGAACCAAGCAGCAGATAACGTACTCGGCAAAGTCCAAACTCGCTGATAATCCCCCGACCACGTCCAGATTCTGTACAACGGTTCTTCACCGTCGTCGGACGCGTGTACTTCCCGAATGTGTTCAGCTGCAGCTGAGCTTGGTGCCGCACTTGCGGGGACAGGGTCTCGTTCCGCGCGACATATAGGTAGGCCCTGCGGAGGACCTCGCTGGCCTTTACGACGTTACGCGCCTTGATGTCTCGGAGTACGCGAGCGTTAGGCATGATGACCAGAAGAGTTTTGACCAGAAGGTAGTTAAAGGCTTATAGAAAACAAGTGCAAACATCGCACCTTTAGCAAGTCGTCGGTAACATCCGGCACAGCCTCAAAAGTTAGCGTCGAACAACCTCGGACGCAAACATCGCTCGAGAGGGAGGACATGGGCAGATTGTCGGTGCGTATACCATTCGCCCCCTTCTAATAATCCTGTTCGCTGATAACAGATTGCACTAAAAGTTGTAGAATGCCCATTTCCAAAAGTTTTCGTCTAACATACCAACAACGCCGCACATTTGTTTCAACTCTGTTCGGCCTCACATTTTTTGCGTCTGTGTTGACGGTTTCCGCATCCAACGTGCTACCATGTCCCGTGCGACCTGACCGGAGCCGTTACGCTGATACGGAGGGGAAAGCAGGAGGGAAGAGCCCTGCACCGATGGTGGAGAGGAGGCCAAGGAGGTGGATACAGGAGAGGCCATCTTCGGAGGATACACCGACTTAAGCCATTGCTGACGGGGAGGGCTGTTGTGGAGATTCAGACAGTTGCTCCACATTACCCAGTACAGTATACAGTGTACATGACTACCGTCTACTACTACTACACGTCCCAGAGTGATGAGGTATATGAAAGCCGCGCGTTCCCCAGAGTAAGGGTAGATGGTTTGGGGGGTGTCTAATGAGTACAGAATGTGGTACCAACGTGCTTGGGTGTCACAGGAATGATTGAGGAGTAACGACACGCCGGTCAGTCAGTCAAATGAATGTCTAAGGTGAGTCTACTGTTGAAGCAGTGTTATTTTGCCCAATTTGTTGGTTCCTGTAATGTTCTTCTTGCTCTTGGTGTGTTCCTCTGGAATACACAGGTTAGCATCGGCAGGGCACGATCGGACATTATAATCACATACGGTAGGGGGTGCTCCTCGATGGGTACGCATGCAATAAAAACGAGAATATTGATCGCAATATGACAAATGAAAACAACACGGAGGGCATCGGCGTAAGACTCGACTGCTGCTTTTCTGAGTGCAGGCGCGAGGTCAGGGATCGAGCTTATCGAGTGTCTGAACACAGCATCGTGTTAGCGTATATACCGCATGGTCATCGGACATCATACCGTATCTCCTCGATGATCTGGGTAAAGGGAATTCATATGAAACGCATACGGTAAAGGTGCACACGAATGCCGCTTACCTCTGATGAACCAGGTCCAGTAATTCGCTGGCGCAATTTTCTGAGCAGAATGTTCTGGACCACAGCCCCTGATAAACTAACACCGAGAACCTGACCAGTTGTTCGGAAAAGATATGTGACTGTAATTTACACATCCTGAGTTCATATGTCCTCCCGAGGCAGTCGAGCGGCACTTACTACCGGTTGCGACGGCCATATCTTCCTTGTAAACGCCCGCGATCATTGCCTGCAAATTCAGGACCAGTTCGACTTAGGAATTGGGGGACAGCGAAAACACTAACAATTAGCGTAGTAGTGATTAAGCTGGCCATTCCAAAACCCTGTGGGACAATGTCTAGCCATAGATGGTACTGCGACGTGTTATCGTCCCACAGGGCGAGGAAAATACTGGCAGTGATGGTCAAGCCAACAGAGGCTAACGTTAAGGAATACAGTTTGCCTGTTCGCCGCATCATCCTATAATCATGACGGTACATTAGTCAGAATAATGGATGATCTTCTAGATCTCACCAGCCTGCGAGCATACTTCCCGTGGATAGAGCAATCTATAAGAAGGTAAGTATTTCCCCTCACAAAAAACCAGGGAATTCGCACAGAATGAGGAAGCAAATGTAGACCTGAATGGCATGTATGACTTAGCGAGTGCAAATGGAGATAATAATACCGAGCATACCGGCATTCGTCGATGAGTCTAGCCTAACAGCAGAGAAATACAAAGGGACGTTGTATATCTGGAAAAAAAGGCCGCTTTAATTAAGTGGCATTATGCGTAAGGTTTTCAGCCCTCACCGTCGAAAAAGCAGTTATAGAAGCCAAAAAGTTGGCCAGAGAGACCGCTAACGGGGTGCGTTGCGTAATTAAACGCAGGGGCATTACAGGGTACGGCGCCCAATAAGCCTCCACTAAAATGAAGGCGACCCAGAAAACCGCGCTGGTGCAGAAAAGCCCCCATATTAGGGGGTGTGACCACGGAAGTTCCTCAGTAGTCTTAAGACTGAAGCCAAGCAACAATCCGGCGACCGCGCCAACTAAGGTAAACGATCCCATGAAATCAATGCGCTGCAATTTGGAGTATGTGCTTTGTGCCTGGATCTCATTGGGCAACTTTATGTTGACCTTGAGAGCGACCAAAGTAAAAGATATAAGCAACAACGGCGCCTGAGTTCGAGTGAGGCCGGGAATAAACGGAAAGATAACAGGCCACCGACCTGTAATAAAAATGCTGCCCGCCTGTTGAAATAAATCAGTGGGCAGAATGAGGAGATTTCAATCGGCTACTAACCACCCCAGGGTATCATTTACCCACCCTCCAAATGGGCCGCCGAGGCCGGCGCCCAAACCAAACAAACTGATCGAGAATGTTCGTTCAAGCTCGGTGCACAAAGCCGCAGCAACTTACATATTAGTCATTCCTTGATATAGGCCACGGTGTTTCCTAATAGTAATCATGATACTTAATCTGTGTCGCTACTACTTGAAACGCGAACTTACAAGGGTACTAGATCGCTGACAGCGATACTGCTGACTGAAACAAGGTAAATTTCACAGGCGAACAATACCATAGCGCCCAACGCACCTGTCATCACTCTGAAGTAAATGTCAGCATAGTGAGCCTTGCAAAATTATTCCGTTGCACGCACCCTCCACCGCCCATTCCTGCGACGGCGCGCGCGACAATCAATGCCTCCATAGAGGGAGCGAATGCGCATGCGATGGTACCCGATCCTAGATTTCATATTAGAGCATGAAACGGCTATCGGGTTCACTGTCCGCACCGAATAAAGACAGTCCGAGAAGCATGGCTCCCTTGCGACCTAAGATGTCTGATAGTCGGCCTGATAGGCGTTAAAATGGATATTGATGAAAGTAGGATGATTTTGTCGCTCTCACCGTACAGAGGAGTAAAACAGCATACTGAGAGCAAGTATGATGTCCCCAGATACGAAGACTGTTCAGATTTATTGAAGTAGCTTCCTATTGGTGACAGAAGCGTTGCCACAATTGTACCTATTGACAGAAGTTTGTGGTTTGTACCATTCTTCGCTCACTGCCAGCAAGCTAGAGCGCACCATCCAAGGATCCAAGGAAGACCGCGCTCCAAAGACCTGAAAGGATCCAAAAAAGATCAGTGCGGGAGACTTGGTTCAACGGCGGTGGGTCATCATTCTCAGGCTGTAAGTTTGACTCTGAGGCCTGCACGGAGTCATAAGAAGGCTCCTGATCACAGTCACGGAGCAACGGCTGCGATTCTTTAGACGATGACCTCGATGACATGCGTGGGGTCGTGAGATCGTTTGCGGGGTATCCGAGTAGGTATGAGTCTTGTTGGGGGGCGACAGGGCGGGCAGAAGAGTTCTCTCAGTCGTGGTGATTTTAAGGCAGGGAAATTAGAAATCCTGGATATTGACGCGCAGGAACATGCTCAAGTCTTCCAAAGAATAGTATATGACTGCTGATCTCAAGCGACGTCTTCAAAGTCCCCAACTCCCGTGTCATTCTCCGCTCGCATCGGTACCGGACCGGCCGAACGCGAACAAGTCCCTTCAAAGATTACATCCGAGTGGATCCAACTGTTTTCAACTACTCCTCCCTTACCTTCGAACCACTCAAAATCAACCCAAATTTCCCCGCATAACAAGCACCCAACTCCACTAACAAACCTAACGTTATTTATCATGGTCCAGTTCAAGTTGGCTGCCACCTTACAATCCGCACTCTCCGGACGCTAGGCTCTCCCCAGCTTCGGATCTGTAAAATTGACACATATGTCACGCCTGCGTGCCATCCTTACAGCCCGGAGTTGCTTTAGGCACTTCTAGTCATCTTCAGGGCTGTCTCCGGGGCCGACCAACTCTCCTGATACGAGTGTCTAATCCTCAAATCCCCGTAGGATCAAGTATCTATCCAACACTCCGTGAGACGCGGCCGACATACTACGGCATTTAGCTTTGAAATTGCCTCAGAATTGGACCCATGACCATGTAAGTATTCATGCCAAGTGTGTGGGATCCTGCAGTTGCCGGAATGTTCGACCATGTTCGAACCAACCGGTTGAGTATTATCATACTCTTTCACTCGCCGCTTTTCACACGATCTTCATACGCTGTCGGGGTGTTTTCTTCGGTCGGTCTTTCGCAGGCTCTTGGGAGTCGGATGCTCTTTTGCTTCGACAATACCAGCCATGATATGAGGCACATGAGGCACGGATATCTCTAGATAGGTTGTACTGCAACCTCCGCTCATGTGTAGGTTCCCGTGACGTAGTTCTGTTTTTAGGAACGGCAAATTCCATCGTGACTTCGCAAATTCGTGCTTCCTGAATTTCACCCATCTAAAAGCTAGCCGCCTGTGACCTGTGGTGTGCAGCGTGCTGTCGTCGTTTCAAATATAATGATTGTCTAGATGATGAGACAATCTCATCGGGGGCGAACTGCAGTCATCTCATATCTCCGAAGTACGTCCTCTTTGCCTGTATTGCTATTAAAGGCTCACACTTACTTGCTGTCCTGTCCTCGAGGATTAATTCCTTGACTGTTTTAGGTGTCTAAAACGTGACGGAACGTTCATGGGGACCCGTATTCTGTTTTTGTACGTGCAACGCCCTCTTGACGTTCGTTATTTCGCAGGACATCATGGATGGACGTAGACGGTCATGTGTAGGTTCAGATATGGGGCAACTTCCCTTTCATTAAAATCCTTTATTCCTAGATGATACGAAACGACACTGATGCGGTTTCATCATGATTCTCCTCAATTTCAGTTTTAGGCAGCTTTTCGCGCCACAGATGGCGCCCAGTTGTCGCGTATCAGAAAAGTAATATTCTTGATTATCTGCCTCGGGCAAATATTGCTGTGTTGGGCCCCAGTGCATCATATCCTATGGAAGCCCGGATTCGGCCTAGTGATGGGTGTTGTCGTCGAAGACAGTGAAAATGCACGGCTCCATGTAATTCCCATGTCAAGCCGGCCCGTTGATATGAGCGCTAGGATCCACTGCATGCTTTCTCGGGCTTCATAATGCTACAGGAGTCTGTGCATTGCTGCATTTCTCCCTTCATCAGCACATCGACTGCTGTACATGTTCTGGCTATCCATGTTTTTTACTAAAAAGATCTTGCTCTCGTACAACCCTCACGCTCAATGCCTGATATCATCCTATCGGCTCACGTACAGCTTTATGATACAGCAGCCTCAGCCTCCTGGCAGTGGTGACCGTTATGGAGTGAGCTGTTCACTATCTTAACGAGGTGGTTGATCTGTAGAGAAATTCTCGTGAGAGTCCATGGTGCACGGCATGCATGCTCATCGCTTGCAAATTGTGCACCATGCTACAAGGCGAGTCTTGCCTTTCGGATCAAAGCCACCACCTCGTGCCTGCAGGCATCGGACAGCACAGCTGATTACTGTGTATGGAGTCGAGACTGATAATTGGACGAAAGTACCGAGGTGGCCGCAATACGTGTGGTGCACTGACTGGGAGATATTTTATATTACACGCGGACCTGGCGCGGACTCCATTTCGACCAGAATCGAGACTTGCAAATCCAACTACGCCCGCGGTACCTTTTAAGTCTTCGTGGCAAAAATTGCAAACTTGCAAATTTACTCGGAGTTACGTTCTCGCTATATTACCTGTAAGTATGTGCAACGTTTCTTGCATTGCAGTGCTTTTCATTTCGGCGAAGATCTGACTTCTCGGGATGTACTTCAGTTTAGCAAAAGTTCATCGTCAATTGATATGCTCAGACCGAGTTGGTTTGCTTAGTGGTGCCGACGGAGTGGGAGAATGGCCGCATAGCGGACGGTGACCATGATACGGATCTACGACTTTACGGCATTAGTGACGGACACGTTGATCGCATGCCAAGGTTTTATATCAAGCGCGCTCTGGCAAACAAGTTTGAGCCCGGTGTGCAGTGGTCAATGGGACATTTTGTTACTCGGGCTAATGTTCGCTCGCCAATCGACCCTAGGACGGTCTCGACCAACTTGTTTACATAGGACAAGGGTTAACGATTACTCAACGCGTGAATAAAGGATTCTGTTATGTAGGGAAGCTTAAATTAAGTGGAAGATGCCGTCTTACTAAGCTTAGCCATTTTCTGCCACCGTTATGTTGAGGGGGACAACAAATTTGAGAGTTAATACCTCCCCCCCGATACCAAGGCAATTTTCTTTCTTCTGTCTTTCTGTCACGGTAGAGCCAGTTGTCTACTTGTTACTGACTCGAGGTCTGAACTTGTTCAGGAAGTTCAACAGTTCTTGACGTGCAATCCGATCGAGCGCTCGGGATCGACCGCGAATCAACAATCTCCATCATGCACGCACCCTCCTCTCCACCGTCTACTCCGTCACACTCTTCATGGAAATCTGTCTTTCGTCTACCAAGTTCCTCGAAGAAGCACCGTGCTAATGCTAATGGTTCAACACTAGCCGTTGACTGTTCGCCTCGCGCAGTCACCTCTCCTCTTCAGACAGTTAGACATACTCCTGCAGCTCCCAGTCCCTCACTGACTCCCGGCTCATTCCTACCTATCGACGAGCGTTCCTCCTACAACTCTTCGAATACCCAATCCAGTGACTCGAACGTGGGAGCTGTACCGAACTCACAGTACCTTGTGCCTGATTCCCGACTCTTCCCTTACCAGCAGCAGTCGTCGGTTTCGAATGTCGAAGCAAATGGAATGGTCACTCCACAATATCCCCAAAGTCGCGTACGGACAAAGTCGGAGAAACAGCGTATGATGCAGGGTCGTGTTCCCCAGACACCAACAAAGCCACAGACTGCCACGGCCTCCCAGCAGTCATTTGCACTCCCACCAGGTCATGGTGCGTCTTCAAGTCGCTCGGGGCCCTTGTCTCCACGCGCAATGGGCGCGTCTGCCACTCGCTTCATCCGTCGCGTAGCGTCCGCACCAAACGCGAAGCATCTTTTTTCTTCCGGTGGTCGGTCGTCGGCACCCACGAAAAATGGTCTATTAGCACCTGCAGATATGGTCCCACCAGTTCCTGGTGCACCGTCTACGTCATCTGATCTTGGTGATGATTCATTGGAGACTCTGTCATCTGGTTCTTCAAGAGGGAGATCCAATCGGCACGAACGGTATCCTGGTAATTCACATCTTTCAAAGACTAGAATTGTGAATGGAGCGCATGATGGTCCTGGAAAAATGGCTTTCAGACGGACATATTCTAGTAATTCAATCAAAGTTCGACAGGTAAGTTACGAAGCTTCTCTGCGCGTAGAGTTCGGTCTAAAACAAAGGGGTCAGGTCGAGGTCGGCCCATCAAGCTTCTTGAAAATTAAAATGCTTGGAAAGGGCGACGTCGGACGCGTGTACCTTGTGCGAGAAAAGAAGACTGACAAGCTTTTTGCTATGAAAGGTGGGTTCGTGATTTGACGAGACTTGAAGTTGGCTTCAATTATGATTCCCCAGTCCTGTCCAAAAAGGAGATGATCGATCGAAAAAAGATAAAGCGTGCATTGACCGAGCAAGAAATTCTTGCGACTTCAAATCATCCATTCATCGTAACGCTCTATCACTCCTTCCAGTCGGAAGAGTACCTCTACTTCTGCATGGAGTACTGCATGGGTGGCGAGTTTTTCCGTGCCTTACAAACTCGTCCGGGAAAATGCCTTCCGGAAGATGGTTCGCGTTTTTATGCGGCGGAGGTTGTGGCGGCCTTGGAGTACCTTCACTTGAACGGCTTCATATACCGCGATCTCAAGCCAGAAAGTAAGTTGCTTCTCCTCTTGATCGCCAACGTGTACTAAACGCTTAACTTTATTGCCACATCTTGCTGCGTCTTCGGTTGATTTTGTAATCTTGGCCTTTCATTTACCGCGTCTTCCGTACTTGCTGGAACTTCGTCCAGATATTCTCCTCCATCACTCCGGGCATATCATGCTGTCGGATTTCGATCTTGCCAAACAATCTGGGCATCCTGGGGGCCGTCCTGCGACGATTCACCAGCTAGGACCAAACGGGGTAAGACATTCCCTCATCGTCCATGCGGATAAAATTCACACAATCTACCTATGTTATAGATACCTATGATCGATACGATGTCATGCACAGCGGATTTTCGGACTAACTCATTTGTCGGTACCGAGGGTAAGGGTCCTTTAATTGTCTACAATCACGAACTTGACTGTTTTCGGGTTGTTGCAGAGTACATCGCACCTGAAGTGATTGCTGCGCAGGGCCACACTGCTGCGGTGGATTGGTGGACACTGGGTATCTTGATATACGAAATGATTGTGAGTGACAGTGATGATCCATCATCGGCGGAGTTTGGATGCGGATTGATTGTGCGGGTGAGAAAAAAAATAATTGACGCTCTTGTGCAGTTCGCCACCACGCCCTTCAAGGGGAAAGAGAGGAACGATACTTTTTCCAACATCCGGTCTCTGCCAGTTCATTTCCGGGACGCACCTAAAATTACGAGGTGGGCTGGAGTTGAAATCTGAGTGATGAGTAAAAGTTAACGAAAGACTGCCGTACAGCGCTTGCAAGGATATCGTGATTCGGCTGCTGGACAAAGATGAACGAACTAGGTTCGGTAGCAGGAGTGGAGCGAGTGAAGTTAAGCAACATAAATGGTTTGCGAAAATGAACTGGGGATTGTTGCGTCACCAGCGGCCACCGGTGAGTCTGACCTGCCCCTATGTAACTCTTGTGTGGTGTTGGGCGCTTAAGGCGTGTGAGACGAGAGCACATGTATCTTGATCCGAATACGATAGTTGACTGACGCGCCCCTTATCTGTCCCTGTGTAGATCGTTCCATCGTCCTCTAATGGTCTTGATGCGGTGAATTTCCGGCACCTGAAGGAGTCACGTTCGCTTCATCTAGAGGAGCAAATGCGGGGGGTAGGGAGCCCTGGGACGCCCGGATACGACGACGGGTTGGACGTACCATCTGATGGAGATCTGTTTGGCGGGTTCAACAGTGTCACACTACACTATGATGGGGAAAGTTGAAAAACTATTATTCCGTCGTTGTGCCACGGTGGCATCTCGATATTTCCTTGGTTGTATGATACCATGCTCTGCTTTATTTCATTGACGGATTGCTTGCATAGTAAATTCACTTGTATTATTTGCACTCGCTTTTTAGTATTATTATGTCCGAAGGATCTATTCTAATCATGACGCCTGTTGATTGTTTTTGAAATGACATCAGATAACTCGGGGATTAGCCGATGCGGCATGTTTCTCCATGGACCAGGGACAGGAGATAGAGGGCGCGGGGAGTGGTTCTTTAAAGGTCGGGCGGATCGCTGAGGAGGAGAAGCAGAGTGAGAAGATCAAGGTTTAGTTGCGGTAAGTCTAAATTAGGAAGTGGGACCCCGGATAGTGCAAAAGTGAACCAAGGCGGCCGATTACCTATGCCGCTGAATAGATTTCGATCAAGGATAGCCTCGGCGCCGAGGAAGTGGAATAAAAGCCAAATTTAGGATATTTCCGAACGCGGCCGCGGCTTGCACCCTTGATTACGTTTTAATTTTTAAAAAGGAAAGTGCGGTAACAAAAAATGGATATGGAATGTTGACGTAAATTTATTCGTAACCTAATTTCGGTGTTGACGATTTCGGTTGATGAGTTATTCTCCACCGCCCATTTCGATTTTGAATCTAGTTTTATACTTAGCTACCTTTTATAAATTATCAAAAAAGGTCTCCGATCGACGACTCCTACCTACTACTACTTTGCATTTTTTGGCTTCTTTTTAGACAACCTACATAGTTCGCACTTCCCCTCCTCTCCTTTTCTCATCTTTTTTAACGGCGACCCACGAACGACGACCTCCACAATGCAGGACTTGTACACAACCCAATACCCAAACCAACGCACTCACCAGCAATGGTCTCGTCCATCAACTGACTATCCTCAGATTAATACAACTGGTCCAACTTACCCACAGCAGCCATCAGCTTCTCATTCTAGTTCTAGCAATGGCTCTCCGACAGAGGATAGTCCACCTGCTTCTCTCAAAGTTCATGAGCAGCAGCAACCTCCTCCTCCAAAGTCAGAGGCAAAGCCTCAGGCAACTTTCTTGACAAAACTCTACGCGTATGTTTGACCTAGTCGCGTCCATCCAACTCTTTAAATTCATAAACGCGTTTAAAGTCTTCTAGAGCGTCCAGAAAATCATCACATGATCCGTTGGGATCCTGCAGGAGAACATATCATCGTAGAGAGGCCAGAACAGTTGGCCCTCCATGTCCTCCCAAGCATTTACCGTCAATCGAGATTTGCAAGCTTCTCCCGGCAACTAAATGTATCTATGCTTCCATCCTTCTCTCTCTCTCAACCCATTCATATATTTCAACCATTAGATCTATGGCTTCATGCGCAAAGTAAACCTCCGCAACGTCGACCCCGCTATTGATGACCCAGACGCGAGCACATGGTGTAAGTCCGCGTCACAACCACAACCACCCACACTCACTAACAATACGCTACCGCAGCCCACCCCACTCTCAACCGCCACTCCCCCCCTGAGGTCGTGGCTAATTTCAAACGCCGCGTCCCACCGCGTCTTCCTAAACCAAGGAAGCGTGATACCCAGGAGCCTCCCTCAATACCCCCTCCCCGTTCCGCCATCGGTATGGGTCCAGTTCCTCTCACAGTCCCTTCCTCTGTCGGTCCAAAAGGCACTTTGCCTAATGGTGGCCGTGCTCGTGGCTTTTCTGCACCAGGCTCCTTCACTCCTTTGAACCAAAGCAGCGCAGGTTGGAGCGCGTCTTACCCTCACGCTCGTAACCTGCCTCCTCTTACTGTCCCTTCCGAGCCCACTCATCACAACTTGTACAACCAATCTCACTTGCAGCCCATTTCTCCCGCAGAGGAGTCCCCCACCGCTCAGTTCAGCGCAATGGGTCCTGGAAGTGGTTATCATCACCCTCAGCATACTAGCAACAGGGACATGCTTGTCCCTCCTTCGCAGTATTCCTACGCTGACCAGAACTGGCAGTACTCCCCAAACAGCACGACCTCCAACCATTCCGGCAGTTTGTCTTCCTTGTTGAACCCACCGAGCAACAATGGCTATGGTCCACGCCCAACGCCGACCATCAACACTTCATACTCGTCCACCTATTCGGGTGTTTCGATGCACAGTGACAACAGTCCGCCCTCACTATCTCCGGATAGCCGCCCAACGACGGGATACTCCATTTCATCAGTGTCATCCCTGCCGTACGAGGAATCACCGTCGCATCATAATTACCATCAGGCTGATTACTCGCGTCCCGGCTCCAGTCACCACCGCCCCATTTCGCCATCATTGTCACGCCCACCGTCGTCCTCGAAGCAGTATGGTCCGTCGTCCCTGAGCATTCGCCGTCCCCGTCGTCACAGTCAGGCTATGAGTCCATACCCATCTCCTTATGGAGAGCATCCTTCCAACGAGAGACCATCGACGTCGCCTCATCCAGCTGACGATGGAAACATGCCACGAGTGCGCAGTATGATTCAGCTACCGTCTGTGGATTCGTATGGCTTCCCTGCTGGGCAAGCTGAATTCGCTTACTCTGCCGTTGGCGGTGCACCCATCGATTCGATGGATACGCGAAGTGGTTGGGGCCACCACCAGGTTGGACCGCGCCCTTCTACAAGCGCGTCGTCGATCAGCGCAGCTTCGCACACGTCGTCGTCTCAAGCGAACACGCCGCCACTCGGGGACTATGGCGCAGGGGAAGCGGACATTAACCGTTGTGAGTCGCGCGACTACCCCTTGCGCCCCCCGATGTCTCACGGTCTGGCTTACTGACTGTCAGTCTCTTGAAGACTCGCCTGACTTTGGGTTTGTCGCTATGAACGGGCACCTTCCTCCGCAATATACCAAAACTGTGAGCGAGCTCTAGACGCTCCTTTCCCGTGGAGAAAGTAGACTTGTTGCTCGGATTTGCTTTTGTTTTTTTTTAATTCAACTCTTTCCTTGGTGTTTGCGCTTTGACTTTTGGACTACTCTGGCTGCTTTGCGTTTTGCGTTTGCCCTCACGATCCACTTTCCTTTCCTCGCCTCGCCTCACTTTACCCGCTTCCTTGTTGGAAGCTATACGAAATTGGAAGATCTCTTTCATGAACCTTACAAAACGATTGGCTGCGTTTGCATGTGCTCTCTCATCTAGTTCCAGCGTGTATACTTTGCTGCTCCTCATTTGTAGTACCACAACCCCATCATCACTCCCACTTTGATACCTCTCTCTCGTCTTTGGCTCTTTGTGCATACGGTTACCCCGTATACAGTTACCCTCGTTCATTGATATCCCGGCTGCTTTTTTTTTTCTTTCCTTCTCGTCAGTATCTGCAATACATTTTGCTTGTCCCAGAATGATTCAAGTCCGCTTAATCCAATGGGTGAATGATGGCCATTAGATTGAATTTGCAAACGCAAAACTCCCTCAAGCACCCTACAATAAATTGATGAGTTGATTTTTTCCCAGCCAATAACATAAACAAAACAAATATTTGGAATTTGAGAGATAAACGGCGTCCGGATATGTACGTTCCAGATCGGGAAACAGTTTGTTGATCTCGTCTGATCTGGGATCAGAGCGAATGGACAGAATTCTGATCGGGGGCTCGTTTTTTTTTTGATAACGTAATGCGTCAACTTCAACTTGCTGCCGCCATTTCGGATGTTTGCGAGACAGGTGATATGAATGTGGAGGGTGTCGAGCGCGGTGGTCGTTGGGTTGGCTTGCTGTTCATATTCTTTGTGGATTTTCCGTGATATGGTGGAGTTTTTGATCGTGCCAACAGGAAAGAGGGCGACCCTAGGGCTGGCACAGCCGGCCAAGGTTTGCCAATGGATCAATAGCGTTTTTAGCGGCGCACGGCGTTTACTGCAGGGTAACCCTAGTGTCAGGTCAGGGGCAGGCCCAAACATCGTGCTATTAACTGGTATACACGTTTTGTGCTGTATACTAAGGTCCCGTCAGCCTGTGCAGATCGACATTATGCCTCTTATGAACTCGGGCGGTGTTAGTCCAGATACAACACCCAATTTTCATTGGTGTTCTCCATGCGTCACTAGGAAAGATGCGAGAAAAACGACATATGATGGGTGTGGCACGACGGAGATATCCAAAAGTACATATCTCTTTCAAAATACAAACATACATACATACATACATACAAGTTTTGGCTGTTAATCAATCCGCGTCTTATATGATATCCTTGGGTAATAATATACAAAAGTCTAGGCTCGAAAAGAGTCCAATTAAAGGGGGGGAAAAGGCAGCGACTAGACTGCGGGAAGGCCAGACAAACCGCCTTGCGGCGAAACAAGTTCACGCGAAACCAGCTGCGCCTCGCTCATGTTGTTCCGTGTCAGGGGTAATCGTAGGTGTCGAGATCCAACATCGTCATCCTCTCCATGCGACTCTGCATCCAAAAACGCCACTCTTTCTTCCGACGCACTTCCAGAAACCTCCATCTCATCATCCAGTTCATCGTCCACCGCTCGGCGCGCTACCAAACTGATGTAGACGAAAAGTGCAATGCACAAAAGGATTCCGGCGATAGTCCACACTCTGCTCCAGGTATCATCCTCTTCTTCCTGAACATCGGATTCTTTCTTGGCGCTGAACGAGCGAATTCCTGCACCGATGCTGGTGTGCACGATGACTTTGAAAAGGGACAAGGCCGTGCAAATCACATAGGTCCGCATGGTGAGTTTTGGCGTGGCCGCAAGAAGCGCGTTGAGCACATTGTATGGGTAAGGTGCGAGTCTGACGAGGAACAATAACTGTGGTTTGCGTTCGACCGCTCGTACTGCGCGGCATAATGTGCGCGTTGAGGTAAGCCACCGAGAAATTGGCTCGCGCAAGAATGTTCGTGATAGCCAGAACACAACGACAGCACCAGAGAGCGCAGCGCAATATGAAATGGCTGCGCCGATCCACGGCCCAAAGGTATATCCAGATAATGTGATCAGCGTGGAATACAGTGGGAGAGGGGCTATTGAAACGTGAGAAACACCGACACACATGCGTGAATTTCTGACAAAAAGATAAATTAAGAAACGGGACATACGGAAGGTTGTGATGAAGATGAGACAGAACAACACCGCGTAGCCAAAGTGTTCGTCGTTTCGCAACCAGTGTGAGAGGTGGTCAAGGCCTGCCAGAAAGAATTATTTGTGAGCAGTGCATTTGAAAATGGCGAAATTTAAGCGCGGGCATAATCGCGCGAACGAGGAATGGAGATTTGACTGCATTATTCTGCAGCAGTAGGCCACTAGGGCACCGAGGTCACGAAAGGAAACGAACAGGAACCCATTACTTACCGTCGAAAACCTCGGTCTTCCAGAATGCGATAGCTAAGATAAAACCAAGGCTAGTTGCGCCGTAGGCCAAGATAGGCAGCCATTGTTTGAAAAGATTCCATATCCGCAGCCCGCGCGGACGAACGTATCGTTGTGATTGTGAGAGGGTTTGTGATGACGAAAGGGATGAAGAAGAAGCGAACGAAGAAGAACGCATTGGAGTAAAATGATGGGATGAACGCGAGCTTCGATGCGGGGAAGGACGCGAGTTGAGAGGTATACCATTTGGAAGTGAACCTGGGCCTGATTTCTCGCTCAGTACCGGTGAATCACCGCTCAGCTGCACGGCCATTGGCTTGGCAGGTATGAACAGGGTCTGAACAGATCTACTACTTGTCCTGGTTGCAAGACGCCCTAACCGCAATCGCGCTGCTCAGCGCACACAACGAATGGTAGTCAGGATGGCTCTTGGAGAAAGAGAGCAGAGAAAAGGAACGTCGGGTCGCAAGGCGATACAATATTTTAAGTAACACTCGAGCAAGCACATGCTGCTAACTATGGGTTTCCAAGATATTGCATGCGTGCCTTATCTCGGTAATGTCCCACGCCACTTTTATATAGGATCGCTATGACTGGTTCACGTTGGTAGTCACGTTCGTGGCACATACTGCTGCGGATCGTCGTCGGCATTGATAATTCTATAATGCTGAACATATCTAACGGTCCGTACGGGTTGATGCAGGGCTAGGGAACGAAGATTTTGAGCGCCTTGCCACGTCGCGGACCGTGACACGTGCAAATATCGGGAGGCTGCACTCCGAGTCAACTGACTTTTGTGCGATCAGTAATTGCCAATCCATATATTTGCAATCCAACACTCTTCTCAGCGTCTGCCAGATGAGTTGGCCAGTCAGAAATATAGTGGTCTGATGTTGGGCGGAGATATGGGGGGGCAGAACGTGGTGGACCAGGGTACCTGAGAAGGCTTGGCCTCTTTGCTAATACATATCACCCAATACGAACAGTAGTTTGATTGAAAGCGAGAAGCGAGGAACCGAGGGTGCACATGCAAGTAACAGGAGATCGTGTGCCCTGTCAGCAAAAACGGCTGTTAAGCAAGTGAAGGGCGGATGTGACAACATAGCGAGCAGAAAACAGAAATTCATGCTATGCTGATTCGGGGAGGGCGATGACTTGCGAGAACAGGTCAAGAGGGTCAGACAAAGAACGCCGGCCTAAATATATGTCGCCTCCACAGTCCGTGCATGACGAACAAAAATATTAATATTTTTTGCGATTATCGCCCAACATCATTTTGCCGGTCAAAGCCTATGAAAAATAATTTGAAACAGCGGGACCGCAGGGAAGGAGTCTTCAGAATCTCTCCCTCGCTGATGAAGTCCCAATATGTCCGCGACACGACATTGTCGGCATGCGCACATGAGTTTCTAGTCGCGAATGTTAATAACATTGTCATTGGCGCCAACTAGAGGCGAGAGATAACGAGGCTTACTTTTCAATGTTGGACCAGCTTGGATGTAATGCAGCCTGATTGAAGATTAATTTCTCTTTTCGTCTCACCATTGAATACCGAGTCGAAAAGAGAAAGCGTTCTGTCGGGTCCTGATCAACGCTAAGCCTAATCTCCCCCAGTCGTACCAAATAGAAGGAAGGCCTAGTCTTCTTTATACATAATGCGGGGACTAGGCCCAGCGACTGGAACCTCGAGTGCGCTCGCGAACTGTAACTGTTCGTGGAGATTCGGATGGGCATCGTCCCCATTGAGTCGGATGGCCCCGGAGAGCTCTACATCATGATCAGCTATTTCGGAGGTCCTGTGCAGTGTGGGAGTGAACTTCGGGGAGATGCGTTGAACTGAGGTCGCGAGCAGGAGAAGCATGTGAGCAGAGTCTAGAGCCTCTCATTGACACTGAATCTGTCTTGCGTGTAAGATAGGCACGAGAGACCACAGTGTGAGTGTGACCCTTGCGCCCATGTTGCTTATGCAATCAGGAGCAGCCGACAATCGAGACTCTTACTGCATCTCACACGTCAACTACAACTGGGGTTGCAACTTTGAAGGCTTTTCCTATACAGAGTTACCGCCGTTCGCATCTTGGCACCAACGTCCAAGCAAAGCTACCTCGTGTGCGCATTTTATCTCTTGATATCTCATGTTCTCTGAATCATTCTGCACGATGTCACAGTCCCACGTTTGATGAACTTTTGAACTTTGTTCTGTTCATTAGAAGCGCCGTTCACCCTAGCGAGCGACTTCTCCACCCACAAGAAATATTTTTGCTTTGCACCCCAAACACCGCGGGCAAAGTAAAATATTCACCCATATTTTCTGGCCTGTTTCACGTCCATACGAGTCATTACGGAAGGCCTTCCGATTTGTAGAAACATATGGCGCCCTTAACGCGCCTCGTTCAACCGCGATCTCTACATGTTCCCCTACGGCGGATCCGTGGGTACTCGTCAACCACGGAACCTCGGTCCGCGCATTCTGAATGGTATGCATCCATGTTGCCGGGCATGATTCCGGTAGCTCTTTTGGGCTCCGCTGTGTACATGGTAAGTAGTGTCATCCTCGCATCGTGGGTCACTGGCATTCTTCGCTGCGTTCCCTCGCGTCATGATCTGAATTCAACGTGTCAACATGTTTACTGATGGTGTGCTTTGACTTGATCAGGGGTTGCAGCTATTACAGAGCCGGCTGGATCACGAGAAATTTCTAGATGAAGCACGAGACCATGTACGTCAACTCGAAGAAGAGGTGGACAGGTTGCAGAAGGAACGGGCCCTGCAACCATTGACCACATCATCATTACGCGTCCCTGCCTCTAAGTGGTGGCCGTGGTGATTTTTTATATAGCAATACTTGTCATTATCGGTTCAAGTCATTTGTAGTAATTTTCGCCAGCCCAAAATCATCATTCTGTCTACAATAAATACATGCGTGACCAAGGCGAAATCAAGCAATATATTAGCAAAGGGTATTAAAAAACAACCAAAAAATCAGTATGCGATGCGAGGTGATGGGTAGTAGTAAAAACATGCATGATAACATAGATGAAGCACACGAGGAACGGTCGAACACCGGAAGCATGTCAACGTTTGGGCACGGCAAGAGGCGTAAATGAACATGCTTCGATCACCTTTTCCTCATTCAAGTCACGAATAGCTAGTGCCATGACGTTCAACTAGTCAGGGCCTTGTTGACAAGCGCAGTTCTATACTTGTCGTACAATTTTGCGGAGCTACCAAACGCCGATTAGGAGTATGAAACGGCAATGACAATGGGGGATGTTACCTAAGGACTGCTGCTGCAAGGCCAGTAAAGGACTGGACAGTGTCTTTCCACCCTTTGATCCTGAAGATATCATATGCTGTAACGCGAGGATGTCAAGGGGGAAATACCTGTGCAATCAAACTACTTACAGACGAAGATGAGATCCATGACAAGTTTCGCCCTTGAGGCCTGGAGCCAGTAGTTCTTCTTTTGCAGGCGTGTTAGCTCACGCTCGTCAATTTTTGACGCTTTTGGTTGTGACTTGGAAGTAGCCCCCGAGAGGGACTCTTTGTATGCCCTTGATTGAACTGAAACAAATGATGAACAACCGGGCTTGAAGAGATGAAAAGATGGATAGTTCACCTTCTCGTTGTTGGCCCTCAATAAGTCCCATTTCGACTCCATTCTCAACCAGACCGACCAGTGTAGCAAATAGCCAACACCAGTCAGCAAACCGGGCCGCGCGTTCTCCCAGCTTAGGACCAATTAGGCCGAGTCGCGAAAGCGAGTATATATCATCTGACAGGCCGTTTACAAGCTCGAGGAGAACAGGGGGTGGAGCCGATAACAAAGCACGAAGGACCGGGTGCGAAAGGAAGGGGCCCCCCGACAATTGCGAAGATTTAGAGGATGACGCGGGGGTGGCTGTGAAGCTGTGAGGGATAAGGGAAGAGCCGGAAGACGAGAAGGGCACAGATTGTTGCGCTAATACCTGACTCAGGGGGGCTAACCAGTTGAACATGATGAGCATTTTTCTGTGTGCACCGTCAATTGGCAATAACGATGTTAAAGTCAAAATGTTAGCCACCTAGTGAAGGAGAACCCATTTTTTGCAGCCACAAGCCTCCGTACAATTTCCCGCTGCCAAGCGGACTTTCCGCTACGAAATAAAATCTTGCTGTGGAAGAGCAGATACACACGTATCGAGTATTGCATTAATTTCTACTCCAGAGATTACTTCTGTCGCTTGTTCGGCGAGCATATTATAGTCACTCACAAATGCTTTATCCCGTCCATTACTTGTAACAAACATATCCCGCCATACCTCGTGTGTCCCGACCAATTTTTCAGCTTCTTTTACACGTACGTCTTCCTCGTCTAGCTCCACGTCTTCGTCTTCATCTACCTCCACCTTGTCCGCTTTGACCGTCTCTCCGTCTTGTTCTTCCTCTGCCTTTTCGTCGTACACGCTAATGCTCATGCTCATGTTCCTAAAGTGCGAGTGCGACTGCGCAGCGGTACTCGGGCGGGGCGTACGAGGCGGGTGCGCAGAAAGAGGGTTCATTTGAAAGGAATTTGACATGTCGAACGCAGGAGGCGTGTAGAAGGGCGCCTGCATCGGGTCGTGCAGTGAGCTGGAAGATGAGCCCATCTCGTCGCCCAAGTTCGGGAACGTGATTGAAGACATTTATGCGGTTTCGAGTGCTCGATTTCAGTCAACAAAGTAAGACTAGGAGTGGCTAGGATAAAGGTTAGGACACTGGAACAGCACACAGGAAACCTGTCTGTAGTAGTTGTGAGTCTCTGTATCTCAAACTCTCACGACCGCGGACCGGGCGAACAAACCCATACGACCAAACAAATGTAAACGCCTTCGCTCGACAGTTGGCGCGATCTGAGTTCAGCTCAACTGCATTCAAACCATTGCTCCTCGTTTATCTCTAGCTGGAGGAAGGATGACAACAACCCTGGGACTCCGGTCCCCTGTTTCGCGGTCTGGAGCGGTATCGCCTCAACCTCCTAGACCCGCCTTCGATACGGAGGTGTTGCGAGCATACGTGAAGAAACTATTGCCAGCAACGCTTTCGCATGCTGTGTGGTCACCTATTGAACGAGACCAAGTAAAAGCGTGGATGAAGGAGATTGGAGAACGCGTCAAAGAGCGGATGGTGGAGATTCAGCCACATGGATTGTAAGTGCAATGACTGGCTGCTTACATTGAGCTCATCTCGTGACCCTGTGTTATATACTGACACAGTAAGTATATGGTCTTGGTCCAGATCACGGAGAATATGGGGCAAGGTGGCCGGTAGGAATTATCGCGATCTATATATCGATCATCGATCATCGTTGATCATCGCCCGCAGGTCACATATGGTGTCTCACTGGGAGGACGGCGATGTCTGCTTGAACGAACTCTTTTACAATGTGGGCATATCTTGACATGCGGGCTGAACGTTTGATCCGCTAACTCATGACCGGTGACAATCGTAGGACTCATTATTCTGTACATGTACCGCCATCGCGGTGCGGGCCTCATGACACATCTTTGGGTTGCCGTTACCCTCTGTTCAAAGGCCTTGAATCTAGGCTTAACTTTCGCGCACTCGATAACCGTAATCACTTGCACTAAAACCACGATATGTCACGAAATTGCATAATTACTACACTTTATTCGACGACTACGCAATCGCGTCATTGGATCACCTCAGATTTGCGAAAACTTTCCTGTCGATCCTGTAATGGGTAGCTTCCAATTCTCTGCACGTTAATCGACGCATAATTTGTTATGCGCGCGCTCACTACATGGTAAGGCTGATTGATGTCCGTGACGTCAAAAAATCAGATATGTCCATTGGAAAAGTTCTGATGCTGAGAAAGAAGCTCTTGAGCTTACAGGTTGGTTTGATACATTTTGGCAGATAAGTTCGTCATGATTGTTGTCTTACTTGAAAGTCATTATTCGACGGCTTCTCACGTTCACGTCAACGATGCCACTTTGGCTCTCAGCTTGATCTGCTCAAGCACCCTTACGTTGATGACTTGCTGACCGCTGAAGCGCCCTGTGATTGGTGGAAATGACTCCGTTGGACTAGAAACGGGATGTTCCTTGTACTAGTCCAGATTTGAAGTTGGCAGTATTCAATCTTGAGATCGATGGGCGGGGCATTCCGGGTGTTCCCGCTCACATCTTATCTCACAAGGGGCATAGTTGGTCTACCAGCGTGTTTTACCAGCTGTTCTCCTAGTGTCCGAGGAACGGACCGTCATAAACACGCATTTGATAGGATCATGATGGGGGCACGATGCCAGGCCTTACTCTGGACAAACGAGCGGCACCGGGGATCGCATTCATGAATAGACACATGGCCTCGTGTTCGACTTGCCTACCATTAGGTTCAAACATCTGACCTGCGTTTTTACTCAGGTACAAAGATACCGCGGAGTCAAATGACGATGGGCCGCGATTTGAATCAGAGACGATCAAAAGTTTCTCGCCAGATCCATTGCAAGTTGCTACCTGTGCGTTGTTTCGGTCAATGTTGGCTTCTATTGATGATAGCCAAAACTTGATGCCACTCCCATCCCTTGCAATTGGCTACCTGGAGAAATACGTACATGCGTGAGAGAACCCTCGTTTTTGAGACTTGTCTATCAGTGAAGGTGACTATTTGGATATGGGGTAGGTTCTAGAAGGTAATATTTCTCCAATAGACACAAGACGCGACCATTCTAGTGTTTCATTAAAGACGGGCGTATTTACTTGAGTACCTCATTGTAGAGTTGGAGGGCGACCATCAATCTGGCATGTTGACTTTTGGTTGGTGCCCCTATATCATAGATCTCGTCCCGGTTCAAATTATTCACGGACCGTTCAACACATGTATCACAACAGCATTCTCGCGTAACATCAGTACTCATTTCTCGCGCGGGAGTTGATGCGAGTAGCCAGCTGCCCGGCACCACCATGACCATACGCTCAACGTCCTCTTTCAAATCGATATTTTGGTCGACTAGTTAGTCAATACTCGTGCAACCCGTTCTCACATCCCTGATCGAGTGGGAATTTGTGCTATCGATCTCATCAGGGAAACCCGGGACGGATTTGCCTATATCGTTATCTGCTAGGAAGAGCCCGTTGTAGAATATCTCCCTCGACCACCCATCATGACATATTTCAACATAGCCAGTCCACGTTGCAAGATAGCTCATTGTCACTGAGGGATGGGTGGATATCCATATTCAAATAAAAAAATTAATATTGTTAATGTACTTAATTCCGGCGGCCATCGCAAGGTCCTCTACGAGGAGAGCCATCCAAGGTTGAGTTCGTTACGTTAATGTGCACATTTGTAAATCATCTACTTACCGACGATAATTCACCACTGTCTCGTAGTCGACCTGACCCGCCGGGTGTACATGCCCATGCTTCTAACCAAGTCCTATCTTGCGGTGATACAAGGCTAATATCGAACCACGGAGGATCTGAGGGGCGATAGGCGTGCTAGTGGCGATGCGCCTTCTACTTTTTTCGTCTCGAGATAAATATGGGCGCCTCGAAGTCGAACCAGTTCAACTTTAAAGATATAGGTTTTCGGGGTCCTCTTCGGTGTGTTTTACATGTCCGCTTCAGATATGCATGAGCCCACTTTGCTGCCTAGCGATGCAGTACCTGCGAACTAAGCTCCGATATGGTTTTGTGCAAATCCCAAGTAATGGAATATGAGTCCACGCGCTGTAGCGAGAATAAGGAGGTCCGAGGAGTGGTCACGATCCACTTTCTCTTTACAGACACTTGAGCGGGTGGAAGTGCGGAAGGCCGACGTTGACCAACCGCTCACTGTCTCCGAAACCTTTCTCCACACAGACAAAATTTGAACCGCTTTCGTATGTGACACTGCCGCAGGTATGCTTTTGGCCACTATTAAAATAGACAGTGAGAAGACTCGTCGGAGAAGGTAGGAGAAGATACGGCGCTGTAAAAACGCTTGTTGATTTTCCGGTGCTTGTAGTCGTTGCCGCCGCATCAACCAGTATCAGCCCTCATCAGCCGCACAAAGATTCTCATGACTAACAACACCAATGAGGTATCCAGGTCAGGAGTGCTCTTGAAACAAGTCGTTACTGACGTTCGGGGACAACCTTGTGCGACGATAAAGGAGGATCTCTCGCATTTTCGGCCAAACAATCCCATCGTGACTCCGAACGACTGCGGGATACGAATGTGGACGTGAGATAAGACGATAGAATGATGATCCCTGAAACATGAGTGCCGTTAGAGCGGAATGAACATTTCCTACTCTCCAGACTTACTCTTTTGGTAATAACATTGTTGGCTAGACTGTCATTAAGCAATGGCACCCGCTCACATGTTTCTCATCAGATCTTAACACTATCAGCAGCTGACCCGCTTCGCGACAATCCGTTGAAGTATGGGTTGTGGCGGTGAGAGACCATCGCTGAGTACATTCGTACGCCACAAAGCCCCAATGTTCCAGGAAGGGCAGGAACTGAGAAGCCACGGCGGTAGCAAAGAAGTCCGAGGCAGCTACACACTTGTCGTTTAAGGCGCTCAAATTGACGGGCCATAATAGGTAAGGCGTCTCGCTGGCACAAAGATGACCAGAACAGATTCGCCTGGGCATCCTCTGGGCGGCGTTGCCTGGTGGGTGACCCGAATGTGCCCGTAATATTCTTCGCATGGTCAAAAATTGTGCCATCGGAAACATTCTCAATGAGAAATTTAGCTCTTTCGCTTTAGTCAGGCCGATTGTAGCGGAAAGTCCCGATGATGCCAAGGTGTAATGCGAGGGAATGAATATAGCAAGGAACGTTCCCCGACTTCAACCTAGTCTACGAGAGATTAGTCCCCCTCCTTACGTAAGTGGCATCGAGCAGCAGAGCTCGGCCTATAACTCCATCTTAATGTCATCCTGACTAGGATGGAGATATTGGACGGTTTCTGGAAAGTTCGACACCAACGCCTCGTTCAGAAGTTTGCGATAGGACTGCAGGAGAAGCATCAATGTGGGTCGAATGAAAAGAGGGACGCCCTCACGTCAATGGCTGCTATCTTGCCGTTCATGAATTGGTTCTCGGTGGCTGCTCTTTCTAAACGTTCTTTTGTCAATTGCATGGGATTGCGTGCGTTGTCGATATCAGACAAGACTTGAAAAGGTATCATGGTGCGAATATCTTGTGCCCTGTTATCGATGGACGTAAGGTGATTGACGACCTCATTTCTGATCGTTTCTGATCTTTAGGATGATAGATAACTGAAGGATCAAAGAAAACGCACGCGCCAAGGCCTACCAGCTTCGCACCACCTGGTCTGTCGCGGTCTTTAGTGGAGTCGTTGATTACAGTAGTTCCTAGATTGTATAAAGCATTGGCGAGCCCAAGAAGTTCTAATTCCAAATCACCCTGTGGACCAGAAGGCGGGGGTGATTGGGAAGAGCGCGGTGAATCTGGTGCATGTGAGCTCAATGTCTGGGACTCGGGATTGAATGAGGTCATGATTCAAGTCTTAGATAGTTACAAAATCTATGGATTACTAAATATGTAATAGTGGTAGGGTTAGGGTTAGCACCTAGAAAAGTCGAAAAAAAATGGCCTGCCCAGCCAGAGTGGCCGTGGCAGGACTGGAAAATATTGAGACGGTGCATGAGCCGGAGCTCATACAAACCGTGGTTACCCTCTGTATGGACAAGGTCGCCGTGCTATGAAGGGTCCCCAAGGCCCACAAACCCGGGTACATGAAGGAGCCTATGCCATCAAGGTAAGTATGAGTTGTTCAGTACTTTCTCATCATCCTTATATACCTTCACCCTTCGTGCACGGACCACCTTGGTTACAAATACCAAATTCGGAATGCTGTAAAAGCAAACGCAGTACTTAATACTTCGCGTCCTTGGACGCGACGACGTATGGCTCAATGTCTGTATATCTCGGAGATACAGTTATCTGTCTTTTATTGGATTTTTGTCCTTGACACAAGCCGCGGAAAACATGTCTCTCAAGCTACTCTTGCTGCTCTCGCAAGGACTTGTCGTACTTTTCATGATGTAGCTTTGGATGTCCTCTGGCAACAATTTGGCACTATCGCGAGAGCGATTCAGTGTATGCCACATGATTTGTGGGGCGGAGACTCTAGCAGGTCTCAGTCAGGCTGTATTCATTTAGTAAGAGCATCTCTCCCTCTTCTGTTCCATATTCCTAACACCGTGTATTTGTTAGAAACTTCATAGGAACTTGACCAAAGATGACTGGAATATCTTCCATAAGTATGCTTTACGCATACGTCACATCAGTCTTGCCAATCAGGACATACGCCGCAGGAAAACATTGATGGTTGACATTGACGATGAATTACTCGTTTCTCTCGCCTCTATGGATCCCATCCAACCGTTGCTGCCAAATCTCACATACCTTGAGTGGCTTATCTATGACGAGGGCGACTTGAGGCTCATCAGTCGAATTATGACCAAGTCCCTCACTTCTCTTTTCCTTGAGGTCTGGGCCATCTCGCCACTTCCTAGCCTGCAACAGTTCATCTCCTCGATTGCCCCTGCGTGTCCCTCTTTACGACAATTGACCGTACATTCAGTAGCCCTTTCAAATCATCTTCGCGACTCCGTTTCTCAAACTCTTTGCCACCTGCCCCATCTCACTACATTACACTGCGGAGTCCTCGATGCCCAAGTTTTGGACCATTTGTCACGCCTACCGTCTCTGGTAGAGCTTAAATTTGCTCTCCAGCCAAATATCGAATTCCAGAACGAGCTTCCGTTTCAACACCTTCAAGTACTTGGCGTGCATGCACAAAACATCACATCTGCTGTCGACCTCGTGAGCAGAATGCGGAACAACCTTACAAACCTCTCGATCTGCAGCGATGACCATACAGGAACATTCGTTTTGGCACAATTGTTTCGTCGCCTCTCCACTTCCGTCAATCACTACTCCCTTCGTCACCTCCATATCATGGTTGCAGAACGCCCTCCACATCGCATGTTTGACTCAATCCCTGTCATGAAGCTGGAGGAGCTCCACCCGCTTTTGTCATTCAAACGATTAACGCACGTACATCTTGATGTTGGGTGTGGGATCTCTTTGGATGATGTCGCCGCTTTGGAACTGGCACAGGCATGGCCAGATATCGTGCATCTCGTGCTGAACAAATTTCTAGACAATCCTCTGCCGTCGTCGATGACTCCAATTGGACTAATGTGTTTCCTCAAGCACTGCCCCAACTTGACGGAGCTAACACTTGAAATCGATTTTTCTTTGGTTGAAGAACAAGACGATCAGTCCTGGGTCGGAGATGTTACCCACCAGCACCTTTCTACCCTCGATGTTACTTATTCGAAAATCCACGATGCAGCAAAAGTGGCTGCATTTTTGGCTGGTGTCATACCGCGTACAGCTCATATACGATACTCGTGGATACATGCACTGGACGATCAACGGGAGTATGCAGAGAAGTGGCACGAGGCCTCGAAACTCTTGCACGCGGAAGAAGAGGAGCAGCTTTTAATCACTTGTTAGGCAATTTAGAAGAGGACATCAATCTAGGTATATATACCTCAATCCGCACATTTATATACATACTATACATTCAACTTACATACTCTTTGGAATATTCAGTCTGTATCATAGTGGTTTCATATGCAGGGGATGATCTTTCATTTGCTTACGTCATAGCACCTTCGACTTAACTTGAACCTCGTCTTGAAGAACAGTTCTCCTAATGAGCGGACTAGCCGACGAACTCCTCGCTGACATTGACGATCTGTCAGATGGTGGCGCTGAGGAATATGACGAGCCCGCCCCAGCAGCTGCGCCCTCCACGAGTAACGGCATCACCAACGGACTGAAGAGAAAAGCTGTCGAGGATGCAAACATGTCAGAGGAGGAGGTCGATGCTGAGGAAGAAGAGGCCTCTGCAGACGAAACCGCCGGATTGGTCCTCGAAGGCGGCATTAAACCTGCAGATGAACTTGATGCAGAGGATGTACAGCAAATGGACTTGGGAGGGATCGAGGACGTGAGCTCCGTAGCGAAGCTAGAAGGCAGTAAACGAATGGCAGACATCTTAAAGGCATGCGTTGATGCCTCTTAGATGGACCCATGCTTGAGCTGACTTGCGACGCGCTCAGGAAATTGAGAAATACCAAGCCAACCCCAGCACGCCGGAAGCGATGTCATTACCCGCTCATCTGAACCCGGAATACACTCTCATCGTGCAAGCAAATAATTTGTCCGTGGATGTAGACAATGAAATTCTCGTGGTGCACAAGGTATGGTTCGTGGTTGTTGATGTTCATTCATCCCCCTGACTTCGCGTTTGTAGTTCATACGTGACCATTATGCGGCAAAGTTTCCTGAATTGGAGCAGCTCGTCCCAGACCCAGCGCAGTATGTCCGCGCGGTTCGCGTTCTCGCCAATACAGAGGTAAGAACGGGTTCCCCGTATACCATCCTGCTCACTGTCGACTTAACAGGACCCCACAAAAGCTGACCTTGCAGGCGTTCTTCCGCCTGCAGTGGTCATGAGTGTTCTCATAACTGCAACAACGACAACCGGTCAAACACTCACGGACGCCCAGTGGGCTGCTGTCGAGAAAGCCTGTGACCTTGCAGACAAACTTGAGGAGGCACGTAAAAGGGCAAGTCGTTCTCTCTTCTGTGCGATAAATATGGTAGCTAATGAAGGGGGAAACAGATTTTCATGTACGTCAGCTCAAGAATGAATGTTCTGGCACCAAATCTTTCAGCCATCGTTGGTACCACTACAGCTGCAAAATTACTCGGTGTGGCAGGCGGCCTCGGTCCCCTCGCCAAAATGCCAGCATGTAATGTTCATGTATGCGCCATTTTTACTTAGTAGCACTCCTACATCACACATCTCACAAATTCCATGTAGCTGCTAGGCGCCCAGAAGAAAATCTCGTTAGGTTTCTCGACTTTTACTCAACGGCGGCACACTGGTTTCGTCTACCAGTCTGACTTGATACAGATGACGCCAGCTGAATACCAACTCAAGATTCAGCGAACAGTTGGAGCAAAATCTGTCCTGGCTGCACGCATGGACCTTGAACGGACACGAAGAGACGGTCGGTTTAGTTTCGTGGGCGGTGATGGATCCTTGGCTGATGGTATGTATGCCCAGGCTCATATGGTGAAGAGCTTCGAGAAAAAATCGAAAAACACATCGATCGGCTGGCTGCGCCCCCACCTGCTAAAACCACGAAGGCACTTCCAATACCTAACGACGGACCGAAGAAACGCAGAGGCGGCAAGCGGTAAGCCATCCATCGGATTTGACGTCGTTCATACTGACACACTTGTAGAGCGCGCAAAGCGAAAGAAGCGTATGCGCAGACGGAACTCCGCAAGCTGCAGAATCGAATGGCATTTGGTGAGGCTGAGGAGGAGGTTGGCGCATTTGATCAGACTAAGGGTCTGGGAATGATTGGCGTCGGCACGGGTAAAGTCCGGGCTGGTATGGGAGAGGCGAAGAGTCGTGGTAAGTACCCTACCTCCCGTTCCACGTTTTTGGAGACCTGAAACGCTTCGGCCTCGGCAGCAAAACTCTCGAAAGCCAACAAGTTGCGCACTGCAGCGCTCACGCGCGCGGCACAAGGCGGATCGTCAACATCCGGAACAGCGACATCACTGACGGTCACACCTGTGCAAGGTGAGAACCGCTGTGGAGTCGTCGTGGAATGGACTACTGAAAACTTCTCATAGGTTTCGAGCTAACAAATAGTGCTGCCGCTGCTCAGCGAGTGAAGGAAGCTAATGAGCGCTGGTTTGCATCCGGGAATTTCTCATTTGTGGGACAGAAAGGCACCAGTAGCAAGGTATAAGGCTGGGCTTTTCGCATCTATCTTATGCACACTATGTAGCATCACTCGTTCTAAGTAGCACGCATGGCATTTATAAAATGCAAACTATCGTTGGGACGTGGTAATACAACTAACTACTAGTACTTATCATCCAACCTAGGACATTTTGAGAATATGTGAACATAAATGCAGGAATTGATGCGAACATGGATATGCGAAACAAACGAAACGAAGGGACGTGCGCGAGGAAGGCACATGGAAAAACGCCGGCCTGAGAAAATGTTTATTTATGCAGTCATACCGGGATGTGCTGTGGCCACTGTCTCCCCGGTAACTGCACTCTGGGTTACATCGATGAAGCCCGCTTTGTGACCTTCGGCTAGTTTACTCCGCTTTGACCGATAATCCCGAATGGCAGAACGAATAGCATCCTCTGCCAGCACTGAAACAATCCGTGTCAAATGTGTTCACGAATGTACTGTGAGAAAATACTCACTGGAGCAATGAAGCTTCACAGGGGGAAGACACAACTCCTTTGCAATTTCAGTGTTCTTGATTTTCCCTGCCTCCTCAAGGGTGAGACCCTTGACACGCTCAGTCATATACGAGCTCGAAGCGATGGCGCTGCCACAACCAAACGTCTTGAATTTGACATCACTGATGATGCCGCTTTCGTCTACACGGATTTGGAGCTTCATGACGTCTCCACAACTGATCCACAGGCGGTTGTCAGAATGGAAAGGTAAACAAAATAATGAGAATATACTTACGCAGGTGCTCCGACCAACCCAGTACCGACATCAGCGTCATGTTTAGGTAGAGAGCCTACCTGGAATAGCGGGAGCACAATGAGTCGTCGCAACCGAACGATAGAAAACACGACACTTACATTTCTTGGGCTCTCGTAATGCGAAATGACATTCTCATGGTAACCACGGGCGAGCACTGGTGCTACACCAGCTCTTGCAGCCTTTGGTGCTATTGCAGTTCTGAGGCCAGTCTTTGTGAGTGCTGAACGGAACATGGTGGATGATGAAAGAGAAGTGCGAGAAGATTCAATTCCGGAGCGTCTAAGAAAGGGTTTTCGGAGTTCGAATAACGTTACAGTGGGAATCTTATCTGACAAAGATTTTGCTTATCTGATCACTTTTTTTGGTCTGGTCTGTTGATACTCAGTGGATCAGATCGCACTTCCGTCGTCGCACGCGTCAACGCGTCATCGACGGCGCCACTCACCCTGTATTATTCGTCGTACGCTGTGTCCTCAAGAGCCTTTCCGGTTTATCAATAATCAATATGAATGCGGCAGGCCGTTGGTCTCCGCGGGCCCGCAGCTCACTCATAGAGTCCCTGGAGAAGGCGGCCTATTCTTGACCTACGTAGTACCACCTAATCTCCGTGCTCGACTCGGACCGCACCGCCAAGCCTTGTACTGAGAGGTCCTATATCATAGACATTGCCTGCGACGTAGTTACTTCCGTGAATTGAATTGTTATCGCCCTTACCACAGGTGCGTGCAACGTGTGTTATGTCTTGTGGTCATAAATCACACCACAACGGGGGGCGGAAACACACGCAAACTAGCAGCTACAATTGCAACAGTTCATGAACAGAATGCTGCCAGATCCAATCGGTTTCAAGGATTCGGACACGTGGATATGCAGTGATCGATCATGGCTCGTGGGAAGATATTGCCATTCCTGTCAACCATACTATCGGGTATCCTCATCCTCCTTTCTTCAGTCAAGTTCAATGTCTCTGGCGCGTCCTTCAGCGGCTCAACAGCCTGCTGACACCCTTCCCCCCACAGCCAGAGCAATCGCTCTTCTCCTTGCATCCACACCAACGGTACAAGATGCCCAGCTAGGCGTTTTACATCAACTCCTGGAATTCGCTCATCGATATACCGCTCAAGTACTTTCTGATGCACAGGTATACGCAGAGCATGCAGGGCGCTCCGGCGCGTCAAAGATAGAGATGGATGATATTGTTCTCGCTATACAAGCTCGCGTGGGTTGGGAGTTTGGTGGTCGTGTACCCAAGGAGGTGTGCTGATGATACTGTCCGCTTCATTCGACTTCCGTCCTCAAACGCCTTTCTGCAGTATATTTTATCATTAGCATCTCAGACAAATGCTACACCACTTCCTTCTGTTCCAGAAGTATTCGGTGTCAGGCTCCCACCCGCATCTGAGACGCTTACTGCTGTCAACTTTGATCTCGTGCCCAATAAACCACCTCCAGACGCGAAACTTTACGACGAGGAGGTCGAAGAGATTGAGGAGGAAGACGAGGAGGAGCTGCCGGACGGTCAAGATGAGGATGAGGATGCTGACATGGAGCCTGCTGCCATACCATACACCAGTGCAGCTCCCATTACACCAACTGATGTTGACATCAGCGCTGGCACACCTGCACCTGTCGTTGCAGCAGAAGCACTGGAAGAAAACAGCGATACCGAGGAAGCGGATGGTCTATTTGGCGGCGAGGGTGATGATGATGACGATATTTCAGGTGATGACGCAATGGAGGAGGTGCAGACTACGGGAGAAACGCAAACAAACGGCGTGAAGCGGAAACTTGTTGAGGAGGATGATTATGACTAGAGACTTTATCACTCTTGGTTTTCTTGCGACGGTTGAGAGTGTGCTTTGAGTATGTATTATAGCCTACTCTAATATGTATATGCTGGGATAATGAACCATAAATGCCTGTGGATAAAGTCCAACACAAGGTCCGTAGACTAACCGCTGCATTGAACGTCCTGATGGTGACATGACGCCTACTTTTGCAACAAAACTGCCACCAATATGACAAGAAGGGCCAGAATAATGAAAATAATCATATTCCATGCTGCAAATTGCTTGTCAACTTCACTGCCATTAAGGTTCAATCGGAAAAGCTTACATTGGCTAGCAAACTTCTCTGGCACAGTGACGATCCGTATCGAGTTGTCAACACCACCGGATACGAGCAACGTTGAAGTAGGGCTAAAGCGAACGGTGGTGATAGGGAACTCATGAGCTTTGAGTATAGACAAGAGCGGCTAAGGTTCGATATAAGCGCATGATCTCAGCGGTCGTTATTGACTTACGCTGAGAGTAATACTGTCCACCATTCCCAACGAATAATCTGATGAACCGAAAGCAAGGAACTTCCCATTGGGGCTGAAAAGAACAAGGAATGTCAGAGACGGACACGATTACAACGGGCATTCGACATGAATAATCACGAACCTAACGTCAAAACACGTCAAGCCACCTTCACCCGCTTTGCGAGAGCCCTCCATTGATATGGACCGAGCAGAATTCTGCTCTTCACTTAGGTCGACTCTCCATTTCAATATGTAAGCCTGCTTTTTGGCCGTCTTTGATTTTTTCGCGCGAGGCGCGACAGTATTGACGGCCGTATACAGCGTTTTGTAATCTGAAGGGTGAAAGCTGCAACAAATATTTATAATCCCGCAACATGCGAATGTCAATGAGCTTACTTACCGCACTGCGCGAAATGTTACAACGGACTGTGCAGGAGCGCCAGGAACAGAAGGAATGTCGATCGTGTCCACAAGCCGCAGTTCAGGAGTTTGACTCGGTGTCCTAGAAGGCACATCCTTCTCCTTGCCTTTGCCTTTTTGCTTTCCCTTTTTCTTCTTCGGCGTTTTCTCAATGTCTTCCGAAGGCGGCTTTGGAAGTGCATATACGAACAGGTTCAGACTGGTGGCTAGTACAAGCTGAGAGAAAACGTTGTGAGGAGCACGAGGTGGGATGAACGAGGTGAAGACGCACGTGTGTCGATGAGAATGTCACATCGTAAATTTCGCCTTTGGGTACTTGGACAGACTGAGCGACGGGAGAAAGGGAAGGATACGCGAGAAGAGACAACTACAACACAAATTTAGTCCGCGCAGACAAACGGTAATGGTATCTTTTACATCACGTTCGCCGGCCACTGCCAGAAATTTTCCGTCCGGTGATAATACTGTCACGCGCTGTATTGTCCATGTAAGATATAGAGTAATCTCAATAAAGAATGGCCTACCTGGTAGTCCTCAACAGCTCCCGAGGGCAAGGTACCTCGTGTAGCTCCCTTGGTTAAGCTATAGGGAATGATCAGCATTGTGAATACACATAGACGCGACCGATCGCACGCATTTCCAGAATCACTAATCGAAAACACCCTGCAGTTCTCATTTTCACCCTTCTCTAAGCGTTCTTCGGAGCTATTAATTCCACAGGCAAAGCTTCTGCTCTATGGATGCTTGAAAACGTTATTCGTCGTCAATACAGTAGCATGACAGACCTCTGGATGAGCTGCAATACTCATAGGGGCATCCTCGCCTTTCTCCAGCTCATGCTCACAGAGCATTTCGAGCTGTCTGTCTTGGGAGACATTGAATAGCCTCTATCCCACATATGTCAGACTGTAAGTTTGAACATAGCTCCAGGGTGCTCACTAATTTGTTCTTAATTCCGGTCTTGGCAGCACCGCCTCCGCCTCCGACAACCATCTGGTCGGAGGCCACGAACGCACATGAATACACTGGAAACGCGGGAAGCGGGTGAGTAGTATGCTGCGCGCGCATTGTAAGGCCACGTCGACTAAGTGAAAAGAGCGTAATATAGAGGGGTGTTACAGTGAAACTGAAGTTGATATAGCACGGGGTGGGTGACGCAGTGCAGCTCTGACGGACTAATAGCCTGCAACTGGCCTCAGGACGCGCGACGTGTGCATTGCAACTAATAAACGTGCGAATCACCTTCCAAACACGTGCGGTCATAAAAGTACTTATGTAATATCCTAACCTTGTATGACCTCTAATAAGCTCAACACGGATCGTACTAAGTTCAAGTTGTAGCGCTTGCGCACGACGTCTGACACGCAAAGTCTGCAGTTGCAGACGACCGTAGGCCGCGACGATACCATAGACTGACCTTCCTCCGTCAGTAATTCCGTTCTTATCAAAATGGCCAGGTCACTGACAGTCAGAGGGGATGTTGACGGTCTTGACCATGCTGTCCTGAAACTGCTCTCATCAGGCTGTTTGTCATTGATTTATTGCGGATATGGATCTGTCATCATGGGCCGAGGGCAGGAACCACATGGCCAGCGTCGATGAACCGGGTATTTACCTGCCGCACCTCACGTTGCAGACAGTTATCGGCATCACCGTAGCCATTGCGGGGAACGTCCTTATCTCGCTTGCGCTTAACTTGCAAAAGCTTGCACATATCCGACTTGAAAAAGCACAGAAACAGGCGAGAATGGAACGCGAACTCCGTGTATCGGGCGATGGGCTGCATTCTAGATCACCCGATCAGAGGCCTTCTGGCGATCCCGCTGCCTGCTCCCGTGAGTCCGAGACACAGCCCTTGATCCAGGGCTGTTCCGCCAGTCGTTCGCGTGCACGCTATGGCACTAGTGCCTCATCCGGGACTCGACGCGATGATTCGAGGAGCAGGAAGAGTACCACCTCTTCGGTGCGTGGACGGAGACCAGGACAGCCTCAAAGGAAGCCCAGCTTTGCGTCGCGTTTTCTGCCGTTCCATCTCAGTCTGCATGGTGGCATTAATGAAAGTGTATCACTCACCCAAGAAACGTTGGCGATTCCAGTAGACGTGGTCCCAGCAGAGCGCATAGTTGCACTGAACGGCAATGACAGGCGCGCATCTCCCCCGCCTGAGCTCTGGGAAGAAGAAGGCACGGAGAGTGACTACTTGCGTTCGAAGATATGGTTAGTTCTTTAATTCTGGGACGTCCTGCCGCCGATATCGAATATTGTTCCAGGTGGTCTGGATTCATTTTAATGAACATCGGAGAGACGGGCAACTTCATATCCTATGCATTTGCACCGGCGTCTGTAGTCGCTCCTCTAGGCACCGTAGGTTGGTTCTGTCAGCTGGTTCTATCTTTACTGATTGTTAACTTCTAGTTCGCACTCATTGCAAACTGCTTCTTCGCTCCACTCATTTTGAAGGAGCGTTTTCGTGTGGTAAGATTGTACCTGGGCTGCGGCAGAATTATCATGTTCATGGGTTTTCAGCACGATCTCGCTGGCATCTTACTTGCAATGATAGGAGCGATCACCGTCGTTCTTTCTACGCCTTCCCCTGATGAAAGTCCACCGCCACTTACACCAGACGCACTGATTGCGGCTATATCACAACGTTCGTTTGTAATATTCACCATTATATACCTGGTAGGGGCTGTGGTACTAGCGGGACTTAGCGAAGGTGGTTACGGCCGGCGAATTGTAGTTGTTGACATCGGGCTTTGCGCAATATTTGGTGAGGTTGTCGGTTTGAATCAAAACAAATGAGCTCATAACAACGTCAGGTGGATTCACAGTTCTAGCGACTAAGGCTATCTCCACGCTGCTGACGGAAGAATGGGCCAAAGTGTTTGCGGAGTGGGTAACCTATCCCGTCCTTGCGGTACCTTGGCTTTACTTTCCATATAGTTGCATGTGCTGATCCTCTCCAGGTCTTAATCATCACAGGAATTCTCCAAATCCGGTTTTTGAACCGTGCGTTGAAGCGTTTTGACTCCAAGATTGTGATACCTACGCAATTTGTGCTGTTCACGTTGTCCGCCGTCATCGGATCCGCTGTCCTTTACAAGGACTTTCAGCGGGCTACTTTCCACCAGATGGTAACGTTTACGTATGGTTGTGGTGCGACATTCGCGGGGGTGTTCATCATAGCGTGGACCAATGGCAACAACTCCGAAGTAGGAGGACAGGCCACCAATGAGGTTAACAGGCAAACAGGCGACGCAGGCGAGCCAAACGCACCGAGTGGAAGCGTGCGGGGCGTTCCTGTAGGCTCGTTGAATGCGCGAAGTCGCTCGGCTCTTGTAATACCGAGAGGAGCTGCGCGTGAGACCCCGGTGCTCAGGAACAAGCATAGCACGGTGAGCTTGGCAGGGTATTCTCCTGCACGAAATCTGCTACTTGTTCATACCCCGCCAAGGGATCGCGCAGATTATTGGGATCGAGACGTGGAAAGTGGAAGCATTGCTGGAAGCAGCCGATGACAATATTGTGAAAATGCTGAATACACTATCTAGTTCATTGCAAATATAGAGTTCATACACTATTTTAACCCAAAAACTGCCGAAATTAGGAAAGAGGCAGTGACGTGACTGGAGTCGCTACAGTGACGTCACCTTGGAGGGCTGGAACAACAAAAAGGCTTCGGTGAGAAGGACGCACCCGTACCGCCAACCTCACTTGTCCGGATTACTTGGACACCACAATTTTTACAACCATGCCCGCTGTCGTAGACGCTTTCAAGAGTATATTTTTGTCGTCTTTCTTTTGGAAGGCAGCCATCTAACTCCGCAACCACTTCCTCCAGATCTCATACGCAAACATCATCATCATCGGCATCCTGAATCTGACCCCCAGCCATACACGGCATCTGTGGAGTCAGGTCACCAGCCACAACATCGACAGCAACCACAGGAGTCGCAGCAGCAGGCAAAGCTCCGAGCTGAACAGGACTCTCAGAAACAGCATCACCCTGAGAAACAGCAGCAGCCTGAGAACACACCTCAGCCTCCACCTGATACCCGGCATCAACAAATCAACATGTCTGTACCTGAGGATCTAGAGCCAAAGAACAAACTGCCCACCTACAAAGGCTTGGATAACTTCAAGCTACTGGATAAGATGGGAGAGTGAGTGTCGTATCACCAGTCACTATATGTATTCAAAGTTGACATATCACCTAGCGGCGCATTTTCGAATGTTTACAAGGCAATAGATCTAACAACTGGGCAGACAGTCGCAGGTTTGCTTCCTCGTTTTCTCTCCAGCTAACCGGCTGATCATTTGATCATAGTGAAAGTTGTTCGCAAATTTGAGCTGAATGCTTCGCAGGTAAGTGGATGGTACCCCGCCCCTCGTATAGTTCACATACATTGTCCTCCCTACTCCTCCACTACATCGGTTCATGACACTGCCCTGCTTGTGTCTTGTTGTCCCTCTGTTAGGCCGGCGAAAAACATCTCAGTATCCAATTCAAGAAAAAGCCGCGCGTAACAGAGGTGACATTTGGAATCGAATGGTTCTGCAAACGCTAATCTTGCTATCTTCCCGTAGCGAGCCAATATTCTGAAAGGTAGGCGTGTCATTGTTTCGGATCATTCCCAGCACTGATCTAGATTCAAGAGGTGCAAATCATGAGGGGAACAAATCACCCATCGATCGTAAAGTTGATCTCATTTTCCGAGTCACCGGAATACTATTTTCTGGTTATGGAACGTAGGCGTGATTGCGATATCTCTCGCGTCGTTAACTCATAATCGCACGCAGTCATGGAGGGCGGGGAGTTGTTCCACCAGATTGTCAAGCTGACGTATTTCAGTGAGAACTTAGCAAGACACGTCATTCTCCAGGTTGCCCAAGGTATCCGCTATCTTCACGAGGAACGTGGTGTTGTACATCGGTATCTGCATTTCCTGTGGAGCAATGACGTCCGGCTGATATTCGGGTGTCATAGCGACATCAAACCGGAAAATTTGTTATTCGAGCGGATACCCATCATTCCTTCAAAAAGTCCCGTACAACGTCCGTATGACGAGGAAAAGGATGATGAAGGCGAATTTATCCCAGGCGTTGGTGGAGGTGGAATCGGACGAATCAAGATCGCAGACTTTGGCTTATCAAAAGTTATATGGAATGAAGAAACGATGACGCCATGCGGAACTGTTGGCTACACTGCCCCCGAAATCGTCAAGGATGAGCGTTATTCACAAAGTGTGGACATGTGGGCACTTGGCTGCGTGCTTTACACACTCCTTTGCGGGTTTCCACCGTTCTACGACGAGAGTATCAATGTTCTCACAGAGAAAGTTGCTCGAGGATATTACACATTCTTGAGCCCGTGGTGGGATGATATTAGCCATTCTGGTATTATTTTGACATTTCGCCAAAATGTGATTATTGACTTGCCGCCCAGCGAAGGATCTCATTCAACATCTGTTATGTGTGGACCCTGCTCAGAGATATACCATAGATGAGTTCCTTGCTCACCCATGGTGCACCGCCGCTCCTGCTCCACCACCACCAAAACCACCCACTCCGCTTGTTTATGCCAATTCTCCTCCACTCGACTCACCTCTGCTTGCGGCTGCTCGTGGTGGCGTGTTAGAGGCTCGTTCTCCTGGTCTCGCGACGCTCAAGGAAGCATTCGACATTACATACGCGGTCCACCGTATGGAAGAAGAAGGTGCGCGTCGGCGGGCATACAACGGTCGTGGCGGCGCTGGCACCCGAGGATTTCTGCATGGGCTTAATGAGGACGAGGAAGACGACGTCGATGACAAAGTCCTCGTACATGATGCACGAACCAAGAGAGGGGAGCTTGAGACACGTGCACCCCTACAGTTTACACAGGGTGGGTTACCTGGCGCCGGAGCAAAGACCGTCGCAAAGCGCAACGTAATCGGCGGACCTAATCAAGCTGATCGTAGTCTTTTGGATGGCCGCGCAGGCCCGAGAGATCGCGGTCGCCGTCAACCCGGTGGCAAAGGTTTCCAGTTAGATATGGACAACGCAACCTTACTCGGCCGTCGCAGTAAGAAGGTGGCAGGTGCTGGTGGTGTGGCGGAGTCAAGTCCGCTATCGCACGCTGTCCACGTAGATGACAACTCGTTTCCGCCTGGAAGTCCCATGCGGATTGTCTGATGTCGATGACCAGCTGTGAGGTTAGCAATCATGTTTCTGTCTCTGCGACCTTAGCAGACTGTTTATGTTCCTCGGGACGTATGTTGACAGACGGCTTGCAGACTTGATACCACTTATTCACTGTCCCTCACAGTATTCTCTCACCGCCTTTCAACCAATTCCTACCGAGCTTGCTTTCATCAATATAATATCTTCAAGTACCATAGAATTCTTTTCCTTTCAATCATTGCGGTTCTACATTCTCGCCTAGCATGGAACATTCGCACATACTGGCACATACTGATTAATTAGTTGTTCCTGTTCCAAACATGTTACTCTGTTGTTTCTTTTACATAACTGTTGTCCCCCGCATTTGTATTTCATAAACACTGCACTGTAGTACATGCAAACTTCATCTTAATGACATTGGAGGGAGGCTTCAACGATCGTAAACAAGATAACTAACATGCGCCAACATCTAGATGACTTCACCACGATCTGCAAGTGGCAACTCGACAACCTATGGAACATCGCGCCGAGTCCAAGGGCTCTTGCACGACTCAGCCGTCAACCACAAGTATTGACGCTCCGCCATCCCTCGTTACCCTACGTCTGGTCTTCATGAGCACGTAGCGGCGACCAAATAGGCCCAGCTTCGGCACTGGGGCTACATGTCCCATCCTGGCAGTGTCAGGTGCATCTGGAAACACTCCCAGGCCAGAGGGTGCAAGCACAATGGCTTCTCCGGTCTGAGCAACGTCATGGTTGAAATACGGTACTATATATTGAGCTCGGTAACGCACCTGAAGTCTGACAACGCGATCAAAAGCGTCTTCTGCTGATATATCAGCTGATACATGCTTCGCCAAATGATCCCACCACGCTGGGGAGGAGAACCGGTGCAAAATCGCGACAGTACATAGGTCGAGCAGGACAGGTGGTACGACCGTAGGTTCTGGCAGAAAGGTGTGAGAACCTCAACATGATAAAGATACAAGTGTTAAAGACCTTGTGTACTGATGATAACGCGCATCGCTAGGTGACGCTGCTCCCTGGTCAATGTCAGGAGAGACTTGGTCAGGCCAGAAGAGCCTTTCGTTGGCGCCAGGTACTGTGACAATCAAATCGTTCAATCACACCGAATGGTCCAATTTCAGAGTACAAACCTTGTGAGCTTCGTCAACCACTAGCACTTTCCCAGTCCCCACATCCGCTCTGACAAACAGACGTGTGATGATTTCAAACAGTCCACATGCCGACGCTGGGTCGATGAACGGGTCTGATAAATCAATGATCGTTAGCTGCGACTCTGCGAAACGGGTCTGCGATTTCATATTTGGGTTCAAAAAGGAGGTAAGCAGCGCCATCCTCTGCTCAAGACCTGCGAGCTGCGCATTGTTAAATGATTCCTTCTTTACATCCAACTGCCGCAAAAATTCGGGGTAAGTGAAGTTTTCCCCAAGGTCACGGAGAATCGACTACGGGAGTAGTAGTGTCACAGAAGAAAGTCGTACAAAAGCGCAACAACACGCACCAAAATACCCTGGATGTAGAGTGGAGCCGAATCGGAGGAGCCGACAGCCATCATGGACAGAAAGGCTTGTGCATCCAGCTCATCTTGACTGAAGAACAATGGTTCAACAGTGACCCCGTCACCCAGGGGCGCATAGACAGCCCTCATGGTGTTTAAAGATGAACGTGAAACGTAGACTTTAACAGACGGCGTCTGTAAACCGGGGATGTGGGACGAGCTGATCCATGCAGCTTCACTAGGTCGAGAGCTGGGACCTCCTTCTCCAAAGTGAAGGACGAGCCCCGACAATGGCTTCTGTAGGGTGCCAGTAGAGCGCATATTCGGAATAAACATGCTCTCGAGAAGCAGAGAAACTGTGTGGGACTTCCCTGAGCCCTGAACCCCACAGACCACTGCAGAGAAGGGTGCATTCTGGGGGAAGAAAAAATGATCACGCCGTGTATCACATGAAGAAGTTGCATACCGTGTTCACATAAATCTGAGGATTCACGGGCTTGTATGGAACATTTTTGTGACTGTGAAAAGGATCAGTATTCAGTCTACGAATGCAAAAACCAGGGGCTGCTTTACTGGATCGACAAGACACTGCCTAAGACACCGTACTGCGTAGCACCTTCACGATAACCTGCCGCAACATATGCATCACGGGTTATGATCGGGGCCGTACGAAGTTCATGATCCTTGGATCTTCCCCGAACGTCACTGATGCTGTCATGAAGAAGCTCCAGCTCCTCCTTGATATGATCATATGTGAGTCAGCCCAGAGAATACGCTGAAAAGACGCGACATACATGGGCAGGATCCCGAGAAGCGACAGAGCGCTGCTTGAGTCTCAGTAAAAATGTTTTAATGACGTGCAGGGCTTGCAGATATACTCACGGTACTGGGGGTGGTGACGGTGTGTCCATTCAGCTGAGAGATCAGCTCTCTTAGATAAAGGGACGATATCTGATTGTGGAGCAGAGGCTTACCTCTCCTGAGCGCGTGACTTGTGTTGGCGTTATTAGAATGGGCATTATTGGGGTGTGTAATGCACGTGGGGAAGGAGTGCCAGACTGGCAAAGACAAAAGCTGTGAGTTTATATTTATCAATGAAAAAGGATTTGCCAAACCAATGATTGTCTCGCAAGGGATATGTGTGAATTATTTGGCATCGATGGTTGCGCGGTATTGCCGTTGGTTCGATTTGCAGAGATAGAAGGCGAAGTTGTTGGAGATTTTGGCTGGCATTGCGAAGTTACGTACTGAGAGATCTACTGAAAAACGAGCGCTTACAAGAAAAGCAAAAGACGCCGTCCTTTGCACAGCGTTTGGCGGCTGCATCCTGCGAGACATGGACTGCCCCGGCTTGAGTGCGCTGTCTTTGGTTGGCAGCGTCCCATCGATGCGGTCCGTCCCCGTAGCGGCCATCTTCTCTTTGCCTTTGAGAGACATGCTATAGAGAGAATCTGGGTGATTCGAGACAAAATCGAGGCAGTAAGTAAATAAGCACTGCACGCTTCTGTTAAGAAGCTTCTAGGTCGTCTGCCTCGTGTTTCGTTCTAGGGTGCGAAGCACGAGGCCGAGAGTGGAGAGCCTATTCATGCTGTGTGTGATTCTTATGATGTAGGAGAAAACCTAAGTTACATGCCGCGTCTGAGTGTCCTCCTCACGATATCCGCGAGTTGTGGTGACAGTGTTTAGCGCGGATCACTTGGGACACACAGAACCTCGAGAGGATTGGTACTGGTTCAGCTGTGCAGAATCCGTGTTTGATGGTGAAATCACTGCAGTGATGTGCATATGATTCACGCAAGAATTCTGTGGCCTCGACGAAACGGGATCAATATACATTTTCGCGGAGTTGAAGGCAGACCTTTCTTCAACTTGTCACTGTTTCAACTTTTGATGGCACTATTCGAGGTTCCAGGATGGTCTGTGCCTACTACTGCTCCAGTTTCAAATTTGGCACAGTCAACTTCCAAGAAACGCAAGCGACCTGCAGCTCAAGATGATCATAAAATGCAATCCGCCGAAGTCAACCTAGACAAGCTTATGCAGAAGCTCGGAAGTGTTGGAAATCCGGAGGATAAGCAAGGGCCCAAGAACAAAAAGAAGAAACACGCGAAGACCACTCGGGGACTGGATGCTAAAGATGAACACGCAACCTCTAAGAAGAGAAAGGAGAAGGTTTCATCCTCCCCTGGTGGGCCCATCAATGGGAGCACAGTCGAACAACCAGCGAAGGGGGGTTCAGGGTTGCGCAAGAAGATAAAGCAAAAGAAGACCATGAAGCCTGATGCTGGAAAATCTGAGCAACAGTCACAAAACGTGTCGCCGGCAATCGATGATGTCTCAGGCCTCACAAGCTTGCAGAAGGGCATGAAAGAGAGTCTTGATGGCGCTCGATTCAGGTATGTATTCTGATACATGATGTTCTAACGCATACCACATGTAGTCACGGTGCAGGTGGATAAATGAATTGCTCTACAAGTCCGACAGCTCAGAGGCGGTGAAAATGATGAAAGAAGACCCAGCGGTCTTTCATGATGTGTGTATTTGAATCATCATATCCCCAACAGAACTTTCATATCCGTCTGTTCACAGTATCACTCCGGGTTTCGACACCAGGTGCAGTCGTGGCCATCAAATCCTGTGTCACATTACATTTCTCAATTGTCATCATACCCTCAAAGCACAATCATAGCAGATCTCGGTTGCGGGGATGCCACGCTTGCTCGCAGCCTTCCTCCGAAGAAGCTGAAAGTACTGTCTTTTGACCTAATATCCGACGGTGCCTACATCGTGGCGGCGGACATATGCTCACATGTGCCTCTTCCCGGATCTGAGCCTTCATCGTCTCAGATGTCTGAAGGCGAAGCACAAGTTGTGGATGTGATTGTGTGTGCCCTCAGCCTTATGGGAACTAACTGGCCTGTGTGCATCCGGGAAGCATGGAGGGTGCTGAAACCAGGGTACGTCCTGCGCCATCACATAATGTTTGGCAGCTTAATTTGATCCAGGGGTGAGCTGAAAATTGCGGAAGTTGCCAGTCGCTTTACCGATGTGGATGAATTTGTGTCGCTAATTAGCTCTATTGGATTCAAAATGAAAGCAAAGGTGAGCGCATCCAGAGTACACGGTGATACAGACTGAGTCTCTTCATTATCCAGGACGATCACAACAGTCACTTTACATTGTTTGAATTCAAGAAAGTAGCTCGCACATCGAAGACGGATAACGAGTGGTCGAAAGTGATGTCGAAGAGTTGCATTTTGAAACCTTGCGAATACAAAAGAAGATAAGGAATTTCAATTCTGTAGTCAGATAGTCTACGGCCGCGGCTTTGATCTACTCCTAAATTGGCAACTGGCTGCGAGTGGCACGATATGCTGCAGCGCTCGACGCGATGTAGTTAGCTTGTACCGAACAAGCATGTCCACCCATATTCTATCGCACCCGTTGGTAAACGCACGATTGTCACAACTGCGGCAGACTAACACAAGTTCAAAGGATTTCCGAGAGGTGAGCGCTAGCAACAGCTATTGTGCGAAGTGGTCAGGGACTCAAACATGTTTGAGGCAGGGTATCCATGATATCAGCCTGATCTTGGGCATTGAGGCTTCGCGCGATCTGGAAGAGGAGACCTTTCAAGGGGTGCGTAATTTCTCTGCGAATGCGTGCTGAAAACTTAGTTTCCCTGTGTATTAATAAAATCGCCCAGCAAACACCAGTTGGTCCTTTCACGGGTACAATCATTAAGCCCAAGATCGGGTTGACACCCATTCTGCGAGCTGGCTTGGGCATGACAGATGCACTCCTGTCCCTTTTCCCGTATGTTACTGGATATACAACATAGTTGTGCCTTCTGACGTATCAACGGGTATGCCATGTAGGACAGCACCAGTTTACCATCTTGGACTCTACCGAGAGAAAGTCAGCCTTCAACCTGTTGAATGTGAGATTCGCAGTCAACTTCCTGCATGACAACGGGCTAATTACTGTGGCAGACTATTCGAAACTTCCTCCGGTCCCTCCCATAGACACGTGTTTCCTTCTTGATCCTTTGGTTGCCACCGGCGGCACTGCGTGTGCTGCCCTTGCTATGATCATAGATTGGGGAGTTCCCAGTAAGAACGTTGCGTTTCACGACGGCGAAGCGCTGCTTATCGTCTGACAGTATCGAAGATCAAGCTGCTCGTTGTACTCGGATCAGAAGAAGGTCTCAATCATGTACACGCTGAATATCCTGACTTAGAGGTCTCATTCCTTCTGCTGTTCTCAAATTCATGTCCAAAATTGACACTCGTCTTTCCAGATTTGGGTAGCAGCCGTGGATCCTAAACTCACAGCTGACGGCCTCATATCTCCTGGATTGGGTGACACCGTGAGTTCCATTATTATTGTCTTTAATTGGCATTTCCGAGATATTTCGCAGGGAGACCGTCTCTTCAATACTATTCGGGTGTAACGGCTGCAGCAATGTATCACGAGAATGTATTATGCCCCCTCTGGATTATGTAGTAATGTCATCTCTGAATCATGTGTGCTAATCTCGCTGAGCAAGGGATCACGTGACCACTTAAGGTGTGATATCACGATCGAGTCGCACCATCTCGCACCATTGATTCCGACGCTTTCCGGGATCACAAAAGATTCTCCGAGTGGTCAGTTGTCTTGAACTCGGACATGGCTATCGAAGTTGTATCTGGTACGTCGACACCGCTGTCGGCAGCGGCAACGCTCATAGGTACTCCCATGGAGGACCTCAAGGGCTTGCCTATCCAAGGAGCCAGCGTACTCAATAAACCGGCATCTCACATCATAGAACTTCTCGCGTCTCGTTCAGCTACCAGCTCTGCTGTCTACATTTACGATGTTGCTGAACAAGTAGGGTTCGGAACGCTGACTAAAACGTGGTCGTCGACCATGGAGTCAACTGCGCCAGTCATTAGCCTCCAGACAAGGGCAGGCGCCGGCCTTAGTCTCGTCGGACGGCTTTCCGCGGGGAGTAGCCAGGATGTGGTGAAGGGATCAGTCCTCACTGCTTACACTACACCCGCTGGGCTAGCCGCGATGGCTCAATCATTGTCATATTTGCCCCCTGCTACAAGTAGCAGTAGGTTGATTATCCAGGTTCCGGCAGTCACTACTGTCGGTCCAAGCTTCACGCTCTCCCCTACGTTAGCATCCCTCTCCGCAACTTTCTCCATCCTTCCCGATAATATTGTCGTCCTCTTGTCTGCTACCCCGCAGGAGTCCATAGATCTTGCCGCGCTTTCGTACAAGCTTACGTCTTCCCACGTTGTTCATATCTTCGATCATCACGGCATCTCCCGCGAAAGTGGCCACGGTTTCGTCCCCACCCTTCCGCTGAAGGAGACTCCTGCTCTCGGCGTACCAGAACTCATTCGATGGTCTGGATATCAATTCTTCGATTATGTCGGTGATGTAAATGCAGAGACGGTGGTTGTCTTGTTGAATGGACCTTTGGCACTGATGGCGAAGTCCATTGCGACTCACACCAGCGGTCTTGGTGTTGTGGTTGTAAGAGTGTTGAGGCCATGGGATGGGGATGCTTTTAAGCAATGTCTCCCTGATACTGTGAAGGAGGTTCACGTCTTCGACGACGTACCCAATGAAGCCTGCCAAGGCAGCCTATTCGTCGATGTCTTTGGATCACTATACAGCCCTAACTCTCCGGGGCCGCTTGTGCGAGCTCAGCGGGTGACACCCACAAGGACCTCATCCTTCCTGTCAGACCCCACTCAATTTTCGACCCTCTTCACTGAACTCTCACACCAAGTTCGTGCTGTGCACCTAGACACCTCTCTGACTAGGAAGTTTCTCTTCTTCAGTACCCCAAAGTCCACCCTATCTCCTCTCCCCCAGACTGTAGCAAACTCTTTTTCCAGTGCAATCTCTGCTCGCCTCCTTACCGACCATGACATTTTCAGCAAATCGGGAGGCGTCACCGCAGACAAGATCGTGCTTTCTCCGCGCAGCGAGGGCACAGAAATTCTTCCTATGGCCGCAGCGTTTCCCGCAGGAACAGCAGACTTCATTTGCGTCCTAGAAGCGAGTCTGCTGAAGTCCCACTCATTACTCAACCAAGCCAAGTCTGGGGCAATAGTACTCGTCGTTTCCTCGTGGTCCTCTGACCTACCATCCAACCTACCCGCAGCTGTCTTGTCGACAGCGGTTGAGAAGAAACTCAGGATTTTTACCATAGACGCCAAAGCTATCTCGTCTGGTTTTGGAGCGGAACCTGGGGAAGTTCAGGAAGCCGTGCAAAGATTATCTGTTTATCTTGCAGTTCTAAGGCTTTACCTTGGGAAAGCGGTCAGCGAGCCTGCCGTTCGCAAGCTCGCAGAAGGTGTCGCAAGGGAGGCGGGCCAGGGTGGTCAGCTTGCGAAGATTAGTGCTAGCTCTTGGGCTGCTCTCGAGGAGGTCGAATTACACATCCCTCCGGCAGTGGGCGAGGGTGATGCAAAGCCTCCCCCTCCTCTCAAGCAGTTTGAGTTCAATGCTATCGCTGTGGAGACTGCTGATGGACAGACTGTTATCAATGGCTCAAAAGTTTCTTCGTGGCATGATGCTGCCAAGCACCTTTTGTTCCCATCCGTCTTCACACCTCCAACGCCCCCTTCGGAGGAAACTCAAGAGTACCTCCAGGATCCTTCTCTGCGTCCAGAAGTACCAGAGCACACATATTTGGTGACTTGCACAGTCAATCGCCGCTTAACTCCTCTGGACTACGATAGGAATGTCTTCCACCTGGAGTTCGACACGGAGGGCACCGGCCTCAAGTACGCTATTGGAGAAGCCTTGGGCGTGCATGGGTGGAATGATGAACAAGAAGTCCTTGATTTCTGTGAATGGTATGGCGTCGATCCCGACCGATTGATCACCATCCCGGTGGCTGCAAACGAAGGGAAGATGTATACTCGCACTACCTTCCAGGCGCTTCAGCAGCAAACCGACCTCTTTGGCCGGCCGCCGAAGTCGTTTTACGCTGAGCTTGCTGCATATGCCACTAGCCCTGCCGACAGGCTGGCGCTTCAATTCATCGGCGCACCAGAAGGGTCATCTACCTTCAAAAAACTCGGAGAGAAAGATACTGTTACATTCGCAGAGATCTTGCAGCGATATCCTAGTGCAAAGCCAGGCATTGAGACTCTATGCGAGATGATCGGAGACATCAAACCCAGACACTACAGTATTGCAAGCGCGCAGAGTGCGGTTGGCAATCGAGTCGATTTGTTAGTGGTCACCGTGGAGTGGACCGCGCCAAATGGTATGCAATTTTTGATGCGGTCGTTCTTATGTTAACGAACAGTTCTTTAGGCACCCCTCATTATGGACAGTGTACTAGGTACCTAGCTAGTCTCAAAGTTGGGCAGAAGGTTACCGTTTCCATCAAACCTAGTGTTATGAAGGTAAGCGTCAACTTGCTTCTCAATCGTGACTCTATCATTGACGCACTCTTCTTTAGCTCCCACCGGACAATATGCAGCCCATCATCATGGCAGGTCTTGGCACTGGAGCTGCTCCCTTCCGCGCCTTTCTACAGCATCGCGCTCTGCTCGCTCAACAAGGCATCCCTGTGGGGCCCACCTACTATTACTTCGGTTCTCGACATCGGCACCAAGAATACCTTTATGGTGAAGAGATGGAAGCGTATATCCTGGATGGCACGATCACAAAAGCTGGACTTGCATTCTCTCGAGATGGACCCAAAAAGGTGTACATCCAGCACCTCATGCTCGAGGACGCTGCCGATCTCGCATCCTTGTTGAAGAACCAGGCGGGGGTGTTCTACCTCTGTGGCCCAACGTGGCCAGTACCCGACGTGTACGAAGCGCTTGTAGGTGCGTTGGTTAAGAACGAGGGCCATACCCCAGAGAGCGCGGGGGAATTCTTGATGAGTCTCAAGGAAGAAGAACGTTATGTTCTAGAAGTGTATTAGATGGCTACATCACATGCAGCCTAAGTATGATCATCATGTCATCGCCCTCATCAGGTGCCATCTCTCATATATATGCACGCATAAAGAGCATTCCTAGTACCCCGCTATGTGATTTTCGTGCAATGTAATAGTGCACCTCCTAATGTGTTTGCTCTTTGCTTCCATCATGTCTTCAAACCTTGTTCCTTCCACGGTATTCAAAATGCTTCCATGTATCAGCGTGCTCACCACGCGCATCCCCGTCGGACGTAGTACCATGTAAACCGTGAGTGTTCAATATAGTAAAAGTAAACTGAATTGCGGCCCTTTGGACTCTCGAGGTCGCAAATGCGCCACCACTGACTCGGTGTCTTGGGTGCTTAACAAGTGATACGACGGATGACGATCGGGGAGATTTATCGTTATCTGCACTGAGGATTCAAGAGGATGGCAACCCGGCATTGCTGCCAGACACAATTACGTTGGGCGACGTGATGGCGCCGCAGACACCAGTACTTATGGAGATCGGTGGGAGTGCGGCACTTGGAACTCGAGGCTGGCGCTTCTTCGGGACTCAGAGACGGACCGTGACTGTCTATGACCCATGTGCTCGCCCGCTGTGCGCATCAGTAGCTCGCTTACGTCTATGCAAGCTGCCAAGCCTGTACCTGAGGGTTAAAGTTCATGTTTAACATCAACAGTTGCAGCATGCTCAAGCTATTCTTTTCGGGAGGTGAGTGTTCGAGTTTTTTTACCTGGCACGGTTTTTATGCTCAACACTTTTGGCATGAGCTTTCCATTCGGCCTCGCAAAGGCAAAAATCGACACAACTTTGATAGTGCTAAAAACAACCAGGGGTAGTACCGGTGTTGAGGGTAAATCAAGTATCCCTCGAGTATCCCTCGAGGCCGATGTCTACGAGTGTTTATATCAATCGGCTACGAGGAACCCTCTGGATTAAATCTCACGGGCAGCTGTGTTTGCAGAGTTTACGTCCGAAGCGAAATCTGATGGGCCAATAGTATGACTCAATGGACAGGATATCTATTGTCCAGCTTGATCACTAACACACTGCCCTTTGCGCGTGCTTTATCAATTACGCGCCCTCCGCTCGTATATAAGATGCATATGATATCCGCCCTCCGTGCGCAAAACTTGTTTTGTCTCTCAAGTCGATGGAGACCGAGTATTCGGCTGACACTATCGCAGCGGCGAGGAGTTTGCAGACCTCATCCGTGCGTGTTTTTCTTTGATATGAGGGGCGTCGATAATAATCCACGATCTATTTTCCACAGTACATATACAGTGCGTATTGCCTGAATTGCCTCTTCTTTGTCTAAACGCAGCTCAGTGTCGATGGCTACATTCTGGGTGGGCTTGTCCCGATGTATATTTGCCCGCTGTTAAATTTGCTTGTCCAGACCTATGGCTATGCTTGTTCCCTTCACGAGGAGGTAATGTCCATTTACTTATTTGACATTTTGATATTGACGATAACACACCGTCCAAAGTGGATGTTCCTGCTTCGGTCGCGTTGGACCAAGGTAAAAGGCCTTTACATCGTTGCACGATACGTGCCCTTTTTCCTCTTCACCGGCCATCTTTATAGTGCGTTTAGCTCCAGCACGCATATCTCCGGTGATAAATTGACATGTTGTGTTTTAAGTGAACTTCGCCCCGGACGAAAACCCCAATGTGTGTGAACGTTCGGTGGACTTACTACTGACTGATGAATGACGCTTACTGCCATCCCAGAAATGCCTGATGCTCGACAAAGTCTGCTCATGTACGTGCACGATACATACATGTGCACATCCTTACCGAGTGCTGCCCTTTCCTTTCACAGGTTTGAGCATAATATCAGTCATATGTTCCGAATGTATTCCGCCTTCTCCCGTGACAAATGCGCGTTCCTGATCCGATCCATCCAGCCTTTTTTGTCCTCAGAACATATGCGCTCTGGGACAATAATAAAATTGTGCTCGCAGCCCTGCTCGCCGCCTTCTTGGTGAGTCTATTGCGCTCACCGCGCCCTAAGCTCGTGGTAGACTTATGAGTCAGGCTGCTGGCGTATCATCTATCGGCTTGTTATATGGCTTAAGTGACGGTGTACCATGTACGCATTCTCATCTTCCTCTTCTCCCTGTCATCCCACCACCACTCACATCGTCCACTTTTACCAGTTCAGACCAGCCCGATCCCGGGTATTACGGGCTGCTACCAACCATTGGGCAGCATCGGATTCTTCGTACCGTTTATTCTCTTATCTGCACTCGAACTAGGTGCGTCACCGGGCGGTAGTATACATAAACACAGACACGTACTGACCTAAGCTCTTCTCAGGACTCATCTTCCTGACACTGATACGCGCCCTGCAGACCTGGCGGACGACTAACAACCTATTTGCTGCCCTACTGAAACATAACATATTCTACTATGCATGTGGACTCTGTGAGTTGCCAGACTATTTTACGTGCTCGTAGATAATTATTCTCGTTATGAAAGTTTGTTCGGTTGTAAACGTCCTCACGTCACTGCTTCTCCAAGTGCGTGTACCCCTCCCTTGCCCCTGAGAATGAACCATTCATATTCTGCGCACTTAGCATGCGTACAGGGCCATGTTTCAAGAGTAGGCAACTTCGAAACCCCGCTACGAATTCCTACTAACAGCTCCCTGCTACATACAGTTTTCAGTTCATCATTCTCGCGATCCTCGCCACACACATGCATCTCTATCTTTGGCATATGGACCAGCTCCTACATGACTCTGATGCCCTCACGCTCATTCCTCTGTCCGAAATATCATATGGTGTGGCGGGGAGTCCTGACGCGGGATCTGCAGAGAGAGCTAGATATCCTGATGCAGTGATTAGATCTAGATCATAATGTCTCCGCGTGTCAGCAGTGTAGTCAACCACCCATCAATCCATCTTCCTCCTGCTCTCGACTTGACCTTGCGATCCTACAGAAAGTACCCCTTTGTGTCTGAGCCTGTGCCTGGTTCAACATCTTGTTACCTGTCCTGAATCTCGAGTTTGCATGCGCTGGCCGAGCGACAAGAGCGTTGTGTTCTCGAGGTCTAATAGGTTCTACACAATATATGGTCGTTCGTTTGGTCGTTGTCATCAGCTTCATCAGGGTATCATGATGCGATATATCTACATGAATGCGAATCGGTTACTACGTATGGGTGCTGCTCATCAATAGCTGTCGTAAGGTCATGTTCTGATCCAAAGGAATAGTAGAGTGTGACAGAAAATCGGGAAGATCATCCAAGAATAAAGTCATGTTATCTAGAAATAGATTAGCCAAGTTAAAAATCAATAAAGGAGGTCGTGCTCTCTCCTGAGAGAGATCATGCCCCACCATCCAATAAGGGAGAAAATGGCGACACCAGTGAGGCCAGGAATGACACCTAGAGCAATTTTTCCGCCCTGGTTGAGCTGCGGACCACCGCATCCCTCAGTGTGTGCTTCATCGCAAGGCATTCCTTGCGGTTTCTTGGAGTCATAAGTGCCCGCTTTCAGCAATGTGTAGAATGGGTCGGCGGTGTCGTTGAGCACATGCATCGCGGCGAGTGTGAGCATCGGTGCATTGTAGTCCAGTGCGACCTCAGTTTCAGGCCAGTCGTCACGGAGGTCGAAGAAACGATCGTACTTGTCTGGACCACCGACAACGGCCCCATAAAGAACATAAGCTTCTTGTGGTGGGGAAGTATTGATGTTGCTAATGTCATTGCCACCGCTTGCCATTGCGGAGTGGGGATTCTGAGGCGAGTTGGGGTTGGCACCAACGATGTAGGGTGCTATGACAGAGTGAGCCAGAACGATAAAACTACATTCGTTCCATGCCCACCTTGCATTGGATTGTTACCCAGAGCGTAGTTGACTTGGGCTTTGGCATAGTTCTGCAACAGGTAATTGTTGAGTTCCATGTTTCAATAATCGATTTGAAATCTCACCAAATAATCATTTCTCCTGCTTTGGGTCGAGGCCAGCGGTACATATCGTGTTAAAAGCATAGCAGCATTCAGCGATGGGTTTAAGCTAGCGTCGTCCGAGTCACCATCATAGTATAGCAGTCCGCCTATGAATGATGTCAGCTGGAAAATGTGCTATATTTTTATCGCAGTACCATGGGTTTGGTATCCTGGCCCACCGCCGTAAACTATCCCATCGAAGTACTTCTCAGCCACTGCTTGCCAGGTGGATGCATTGCCACCAAAGCTTGGATTTGCTTGCGCAATCTGTGCAAAAAGGACAGGCAGGCCAGGTGTCTTAAAATCCCAGTTGAATACTCCATTATAGCTGCCGAGGTCATATTGCTGCCAGTATCCCTGAGCCTGTTGATATAACGAAGAGGAGTTGGTTGCCCAAGACAAGAAGAGCGCAGCAATGGCAAGCTCATCTCCATATCCGGATGAAGCGTACGCTACACCAGCCTCAGGCACGGAGTGTTGGTATACTGTCTGTCCACCAGAGGCGCTAGTGGCAAAGGTGAAAAGTTGTTCGGCATGTTTGAGAAGGGTTGCGGCATATGTTGCGTTTTGAAGTGTAGCTGGGCCAGAGTAAGAGTTTGAGAAGACGCGGTTGGCATAGAGATTGGAGCAAGCTGCGAAAGCTGCAGCGGCTCCTGCAGCAGCATCCGTTCCAGGACTAGAATTGTGTTAACAAACGATTCGATAATAAGTAGTAAAATAATACCTAGTGTCATTGATTTGATATGAAGGACGCGGCAAAGGAATGCCGCGATCGCCGCCCCAGTAAGTATTGTCAAGTTCGTCTATGGTCATGCGTGAGTAGAGAATGGATATCAAAACCGAATGCTTACCATGAGCTACCTGGACGAACAAGGTATTGTTAGCAGCGTGTGCCTATGACAATCATGTTGAGTTAATGACTCGATTGCTTGATGCTAACACAAGACTGACTTTCATGAGCCAGTCGAGACTCCATCGGAGCATGTCATCAAGGTAAGGTGTTTGGTTTGCTAAATCGTATCCTACACAATATGATTAGCAAGTGAGTATTTCCCTGATGTCGCACGAACCTTTTCCGAAATCCGTTGCGCCCCAACATATTGACATCACGGTGAACGACTGGGGCTGAGTTGAAGGAGTGATATGTTGCACAAACCGAGGAAGCTTACCAGAGGAAAAGTGCATTTGATAAAGTCTAACGGATCTGTCAATATAAAAGCTGCATGATGTACGCGACACTCACCACCCGCATCATAGTAGCCACCAGTCAAATCTAACTTGACGTCCTGCCCATCGGTGAGGGCACTGTCATTTCGCCACTTGACGCGATTTGTGCTGGGCAACTTGCCACTGCGTTGGGCTTCATAGAAATAAAGCAGATTTCCAAGCATCGAAGACCATTGTGAATTGGGGATACCGCCAGAGGATGCAGATGCGCCAGCTGAAGCGTTTTGAGGCAGGAAAGGGGGTTCAGGAAGAGGAACTTGGGCAAATGCTTGCCAGGAAGCGAGGACAAGAAGGACAAGAGGCGCCCACATGACGAGTCGTAAAATGAGATATACGCACCACCAGTGTGTCTTCAGGGATCAAACTACAAAGGTCTTGTCGGACGAGTTCGCTCCATGCAAGCCGCGTTCAACCAGAATCACGTGACCATGACGATCCGGGCCGCAGACTGCCGCAGAATATACTCCCAAGTAGCACTCACTCTCACATCTTGGTCACACTCCAAGCTTGCTCCAGACAGCGGGCCGTCCAAGACGTATATAAAATTATAGAGGACATGATTTCAAGGCTATCATATCTCCACTCATGGCACTCAGTCCGATTAAGACCTGTGTCCTCGGCGTGGGCCTTGCTGGGCTCACGTTTCACGTTCCGTTCGTGCTCGCTTTGCCCGAGCTCTTCACTCTCACTGCTGTCCTGGAGCGCAACCCACAGACTCCTGGAGGAAAGGTGCACCAGCGTTTTGGCGTTACCACGAAGATATATCGGACAATCGAAGAGGTCGTGAATGACCCAGAAATTGAGCTTGTTATCGTAGGAACCCCAAACGATACACATTACCCACTTGCAAAAGCTGCTCTCGAGGCCGGCAAACACGGTAAGCAAAATCCTTCTTCCGCGCAGATACCGCTCTCAACCACTTCAGTTCTCGTCGATAAACCTGTGACTGAGACAGTTAAAGAAGCAAATGAGCTCGCCGCAATTGCCAAGGCCAAAGGCCTTGTTCTCTATGGCTATCAAAATCGGCGCTGGGACTCGGATCACCTCGCGCTGAAACGCCTGCTTGCATTTCCCTCCTCTTCGCCTCTCTCGCTTGGCAATCTACTGGAATTTGAGTCTCAGTGAGGAAGATCGTCGATCAAACTAGACTTGATTTCCTTACATTTCTTTAGCTATGATCGTTACCGTCCAGGAATCCGGGCTTCCTGGAAGGATAGTGCGGGCTCAGTATATGATCTCGGATCACATCTTCTAGACCAAGCCCTCAAACTCTTTGGTCGACCCGCGCGAATTACTGCGTTCATACAAAATATCCGCGGCGTCACGAAACCGGAAGTCGACGACATCGTAAGTCTGATACCATCACATCTATTCTAGCAGCATTGTCAACGCGTATCCGACTCTGCAGTTCACTATCTATTTACACTACAATCCTGGGACTCCGTTCTCTAACCAGTTCACTGTGCTTCTCCGCTCGCACATCCTATCAGTTAAATCCCCTCAGCTACGCTACGCAGTCCGCGGTACAAAGGGAATGTTCACCAAGTACGGTCTCGATACGCAAGAGGAGCAGTTGAAAGCCATGCCCTCAGTCAGCGGTATCCTTGAACCAAGTTACGGACAGGAGCCCGAGTCCATCTATGGCGTCGTCGAAAATACCGCTGATGATGGTGTGACGATCAGCAAGACAATGTGATCGTTATTTTCACGTATATTTCCTGGCCGTGCTGATGGTTTTCTGTAGCTGGCCTTCGGACGCTCCGGGCCAGTATATCGGCCTCTTCAAGAACCTTGCTGGTGCTATCCGTAACAACGAGGAACTTGAGGTGAAGTGGGCAGAAACGACACAGGTGATCGAGATGATCGAACTGGCGTATAAAAGCTCTGCTGAAGGCCGTACGTTGGAGGTGTCAAAACTTTAGGTTGTGTGTGTACAACAAAGAATGTATCGTAGAATGGTACTGCAAAGTGCAATCAAATGTCCCCCCGGAGTACTCCAAGCAGGAACAAAGGACAAGACTGCCAGGTATATCGAGGTGCGTTTGTTCCTGATGGTGAAAACGCCTAGCGTCGGACAATCACGTTTTGATCGCAGTTTACACGCCAGTAGTAGGTGGCATCAAGCTGTACAAAGGTTGAAATTGAATGACGTTGTCAGAACTACGGACTGAGAGTATTGTATTTTGGAAGGTGATGGAAGGCGACGGTCTCCCAAGACTCAAGCGAGAACAATCAGATAGGCACCCGCCGCATCCATCGACAATAATACCACAACTTGAAGGAAAAGTTCGCCGTGACTAATAATATGAGTGGTAAATTTGTTCAATTGCTCTTGATCCCAATTGGGCGTGATAAATATGCAGAACATCCCCGACTAAAATGGAGCAGTGCGCAGTGCAACGACTGTGTGCGAAGGGTTGATTAAGATGGGTGGGAGAGCGAGGCTTTGAAGTTTGATGTCCTTGACAATGTCCGGTTTCAACAGCCGATGAAAGTTGTTGAATATTTTGAACGATATTCAAATTGTTCCAAAGGGGTCGACCGTCCAGTTAATTGATGCACCATGGAATTGCCAGAGGATGCAGCCAGACTGCAGCACTGTAGAATGAAATAGATTTACAAGAGGTTGTTCAGAAATTGGGCTTGCGACATGAGCCAGGAGCGTGCGACGCTCTCTCTTGCGCGTTATGGATTGAAAGTTTTGAAGTATGAAGGCTTTTCAACGGGAGGCTGGTTGTGTTGGACTGCGGCGTTGAGCAAATCGAGACTTTGAAATTGGGAGATATGATTGAATTCGGTCATACTATTACTAGCCGCCTCCTCCATCAAAAGCTGTGAACACCTGTGGGGCTCTGTTTGGGCTCTGTAGGGCAGGTTGTCATCAAGCGGACCTATGCCATCCTATAGCTACGTGGGCGAAATCCAGTAGCTCCTTAGCTCCTTCTAATTAGCTATAGCAGGCTCGTTCATGAGAGTCAGCGAATAATCTCAAACTTTTTAGAGTCCCCAGTGCGGTACTATTTATGACTCACCGCGACTGTGCTCAACTTCAATTTTCTCCCATGGCATAGCCATAGCATCATAGAGCAGTGCTACGAGCGCCTTTGAAGGTCTCTAGATAACGGTGTGACTCTTGCCGTCCCCAGGTTCACTGGAACGTTGTCGCTATTATAAGTACCTTAAGCGGGGTATCATGGCACCAGAACAAGTTTATCGCGACCCTTAGCTGTGATGCCGAACAAGCAAGCTTCTCATCTGGCTCCCAGCTATTGTGTTATGAACCCAGGGCCTGCAGGAAATATTTCAAATGCTCGGGCTCGCCGTGTCGATGGTATGGTCCAGAAACTCTCGAGGCAGTGTCAATAATAATCGCTCAGTGCTTACACCAACAGCCGTCAAATGGATCCGCGGTGAGCTTATCGGTAAAGGCACTTACGGACGGGTCTACTTGGCACTTAGCAAGACCACGGGTAAATCGCAGCTGGTTGCTGTCAAGCAGGTCGATAGTCCCCAAGTTATTCGAGACGAAAACGACCAGTGTCAAGCCACTTTCGTACATTCTGTCGAAAGAGTAAGCAAGCTACTGGTAGATTTGAACCATCGTCATATCGTCCAATACCTCGGGTTTGAAGAGTGCTTTATAGAGTATTCAAGGGTTATGAACATGTGAGTTTTCAGCAAAACAACCATTCAGTGTTTTGACTAGATCGAGGTAGCTTTATGGAGTACGTGTCAGGCAGTGCATTAGGCTATTGTCTTCGCGAAAAGGGCAAGTTCAGCAATGATGTCGCGAAATTTTTCATGCTTCAAATACTTCGGGGCTTGAGATACCTCCACTCGCGACGAATAATCTACCGGGTATGTGATCGATTCGGCCTGTCTGAAAAACTTGAAGAATTCATATAAACTCCGGTCAGAATCTGAAAGCCGATAGCGTCCTACTTGAGAGAGACGGGAGTTGCAAGCTTTCTGACCTAGAGTTCTCCACCAAGGAGGATAAAATACATAAACTTCCATTTACCACCGTACAACGGACATTACCTTGGATGGCACCGGAAGTCATCTGCCATCAGAAGGAAGGGTACAGTGTCAAGGCCGATATTTGGAGTTTGGGATGCGTTTTGTTGGAAATGCTGACAGGAAAGCGACCATGGTATGAGGATGAACTAATCATGGTCACGATCAAGGTCTGTGTTGTACCTTTGTATTATAGGAACATAACTTATATTTCCGTGTGCAGATGAAACAGAATAAGCGCCCACCTATCCCTCCTGATATTACCTTCTCCGATCTTGCAATGGATTTCCAAGATTCATGTTTTGCCATGCAAGTTTTTCAATTTTTTTTTCGGATGATATCATTCACCTTATATATTGCAGTGATCCTGATGAACGCGCATCTGCTTCGTACCTGAGACGACATCCCTATCTTGAGCTTCCGGATGATTGGACTTTTCAGGGTTTTAATGTCTAGGGAACACTCTTGCCATCCTACCCTTCCATTCATGTGTATTTTGCTAGGAATCTTTCCCGCTCTTGCGGACTGTAATAATACATAATTGGCTGAGAGAGGAGCCATCCGTACGGGACTGCCAGGTACAGTAAGAATATAACACATCTGGAACACACTTCTTATATGTGAATCCGCTAGTTAATTAAGATAGAGCCTAAACATGAAGAGAGACTACAATGAAACGCGCGAAACCCCCAAGGTCATATTTAAAGTCCAGTACCATGGATGTCCAGATCGTGGAACCGAGTGTATGACACGGAAGGCGTCGCACGAGCTGGGCATTGCACAAAAGTGTATGCTCAGCCGGCGAGGGAAGCGAGTTTGAAGCACTGGTGGTCCAGGACCAATCCAGCGCGGACCATCGCTGCGCCATTACGACTTGACTCGATATTCAAATCTAGCACGTGGTTATATCAGTCAACGTGAATGTCTTTCAGCTGTCTCGGGATCATTATGATCAAAGGTACAAATGTGCCAAGAACAGAGGAGGAACGATGAAATAACACTCATCACGTAGAACGAGAGAGGTTGGCCGTTCAAAGAACGTCACATCAGATACACTCCATGCGGGATGAATACCTTCACTCGCACTTGGATAGCGAATTAAGTCCAAGGTGGAAGGCCCGGGTTGGATGGTTAAAAAACAACAGCGATGCTCGTTGGAGGCGTCTTCCAAACCTTGACGTCGGAAGGACAAGAGCCCAAGCCTAAGAGAACTATGGAATGATTCAAGGACCGAATTACCTTCAAACTGGTCTTCGATAGCCCCTAATGTGCGCTTGGTCTGGCTTTTACCGACCAAAATGCCCACACAGCTAAACGTAAATTCAGCGTGTCTTATAATTGGTAACTTGATCGCGTACTGGCAGCAGGGCGGAAAAGAGGACCGTACTCAGCATGGTACTACTTGATGATTCCAATAATGAACGCGAATGTAAATTTATATTTAGGCGCCTAAGCACCTCCTTAATGGGTCTGTGGCCAGTAAGTTGAGCGAGCGGAAAAGAACATCAAGAATTACTGACTGGTAAGGAAAGAGGAGGGAGTCGAGGACGAAGGAACAATGTGGCCGGGCGCATCTGAGAACTCGTGAGTCTCCCCAAGGTGCTTTACGTTGATTTCGGGGGTTTTCCAATGTTATACATGGCTGTATGTACATCCAACATAACGAAAACCTTTTCCACATATGATCATATATATCGGCATATATGACGATATCTGCGGCTCACCAGTCCTCTGATGCGTTGGACACCAGCAGTGCGTGCGCGGACGCGTTGAAACTTTACCTTCCTCACATGCGGCCTGCGAGACGTGTGCTACGCACGCACATGGTATATGTAGTACCTGCACTAGTTCAAGACTCAATGTCGTACAGCTTGGGGCCCCAACGTAGGGATTCGGAGATGCATCGATCACCGATGCATGCCCGAGGGCCGAATATATTGACACGCATAATATTGGTGTAGTCACGTGGACGAGTTCCACGTACTATATCATTTATCCACTACAGCCGCCAGCACCATTATAACCTGGCACCACCACCACAACGATGACCGAGTCCCTCGTCGCTGTTCGCGTCGAGCTCCCCACTTACTCCCTTTCATTTACTGTCGAGGTTCCTATCTCCGCTACCGTGCTCGACGTCAAACATGCAATTCTAGTGTCCTGCTCTGGACAGCCCCGTGTCGAGGGACAGCGCATAATCTGGAGGGGACGCTACCTCGGGGACCAGGAGAAAATTTCAGAGATATGGAAGGTAACGAGGAATTCTACCACTTTTGCGAACAGCATCTGATTTGGTTTTTAGACGGCGGATGAGCAACGCATCGTCCATTTGTCAGTGCACCCCTCCGCTTGGTCTGGTGCTCCCCCATCTTCTTCTAGTGCAACATCAACTACGATCCCTATATCTGACAAAGGGAAATCACCCTTATTACAAAGAGATGCTTCTTCTAACACCCCCTTGGCGCCTTCCGAGTCGCAATCTCATCCTTTCGCACGTTTACCCCTGGACCACCAATTCATTGCCTATATCCATCAGGCTGCTCTATCAAAGCTCACTAGAGGGCTCATTGAGCGCCCACAAGATTCTGTGCTTCCATCTCGTTCGGTTGCATTGGAGAACCTTGAGAAGAAGGGATACGTTTGGCCGTCAATCCTGGACGAGCCATACCCTTTCTCTGAGCGTGGTGACGGCTCTGGACTGCAGTACGAATTAATGACTACTGAGTGAGCCAAATTCTGCATATAGTGAGATGTGCTTCAATTGATTGTCATCAGTGGCAAGTCGTACCTCTCCCTCCGCAACCCGGGTTCAAGGCCTACCGCTGAGCAAGTACATGCCCTGAAGGTCTTGACATATACGTTTTCGATATTGTTCCTTCAACCATTGCCTCAACCACCGACGCCAACACCGACCATTTCCTCCACTGAGATTGTACCGCCTCAATTAAATGACCTCCTCCAACAGCTTGGCCTTCCCCCACTTCGTGCTATGCCGAACGTCAATGTCGACGTTGTGAATGGTCAGATGGGCGTTGGAGCGAACATTCCAGTACCTGGAGATGAAGCACAGATACTTCCCGATATCCCAGTCCGTGTACTACTGGCTCCCTTGGTGATGGTATTTTTCCGGACTCTGCTTTTGCTGTACTTTTTCTCCCCAACACGCAAGCCGCTGTTGGGTTTGTGCATCATCGCGTGGATCATCTATGAGATGTGGACGAATGTGCGGAATGTTATACTCGGACCACTTAATCGGGAGAGGGAGCGTTTAGCTGGTGTTGCCGCGGAGGCTGCAAGACAGGCTCCAGGTCAGGGTCAACCTGGAGGTCCAACAGGGACTCCTGCACCTCCTGCACCTCCTACCCAGCCTGATATACTAGCGCCTGCACAGACTCAAGAAGCGCAGGGTCCTCCACCCCCAAGCAACTCTACCTCTCTTCTGGACCTTCTCGCACGCATAGGCATCGATACAGAGAACAAGTCACTCTGGCCAACGCCTCCCCTGCGAACGCCACTTTTGCCGCCGAGTCTGATGCACAAGGTGACAACCTTCGTAAGTTTGCTTGTGCTGACTCTCCATCCGGAGGTATGGAACCGCAGGCGGGCAGCGCTGAGGACAAGGGAAGGGCGTTTGCGAACAGAAGCGAATGTGATGGAACGAGAGGTCGAGAGAGTAGAAGGACAGGAAATGAGCGAGGATGACAAAAAGAGAGAGGACACGACGGCTGCGTTGCGGGTGCAGGATGGAAGGCGCGCTCTATGGGTGAAAAGTTATATTCAGCGTGTCAGAGGCGGAGAGTGGGCGGATGATTTATAAGTTGTAATAATCGGATATCTATTCTGTTTTGAATTGACTTTGCACGACCAGCTCTGTGTTCGAAGAGTGTGCGTACTGGATTAGATGCCAAGTAGATCATCAAAGTGTGCAAGGTGCGAAGCTGATGTATATTATTCACTCTCGTCATCCTCTTCGTCGTCCTCAAACTCCTCTGCCTCATCATCGATGAACCCGTTTAATGTGGGTCCTTCACCGTCTGAATCTTCTTCGTCTTCCTCGTCACTGCCCTGCTCATCCGTTTCCTCAGCTTCACTTTCGCCACCGAGCTCTATATCTTCTACACTTCCTTCATCCTCTTCACTCTCCATACCAACTTCCATGCTCTCCTCCTCGCTCTCGCCTTCCACGTATCTTGTTGGCTGCCTTTCTCCTTGTGAGGTTGTGGATACCCCATTCTTATGGGGTGCAAGCAGTGTCGGTGCGGTGGAAGAACGCATCTCGATCTGTGAGAGTACCATATCTAGCCGGCCGTTTAGTGAAAGGAGGGAATCTTGCAATGCAAGCCGGGACGTCAGCGTTGCGTGTAGACCTGAGAGTCGTGATACGAGGTCAGGCATCTATAAATGAAAATGAAAATGGTTTGTAACGCATGCAGGGAGCAGTTTTTTTCTGTATTTCAGAAACGTACCGTCATAAGGTGGCCGCTGTGGACTGCAAGGACAGTCTTAACCCATACAACAAGTCCCGTACCGCGTTGCGAGCTGGCACCTCCGCCACCACCTTTCATATTCGCTGCGCGCGGACCACGGCCAAGGCGCTCTACACATGCCGTGAGCAACGGTACCGCCAGCTGGGGCGGTAACCGCCGCACAGTGTTCCGTACCATTGCTAGGTCAGAATGTGCAAGACAAGTTTCAAGCAGTCTCGAATCAGACGAGTGGAGCGCTTGTATAAGTGTCCGGGTAAGTGAATGTGCAGGTACAACGTTCGGTGCATCTTGCTTTTGTTTTCGCGGTGACTGGGGTTGCTCTTCTTCAGAGTCTGACGAGGAAGGGCGTACGTCACCTGATAATGCGGCGAGGCGCTGGCCAAGGGAGAGTTCCGCAAGATCAGCGTCTAGTGCACCCTCGATCTGAGATGCGACAAGGTCTTCCATCGCTTGATCTTCCCCGAGCTCGACGCCAGAGTGCACCGCAAGAGATGAGGGCTCGGCGTACCGGGCATTTTTTGATGCGGACTACAGGCAGCGTACATCAAGTTTTCGTTTTTTTGTCACGGTGTTAGATACGTACAGTGGATGCAGGTTCTGAGTCTATGAGGACTTCATCTTTGGCGGTCTGTGATATGGATGGCTTGGCTTTGCGCGACGATGATTTAGTGCGCGCTTTTTTGGATGGGGGGACACTGGACATGGCCGTGTGTCTTTTTATCTGCTCGAACAATTTTTGGGTCAATCTATGACAGCAATATGAGCTCAGGCATACCTGGAGTTGATGGACGGGGAGAAACAAATATTCTGCAAGTCACGTGCTAGCTACTTTCTTGCATTTTCCTAATCGGGAGGAAAAGAAAACGGGAAGTTCAGTCCGTTGAGGCTTAGATTCCTCAGAGTCACTCGAAGACTCCTCGTAGGAAGTCGGCACTCACGCTCTCCTGACAAAACCGCCCGTTTTTGCAGTATATTCTGTCTCCCTCTTTGTGCAAAAGGGATAGTGAGGGCCTTCTTACGATCTTTCCATCTGTTACATTCTCCGATATCCTGACACCTCGGGTAATCAGCTGCCGTGGCACGACCAACGATGAATTACATTCAGGTAAACTCCTTGTCACACTTTTGACATACAAGCTGACATAAAGTAGTTAGAGAAACTTGGTATGATCTGCCTTGTGCATTGCACGATATGGAGGATTGTACCCTAACCACTGCTTTTTGCAGGCGAGGGTACATACGCCACCGTGTACAAAGTGCGTCAAAGCAGCTTCTCCTTTATATTGCTTCGAAATTTATATCGGTATTAGGGTCGTTCACGAACGACCAATGAGATCGTTGCGCTCAAGGAGATACATCTCGATGCAGAGGAGGGAACACCGTCCACTGCCATCCGTGAGATTTCCCTCATGAAAGAACTCAAGCATGTCAACATCGTCCGCCTCCACGATGTCATACACACGGAGACAAAACTTGTCCTTATCTTCGAATACTGTGACCAAGATCTCAAGAAGTATATGGACCAGCACGGCGATCGCGGAGCGCTTGACCCTATGACCGTGCGAAGTTTCATGTACCAGCTCCTCAAGGGCACATCATTTTGCCACGAGAACAGGGTACTGCATCGGGACCTGAAGCCTCAGAACCTTCTTATCAATCGCAAGGGCGAGCTCAAACTCGGTGACTTTGGTCTAGCACGCGCATTTGGCGTGCCAGTGAACACATTTTCCAACGAGGTACGTTCGTGTATGGTGAGTCTCACAGCGACAAGGCTGAGATGTGGAGTTAGGTCGTCACACTATGGTATCGTGCACCAGATGTACTTCTTGGATCGCGCACGTACAACACGTCGATTGATGTTTGGTCGTGCGGTTGCATCTTCGCGGAGATGATCTCTGGAGTGCCTCTTTTCCGCGGCCGTGATAACCAAGATCAGTTACTTCATATCATGCGCATTGTCGGCACGCCGGATGATCGAGTTCTGAGGAAGATAGCGACTGAATCGGTTCGATCTTTTGATTATGGTGAGAAGTAAAGAATGCTGATTTTCTCCCAGCCCGAAATTACCCTAAAGCAATACCCAAGATACCCAAAGATCTCATTTGCCCAAGTGCTTCCCAAGGCCTCTCCACAAGGTAGCTAATCGGGCCTAATAATTTGACGGGCCTGGACTGACTGCAATGCAGCCCTCGACTTACTTGAACGCCTACTCCAATTTGATCCTGCCAAGCGTATGACGGCCACTGAAGCCCTTTCGCACCCCTACTTTACATCCACCGTGGCCCCTACCTACGGCCCGAGTTCAACTCCAGGGTCGATGGCACCCCCTCAATTCAATTTTCCTCACCCTCATCCTCACGCACAGCAACAGCAACAACAGCAACAGCAGCAACAGCAGACTCAACAGCAGCAACCTCACAATCCAATCCCTCCACCAGGGTCGTCTCAAATCTCTATAACGCCGTCGTCAGTTTACCCACACGGTCAGCAGCCCATGTACAGCACTCAGGACGCTGCAAGGATGCAGGCGCAAGTTCAAGCCCAAGCGCAGGCGCAGGCAATAGCACAGGCTCAGGCTCAGGCTCAGGCACATGCCCACGCACAAGCACAAGCACAAGTTCATATGAATCAACAGGTCGCGCCTGGATACCCTGGAGGGTTTCCTGCGCAGTATCAGCAACATCCACGATAGTTCATTCTAACTCATGGAATGGTCTAGAAAATTTTGATAATTGAGGTTTCGCCCCTTTTTCTTGGGCTTTGTTCCTGTTTTATATATCATGACCCCGGGGACGGAAGAATGTTGTAATCACTAGTCTTGTAACACGGATGTGGCACCTGTTTTCACGTTTCGTTCACGGAGGAGTTAACGTTTGGCGGTTGAAATAGAGGAGCAGTGGGCGATGTGACTCCACAAGGAGAGGTTCCAAATGAGAGTTGCCCTTTGTAATTCAAACACCCTTGTCTCTGGAGGATCATCATCTGAGTACCAGGCAGAGGATAGCCCCAAAAATCGACCACACGCGACATTCTATGAAAGGGCTTTGAGCTCATTTTGTTTCCGGGGACTTGATCGAGAAATGAGGACTGGACAAGAAAGGTAATGCCATGTGGCCACGCATCTTTTGTGCCTTACCAAAAGTTCACCAGTGGCTCACGACTATAAAACCAACTCACACATCCACCATAACGCATATCTAAACAATCCCCATTGATCACTGTCCGGCGCAGCGAGCATCATACATTCTGGAGTCATGTCCACATTCGACAATCTCATTCAGGACTTGACTCGCGACGTATGCAGAGTGCAACCCAAAGACGCTCTCCAGTTCTGCGCTAACTGGTTTCAGTCTCGGCTGGAAGAACAGCGGACGCGAACACGAGACGCGCTGCACCAACGTGGTCTTTCCACAGTTCATGAATTACCATCCGAGTTCTATTTGGACTCCCCTGTTAATGTCGGCCCTCGTAACTCTACACCCACCCCCATTTCTCCATTCTCTCAGGTACCTCAGCGTCGTGCATCCTCGCTCCATTCAGGTTTCTCGCACAGTCCGTTTGGGACTCTCAATGTGCCAGGAAATGCTCTTCTGTCCTTAGACACAAACGGGGCGCCCAATGGCATGCTTGCTCCGACGTTCACCCTTGATGGACGTGAACTGCCCCCAACCTCACCACTAACCGCTGATCCCAACGCATTCGCACGGTATGATGTGTCTTCAACGCCGACCATGTCTAATTCGCTCTCTCTGGGCCTGGGGGATTACCTCCATGCACCATCATCAACCATTCTGGCACGTCGTGTGTCCGTCAGTGCTGAGCCTATCGCAGTAGACAGTGGTCATGACGACCCACTCCCCGTATATCCCAAGACAGCCGACCAACTTCGCCGTATAAAGTCATCCATTGCAGATAATTTTATTTTCCGTGATCTTGACGAGGAGCAGGAGACTGGCGTGCTCAATGCAATGCAAGAGAGTCATGTCCCCACAGACCATGTGATTATTCGGCAGGGAGATGTAGGAGAATACTTCTACGTCGTCGAATCAGGACTTTTCTACTGCTACATCCATCCTGGACCACTACCGCCGACATGGCTAGCGGATACGGCAAACCATTCCTCGCAGCCCGAAAAATTCCTCCAGCCAGGATATCATCCCGTCTTTGGTCGGAGAGTTTCAGAATGCAAGCCTGGAACTTCTTTCGGCGAGCTTGCGCTAATGTATGGACATCCACGTGCGGCGACCGTGCAGGCAATTGAGCCCTCCACTGTCTGGGCTCTTGACCGCACCACTTTCCGCACAATCATTCTGAAAGCAGCTCACAGGCGCAGGACGATGTATGAGCATTTCCTCTCCAGTGTTCCTCTCTTGTCCTCCCTTGAACCAGGAGAGCGTAGTAAAATCGCAGACGCATTGGTCAGCAAAGTACACCCCGATGGAGAGGCGGTTCTTCGGCAGGGAGAGATGGGAGACACATTCTTTTTCGTAGAGGAGGGGGAGGCTATTGTTACCAAGACGCAACAAGGAGAGGAGGGTGAGTACCGCGAGATTACAGTGGGCCGGCTGAAAAAGGGTGACTATTTCGGCGGTGAGTGTTTTTGTATTGTTCTCTTTTAAGTTCTTAAATATTGACGCGCACTTTAACAGAGTTATCTTTGCTCCGACTTGAGCCTAGGGCGGCGACGGTGAGCGCAGTGCACCGGGCGGATCCGTCGCAGTCCAAGTTGAAGGTGGCGGCATTGGACACGGATGCATTCACGCGACTTCTTGGACCTCTTCGAGAGATCATGGAGAGGAAAGCTGGAGAGAGTTATGGACTTTCTTCCAGATTAAATCATTGATGAGAGAGTTTTTGATGTATTCTTTTTTGACTTTATATACCCCCCGTGTCTTATAGTGAAAATATTGTATCCTCAGAATCAGACAATTAACTTTGACCTCGGGTTGTATTCAACGTACTGGTGTCTGGAGTCTGACTGAGCGACCATTCACATTGTTTCTGCTGGCACGGCGATGTGCCAACAAAGTCCCAGTGCAAAAGTGTAAAATGATTAATTTATAATTTCTACAAACAAGGAAAGTTTCGTCCTATTGTGGTTGGAGTGGCTTGAACCAGATCGTCAACGTTTCAACAACAACTAATCCCCCACAGTCCTTTCTCGTCATTCATTCTTCATCGGTCGACTGCTTTTCCCTCGTTACCAGTTCATGTAGGCAGGCTTTTGCTGTCAGTTTGCTTGAAGTTCAAATGAATTAACAGATTTCGAAAGAATTATCACATCTTAGATACTCTCACTCAATCGCCACTCTTTTCTGTTGAATCATCGACAACGACTTATGGACGCTCTTGACAGTCTAGATACTGTCCGAAGGCGGGGCATTGATAGTGGATGTGAGTATTTTCTTGCCATCGTTTCAAGTGATGTTCTGACACCTTAAGCAGTAGGAAACTTACTGTAAGACGTTGTTTGTTATGCAAGAGTGAGCTGCTAGCTGAAGTAAACACAGTGGTGGAAATGGTGCTGCGAGCTCTTTTATCCAGACGGCAGTATCTGCTGCGGAATCGGGCTCCGACTCGAACCCCTTTGGCGGAATTGCTAGTGCTATCAGCAGCATTGTCGGTGGCGTGTCGCCCATTGTCGGGTCTACGTTAGGATCTTCTACTATATCCACCATTCAACTCCTAACCCCTTCTCTTATAGCATTACTGGTGCGACTATCGTCACCAGCTCAAAATCCACTTCTAGTAGTACCTCCACTGCATCGTAAGCTACATATCTATTGCAAATGGCATCAGCACACTAACTTGTTCGACCACGAGCACTAGTAGCACCCCTTCGACAACATCCACGTCGGCACCCACGCTCTCCACACCTCCATCTTCTACTCCTACTCCTACTCAGGCATCCACACCCGCATCTTCCGCCTCTCTGATCGTTATCCCTTCAACTGATGGCACCAGCATTGTCTACGTGACTAGTGTCGCGACCATTTCAGCGACTTCCACCGCTGCACCTGCTGTGTCATTCTTGCAGAACAAGCCTTTGGAAGGCGGAGTTTTTGCCTTAGTTGGAATCGTGATCATGGTGATCATCTTCGTCGTCGTCACGTATACCATCCGTCGTCGTCAGCGCAATCGCCTTGAGAGCGTGATCGCTGATGCTATCACGTTCGACCCGGCTGTGACTGAGCACTATGGAGACGAGGAGAAGGGAATGAACACCTATGAAAAATACAGGCTTAGTGGCAGTTCCTCAGGCCATGGCCATGGCTTCGGGTACGGTCCCCAGCCCGCATACGCGCCACCGGTCCCACCGGTCCCTCCTCAGTACGGTTACTATGGCTCACAAGGATATGAACAGCAGGCAGCTGCTTATCGTGTCCCTTCCACTCAGGGCCCCGTCTATAACCACGACAACGCGGTTAATACGGGTGGTGCAGTTAGTACAGATGGTGTGGTTAATACGGGTGGTGCAGTCGATCCAGATGGTGCGGTTAACGCTGGTGGTGCGGTCAATACGGGTGGTGCAAACCTTACTCGCAAATATTCAAACCGAAAGCCTGTTCCACCTCTTCTGCTAAATCCCGTCTATGACCCCTCTCGCTCTCCAGTTCTTCCCTCGCACTTCATGCAGAATCAGGATACCCCAGTCTCACCGATTGCTCTGTCAATGAGCCCTTCTATACCCCCAGGTGATATAGCGACTCCTGCGCTCCCTGCTCCTGCGCTCCCTGCTCCTGCGCTCCCTGCTCCTGCTCTCCCTGATGACTTGGAGGACGATCCTTACACAGGAATGCTCAAGGCATGTTGACTTCCTGTTGAACATTCATAGCATACTTAAACTGTGTCTGCAGGTTGTCAATCGCTAAATATACCCCAGTGATCTCGATATCTCGATACCCTCATTGGCTGCTTCCACGTGGCAATCGCTTGTTGATTTTTGTCCGCCCATGCTCTCTTGCCTTCAATATGTTCTGAGCAGCGCTCGCGTTTCTGTTTATTTATAGTTATCATTAATGCATTCTGATGCGCTGTGCCTATCAGATATGGTTTTTGATTCTTGTCGAGCTATCATGATGTATACGGAGGGTGACTGGTCATCCATTCCACTGTGCAGTTGCGTGTTCCCAGCATTGTTGTATCCGTAGTGTTTTCTTGATGTTTGCATGAATCAAAAAGTTTTAGAGTGTTTTGGCTGCTTGATTGAGAGGTTTGACATGCATAATATACCACTCATCATTACTCGTCCTTTAACGGCTTGTCTTTTTCGACGGGGCTCGGGCTATCCTCTCTCATATAGCCCACATCCTTCGTGGCTATCCTTTTTGCCAGACACTGCTCTCGCCGCTCCAGGTACCATACCAGCCAAGTCACTCCCAATGTCGAGGCACACGTGCAGATCATTGCGATCATGCCCTTTTTGAAGCGAGGCGCATCCGTAGCAGGATAGAAGAGGAGTGGCCACCAAGCATTGACCGCGTTGTTCCACATGCTTGATGTTCCAAGTCAGTTTTGGGCCCAGCAGGAATAAGTTGAAAAACGTACTTCATGGAAGCAAGCACAACAGCTCGCTCTTGATAATCATCTGCGCATATCTGGTTTGCCCAGCTGCAGAACAACAAAATCAGCATGCGTCAATCTTAGAGTGCGAAGATGTAGCTGACGCAAATGTGGTAGCTTGTCCGGAATACGAGGCTCCTGCAAGATCTGAGAGGGGATGAACTAAGCTTTCAGAGTAGTAGCTCTGGCAGAGACCACAAACAATACGCGAAGAATTTCAACCCCGTTGGACTACTCCACACGAGGATGCAGATCGCAGCGGCTGTGCAGCAGAAGCACATGTACACGAGTACAGGCCATCTTGCTCGTGTGTAATCTGTCCAGGTAGCACAGACAAGCGTGGATGCGATCCCGAAAGCTGTAACTCCACTTGGATAGTAGTCTGATAAAAAAACGTATCAGGGAAGGAAAGATGCAGGGAAGTGATGGACTTACCGACTTGCTCAACTGTATAACCGCTAATGGCAGATAGCCATTGGCCCATCAAATTGTTGGAGCCGAAACTTTCAGTCTCCCCTGAGATGGCAAACTGTACGAAGTGGTGTTTATCCTTACTCGTCGAGTAACGGAAGATGCTTACGAGGAGACTGCATCCGTACCAACGCCAGCGGCTAAGTACTCTCTTCGCGAGATCCCAAGAGAGACTATGATGGACAACATCCGAGTCAAGACGGTCTTGAGAGAGAGCCCGTTCCTGTGGGGAAGATATAGAAACAAAAGTCGACAAATCTTTCAAACATACCTCTTCACTCAAATAAAATGCTTTGGTGGTCGATGGCACATCAGGGAAGATGAAAAAGCCGTAAAGTGCAATCGGGAGCGTAATTACACCATCGATAATGAACCTGGATAAATGGTTTTGTTGAGCGCTGGTGCCCCGATCATCAATCTGGGGACGCTTACAGCCACCGCCATCCGCTTCTTCCGTCGACACCCCCAAGATGTCTCGTAAGACTTTAGTCTAAAATTTTACCCCGGTGTAAACATGATATCTTACTGGTAAACGGCTGCTTGAAGCACACCAGAGAACCTACCGATTGTCAGCGAAGCAAACGAATGTTGGGTGATTACCTTACAGTGTCCCAGCTAGACCCGAGCTTGTAAAAATCCCCGAGCGCTTGCCTAATTCCCCAGGTTTATACCAACTTGAGGAAGCGCATAAGAAAATGTTCTTCAGAGAAATAGAGCACTGACGATCCAAGAATATAATGAGTGCCTACGAAGGTCGATGCTTCTGATATGCCCTGGAAGAATCTGATAGCGTACAACTATCCGCGGAAACGGTTAGCACGGAGGTAATGGGGATGTTGGGGTTTACCTGTTGAACGTTATGGACGCTACTTGAACTATACCATAATCAAATTTGTCATTGCCGTGACGTTTTGACATTTAGAAACAGCAAAAAAACGAACCAGAAGGTGAGCACACCCCACACTATCTGCATCGATGGAAACCACAGTCTTGGAGGGACGACCTGAAGCATCAAGTTGTCTGAAATTTTCAAATATTGAATGGGGCACCACGGGCAATATAATCTCTGAAGGCCTACTGGGAATCATTCCGACGATGTAGCCGCACGTAAAAATGGTATTGATTTTCTGCGAAGGCGCTCAGAAAGCTTCCTGAAAGCATTATGATAATGAAGTACGTACATTGAAGTCGTTTCCTTGCATATTGAGTTCTTGCTTCATCCCGGATACATACGCGTTGTTTACGTTTGCTCGATCAAGGTCTGGTTACGAGACCAGTGTCAGAGACAGCTCCCCATTTATGATCAAGTGGTAATATGAGCGCTAGAGTGAAAATGCTTCGGAGAAAGCTTCGCTGTGACCACATCACGATTCACGTAACATGTTTATGCTTTCATGCACCAGAAACTGTAGTGCCAAAACAACCTAACTCACAGTTTGTGAAATACTACCACCGCAGTGACTCGTTTGCAATCAGTGTTTTCAAGATAAGCCGATGCAACATACCATAAGACAGCAGTAAGACAAAATGAACCAATCCAATTTCAAGAGCAGCCTTCGCTCCAACTTCGAGGAGGGTATCTCGCCCCAGAGGAACTGCCTGGCAGTTTGCCAACGCATTTCGCAGGATGGTCAGGTTTTGAAGTCAGCCTTTCAACAGTGAACCAAGAAGCTGAATGGCGCCAAATAGATGCATATATAAGGCTCGACAACTAAGAGTCGTCTGACTCGAGCACATACGGTACAGCTGGGATGAGAATGAGAATATCCTATATTTGGCTATTGACATTGATTGACAGATCGAAAAGATAAGGAGGTTCAGCGCTAGACTGATGACCAGCCCCCCTGAGGGCTATTGACGCTTTCCTCGGGTTGATGTTCTAGCATGAAATGTGGATTGTGCACATACACTGCATCCTACGGCGGCTTAATGGAACCCTTATACATGTGACTTCAAGTCTTTTGCAATTTGGAAACATGTAATCCGATTTTGAAATCTCATATATTCCTTGAAAAAACAATGCCAACGTCTCGACTCTCCAGCGATTAAGCAACAATTATCCTGATGAAACTACGGATTGCAAACACGACAGTTTGCAACAGTAACTTACATGCACAAATTTGCCGCGCCATATATGCAAGTCTGAACACAAGTCCTGGGATGCCCCATTGCGCGAGGCCATTTTGGTAAGCTTTCAGTAAATTTCAGTCCTGATTTGAATAAAATATACCAGGAATTTAATAGAATGAGTCGGAGGGGCAAGGAAGCGTGTTATAACGTAGTTGAGCGTACACAAAGCGACCACCTCCTACACCTCGGCATTGGCTGATGTGGCTGCCTTTCTTACCTACGATGGAAAACCTGAGTCGGGTAGCTGGGCAATTCCATGGCATCTGATGGTCGCCGCGAGAGAGAGAGGAGGTAAGTGAGAAGGGAGCAAACCGAATATTCACCACAGATTCCATAACGGCCCAGTGTGGCGTTCGTGCTCAACATCTGCGGCAGCATTGGATGGCACGAGCGGGCGCCGGGAAATGATGTTGATGCGGGTCCGACGTTCAACCTTGAAGCTTGAGTTATGTGGGCCGCCAGGCTAAACACTCTTGGGTCTGGGAATTTTGATCTGCAGATGCGACTCCAAGCGATTCCAAATTAGTGCTGGATTGGAGATCATAAGTAGCTTGGCACAAGTGATGGTAGTCTCGAACCGACATTTTCGGAAAGACGCATCAAACGCTGCTGTACCCGGTTGTTTCAGAAGTTCCGCCTGGTTCAAAACCGACCGAAAGAGAAACTTCAAAGAGACTGGTACATAACAGTTATACACGTGATCTACCTTATCGTCAAATTGGCTTGGTCAATCGCGCCGAACCTTCCCCCATCGGGAAAGTTATGCGATGGAATTTCATCGAAACACATAGAAAGTCAGTACTAGTCAGTGGGGGGTGACTCGAACATGGGCTGCACAGATCAAGTCGACACGCTGGCCTAAACAAGCTCGAGCGAGCTTAGAATTTTCCTGCAGGCAACTAATCGACAGCCCGAGAGGATTAGTCATGCAGTAAGATGATTTACGAAATTGGTTCGAATTTGGGAACTTTCCTGATGTCATCGGCTTTGCTGACAAAAATTCCGATGTGCAAGAACTTCAAGTCAAGGAATTCATGAAGTTATTGAATCACCTCCCCCTTCACTCCATCCCCTCCCTCCTCCTTACCCGCAGAGGTTCAGTCCAGCAATGCGCTCACGCTGGTTGTCTCTTATCACCATTGCACCTCTTCTCGCCATCGTCCTCGTAGGACCCCTATCAGTATTAGCAGTCCCTGTGGTGGACCTTGAACTAGGGGAGGCACATCCCAAATCCTCTCGCGCGCAATCCATAGCATCGTCAGGAAACTTCCTTGTTTTCAGACGTGACGATGATCACTCGCATATGCATCACGGCGCACCTCTGACTGAGCTGAATGAGACCGCAATAATCGAGTGGCATCTTCCCACTCCCCCCTCTTACTGGTCTATCGATATCGAGGATCGTGACCCATCGGTACCCCGTTACCCTGCACTCATTGCCTTACATGTCATCTTCATGATCCTCGCCTTCTTTGTCGCCTTGCCTGTTGGTAAGAAGTTCATTATATCACGTACCCGCATCGCGTGCATTCGCACTGACTTCAAATGCGCTACACAGGAATAGCGATGCGTGCTGTAAAGCATTCATGGCACGGACTTGTCGTAGTCGCATTCTACATCTTGTGCGCACTTGGGTGTGCTTCCAGTACATTGTACAAGAAGTTGACACCTGATATGTAAGCGAAACGTCATTTGAATATTAAATGGCCGATCTTACTCCGACATTTTCCTCTTGCTGATATCTCACTCGCAGGTACGAGGGGTCAACCCATGCCTCTCATGGTTACTTGGTCCTAATCTTAAGTTTATGCCTCTCTGCGGTCGACATCACACGCTTTTTCGTTCGTCTATATGCGTTCATAAGGAGCAGAAGCAAGTTCGCCTTGAAACCATTCTGGCGGAATATCGTTTTGGGACGTAATGAAGTCTACGACGTCACAGCCAAGTACACTGGCTTGGACATGGAGGAACCTCGAGAATTCGAAGTGGCCGAAATGAAACCTCTGAGGCCCGCTGAAACCAGGCAACCTTTTCATGTGCGACGGAATCAACCCATTGCAACTACCCAGGCCCAAGATTTGTATGATGCCGTCGACGATGAAACAGCACCATGGGTCAACAATTCTCAACTCGGAAGTAGTCATTATACGCAGTCGAACTTGTCGGAGAGGATCGTGTTTGAAGCCGATTCTCCGCAGGGTTCTAGGCACTCTGATGACACCTTGCATGATTTCAAGCTTCCCGATCTTATTGAACCGCAAGCTCCCCTCATCCGACGCATTGGTCAAGGAGCGTTTGCTACGCTTGAGAGAGCATTGGTTTTTGCAGCCTTCGGTATGACGCTGTCAGGTATCGTCGTATACACCGGTGGCTGCCGCGAAAGCTACATAAACGGCTGTCTTGCACATCTAATCAGTACGTAGATGTCGTACTATGCGGAGGCATCGACACTTACTAGTTTTGCAGAGGGTGGCATTTTCTGGTGTTATGGCTTGGTTACATTTGCTCGGTACCTTGGATCTTTCTCTGAGCGGGGGTGGGCCTGGAATATCTCGCCAACTGGTGAACATGTTTCTGCTGAATTTGTGGAGTCGTTAGTCATTTTCCTCTATGGCATCACCAATACTTGGATGGAACGTTTTGGCGTTCACTCTGGTGACCCTTACACTACCAAGCAAGTGCAGCATATCAGCATTGCTGTACGCTACCTTTCTTCCTGCCTTTTCGTATCTCACAATTATATAGGTCATGTTTTGGTTTGCCGGACTCGTTGGGATGGGAATAGAATCCAAGCGTGTTCGCCGCTGGCTCGCAGCGCCTGCTTTAGCTGCCCTCGGCCCAGCAGAAACTTCTGAGCCCCCTAGCTACCGTGGTAGCTTCAACCCTTTCCCTGCTCTCGTCATTGGCGTCACCGGTGCTGCAATGAGCGCTCACGCCCAGACTTACCTCTTCCAGGTAATTTGGGAATTCATCCACTCCTTTTCAAGGTTAAAAACGTTTCGAAACAGGTACAGATACACGAACTATGGGGACAGCTCCTTTTGGGATTCTCGGTTCTAAGGTGCTTGACCTACTTTTTCGTCTGGCTTGGCCCGCCCCGCTCTATCCTTCCCTCTCGACCGCCGACGGAAGCTCTCGGAAGCTTCTTCCTCGCATGCGGTGGTTTGATGTTTATATTCAGCACAGAAGAAGTAACCATTGCCGCTATGCGGAAAGGGCGTGATGGTATGTGATTTTCTGCCCCGTAGTACCTCCGCATTGATAAACGGACCTGTCATAGATATGATGATGTTCCTCAACGTTGCTGTTGCTATCACATGCTTCGCGTTCTGCTGGACCTTCTCCATCGTTGCGATGAAAGGATGGCTTAGATCCCGAATCAGTCCCCGCTACCCGTTCTCAGTTCCATGATCAGGAGAAATCCTCTTGTCATCAGCGTTTAGACGTCAACATTAACACACGGGACCTCGTTTCAATCGATGTTCATATTCGCCCACATTTACAGTAGTTGATAATCGTGCTATATTCATGGTCTTGTAACAATAATCGCTATTCCCTTACGTATTTTATGATGATCTATGTAGTACGACGAAATGTCGATATCAAGTTTCTCTTACACAATTGCACAAGCTGAGTGACAAATATAGGGTGAATACACATTCAAATCTCAAGTGGTGACTTCGCGACCAGGACAAGGTACGCGCGCGCATGACTCCACCGTGCAAATTTATAATTCATTGATAACGAGGGTGATGGTTGCGTGCGTGCGTCACGATGGTTGCTTCAGAATTGGAGTACTTTGAAGTACGAAAAACTGCGACGATCATTTCCTCAGTAGCACGTACACTGGGTCACCGAGAACAACATTGGTCAAGTGCCGATATGAACCAGTTATTGACAGTAAGAGTCCACCGAATGACGCATAGGCCGTGCTGCAAGACATGAGTGCGGACCAAGTAACCATGCAAGCAACTTACACGATGTCGGATGATCCAGTATCAAACTTATATACCTGTAGAACCAAATGAGTAAATTTCAAACCCCTTGAGGGTGATGTGGCCGCACCTTCCCATACATAACATAGTCGTAATCTTCTTCCAAGCCTCTCCTTCCTTTCCCATCCGGTCTCCAAACATCTCTGTCTTTGTCTTCCCCATCTTCCCCATCGGTGGGTGCACTACCGTCCCGTGACAGTGACGAAGCAAGGGCCATTGCGAAGCTGTCCCCGTTGACTAGAGGAAAGAGCTCGATGTTATAGTCAAGCGTCAAGTCCATGTCATAGTTTTTTGAACGAGCGTATAATCGAGATACTGGGTTTACATGGGGCATTGTTAATCACAGGTACAACAAAAAAAGTGATACGCATGGGCAAGTCCGGACCTCGATCGAATTTTTTGCCGTCCTTGTCGATGGCATCAGTCGTAAAGATGTCGTCGAAAACGATGCTAGATGAGGTGGAAGCCATGGCTAATACTATGTAGTAGTGAAGAAAGAGTCTGCAGTAGCCTATAGATCACTCCGATAATTTCCAAATAAAGTAATGCGACCCGCTACAAAGATCGATTTCTATCTGATTCTCAAGATCTTGACAAGATAAACAGGAGAAAGTTGGCGAAAAGTTAGGCTCAGCTGCACCCCGTGCTGGTCTCCCATGTTACAAACCAGATGACAGCACAAAGCTTGGCAGCTTTGACGAGAACACGCTGCGTTATCACTTGGATTGGCTCAGCCCGCCAATACGGAAGTCAAAGTCAATGATTGAGAAGAGGCCCCGAACGAAAGCAAAGTTCTTCAGGAATCGGAGAGGAAGCCGATTGGACTAGGACGAGTATAACACGTACTTGGTACATTTATATGTATACATGATGACAATCATGTAAGACCTGAAATCAGGACTGCATAATCTCCCAGGGCTCCCATCCATATCCAGAATCCAGACCAACCACACCCTACGAATCCCTGCCAGCAACTCGGACGACTCTCAAAGTCTGTTCTCCACAGAACCCGTGCGAGCTGGGCGGCCCCGAGACCGAGACCGAGATAGAATGGCGCCCCATGAGCGTTGAGAACACCCGCGAGACCAATCAGAGAGACGGTTGATGCTGAGAGGGCGCTAAGAATGGGGCGCGTCTGCTCTCCAAAAAGCAAGGCAGTTGAATGGATACCGACGTTTATGTCGTCTTTTTTGTCCTGCGATAGTCAGAGGGTAGAATGCCTATTGTGCAGCAACACCCACTTGATGTGCGTATATGCTGTCGTATACAAGAGTCCAGCACACTCCACCTGCGTATAGAGGGAGACAGACACTCCAGTTGACTGCCCCAGCAACCGCAGACCAGCCGAGCAAAGCCCCCCAATTAAAAGTGAGCCCTGCGGCATCGTCACTTCAGTCGTATAATACGATAGAAACTACTAGCTCATACCTAGTACGGCTTGCGGCCAGTAGGTGATTCTTTTCATGAGCGGGTATGTGGTCACCAAAGACAGAGATGAAGCTCCAAGAAAAATGCTTGTGAGTGAAAAGGTCAATGCCTGTGACAGTGGAGCGAGAGTGAATATAATACGTGCCTGTACCAATTCAGCTGCAACAAAACTCCCAGTCCCACCGTCAACTGTCCAGCTAAGAACACCAACGCCTGTCTTTGGTTGATGTCACCTCTCGCAAGTGGTCTACTCTGTGTTCTCTCTGCGATGACGCGTCGGCGGAAAGAAAACGCGACGACGGCGCGTGTTCTACTTACCTACGGCTTTGTCTAAATTTTTATCCCACATGTCGTTGATGGTGCAACCTGCGCCGCGCATGACAATTGCTCCAAGTCCAAATAGGCCGAGATATGTCAGAGGCGTCGTTATTGGGGCCTCTAAGGCATATGCGGCCATGGTTATGGACCATGCTAGATGGAAGAAGGATGAGGTGGAAGCGCGCACAACTTTAAATCCACTAAACGCACCGCAAGGGTAAAATAGCAATAGGGTCCCAATTGGCTTATCTATCCTTGTCAAGTAGAGGTAAGGTCGGATTTTTGGTGGAAGACGGTCGACCCAGGTCGTCGGTGGTGTTGAAGTACCTGCTGTGCCAGATACATGACGGCTCAATAACTTTGTTGATGGAGACCGTATGCCAGAAATTTGACCGGCTGTTTGGAACGTGTGCCCACCAACCCATGGTATATTGCACGCCGAGTTCCTCGTCAAACGGTGTCCTGCGTACAATCTGGAGAACCGGGTTAGTGTAATGATGGTCATGCTGCAGGACGACCTAAGCGGTGAGCACGTAATTTGATCTGTGATTGTACGTATATATTACTGGCTTAAGGCGTAATGAATTCTTGTTCGTCTTTTGCTCCTCCCCGACCATCCGACGACGGCCAAGGGGAAGGCTACCGAATGGACGGTCTTAGCGCGTAACTAACACGCCCTCATATGTCCTTGTCGCTTTCATTTCTCTCGCTCGACGTTGACCCACCGCATGGTTGCTGTTTTCCGTACTTCTGTACTCAGATTGTATGCTGCTTAGATCGGTCTGTAAGCCATGTCACATTCTCCTGCATGCTTAGCGTATTTAATAATACATAGAGTCCACCAAACCTAACCGGTCAAAATTTCGTGATATCTGAACATTTTTTTCAGCGGAAAGCTTCAGTCAGCCTGACAACGGCCTGAAGAACTTTTCTTCAGCAGCCACTTGATGTCGGCGGCTACTGTTCGAAAGGGTACGAAAGGCACATGCAAGGCGATACGAGAGCTGATATGCAGAATGATGTCATAGGGTAATGCAACAAAAGTCAAGGCGAGAAGTCTACATTCACCACTCCTTGGCAAGTCTGAACGACCACATCCAGTCTGAAAAGATAGCAGGTCAGTTTTGAAAGACCTTGATCACGGTTTCTGTGGATACAGACCTGCGTATACTTGCCCATCATCGTCCACAACACGGCTTCTGACAGAGTACGATCCAGAACGTGCCACAAAACCCGACGGCGATTCTTCTACATCAAAATTTTTCGTGTATGGTTCTCCTTGGGGATGGGGACCGTATGACCCAAGCATTTGCTCGAGCTTGTCCACTAGAGAGGTGATCAAAATCAAGAACCTGAATCACAATGAGAATGCACTGATACCTTTGATACCAGCACGTTTGACCAGCTGGATGTATCGTACACCCTTTGCAGCAAGCTTTTAGAACCTATCAAGCCAAAACAAAGACAGGCCACTCACAGAAATAATTGAGTGATTCACCTTGAACGTAATCCGAACGCTGAGACAATATCAGTCTGACGGCATCAGAGAACAACTTCAGCACACTCACTTATATTCTACGCCCTCCTTGATAGTAATTGGGTTGTTCTTGATATCAGCCATCATGGCAGCGTCATTGAGGTTAAAGACAAGCTTCTTGCCAGGAGGCAGTGTGGGTGAATCAAGCTCCAGGGTCAGAACTGTCACCTATACGATCCGTGAAATACAGCACGGACAGTACTGAGAGAAACATACTCTTGGTCCTGAGGTGTCCCCAGTTGATATTCCAGGGGTGATACCAAGACTGGCTTTCCACCGTGCCAAGCTCTCATCTTCTGCGTCGAGCTGTACGTATTCATCCGCTGTTTTTATAGCGCCAGTTTGCTTGTAGCCTGGGACAGAATCAATAAGCTGCTCATTCCGTTTCTCCTACATTGAATGCTGGCCTACCTGGGGTGGCAGAGGGCTGCAGATCATCCTGATCGTCGTTCTACAGTAATACCGTACCAATCAGCCAGCCGATTATAATCGAGGTTCATGTTCAACACATACAGCAGACATATCAAACGTGAAACTCGAGAATTAGATGGAAATGAACAGGTCGATGAGTGGCAGATATGTTGCAGTTTCCAAGGGCCTTTTGCGATTGCTTGGCAGTGCATTCTGTTGAGACACTTATCTACTGATCTGATTTCACACGCCTGTTGCCTAGGCTCGAAACTCGAAAGTAACTTAGTAAGTTCAGATATTGATATTTTGTAGTCTCCAGATAGACTCGATCTTCGAGGCTCGACAGGGCTTTCGAGGGCTTTCATTGCGGTTTGAACAAGATCAATATTAATGGATGGCGGAGGGTCAGCGCCCCCATTTGGTGGCAGCCAAAACATACAAAGATACAAAGGAAGATGAGTGTTAGGGGTCTCGGCATGGTTTTGGGGTCACGCCGTACTATCATCCACTCCTGTGTCTTGTACGTATACGCTCTAGAACATGCAGTGCTGTAGAGCGCTGGCCGGTCCACAGATTCGTTATTCGAAGTACATCCATAAATAATAATGCATATCCGATCCATACAATAACATGTAATGAACAACAATGTTGTAAGCAAATAAAGAGCAGAGGGCAACGCGATAAAACGTCAAGCAAAAACCTTCGTATAGGCCATGCGGCACATAAATCAAATCAGTAACAGGCAAGCATGTGTTGAGGTAGACTAAGGTGATAGATGAGGCGAAACATTATGCATGCTTTCTGGAGGTAAGGCATTTCAGTTAGTCCTTCGGTTATCTGACGTTCTGACACGAACCGCCTTTGAACCAGCATTTGCCCTTACTCAGGTGGAAACACTTCGGACCGTTAGGGCATACATGACCCCAGCAGCACCGCTCGCCGTATGGGCATAGGAGACCTGTCACGGCCAAATTTAGTGAGGCATCGAGGTCAAGCTGAATAAACATGCCATTTTTCAGGAAATTACAAGGAGCTTTCTTGGCGTTAGCAGCAAGAGTAGCCAGCTGATCTGGCGTCAGGATATAGTCATGCGAATATTTACAAGCCCCCTGATACCGAAACGTTTCGTCAGTCAAGTGAGGAAGGCTCGCGGTCCACACTTACGCCTTTAGTGCAGGACATGAGATAGAATTCATTACAAGGTGGGGGAGAATCTGTGTAAGCGGTAAAATGTCGAGTGTCTAGGCACTGACCACAGCTAATCAACACAATCTTAACTCACGCTTATGAAGGGGCTGGGAGCCATCAGCATCGACAATGAACCGCAACGAGAGGATGGGCTTACCAACGTCGGGTCAACTAGCCTTCCCGTCGCGGAAGCGCTCATGCTTGGCGGCGAGTGCGGTGTCGGTAATCCACCAGATGTCAGTGTGGGACTGAGACCGTTCATATTCAGTGGTGGAGGGGTCCTCAATGGTGGTGAGAGCCTCTGGTTGATAAACAATGTCTCCACATTCAAAATCGGCAAACGGTGTTTTTGCGCGTAGTTGGGGCTCGTGCGGCAGGCTTCTAAGAAAGCAACTTTTCCCAAAAGTCCGTCATTTTGCAAGGCAGCAATAGTTGGAGCGTAAGTGTTTTCCTGACCGCCTGTGTTACGTCAATTCCTGTGAACGACAATGAGCATCGATGACACTTGCCGGCAAAGAAAATCCGTTGAGTTTGGGGAAAGCGCAGGTATGTTTGGAGATACTCTAAATGGGTATAAGTGACGAATTTCATTGATCATCACACGCTAACCTGTAATTTTCGTGAAGGTGGCGTCTTTGCCGTATCCGACATCAACCAAAACAAACCTAGGCGAAGACTGGCTGAAACCCATAATGAAGGCATCGAGTTGCTCCGGGCTACATAATTTATGTCGCTCGAGAACATTCGCCAGTACGGCCTTGTTAAAGTAAATCGTTACCCAAAATGACAGTCGGCCGAGAACGTGAATGTCCTCGCTGGTTAAATAATCCGCGACTGCCCTCGTCAATTGTTGGGCGGCCTGGCGGCCACCTTCGTGGCCTTGCCTAAGGAGTAAGTCATTAAAAATACAAGCATCCCCGTCAATGACGCAGAGTACGAGTAGACTCTGACTCTGTTCGAAATTAGGGATAAATTTAGTCAGCCAGTGAGCTCGAGCAGGAAATAGACTGACCATGAAGGTTTCCATCGACGCCACCTGAGAATTCAGAGAAGCCAACCTCCCTTTGAGAGCCTTGGCCTCCCTGTCTGCGCCTTCAAGTGCTGTCGCATGGGCTTGTTTCCAGACCGCAAGCTCGACCTCGAGTTCAGCTAAGCGATTCTCGAGGTCAGCATTCCGCTTAATTGTCGCCGATGACAGGTCTGCACACCGGCATTAGATCACAAGCTGATTCCTGGCACGAGAAAGGCACATACTCAGAAGTCTACCCAGCGTCTCATCCCTTGTGAAAATTTTCGAATCAAGATTTCAGCCGGTGCACCAAATAACCCTATGACTTACCAGAGCTGCTGACTGACCTCTGCTACCGGAGACGTTGCCATATGGGTTGGCGAACGATGGGAACAGAGTGGATATTAGATATTAGGGAGCACAGGAATATCAACAAAAATCGGCAGCCTTTTAAACCATCGAAGCCACGATGTTTACCTGCAAAGGGGCTGGGCCGTTAATCAGGCTAGATCGCGGAATTCGTGTAATGGGAGAAGGCCGCAGATAAGGCAATTATATCATTGATATGAGCAGCTCGAAGGTCATATTGTCATTCGAAGAAGTCGAAACTGATTTGGCTAAGTCACGCGAACCAAGTGAATGTGCCGCGCTCTTCGTTGAGAATCACTTGTACGTGCTCAAGTACGTCAATAAGAAAATTCCATCAGCATTACGTTGTTAATTCTCCTCCGCGATGATGATCTGGAGGTTAGCAAAAACTGAACCTTGATGTCAAGACGTGACTGCATGCATATATGTACAAATAGATGTTCCCGAGGCCGAACCCATCTCCGGCAGGACAGCCTCGAATGGTCATAACAAGAAACTTTATCATATAATAAAATCGAAGGTGCATGTTAATTCAGTTGTTCGGCTGGCGGTGCATTCCCGCTGAAGCGAAGATGAGAGTGGTTTCGTGTGGAGGATGACGAGATGTCTCACCAGCGATGAATTTGCATTTTCCTAACTTCAGGTAATAACAAGTTGTTCCATTGGGGCACGAATGTCCATAAACACAGTCATCCCCAAATGGACAGTCTCCACCTCACGAACGGTCAGTATACCTAGCAAATTGCGAGTGCGAAAAGCACACCTTCGTTCGTGACCTTACAAGGCGTCTTCTTTGCATTCTCTCCGAGTTCTTGATAGTGTTCTGCTTCCAAGATATACTCATGCGAATATTTGCAACTTGAACCGTGCCTGCATTGTGCCAAGTAGAATAAAGTGCACGGAGGTGGAACATCTTTGTGAGAAGATCAACATTACATCACCACAATGGACGCTAGGCTAGTGAACATACGCTTAGACAAAAGCTAGCAGCAATTTGATTAGAATAGCGTCAAGAAACATGAAAGGGCAACGCGACTCACCAGTTGGTTATTGATACGTCGTTGCTTCGGTGGAGAAGGAGGGGTCAATCGCGGGAAGCGAAGCGGAATCTCGCTTGCTTCGCTGGACTCACTACTACCCTCACTTGGCTCTATTGCTGGACAGCTAAACCGTGCCGCCATCGTTTGTGGTGTTTGCAACACTGATTTATAACTCGGGATACTTCCGCGTCGAGCCATTGCTCCTTGAACTTCCCCAGAAAAAGAGGCAATACCAGGCGGAGTAGTAGGAGGACAGACTGGTGCTGCATTACTCAATTTCGGAGTAGTAGGCGCCAGCCCGGGCGGGGGACCAGTCGCAATGATATTATAAGACGGTGCCACGAGTTTAGTCGTCATAAACAACTCGGGTATTCTGAGCTCAGGTAGCTGAAGCGCCCTGATATCAAGCGCTACGTCAGAATAACCAGGCATGAGAACAAGCTTATGACCAAGGCTTGAGGTGACGACAGAACGAAGGTTATGCACATAACCATTGTCATGACATCCTGTTTGACGAAAATCAGCAAACTGTTTGGAAAACGAGGGTGGAACTTACCACCAAAGAATATTTTGTAAGTGTGTGGGAGACGGATGTTATCTTCAAGATGAACTAGACGTCCAGAAATAACTTCAATAACTCCGTGCAAATCATCATGGGAGTTAGCTCACCTTTAAGCTTTGCATCAGCGGCTTCTTTACTACCCCCTACGTCGACCATGATAAATCGCTCAGCAGCTTGATTGAAGCCCATCATGAAGTCATCAAACTTGGTTCTGGCCGTTGTCAGACCCACTCGGCCAAACGTTTCCAGAAGGCCGCGTTTGTTGTAGAAGAGATATACCCAAAGTTGGTATTGTTCAAATCCTTCACTGGTGGATATGAATTGGCGAACGCGTTCGGTCAGTTTTCTCGCAGCAGCTAGGCCACCTTCCTGGCCTTGGCTCATCAACTCCTGCGTGAAGATCATTCCGTCGCCGTCAAGCAAACATATAACTCGTTTTTCCAGGCCCTATAACGCGGTTTCTAGTCATACCAATAGTCGTCTAGGTCAATGTAAACGCACTTTTAAGACGTTCAACTCGTGTATCAATTCGTTTTTCTCTTCCGCTTGTCTTCGAAGGCGGTCTTCCATAGCAGAGTAAGCTGTTTGGAAAACACCCAAATTCGTTGAAAGCTCTCGAATACGATTCTCGTAGAGGCTTTCGTTTTTCAGTAATATCTGTATTTCACCTGTCGAACATGTTGTGGTCCTGGATGAATACTATTTCGCGTCAGAGGTGCATACCAGAAAGGTGCTCGAGGGTGTTTCGTCTGCATGGCTGTCATTCAGTACTCCACGTAGCAAAAATACGATTACAGACATTGCATGCTGCTGGACGACTCCATGATTTTCGTTTGCGTTCATCATTGCTGGAGAGGCAGGAGAGAAGTCGTGCTGCGCCACAGTTTATAAACACAACCCCTTTGACGTGATCCTCGCCTTTGTAGTATGTTGGTGAAAGCGATGCATGTGCTGTGTGCCATCAAGATTCGCTTCTAAAGCTGAGCAGCAGAAAGCTCAAACGGTTCACTCGTGGCATTTTACGCCTTTGCATGCAGGCATCCATGAAGCTTCTTGTTCACACGTACGTCTTGGCCAACGCGCACAAGTCATGGCATCCGAAGATGTGATCACAACAAAGCGAGATCATATCACTGGCCATGGGCATCGACAAAAACGAACCATCGCGCGAACGAGTATCGACCTATAAACTAGTACTGTGAAGGATTGCCATGAGTTCATTACAGCGTGCGATCAATCATTTATAAAGAAGGCCTGTGGGCGGTGACCCAGCTTGTTTTGTCTGCAAGGTAACGGCAAACAGGCGCTGTGACAGAACCCAAAACTGAATTCATTTGCAAGGTCAGGCGGAGTCTGAGGCCTGAGGCCTGAGGTACAAGTAAGGTACCTCATCCAGGCCCACAGGCCTGCTTCGGATCTCAAATCGTTGGCTTTGTTCGAATGTTCACGTATCCGTTGTCGTGACATCCCACAAACAACCGTGATGATGAATTCGTCAACGGGGGAGATCGCATGTCTGCGACAAGTCCTCAAGGCGGACTTCAATTAATCCGTCAGCCTTGGGACAACACGACTATACCTGCTGCTCGATAGTTAGTAATCACCGACATTGAGCTCTGTGTATGCAGCCTCCTTGATGTCTAATATCAGCCATTTTGGATTATTCTGCTGCCTGATTAAACCCCATCAAAGATCGTCAAGTGCAGTCCTGAGATCCGATTTTGCAAATGTGGAGAGCGAACTGCGCCTACCGTAAGGTGTTCCCAGAATTGGCACCGCGCTGTACCATGATTGAAAGCAGAAATTCGCCGCGGAGTTTCTAGTTGTTAGCTGAAGATGGCTACCTTCGCCGTCTTGTTTCATCAGATCACGAGAGAAGAGAGTGCCATGTCGGTCGAGGAGGCGCATGATTCGCTGATATCAGCTCCATTTCAATATGAGAGCTGATTAGGTGGTGAGGCCGCCACCTTCTAAAGTTCTTGTTCCAAAGTCTTGTTCTTTTCCTCCATATTAGCGTACACTGACTTGGAGATTGTATATTGAAGGTCTGGAGCTAACTATCACAGCCGGCTTCTCTCGAGACCTGTCGTTTGGAACAAAATCAAAGAAGTTTTGCATAGATTGTCTGAGATGTGTACCTAAACTGTGGGCCACGAGGGTGGCGGTGCGACTGTGGACTGGGTCGATCAACTTCTTTCGGTTGAAGCACGCCTAGCATTCGGCACAGAATCCACATAATGTATGCGAGCAATGAGGAGTTCCGAGTAAGGGCGTTGAAGATTGAACGTAGTGGAAAGAGGTGGTTGACCAGGAGAAGCAAATTGCTTGCCGTTACAGGTGGACTCATGAATCGGTGCCTAGCACAATATTCGCCTTGAGTAGTACATAGCAGCCGACAAGGTGCACCAGCACGCTGAGGATTTAAATGAGCAAACGAGAACCAGCAAGTACAGACAAGGTTGTCTTTCAACTTGAGATTGTGGCCTGGCATCATACGGCAAAGACGCGTGCGTGGGAACTGCTTACGTGGACGCGTCGTCGATCATTTGGTTCGCGTAGCTACTTGATCTTGTTCATCCTTCTTCAATTTGCGACATCCTCTGGCAGCTTGCTGTCTTCCTAATACCTTCTTTGCTGTCTGTACTTACACACTCTCTGCCTTCATGACCGACATATACACATCCCTCAGAGTCTCGCCCAGGAAGAAACGTCAACTCATTAGTTCAGACGACGAGACCACTTTCACTCCGAAAAAGCTTCGTACTGCGTGAGCGTGTTTAATCTATTGTCATTGTCATTATGCTTATAGACCACATGCTTAAAGGCCACCTACACCGCCCTCCTCTGCTCACAAGGGCAGCAAATCAAATCACACATCTTTACCACATCACCTCTCACGACTCAACACGATCCAAACAGCCTTACAGCATGCGTTATCACATGCACTAGCAACATGCGCCGTGTCTCCATCTTCTGACACAGGCATAGTGCGAAACGTGCTCAATCATATGTCCATCATGACTTACTCTGGACTCACAACCAAATTCGACACCGATGATCTCAAGCGGCTTTGCTGGATATGGGAGTGGGATGCAAAGTCACTTCCTGACCTTCAAAGCAAATACAAGGCGATTGACGATGAGAACCCCTTCTTAGATGCTCCTGCACAGCCTCCTGCCAAGGACTGGACGCGAGGCGCGATGGGATTGGTTATCAGCCCAACCACCCATTATTCCAAGAGCGCAGGCAAACGCGTACCTGTATATGGTATTGGTATCGAGGTTGAAATCAATATTGACAAGGATATGGGGGGTGGCATGGCCGCGGTAGCTCGATGGACCGCCGACGCAGAGAGGCGGCGAACTGAGTTTCGAAATAAACTTGAGCGCTGGGTTAAGGTTTGTCCCCCATATCTCCTCTGCTACTATGTACGCTAACTCCATCGTAGCTTCACCCCGATAACCCTGATGTGCCAAACGTCCCTCTGGCAGATCTCTCGGAGCTTGTGACTACAGTAAAGGCGTCCTCGCTGACTCGGGTGCTTGCTTCTGCCTCGCCTAAGGGTGCTTCGATTCTTAAGAATATGGTTCCGTCCAGTCCGACCTCACCGATGAAGTCGCCTGTAAAGCGTTCAATTGCCGCACAGGAATTTGCAGTACCTTTTCCTGCGATTAGTCCATTAAAGCCACCTGCTGCATCAACGTCGAAATCATCTATTGCATTTCCTCAAACACCATCATCGCGTCAGAGACGCGCAGATCTTTTGGTTGGACTTTTAACCCCCAAGACTCCTGCGCGTCATAGATGCGAGAGTGATGTATCAGACTCTCTGCCTACGACACCTGTCCATCAACGGGGTGCCAACGCCGAGACTGCACCTTCAACTCCGAGTACATCTCGTCGTCAAGCCTTATATGACCGAATTCGTCAGAAGTCTATCACCACCAGTCCAACCAAAGCGAAGAGTGCGGAAGTTGTGGGAGGAAAACTTTCTAGGGAGCAGATCCAGAAAATGGGTCAGGATGAGATCCGACGGCGCTGTCTGCTCGGTCGATTAGGTGGTGTCGCCGAGAGTGCCTGGATGTCAGTATGATACACTTGACCTCTTCTTTCACTAACTTCTTATTTGACAGGCTCTTCTCGGCTCCTGTCGGACCGACTTCCACACCTACTGTTCGCAAACGCAAAGCTCTACCGGCCTCTGAGGTCGCGGCTGCAATCATCAAGTCCTCTCCTGTACCAATGTCAACCATGGAAGCCAATGAGTCGCTCAAACTACTCACGACGCTCTGTCCGTTCTTCCTTCGACCTCTGGATATCGCCGGCAAAGAATGGCTTGAGATGCCACCGACGTCATCGGTGCAGGACTCCGACAATGGCACTGTCCACAAGTCGATGCCCCTTAGTCCAACCAAGAAGCCCGCTGGCAGCAAACTCGTCCCACCGCCCAGTCCAGGTGCACGATCTACTTCTACTATAGCTCCACCGCCCAGTCCTGGCTCTCGTGCGAAACTTGACAGCGCCGAAATACTCGCACGAAGTCCCAGGCGAGTTAAGCGTGAAACAGGCGGCCTCAGAGAAGTGAGGGAGATTATTCGTAGAGAGCTGGAGCTGCAGGAGTAGCTCCAGACCAGTGCTCATCTTACTCTATTTCTAACTCTATCAGTGCGATACCTTCCCTCCAACATTTGTACGATTGCTTGTCTGCTGTCGCTTTGTTAACTTTTAGCTATGTATATAGCTATAACCGATTCACAATGTATTGCTTGCTGCATCCCCTATTGCTCATCAGCTAAAAATTCCGCCCATACCTCGTCCATGTGGTACATAATACCTAAATGACCTCCATCGGCGATCTTTACCCGCGCATTCTTGTAATTGGCAGCAAGATAGTGTGCATAGGCCACCGGAGACATGTGATCGTCCTTACACGCCACGATCAGGACATGCGGACGAGAGTGTTCCTTGTCCAATCCGTCAGGCCGGAAGCCCCAATCCGAGTGTAGAAGGGGTGGTGTGAGCATGAAGCCCTCCCAAGACTTGGAGATACTCTTCATGGAATTTTCAGCCATTCTCCGCACCGTGTCCTCCGGGACCTTCCCGTGTTCCTCACTCCACTTCGCAAACACCTCTCGCTCCTTCTGATCCATCTTGTCAAAAACAGTTTGGCGCAACATCGCCTCTGTGCCTTCTATGGTCGTCAACCTTCTTGCTAGCACAAATTTCACGAGATGGGTAAGGAGGTTGAATGGCATGTAATACCCGATGGGACCAGGCATGAAATAATGCGCCCACGTCATGTGCTTGGCATAATCTTTGTGGTAGCGAAATGGAGTCGGCGCGCCTAACAGCAACACCCCTGATATGCAACGGCCGAATGGGAACTTATCATACGGTGCACCATATAATATCTGTGCAGGCGCTGCGCCGAACGAGCCCCCTGCGATGTACAATTTGATGTCGCGGTCGTTGGAATCCGGATACAGGTGGGATAATAGCATGGTCATGTCACTTGTGAGGCAGTCGTGGTATGGTGTCGACGGGGGAGGAGGCGACGTGTTGCCCCATCCAGGCAGGGTGGGCGCGATGACATGAACATTCTTGTTCAGAAGGACAGGAGACATCTGTGACGCATTCCCAACAGTAAAAAAACCATGCAGGAAAAGAACAACAGTCTTGCTGGATAGGTTTCCTGCTTCTGTGTACGCCAAGGTACGCCCATCGCGTAGAGGAAGAAATTGCTCCCCGGGGCTAATATCTGTAGACATGAATCAAACTTAGTGCAATATTGGTGCAGATAGACTTCGCAACCTGACAGCCAGTATTTATGGTCGACCTCCTGTCAGCAGGCAGCTGGAGGCGTGTGTAAAGCGGATAATTTCAATAAGATAAGTGGAGCCAATACGCAGCGAACGTACAAAGCAGAGCTGCGCACGCCGCCGCATGCGACAGGTACCGCAGCATATAGAGCGTCATGCAAGTTGCCCATCAGGGAGTCTTGTGTTCCTAGCTGTCCTCAGTCTACGCTGCGTATGCCAAACACATCCGTCTTGTGGGTCGCGGCTGGCAATTTCTAGGGAAGTGAGACATCTTTCCGAGTCATAAATGCAACTTTAAGTCACATATGAATTCATGAAGTAACATCGTTTGGACGCTGCAAGACGATACCATCATTTTTATTGACACAACTCTTGCCAGTGCTGACCGTCTGCAAGGGGCCCAGTGGCACTGCAATATGTATCCGGTGCCAAAAACGCAGAACAATCACTGATAAGGACGGTGATCTCCAGAAAAGCTCGAATTTGATGTGTCACCTTCAAAGGGACCCTTCAAGCTGTGACTGTCTCCCGAAAGGCTCGAATTTGATGTTACCTCAGGCCCATCAGGTCCGAGAATATGATATCGTCAGAGTTCTCCTGGCGCTGGCTACTAAGGGAACTGATGAAATGGGCCGCGCGTGTTCCAAGGGAGAGTCGAGACTATGAGCACGACTCGGAGCTGAGCACAAAAGTAGGATGACAGGCGGCCTGCCTCAGGGTATTTCTGCTATCTGCCTGCTCAGTGTCGCATGATGGATGCCCCATGTGGAAGTCCCTAGCTAGTGACAATCCCTTCCACTGGGTGCAACATGGACATGCAACCACTGGCAGAGGACGAAGTCGTGGATATCAATATTGCCATTGTCGTAGTTCCAATTATGCTCTCAGGATTTAGTGACTCAAACTCCGCATAATCAACAACTCTGCGTATCTTCTCTCTGCTTGCGGTCTCAGCAGAAAATACAGCAAGATGACTACCCTAGAGACTCATCAGCGCTAGTTCCCAATTGCTGGTGCGCACAGTCTCGACAAAAGCATGGACAACCCACTTTCCGAGTCGTTCTTTGGGTGGTGTGCCCGTGCGAAAGCCCGTGACACTAAATTCATTCATTGAACTATATCTTACCATGCGTGAAGTGCAGGCAGGTCCCCTCTAAACTCTATCAGTGCGATACCTTCCCTCCGACATTTGTACGATTGCTTGTCTGCCGTCGCTTTGTTAACTTTTTGCTATGTATATAGCTATAACCGATTCACAATGTATTGCTTGCTGCATCCCCTATTGCTCATCAGCTAAAAATTCCGCCCATATCTCGTCAAGGATTTAGTGACTCAAACTCCGCATAATCAACAACTCTGCGTATCTTCTCTCCTGCTTGCAGTCTCAGCGGAAAATACAGCAAGATGACTACCCTAGAGACTCATCAGCGCTAGTTCCCAATTGCTGGTGCGCACAGTCTCGACAAAAGCATTGACAACCCACTTTCTGAGTCGTTCTTTGGGTGGTGTGCCCGTGCAGAAGCCGGTGACACTAAATTCATTCATTGAACCATATCTTACCATGCGTGAAGTGCAAGCAGGTCTGGTACTCGCGAATCAGGCATATACCACTAGCATGACTCCATATTTGCAACCTGGAAACATCTACATCATTGGCAAGTCTAGCTTTGATGGATGCAACCACGCGGTTTCGTTAGAATTTGGAAGGGTTCGATGTACCCTAGCAGACGACAGACCAGGCTTGCGATGCTAAATGCGTCCCGACCCACCACGGATCACATCTTAAAAAGTGAGCTGCGTCAGAAGCAGTCGAAGCGTAAGTTACTTGGTGACTCGAGGAGGACTTGTGCACAACGCTCGGCTTCGCATCACTGTACTACACCATGACTTCCAGGACATTTTTCAATGACCACGGCTTCTGTCGCATTCCCTGGCCTGGGATCAGGTTCGCTCCACCCTGGCTGCTGTAACACTGGGTCTCCAGCTAGCGAGAGTTCAGAGGATTGAGTTCACCACTCTTGAAGCTTGAGTCCCGGCCGTACGGAGTGGATATATCTCTCACAACGTTCATGGCTACAGCCCCAGAATCCGTGTCTTATATGACAACATCTATACTGATCAATGAGGAGACGGTACTTGCTACTTGCAGACTCTCAGACATCAGGAAAAAACCACCTGACTACATAGTACTATGTAGTCCGTGTAGTCAATGTAGCTCTGTTGCTACATGCCTTCTACATAGCAACTGAAGTGACTATGTAGTGCTACATAGCGCTACATAGCGCTATGTAGCAGCACATGGTGCAACTGTAGTAAATCAGTAGTAGATTGTAGTTCATAGGAGTGGGACTCCAAGCAACTATATAGCGCACCATAGCGCACCATAGTAGTGACTCAGATTATAGCACATGAAATAGCAACAAATCAATAAATTCAGATCAGTCGATACTAACGGCGGTACTGCTACGACCCTCGGCTCCCACTCTCACTAGCCTCGCCGCCCACTCTCCTCCTGAAGCTGGTGTTCTCGAATGGCATCTTCGATTGCCTCGTCACTGATTCTGGATGCGTCTGAGAATGTAGTGGGTGTATCTACTACACCTGCATGGAAACTTCGCAAATTAGACTGGCACTTGCAAAATTCGAGTGAAACTCACCGAGCCACGTCATGCAAATTGTCACAAATCCTTTCGAAGAGCTTGTAAGGCGCCGTGCGCTCGTCAAAACGCTGCAGCGAGTTCAAATGATTGTTGTAGACAGATCCATATGTGATGGCTGTGAACCTGATGTCTTCCTTCACGCCCTGCATCCACTCGTCAATACAGCATTCGATCTAACAACAATTAGTAGGCATGTCAATAATAATACGAACACGAGAGATGACTTACAGTTGTAAGCATGAGCGCAATAAGCTTGATAGGCATGGGGTTGAAAAACTGGTTGTAGACGATGCCCTCGTCGTTTCGGTTTGCAAACCACATGACATTGATACCGTCTTGGAGTAGCTCGGTCTTGTATATCCCCGTCTTCGCTTTCCAGTCCTAATGCCACTGTCAGTACATGAAAGTAGACCATTGCACTACATACCTTGAAAACGAACGATGAACCATCTTTCAAGGCTTCCGCTAGATCACGGTTTTGCCTTATAATGTCCCTCGATTCACTCGACCGAAACCCAAAAAAAGTCCGAGTAAGCGACCGCATCTTCGTTTTGAGTTCACCGCGCACATGCGATGTGCGTTTCAAGAGCTTTCCAAAGGTAAGATATAATATAAGTCAGTCCAAGAATGCATAGATAACAGGCGGCTTACCATCTTAATTGCTAAAGGCGTCAATTTAATGTTGACGCCTTTCAATTGGCAAGCCTCACGCCAGGCATCTTTTCCCAGCATCGTCTCGTCAGCAATAGAATCTGGAAACGGCGCCTTTGTGACAATTAGACAGCGGAAGAGAGAAATTGCGGTTACAAGGATGTCTTTGGAGACATCATCGAAATCAGCGACTTTTACACGACTCGGATAGCGGGAGCCATCCGAAAGTTTCTTCATCTTCATCGCTACTGTGGCGGCCTCTTCAGTGTCGAGCAGTCGTTTGCTCGCCCGAGTAGCAGACATTTGCTCCTCGATAGTGTTACCATCCTTTTCATCAGTCTGGCTAGCGCCAGCATCGGATTGAGGATAGTCGTTCTTGTCTGAGTCGTCACCAGAAGACTCCTCATCGTCGTTAGTGTTGTCGGAATCAAGTGTTGGTGCTACAGGTCAAACAGAAGTGTATTAGCGTACCATAAATTGATGAGCAAAATTACTTACCCTTCAACTGACGTGCATTGCCGCTAGTGATGTGTGATACCGGGGGCATTTTCCCCATACTGAATGCCAAGACCTTTGTGTTGGACGACAGCTTTGTCTGCAGAGCATGGTCCGAGAACTTAAAACAAAAAAAATCAGCTACTATTCAAGCGGTGCGAAACAAGACAGATGAGCAAACCATAGTATCTTCATCACGGTCAGTGTCACTGTGTAGCTCCGAGGGTTCATTCTCGAAGTCGTCAGGGTTCTCTTGATAGGTCGCCTTGAGGGCCCGTTTTTTCTGTTTTTCCGCCTTTTTCTCCTTTGTGGCCTGACGACGGACTGTGCTCTGTGTTTCAGATACTGTAGAGAAAGTGAGTGAAAGCATCATATCATAGTTGTGGAAACTCGCCTCGATAATTTTCTTTTTCTGTTGGTCGGCGTGTTCGGCCTCTTGAGGTGTGCGCAAGCGGTTGATTACCCTGTGGTGATGACAGAACACTTGTCTTTTTGGGCTTGGAGGTGGCCTTGCGAGGGGGCGGCATGATGATTCGTCCTCAAAACACTTACACAAGGTGCGAACGAGTCAACAACCTGTAGGTTCAGCAGCTTTTATAATGTTGCGCGAGACATAAACACTTACAATTAGAACCTTGTCTTTGTTGATTCCAGGGTTTGTTGATCGAGCATAATGCCATGCTGAAAGCTGTGTTAAATAGAATGGATAAAAGGTAGGGACATACTGCCGCAATAATTTTCACTGCCATGGATACCTCCACTTCAGCCAAGAAACGGTGCGGAGCATACTTTCGAACACTCACCCAATCTGACAGATCTTACAGATTAATGTCAGCGGCGTCCACTGACACAGACTCGGAGGCTTGCTATCAACGCCCTAACAGCATCAAAAGGTAATCTACACCTCCTCACCGATACCAAACACTCACTATTTTTCAGGCCGAAGGTTGAGGATAACGAGGAGCCTCATGCAGGCGAGCGCGAAGTGCCCATTGAAGAGGCCATGTATCCGCTCCCCCCCTTCCGTCAAACACCTGGTCCCATCTCGGTGTCTCAGTCATACATACGAAGACTGATCATAGAGCGTTGGGACGCCGAAATTCGTTACTGCGAGAAAGCAAAGAAATTGCGTCAATTCGAAATGGGACTAGGCCAAGGGAGGCTCACCATCATACAAGCGAGCTTGCAAAGACTTGTTGCAGAGCGCTGGGATGCTGAAGCAAAACGTTGTGAGGAGGCGAAGCGGGCACAACTTTTAGAGTTACTTCTTGCCGCTCATGGTATTACTAGACTGGTGTAGAGCCGTGCCGTGCCGTAATCACTGAGACCGAAACCTAAAAAATTTCAGTTGAAACCATAAGCTAGTCTCCATAACGGACTGCAATCTTGGACTGAAGAAATGGACGTACCTGGTGGTGCCCTCAAACTAGTCTCTATAACGGACTGCGATCTCGGACTGAAGAAAACCCACCAGCTAGTCTCTATAACGGACTGCGATCTTGGACTGAAGAAAAACCACAAGTTAGTCTCTATAACGGACTGCGATTTCGGACTGAAGAAATGGACGTACCTGGTGGCGCCCTCAAACTAGTCTCTATAACGGACTGCGATCTGGGGCCGTGCACCTGTCAAATTATGTTATGCATCAAAATGAACCTGAAAAAAAATCAATCCACTTACCAACCATTACCAACCATGCCGCACAACTGCGGTTACTGTGACAAGCCTTTCCGTTCAAGTGGGAGTGTGAAGAAGCATATAGCTACCCACCCCGCATGTCAAAGAAAATGGGAGTCTATGGTTAGAGATACAGATGACGAAGACGGCACACCAACTTACAACAACTCATTTTCCCCACTTCGCCGCTCGCGCTCCATCGATTTTGAGGAAGACAACCCTATAGCATCTAAAAGTCGACGAGTCACTGTTGAAGATGTGACGGATGAAGAAGACGGCAGGCGGTATTTCGAACCATATCCTGAAGCTGGTTGGACGTTGCGAGAGGGCCAAACTAGTTTTGAAAGGCATCAGCAATATAAGGAGAGTGAAGGTGAAGATAAGTGGGCACCCTTTGGTAATGAGTATGAGTCGCGTTTCTCGTATCTGCAAAGAAAATTAATATTAGTTCTGGCAGGGAAGAATGGGGACTTGCTGAATGGTTGGTCAAAAGCCTTGGGCAGACTAAAACAGATGAATTTCTGAAGTTACCAATAGTGAGCTTCGTATCAATGAATGAAGACACAGTGTACTCACCATAGTGATAGACGCTAAACCGCACCAAACCTTCATTCCACAACAATCGGTCATTCCTACAGAGAGTCGATGCGCTGCCACATGGACCGGGCTGGAATTGCAAGAAGGTTAGCGTCAAAGGAAATCGGACAGATGAGAACGGACAGTCGCTGCATGAGGACCTTGAACTTTGGACCTGCGACCCTGTGGAATGCATCAAGGAACTTATTGGAAATCCTTTATTCAAGGAATATATGGTGTACGCACCATCACGAGCATACGAGGACGAAGCAGGCACCAAACGGATCATCGATGATATGTGGACAGCTGATTGGTGGTGGGACAAGCAGGTGAGTAGCACATCAATTTGATACGAGACAAAGGTGCTTACCTTCACATCAGAAAGAACTGCCTGAGGGCGCGACCATAGCTCCAATAATCCTTGCCTCTGACAAGACAATGCTATCGCAGTTTCGAGGTGATAAGTCCGCTTGGCCTGTTTATCTGTCAATTGGCAACATTGCCAAAGAGAAACGACGTCAAACATCCGCACGCGCAACCATCCTCATCGGGTACTTACCTGCGACGAAACTCGATTGTTTCACGTCTGATGCGCGATCCCTCGCTGGATACCGATTGTTCCACCACTGTCTGTCGCTGCTGCTGGAGCCGCTCATTGCAGCCGGTCAGGATGGTGTAGACATGGTTTGCGCTGACTCGTTCATTCGACGAGTGTATCCCATACTGGCGGCCTACGTCGCGGATTTTCCCGAGCAGTGTCTTGTTGCTTGCTGCAAAGAAAACCGATGCCCTAAGTGCTTGGTGGCAGCCGATGAGCGTGGTGATCCGCTAAATTCACTGATCCGAGACCCGGAGCTGACAAAGGAGATACTGGAGAGACGGAGGAGTGGTCAGCACCCGGTAGAATTCGATGAGTATGGACTGAGGCCGGTGTATAAACCTTTCTGGGCCAACTTACCACACACCGACATTTTTTTGGCATTCACGCCAGATCTCCTCCACCAACTCCACAAAGGGGTCTTCAAAGACCATCTTGTCAAATGGTGCCTCGACATCGTGGGAGAAACCGAAATTGACGCTCGCTTCAAGGCCATTCCAGACTATCCTGGTCTCCGTCATTTTAAAAAAGGTATATCGAGCGTCAAGCAATGGACCGGAACTGAGCACAAGGAGATGCAGCGTGTTTTCATGGCGCTAATTACTGGTGCAGTCCCAAGGTACATACTATGATATTCTGCCTTTTTGCTCAGTTTTGACGAATTGAGCTGCTTTGATTCACAGTCGAGTTGTCATTGTCACGCGGGCCTTACTGGATTTTTGCTATTACGCACGACTTCATACACATACGAGCGAATCTCTGGACGGTCTGGAGAATGCCCTCGCCGTTTTTCACGCTCACAAGGATGTGTTACAGGAGCTCGCAGTGCGTGAACACTTCAACATTCCAAAGCTACATCAATTGTCTCACTATGTACAATCAATCAAACTATTCGGAGCTGCAGATGGATTCAACACCGAACTTCCCGAGCGCCTCCACATCGACTTCGCTAAAGAGGCTTACCGCGCAAGTAACAAGCGTGACTACGAGGAACAGATGGCGTTATGGCTTCAACGCCAGGAGGCAGTCTTCTGCCGAACGACTTACCTCGAATGGGTGGCTGAGCGTGCTGCTCGCCGGACAGAACAGGAATCTGAGTATGATTCCGACTCTGATGCCGAAAACGAGGGCTTTGATGTGGTGCCTGTTGTTTCACAGGATATCATTCATGTTCTGGCTAAGACTGCCCCACATCCTCGTCGATCTGTTCAACATCTCGAAACCATGCATGGCGCCGTCGATTTCCTGCCCGCTCTCACATTATTTTTACAGAAGCATTTGCCGCACAATCATAGCATTGTGCCTGGTCCCCAAGATCGTTTTGACACTTTCCGTCAAGTAGTCGTCATCCTTCCCCCCGACCCTCGTGTGTCCGAGTTGCCCAAGTGCCTACGGGTCAGGGCGACGCCTGAAGTGCTTCCTTCGTCTTCTGGACGGAAGCCAGGTTCCCCCAATCGATTCGACATGGCACTGGTTAGCAGTGATGGCGTCCAAGCATCGAAGGCACTACTCACGCTGAATGGTATGTCAATGGCTTCCATTTTACGAAGTATTACAATGACAATATCTAAATTATAGCCGCTGTCCGAGTTGCGCAGGTCCGTGTGTTGTTCAGGCTGCCTCGTCAATTTGGCGTGTACCCGCGACCCCTTGCATACATTGAATGGTTTACCCCGTTCAGAGAGCCAGACGAGTCGTCTGGTCTGCGTCTAATATCTCGTTCAACTCGTCACTTGCGACGGAATTCAGCCGTGATTCATGTTGACGAGATTATTCGTCCATGTCACCTCATACCCAAGATGGGTCAATTGGTCAATCCTATGTGGACGAGCGCGAATGTGTATGAGTTGGCGAGTGAATTTTACTTAAATCCATTCATTGACCTCGAGACTTTTTGTATGTCCACTACGAGTACTTAGATTGATTTAGAATAGGACTATTGGCTACTACAGTGAATACAACTACTCCCAGCGCCTCCCGTAGCTCTACATAGCCCCGTATTTAACTACATATCACTACAGTGACTATGTAGCAATATGTAGTTGTCACTGGAACTACACCAATATTTGTTTTTTCCTGATGGACAGGACGGGAGCACCAGACAATAGATGATCTTATCACACCATATTGACAGTGGACTTAAATAACCTAAAGGTGTCATGTCAGGTTGAACATGCGCCTACTCACTGCGGATTACCTACCTCGATATTTTCACAGATCACTGGATTATATGCAACAAAGTGGATTGTGCATACTTACTTCACTAGCTAATATTACAGCTCGAAGGCACCTACATTTCCAATTCTGCTCTGATAGCTTTCTCAAACTTCGCACAATCAACCACTGTGCCTTCTCGCCTACTTGCCTCAGCAGCAAATACGGTGAGATGACTCTTGAGCACCTCAGAGACATCAGTCCCCAGTAACTCTTGATTGTTCGTGCGCACGGCCTCGACAAAAGTACTGATAAGACCCAGGTCTCCACCTCCGTGGCCACCACCTTCATTCTTCGGGTGGTGCGTCGTCTTACGCCCCGTGCGGAAGTCGGTGACAGTAAAATTATTCATATCACCAACTATCTCGCCGTGCGTGAAGTGCAATCGTGTCTGGCGGTCGCAAATCAAGGAGGTGTATGCCACCATCGTGAATGAGACTGTGGCCCCTGACGAAAACTCGATATTTACAACCTGGAAACATAGTATTAATATGCCGCTTTGCAAAGGAAAATCGTGTTGTACCTGATGATCACAAACATCGTTATCGCTTTCGTATACGCATTGTCCGTAAGGTCCATTGCGCAGAGCATCAACGACATTCTCTATATCTGGTATTCCATCCACAATAGTTTTGGCTGGCCAGTGGGTATTTCCGCGAGAAACAGGTTCCAGGTAGACTGCATGGATCCACTCAGTTTATATCAAACGAAGTTAGAGGTGATCTACTTTTCTTTGCACTGTATGGGCAATCTTGTTCTACCGAACATTCTAAGCAGCGAGTTGCAGTGCCTGCGGCGGGAGGTTTCTTCTCTTTACGGAAATGCTGTAAAGAGCCGAACGAAGAGACTCGTGTCGGAATCGCAGGGGAAAGCCAGTGACAGAGGATGTCTACGTCACTTGCGTACCCGATAAATTAATATTTCATGCGTAGAGAAACAAGGCCTGCTTACTGGCAGCCCTTGGTCATGAGAGAAAAAGAACTTTCAGATTCTTTCTTCCAATGCCCTCGAACATAAGAGTGAGCAAAGTGAAAGTAACCAACTGGCTCAATGTGAACTACGTTTATCAGTTCACCCAATTGTCCCGAACGGACCACTTCTGTGACGGCCTTGCTGTAAGGGGAGTAGCGCAAGACTGCCGCGCGTGAGATTTGAAGCTTGTAGCACGACAAGATCGCTCACCGTGACCTATTCCGTAGATGATACCAGCATTCTTGACTGCCTTTTCCATGTCAAGGCAGTCTTGCAGGCTTGTAGCCATGGGTTTCTCGCAAAGTATATGGTATCCTTGGGCTGCGAACGCCGATACCACTTCACAATGCATGTGGTCTTGCACCGCAACAATTACTGCGTCTGCAAGGCGCTTCCCGATAGTTTGAATGGTATCAGCGGAAGCCTTTAAGAGCTCCTCCCAGGTATCAAACACAAGAGTCCGATCGAGCTTATGATTATGGGCAAAGATATCGCGGGTCTTTGGCCTCGGATCTGCAATAGTGACTACCTTGCACTTCTGCGGGTGATCAAGGGCATATTCAGCATAGTTCTGCGTACAAAGGTCAGTGCACTGAGAGACAGAACATGAATGACTTCATACAGTCCCTCTCTGACCACAGCCGATGACAGCCAACGTGACGGGCTCATTTGGCAGGGGCATCATGGTTGCAGAAGGGGAATCGTTGGACCTGAGGTTTGAGCGAGACCACAAGGACTTTATAGGGCGCAAAGGCGACATCCAGTGGCCGTCTGATGATCCGATATCGAATACTATATCTGAACAGAATTAAGCGCGGGCTTGTTATCTTACATAGACCATGAATGATATCAGCATTCTGTCGTGGTCGCAATCGTGGTTGCAGTAAAAGGTGTCCACAGCCTTGAGTCAGTGACTTTAGCGAGTTACTCAGGGTCTGCATGCCTCGCTTACTTCCACGTCTGCTCAAAATCTTGCAAGATGCCCCAGAGCCCAGCTCGTTGAGCAATGGATATACGCGCTACAAAAAGCGTGTTTCCATGAAAAATACTATCCCAGAGACGCCTACTTTCTCTCCAGAAGGCAGGACTCACTCGATTTTGTTCGATGACGCGAACCCGATCACCCAAGGCCATCTTTATAACAGACACAAGTCACTACCACCCAGGGTTCGTCTTGTGAAGCCCTTACAAGATACTGGGGGGCATGATCACCCGCGGGAAATGACGAACGAGGAACGCGAATGGTGGTCCAGCCCTTACCGTGTGTTGGCTGCACCGTTTATACTGTCTGTCTACTAATCGTTCTGATGTAGTCAGAATGCTCACATCGCCGTTGCGAGAGTGTCAAATAACGCGTAAAAAGCTACCTCGTGGTGCGTGAATAGCCAAGCTCATGTTGCACCTCCTTCATTGCCCTCAAAGACTTTCTCATCCGTCTGGCACCCGTGCGCCTCCCCGCTTCTCAGGGAGTACGTGAACAGCAGACACTAGTTCCAGATGGTGTCGAGCATCCTAAATTTAACCCTCGTCGATCAACGCCTGCATGTTATATTGTATGCTGGAAAGATGCCGTTCCATTCGCAACTAATAGAAGTGCGTGTCGAGTTACAGCTTCATTCCCGTCTCAACTAACCTCTTACTAGTCCCACTGCGCAAATTCTCCCCGAGCTTGACTGTGCCCCCTTTGCTATCAGTGCGCATCGGTTACCAACTCCGTTTACGAGTCCTACAGGAGCTGGACCTCCTTACTAAAAGACTTGCTGCGAGCCCTTTGGACGATCCAGCGGCGACGGTGCTCCGAAGACTCACCCGTTCCGAATGGAACGTAGTTCGACAAACCAACTCGATACCTTACAAAGATGCAGTCGCGCTGATGGTAGTACCCCCCGTCAACCAGAACCCAGATACGAAGGAGAGGCCACAACCCTCTGCACAATTGAACATCGCTGATATCGTGCAAAACGATACTGACAGTTCGGAAAACTCACCGCGGCCTCTTCCTCCACTCTCCGTTCTCCATCCAGTCACGGACGATGATATAGGTTCTCCTCTTCTTCCAAATGCGAAAGCCCCTCTCTACCACGGTCTCTCCTTGTTCCCTGCCCGACCACAGCGTGCAGCACTGCATAAAGCACTCTGCAAACTACTTGAAGCGGAGCGTAGAGCGCGGTCGCGCGCGCTTCCGACTTCTGATTCTTCCCAGTATGAAAAGTCTGCGCGAGCCCGCGGTGATGCCAAGGGAAGTCATGCGTTCCTGTTGTGTTCGAACCAACATACTGCCAACCGAGCGGATGTTGTGCCTTTGGCAATAGCTCTATGGAGATTGCGGATGTGGGAGGGACAAGCTTATGGTGACGCTGCTGAGACAAGTCACTGGGAGGTCGGTGCAGGATGGAGGTTGTCCTGGGCAAATCAGATGTACTGAACAGCTACACCGAGAGTCGTATAATACTCAGCCATGTCATTTATGTAATCGCAAGCAACATTAATTAGGATGCAAGGATGATGTGATTTTGCCGAAGTCTACACATCTACTCGACAGCCATTGCCACTGGCTCCAGGCCCTTCTTCACTGGCACTGACAGTACCTCGCGACCTTCCCAGAACTTGGGGAGTTTGTCGCCGGGAACAAAGAGCCGCTCAACGCCATCCTCCGTGATCACACACATGCGGATGACACCTCCTGATGAGCCGTCTCTTGCCATCGCAAGTGCAAGGGCTATGCCAAACAATGAGATTAAAAGCAGAAAGGTGATGGTTGGGCAGCCAAGCACGCACTGTTTTTCACGAATTCGACGGTCTCGTCCCGTCCCCACCCATCTTGGTATGTGGCATCACAGTAACCGTATACATATGTTGAACCAGAGCCTACAAACAACGATATAACTGCCTCGGTGTCGAAAATGAAACATGCAAGACGCACCTCCAATGGCCCACGGCTGACGGAAAAGCCCTCCACCTAGGGGAATGTTATACACACTAGGACCGACCTCCTTGTCCCACCCAGCAACGATAATACCCGCGCTAAGAGCATCCTTGTTATCGTAGCAAATATCCTGGAACATGCCAGCAGCCGACGCAACCGGAGGGTGGGAGCCATTGATTTGTCTAATGGTGTTCAGCACAAGCAAATTAGTGGCTGTTGAGATACGGAGACCTACGTATATAGCTGCAGGTAGGAATGCACCATATCTGCGACTGCTTGCGTGTCAGCTGCAGATCCTGAGCGACAGCAGTATATCCGATCGTGGACATGAGTGAGCTTGTCTGTTACACGGTTGGCCTTGAGTTTGTAGAAATGAGGAAAATGAACAATGAGTGAGTAAGACTACGCACGATGTAGCTTCCAGTCGTTGTACGACTGTCGGCACCGATGACGACGCCCTTGTCGAACTGGACTGCCATAATGGAGGTCTAGTGTGCATTAGCGATAACAGAATAATGATTTGAATGTTCATACCCCAAGGTTGACCTCTCCGCTCTTGAGCCTGTTCATATCGATGCGATCCATGCTGCTGTCGTCGTCGTCGTGTTTGTGTGTGATGAAGGATAGCAATGACGATCTTTAGTTGTGGCTGAGTGGTGACTGTAGCGCTGACGCGTCTCGACGCGTGTTCTCTACTTACTTGTTTGACATTTCCATTCACCGCAACTTGTAACTTGTTATAGTCACAATGGCTTCACAGAAATTGGCTACATTATACAACGAACTACAGCGTGCATTTGATGCGCGACCGTCAGATCTGAAGAAATGCGGGACGCTGCTGGCCCAGCTAAAGGTGTGCCCAAGATAATCCAAAGGCTTTGTGTATGACTGACTTTATGCTAGGTTGGCTTGATAGAAGCAGGTTTATTGATCCCCCAAGGAGAAACAAATCTCCATGACTTGGTCGTCGCTCGTACGTCAGAACGGTCTGTGATGTGCTATGCATTGACAGTGGAACAGGTGACATCCTCGAAATCGGCGTCTTCTGGAGTATAAGAGCGGAAGACGTCCCTTCGTTCGACAGATATTTCTCCCAGCTGCACACTTTCTACACGGACTTCAGGTATGCATAAGCATCTTTCCCAGAATTGCTTTTCCTCACAGACATCAGATCAAGCCTCCCTCCATCGAAGCGTGAATTCGCAGTCCGGGGCTTGAACCTCATCCGTCTTCTCACACAAAACCGCATCGCTGACTTCCACACCACCCTCGAGTCACTTCCCCTTCCTGCTGACGAGATCAACACAAATCCATACATCAGACATCCAGTGAATCTCGAGCGCTGGCTCATGGAGGGGAGCTACAGCAAGGTGTGGAATGCCCGAGAGGAGGCACCAGCGGAAGAGTACAAATTCTTCGTTGACAGCCTTATGGGCACCATTCGGTGAGCTATTTTCTGCTGGTCTAATCAATGTCACTGAGGTCAATTGGCAGGAATGAGATTGCTAGCTGTGAGGAGGCGGCTTACGATAGTCTCCCTTTGAAAGACGCTGCAACGCTGCTATTCTTTCCCTCACAATCTGGGCTATTGGTGTTCGCCCAGCAGGTAGGCACTTTGGGGTTCCTGGAACCCTCTTTTACTAATATTGTTTACAGCGCGGTTGGCAAGTAGATTTGACGGCTGGCATGATAACATTCGTAAAGAAGAATGACGAACAAGTAGAGATTCCAACGCAGAAGCTCATTGCAGCCAACCTGGCGTACGCTCGTGAGCTAGAGCAAATTGTATAGACACCACTTAATGTTTGGCTCTTTCACACGAAATTTCCGGGCGAGCTGAGGAAAATGATATCAAGCGTGCTATTGTCTTACTCAAAGGTCTCTAATGCCTCCTTAGCTTGCCTCTTTGCCTCTTCGAAGAGGTCGGCCGGTACAGGCACATGAAGGTCGTTCGACTCAGCACCAACCCAGGTCATCTCTAGCTCGAATTCCTTCTCTTTGTTATCGTCATGGACGAGGTATATTCTGCGGTGCATGCATTTAGGTGAGAAATAAGAACAGGTGACAGGCAGCGTACATTCTTGCAGCCTCCATCACGGCTTCACGCATCGACAGCTCCGATAGCTTAAGCTTCTCCAGCTCGGTTTTGGCCAGCTGACGGCCTTTGCCGACTGCCGCACCGTGATACCCCTGGCATATTATCAGTTATTGAGATATAGATTTGAGTTGCAATGCACTCACTAGGCAGACACCACTAGGCTCAACAATATACAGCGAAGGACCACTCTTGTCGACGCCGCCAAAGATCGTACTGACGCCGAACGGGCGGACAGACGAGTACAAAGTATAGGCTTGGGCATTCCAGCTTACACGATCTGACAGGGCCTAGTGATAGTGGATGAGTATAGCACGCTGGAGTTCCAGCGCGAGTTGATCACCTTGACAGTTAAAGGTTCTCTCCACTGCTTTCGAGTCTCCGCTCCCGAGTCACGAGCTACCTGTGATATTTTCCTGCCATCGGCGAGAAGGCCTGCGGACGCCTTTTTAAGGATCATCGTACATAAGCCCATTGATAGATGTAGTAGGGCGCTCACCATGCCTATATGTCTGTCTACTGTTTGAATGCGTCGGTTAGCTCCTGGGACGAGGAGCTTGGAGTGTATGAGCTTCTCCACCGCAAGGACGACACCGTCCTTGACGCGAAGCCCAATCGCAGTGCTGATTTAACGGAGCAGACCATTAGCAACAATTCAAGTACTGAAAGAAACCTTCAATACCCAGAGTTCTCTACCGCCTTGTTGGCGTATTCGACCTAGAATGATAAGATTGAGAACATCGCACGCTTGAATGAGTCTTAACGGTTTGACCTGAAATATACGGCCATCTGGTGAATATGTACTAGCTGAAAGATCGTAGCCTGTCCCGATGGAAGTCATGGTAGTAAGTATGCAAGTGAGCTGTCCTCGTACGCGCAAGCTCGAGCGCGTCAGCCCGTGGGAAATCATAACCGAACCGGGTCAGGCGCGTTTCTGAGCTGGTTCGACTTCATTCCCTCTTCACCGACGCGACTCAGTATTGACTATGACCCAAGATGATTGGAGCACAATGCTTGAAGGGCATCCAATATTTGCGCTTCCAAAAGGCTTTGGAGGGCCAACAGGACAGACAGAGGAGTCACTGGAACTTTCTACGAACACACTGAAGAAATCTACGCTTGAGGGGCCTCTGGACTCGGAGGATGGGCTCCCCCTTTCAGGACGTCGTCAGGTTATGGTCCTGAAGGACTCTGATCTAATAGTAGCTGCCGGGTACGAACTGAGGATAACTTCCCTTTCAGACTCTAAGCTTGGGAGGAGTACGAACAAATCGTTCAAGGTACATGCTAATTTTGACAACCGGACTCTCGTCATGGCTCACCGCCAGAGAAGGTCTTGAACACACCAAATATCCAATTTGGGATCCACCAACTCGCACTGAATCCGAGCGGGAAGCTCATAGCTGTGGCAGGAGCATACCAAGTTGCAGTGGTGGTCCTGCCTCGTGCTGGATATTCCAAGCTTGTGCCATCTTCTGTGGACTGCAAGTGAGCGGGAGGTTTTAGTATAAATGGCAACATCTAATCTGTTTACAAAGGTCAATCCAAGTGGGATCTTTCTATCATCATTCGCATTCGTCTGCCCCCATAGCCAAGATTGAATGGCACCCATGGGGCGAAGCAGGATCCACTCTTATGGTCATGACTGTCGACGGGAAACTGAGGTTTGGTTTACAATTGTGGATCATTCTATCCACTAACCCTTTTCAGAGAGTATGACATATCGGTTGATACTGAGGAGCCCCAACAAGTCCTGTCCTTTGTTCCCGAGAAGAAGAGCTCGAAGTCATACCTGGCAGAAGACCCAGCCGAGCGCGAGGTTGCATCATTTTCTCTAGGAAAGGGCAAAGCAGATTGGGGCCCACTCACCGTCTATGCCGTTATGAGGTCAGGAGACATCTACGCTATATGCCCCTACATGCCCCAAAACGCGTAAGTTTTACCATCTCTCGTGTGGCGCAACTTCTCAAATTGATTCTAAGATCTGTACCATCGTCTTACGTCCACGCACTGGAATGTTTCATCTCCGCCAAACAGGAGTTCCTATCTCAGGCAGCATATAGCGGGACGTCAGTTCTTTCGACGCTCTACGACTACCAGCGGAAATATGTCACGGCCTTGTTGAAACAACTTCCACCGGGGACTGTGTACCCAGCAATCTCTCGCTCCTTCTCTATGCACCCTCCTACCACCATCAAAAGCCGACCGATGCGTCAGGGGCCTTTCCTCCTACAACCTTCGCCTCGTTCATTGGAAGATAGTGAAGGCGGCGACGCAACAGACATCGCATATCTTGCTTTTATTCGTGATGACGACGACGACGACGCAGGCGAGACTGAGCGTCTTGGAATTGTCATTGTCACTCATCAAGACGGTAAAGTTGACGTGTATCTAGACGTGGAGAAAGTCGAGGCTCGGTGGGAGAGCAAACAGGTTTGTTCTCGAATTTGTTTGTGACATTGCTGCTTATGCATGTATACGACTCCAGGATAAATCTCAGGACTTGCCCATGCTAACAGTTTACGAGTGCATAGACTTGGGTTTGATTTCGATGCTGAAACAGACATCACCTTTGTCTTCAGGCACACCCATTCTCGACCTCCTTCAAGCAAACCACCCCGTCTTATTGATGGATCCGATACATGACGATACTGTTTACGTATACCATGCTTTCGGCGTTCATGTCCTTGATTTTGGAGACCTGTTGCAATGTCTCACCAATGGACTCCGCTCAGACGACGATGACGGAGTTGCATTGAATCAAGCGTTGCAAAAGTCGGCAGGCACACATGTCGTGCCCTTGCTGAATACCTATTCAGTGGACCGAAGGTACGGGGATGGATAATTTTCTACGATCTTATGATTCACCAGTCAATAGGTGCTCGAATCCGATTATTGCTATATCTGTACCGAACGACGTGTACCTCTCGTACAGTATACTAATTCTCACCTCCGTCTTCCGTTTCGCATCCTTCCCGCTCAACCTTCGCATCGATCTTTCTCTCTCTCGGACAGCTCCTGATACTCCTCACAAAATCAAGACTTCCGACATGGAGGATTTTCTTGCGCCCATTGAAGGTCCATCGGCATACATCTCGCTTTTAGGTACGGAGGCCTTCGTGCCACCTCCAGTGCTCTCGCGTCCCTCTGGACTGCCCAGTAATCCTCGCATCGCGGCCGGGACCCCAAACACCAAAACAGAATTTATGCTCACCCCTGAAACACTGAGATACCTGGGTTCAACAATTGAGGGTTTGACGTCACAGATCCACGAAATTATCCTCGCATACAAGGCCACAGAATTACGGGCTGAACTGCAGGCGAAGGAATTTGAGCGACAGCAGCAGAAATGTAGTGCGATGCTCGATCTCATTGAACAGCTGAGCAGCTCGCGGAATAGCCAAGTCAAAGAGCGGCTTGGGAGAATACGGGAATCATATATAGCCCTGGCATCGAGGCTGGATCGCAGACTGCAGACGCTTATGCAGCAAGCGTCGCCGAAGCTTAGTGAATATGAGACGAAGTGGTTTGAGGAATTACGGAGGATGAAGGCGGAGATTGCTGGGGCAGGGAGGTACGACGAGCAATCGCTTGCTGCGCGGACATCACTGGTAATTATTTTCACCGTGGGCTTGGATCTTGGCTGACTATTGTGTAGCTCAAACGCGAGTATGATCGAATGTTGCCAAGCTTGAATGATTTGGCTGCCAAGGAGGCAGAACGGAAGAGGCATTTGAGTGAAAGTGGACTGGGATTATCCCAGGCTTTCCAGTTTGGAGAGCAGTCGAGCCGAGAGTATGCTTTTCAAATTGAAGTAGCAGCTTCTGAGCTAACTTGATTATTCTTATAGGCGCACCAAGATAGTGGAGCTGGAGGAAGAGATCGTCAAAATGGCGTCAAAATTGGAACTTTCGCTGGCTCGCCCGCCATCGCTGCGGCCCCAGGACGACTAGTTAGCACCTTTACATCTTTGATCTGTTGTATTTTTTGTCTGCTTGAGCATAAATGAACACTGTATGATACCGTTAGGGGTTATTATTTCGCTCACACGACTGCTCAGTATGTATATCGACGTGCCAAAACTTCGTCACAATACGACGTGCAATATTTCAATCATATTGCATGCCTTCTTGCAATTTCTTGCCCCCCTTCGCCGCACCGGTAACCACATGTGGCCGGTACGTGTAGTCGCTGGTTTTGCATATCTTTGTATTCGTTCCTGCTGTTGCTGTTGAAGTCGTCGTACGATCGAGTCTTGATTGAAAAAAATTGGCATGAACGTGTATCTCGACCAGAGTCTTCAAATTACAGTCAGATCCATCATTTGAAAGAAAGGCCTGCTAGTCTCCTTACTGCCCTGTAGAGTGATCAGATGCTTACCAGCAGTTTGCGGAAGGAAGAAGTGGCACCCTGAGGGTGCTTGAAACAAGACCGAACGCATTTGAATTTCGGGGTGACTAGAAGACTGTTTTGATGAGCTCGTTGAGCCTTCAGCTCCGAGATCCACTAGTAACCACAGAGCCCGGGCCCCGACAATTTGTCTGACGCAATTAATGTTCAGTCTGATCCGGGTCACGGTAGCCTCTAGGGGTTACGGTTGCGAACAGCCCGATTCCTGGCATAAGCATATATTTCAGACCTTAAGCAACTAGCTGTGAACGGCCCGCTTCCAGGGGATTGATGCATCCAGGTGGAGCTGTGCGAACGTCGAAGGCGTACATGAGGCAGAGAGGCGATACCGAGAAGTGAGCGGGAGAAGGCAAATATAATTCCGCAGCAGAGACCATTCCAATTATCATTGCATGAAGGTACGCACTCACTATGTTGTAACTATGTGACTTCTGAAAGAAATGATCATGACGGTGCACAATTATGCTGGATGTAATCTAAGTTTTAGTGGTTAACAAGGTAAATTATACTAATTGGTGTAATATCCGCGTTAGTCCATCTTACATTACATAATGCCCGAGTAGCATATTCGAACCACCATGTCATGTTGACCATTGCCGACAAAATGGTCTCGAGACTCCGATGCGGCAAAGCGAAGCGAAGCAAGCAACACACCAGGGGAACAGCAGACTTATCCTGTTCTCGGAGCTGTTCCGATACTAATGGCATCTCACTCCTGATCATCATCATGATTTATGGTCCGTGTTTGAAGACTTTTAATGATGGGGCGACTCCGAATCGGATCGTAGGCAAGCATGCTTCCTAGGAGTACCCGAGTCTCGGTCATCCCCAATCAACCCATGGAAACTGGTAGTTTCGAGACTAGTGGCAAACGTGTACTCTCCACCAACTTCGAGAGTCGCTTCATGATCAGATCGATCAGGAGTTGCTCCAGGCATCACACACACGTGTGATCATATAGATGTCATTTACTCAGCCTGATGTGGTCAGAGCCTTTGTAAGTAGACATCCTCAAGTACTCGGGTGATATCTGCCAGCAATATGACCCAGCGGCCTCAGTCAGGTTGTCGTCGGCTATTTAAGCGTCTGTCCCCAGACTTGTTTTATCACCACCTTCTACCGTCCTCGGTCGTCTTCCCTGCCTGCAAGTGAGACGTTGGTCCATGTCGAGCTCTCTCCAAGACACTGTTTCTCTTCCTCACTTACCAAAGTTACCATGCCAAGATGATTCGAATAATCTTCGTTTTCCCCAACGCGCCAGCGGCGAAAGCACGTCTACCATCGCAGACGACAAGGTCGAGGATAAGACTGATGACGAAGGGTACGATTGGGAACTTGACCCTGTCAACCCCAGGAATTGGTCTTCCACAAACAAATGGATAACGCTCACAATCGTTAGTTCTTCTATTAGCGAGTTCAATTAACGAGAACTCATGTCGGTATTGTGTCAGACCTCGCTGTACACGTTTGCCTCGCCGTTAGCGAGTTCTATTCTGGCACCTGGTTTGCCTGTTTTAGCCATAAAATTTGGCATAACCGATCCAACAGTCTTAGCGTTGACTCTAAGTATCTTCCTTCTGTCGTCTGCCATTGGTCCTTTATTTGCGGGACCCTTGTCGGAAGTTTATGGTCGTGTACGGGTGCGTGATACCCATCCTTATTCTGATCGGCGGGACCATTTGACTGAATGAGTTCAAGGTGCTCCACCTAGGGAACCTATTCTTTCTCGCATTTAATCTCGGGTGCGCTTTATCACCAAACACTGCATCTTTCATTGTTTTCCGGTTTCTGGGTACGTTTCAGAACATCGAGAGTCGGGATCTTTGCTCACTTCTTTGAAAAGCTGGATTGGCGGGGAGTGCACCTATAGCATGCGGCGGAGGTGTCGTGAGCGACCTCTTCGCGGAACGCGAGCGCGCCTCGGCTATGGCACTATACAGCCTTGGGCCTTTGATAGGTGGGTTTTACATTGTTTTTTTAGTGTGCGACGTTGACTGAAGTTCACGCATCCGGTAAGGCCCTGCTATCGGTCCTGTCATGGGAGGTTTTATCGCAGAATCAGTCGGTATACAGTATGTTTTCTATGTCGTCGCCGCGATCTCTGGTGTTGCCGCAATCCTTGGCCTCCCTCTCTTGAGAGAAAGCTATGCACCAGTTATCAGGCTTCGTCTCAATAGCATGGCGCCGGACCCCGAAAAAACAACCGCGGGACACCCCGCCCTCACTGCACCCCAAATGGACAAGTGGGCCTACTTGTGGACTAACCTCAAGCGACCGGCCATTCTGTTGACCCGGAGTTTCGTATGCTTCATTTTGAGCTTGTATATGTCTCTGTGAGTTTAATTAAATGTCACGCAGCTCACTGATCTAAACCATCTATTTAGGATGTACGGTCAGTACCTCATCAAGTTGTATTAGATATGGACTGAGATCATGTGGCAGGTATCTATTACTTGATGTTTGCTACTTTCCCCGGTAAGATCATACCTGCACAGCACTACATGGACCATTATTAACGACTTTTGTTCAGAACTCTTCTCGAAGGTGTACCACTTCAGTATTGGAATTGGAGGTCTGGCGTACATTGGCCTTGGTCTTGGATTCGTGGGTGCCTCCGTGTTCGGCGCCAGACTTTCCGACAAGGTGTACAGATACGTACGTCAAGACTGCTTTATACTTTGATCGTGTCAGCTGAAGCGCTTCTCTGTATCTAGCTTGCTGCCAAAAATGGAGGCAAGGGTAAACCAGAGATGCGCGTGCCTGTTCTGATATTCGGCTCGTTTTTTGTCCCAGTGGGACTATTGTGAGATTGACCCCTTTATTCCTGCTCCCAATCTAACGTTTGTTAGTTGGTACGGCTGGTCTGCCCAAGCCGAGGTCCACTACATGATGCCTATCATTGGTACCACTCTTTTTGGATTCGGATTAATGACAAGTTTGTGAGTGTGCCCCCGTGCTCTGGCGCCGTTCACGTCTAAATTTCTCTATAGTATCGCCATGCAACTGTATCTCGTGGATACATTTACCTATGCTGCAAGTGCTGTCTCAGCCGCTTCCGTCAGTCTTCCCTACCCCTCATTTCGTTGGCGCTCACTGAATACGTCATCAGACATTCCGTTCACTTCTCGGGTTCGCATTCCCTCTTTTTGGACAACAGATGTTTGATAAACTCGGCTATGGTGGAGGCAATTCCCTGCTTGCAGGTCTTGCCATCGTTATTGGTATACCCTTCCCCATCTGGATATATTACGCCGGCGAACGTATCCGCGCGAAGAGTCCCTTGTCCCGTTGATTTCCCCCTCCGCGCTGAATTTTCCCTTCCGCCAAGGCCTCCTCATGATTATGAAGCATGATGATTTAACCCTTACAGAACCACGACAGCGCCGCGCGCATAATGATTGCATACCATCGAACACACGTTCAGGGTAGTGTTCTTCGTCCGACTCATTGATGGGTACTTGGAATATGATCGTGACCACACCATAATATCTTTATCATGCTGAATTGTCAATAAATATTACCTTGCTTGCAAGGTTTCGAAATTTCTTGCTACTATGAAACTTTGCGTCAGTGGTTCGTGTGTCACTGCAATCTGCGCAATCTGCGCAACACATTGCAGGGAGCTTCAGGGGGACCAAATATTCAGCTGCATCATTCACCCGCTGAGGTGGAATTTCAGTTTCAATACATATTTGATAGGAAGGAAGCCTCGGGAAAAAATATTCTAGCGCAACATGCACAGCAGAACAGCTGGAAACAGTAGTGCAATCGCCGCTTAGCACCGATTACCTCCGAGCACGCCTGAGCACGCGAGTGTATCCTGTCTGATTCACTTGATTTTTGAAGATTCGGAACCAGTGTGAGTACCCTCTCGCCCTAGTAACCTTATGCCAATGGGACATGGCGTCGGCGTTGTTTTTGTGGTGTGACAAGCACGCCATCTTGCCATCATCATGTTCCTCGCTGCCCAGGCTTGAAGCTTGAAGCTTGAAGCCTGCGCACGTCGTTGACCGCGCGCCACCACAGCACGGTCTTAAAGGAGATCTGAGATTTCAGACTTTTGGTGTCCACGAGACAGGGACTCTGATGACAAATTCCAGTGATAACCTTGTGATAAATCACAGATAGCCAGCTCTCCAACCAATGAGAGCGGATCGCGTTTCACCTCGTTTAACGTGTGGACATAGACAGGTCTTTCATGATCGTTCAAGCATAATTAAGAGAGATCATTCAATGTAAGCACTTTATCTATCACTACGTCCCCCTTCATCAATATTGATGTCGGGCTCTCTTCCAGAACCAACCCAAGGTGATACAAATGATCTGCACCTTCCCCAGCCCAGCAGCAGCGAAGGCGGGTCTGCCGTCGCAGACGACAAGGTCGAGGATAAAATTCAGGACAAAGACCATGATTGGGAACACGACCCAGCAAACCCCATGAATTGGTCTCCAATAAAAAAGTGGATAACGACTATACTCGTCAGTTACTCCATCAGCGAGTTCCCTTCACAATCACTCATCTCGCATCCCATCAGGTATCGCTTTACACTTTTGTCACGCCGTTAGCCAGTTCTATCATGGCACCTGGTTTACCCTACGTGGCCGTAAAATATGACATCGCCAATCCAACCGTCTTGTCATTGACTCTAAGTATCTTCCTTCTATCGTTTGCCATCGGCCCTTTATTCGCGGGACCCTTGTCGGAAGTGTATGGTCGCCAATGGGTCCGTGATACCTTTATGATCACCATGACAGTTCGCCTGAATGATAGTTTAAGGTACTCCACATAGGGAACCTATTCTTTCTCGTATTTAATCTCGGCTGCGCTTTGTCACCCAACACTGTAACTTTACTTGTTTTCCGGTTTCTAGGTACGTCATGAAACAGCTGCCGTCGCAAGTTTCGCTCACTCTCCCGAAGCTGGATTTGCAGCGGCTCCACCCATAGCGTGCGGCCCAGGTGTCGTTAGCGACCTCTTTGCAAAACATGAGCGTGCCTCGGCTTTGGCACTATTCAGTGTGGGACCCTTAATAGGTACGCCTTACAATGTGTGATGTTGACTAAAGCTTAGACATCCGCAGGTCCCGCTGTCGGGCCCGCCATAGGAGGTTTCATTGCAGAGTCGGCCGGTGTGGAGTATGTTTTCTATGTCATCGTTGCGATCTCTGCTGTTGCCGCAATCCTCGGAATCTTCCTCGTGAGAGAAACCTATGCACCAATTATCAGGCTTCGTCTCGATAATCTGGTGTCGGATCCCGAAAAGCCAGCCACAAGATATCCTGCCCTCCCACACGGGATGGGGAAATGGGCCTACTTATGGCTCAACCTCAAGCGACCCGTCATACTTCTCACTCGGAGTCTGATATGTTTCATGCTGAGCTTGTACATGGCTCTGTAAGTGTGCAGTATACTTTAGTGTCACACGGCTAACTAATGTCATTTATTTAGGATGTACGGTCAGTAGTAGTACGTTACATTGGATGTGGACTGAAATCATGATCATATGGCAGGTATCTATTACTTGATGTTTGCTACTTTCCCCGGTAAGATCATACATGCGCAGCACTACAGGGGCCATTATTAACAACTTGCATTAAGACCTCTTTTCGAACGTGTACCACTTCAGCATTGGAATTGGAGGTCTGGCGTACATTGGCCTTGGCCTTGGATTCGTGGCTTCCTCCGTGTTCGGTGCCAGATTTTCCGACAAGATGTACAAATACGTACGTCAAGACTGGTTTCCACTTTGATCATGTCAGCTGAAGCGCTTCTCTATATCCAGCTTACTGCCAAAAATGGAGGGAAGGGTAACCCAGAGATGCGCGTGCCGGGTCTGGTGTTTGGCTCGTTTTTTGTCCCAGTGGGACTATTGTGAGATTGTCCCCTTTATTCCTGCTCCCAGTCTGACATGTGTCAGCTGGTATGGCTGGTCTGCCCAAGCCGAGCTCCACTACATGATGCCTATCACTGGTACCGCTATCTTTGGATTCGGAATAATGCTGAATTTGTGGGTGCACCTCGTATCGTGACACCGTTCACGGCTAACTTCTTTCAAGCCTCCATATTCAGTTATACCTCGTGGACGCATTTACTTTTGCTGCAAGCGCTATCGCAGCTTCTTCTGTGCGTCTTCCCTACCCCTGATTTTTTTTTTCAGACTGAACAAAGTTATAATTTAGACATTCCGTTCGTTCCTTGGTTTCGCATTCCCACTATTCGGAGAACAAATGTATGCCGCTCTTGGCTACGGTGGAGGCAATTCCCTACTTGCGGGTCTTTCCATCTTGATTGGTATACCCTTCCCCATCTGGATATATTACGCTGGCGAACGTCTTCGCGCGAATAATTCCTTGACCCGTCGCTGATCCTTGTCTCGGACTGTATAACAATTTTCTACAAGCACAGAATTAGGATAACGTCAATCACGAGGCATCATGATTACCTGAACTCATTATTGTTAAGGGCAGGCGAGATCTCAAGAGGTCCGAGCTCAACGATGTCCTTAAAAAATCATTGGGCGTAGGCAGCTAGATGGATTAAATTTTCAAATTTGTTGTCAAGCCTGTTCCTTGCACTGTGCACGTACTGACCTTTATCAAAGAGGTTCCAAGAGCTACTCTTGAGTTCCACTTCTAGTAACTATGGTTCATTGGTAGTAGACTCTAGACTCTAGCAGACTGTGTACCTGCTTGCCAGCAGCTTATTAATTTTGAGTTTGCTTTTTCGATCCTGATCGATCAATTGAATATTAGTCAAGCTTGTTTAAACATCACTGATCTAGATCTCGGCTATTACCGACATCATGTCTCGCTTGCTCCGACCCCGGTAGCCTACAAGCAACTCCTTGCTTGCTGTTCTTACAAAAATACTTGCCAGCAGCGAGCTAGCCATGGATATATCTACAAAGTACTTGCTACTTTGACAGGCAATTGTCGGGGCTACACAACAACCATACATCGAAGCAGCGACCAAATTAACGCCCCGAACTCTACACAACACTGTATCTCCCCGCGGTTGCAGTGGGATTCCGCATTTCTGCTTGCAGTGCTGCAGCAGATGCTTCGATGAGCAAACGTTTGATCTCTCGCACAGCTTGTTCCACCTGTAGGGAGTCAATCAGTTGACTACACCAAGTAACGCGAGGTGAACTGTGCTCACCCTGTATTCCTCGTTGGACTCGATCAGGAGATGGAGTTTGGGTGGTCCTTCCACAGGAGGCTCTTTCCCAGATTCGTAGTATATACCTGTTACAATCAAGTCAAATCCAGATACTGAACAATGATGTTTCTGGACGAACCTTTGTTGGTAACTGATGCGCCAGTCATATCGATAAGCTGACGAAGGGGGAAAAACGTAAGCATATGACCGAAAACCAAACACCAAGCAGGAAACAACAAACCTGAACCATGGTTTCCTTGTTGGTAACCCTCCATCTGGCCTTCTGTGGGTAGTCGTTGATAGGTATGATCGCGTGGAAGTCTGTGGAGTCGGGGTTTGCTTTCCTGAGACCACTCTCGTCTGCCTGGATCTGAGACTGCAAGACCAGTCTTGTTGCCTTCATCTGTGCGTTCAGCTTTGCCATGACACTGAGAGCTTGCTTGTGCGCGGCTGTGTCTTTCCCTGCACGCGCAGCAGCATCCTGAGCAGCCTTGATTGACGCTTGAAGCTTCTCCTCTTCCTTTGCGTGTGCAAGACGCCTAGCAGCTGCAGCTGCTCCGGCCACGCCAAGTAAGCCCTTCGAAGAATCCGGAGCAGGGCCGCGCTTGATTTCGACCTTGAAATTGCCGAATGTCATATCATCGCCAGTAGTGGTGGGGGTCTTGACAGCAGCTTCATCCACCTTCTCTTCTTCGGGTTCACCGTAGGCCTTCCGCTCTGCTCGATCTTTGGCTTCACGTTCTTTATCGAGCCTATCAAGACCCTTTCCACCAAATCCTGAGCCTGCGACTTGCGCCTTCCCAGACTTGACCTTTTCCAAGAAGCCTGGCGACACAATAAGCATAGATCACGAATACCATAAAGCGAAACCATACCGTTGGCCAGTTCCTCAAGTTCACTCGGAACAGCTGCATTACTTGCCTTGAGCGCGCGGTAGATGTCAACAGAGTACCTTTCTTGTTCAGGAGTGATGAATGTAACACATGTGCCTTTATTGCCTGCTCTCCCTGTACGGCCAGCACGGTGAACATAGTCTTCCATATGATTAGGTGCGTCGAAGTTGATAACAAGCTTAAGCTGTTTGACATCCAGACCACGGGCAGCGACAGAAGTGGCAATGACGATGGGAACAACTCCAGCTTTAAAGTCGGCAATGGTGGAGTCACGATCAACCTGGTCCTTGCCTCCGTGCAGGGACATGCACAAGTAACCTTTGCGCATAAGGTCGCGGAGCAAGTTATCAGCGGCTTCCTGTCTGTCGACAAAGATGAGAGTACGGCACTCGGGATCTTCGTTGTACATCTGCCCCAGGATATCCAAGAGTCGATTGAACTTAGTCTCCTCAGGACGCACTTCGACAATCTGCTCGATCTCCGCGGCGACCACAGAGCGTCCACCAACAGTGATTTCAAGAGGTTTTTGTAAGATTTTCCTTGCGAGAGAGTCCATTTGTTTGGGGAAAGTCGCAGAGAAGAGGACTGTTTGACGGTCAGGTCGAATATTGTTGACGATCTTCATGACTTGGGGTTCAAAACCCATGTCAAACATCCGATCAGCTTCGTCAAGAACGACATAAGTGACACGCTTAAGGTTTGTCACCCGGCCAGAATTGGCAGTGAGGAGGTCGATCATGCGACCAGGTGTGCACACTATGATCTCAGCACCCTTCTTCAGCTCAGCAATCTGGTCCTTGATCGGGGAACCACCGTATGCGCACACAGCCTAAGAACGCAGAATGAAAATCATGGACAGATCAAAGACACGAGAAACATACCCGAAGGTTCATCACCCGTAGGAATGGCTTGCATTCTCGATGGATTTGTACTGCCAACTCACGAGTAGGAGTCATGACAATGGCAAGAGGGCCTTCCATCTGCTCCAGGGGCCGCTGGTCCTTGATGTGACGGAACAAAGGGAGGAGAAATGCTATGGTTTTCCCTGAACCTGTCTTTGCCACACCAATAACGTCGCGACCAGACATGATTGCAGGGATAGCTTGAGCTTGAATGGCGGTTGGTGCCGTATAATTCAGGCGTTTGATGACATCCAAACTTTGAAATGTTCAGCCAAGGACTAAACACAGGAAGTAGTTAGTTGGTACTTACCAGCTGGCTGGAAGACCATAATGACTCCACTTCGTTACTGGCCGCGGGCAGTCAATGCCACGGATTTTGATGCCGTCAAGTTCTAGTCGCAAGAGGTCAGCTTCCTCGTCTGTCATAGCAGCAATGTCTGGGGGAGGAATATAAAATTCCTTGCGGAAGGGCTCATATTTGACACGAGAATGGTCGACAGCGGCGATATCCTTCTTCTTTGCCTTCTTTGCAGCAAGAGCAAGGATGTCTTCAGGATTAAGATCAGTGGTATCAAGCTCGTCTTCCACGACGGTTTCCACGACTTCATCCTCCCCATCATCACCCATACGTTCGGCGAGAGGTTTAGAGGATGCGCCTTTGCTGCCGTTCATCTTCTTCAAGTCATCTTCGTCGACTTTCTTCACTTCAACCGACACACCCGACATGAAGGCATCGAGGGGGTCGACTGCGTCCTCGTCCTCGTCCATGGCGTCTGCAGCCTTGCTCTTGATGGCCTGGTCCATCCTATTCGCCTCTTCGTCGTCGTCGTCAACTTCCAGGTCGCCGACGCTAGCTTCTCCATCCGCCATTGTCATGTCGACAGCAGGCATTTCGCCAAGGGTTTCAAGCTTCCGCTGCTTGGTTTCGTCTGAATCGTCCATGGCCGCAGCACCCTTTGATACTTTGAGAACTTCAGGTTTGAGGGGAAGACCTTTGAGCCCAAGACCTGTTAGGGCTGCGCGGTTCAGAGAAGTCCCAGGTTTGGCAGGTGTTGTGGTCGAGGCGGGAACTAGTAAGGCATGGATCAAGTGGTGTGAAATCATGAAGTGCCACTCGAAGTAAAAATGTGCTCACCTGGTGCTGTTTTGCCTGCAAGAGCCATGGCTTTAACTTTAGCCTCGTCAAGAGCCTTTTTAGCTTCGCGGTCCTTTTTCCAAGCCTCTAGTTTTGCCCTCTTCGCCTTGAGTTTCTCATCCTCAGGTGGAGGAGTCTGCGTGGTACTTGCAGCTGCTTGAGGTTTTGGAGGAGGAGAAAGTGGACGTCTGTCCCTGTCTTTACGGTCTGTTGAACGGGAGCGCCGACGGTCATCTCTTCTGTCGTCTCTGTAACTGTCACGGCGCCTGTCGTCTCTGTATCTATCATCGCGATACCTGTCGTCACGATAGCGGTCTTTGTCACGTTCCCTATCCCGGTCTCTCGGGCGATCACGTTCTCTATCGCGCTCGTCGTCGTATCTCCTGCTAGGTCTTTGGGTATTCCGCCTGGTCGGCGAAGGAGACCGAGGTGAACGATGAGATGGTCTTACCCTTTTGTTTGACGTTTCCGGGGAATATGATCTATCCCTGCGCACCATGCTTGTATACAACGACTTCTTGGTGGTGGTGGTGGTGGTGACGGAGTAAACGTTGTTTGGTTTTGTTAGACATGGAAGGCCTTGACTAATCCACATTTCGGCGATAGCCCAAAACCTCCTTGCCTGCTTACCCCGCATCTGCAAGACTCAATTCATGGCTAACAACGTATTGGACCCTTCAGCACTTATTGGAATTCTTGTCAACTTGTTACCACCGACAAACAAGACCTTGACGTCTCCTCATGATGGTTTGGCAGCGCTTGTCCACACGACCTTTTCTGCACTTTCGTTTCGTTTAATTGCAACGGATGACACATCCTCCGCAAAGGAGCACCCTAACAACGTCCTTCCTGAAGATTGGAACACCAAAGGATTGGTGGATCGTACCTTCCGCTACAAGCATGACCAAAGCAGTCTTGAGTTTGTTGTGAAGGTCATCAAGCTCGGTCAGCGTACATTGATAACCGCAATTGCTGTCGAAGTGCGTCAGCTTCTATGGTTTCGAAAAGTACTATTTAATTTAGAATTCTAGAATGACAAGTCTGCGTCTCTGGATGTTGCAACAAACGACTTTGTATCACCGTCGTTTTACCCCTGTGACGCGGCCAAGGCGGACGCCCCGCCGCTTGTCCACGGCTTCATTTCGTCCAACCGTATCACGGATTTTGTATCTCAGCTCAAGCTCAAAATAATACAGAAACTTATTCCTGGATTGCGCAAAGAGGGATATATCGAAGAAACTGAGGATTCATCCAGTAATGCTGGACCCGCTCCCCGCGCGGAGAATCCCCCTGCTGCCCGTCCACGACCAGACTCGCCACCTAATCCTCTACTTGATGTACCATATCACTTACCGGCCGGTTTGCGACCTCGCAATCCGCTGGAGATCGGTCGTCGAGACCTTGATCCCTTCGGTGGTATCAATCCTTTCCAGCCTCCTCCACTATTCCCCGGTAATGGAGGAGATGGAATGTTTGTTGGTCCAGATCACCCAATATTTGGTATGAGAGGCGACCGGTCACAGGGGATGCGAGGACCATGGGGTGGAGATGGTTATCTCCCTCCGATGGGAGCCCCACCAGGTGCTCGGTTTGATCCGATAGGACCAAATCCTGGCGCCTTCAACCCAAGTTTCAATGGAAGACCCCGGCGTGGACCTCCAGGAAGCGGGAACACAAGAGATCCTGATAACGATGAGTTTATGCCCCCTGGAGCCGTGAGTGTGTGCTGCAGTGAAACCATTGTAGATGCTTACTTTGAAACAGGGAGATATGTTTATGTGAGAACGATGTGAAAAGCTGTGGATCCTGTATGACTTGATGAGCCGTAACGATCTTTGAGAGCAATAATCGCGGTTGCGAGATTAAGCTATATTTTGTACTCTGTTAGCGAGCCGCTAGTATAAGGTCGTAACTCGCTGGGTATTACTGCGCGCTGGTATGCCCAAAACGGCAACCTGGATTAAGCGGGCTATAAAGCCGGATCGTTCATACTAATAGCAGTAAGTATCACCCTCACTCATACCATGGCCCCCCTTCGCGCACACAGCCCACAATCTCCTACATCTCCATCTCCAATGCGTCCCAAGAAGACTGTGGTGCTCCCAGGCTTTCGCGCACCTCCAAAGCCCAAACCCAAGCCCATCACCCAAATGACTGTGCGAGAACTACATGACCAGCACGATCGGAATGCAAGACTGTTAAACTCGTCGTACGTCGATTTTTCCCCCCAGGTAATTTGCGATGATGGTAGCCTCCGTGGCTCCACTATTGACCTCGTACGCGTCTACTTTTAGATCAGCCTGCACGTCTGCCCTCGGACAACGCCTTTCGGCCGAGCAAACAGCCATCGAATCTCGCCTGCTCGAACTCGAGGGCGTCGAAGAAATTCGCAAAGGTCTTAAGAAGACCAATATCAATGCCGACGAGATCATGAATGTCGACCAGCCGCACGTGCCTCGTGTAATCGATGCCAAGCAGAGGGCATTGTCTCGCTACGTATGGATATGTGTTGTATTATTTTCGATCGCTCATAAGTTATTGGCACACTGTAGGCACCCATCGCGCCCAATGGCGCTCACCACGTCGGTTCCCTGAGCTTACAGGAAGCAGTGGAGCTGGAGAAACGTGCCCATGTTCAAGACGCAGCGAGACAACAACGATTAGATGAACGCAAGAAGCGCATAGGGCTCCCAACCAGAGGGGAAGTCCTTTCCAGAGCAGAAATGGATGCACGGATGTGGGCCTTCGTGTGAGGATTTCCTTGCTCGTCAATTCATGCTAGTGCTAAATAAAATGGACAGCAACTACAAGCCGACGGACTCTGACCTCGAAGACGATATGGACGAGGACGATGAAGATGACGAAGACCCGTCAATGTGGTTTGAAGATGACCAGGATGACGGTGTCAAAGGTCAAGACATTATCGAACCGGACTATGAAGAACTCTCTAGTGTTATACGGGTCGACGAGAGCAGAGCGCGATACAGCACCTTCTTCGAACCCAGGGATGGTGATTGACATGCATAGCATAATATGTAATACCATATAATATGTGAGGATGTGCACTATTTTACTTGTAGTCGTTATTATGTGACGTGTTAGAGAAAGTGTGCATGTGATCCAAGAGTATTCGATCAGCAGAACTAGGTATGGAAGGCCTATGCATGTTTCTTCTAACGCGCGTGAACGGGACAGCTTCTGCCTCTCTGCAACCACGAGGACAAGCAAGCTGGATTGAACATTGATCAGCAAGGCTGTGCTTACTGAAGGTAAGTGGCTCACGAACCATTGTGGAAACTACAGAAGCAGCTGAGCCTCGCTACAAGTGCGCCTGTATTAATAACGTCAGCTGGCATCCCTGGTGAGAGATAAGCCTGGAATACCCTCTGTAAACTCCTCTAAGCAGATGACACCTGTGGACGCATAAGCACTCGCATCATAGTCGCACAAGAACAATAAAACTTACATTCGACACCCAGAAGTGCGCTCTCGCCAGGTAACTTGTACACAAGATACTTAGCAGCTTGAGGTGAGGTTCCAGCATCTCCTTCTAGGCAATTCTTCACATGGGCTTCTTGTTCTGCCGGTAGTCCAAGGTCCGCAAGGCTAGTGCTGCACACAGGGCACCTGGGGATCGTCCCCATCAATACCAACGGGTCATGGTGCCACCAAGAACCTGACTTACTCTGCAAGGTCGCTTAGTTGCGAACTAGACTCCCGCCTATGGAGCTGTCCAGGGATCATGAGCCTTCTTTGATCGATCACAATTCTTTCCATGGCGGACGAGGTGGAGCCCGAGAATCTGGTAGGGACACGGGCATTGATCTCATCGTAACATCCCTGGCAGACGCGCTGAGTTGAGGAGGATGCCGCGGATTCCGGGAACACAGGGTCGCGAACAATGTCGGATGGATCGAGGAGTGCTCGATGAGAAGAGCAACGATCACAAAAAATCCGACCACACTTGCGACAATGCTAGCAAAAGGTCAGACGACGATAAGAATAAGTGGGGGCAATTGCTAATCTTACATGCTGGGAAGGATCATAAATCAATCATTTGGAAAAACCAACGTTAGTAGAACTTACTCTTCGTAAAAGAAATCCGAACCGCCGCCGACAATCATTACAATTAGAGACCATATCGTCTCTTTCCCATTGCGCATGGACTTGGTGAGGTGTCGGGGCAGTCCACCTTGGACTTAGAACTTTCTGAGGTGCTTCATGGGTGGGGACGCGGAACTCAGGTGCTTGAGAGAGGTGAGAAGTCAAATCCGTAGGTGCACGAGAAACAGAACGGGAAAGGTGCTCCGTAGAAGCTGAGCGGACAGACGTGCCTAGAGGCGTATAGCCAGGATAGCGGAACTCTTCTTCATCGTCGTCGTCATCTTCCACATAATCGTCATCTTCGCCCGAGATGAGTAATCTTTGATTGCCAGCTGCGAGTCGGCGACGCTCGAGCTCTCTGCTGTAGGCATTGAGCAGGACTTCAGCCTGAGTTTTTCGTTCCGCATCATCATCACCTTGTATAACATCTGATTCAATTATGCGGTAAGAAACATCATTAAAAAGCTTACTAAGAATGCCTTGTCGCAGTTCAGTAGTTGCACGTTCAAGTTTGGCAATGGCACGCCTTGCTTCGACAGCAGATAAAGTCTCCCCGCTGGTGGCAACATCCCGCTGTGTTCCGACTAGGTACCGAGCACGGGAGACATAGTCCTGGGCGGATGACAGTCTTGTGGACGTCATCGTTCCGAGCTCCTGTCCTTCGCCTTCTGCAAACTCACTCTCGTCGACCTGAATGAATGGGATGAGAGAGCCGTCGAGTTCAAGATGGTACATGGCACCATCCGGCTCCTGGAACGGCAGAGGGGGGACGTCAAGCCTACGACGCATCACGCGGACCCAGCGTCTGCGTCTTACCCACGTTGGAGCGCGTGCGGCCACGGATACAGAGGTCGCTGAGCTACTGCTGCTTGCGCGGCTGTGGCTTCTGGAAGGACTGCCTAAGCTAGCTGTCATGAGTCCACTCCCGCTCAGCAAACGCTGAAGCTGAGGGGGCGGTTCGGCAGTCCAGGTTTCATCAGGCAAGGAAAAGTCCTGTGCATATTGCCAGCCTGCCTCTACATCAACACCAGGGTGCGTAACATCCAATGTCCAATCAGACCTAAAAGACGAATTAGTAAGTACTCATGAACAATAACCTGCTGGTCCTCACAGCCAAAAGTGACTTCTTTCAGTGCCATCCATGGCGGGTCTATCCCTGGAGCTTGTTTCTGGTAATGTCCAAGGATCTTCGGTCAGTGGAAGCTGGACACCGCTACGCCAGGCAGCAACTAGTTTCGCGCCCCCGTCGTTCGGGGAAGGCAGTTTCAACTCGAACGGTGCACGCCGACCCGGCCTACCAAGGCCAGAGGGTGAGAACTTTGGCTTCCCACCAGACACTGCCAACGTTTTCAGCCGTGTGTCCAGGCGCTGGTTCTCATAAAGGATCAATGGGATGGTCGTGTGCACTGCGAGAGGGTTATATGGGGCAGTTGTTCTACGCCATCGCTCCGCTTCTGATTTTTGCAGGACCTGGGGGCATGAGGACACACTTGCAATAGTTAAGGGAGCAAGCATACCTCACAGATCCATACCTCGAACACGGCAGCAGCAGCGTCATATGCAGTCTCACCCCAATTATTCCGGACAAGAGGATTTGCACCTTGCTTTGTAAGTAGATATATCACAATAGGCAAGTGTCCTTTGGAAGCCGCATTGACTGGCAAAGCGTTTGAGAGTGTGTGGAAACATAAATTTTGAGCGCATACTGAGAGGAGTCCATCCACCTTTACTCCGAACGTCGACACTAGAAATACCCCCGTGCTCGCATAACCACCTCACGATATCAAGATAGCCCTGAGGGGCAAAAATGTAAGTTTCTTTGCAGGAAAACGACAACGATTAGTATAAGTAACACATACTTTAGAACAGGCGTTGTGGAGAGCTGTCCAGCCGTCAGCATCACGAGCATTTACGTCTGCTCTATCTGGTAGTAAATACGTGACGATTGGTAGGTGGCCATGAAGAGCAACTTTATGCAAAGCAGTCTTAAGACCATGTCAGCGTCGGTGTGTGCGGACTAAAGGTCTTCACCTACTTCTCCTTCGCGGTCCTCTAAATCTGGAATGGCACCGCAATCTTCTACCACTAAGATGACAGCGACTTGAGCACAGATAAAGATAAATGAAGGTTATCGCTCACGCCATTGGACAATGTCTAAGTAACCTCGACTAGCCGCGACATGCAAAACAGTGAGGCCTGTTCGAGAGGACGCATCATTTGCCAGGGCAAAGGCCTCAAGTTCACCGCCTTGTAAAGCTGTCTGAAAGAGCTTCTTCAAAAGAGACAGGTCACCATCAGAAGCAGCCGCAGACAAAGCTTCCAACTGAGCAGGAGATGGATGAGGTTGTGTCTGTACAACTGGCTGAGATGCAAGAGATGCAAGTTCATCTAGTGGTGCTGTATTATCTGGGACGGGCATCTGTTCTTGCTCTGCTTCTGTATCCGCAATGAAAGTTGACACTTCTTCTGAGGGAGGTAACCCCCCTCCATCATCGGCAGCAGAGGTGTCCTCAGTGGTGCCAGGGTAAACAAATTCCTCCTCTTCCGAGTCTGATTCAGGGTATGTGAATCCTTCTTCATCACTCTGGTCAGAAGCGTCGCTAGCAGTTTGGGACAACTGTGTATCAGACCTGACAATCGTCATTGACGCGTTTAAATTTGAAAAAGCGAAAAAATGCGCACTCCTGGATTGTCCCTAGATGAGATATGCTCGATTCCGGAGTGGTCATGATGGATTGAACCAACGCATGCTCGATGGATCAAGTAATTTCAAGTTTCAATGGTGGTGACTGCTGTGGGAGTTAATTACCATATTCGGAATGACATGGACGATGAAGCACGTGATACGGAGGTCAATTAAGGATCCGTCCGTGACTCCGTAGTCATTCGTGGCAGGATGTCGTCTGAGCAGTTGAAACGATGATATTGATCGAAATGGAATTGGATTTCAATGGCGTATGCATGGCGTGAATGAACGAACGAACATATATATTGCACCCATACGTATACCGTGATCGGTCGGACTTGATATTTAAAACTAGTTTGACAATGATCAATCTGCTGAAACTCCGAGCAGCTTTTCGTACGAGTCATCCTCGACTTTCTTCCCAATACCGCTTCATGACATCCGTCAGTGGAACTTTGGTCCAGAGTAAGGGATCCACCAATGGTGATCGCTCCAGCCTCATCCCCTTCTCCTCGCGACTTCATGGGGGACGCGCCCTAGCACAAGACGTCTGGTCGATCTACAAGTAATATCTACGTCTTGTGATAATTGGATACCAGTTCATCAATCTTCTTCAGCGTGGCCAACCTCCCCGCAGACTGTATCAATCTTGGGCAAGGGTATATGAACTTCCCGCCCCCAAAATGGGTCACAGATGCTGCAGATGAAGCTCTTAAATCACTTTTGCCAAACCACTACTCGCATCCGAAGGGGCGCATTCGTCTGCGGAATGCCATCAAAAACTTCTATCAGAAGTCCTTCAATAGAGATCTCGACGTCGAGACAGAGATTCTTGTAACAAGCGGAGCAAATCAAGGTTTGTCTAGTTTAATTCTGCAGATCATTCAGTCCTTTATGGTTTTTATTACAGGACAGTACTCCGTTTTCACCGCCTTCCTTGAGCACGGAGACGAAGTGATCATGTTCGAGCCCTTCTTCGACCAATATTTACCATCCGTCACCTTCAATGGTGGAACGCCTGTCTACGTCCCCCTCCATCCTCACACGGACATTACGACTCCAAATAATAGTAACTGGAAAATCGACTTCGATGAATTGCGGTGTGTTGATCGGTCTGTTGGGTTATCAGTTCTATTTACAACCCTCACAGTCGTGCTATCACTCCAAAAGCAAAAATGATCATCATCAATACCCCGCATAACCCCGTCGGTAAAGTCTTCACGAGAGAAGAGTTAGAGCAAATAGCTGTTCTCGCAGAAGAATTTAATCTTCTAGTGATGGCAGATGAAGTGGTATGTTTTCTGTTCGTGCCGCTACAAGTTTTGTGCGACGATTAATTGCTTTCCAGTACGACTGCCTCGTCTTTGACGGAAAGGAGCACGTCCGCTTTGCCACACTACCGGGCATGTGGGACCGCACAGTAACTGTGTTGTCTGCTGGCAGTGAGTTACAAATTCGACTGTAGATGTTAATCTCACGGTATTCTGTCAGAGGCATTCGCTGCCACAGGTTGGCGTGTAGGCTGGCTCATTGGTCCGCCGTCAATCATCGGCCCCACCCTTGCTGCCTGCACGCGAATCGTGTTCTGTTCAAACTCTCCGCTACAGGAGGCTGCAGCTGCTGGACTCGAGCAAGCCGTAGAACGTCATTTCTTCGAGAATCAACTCAAGGAATATCAGGAGCGACGTGATGTACTTCTTAGCGCGTTCGACAGGCTTGGTATGAAATACAGTCATCCCGAAGGAAGCTACTTCGTGCTTCTGGTACGCGCCGGTTCCACCGATGAGCTAGCCAACTGATGCGTTTCATCGGCAGGACATCTCACGCGTCAATTTTCCTGAAGACTACCCCTTCCCAGCATCGGTTCAGGGGCGAGGACGCGATTTCAAGTTTGTGTATCTATTTCATACTCTGTTTGTTCTAACCCGTCAACGTTCAGGGCGTGTTGGTTCATCGCACTTGAAATTGGTGTATCATCCATCCCTGTCAGCGAGGTAAGTCAGTACGCTTCAAGTTTGAATTATTATTTATGCGATCGCATAGTTCTATTGTGAGGAGCATTGCACCATCGGCGAGAACTTCGCGCGCTTCGCATTCTGCAAGGACGAGGAGACACTCAGGAAGGCTGGGGAGCGCTTGCAAGGTTTGGCGAAGTATCTTGTGTAGAGTCTAGACATGTGGATGTAAATATTTATCGGTGCCCATGGAGATGTAAGCCTGGTGTAGTATTTTATCATGTACATAGCTATAGAAGGGATTCTTCAAGTCTGTCAACAATGCGCGAGAGGACCTCATTTTGCGAGCCCGGTTCGACGTCATAATACACTGGGTTGCTGACCAGCCTTCGCCCAAGGAGCGTGAAGGAGAGTGCTTGAACAGCATCCTGCTTGTTTCTGATGGACCCGTCTCTTCTCTTTTCCTTGTACCATTTTTCAAACACGGGCGATTCCAACAGCTCCGATTCAAGCGGAAGCCCCTCAGCCAGGAACTTGGAGAATGTGTCTCTAGCCTCCGCTTGGCAAAAGAGGAAGAAGTGGCCAGGGGCATCATGCCTCACAGCCCGACTCTGCATCTGGACCACGTCAACAAGACTGTAATCCCACAGCTGCGGTCCAGAGCCATCTCTCTCAAGATGCATATACTGGGTGCCCATGACTACAACGGCTGCTGCCCGGACAGGCAGCATCCAGCAAGCATCGCGAGGTGCCAGGAGTACGCGAACCACACCTTCAGCGAATAGCTCCAGAACAAGGTTCCGATCTCCTTTGGACATTCCGCTGTAGAACATCCCTACACCGCGGGTCACAAAATCAATCAATGACGGGTCTTGCAACCGTGCTGAATAGTCTTCCACTAAAAGAGGAGGTACGGATTGGGGGAGAAAGCCCCTCTCGGTCTCCATGTTTAGGGCGCACTGTGTGATAAGCTCTTGCGCCACCGTTCGGCAATGACTGCGCGAAGGGACGAAGATAATGGCAGATTCATTGGACGGTACGCTTTGAATAGCTGCGTACGCTGGTTTCGACATGGACTTGAACAGTGCGGCTGAATGCGGTGTTGTGAACGTTTGGTACGTGATTGTGAGTGACTGATCTCGATCTGTCGGTCGAAAGCTGTGTAGCGCCATGGTATCTACACCCAGCCATGGAGCGATATCCGTGGGATCATTGAGAGAGCTCGACAAGCCGATGTATCGGGTGGGGTTATTTTGCGTGGTGTGACGTAGCAGTGATATGCTGAGTTCATAGGTTGCATCGAGTTGCTCCAAATTATCGCACACTACAAGAGATGGATAGTTTGTTTGGCGGAGGTTATGCTGGCTGACGGCCTCGAGCAGCACCGACGGCGTAACGACACGTATTGTGTTGGTCCGGCAGGAAGAAAATAAACCTTCCCCAGAAGAAGACAACTCGACCATCACGCCAAGTCCATTGGAAATGGCACGGAAGTCCAAGAGAGATTGGGCAGCCAGGGTTCGGTTTGGGACAATGAAAAGCACCAATGACCTTGGACGGCGGTGTAGGGTTGTCCTTTAATAGACACTTCAGTTCGGATCAAACTTCGGGAGTGCCTTTACTGACCATATTGCTAGATGTCCCATGAGGGACTTGCCACTACTAACGGGAGCGCATACCAACACGTTCATCGAAGTGTTAATAAGACTCCAAAATACTTGCGTTTGAATAGCATTGAAATCGTGGAGTCGGGCTGAGTAGATGTCTTCGAGTACAGGAAGGCGTAGCGAGGAACGCGGGAGAAATGGGAGGTCCAAACGAGGCGTATGACTAGGAGAGGGAGCAGGCATCACCAGTCCATCCAAATCCACGTGAAGTTCATCTTCGGCCCCTACCCATCTTTCAGACACAAATCTGACAGTAAAATAAGGGGGAGGAATGTCGGTCGGTATCGAAACCACGAAATTCACAGCAAGGGAGTTTGTCGACTCCCGCAATAGAAGGTGCGAAAACTGCAGAATTTCAATGCCTCCATGGTCTTCAACCCACAGCCAGAAAGGCTCTCCCGAGTCGTGCACTTTGGAATTCCAATCGAAGTCTCGAGTAACCGAAACTGCAATCTTGAGGACATTTGACCCTAACGGCCGAAGTAAGCTGGACATCTTGACCGTAGGGAACTGCCGAGCTGCATTCCGGAGCGCCTGACCGTGCCGCTCGTTTAAGCGAACTAGTGTACCCAGCTCTGCTGGAGTCATGGAAGCTAGTTCGGCGGGTGAGTACTCTTCTCTTGAATTCTGCAAGCCATATATAATATCGGCCTTGAGATCGAATTGCCTAAGAGGCTCGTCGAACGGCCAAAGACGTTTCTCGATGGCTTTAGTGATACCCATAAATACCGTGGCCACACGAGCCCACTTGCGGCTGATTGCTATATCCAACAGAGCTCGTGCAATGCGTCCCCCATTCTGCGCTACATATGCTGTATCGGAAACCAAGGCAAAATCTTCGACCGGAAGGCGAGATATGTAGCTTTGCAGGAGGATGCCGACTTTGCCTTGGCTTGTATCAGTCCCTCCCTTAGTGCCGAAACTCTTAGCGATTCTTTGGAGCCACAAGCAACCTTACTCACTCGCACATCACATATTTTGTTTTTCATCAGAAGCTCTAGTTCCTTCACCTCTGACTCTCTCACTTGGATTTGGTCAAACTTTCGTTGAATGTTAATTGACATCAAGGACACAACACAAACCACCCACCTCGGTGCTCATACTGAGCATGGAAAGCGCATCAGCTTCGGTCATCTTAGGTTTGAACTCCTTGTTGAAGACCTCGATGGATGCATATCGAATGTAGTACCTGGCCGCTATCCTGCCCAGGTCCGTTATCGAAAACGCACCAGTATTTTCAGTAAGGTTTATCATCCCCGCACTGGCCAGTTTGCGGGCCGCTGTCATAACCAGAAGATTTCGCTTCTGACCGAGATGGGGATCATCTGCCACATTGTCCCAAGACATGCCTACATGGAGTGTCAGCTGCTATGATAAAACGAGGATTTAAAAGACTGGCCATATAGGAAAGGATTCTTCTTCATGCGGACATACAGATATGTATATCCTAGCCATCGAACACCTTCGTCGGCATTTGTTACCGTACCAAGAGCAATCTCTGCATTCAGTGAATTTTCAATGCCTGAAATGAACCTATTTTATGTCAGAGAAATGTTGGCGCAGAGAAAATTATTCATCTAACTGAGATTCAATCGGGTTCTGGATGATTGTTCAGCATTTATCGTTCATGGTGGCTGGATAAACGTACCTGTGACGTCACAGCATTAAGATAGTGTACGAGCTTGTCCTCAGTAGTGCAGATGTACCCTTCACCACTAGTCTCGAGACCGGGCCGGCCAGCTCGGCCAAACACTTGCAATACATCCAAAACCGAGAGATCGACAAAGGATCCCTTTGCGCTGTCGTATATTTGAGTACCTTTGATAACAACTTGATTCCTTCATGAGAGAAGAATGAAGGATACAACAAAAATATCTCACCTGCATGAGCAGGCAAGTTGACGCCCCATGCGAGGGTCGCTGTACAACAGAGGACCTTCCTCAGATAAGTTAGCGTCTAATGGGACATTTCCACGTCAATGCCAAGTACTGACCTTGATAGCTCGAGCTTCGAACATCCTCTCCATCATGTTTCGATCGGATCGCAGCATACCTGCATGATGAATACCAAACCCGAGATCAAACAGTTGCTTCATTTCCTTATTCCTAGAATCTCCAATACTCCTTCGGAAAAATGACCATTGAGGGTGTTCCTCGCAGTTGTAATCATCCAATGTGCCATCTATTGTCGCTGCGTCCTTCAAAGCTTGCGCCGCTTTCACGGTTTCTTTCCGCGCATGAACAAACACCATTACTTGGTGTCCTTGATGTACTAGTTCTGAAACTTTCTCAAACGTGACGCGGTCAAGGTTCTTTTTAGACCTCGGACTTCCAGGCTTTCCTCGAACTCCGATGAAGTGCTGCTCCAAAGGTATCGGTCGGAAGGAAGAGTCAAAGAAAAAGAGTCCTTTATATCGGGATACACTGGTTATGAGTTGAGTCTAATTGATCTGGAGAAGAATCGTGTGGGCAAACAAACCTCAAGAAATCAGCGACATCCAGATAGTTGGGCAACGTTGCACTGAGACCCAGTATTCTGATGACGGATTGGCTTGATTCAACCTACAGATGAGTTGGCCACCGATTCACCCCTGAGAGAATAAACATGTACCTGTCGCAACGTGCGCGCAACGATAGTTTCGATGACGGCTCCACGTTCTTCATTCAACAGATGCACCTCGTCAATGATTAAAAGCTTCAACTTCTACATACAAAGACAGTCAGTCGGGTGGAGGAACAGGAACCAATATAGAGACGTACTGAAGCTAACTCCCCTTCGCCAGTGGGCTTTCGAGTTACGACGTCCCATTTTTCAGGTGTGGTGACTATGATTTGGGTTTCGGCGATTTCAGATTTTGTCAGTTGCATGTCACCTACACAAGAAGTTAACGGGCGGTGCATGGATCGGAGAGAATTCCCATCCCTGTCAATTCCTTGACCTGTATAGAGAGCCACTGTAGTCTTTTCCCCAGCTTTCGAACAATCTCAGAAGCCAGAGCTTTCATAGGTGCACTATGTTTTCAAGAGTCAGGACGCTTTACTGCAAGGAAGATATTGTTGGAACCTCACACATAGATGATATGAAAGGCATCGCGATTTATCGAAGTATGTAGAGGTGATGAGGGACTGATAGGTGATCGGTGCTGGTTGATAACCCGAAGGATTGTTAACATCGCCACATCGGTCTTACCCTATGAAAAGAGTTCCATAAGCTGTAAATCAAGGATGACACCTAGGATAAGCTAACAGCACCAGTAGGAGCTGTCCCGATTGTCATTAAGTTGCTAAAGACCACGCAACATGACCGAAAGACGCACCGCAAACTAAAATATTCTCGTTTGATCCATAAGCGGTTGGATAGACGATAGACTGTATGCGATTTAAAGAAGAGTATCCCTGAAATAAAAGGTTTGATAGATAATGGAAGGAAAAAGGTGGGCTGCATACAGGAAACGAGCCGCTAGCTAATTCATCCAGTTCGTTGACAAGAATGAGCCGTTCGGATTGCTTGGGTGGAACAGCTCTGGCAGGAGGAATGATGACTTCCTCATATTCCTAACTCACTGATGAGCCGCCTGATGTGATCCAATAAGGTGGTTATAACCGACCTCATAGTCATGTCTAGTAGTTCCGAGTGGAAGTTCGTACTTGCTACCGAATTGCGAAAGCATGCCACCGTGCGTCATAGAGGACGAAGTGTATACATGTGGAAGTACTTCTGGAGCTTCTTGCTGTATATTTTGAGCGGGGACTCGCGCCAGGGCGTATAATGAACTTACTGCCGTACCCGTAAACAAAGGACGTGACGCATTCACCCTGAGAGTCTCTTCCAGGCGGTGACGAACATCTTGCGGAGCAAGGCTGGCAATTACAGCTGAAGCGCAGGTTAGCAATGAATGATGATATTGGGCGGCACTGACCGTCTGTGCCTGGCGTTTTCCGTTTCTCTGAGGTCGAGCTTTCAAATGTTGTTCGGTCCCGTCCAGACAACTAGGCATTGTGAGTGATTAGATATGATTGCACTTGATCACTACTGACTGCGTTCACAAAGTAAGACCTAGAGGCGAGCAATCCTGCAACTATGTCGATGTCGTCAAAGCCAACCAGATCAGCGAGCCCGCTTGATATGACATCATCGGGGAGTGTAGTCGACAGAATACCAGAAATTTCCTCTTGAACTTCCTTTGGTTTGCTACGTATCGTGAGGCTCCTGTAGAAGGACGCGAACCCAGGAACACTAACCTTAGTAATCTACTTATCAAATGTTGACTCGGAGGCGCGGGTAGTGAGAATGGATCAGTGACGAAGATATCCGTAATGGAGGTTCGAAAATCCTTTTCTAAATCGTCGTTGACATCTATACATGGTGAGTTCGTCGGTCAAAAACATGTCGGTCGAAGCAGAGTACCTGGACTCGCGAATGACTTGGGCCTGATAATGAAGGTGAGCCTTTGTTTTACTGAAAACATGATCGACATGCAACAGACATTATCCAGCCATTCAGTTCTTTGGTATCATTGGAGTTCTGAACAGCATATTCGCCAGGAGCAGACGTCAACTGGTCAAGATGCTCGAGAATAGACATGTTACAGTGGACTGCCGGGATAGTACAAGAGTACAAGGAATGATAAGCAAGGTTCGTACCCTTTGACGCGTAACACGCGACTCGTAGCTGTGGATAACTTGCGATGGCCCCGGTGATGACTTCCTCTGACTGCTGGTATTCGCTCCTTTCCCACGACAGTACTTGCGGGACGGACGTTTCGGTACCGAGACTTAACTTGAAGTGTGACGGTGGAATTAGTGTACTGTTCACACTAAATGTACCAAGTATACAAGAATGAAATTTAGTTCAGAGCGCGATAAAGTTAAATATTGATGCACAGTGTACTTCAGTCTCTTGCCTCAGGGGTCCTTCACCTTGAGCGGTTTCAAGTATTGCGCCTTTGCAATACACGCATATAATTGGCAGGTCCCCCGAACATAAATTTGTATGTCGGACGGCAACATGGAAAGACTTGGGTTAAATCTTTCCACATCCCGTTCCAACGAACAGTCCCCTTCTGAATCGAACTCCTGGCTTGATCTTTGTGGTGAGTATCAACACCACTGCTCGCAGTGTCAAACTCCGACCAAGGGATGCTTTTGATTTCATCTTTGCGCGTGCCACGAGAGCATCTCGCCAGTTAAGGTCTCTCCGCGACAGGACATTCCCCTGCCAAGAGGCTGATGGAATCGAAACAACAGATTGGTAAGTCAAAACTCCAGGAGGCGTGTTATGACGAGCACCCGTGTATTATAAAAAGCGCGCGGTCCATGAAAGGCACGTTGCTCGAATGGTAATTATACCTCGCAAAAGCCAGCTAGGTTACGAGTGAGATGACGTCGTTGAGCGCGAAGTTACCCTCGACTGCCTACGTTGCTCTCGTTCGAAGGCTGCCATGTCGCTATACCATCGGAAATCTCGAGAATCACCTCTCTTGGAGGCGGGGGGGATGGGTGGACGCAGAGGCCCCATACGATCCAATGGCCAGATGATGTATGTCAACTTCGAGTCTAAAAGAGCAAGGGGGACCTGAGGCGAATTCGCGTTAGCGCAGATGAATTTAGGAGCATAGTGAGACTCACTGGGCCAAATTTATTGCTATCCAAAGTTCGGAAAGGTTCGTCACCTAATGCAACGTCAAGACTTGCTCAAATTAAACCAATGCGTCTCACCCTCCACCCAGACATGACCACCGGGGATAACAACTTCGGCGTCAGGATATGGAGGAAGTGTCTTGACGACATCTCCTGCCACAGCTACGATCCTCTTCACGATCATTTTTCTACTATTTATAGGATCCCTGAACAGAGGAAATATCAGCTGTATCCTATGCCCAGGAAATTGGCCATACTGAAGTGCTACAATGTCGCCTTTTCGAATAGGCTCTCCAGAGTTGATGGAATATCTGTCAAAAACAACAATATCATCCCAACTTGAGGTGTCCGGATTTAAAGTTGGCTAGCTGGCACGCAAGACTGGTCAGAAACGTCTCTGGATCAAGTGAGTTCACGACAGACCTGCATGCTCCTCCCTCTGATCGTTTTCAGGGTATAGAAGTACTGTGTGAAGCCCAGGCCAAGAGGAAGCCAGTATATCCATCGCAATGGCTTGCCAATTGAAGCCCATGACCTCTTGAAACTTCCTTCCGGGTTCCTAGAACTGCGAACCCGTCTTGCGTTTAACGGCCTGCTGGGCTTTAAGAACTTCGAGAATAGCGACATAGTGCTTCAAGCTTCAAGGACTAGCTCGGAGTCGAGAGCACTAAGCAGGCTGCATGAAAGACACCTCAGACACGATCACGTGCCTCTACTACTGGGTTCTGAATTGTCTGAAATGAGGCGAAGTCCATTGGTTTGTACATCCCGAGAGCGTCCGCGCGACAGTTAAAATGAGTCTACTTGAGCTAACGATATTGATCGTGAATAGAAAGAAAAAGCCATCATCTATTGCCGGAATATGATTTCCTTCGACAACTCATCTCCTAGAGCACCGATACAGCTCAAAATCTCCTCACGACTATATTCATCGTCCCACCGGTCAGATGACTAGGGGGCTATTTAGCTTCCAAGAGATCAAGTTGTCAGCAACTCACAGTAATAGGGATTATAGATATCGCCCCCTGTTGCATGGAATAGATGACCATGACTTCGGCGAGCAGCTCCTCGGAGACGCGAACAGGAGGGCCTTGAAATGGGGGGCATGTGGATATATCACCAAATGACCATCCAACCATACCTTCACCAGGATCCTGTGGACCTTCTAACGAATTTTCGGGGTGCACAAAAGCGGCATATCGAAACCTCTCTAGTTGTGGAATACAATCTGCCAAAGGAAACCACGTAAATTCTTCCTGCATTTGCACAAAGACGAAATTAGATTGCCAAGCTGTCGATAACATGATTGCTTACAGGGTCGGCGATATATGAAGGCGCATATCCGCCCTTATACTTCATTTTTGGGCAAGAGTGGATGTAAAGCCCTGAAGTGAGGTGAACGCAGGTCAGATGAACGCATTGATTACGACAACAATATCTCACCCATACAAAGTGACGTCACGTTAATAGCGCCTGCATTGTATATCTCTGTGGCCAATGAAGCCTCTCGCAAGGCACTGAGCTAGAAAGCAGCTCGCTCAATGGCGCAAAAAACGATGAGTGCACCAATTGACCTTCCCAAGGGAATGTTTTTCGTGCCTTGGATCGTACATGAAATACACGCTGGAGACGCAACCAGGCAAGATATCAATTACACCCACGGCGATCAATTCGCCGTCAAGGCGGTACATCTGGTGAAAAGAACCATATTGTGACGGAAGATGGTCAGGTGCGCTTGCAGGATATGGGATAGGTTCATTCTGCAAACGGTGGGGTGTCAATGCCTACCAAGGATGTGATTGCTAAGAAACGTACTATCAACGGGCTTTTCACGAGGAAGCGCTTGAAATCTCCCGGTGTGTTGTTTGTGTCGTGGTGGATCTGGCTTTGGTATAGCGTGTAAAGCGTGTATTTCTCTTCTGAGTAGGTTGATGGTTCAAGTGTAACCTGTCAGAGCACTTTTCAGAATATTGTGGTCCAGAACGTCATGCAGGTCATACCTCAAATTTATGACGGGCTGTTTCATTTGGAGGAATAATGTTGGCCTCAGCAGCGTGTATCGAAGTAGACAGTGAAAATTTTGGAGCGTCGCGCTTCGAAGCATTACCCTCTGACTTGAATGGTCTGGTTGGTTTCGAGGCAACACCCTGTAGCAGAGAGTCGCTAGTCTCAGATTTGTGACCTTGCATAACAAAGTGATTCCATCTGTTTACAACAGTCGATAACCAAGTTAGTTGCTAACCCAACGAGACAAGGATATTTACCGGTTGATGAGTTTTCTTTGGCTGCGAGAGGGCTTGAATGCTATCGCATCAAGCCTACAATTGAATTCAGATAAGCCGAGCCTCACAGCACATTCCTGGACAACATACTTGATAGTGTACTGAGGACAGCAGGAGCGTCTTAGATCAGGAGCATAACAATATGTCCCAGATCGTCTCCACCCTCGGTCAATCATCTTTTGATAGACCTAGCGAGCTATTAGAAGATAACATGTGTCCTTGTGCAAAGGTCTCACTTCGCATGACAGTTGTGAGGCAAAAAGCCCTGCTTTCTTGAAGTTCGTCTCAGTATTACTTCGCGCTCCCGGTGGTCCACAGTAGCCACAAGTTGAGGATCCTGGTCCAAGAGGCATGCCGACTGAAATGACAGGCATGGTGTAGAATGATAATATAGGCTGGTGTGTAAACGATGGCAAGCTGCTGAATCCAGGTTTCAGCTAAAGCCTGCCAGAGCCTTTAGCGGCGCTCCAGTGGGGTTCGTCACTTCGTGTGATATCATACTTTCGAAGCTTCGCAGCCCAGATCTAGAGTATCGTGAGAAAGCCTTGAACATAACATCCATTTGCAACAAAAACAATATCATGTGAAGACGAAATGTGAACTACGAGGGTACTACGAGAGTGTGAATGATTATACGTGAACTGAAACGAGCGGTGCATGATCCAAAACTACAAGACAACAAGACAACAGATTCACCATTCTAGCCCCAACCATCCCACCTACCATACTTCCGATACTCTTGCAAAATTAATTCTCGATTGTCCTTCCGGTCCCGGTCCCGGTCCCTTTCCTTCCCTTTCTCCGTGCGACTAGTGATAGATGACACGCTGTTCGTGCGTGGACGAGAATGCGAAGATACCTTGGGCGGGGAGCTGGACAGCGGGGTTCCACCCGCAGACGGCGAAGAGATATTAGACGTCCCCTGTGGCAATGACAACCGATACCAGCCCCCACTGTACGTGAGCGCTATGAGTTGGTACTCCATGGGTGGATCACGGCCGGGTTCACTACGATCGGACGGTGCTTCGATCCAGCCAACCATGCACTTCTCCTCGTCGGTAATGTCGGCTGTGGGTGAACGAGAGGATGACGTGGAAGATATTGATATGTGGGAGGCTTGCGCGGGAATCCGATACTGTGCATATGACCATTCAGAGTCAAAGTAAGGAATGAGTGAGGCGAGCGGGGACAAAGACGATTGTCGATTACTGCGCCATCCAATCGTGTCAGCGCTAAACAGATTTCGGGTGAGATAGGAGTGACTCACGAGGGGCCAGAAGTCATAAGAGAGAATACGTGCACAGTACCCTTATCGCTCCAAACGCATACTTCCTTCTCATCGGGGCGAAATGCAACCCCATATATTTCGGCCTTATCAGATCCCCTTCTGAATACACGCAGTAGCTTTCCTGTAAGGGTGTCCCATATACGAACGAGGGTACCACGGGATGAAGTCGTAGCGAGCATCCGACCTGATGGGGGAACGGTGAGAGTGTTCAAGGTGGATTCATGTGCAGCGATAATTGAGACTGGATGCTTTGATGGTGGTGGTGGTGGTCGAGATGGTGGGACAGAAGGCGGGGGACCAACTGGCACGGGCGGAATACAAGGTGGTAGGTGTATTAATTGTACATGCCCCATCTGTCGACCAGGGAAAGCCAGAAGGGTTGAATATGCCCCAGTGGCCATCGCAAGCAAGCCTACAAACCGAAGAGCATAAATCGTGGATATACACACATAGACAATCCAGCTCACCTCGAGGGTTATCACATGTATCGAATTCGTTCCGTCGAACGATGGTCTCCCCGATCTCGAATAATACAACTCTTCTCCGAAACGATACTGCAAGCCATCCACGTCTACAAGCAAGACCTCTGACTCTTTCCCTAAATTCTAGCTCAGCTACTTCTTCTCCGGTAGCGTCGTCCCATACAACCACCTTATTTGGAGGATAAAGTGGACTGCGGCCGCCTCCGAGGAGAAAGAGCAGAGATGATGTGTGACACGGTACCACGGCAGCGAGCGTTCCGCCAGTAAACTCTACTTGGTGCATGGAGATCAACAATGAACAGAAACAATACTACCTACCCACCTCTCTTGCGAATAAGCTTCAGCGGCCATGTCTGGTACACCGCGAACCCTGCAGGTGTCGTAGTAGTGAATATCTGACAGTCTGCTTCAAATCGGGTATCAAAGATCTGAACGGGGTTTGTCGCAGTGATAGAGTGTCGAGCTAGGTTCATGGATCAATGTGAAAGGAGGAGATAAAGTGTATCTCTCAGCTTGCGGCAGTAGCACTTTGCATGCTGCATCAGCATCAGATTGTGGCTGGAGCTGAAGCTTCTGAAGTGGCGCAATTAGGTCTTTGAACATCAACCACAAACTTTGATCAAGCAAACAAAATTGTTTACCGACTACAGTCCAAGTATCGGTACTGCTATAATAGCTAGCAACGTAGTTCGAGCTAATTGAATCAGATATTGTACAAATGGAACCCATAGAACAGGTTACAAATATTGACGACCACGAAAGGTTTAAAAAGATGCATGATAGATAAAACGTGCAGGTCCAGCAGAGTTACCCCTTCATCCGCGAGCAGAATGTGCGACAGCAGCAGGTACAAATACAGGAGTTGCATACGCTGGATGATGCGCATAGCTCACTGCATGATTTCCTGCGATACGCGGAATAGCATCATTGGTATCATCCCAGGACTTGGGCGGTCGTAAGCCAACTCCGGCAAGTTGCTGCCTGGCAGCCTTGAACTCTTGTTCCTCTGCTTGATTCTGCGCAACCAGAGCTGCCTTGGCCTCTGCCTGCCTCTGTAATTCTGCCTCCGACTCATCTGACAAATAATCTGTGAAGCCCCCATCGGAGATTACGGTCGTATCTGATAAGGAGCCTTGCGAGCTACCACTATCACTGCTGCTCCCTGCAGTGCTCCCAACCTTTAACGCTGCCATAGCGCCTTCTAATGTGGATCGTCGCGAAGATACGGTGGAATCTTGCGAGTTCGTGGGAATGCCGTCGACGGGAGATGGGTAAGGAGCTGGCGGGCAGTACTCCCCAGAAGGCTTGGATGAGTTGAAAGGTGAGGAGACCGAGGATAATGAAGGTCGTGCTCCGCCGTTACGCCGTGACAGTGACCCGTCCAAGTCTGTCGCTCTGCGCATGGAGGGTGTGCGGTTCGTCTTCTCTACCCCTTCTGATACTGTCTGGCGACGAGGCAGTGTGATCTGCTCTGCTGAATTTGCAAATGAAGACAGGGGTCCAGACGATCGTGGTGTCGTCCCTGTGAGAGAAGAACTCTGTTGTACAGGACTTCCACCTGAGCGACCTCTTGCCGGAATGGGCATTGCCTGATTCTTCCCAGAGGTTGGGCTAGACCTGGTCGTGGGACTGCTACCGCTGTTTCTACGATCCAGTGATGGCATTGGCGGCTGGGACGCTTGGCTGCGATTTGTAGGCGAGACGCCAGGCAGGATGGCACCCCGTACGCTTTCGAGAATACTTTTTATCTCTGGAGGCATTGGTATGCTATGGACGATGCTGACACTAGGCCAATCTGCAGCCTGTATGAGGCGCTGCTCGTTGGAATTTGGAGGTCGGCAGCATCCGGGCCAACCGGGATTCTGATGCAAGCTAACTTTTGAGGATGGATTAGCGCGAGCCCACTGTAGATCGAGGTGTTCAGTGTACTGATGATCGAGATGAAAAGAAATAACCTTGCAATAACCACATCCATTAAAAGATTTGACTAAGATTTGAAGTAATCGGTGAGAGTTCAGCGTTACGGATAGAGATACATACCCTCTGCATTCTTAAGGTGAACGACGTCATGACGAGGATGCAAGGCTCTGTTGTAACATACATCACGGATGTGAGGGCATCTATGGGATCCGGGCGTGGGTAAAGGAGCAAGAGATGAATTAAAGGACATTACCTGTTACCGCTCGGCTTGAATACTTTACACATGGGACAGAGTACAGATGCTGGGTCAGTCGATCCATATAGGTAGCACATGATGAAACTGATATTGGGGGATGAGGAGATGGGATGATTTATACGAAATACTAATGGAGGATACTAAAAAAGGGTTCCGGATGAGACTTGACTGAGAAAGAAGGTGGAATAGCGAAGGCAGGACCGACACATGCGGTATCCTGGGTACGCTGCTGATCGGTTCCGTTTGAGGGGAGAGCATCATGAGTTACGACGACAAGAAGTAAGGGAACTGAAAAAAAGTAAGAAACTGACAAGATTGAATCGCCTTTATATGCTCCTGCTGTAACAATTGAACACGAGTCCCAAACGCTTTTAGTTCGACGTCGTCCTCATGTTTTAAAACGTGTAGACACGACTCAATCCAAAAACGGTTATTATATCATATTTATCTATATTATATATCCAAAAAAAGTACAATCTTATAATCAATTCCTATTTTTGTATATTTTTCTGGATTTCTACAAGACCGTGTGAAACGGTCCCGGCCTACGAGCGCTTAGATTAGCTCTGATGTTCTATGGAACATTGAGGTCATTGGGTGACCCCGCCAGCAGTGGCGACGCCGCTTCTTTATAACCCAACCTTCACCTTGCAGTCAATCTTCATCAGAACAACCATGGGCAAATCCCAGAGCAAGCTTTCACCAGAGCAACTCGCAGATCTACAGAAGAACACTTATTGTCAGTTCAATGTCTTATATCGACACTATCTGATGTGACCCCATACCCTAGTTGACAAGAGAGAGCTCCAGCAATGGTTATTTCTATTTATCATCCTATGTGGCGTCCTTTTCATCTTAATCGTACCACAGGTATAAAGGCTTTCTCAAAGATTGTCCCTCTGGCCAGTTGGACAAGACTGAATTCAGTCGTATATATAAACAATTCTTTCCATTCGGGGATCCAGGAGACTTTGCAGACTACGTCTTCAACGTCTTTGACGAGAACAAAAATGGTACTATTGACTTCAAGGAATTCATCTGTGCTCTTAGCGTAACGAGTCGCGGCCGATTAGACGAGAAGCTCAAATGTACGTACATTTCCCCACTTCATTTGACACCGCTTATCATGATTCCTATCCAGGGGCTTTTCAGTTGTACGATATAGACAAGGACGGTTTCATCACATACGATGAGATGTTGCAGATCGTAACGTCCATATACAAGATGACTGGTCAAATGGTCAAGCTCCCCGCAGATGAGGATACTCCTGAAAAGGTTCGTTTGACAATCAACTCCGAAATATCTCCCCTCACTATCCCAAATCCGCAGCGAGTGGATAAGATTTTCAGGAACATGGACCGAGACAAGGACGCCAAGCTCACGTACGATGAATTCGTCGAAGGCAGTAAGCAAGACCCGACCATCGTCCAGGTGAGCACTTAGGGTGTCCACATGATCAGTCCACTGATTTCTTTTGTAGGCGTTATCGCTATACGATGGTCTTGTATAATGACATGATCATCGTCATGATGCTGGCATTCATGCAAGTGGATTACTTTTATCTGTCAACCGCCACTGATTCATTTCCACAGCTAAAATTTCTTCCTAACCTAATCTGCTTTCCTGTTGCATATTCCAGGTGATCTTGTGGTCAATCAACTCACGAAAGTCCAGACCAAGCCTTTCACACCATACTTTACTCTACGCAATGGCCGGATCTGTCTATCTTCGACGATGTAGCGGTAGACCATGCTCCCGTGTTGCATTATTTTTATTCACATCTCAAGGCTAGAATCTTGCATAGCCACGTGATAATCAACTACTTAGAGTCACAAAGGCAGCTTCCCGTACTTCCGCAGGATCTTGGTGTCCATGTTTTCACCCACCCAACTGTGAAGACCCTCAGCGAACTCGAGATTATCGCGCTCTGCCTTGAAAAGCTTGTTGAAATCCTGTGGCTGCCCTGGCTGGGCATTGCCCATGGCCGCAAAGGGTGACGCAGTCATGTCACGGGATGAATCAGCAGCTAGTAGAGAAGATCCGGACGCCAGGATCAGACGTCTACGTGGAAAGCACAGGAAGAAAACGGATATACGCACCATTATCACCGCCAAGGATAAGTCGATAAAGGCCGTTCAGGCCGAAAAAGTTGAGGAAATACCACGAAAGTGATGAAACCCACCGAACGTCCATGTCAGGGGTATCGATGCCACGTTGAAGCATGGACTTGAAGCCCAGCGTCAAGGGAAAGGGTAGCTTGACTGAGAGATCTTCAGGTCGGAGTGCTCTATTGAAGTATTATTGGGAAATCACGCACTTAGGACGAAACCTTGGAAGAAGAAGTTGATCCAGCCCATAATGACCATCTGTGGCACCATCATAACCATTTGGGTTTTCATGCCGGCCATCATGCCATCCATGGCAGCAGGGTCTGATAGAGGGTTGGGAGCAGATGATGGCGCGTCAGCCTTGGGCGGTCCGTCTTTCAGGTACGTCCCGGTTTTGAAGGCCTCAGAAAGATGTTGTGATATAGCTTTGTAAAACGATAGTGGTATCGGTGAATTTGCGGACGTGGCTCTGAGGATCTGGGAACGCGTCAAAGCACGTCTATTGCAGGTCAATATGTGAGAGGAATGTCGGGACAAGAAGAGGAGGGTCACTTACTGCTCACGGGTTGCGGCTCGCGAGAGCTTTTTCGGTGGCGACTGCAAAAGAATGACCACATAATGGCGCAGTATTCCGACCAGTATCTGGTCACATACATAGTGAATAACGTTTCCCAGTACTTGCGAACAGGACATGATTAAATGAAACTCACCATTACAAGGGTGATTGGAAAGAGAACCCAATCCCGAATCTGGGGATCCAGGTATAATGAAAGCCTATCCATTGCTGTGCGTTAAAGTACTGAGGTGTGTCCAGAATATGAGCTGCAGCGACCTCGAAGGTCTAGTCGACGTGTTGGAATGAGAGTAGATTTCCTTTTTGAGACAAGTATCAATGTGAACCTCGTGCGCAGTTGACGGCACACTCTCACATCCGCCTTTGACGCATCCTTCAGCATCCTTCTAGAGTCGTACCTCCCTTGACCCTTGCGGGGTAACGGACAATATGGACAACTCCCCGACTGCGCTATTTGACTCATATGAGCAGGATTTCAGACAAATCATTGACAGCATTCGCTCAAAACTTGATGGAGAAGGCAAGGATGAGCGTGGTGGTATGTAGCAGTCTCTAGTATCAGCTTATTGGTTTACAAGTGTCGTTTGCACAGAACAGCGTAGAGCAGCACTCAGAAGAGTGGAAATGGAGCTGGATGAGGCCGACGAAATGGTTGGTTCATGCACAGACTGGCACTGAAGTAAGGTCTAAATGGTCAATCATAGATATCGCAAATGGAGATAGAAATCATGGGTATACCCCAGTCCATAAAGCCACAGTACCAAAACCGCCTCAAAACCGCCAAGGGAGACCTAGTGCGCTTCAAGAAACTTTCCAAGGATATTCATTCTCAAGTATCCAGAGCGGAACTTCTTTCATCCGGCAGAGTAGGCACACCCACATCAGACGAGCCCTATGGACCCACCAGTGATCGTACTCGCCTGCTTACGGGGACAGCTACTCTCGAGGATGGTACGAGACGGCTACAAGAATCACAGCGCATTGCTCTGGAGACGGAGGACCAAGGTGCTGAGATATTGATGAATCTCAGAACGCAGCGAGAGCAAATCGAGAATTCCAGAGATACCGTGTGTCTTGTCCCCTGACCCTTGACAATCACTTACCCCATGCCTTACTAGCTTCGCACCGCTGATACTGCTATTGACCGAGCCTCAGGCACCTTGAAGAAGATGATTAGACGGTTCGTTTAAAGCTGTTGCAGGTGTTTTGGAGCCACGTGTCTGATATGTGCTATGCAGGATGTACCAACAACGTGTCGTCACCGCTGCTATCATTGTCGTCCTAGTCCTGCTAATCGCAATCATTCTATGGGAAAAAGTTTTCCGGTAGAGAGGTGTTTAATTATGGTTCTTGCATTTCCCGCTTTTTTTTATATGCCTTGAGACATTGTATTTATGCATACTGTATATCCTCAGGCTTCGTTCTGGTGACTTGTGATGTGGTAGATGGTACCGCTATCAGTTTACATACTGGAAGAATACATTCCTGCCAGGACTTTCAGCCTGAGTCTACTTTCGCTGGATCTTACTTACTGCTTGTCTGTCATGTCGGCGAACGCACGACGCTCCTTCTCCTTCTGCACGTCATCGTCCGTCCAGCCCTTCTCCCTCTTAATCTCTTCTATCATCGCTCGTCGTTTAATATTTAGCTTCACATTAATATGGCGTAGAAGATATGCTACTCCGATCTGTGTCGACAGCAAAACCATGATGGCGGCCTTGCCTGGGATATACGCCGGTGCATCTTTAGGTTGAAAAATTTCAGTGCCAACGATGTTTCCAACACAGAAAAAGACCATGGTGAGCGCATTGATGGTGAGCTGTCGGACCATGTCAGCCAATGGCCAGAGACAAAGGTATATCTGGCCTGCCTTCTTGGTGTAACCACTGGTGTTACTGGCATTGTATGCGTAGATCGTAGATAATGTGCTTCCAAACGAGCCTATGAGGTATGAACCTGGCAATCATATTATCTTTGACATGCATGGTAACTGCGTCGATTAAAAAGCTCACCAAACAGTAACACTCCCTTTTGTCCAGTATTGTTGAAGCCGATCATCAGCGCTAGAAGGTGATGAGCCTTCTCTGGGTTGCTAAAAACGAACCATAGCTTTACCGACGCCCAGAAGGGTTGGTAGAGTTGCATAGATCACCGGTAACATGCGTTCTCCCTGTATTCATCGATGAGCGCGGTCCCGACGTTGGCTGTGCGGAACATTACCTTTCTATCAGAGTAATAACCGCAGAGCACTACCGAGATAACATGCACAATTCCAGCGGGAGTGGCAAGAATCAACGTCTGCCTTGATCTATCGGCGAGAGGATTTTAAAAAAACCGTCAGTTACTACAACACAAACCCTTGGGTGTGGCCCTACGTGTATCCGAAATTCCTTATGATAATGTTGCTAACTAGGCTGGACATGAGCAAGTTCCCCAAGGCAGAAATAACTTACAGTTAGTGAGACCACCGCTAGGAATATCCGCTGAAACGAAGGTGAGGCATGCACAAGTCTGAAGTAGTGCGATGTATACCCACTCAACATGGTTGCAAGCACAATCAACCAAGTTCGGACATCCAGAAGCGTCTCGATAACCTGTTCTTTCTTGAACTTCCTGTTCTCTGTACCCCCCTGGTCATCCCTAATTCGTTCTAGGGATGCAATACGCTCCTCCTTCGTAAGCATCCAGGCATTGACAGGAGAATCTGGCAACCATGTTAATACGATGATTCCGACGATGATCGCAAGGCCGCCAAGGAGGTAGTAGACAATCTTGTATGATGCCATGAGAGCTCCATTGTAGAACGAGATTCCCTGCCGGATCAGTAAGCCCAGCACTCTTAGTGGGGCATCGTATCACACACATAAGCTACGAAGCCTCCGAAGACCTGAGTGAAACCAAGCTATTGTGTCGCTTTTAGAAAGAAACCAAAATTTCAAAAGAGAGGAGCTGACCATTGTATAAAAATATGCAATGCGAATTCCCTGCGCGAATTCTATATACAGCAACACCACAGGCGAATTTACCACTCACTTGTTCATTTTTTCTATAAAACATGGATATAATCGATATTAGAATAGGAGACACACAGCTCTCGCACATCCCTATTTAAACTTTAGTGAATATCAACTACACAAATACCCACGTACCAAGAATAAAACGAAGCACGAAGAAGGCCTGGAAGGAGTTCGCTAACGCATGGCAGAGCAGCACCACGCCCCATATGATAATATTTATGCCTGATGTTGTTCTAGATTTTATTTAGACCTAATTTAAGTATCAGCTCACCGAGGTATTTTGCAAGCCTTAGCTTCTGGGCAATGTATACTGTGGGGAATTCCCAAACTATAAAACCTGTGGATATGATGTAATTAACGCGAGATCATTCGAAAGGCACCCTCGTATTTACCAAGATAGAATGCCATTGAAACTAGGTTGTAATTCTGGCCAGTTACGGGGAACCCCATGATGCTAAACATAATGTTGGGCATCCCATTGTGCGAGACATCCCGTCAGTTACTGACCTCGCATAATTGAGCGATGTCTTGTCCCTTTTAGGAAGGTCAAATCCAGATAGCCAAAAATGACGGCTTCCTCACAAAAACTGGGTGAAGTACACCGCAGCAGTTATTGGAATGATAACCTTGTCCTATTAATCTGTCAGCAAATTTGGTACTCCAATGACCACTGAATGGACATACCAGTTTGTTTCTGAGTCTTCGATTATATTCTTCGCTGAATTTCTGCGCTCGAGTTCCCACTAGTCGGAGCGCTTCATCTCCTTCAAAGAGTGGAGAGTCTGCAATATCTTCCCGAGATGTCTCTTTTTCTGAATCCATAACCTGATTGTGTTGCGTGGAAGATGTGACCTCGGGCTGTCGAATCAGATCTGGTAAAGAAGAGTTGGAAGAGGGACCGTGAATAAAGGTCACAATTGTCCAAATAACTCATCCCAGATATCCACAAAGCGCCACGGAACGATAAGCACCAGGAATATTATAAAGCCAAGAACAAAGTTACGCGTCAACTCAAGATAAGGCATATTTTAGGATGTCCAAGGAGTACAAGACGATGGCACCTGGTCGAAGTTCTCACCGTCAAAGGGAGTAATGACATTGCTACCGAGAAACATCGAATTTGGTTCGTAAAATCATAGAGGATTTCTGACTGGGGCCTGTAGGTTGCAAACCTTGCATGACATTGAATTCGACTGCAGACGAAAAAAGGGCAGTCACTCACCTTGAGGCTTGTGCCCGTGGAAATCGCAGCTAGCAAGACCGAGCAAGGCGATGTTAGGCCATGTTGCGAGTCCCTCGTTAATTTTGCATGCGAATAGCAAATGTTTCCCGTCGGGCTTGTCACCTGTCCTGTCGAGGACAGGGTTTTGGAGATCCAAAAACCACGAGGCATGTGAACCATCGAGTATATACACGCGGGGACTTAGATGGCGCAGCGGCATCCCTTCTTGCAAGTTCGCGCGGTGCTTCAAGCTTCAAGCCTTGGGATCCCCCTCCTAGAACCCTCCTGGCACCCTCCTGGCACCCTGAACGGTTGGCCGCTGGTTAAAATAGATGAAAAGCCATTGAAACCCGCATAAATTTTGATTGCAACGATATCAAGACACTCGAATTGGACAACATTTGTGTTAGCCCGTGTCCGTAAGTTATCATGCATATGATAAAGCATGTGACCTGTCACGAACACGAAATGTCACGAGACCGCGGAACTTAAACTCCGCGTAAGCAAATATGAGTAAGTATCGTGTCCCGGGCCATCATCGCGTTCAATGTGCTTGTTCGTTGAACCCGGGCGACGAAAGAAGATGGAACGATGGAAACCGTGTTCGTGAGTCCTTCGTATTGTTTCATGCTTTAGCAAAAATTAACCCAGCCCACCCGAGCCCTCGCTGATTATGCTCAATTTCAACACTTTGCCCCCACGGGTCTTGGTATGTCGAACTTCTGGCACCATTCACTCGGAACACTGCTTCTTCTTGGTCAACGCTATTCGAGTCTGATCTATTTGACCCATTAACGGGCGCCATCACGGCATCCATTAATAACATGCGTAGAGGCAAGTGCAGCATCACTGGCAGGACTCAAGGACTGCGCACGCGCAAGAAGAGGCGCGCCTTCGATCAAGATTCAACTATCTACGATAATCCATTTATTCTGCGCCATTGGCCAACATACGGATTTTTTTTATCACGCTGATTCCAAATCTTCAAAGCTGCAACAGGAGAATCGGACAAGATCCACTACACTATCAAATTCCACTCGCGCCCTTGGTATCAAGCGACTGCATCATTGTTTCTTTCGGTAACTTGGGGCTATTCGCCGTAGACCGTATGACGGGAGCATACAGCCCCTTAATAAGGTTGTTCCATTTGCCCGTTTCTCTCGAAACTTTCTATTGACACAGCTGGTTATATAGCCCTACACAGAAAAAAATACACAAGTTTTGCAATGTTCATGACAAAGTGGTGACTTTCGCATTGCAAGTGCCCATCAATGAGTCGGACATGAACGAGAATTCGACGATGTTACAATAATGATGCGTGACGTTGGTGTTGTCGTGATTCGGTGCTTCTGAAAGGGTGTGAGATGATCATACCCTGATGATCTTGATTCTCGGAGGAAGGCGGCAAATCAACGAGCCAAGGAACTCTTCGCGCGGATGCCTTCGCCAGCGAAATATATCCAGACCGGGAAGGGTATACCAATGATGATGGCAAGACCTGCAAGCAGGGAATTGCCTCCACCATAGCCGAGTGCCGCAAACATTTGTTGTCCAAACAGAGGGAACGCGAAACCAAGTATTGAACGCAACGTCTGGTGATGTATTCAGTAAAAGACAACCAAATTAGAGGTAAAAATGACTGACAGAAGCGGCTGCAATAGCGCTTGCAGCATAGGTAAATGTATCCACGAGATATAGTTGAATAGGGAGGCTTCATGTAAAGAGGTTAGACGTGAACGGCGCCAAGGACGGGGGCACACCCACAAAGTTGTCATTAATCCGAATCCAAAGATAGCAGTACCGATGATAGGCATCATGAAGTGGGTCGCGGCTTGGGCAGACCAGCCATACCAACTAACAAGTGTCAGACTGGGAGCAAGAATACAGGCGTCAATCTCACAATAGTCCCACTGGGACAAAGAACGAGCCGAATATCAGAGCAGGCACGCGCATCTCTGGTTTACCCTTTCCTCCATTTTTGGCAGCAAGCTAGACATAGAAACCAGCGCTTGAGATGACACTTTCAAGGTAGGAAGTCTTAACATACGTGTGAGTATATCTTGTCGGAAACTCTGGCGCCAAACAAGGTGGCAGCTAGGAATCCAAAGCCAATTCCAAGGTACGTTAGACCTCCAATTCCAACGCTAAAGTGGTACACCGTCGAAAAGAGTCCTGAGCAAAAGTTGTTAATAATGGACCCTGTGGAGCTGGGCAGGTATGATCTTACCGGGGAAAGTAGCAAACATCAAGTAATAGATACCTGCCACATGATCTCAGTCCATATCCAATATAACTTGATGTAGTACTAACCGTACATCCTGAATAGATGACTCGGATCAGTGAGCCGCGTGACATTTAATTAAACTTACAAAGCCATATAAAAGCTCAGGATGAAGCATACGAAACTACGAGTCAACAGAATGGCTGGTCTCTTGAGGTTGGTCCACAAGTAAGACCACTTGTCCACATAGGGTGCTGGGAGGGCAGGATGTCCCGCGGTTGTCTTTTCGGGATCCGGTGCCATATTATCAAGACGAAGCCTGATCACTGGTGCATAGGTTTCTCTCAAGAGAGGGAAGCCAAGGATTGCAGCAACACCAGAGATCGCGACGACGATATAGAAAACATACTGTATACCCACGGATTCCGCGATAAAACCACCCATAACGGGACCTATAGCAGGGCCTTTCCAAATGAGTGAACATCAGTCAACGTTGCACACTATTAAGACAGGGTAAAACTCACCTATCAAGGGTCCAATGCTGAATAGTGCCATAGCCGAGGCGCGCTCGTGTTCCGCGAAGAGGTCGCTCACGACGCCTCCGCCGCATGATATAGGTGCACTCCCCGCCAATCCAGCTTCAAATTTGCAAAAAGTGAACAAAAGTTGCGGCTCCAGATTTTCCAAGACGTACCGAGAAACCGGAAAACTATGAAAGATACAGTGTTGGGTGATAAAGCGCAGCCGAGATTAAATACGAGAAAGAATAGGTTTCCTAGATGGAGCACCTTGAACTCGTTCAGTCAAAAGGTCCCGCCGATTAAAATACGGATGGGTATCACGCACCCACACACGACCATAAACTTCCGACAATGGAGCCGCAAATAAAGGACCGATGGCAAACGATACAAGGAAGATACTCAGAGTCAACGCTGTGACCGTTGGATCTGTTATGCCAAATTTTATGGCCACGTCCGGCAGACCAGGTGCCATGATAGAACTTGCTAACGGCGTAACAAACGTGTACAACGAAACCTGACACGATACTGACATGAATCCTCATGAACGGAACTCGCTGATGGAAGAACTGACGAGTGTAATCGTTATCCATTTTTTTGATGGAGGCCAATTCCTGGGGTTCACAGGGTCGTGTTCCCAATCGTACTCTTTATCATGAGTCTTATCCTTGGTCTCGGCAGACCCGCCTTCGTCACCTGTAACCTGGGTGAAATGAAGATCGTTTGAATCATCTTGGTCTGGTACGTGAGCGGAAGAAAGGGTTCCTGGAGGAGTGCCCGACATGGACCAGCGTTGCACTGGAGGGCAGGGAAGGCAACCGAAGGTGGTGATAACACATGTCCGGGACAGACTCTTAAATAGCAGAATCCAACATGACTGAGCAGGTATTACTATTACGCTTTATTCCTAGAGGCCGCTGGTTTACGTTGCTGACAGGTAAGATCCCACCCGAGGACTCAGTGAGATGACTCCACTTACCAAGATTTTGGTGGTGTACATATCGCCTTTACGTTCACACGTGCGCGTGAGGCAAGGAGGAACTCAGCGGCTCTCATATTGGTGAAGAGCACACGGCTGCCAGTTTCAAGTGGCGGTTTCCTGTGAACCAAATGAGTTGATCAATGATTGCTGAGACTGAAGTACTCCTAGAAATTGTGCATGTCTGAGGCTATCCGACTCGGAGTGACATCAAACACGCACCATCATGATCAGCGCGTGATGCCATCTCAAGTCGAAGTTTGTTCCAAGGCCCAAGGGTCCTCTGTTCCTCCTATTTTGTCGACCTTGCTTCCTTTGCTGCCATCGGCCCGTCTCAAGACCAATCAGTTGTCGGCAAGCATGAAGCCCGAGGTTGCGATAGTCTAAATGGAAAATTCTTATGTAATGCAAGACCGAGTCTGCTAGGCCAGGGTGTTGCATATCATCATGCAGTAATCAAGTTGTTTGCAAAGATAAGCACACTGGACAGAAGTGCAGACTATCGCCATCGCCATCGATTGCATGAGTCGCGTGACATCATGATATTCGGGTTCAAATCACAGGACTCCATTCGACCTAGCTGTGACCGCACGCCCTTGAAAGAACACCGCAGGATCTCCGCGGAAGGTAGTAATGGTGTGGTGTCAAGGTTCTGTCAACCCAAGTCCCTAGATTTTAACTTAATGTTACCGCCGCTTGCCAAGACCATTACACACATTATGCATGAAGCTCACTGGAAGTCTCGCACTGGTCTTTCCATTTCATTTACGCCCTCGACTCCCAGTGACCTGCTCAAGGTCTGAAATAACCACATCATGGGAACCGGGATCATCGATATCGTTCCCAACCGTATCCTCATGACATTGCGTCAGCGTTCCAGACAAATTGGATCTTCGGGCTCCGTTAGCATATATATAGCTAATGGGGAAAACGGAAATGAACATGCAGATAGTTACATGCGGTCCGGGTCTGAAATGATGAGCTGCGGCAGCCTACGGCTTCACGCTCACTATAACAGCCTCAAGTAGCCCCCTGTATCGTCCTGCTTGGTCTTCTATTAAATCCCCGTGCCTGACACTTTCTCCAGAAAGTTCTTCCACAGACCGGTAGTCCGGAGGCCGTGGATGCTGGGGACTCCCCCCGGAAGAGGACAATCATCGGGAGGTGCGCGCATTAGCACCTACATCGTCTGAGCTCTGTTGCTCTACACCGGTCATCACTTTGATCGCACCCCTTGAAGATCTTGGGTAGATCAAGAACATTGATAACATCAAATTGTCGCGCAAAAATTTCGCAGATTTTTGCAATTATGAGCGTTACACAGATATCAGGATGTTCAGAGCGGTCATTTCCGGAACACTCCGGTTATATACTTGAATCCCGCCACATTACTCATGTAAGCTCCATTTTTCTTCTCCGCTAGTACTGGTACGCGGACGCACACCCGGCCGCAGATCTACCAATAGAAGGAACTTCTGTGGGTAAAGTTCTGCTCTTGGAAATTGCAGTCGGTTATTGACGAGTTGTCAATCAGTATTGTGCAAGTACGGCTGCGAGATTGAACCAAATTTTGTGGGTAAATCCCGTTCTTGGTTGGTGTTACAAGTCCCTCTTCAACTAAAATTGTAGATAAAACAAATAAGAAGTTATGAAGACAAAAGCAAAATGGCTAGGGCACTGTGTAACTACTACATAGCATGTCCGTACTCGTGTGAGCCGTGTGTAGCATACCCCTGATAGTGGTAACCATCCCCATTTGCTGCGTAGTCGTGATTATGTGCGTGCGTATACTGCTGGCTAGGATAGTCCTGCACATCGTAAGCCAGCCCACTCGCACCATTATATGCCGAACGTGCTCCTGCAGCTGCCCTCCCTTGGTACACATCATGTGCGTCTGCAACATATTGCCCTGGCACCCCCGAGCTTCCATATGGATCATATGGTCCTGGATCATTATTTTGATAAGCCAGAGTAGCACCTTCCTGAAGATGAGCTGTGCTGGCGTGATCATCATCGTAGGTATGGTGCTGTGGCTCGAAGCTGCCCAAAGACGGATTATATTGGTTGAACGTGCCTGCAGCCTGGTGTGAATACCCAGTGTTGTAAGCCGGCATTGGAGGATATTCAGTATAGTCGGCACCAGCGGGATTTGTGTGATAACTCGGCGCTATGCTCTTCTGGTCAAAGTAGTAATCCTGGTTGTAGGCACCACCTGGCCCGCGCTTGGAGATAGATGTAGCATCGTCGTCATCGTCATCTACTGAGAGGTTGGGAAGAGTCGGCTGTGGCAAAGGTTTGCCAACCATCTCGCCCTTCTTGTTTTTCAAGTGGGAGAAGTCGCCCATAGCCTCCTTCTTCGCTAGCGCAGCAGCCCTTGCAAGCCGCTCCTTATTTCTACGCTTGATGACCTCTGCGATTCGCTATCATTTATATGAGTCATGGGCAACCAAAACTCCCAGTGATGAATGTTACCTTGTCAACCTTGTGGCATACATACTCCTACACGACCCATCAGCAAATGCACTTGAAAAGATAATTAGATGGAAAGTTATCTAACCTTGAGGTTTCCTTGAATGTAGCACAACAGAGGAATATAGAATATGCCAGCGAAAATCAATAGTAAAAGCGAGCCAGCGAAGATGACGAAGGTGAAGAACGTGGAGACAGTGAGGGCAGAGGTTGACAGACTGTTTCCTGCGAAGTACTTGCTGACGTCGTACCAAGATCCCTTGTTGTTCTTCGCCAGATAAATACTATAGAGTGTCAAAGCGTTGATCGTTTGTCTTGGCCCATCAGATAGTAGCAGACGCTTCCAACCTATTATCGGTTGAGAAATATTGTTTCAAAAAAAGAGCAGAGACTCACTCTTGAACGTGAAGAAGATGAAGAATGCAAAGTCGTCTTTCTTCTTTGTCGAATTGCTGATATGGTCGAAGAAGCAGAAGTGATCATACGAGCCTTTTGCAGTGCATAAGCTTTAGATGATGCCATAATCGAAGGGATTACATACGAAGGGAGTAATAATGGTTAGCCATCACGTTCGTGAAAGCGTACGAGATATCACGACTGGCGATGATCTTCTTCGATTTCCGGGCTTCGTACGCCAGCTGCGGATGATCAGAAACTCGTTCCCTCGCCTAGAATTGCAGCATACCAGGAGGAAGCCAAAAATAATACATCCTACGAACAGCCACTTCCCGACATTAAAGGGGATATAGAAGCAACCATCTTGATGCTGACAGTCGTCAAAGATTTGATTGGACCATGTTGAAGTTGTTAACATGGTCGTAGCGGTGAAGATATCGGAAAGATAGACAAGAAATGATTTGAGGATAATGATATAAAGCCATAGATATCTTTGAAGGTGCTCAATTAGCATTCCGATCTTGAAACATTTGGACCCGCCATCACACTGTGCCACGCAAGCGCAGCGTCCACAGCCTCTGCGCGTTTCACAGGTTCACACGAATCACTCACTTTAGGCGCATGAGGAACCCATTATCGGTAAACTCTCGGGTGTCGATGAAGTCGAACTAAGGCAGCTTATTGGCATGCGAGAAACCCCAAGATAGAAGGGCGGCTCACCTTATGATCTGGAACGATTTCTCGTTTCCATGCTGGTCCAGCGCTCATTATGTTGTGAAATAAAGCGGAACGGTGAGCAAGTCAGACAATAAGAAGGACGAGGTGTGATTCGGTGGATATTGTGAATGAACGTATAGCGAGCCAGCCGCATATAAAACCTGGCCAGGTTCTGAGACAACGAGAGGCGTTAAAAGAAGGTCAATGCGACAAAATTGAAACCAAAGAGTGTTCTGCTGGTAGACTGTAAGAACGAACAGTACTAGTAGTGCAGAAGCTGAGGATGGAGGATGGGATGATATAGAGGATATAGAGACGAGCGTGAAAGTGGAAAACAACGGTTGCTCTGGTTGTGCCAAAAGCTATGTGACTTCCTATTTCAATTGTGTCTTTTTTTGTCCGTTACACGGTAACGGTAAACCATTATTGAACTCTAACCACCAGGAAGGTACAACAATGACTACAGTACAAAAGATCAAAGTACGCATCAGTATCTATCCTTGCTGCTTCTAATTAAACGGGGCGCGTCTACCATCCAGGAAATCGAAGATGAAATGGCAAGTATCGTCTTTTGAGATATCATGAGCCTCACTAACTTTCCTAACAGGCCAAAAGTGTGTTTCATTGTCTTCATGAAGTAGGCTCATCGGACGACCAACTTCGTTCTCGTAGCTCAGAAGAATAAGGCCACGAGCTACCATCTGGGTCAACTCAAGGCCAAGCTCGCAAAACTACGGCGCGAGCTTATATCGCCCTCTGGAGGAGGCGGAGGCGGGCCTGGTATTGGTTTTGATGTCGCTAGGACTGGTGTAGCGTCTGTCGGTTTCGTTGGATTTCCGTCAGTGGGAAAGGCGAGTCTTATTTGTTTTATTCTCACCTGACAGCTATCATCAACGATCATCTAGTCAACTCTCATGTCGAAGCTCACGGGCACGCACTCTGAAGTTTCGGAAATTGATTTCACAACCCTAACGACCGTCCCTGGTACTCTGAAAGTCCACGGTGCACCTATACAAATCCTTGATTTGCGTGCGTACGTATCTTGCCTTTGGTAATCACACCCTTATTCTCGTCTCAGCTGGAATTATCGAGGGAGCAAATGATGGTAGAGGTAGAGGTCGACAAGGTAAGTACAGCTTTTCTGCACTTGCAGCAAATCCGCTGACTTTACTGTGCAGTCATTGCCGGTATGACCTCCAAGTTTAACACATGCGAAACCCGAGGTTGAGAGCAATGCACACCATAGTGGCTCGCACATGCAATCTCATTTTCATTGTTTTGGATGTCCTCAAGCCGCTGGGGGACAAAAAAATCATCGAGGGCGAATTGGAGGGCTTTGGTATTCGCTTGAATAAAAAGCCCCCAGCCATTCTAGTTCGCAAGAAGGACAAGGGCGGCATCGCGATTACCAACACAGTCCCGCTGACGAATATCGATCAAGAGGAGATCAAGGCAATTCTCAGCGAATACAAGCTCAGCAATGTGGACGTTACCATTCGGGAACCTAACATGACGGCGGACGACCTGGTGGATGTCATTGAAGGGAACAGGTGTGTAATATATAAGAAGCATCACATACTTGGATGTTTATACCTCGCAGAGTCTATATCCCTGCACTTTATGTGCGCTTTTACTGACATGTCATTTCACCTTGCGCTAATACGTTGCGTTTCAAATTTCAGGTCTTGAACAAGGTTATTTATCACTTGATTGAAATTATGTGGTCACTCACGTTGGTTGTGTATGTAGATCGATGCCATCTCGATAGAGGAATTAGATCTTCTGTCCGTTGCTTTTCGTCGTCTTTGGAAGAGTACTACTTATGAGCGTTCAGGTACAAAATTCCTCACAGCGTTCCAATTTCATCGAGAGAATGGCTTAATATCGATGAACTCTCGGAGAAAATGTGGGACGCTCTTGAGCTTGTCCGCGTTTATACCAAACCTCGTGGACAATCACCCGACTACTCCGCTCCAGTCGTCCTCCGTAGAGGGAGATGCAGTGTGGAGGATTTTTGTAACGCTATCCATAAGGAAATTGCCAAGCAAATGAAGTAGTGAGTGTTAACCTTGAAATGTGCTGCTCATCTGCGGAGCTGATTGCATGTCAGTGCTGTTGTATGGGGTGCTAGTGCTAAGCATTCGCGAGGTCAAAAGGTCGGCCTGGACCACATCTTAGAGGATGAGGACGGTAAGATATTTATTCCTTCCACATGTGCAGGTTAATCTCAAGCGGTCTCCCAGTCGTTCATATCGCAAAAAAGTAACCGACATGATGGATGTACGACTCGCCCCGCGCAACCCATTGTATCTACTAGTACTGCTGTGTAATGTATAGGGTACTGAGCCGTATGAATGCCCATATCAGTCCCACCGCGCAGTAAACACTTGTCGCCATCAGAGGCAAAAATTCAGTATCTGGGTTCCCGCCAGTCACGTAAGGGAATAGGGTGACGAAAACCTGGAGTAGTGCAAACCCATATAGGTATGCATTCTCGAAGCTCTCCAACAGTACCCACGGCAATGATGAAGGAAACCTGTTTGAAGTTTGAGTAGTGAGAAACACCTCCGTATCAGTGCTCACTCGTAAAGCTGCTTGTGAAGGGGGTATAAAATCATTGCTCCCCATATGAGGGAATAGATAATTTTCAGCAGTGTCTCTTTAGCTTCGTTAATAATGTCTCAAGACAAGTTGGCATCACGGAAACACACCTGCTGGCGTAAAGATCAAAGGGAAGAGCGAGAAGATGCCCGCAACACTTGCGATGACGAAGGTCTTGTAATACGCATAGTTCTCCGAGGCCAGAAGCCTACAACACTAAACACCAGGTTGAAAAGAGTAATCAAAACCACGCACGTGAGAGGCACTAATACGAGCAGAACGGCCTTTTCATGCACATGCCACCCGAACATGTATGAGGCGTAGCCACAGAGCGTTAATGCAGCCACAAACGACTTGTAAGTCGGCGCTCTCCATAGCTTAATGAGATAAAGCTGAGCTGCAATATCAGAGAAACGCCCGCTAATTTTGCAAACTTTTCGCACCATCTGAAAGATTATTGTGATGATGAACGTGTGGACAGGCTTGATATTTGGAATCACCGCGAAAACCGTATCGCCTACAAGGCCGCGGGACGTCGATGCAACGCCAGATTCGTTTACTACGAGCCCGACATCCACATGTTTTACCACTGATAGGCTAGCGTGAGCTCGATGGTGAAAGGATAATTAATCACGAACACTGCAAAAGGACACGATCGGCAGCAGTGACCAAGGCCCACGCGTTTGGTGCCCAGTAAGCATGATTCAGCCCACGTGTAAAAGGAAACAAGCGAGAAAGGAGTTGCGGGAGTTGGCCCATTAAGACGAATGGTCCAAGAGAGGCTAGGAATACAAGCAGGACGGAGTTCGCTAGTGAAATAAAGCGAGTAGGTATGATCGCCCCTGCGGGAGACATGCAGTAAGACCGCAAAAGGTAAACGAAGTATGCAGGCTGTGAAGATCTGGTGAGTCAAGGACCATGAGTAGCGACGCACTCATACCGCCAGATACATGTAAATGTGTTTGAAGTTCAAAAGAACGGCAAAAAGTATGCCGCTTACAAGATTTCTGCCCTAGAATTGTGATAAGACATTTGTCTCAGATGCGAATAACTATCTTACTTCGCGAGCCATTAAGATTGACCATAGCAATATTCCAAACATGAACCCATTGTACTGGAAATGTATGTGGTCGATTATAAGGAACCCCGGGTGAAGAAACAAGGACGCCGAGAGAATACGCTGACGAGAGGGATCAACAGAACCACGGATAAACCTCATTCAAGAATTAGCGCCTCACCGGCAAGAATAAAGAGATATTCACCTCAGAAGTGCCGCACCAAGGACAAGCTCAGAAATAATAACAGTCAGACGTTGGTAAACAATGACCGTCCATGCATCATATTGAAGATTTTGGAGGTCAACTATCTTGGGATCAATGAATGAAGCTGGTATGGACATCAACTTCTCGAAATATGCAAAGAATGGAGGGTAATCCAGGGCTAGTCGACGAGATAAGACGGTGAGATGAACAAACTTTCAAGGGGCTCACTCCACTCAGAAGTTGTCTTCAACGCAGTTCAATAAGCCTAGCAATGTGATCTAGAGAGCTTCGAGACGCACGTCGTAATACCATCGAGAAATAGGAAGCGAATGTGTTATGGCCAGCCAGTTTCGGTGGACCTCAAAATCCGTAGAGCGACTTTACAAATGAGTAAACGTGCGGAGACATATTAAAGGAGGGCGTACTATGCTGGGAACAGGAGAAACTTGAACGCAGTGGAGAGAAGTAAAATATCGATTTCGGATTGTGATACGTCACCCAGAAAGTTCAGCCACTTCGGAATCCAGGCTGAGGTAGGTTTCAGTGCATGCGGCCCCTGTGAGTCGTCGTGGTTGTCAGCAGGCGAACTCTGAGACTGTTTGACAGCGCTCATCGAAGTGTACAACCAAGTCCGACTTCAAGTTAATAGCCGTTACTTTGTGCAGCGTATTATGTCATCTTTATCGAACAGTAATAGTATGCCGACTCTCAAACGGAATTGCAATGCGGTATCGGATTATCGTGCTCATACTGTGGACGAGGTCACTGAAATGGAGCAGCTCCTGTATGAGAGCATTTTATCAAACGAACATGGTTTTCAACATTGTAGGCGATAAGCAATTCCTATTGCAAACAAAGCTACTGGTAACACTAAACATTACAGGTCAATAATGATAAAACATATCTAGAACAAATGCAGAGGTTGGTGCGATGAACATAATGGCGTGTGGTATAGTGCATGGGTTGAAGCGTAAAATATATGCAGACAAAAGAACGCAATGACATATCTAGAAGTCCTCTTCCAAGGAGCTGGATGGAATAGTCAGACAAAGCCGTATACCAGAGAGATAGGTAAACTCACAAAAGTTTGCTTGACACCTGGTCGGTCTTTGCATTTGTGTGGTTGACGTTTGCTTTTGAGTAGTCTGACACGCGCTTTTCAAAGAAGTTGGTCTTCCCCTGTAGCGAGATCATATCCATGAAGTCGAAGGGGTTGGTGGCATTGTACACCTTGTCGTTGCCCAATGATACCAGCAAGCGGTCTGCAACAAACTCGATGTACTGGCACATGAGCTTGGCATTCATCCCAATAAGACCGACAGGGAGAGCATCTGGAAAGACAGTCAGCGAGAGAAGGACGGTATGATGGTAAAGACAGACCGGTCAAGAACTCCTGCTCGATGACGACAGCCTGAGTAATGATGCACTTGACAGTGTCAGGGTGCGGGCGACGCTTGAGGTGGCTAAAGAGCAAGCACGCAAAGTCGGTGTGCATACCCTCATCACGGCTAATGAGCTCGTTGGAAAACGTAAGACCAGGCATAAGACCGCGTTTCTTGAGCCAGAAGATGGACGCGAAGGAACCCGAGAAGAAGATGCCTTCGACGGCAGCGAATGCGACCAAGCGTTCACCAAAAGTAGAACGTTGATCAGAGATCCACTTCAGTGCCCAGTCAGCCTTGCGCTTGACGCAGGGAATAGTCTCCATGGCGTCAAAGAGGTATTCGCGCTGGGCAGTATCTTTGATGTAAGTGTCGATGAGGAGTGAGTAGGTCTCGGAGTGAATGTTCTCCATCATGATTTGGAAGCCGTAGAAGCACCGGGCCTCAGCAGCCTGGACCTCGTTGGAGAAACGCTCAATGAGGTTTTCATTCACAATGCCGTCGGACGCAGCGAAGAAGGCAAGGACATGCGAGACGAAGTGACGCTCGTTGTCATTGAGACGGTTGGTCCAGTCGTGGACGTCTTTCGAGAGATCCATCTCCTCAGCAGTCCAGAATGATGCCTCGGCTTTCTTGTACATTTGCCATATCTAGTGGATTGTTAGAATGAAGAAACTAACTGGATGCCAGGCTATAACAAACCTCGTGGTATTGAATAGGGAAGAGGACGAAACGGCGTTTGGATTCTTTGAGCAAAGGCTCTTCGCCTGAAATGGAAAGTTAAGTTGAGGTTTATTTCACGTCACGAAACCATGCCACTGACATTCAGGGAGATCAATTTCACCGACGAACTTCTTGCGAAGCTCTTCAAGCTCATCCTCGTCTTCATTTTCAAGGGCCTCGGCATTCTCCGAGTCCGGGGAGACTGAACGCTTGCGGTCATCGATAAAAACAGGAAGGGTGTCCTTGTCTAATGGCTTAGTTGGCGAGTTTAGTGTGATAGATGCAAGGGCTGCAGCAGCCTAATGATTCAAGACGCGTTAACTAGAGCAACACGGTTAAGTTGAACATGCGCGAACCTTCTTGCTTGGAGTTGGAGCAGGAGAAGGTACACGAACTGGAGCAAGAGTGGAAGCCATTGAAAGCAGACGAAGATAATATCTAGATGAAGGAGAAGATATCGCAAGAAGATGAAGGTCTGGGTTGAGAAATTGAACAAGCAACCGAAGTTGAATTTAAGCGTCAGAACTGTGGTTGTGCGTATTTGTTCCACTCAACGACAACATTACGCGACGCGTTGTTGGTTGTTGTGGACGTGGATGCGCGCGCGGCCTTTCATCATTTCCATTATTAGTACACCCAATCAGCAAAACCCACTTCTCACGTCTTCACGTTGGCCGTCTCCGTGGCCAGTCACACACGAATTCCAGTGCGTGCCACCGCATGGAAGACACAGATTCAATGGAGGACTGCTCACCACATGTGAACATTTGAAAGCGCGGAATCCGGACAATCGGCGAGGGTGACCAAAAAAAATCAGTCACGCACATCACATGATCTCGGGACGCATCCGAGTCAAAGGATTCACTGAATGATTAATGATTCAGATCGTTCAAAGGTACAAGCATCATCTTTATGTCTGACACTCAACCACTCGCAAACATATCTTCTTTCTTTGTCTCGTCTGTCCAGGACCAGGACCTTCCATTAGAGGTTTGTTGCACTTGTTGCGGACACAGGCAAGCCTTAGCTGAGGACTCATCTTATGATAGGAGAATTTACGGCATAAACTTTCCCTCGAAGACCAAATTTTCGGTTGCAATGGTGTGAAGAGCTCGGGTACTTCAACCGAGGACGAAGTCCATGACTCGGAAGAGGGTGCGCTTCTTTAGCCTTTCATATTCACTAGTCTTACCCGAGCATACATAGAATGTGAACCGCTCCTCATGCCCTCTCACCGGCGCTTCGTCCTTTTCCCCATACAGTATCATGAAGTTAGCCCCTTTTCTCTTTGTAATGGACTTGACCCGAACCATGCACAGATTTGGAACATGTACAAGAAAGCGGAGGCATCTTTTTGGACTGCCGAAGAAATGGATCTCTCAACAGACGTTTTGCACTGGAATACCCGACTGACTGCGAATGAATGTCACTTCATCTCACACATTTTAGCTTTCTTTGCTGCCTCGGATGGCATAGTCAACGAGAATCTCGTTGAGCGTTTTTCGAACGAAGTCCAGGTCCCAGAAGCTCGATGCTTTTATGGTTTCCAAATCATGATCGAAAATGTCCATGCCGAGACCTATTCGCTCCTTATTGACACGCTCATCAAGGACGTCAATGAGCGCGAATATCTTTTTGATGCAATAGAGACCATACCGGCTGTCAAGCGAAAGGCAGACTGGGCATTACGATGGATATCTGACAAGCAGGCGACATTTGCTACTCGGCTAGTTGCCTTTGCTGCTGTTGAGGGTATCTTCTTTTCCGGCTCGTTTGCATCAATATTCTGGCTCAAGAAGCGTGGACTAATGCCGGGGCTCACTTTCTCCAATGAGCTCATCAGTCGTGACGAGGGGATGCATACCGACTTCGCTTGTCTTTTGTTTACCCATCTCAAGCGAAGACCACATCCAGATGTCATACAACAAATCATCACAGAAAGTGTCCATATTGAACAAGCGTTTTTATCAGGCACGTGTCCAGTCATTTATCTTGGGCTCGTATTGATTGTGCACCACAGATGCTCTTCCAGTCAGCCTCATTGGCATGAATGCAACCCTGATGTGTCAGTACATTGAGTTTGTCGCCGACCGTCTTCTGGTATCGTTGGGGAACAACAAGTTCTACAACTCCACCAATCCATTTGATTTTATGGACATGATTTCCATGCAGGGAAAGACAAATTTCTTTGAGAAGCGTGTGTCTGAGTATGCGAAGGCACATGTCAGACATTCAGACAGTCCGGCGTCTTCAAGGGTGTTGTAAGTTTCCTCCTTATGTTAATCTAGAACTCGTGGCTCATTTAACACTTTAGTTCTGTTGACGAGGATTTCTGAGCTTCGATGCTCTTTTGTCGTCGCTCGTACCAATTCATAATAATATAGACTGCAACTCAATCACGTATGTACCTAATATCTTATTTTATAGCCACCATATGCCTGTCTGTGCTTGTAACCCTCTACTTAGTATTTAGCATGCCACCTAGCTCACACTTCATATACATTTATTTCGGAATTCCTTCGTCTAAGATGGTCTGCCTGGCGTTGCAACTTACTGCATCGCAGTTTCTAAGAACTTTTCCTGTGACAGACTGACAGTGTCTCAGGACTTATTTGACAAATCACGTGGTGAATTTTAATCACCTGACTCAGTACTAGTAGTAGTCGTGGACTCCGGCACTGGAGGGAACGTGTAGACTTGCTCTGAGCCCTTCTGTCAGACACCAGTTGGACGTATGGCCTTTCCTATCCCTGATCACCTCCCGCGGCAGCTTGATGTTTCATCAACTGTTCTTTCCAAGTTTGATTCTGCAACATTACAGTCCCTGAATTCGTCTTTTGCATCCTCATGTAGGGCTGATCTTGACGAGTCCATTCGATTAACCAAGGTATTCTAATTGATATACGTTTTCTGTTTAGTAATGATTTGGAGTAGACAAAACTTCATGACAGAATACGTGCAGACTCTTCTAACTTCCAAAGGCAGCTGTTTTCGGCGAAGTCTCTCAAAGAACAACTGGATACACTTTCTGGACATGTCCAAGCCCAAAGCGTTGTGCTTTCGGACTCTAAGGCGTGTGTTTGCTCTGCTGTGCGTTACAGGACGTTTCATTAACAACTCGCTAGTCTGGTCTAGTCCCGGTCTTGCTTGAGGCTTTGGAAGGTCACCAATTACTTGCCCAAGAGTCCTTGAATGCAGATGTCTCGAGTGATTCTCTTTCATACCTTTCGGAATGTAGAGCACAGCTGGATGCGCTACAGAAGCTTGTTGACGCAGGGGATCTACCTCCGGATTCAATCGCGTGTCATGCTTTGAATTCCTTGCTTATTTCCGTCCCCGGGCCACTGAAAGACGCAACGGTAGTGTCTGAAATGCAAGTAAGAGAGTAACATCCTTTCATTCTATCTTAACTCGCTTGCTTGTAGAGTCGGCTGCGCGTGCTTGCCAATCGTGTGGAGGAGCTGCTTAGCGATGCTTACACCGGGAGTGTTGTGGTGAACGCGTCTGAAGTTATCATCAAACCATTGGTGCTTGGTGAGTGAAGGAGCATCATCGTGGGGGGTATCTCAAGTAGTTTTCCAGTGCCTCGGTTACTGAAGCCCTTACCCCTTTCGTCTGTCCTCTCATCAATCAGCTCCGCATCGCTGGCATCACACCTTTCCACCCTAAGGAGGGATATTTTAACGCATTACATCGAATGTTCTTTTGACCAGCCAACGTCACTTACGGTCAGCACCATGAAAGACACGTCTGGAGCCTTGATGCATGTCCTCAGCCGATTCCCTGCGTCCCCGAATACCACTGACACAGGTTCTCCGCTTGTCAACGTATCCACGGCCCTCGACTTCTTACACGAACAATTATTTCCTATCCTCCCATTGACACACAAACACAGTTTCCCACGGAGTCTTAGCAAACCCATATCTGCTGCAGTCCTGGCGCGTTTGCTTATTCCTGGTTTGCCCTCACAGCTCGAAGCTCTTCCTGCTTTCTTGAAAATTGCAAACAAGGCAGTGGACTTAGAAGACAAGTACATCGTCGGGATACTCGATACATCCAGCGAGTGCGAAATCAAAGTTTGGGTCAACAATGTCTGCGCTCATTATGAACGACATCGGCGGTCGCACATTCTCGATTCTGCACGCAAACTTATCATTCAAAGTACATCTTCTGAGCCAACATTCCACGCCCAGCTATCCCTCTCCCAAGAAACTCCTGACATAGCTGAACTTGCGCCCGCAAATGAGGCCGATGCATGGGGACTCGGTGACGATGGCCAGAGTCTCGAGGCAGGCTCCTCGGAGTCCCTTGCGGAGCCAGAAGAGGATAATGTCTGGGGTTTTGATGACGATCTGGAGGAGGAAATTGAGACTCAGCAAGCAGATCCTGCAGAAGCCGTAGAGGAAGACCCAGGAGATGCATGGGGCTGGAATGACGAAGAGCCCGCACCCGAAGAACTAGTGCAAGCGGAAGACGCATGGGACGACCCATGGGGTGAAGAACCTACCCTCTCGGAGGTGACTCCTGATGTGCGGATAGTACCTGGATCATCACAACACCCGCCTGCGAACTCTGCGCTTGCGACGCAAAAGGTCTCTACCAGAAAGCAACCATCCGTCAATGATGGTCGCCCCACGAACGGCACCTCTCGCCATCCTTTTAAGTCAAGGCCTATAACTGAGCCTTATTTGGTATCTAATCTTGCGAAGTCAATCATTCGTACGGTCGAGGACGCGTTGCACGAAGGAAAAGGACTGTCATCGTCGGGTATCTTTCCCTCCTCACCAACATCCACAATAACACCTGGGACGCTCATCATGCAGTCAGGAGCACTTGTATTAGATTTGTATCGTGCAGTGTATCCTGTCGTCGCTGCAGCACGACTCGTTCGCCCTGGTGATGTCATGCAGTTCTCCAACAACTGCTTTTGGCTTGCAGAGGAGGTTGGTCGCTTGGTTACATACGAGCGAGGAGTGCTTGTTGTGAAGAATAAATTAGAGGAATGTAAGAGTGTTTTGCAGGTGTTAGCCGACAGTTGGTATCAAGATGGCATTGTGAGTTCTTGACTCTTTACTGTCGCTTGTCTTGAAGTACTCGCTCATCTATTGGAACAGGGCAGACAACGCACAGTACTATGTGACATTCTAGCGAGTGCGAAGGGCTTCACAGATACGTCAGACCAGGATCGATATGATGACTGCGAGCTGGCTATTTCCCGCGTCGTTCGCGAGATCCGAAGCGCTGCGAATGCATGGAAGGTGTGATTGAGGCGCATCCTGTGATGTTGAACGCGACTAATCATGTTTACCATAGCCTATTCTCCCCAAGAGCAAGTATTACACCGCCGTGGGAGCAATAGTCGAGATTTCATTACAGCGCATTCTGGAGAATATACTTGCAATTCCAGATATCCCTGAGGTGGAGTCGCACAAACTGAGCGAGTTATGCAGAATATTGGCTGCTCTTGAAGGGCTCTTCGTTGAAGATTCCAGCGAGGTATGTTTGCCGTGCTTTTGCAAGATAGTTAACTCACCAATGCCCAGTCAACTTTCGTGGTGTCATACGTTCCATCATGGTTGAAATTCTCACATCTGTCTGAACTCCTGGTATGTCTCTTTGTAGTCATGTTATTCGATGAATTTCTCATTGCGCTCCTGTTCCAGGAAGCGTCCATGGCTGATCTCACATATCTTTTCGAAGACGGAGCTTTGGTAGACTTTGAGGTGGACAAGTTGGTTAAATTTGTGCGTGCCTTGTTCGCAGACACACCACTGAGGACAAAGACTCTGGACAAAATTACGGGTGGACATCCAGTCCGGTGATGTATGTGACTGAAAACCATGCACTTATACTAAAACGTTGCACTGGAACGAATGTGGATGCCATTAGATAGTTTCCTGGGGTGTACATGCGGACAAAAGAGACGACATGATGGACAGCGATGCATATACATACATCTTCCGCTGGTTGCCGGGCCAGTAAGGCCAATCTGACAGATTATTTCAATTCACAACTGGATGGGGAAAATAAAGCTGTCCCTTCTATCCATGGACTTAATGGGCGACTATGTATCCGATGTCTATTGGCACGTCTGTGCTTGTATCGTGTGACTGATTGACGATCCTGACTCATGAATTACAATGAAATCTGCATAATATCCAACGTTGCTTGCCGAACCCAACAACGGGTTTCTCGCGATTGTGATATATTGATATTCCGTTTCCGTTTGCCCTGGGCAGTGGGATCCGATGTACGAGAAACTAGGTGTCCACTGAAGTTTTGGAATATTCGTATTATTTAATAAATCTGTTCGGAGAGTAAGGAAGTGTACGGTTTGAACTTTGCGGAGCATGCCGAGTTACAACCGCCATGCTGCGCTCATCTTAGGACTCTTCCATCATGGTCAGACCTTGAAGTCAGTCGATCCACCAGGCTCACTAGCTATAGTTGAGCTGCTAGTACTCACTCACCTGAGACATCTAGGCTAGTAGTAGACTGCCGCGGCCCGCCTAGGCATCGTTTCACTATTCAGTTGAAATGCGGATGAGTCTCAGGTGAGTGAGTAATTACGATTCTGACTAGGGGGCGACTCAATTCAATTCTAATCATGACGTCCCTCAGCTCACACATGTCTCACTGTAATGTCATGCATACAGTTTAATTGGTCTCGTCATTCAAGAGGTATACAATCTCACTCTGACTTTCTCATCGCTCTCATAACTTGAACTACAACTCCATCTTGCATACTCATACAACTTCTCTTCATCCATGGCTTTTGAAATCCAGCAATTCCTCACTTCTGGCAGGCTCCAGAAGTCCGACTTCACTCTCTCGCATTCCGCCTGCGAATCCAGCGTCTCTGATGCGGTCATGTCTTCCTTCTCCATCGTCCCCCAGGACATTTCACCCCACACCTCTCGCTTTTCTGCATACTCCAACGACTCATCTCCTCATAAATTCAAGCGCAGGCGCTCCAGACGCTCTTCCAAGGCGGAGGCGGCTGTGAACCTGCTTGAAGATGCCAACAAATGTAACCCTTTGGCTCTCGAAACTCTTGCTAGCCTTTCCTCGAACTGGCTCAACCTGTCCTTCGCGGACCGCACTCCTACCTACACGGACTATTTTGTCAATTACTGGCGGGACGCAGTAGAAAAACAGCAAGACCTTTCGGTGGATCATTTTACTGCTGTCATGGCAGCTGTCCACGAGGATTTACAAGCTGGATCAGCCGTCTGCTCGACCCAGCCCACGCCCGTACAAGCCAACGAGGAGCCCTCCGGATACGTGCGATACGAAGATGATCCCTTTACACTCAGCTGTCCGTGGGACGATGATGGGCAGACTCACCTAGACGACTGGGTCAAATGGGACGAATGGCGGCGGGAAGATGACGAAGTTTTTTTCCCAACCCGCGACCAGCACAACTACGGAGCTATTGGCCAGAAATCTATATATCCGCAGCGCAACATGGGCACTCTTTTTGAGATCGTGGCACCAAAGCCGGTCCGCGCATGGAACAACATAAGCTGGCTGGCTCATCCACCTGTCGCCCCTGAACAAGTCCACTGGGAGGTGTTTATCGAACCCGAATCACCCGTCGTGCATGACGTCCCTCTGTACTATCTTCCAAATTTCTCCGTTGCAGCCATCTATGCGACTTCACGCGCGGAGTCGACCACCGTCAATGACACTGCCAGTGTATCTCCCTCGTCCTACTTATCTGCTCTTGCCGTCTCTATTCCTCCTCTGCGTGTCAATGATCCTCATTCTACCGTTCACGGAACAAAGGCAATTCGCCCCAGAAGACAAGGGTCGAGAGAATATAAGCTGTTCCAGTTTTTACGCGTACGTCCTTTCTCTTATCTCGCGCCAGCGGTCGAGATGCTGATTTGTGTTGTGCAGATGTCTTATGATCAAAAAGTTGCTGAGATTGAGAGATTGATTAGATGGATGAGATCTCATTCCCAGTGAAAACCGACAAGAATGAGGTAGATATACGTAGATAGATATCTAAAAAGTTAAGGCCCATGAAATCTATCGATGTGTTTCGATGTGTTTAGACAAATGAGACTCTGGTCACGTGTTTTGACTTCCAGCACAAGGCATAATGTTTTAGGGGAGGTCACGTGATCCATGATTTTCATGGCTTGGTTTTCCTTCATATGTAGCCTGTAAGCCCTTGATTGTCGACGTGAAGATGGTGATACATCCAATCCCCCTTCTCCAGCTTTCGCAGTTAACAACGATTATAGATCCGGCGACAAACGCGCGAGCGACGACAATATATCTACGCCAAATCCCTCGAGGCTCAAGAACGTCAAACGTATGAGCGCAAACGGCAGCTCAAGGATGCACTTGCATCGGGGAAACAACTACCAACCGAGCTCAAGAACGACGCAAAGACACTAGGAAAGGGCTTGGCTTTTGACGAGGCACAAGAAGGTGCGTTGCAATCATCTACGGTGCCACACTGGTGTATTTACCGGGTCTTTTGATCAGAGCCGTCAACGCACATAGACAGTGAATACTCGCGGGCTGGTATTCAAGACCCCAAAATTATTGTAACAACATCAAGAGACCCCAGTTCCAAGTTGTTGCAGTTCGCCAAAGTACGTTGTGCAAATATTTGACACCCATTCCTTTTGACACTTTGCAAAGGAAATGCGACTCGTTTTTCCCAACTCACATCGAATCAACCGAGGAAACTACGTTATAAAAGAGCTGTCAGAAGCTTGTCGTGCCAACGACGTTACTGATCTCATCGTTCTTCATGAACACCGTGGTATTCCTGGTACGCTAAACTAGAGTCATATCCATCTGTGCGCTAAATTGAGCTTCAAACAGATGCTATGATTGTCTCGCACTTCCCCCATGGACCTACCGTCTACTTTACCCTGCACAACGTCAACCTACGGCACGACATAGGCTCATACAAGTCTTCCACCGTCTCAGAACAGTACCCACACCTCATTTTCGAAGAGTTCACGTCTCAACTCGGTACCCGGGTACGAGACGTGCTAAAATTCCTGTTTCCTGTGCCGAAAGAAGACAGCAAGCGTGTGATGACGTTCTCGAATGACGGAGACTTCATTTCCTTTCGGTGAGTGTGCTTGGACAAAATGCAGCAGATTCATTCTGATTTGCGTAGACATCATGTTTTTGTAAAAGTAGCTCGGGATGTCCAACTGGCGGAGGTTGGACCGCGCTTTGAGATGAAACGTGAGTGCGATCTCATTGGCATTATTGGTAGCCAACTCAGCGCTTGAATTTTTAGCGTACGAGATACGGCAAGGCACTATTGAACAGACAGAGGCCGAAAGAGAGTGGGTATTGGCGCATTACGCGAGAACGGCCAAGAAGCGCAGTCTACTATCTGGTCCCGCAGCGCATTCAGCGGCAGATTCGGATCGGACATCGAGTAAACGGCAAAAACGATGACATGTACATTTGTGGTTCGTTTCAATGTATGTGAGAGTGCCCCAACCACACGAGCGACATATGATGGTGTATACAGTGCAGCCCATTGCAGAAGTAAACTAATCCAGGGTGAGCGTCTTATCCAACTCAGCAAACCCTTCAAAGAATGAGGTGAAGAGGTCGATCGCGCTTTGGACGTCATGAGAGCCTGCAGTCTCACGAATGGAGTGCATAGACAACATGGCATTACCGACATCTACTGTGCGCAAGCCAATCTTCGATAACATTGGTCCAACTGTCGAACCGCATGCCCTGGATGATGATGGTCAAGAGAAGCTTCTAGAGATAAATGAAAACTCACATGTCGTTTCGAACCTCATACTCCTGAACCTTGCCTCCTTTGCGCTCCACGAGTTTCTTCACAACGAAGGACCCGATTGCGTCGCTGGCGTATTTCTGTTTTGCATTGGTCTTGATGACAATACCTCCGTTCATAGTCGGCTGGTGGTTCTCCTCGTGCTTAGAGGTATAGTTCGGGTGAACTGCATGACCCATATCCGCCGATATGAGGAATGACCGAGCAACAGACTGTGAGTGAAGCGCAGGACTAGGAGATAGGCGCTGCAGGAGCGAGGGAATTAAGGAAGATTCTGCCCCAGATGTGGAGACGCTGCCAATTTCCTCATGATTGAAGAGGGCGATGCAATTGACGTTGCCCTCGAGAACATTGAAATTAGGAGACGAGACAAAGGTGGAGATGGCGTCCACAGCACAGAAGCTACAATTACCTGCCCTTAGATATGTTCCAAGTAAAGAAATCGAGCAACATACGAGCAAACCTGATTGTCCATGCGAGGGCTGAACATGAACTCATTATTAATGCCTCCCAAGACAGAAGGTTGGGTATCATATAAATGCCTGCGGAAACGTCAGATGTAAACTAAGTCTAGGAATTCTGGAACACACAATTCAAAATCATGAATCTCTTGAGGAGAAACTGACAGTTCGTTGGCAATGACAGATAGAAGAGCCGGGTGATGATTGCCCTGTATGCTAGCAGCTGTCGCGTTCGAAAGTGGTACCTTGTCATCTTTGGATGTCTTGTTCAAGTTTTCCGCGACAAGACCTAGAATGGGTACAAATTCTGTCTCTTGGTTGAACTTCAAGCTGTCATTGACATTTCTGTCCACTGAACTGGCAATAAATTAGCGTTCCTCTCCAAATATACTCAACAAAATGTACGGACGGTGAATAGCGAGAGTAGGAATACGCAACAGAGGCCGGTCAACCTTGATGAGCTTTGATTGAAAGGTCCCATCTTGTTGTGTGACCACGACTCTCCCAGCCAAGGAGAGGTCCCGATCGAACCAAGAGTGCCAGATACCTCCACCATAAGTTTCTACTCCGACCTGGAGGTACCCAGTCTTCTCTCGCTTGGATATCGGGCGCACCTGCGCTAATTTTAGTTACTACAGGTGAAGCTTAGTAACTGATCCACCCTCAGATTCGGACTATCAACGTGTGTAGCCACGATAGATAAGCCCGCACCGGCCTTCCAGTTTGGTGGAATGGTAAAAGCAACTAGTGAGCTCTGATTGCTGTAATACAAATCAGAATCCACGAGTAGCCAATTAGTAAGGAGACTGACCGGGTAAAGTAATATTTCCCTCGGGGTTGCAGAGTCTTCTCCCAATCGTCTGTCTCCCGGATCTGCGCTATTGTATGGAGACAGTAGTCTGAAGTTTGTGGTCCAACTCACCTTCTTGAATCCAGATGCTTCCAGTCGTATCGATGCATTAGTTACGGCATGAAAGGGAGTTGGTGATGCGTTCACGAAAGCGATGAAGCGTCTGGCTGCCTCAGAGCTCGACTGAGTAATTGGTAGCATCATTACTTGAATTTGATGACAGTGTGAATCCGAGACCAGATTGCCTTTCGAATTCTTAGTTCGTCCAAGATGTCTAGTTCGCAAGCAGCAAGGTGGGAGGCAGAATTCAACCGATCAAGCTTTACATTAATATTGATAGATGTGAGAAGAAATTGCCATTTATAGGGTCTCACTTTTTCCTTGCCTTGGTCCACTCGCATATGTGTAACGCATCGTGAAGCATACCGATGGTGCAAAGCTATCTGCGGCACGGGCCAACCCAGGTATGTAGGGGCTTGTTTCTTTTCATTGGATTCGTGCTCACAGTCGAATAGGCTTTTGGGCTGATTTGTAGCTCATCTTCCAACTCACTATATGATGGCAAGCTAGCATATGTCCCAGCACTTGAAGACGTGCTTGTATGGGATATGAAGAAAGGGCAAATGGTATGTGGATAGTGTTTCAAGTTTCATTCTGTGCTCATGTGCAGCCAGCTATCGATGTGGCACGAAACAGGACACAGATCTGAGGTTACCTGCATGTGCCGTTCTCCTCAAGAAAACATTTTTGCGGTGGGTTATGCTGATGGTTCAGTACGCCTTTGGAACAGTGCCTTTATCTCCGTCATTGCGACGTTTAACGGGCACCAAAAATCTGTCACTGCTCTCGCATTTGATGCACAAGGAGCCCGCCTCGCGTCTGGCTCGCAAGATACAGATATTATCGTGTGGGATGTTGTAGCCGAAGCTGGTCTCTACCGGTACGTATTGTCAACACGTTTTATGAAGCTTCTCTCACCCTTCTACAAGTCTACGAGGTCATCGCAATCAAATCACAACCATACGATTCCTTTCCGAGCCTGAACTTCCTTCCACCTCGACTGGTTCACGCTCTCAGATGTTACTTACAACATCAAAAGACACGTTCATGAAGTTATGGGACATGTCCACTCAACATTGTATTCAGACAATTGTTGCTCACCGCTCCGAGGTTTGTTCCTTGGACATCGATTCAGAGAAGAACTTTATCTTCACCGGAAGCAGCGAGGGCGAAGTCAAAGCATGGAAAATCGACCATGGGGCACTGTCGCAGGGTCTGGCGGAAAATGAGGCAGGCGAGGCAAGTCACAATTTTAGAAGAATTAATCCGGAGCTTCATCTTCTGTGTAGGTCGCAAAAATGATCCATCCTGTCACCAGCCTCCCGCTCTCGTCGCGTCACCGCGTATCCCAGATTTTATTTCACCCGTCACAACCATACCTTGCTGTTCAGTCACACGACCGATCCATCGAGGTCTTTCGTATCCGAACTGAGGAGGAAATCAGAAAGAAGCAAGCTAGACGGAAGAAGCGTGCAAAAGAGAAGGGGAAAAGCAAAAACAAAGATAAAGATATCGATGACGCTGTGGACGACGTCATGGATGTTGACCAGGAGATCAACGTGATTGATCTTTTCACTCCTTACCTTGTTGTTCGAGCAAGCGCAAAAGTTCGCTCTTTCGATTTTGGCTCCAAGGAAGCTGCATCGAAACCCGGTGTTCAAGTTCGTAACAAATCACTCGAACCGCGTACGACTCTGACCTGTCACGTCGCAGCTCTTTGTGGCGTTGTCATCAAACGCCCTTGAAGTGTACAATATTCCGCCCCCTACAAAGTCCAAGGAAGAGCCGCCTGAAGCCACTCGGGTTTTTTCGGTCGATCTTCCCGGGCACCGGACAGATGTGAGGACTTTGTGTTTGAGTGCAGATGACCAAATACTTGCGTCAGCATCTAATGGTACGTTCGCATGAGCAATTCCAGTACTTCACTAATATGTGTATGGAAGGTTCCTTGAAACTATGGAACATGAAAACAACAGCGTGCATACGCACGATAGACTGCGGCTACGCTATATGCAGCACCTTCCTTCCTGGAGACAGACATGTAGGTTTTCAAAACATCTTCACAAACATCTCATATAATGTATCCTCCAGATCGCTATTGGAACAAAGTCCGGGGAGATTTTAATATATGATTTGGCATCTTCGGCACTCATGGAGACCGTAAAAGCCCATAGCTCCACTGTTTGGTCGATTCATGTTCGTCCGGACGAGCAAGTTTTGGTCAGCGGTAGCGCTGACAAGGAAGTCAAATTTTGGGAGTTCGAGCGCAACGTTACTTCTAATGATGAGGTTAGTGTTTCGTTGTTGGAATCAGCACTCTGCACCCTTGATAACGAACTAGCATACGCAGGTCAAAAAATCATTGTCATTAAGTCACACACGAACTTTGAAGATGTCAGATGAAGTCCTGTCTGTTAGATACAGTCCGAATGGGAAGCTATTGGCGGTCGCTCTACTGGACTTCACAGTCAAGATTTTCTACCAAGACACCCTAAAGTTCTTCCTTTCTCTATATGGTCACAAGGTAAATATCAGTGTCCTCTGCCAACACAAAATTTCAACGCCTTTTCAGCTGCCTGTCTTGGCAATGGACATTTCGGATGATTCCAAGCTCATCGTTACGTGCTCCGCAGACAAAAACGTTAAGATATGGGGCCTCGACTTCGGCGACTGTCACAAGTCAATATATGCTCATGAGGAGAGTGTGATGCAAGTGCTCTTCGAAAGAAAGTCACATTGCTTCTGGACTGTTGGCAAGGATAAGATGCTCAAGTACTGGGATGGGGACAAGGTGAGACCACTTCTTTTCCGCTTGAGAATCATTTACAAGTCTCGCGCAGTTCGAGAACATTCAGAAACTTGATGGTCATCACAGCGAGATTTGGGCATTGGCCGTGAGCAACCATGCCAATTTTGTAGTGACGGGCTCACACGACAAGTCCATCCGAGTTTGGGAGAAACTCGACGAACCGGTGAGCTATGCTGCAGTGATTAATCTGTTAATATGTTGTGACCGTGCATCTAGCTTTTCCTCGAAGAAGAGCGGGAGCGGGAGCTTGAACAAATCTATGAAAACGGAATTGCAAATGCACTTAACCGTCCTGACATATCCATCATCAATAACAATGAAGCTGATGCGCAACCCTCTGGGGAAGCAGCCGCGGTCACCAAGCAAACCTCGGAGACACTCATGGCGGGCGAACGTATCATGGAGGCGTTGGATCTCGCTGATGCCGAGCGGACTGCTTTCCAGGAGTACGAAGGAAAGGTTGCTCAAGCGGGTTCACTCGAGGCCGCAGGTATGCAGCCACCGCCTCGAAATCCTATTCTCGCCGCATATGACTTGGAACCTGAGGCATACGTCCTACGAGTTGTCGAGAAAATATCCAGCGCTGCTTTGCATGACGCCCTGCTGGTACTGCCGTTTGACAAGGTAATCTCATTGATGCGCTACTTGGACCTATGGGCACAGAAAGTAAGTTTTCCTTCGGTTGTCTCTTCAGATACATATTTTGATGCAATACGAAGGAGTGGAATATGTCCCTCGTTTCTCGCATATTATTCTTCCTCTTGAAGATCCATCACCACCAGATAGTAGCTAATCGTGTCATGCGCACTACGTTGATCCCGTTACGCGTCCACCTGCGTAGGTCATTGCGCCGCGAGAAAGATGCTATTGGATATAATCTGGTTGCATTACAACATCTTCGCCGAAAGACAGAAGCAGAGAGAACTGCCCAGTTCTACGAAGAGGAAGATTTCGACGAGGAGAAAGTTCGCGCGAGGATCGCAGAGGGCAAAAAGAGAAAAAGGGTTTCCATCAAAGCTTGACCGGGAATAGTTCTAGTCTCGTACTCGTAAGTATCTAGCGGTACAAACGACAAACAAACAATTTTCTGCGGAGCGGATCAGGATTTGGTGGTCTGTGGCCCCCACAAATCATTGTCCCTGTCATGACTGTTCAGTCGTGGAGCCCTTGTGAATTCTGACTTGTGCTTACCAGTTATCAGGATCTGTTGCTTGTCGCATCTGCACAGTCAGTACGCCTTCATCCAGGTTCGCCAGTTCGGTGAATGCCGCCCTGGTGAGGTCGACATGACGAGATCCTTTGGCGCACCCCGCACAAGTGTCCACAATACGAGCAAATATACACTTCGACTTGCCGTTGCAGACTAAAATCACAATCGAATTTACCGCGACATCGCACTCAGAACAAGATTGCAACTCACGTTCAATGAACTTGAAGCATTGGGGCCTCGTCGCCCAACCTTCCAAGGTGACGGCACCCACGAAAGACTTGTCCTGTTGAGCGTTACTTCTCAGGTTCAATCATAGCTGCATACAAATACATGCTTACTGTCGGTGCCCATCCTCCGTTACTCCAACAACTGGGATTTTCTAGGTCATGGCCAGTATACCTGATAAACATAGTTGACCACATCATATAGACTGCGGTATAGGCGAGATCGCATACCAAGTTATGGTGACGCCCTGCGGGACTCCCTTGCCTATACATCCTGCGAAGATAGAAGCAAGGCTTTGGACCACGGTTCCTAAAAACCCAGTAGTTGTGGTTGTGTTTGAGGTTTTTGCGCTCTTTTCTCTGTATTTTGATGTTCCGGTGCTGGCGGATGTGTTGCTCTGAGATGACCTGCGCAGTGCTCTATGGAAGGAGTGATCTTTGTGACTTGACGCGGGATACTTGTAGTTCAGATTAGAGATATTGACCGCTTCCCATCCGTCCCTTGGGTCGAAGGAGCGTGATTCGGGTAGAGAGTGTGCTTTAGCGTATCGGTTGTCTTGTACGCCCCGCGTGCCTGTAATATTCATGATGGCTGCTTCGACCAGCGAAGCAAGAACCTGGATTGTGAAGACGGTTGCAAGCCAGCGCATGTTTATAGTGAGAGGAGTAGATATGAGACTACAAATATATGGGCGAGCAATCGCGATATCTCCTGCGATGTCGATTGTTGCAAAAGTCGCTTGAACTCGAACTTCCACTAGGGCGGACGCGTTCTGGTCACGTGACTTTTGATTTCTCGGTCAATTCTGAAAAGGAGCACGGCTACTCGGCTCCCGCTGATGATCCCCCTTTGCGCTATCTTACTATAACAAATCTTGCAGTTGTTTTCCTTTTCCTTCACCAATCTTCGGGGACTAGGGTCTTCTAACTTTGGACCTACATCTATGCCGGCGGATACATCGAAGAATCCCCTGAATGCTCCCCGTCGTATATCTCGCAAAATAGCAAACGAGGAGGAAACGGAACTCAAGCGCGCTCGTGGTGAAATATCGTGCGCAGAGTGCAGAAGGTATTCTCGTCTTTCTAATTTTGAACTTTTCTGATGTATTACCTGAAGGTTGAAACTGAAATGTGACAAGAAAGTGCCATGCGGATCCTGTGTTCGTCGAGGGTGCCCAACCATCTGTCCTAACGGTCTCGTCCATTTATTATGCATTCAGTCAGCCTTTAACATCATTGTGACATCTACAGGTAGTCTTTCCACCGGACAGGGTACTCGGTATATATGATTTTTTTCCTGGTTACTCAACGATACTGATCATTATTAGTTTTGTTCTTGCAGATACGGAACACCTGCATCGCAAGATTATGGAGATGGGCCAGCGAATTCGACAACTCGAGGACGCATTATCCATTTTTCAAGGCGGCGTGTCTGTCGATGTTCATCCGCTTCTCACCGAAGATCTACTCTCCATAAAATTTGGACCAGAAGCTCCGAAGCCTAGCAATGATGCCACAAATGAAAGCAGTAATGTTCCCATCAATTCATTCGGTACTTTAACTATCGGCGATGGAGGAGAGTCAAATTACTTTGGACTTTCTGCAGGTTCAGAGGTAATGCCATTCTTCAGCTTTCTCGTGAACGCTTAGTGACGGTACCCAACAGACTTTATTCATGGTATGTTGGCTCAAAAAATGTTTGAGATATATAATCCTGTCGCACCCTGGCAGGCCGGCGCTGTACTCGATGGAACTTCGTCCTCGCAACCAGACGAGCTTCCAAGCATGTCTGCGGATATCTCTCGATTGGAGTCAAGCCTTCCCTTCAGTTTGACTGGTATTCCTGATCATGATCGGTGTCAAAGTATCCTGGACTCATTGTTAAGCCTTTTACCACCATACCCGCGGGCTTCTACACTCTGCGAGACATATATGGAGCATGCTGCTTGGATATTTCGACCAATCCGACGAGAAGAGCTGATTGATGATATGATGTCACCTGTTTATGCCCTTGCTCAGAAGCGACAAAGTAACCCATCTGAATTTACCGCAGAGTGCCCTGAACATACCATCGCCGCTCTCTATATGGTCTTTGCCCAGGGCGCTCTCATGGACTTGACGTTGCCGTCATGTAATCAGGAAGCGGAGGACTACTTCCATCTTGGCCGTGTGGCATTATCACTCCGCTCTGTTTTCGAATCACCGACTGATCAAACTGTTCAAGCTCTGGCTTTGATGGGATACTGTTACAGCAACAGAGGCAAGCGATACGCGTTAAATAGTGCGTGGTCTGCCATTGCACTGGCCAGCAAATTGGCTCAGAGTGTATGTTTATCGTTTGATCATCTTGGACATGTCATTGAGTGTGTCTTCTTTTCAGATGGGTCTTCGTGAGTATTTGTCTATGGCCTCATTTTCATCAGCCTTCATTCCTTGCAATTTTGCATAGACCGCGACCCTTCCCGATTTAATTTGAGCCCGAAGGTTGTTCAGCGTCGACGTACTCTGTTCTGGGAAGTCTTTTCTGCAGATCTCTTTCATGTGGGTGATGTCGATGTCTCTTGCTCTTTGACACGATTTTGACGAATTGGTTAGAGTCTCGCTTTGGGTCGTCCTCCCTCGAACAGGTTATCGTACATAGACTGCGAGTTTCCTGAAGACGAGACGACTACTATGAATGATAAAGGGGAGGTCGAGATTGGGTGTGAGTTCTGACTAATGCCCCTCGTATTTCGTTGATTCCCCTTATTTTGGGCAGTTTGGCGATGGAAGCATACTTTCACAAGAGACGTATTCTCTCAGGTTACAGAATTAACGCTGAGCGCAGAACTTCCAAGTTACGACACTATCCTAGAACTCGACAGAAAAGTTCGCGAGCAAGTCTTACCTCCGTCTTTAAACCTTTATCGTTCCAGCGTCAAAGACGATTACACCACTCCATCAGCCTATATTCGTGGCCGTATCCTTTTCCAGTTTAGAACGACGAGTGAGTCCCCTGAACGTGATGACCTTCGGTCCCACCTGATGTCTTTACAGCGATGTTGTTCATTCATCGTAGCTTTTTTGCACAAGCCTTGCTCGACTTTCCCACAAATCCTCTCCGCAGTCCCTACGCTCCATCATTCCTCGCTGCATATCGTTGTGCGTCGGCAACGATCAAGACGACTCTCCTTAACTTTCAAATGTTTCCGGAACTCTATATGCGTTGGTGGCCTATCTGGAGTCATCTGTTGTCTGCAGCTGTACGTGGTAGACTTAGTGCATGACGTGATACTCAAGCAGGCACAGGTGATTGTTGGATCCATCGTCACACGAGCACCATCGTCGACTATGGCGCCTGCTGCATGGGAGGAATTGAACCTTGCAGTAGAAATGTTTTCACGGGGATCAGAGACATCAAGTCGCGCTCGACATGGTTTGGTACACATCATTCACAATCAATCGTTTTAGTATATTTTGTTGATGCGATTTCCCAGGCTATCCTAATTGCACTCAAGCTGAAAGCCTTTCAGGCGCTTGAAAGGTATCGCAGCGGGGCGGCATCTAACATGCAGGGCAGTCAATCCTCCCTCCTTCCGGAGGTGGGGGGTGATGACGAACTTACCATGTTTGGTGGCCAGACGCGTGTCCTCGTCAGCAAGATCCTTTCGCAGCAGAACCGCAAGAAAGTACCATCGCGCTCTGTTACTCTATCAGCTGCAGATCCATCACAATCCACCGCGAGTACTCCCTCGGCGTCTGACGACGGCAATTCACCCTCAGATTCCATCCCCGACGTCCACCCTATGCTTGTAGAATTCCTGCAAATGCTTCCTCCCCCATCCATGTCAGATCCCACAATAGGCACAGGAGATGTATCTATGACCTTCCAAAACCAGTGGGATGCAATTTCTCTGCCTCCCGAATTCATGACACCGGGCCCCGCGCCCGCGCTATATTCCTCCGTCACCCAGACATCCAATTCAGTCTCGGCTTTTCAAAACCCCCTCCCACAATCCCATCTGTTTGATCCAACGAGCATCAGGCCTGACGCTGATCTTGCTGACCTTGGACTTTATCTTTCTGGAGAGTCTGGGATCGACGAACGATGGAAATCCTTCATGCGGGATTCTGGAATTTGGGGTGGACCCCAAGGTCATGACCTCATGACAGATACTTAAACATCTCCTTTCTCGTGGAAACGTGTCAAGTCTAAATTATTGAAGTGTATTGAAGTGACTCTGGCTATATAATCGATAGTGTTCCATTACACATCTAGTAATTTTAGATCATGACTGGATAGTGGATCTACAGTCATTCTTGTATTGCAGTTCCCGGCGATCGCATAAATATTACCGCTGAGTTTGCTATGAACGGATCTGAACAGGCCGTCCCATCATCTCCTTCCACGATAAAAGTCCAAAAAGGCGTATTTATCTTCCCATCCAAAACCAACCCTTTTCATCTTGCCTATTCTCGCTAATAGCACAGCGCAGACTTCGGCAAGCACATCAGAACGTGGCTCAGGAACCACCTCATTGACTATGAAGAGCTGAGAGCTAGGGGATTCCGAGAGCGGAAGTTGGCGGATGGAGATAGATTGTGGAGAAAGACAGGTGCATATTTGAAATAGATGTCGGAGGGGGTTGAAGGTAGTGTCTGGGACTGAGTGCGACAAAGAGGGTTGTGACGGTGTCGGGGGATCGTATCTAAAACTAGTTAGATACAAGGAGATGAGTGTTGGAATGAATGTGATTTACCTCACACACATCACGAAAATATTGTAACCCTTTGTAGGAACACTTGCGCCATTGAAGACATCGGCGAATCGAAGCAGACCCCTGCCGTTGCTGGTCGTGCATTCAGGAAATACGACAACGGGACGACGCGCTGAACGGCGGATGTCGTCGAGACTGCGTAAAGGCGCAGAGGAAGGGGCTGATGGCGTATTGCCAGTGGAATATATTATTTCCAATAAAGACACCTGACGAAAGCCGTGAATGACTTCTGGTGAGCTCAATACGCGGTCAAAAGAAGATATAGCTGCGGATCCTGTCCCTGTCTTTCGTCCTGGGGTGTACGATACTGATGATGCATCTCTGGCGGAAGACGCTGTGGGTGCATTTGCAATAGGCAACACAAAAACCGGGTTGTATCTTACGAAACTCGTGAGAAAAATTTGCAAATACAATCGAGCATCTTACTGGTATGCCAGCCAAAGGACTTCTATCCAAGACGACCAGTTTGATACTATAAGGTCCCCAGCTCGTGGATTCCACTTGTTTTCAGGGAATTTTCTACCTGTTTTGTGAGCATATATCTCAAAAATCGATCCACCATAGAGCTGACCCTCTTTTTCGAACAATAAGCTCCGTCGGCACAGACCAAAATCCTATCACATAGAGCGCCAAGCGCGCAAGCAGGGCAGTGCCCAACCATAATATTACATCTTGTAATGGTAGAACAGGCCGCTGTTTCATTGAGCGAAAACGTAAGTGTGAACTTTGCAGCCACTCACACAGATAAAGCCGATCACATGAACTAAGGCAAAATGGATCGCAATAAGGACGATGATCACAACAGTTCGTATGACAGCAACAACGGCTCTGATAGGCGTCAGAAAAGTGACGAAGAGGTCGCGTTCCTGTGGTGGTACTGGCGCAAGGAAAGGCTGAATACGGGAGTGAGCTACTGCTTAATATATTTTGACTGTGGAAGCACTAGCCTGAATGCCCGTTCCAGGATCCTATGACACGAAACGTGAGCATAAAGCAAGCTAGAAAGTTGAATTCAATACTCGGAAAGAAGAGAATTTCTCCATCCAACTATGCAAACACGAGTGGTTGGTGTCAGTCTGACGAAGTCGAGACATGTACAGCTAAATTAAACATCCGCGTGACCTGCCGCCGGCTTTGCCATTTTCGGTACTACTCTTGCTGCCCTCCTTTCCCACTTGACCTGCACCATCACACCGCAAGCCTTACAATCACCGAAGCCTTATTTCGTCCATGTCGGTCGCTCTTGCGAAGATGGCTCGTTTCATTAAGGGTCTGATACAATCAGCTAGCTCGAGATATGAAAAACTGGGTCTAGTTGGAAAGGTGACGTCAGTGTTACATGTTGTAATGTGAACTAACGATGATGTTTCTAGGCTGTGATCTGGTTCATTCTATTCTTCTATGTCTGCTTAGCCACATTTATCATTGTGGTCACTCCAGCTCGCATTGCTCAATTCACGTATGATGCCGCACAATACATCCGACATCTCCCGTATGGGTACACAATTATTATCGTTGTCATGAGTAAGTGCACACTTTCTTCTGATAAATTCGAACATTCTAATCCCCCTCAGTTGTTGCATCCTTCCCCCCTTTCATCGGGCATGTCACTCTCCTTAACTTGTTCGGTTTCACATACGGTATCCGAGGCTTCTTCCCTGCAGCATTTGGAACACTGGCAGGCTCTGCCATAGCTTTTGTTACCCTTCGGTTCATGTTCAGCAAGAGGCTGCGCTCATGGACTTCCACTAATGAGAAATGGCAGGCTTTGGAAGCTGTAATAGTCAGTGTGTTTCATTAGCCTCGGCGTACTCGTTTACTAGATGACGCCTGCAGCGGTCAAGAGGCATGCCCCTGATCATCCTCATTCGCATGTCTTCATTTCCCCCGTGGGCTTGGTCAAACTCATTATTCGCGGTAAGCTTTTCGAGTTGTCTACTGGTTTGCATCTAACTCTTTATGTTAGAGCATAACTCCAGTGTCGTTGTTCCAGTTCTTCATAGCGACTTGCTTTGTTCTCCCAAAGGTTCTGGTTTACGTGTTCGTAGGATCTCGTATTGCTAGACTCTCAGACGGCGAACAGAGAAATCACATGGATACCCGTAAGGACACATGTCATGGCATTCCGTTTTCATTGATTCATGGTGCGCAGAAACAAAGATTATCAACAGCCTTCTCGTTGCCGGTGGTGTCTTGATATCTGTTGTAGCCAGCTCGTTCGTGTCCAAGTCACCGCTATCAATAACAGAGCTCTACTAACACTATACAGGCTGGTCTATTATCTCATGCAGAATGAGATCAAGCGTCTACATGATAGCCCATCAGAGCGTGACGAACTTGCTGCAGAGGCACTTGAGGCAGCAGAGGAGGCACCTTTGTTGGGGTCTAACTTTTTGGGTTCTCCGTAGAGTTTGACTCACTTCAAGTGAATGTATTGCAGCGGAACGTAATTAATGACAGGACATTGTACTATGCTAGCTTTATGATCGACACACATCCATAACTATAGAAAGTCATGCGCGAATAATAAGTCGCTAGTAAAAGTGGAGGAAAAGCAAGGAAAAGCTAGCTCCAATCAGGAAAACAAGTATAAATACTCGGCTGTCCTTGGCACGTCTACGTGCCTCTCTCAGCTGCACGTTACCCTTCTCTACGGTAGATGTCGTCGCAATCGCGTCCTCGTATAGTTGGTCAGTCAGCTCCGTTTGTTGTGTAAGATGTGTCATCAGTTCCATTTGGAGATTGCTGATATCCATCAATCTTGCTTCGGCCTGTTGTACGGACTCGAGCGTGTCCTGGACGGATCGGAGAATATTGGCATTCTCCGACTCGAATTGAAGTATCTGAGACTGCGAAAGCTCAATATCATCGTCGTCTCCGTCCAGGTCACCTAATGACGAAGCGGGAGTAAGCGTTGTCGGTTGAGCAGCAGGGCGGCTGCTCGTTGCGCCAATGGTAGCGGCGATCCCTGAGACGAGTGCTGATGAAGCACCTCCCAACCAGCTGTCGCTCCCTCCTCCATTGCGCTGTTTCTGTTGCGCAGGTCCCTTGGAGACGATATTCATTGCCTCTTGCGCCGCACTGGATCCTAGAGTTCGTGTGCGTTCAAGTTGGCGCTTGACACGCTCCTCTTGCATTTCTTTTTGGTTCTGGCTGGCTTCTGTAAGACGCCTGCTAAGATACCACGTTATGCTGGAGTGGTGCGCCGCTGTGAAATCCGAAAGTATTGTCGAATTGTTGCTCTTCAGACGGGCGGGAAGGAAGCGCGTCAAGGGGTTCATGTTACTTGCGACGAGCTCAGCACGACCTGTAGAAACAACCAATTGTGAGCAATCGTTTCAGGAACAACGGCAAGAAACAGACCGCACGCTTTTCGAGTGTTTCCATTTCCTTGACCCTGTCTGCGCACCTACTGAGGATGACGCGTGCCTGCAGGTCAACCTGATCCCGCTCCTCGTCTGTGAGGTAACGTATTCCCGACCAAGACTTTGTAGAGTCGCTCAAATCGATGGTATGCAAACCATGTCGCGAAAGTGGTACAACGTGTGCATCGACACTCAGGTAAGGCTTCCGTATGCTAGAGAGCATACGGGTGAGAGTGCCAATATGGTTCAGCTATGCAACCAGGTAAGATAACCTCGACGTAAGACACATCGTTGCGACATACAATCGTGTAGGCTTCCTCTAGATATTGTTTTCCAAATACATTCGCGTTAGGGACATCATATACGGGAGACGTTTTACGTCGTTTTGCCTGAGGGACAGTGGTTTTCGCTTGAAGGACATCTCTGAAGTCTGCGGTACGGTCGACGAAACCCATAAATAATGGCTGTACGACGACAGTGCTAATGGGTGACGGAAGATGAGCACAACTGGCGTCGACTTGTTCGCTCAGCGCTCAACACGCTGCTGGCCGCATATTGCCGAGCGCCACGTGCCCAGTCATATAAAGGGCGGAAAGTTTTGGAGTTTTCTTTTTCAATCACCACGATATAGGTTATGTAGGCTCAGTCCAGTGCTGCTTTACTTGCAGCTCCAACGGCAGGGGTTCTCTAACGCGTGGAATATCAGACTGGTCCTTGTTTGAGGCGAATGGTACACTGACTACTACTGCTTGCCATAGTTTGAGACTAACAGCACTCGTATTACATTGTCTATGTGCAGTTCGAATTTAGTATTCTACCGAGCACGATTGTAAGCTCAAGCTTGACCGATCTGATCCATGGTCAAAGGATAACCCTTGCCGGCAACTTATTGTTGTGGCGAAGTCGCAGTCGTTGCCTATATCTCTCGTTGTTGCAGCAACCCCTTCCATCTGACGATCACATTAGTATTCTTCTCAAGTGATCTAAACCGAAATGCATATGCTCACAGCAGTGATCTTCGTTCGACCTCATTAGAAGTCTGCAAAGTGTTATTTCCGCTAGATCGAAAACATCCTGTTCTTTGACGTGCAGGCAGTTGATAACAGCCACTTCATCAATCGACCTCGTTTGTGGTGTTGTGGGCGACACTTGATCCTCGCCTTCATCTCCCGGCAACCGGCTCTGCACAAGGTTCACGAGCGCATTGCCAGTGAGATAATTGCACCAGCGGAAGTCAAGACGAGCAAGGTTTGGGCAATACCCGTTGTTCCCGTGTAGCAGCCGCAGTTGTTCGTCAGCAACGTCACTATCGTGCAGACGAAGTTCCTCTAGTTTAGGAAGGAGCTCGAAACATCGCGCGAAGTCAGTATGCTCCACGTCAACATCATAGAGTTCTAGAAGCTGTAAACAAGGGGAAGACTCGAGGAACCGACACAAATGGGCGCCAGAAGGCATGTGTTGGCGTGAAAAGGGATCAGATGAGCAGCGCAGGTGGAGCTGACGCAACGCAGGTGCGCGCATTGTCAGAAGGATTCCGTTCACTTCGGGAGAGACGTGAAGTGTCAGTGATTCCAGGTGAGGAAGATCCGCAACGCGTTGGGTGTTAACGTTGTATGGGCGCGCTTCTGGTTTAGAGAGCTCTACTGTGAGGTCCCTTAACTCTGGTAAGGCCTGCAACATTTCGATCCAATCGGTGGCATTGATGGAAGGTGCGAGCAACGTTGAAGAGGAGAGCACAACATGTAATTTCGTGACTCCTATGAAGTTGCTCCACTGTGGAAGATTCGGTTGTTCAATGAACAACCGAGATAAATGCGGAGCGTCTTGAAGTGACGACACATTCACAAGATCTCCCTGAGAACCCTCCATTTCAGTGATGACACTGAGTTGGCTTAAAGCAGGCAATGGGAAACTGCAGCGGTGAAGGACGTAGTTCATTGTTGTCGAGTCCACAGATTTGACGATAAGGGTGTGCCATTGCTTGCAGCGAGGAATGAGCAAACCCCAAACCTCCTCCAATGATAGTGGCCCAAGAGGGATATCCAAAGTTATATGCAAAGGCGCATGCTGAACTTTTCTCAACCAAAACTCCACTTTCCCGATCGAGTTTCTGGATCTCAAGTCAAGGAAGAGATGGGACCATACACGAGGAAAGGCTGCGGCTTTCCTCCAAGCTGAGCATACTTGAGATACAGCCACAGGCGCACGCGTCCAGCCGCTTTCGGCACATATCTCAAATATGCGAGCTAGCAGCTCAGGATGTAGGCGGCGAGCGAGAGTTAACAATGAGGAGGCCTGACGTATATTCTCCTGGTGCTTGTCCTTCTGCAAGCGGAGGCGCTCCAGAACAGAATACAGCATGTTCATTTCGCTGTTCAGTTCCTGGATTGCCTCCTCGCTAGCCATTGTTGTCTGATGGATCAAAGCGATGTCGTCTTCCGTGGGTTCACGAATACAAGATACGCAATCCATCACGGATACTACAGGTGTCCTGCGAATTCAGGAGTGAGTGCAACGTCCCGGCTCGAATACATTTACAACGCACGGCGACGCATCGATATTGTGATAGCAGCGATGATCCATACGCATCTGACAACACCCCAGGCCACCCCAGGTTCTCAAGCAGGCCGTCTATGTTGTGTCTAAATTGAATATCGACCTAGAGAATTACTTACCTAGTGAGGCTAGTACTAGTTGCCCTCTTGACGTATTTGTTCTTGTTTTTTTCCGACCACTTGCTGTTTCGTACACCGACTTGCTCGCCCATAGTCGTTATCGGCTCCGCCTAGCCAGGCCTAGTAAGGTGAGCAAATAACGCATGTTTAGTACGCTATGATGATTCAGAGTGGAATCTTTATCGACCCGGTAACACGTTAAAGTCGCTGGGTCGAGTTGGAGACTAGCAAATGTTCTAGATACTGCTGACGCTTTTACTGCCAGTTAATCACCATCATACTATTGGCTGACAATATTCTGTTCAGAATTACCCATGGACCCACGCCGAGCTCGCGACCCGCGCTTGGCACGCGTAGACCCACGTTTACAGCGAGCACCATCTGCGTTGCCGACTCCATCGCCCCAACAACAAAGTGGGTCTGTACAAGGCGCCTCACAGTGGTCTACGGATGGAGCATATACGACTTCACAGTCCATGGTTCCCAACGTTCTCGTGCAGCAAGCTGATATAGCTTCTGAGAATGCTGTTGCTGGTCCCTCGACTCCTGCGAACACAGGATCCTCTGCATACAAACCTAGGCCACTATTTTGTGTTGTGTGTGCAAGTAATCAAGTGGGTCTGCGTTCTTCTCAGGGACAATCACGAGGAAGTCTTACATGCCGTTTGCAGAACCGTTCCATGGAAGGCCATCATGTCTTGCAGTCCGTATCACAACATGTTTTTAATGCCATTCATTTTATCTGATGCCAAAAACATGAAGCAAAGCCGGATACAGAGTGATTTCTTACGGCACGGGCTCTGCTGTTCGCCTACCTGGACCATCGATAGACAAGCCTAACATTTATTCGTTTGGCACACCATATAACTCAATATACGAGGAACTCATTGCAAAAGACTCGAGATTGCAAGTCCGCTACATCGCCTTATGATCTGATGCTGACGAACACGTCCCAGATACGCCGCAAATGGACTTCTCCAGATGCTCGATCGCAATCGGCGAATAAAACTAGCTCCAGAACGGTGGCAGGACAGCAAGACAGTTGCAGATGTAGTTATTACATGTGAAGAACGTTGTTTTGACGCTGTTTGTGACGGTGGGTGCCGTTGGGACCGGTTGTTAAATGTATAACTCACCGATATGTTCTCCCAGACCTGCTCAGTCGCGGTGGAGAATTCAATAAGCCCGTTCATATCATTAATATCGAGATTAAAGACAACCATGAGGAAGCACTCATTGCTGGAAAGGCGATGCTGGATCTAGCCGCTGCTGTACGTTTTTTCTTGCTTCTGGTTCTTTCCGATTCTGTACTCATTTGACGCGAAATCTTAGATCGAAATCTCCCAAGATATCGATGAAGATATCGATAGGATACTGCAGGTGCAACAGGAGCGCCACCCCCATAGTCTTTTACACGCCATAGCTTTTTACTAGTAAAAAGTTTCTCATCATGGGACCCTCGTGGACCCTTGTAAACAAGACATCGACTTGTTGGTCATGTGTATATTAGGTCAGGCACTGATGACCATCATAATACCGCTTTTACAACGCTCAAAAGTCACATCACATGATAGGGTGAGGCCAGCTGATACCACCATCCTTTGAAATCATTTCACCATCTCAGTTGGCGATGAGGACACTCCTGTCAGTCGTGGGAAATTAAGACGCAATCATTAACCATCCTTGTTCTCCTCCCCGTATTATAAAGGGGTTTGGTCAAGGCTTGATCTACGCATTCCTTTACCGATATATCAGACGTTTACAATGCCTTCCCTTCGTCTCGGAAATATTGCCCCCGATTTTGAAGCAGAGACTACTGCCGGACCTATCAAGTTCCACGAATGGATCGGCGACTCTTGGGTGAGCGCATATCGTGGGTGATGAACGTCGGGATGTTGACAAGTTGCCTCGTAGGCAATTCTCTTCTCGCATCCTGGAGACTTTACCCCCGTTTGTACTACTGAGCTCGGCGAGGTCGCTCGCCGCGCCGATGACTTTGCTAAGCGCAATGTTAAACTCATTGGCATCTCTGCCAACGGCCTCAAAGACCACAACAAATGGGTAGAAGATATTAACGACTTCGGCTCGAAATTCGGTCCAACCAACGTGCAGTTCCCCATCGCATGTACAACCATATTCTGATTGGTACAGTCTTTAATATCGCCGTGTAGATTGCCGACGAGGACCGGAAAATCTCCACCCTCTATGATATGCTTGATGAGCAAGATGCCACTAACCGTGATGCAAAGGGTCTTCCCTTTACGGTACGCTCGAACATCAGTTGAGCCTGTACCGCAATATAACCTACTTGAAGATTCGCACTGTATTCGTGGTTGACCCCAAGAAAGTCATTCGCTTGACCATAGCTTATCCGGCTTCTACCGGACGAAACTTCGATGAGATTCTCCGGTGAGTCTGTCGGATTTTGGGGCCGTTGACTTGACATTAATAACTATCTCCAGTGTTGTCGACTGTGAGCACCATGACATGACTGCTTCGCACACACTCACTTAGCCCATTCAGCTTTGCAGCTTGGCGATAAACACCGCATAACTACACCAGTCAATTGGAACAAGGGTGACGACGTCATTGTCCACCCTTCCGTTGCCAATGACGAGGCCAAGGTGCTCTTCCCCGAAGTCACCTTCCACAAGGTATAATTATTTGATATAAAGCCCGTTGCTAAATATTGATGCACCTTTATTAGCAACCCTACCTACGCACAACACCCCTTAACGTTAGTGAATAAAGATAGGATGCCGGACGGACGAATTGCGATGTCTATAAGCGTCATTGATCCCACTTCCGCGATCAGCTCAACTGAGATAATGAGATATGCGAGGCAGACTAAAAAGATAGTCCATATATTGTATTACATATGTATAAAGTTGCGCTGGCGATCAACCGGCTACGCTCACAAGATGGCCGAGAGATGCTATGGGAAGTTAGCTGAGGCTGAAGCTCAGTCCGTGATATTACTCCGCTTCTAGCACTGTTCGAATAAGTCCACGAGGAGCTTAAAGTCAGCAAACTATATATGTATGACCTGTGCATGAACTGCGGAGGGCTGGAGCAAAGTCCCATGAGTACTTGCCTTATATATAATACGATGATCAATGCAATTAAGCCGAAATATGTGGTTGTTTGTATCTGTTGAATTCTAAGGCTCAACGACGCGTGTATCGTGACGCGTCCTTTAGCTTCAATCTCCCCAATCACCTCCCATCAACAACGACGTTAATATTTTTTATCTGTTCTACCCCTTCTGACAATCATAATGGCGACTGCTGATGGAGGCGCTTACAGGTTCATATTCTCTTCTGCTAATCTCACCGCTTCACTTACATTTTGTGGTTAGCTACTCCCTTACAGTATTCTCACCAAGCGGTAAACTCGTTCAGATCGAACATGCATTGGCCGCCGTTTCTCAGGGAACAACCAGTCTTGGTATCAAAGGTATTTGGTCTACTTTTGCTGTATATCACAGGCTGATTTTGCCGCCAGCGTCCAATGGAATTGTCATAGCCACAGAGAAGAAGTCGTCCTCGATTTTGATAGACGACTCCATGATCGAGAAAGTGGCAGTAGTGTGCCCGAATATTGGGATTGTGTATTCAGGCATGGGTCCTGACTTCCGCGTTTTGATCGCAAGGGCACGGAAAAGCGCGCAGGCATATTGGAAAATATACGGAGAGTATCCACCCACGAAGGTTTTGACGCAGGAGATCGCTACCGTCATGCAGAAGGCAACTCAATCTGGGTAAGAAGATCCGCCTTGTGGTTGTATGTACAACGGATCACGCGTGTTTTTAATTCTCATGTTCAGAGGGGTACGGCCTTTCGGCGTGTCACTACTGGTCGCTGGGTGGGACATCAACCGCGGCCCAAGTCTATACCAGGTTGATCCTTCGGGATCTTTCTGGGCGTGGAAGGCCAGTGCCATTGGGAAAAACATGGTCAATGCCAAAACGTTCCTGGAGAAGCGGTAAGGCTCATGTTCCCCATCTTTTTCGCTTCCGCTGAGTTCGCGATCATTTCCAGATACAACGACGACATAAGTCTAGAGGACGCAATTCACACTGCTCTGTTGACGCTGAAGGAGGGCTTTGAAGGTCAGATGACCGAGAAGACGATAGAAATCGGTGTTGTCACTGTCCCAACACTAGAAGAGCTCGAAGCTGGGAAAATTGGTGGCGAAACAGGCCGGCCTAAACCTACTTTCCGTAAACTCAGCGAGGAGGAAGTCAGAGATTATTTGGCGCTATAGAATCAACTCCACGTGCGTTGCATCGCGTTGTAATAGTAAAGATTTTGATTCCTTGAGATGCATCGTAGATGCCCGGTGAACACGGTCACCATTTTAAACTTAAGTTGTCCTCATACACTTTGTGGCATATTTCAAGGCAGCAATATATACACATCAAGCAAGCTTTGACAGGTTTAGGCTGACAGGGTTGTGATGGGGTCATTTGATGAGCAGGCTGCAGCTGTGTGGATCAATACGCGCTATGCTTCAATAAGAATCAGATTGCATGCAGATCTGTATCCTGACTTCTTAGGAGACCGATACCGATGCCCCACCGGGTCTGTTTTCCACCCGTTCCAGGGACAGGCAACCATTCTCAAGTGTCTCATGCTCCACATGCGACTGATATTGGTAGCTATTTCCTCTATCTGCGGCATGAAAGGTCGTGTTCTTTCTTCCTTTGGCGTCAACTTCCAAGTCAGCAGATGACTGTATGGTTCTTGGTATAAAATACCAGCGAACTCACTAAATTTAACCCATCGAAACACCCGCGAATGCACCCAATTCAACCCACCGAAACATCCAACTCATTGTCAATGGAGCGAACGCTATCCAGGCCTATTGTGATGCGTTCAAAAGCAACTCATGCGTGTGAGGTGTGTCGCGTCGCCAAAAAAAAAGTTAGTGATTTTTGGTTCTTTTACATGCCTTGCAATGCAGCTAATGATTGTTAAAGTGCGATCATGACAAGGACCGTCCGGCTCAACCCTGCACGCTGTGCGCAAGGCGGGGAGTCTGTTGCAGCCTCGCGACCTCCGCGATTGTGGCGCCCATTCCCGTCTTTTCGCCTGACGGGTACACGGGCCAATACTTCTATGATAATACTATGGAATAGGTAATTCATTTCTCTTATCTTTGGATACAAGACTTATGGGGTACTTCGTAGAACATACGGTTCACGGATTGGACACAGCCCGTTTTACTGTCCAGTTTTCTCATGTGGTTTGGAGAAATCAAAGTTTGATTTTATATTACCCCGGTCGTACCTTTTTCATCACGCCGGCGGCTACCTCGATCATCACCGTATACGTAATGGCTGTGTAGTTATAGTCAGCCAATTACAATTACTTGGACGTCGTCAAATTCCGTCCGCCGAGTGGACTTGAGGTGGAATTCATTCATTGTTGTTCATGCCAGCGTTCATCCATCATGATCGAAGTCCAAGAATTCCGCGGTCAGCCGTTGCGGATTGTTCTGATGGTCGGACCCAGTCGTCTTGAACCCATCATCTGCCACCATGTGACGCGCAGCAGTTGTACTCATGACTCGGATGTCCTGCCGCTGCTAGCACCTCAGGCTGTACGAGGCACATTTCGTGGCATCCTTCTAAAGCTCAAATAAGCCTCGATTTTCAGTGACCTCGTGTGGAAGGTGTTTCGTGAAAGTGTTCACCAAACCATATCTCCTTCGATCGCAAGCACTGCATGTAACGGCCCTGCATATACGTCAATTTTACTACCGTAGAGCTGACTGAATACAGTAAGTATGCAGGGTTAACGCTTGTGCAGGGTCGAGTCAGACTGATTTGGCATGTGTGCCCAGAGCCACTGGAAATTGGGGTTACTGCCACTTGTCATCTTCTTCTCCCCTCCTCAAACACACGACAAGAAGTCAGTGGTCGTTCCGAGAGCGTAGAATCTTTTTGCCGCTCTATCATTAATTGTCTCTACTTAATAGGCATGGACAAGGGATTCCACAGGGTCTGCCAGGCGACATGCGTCCGTCCAGCACGTCCTGGTGCCAAGGATAGATGAAATTCAACTTTGCATCGTTTCACAGCTAGACAATGAGCGACCGTTCCGGAAGCGGAAATACGATAGATCCGAGCGTCCACTCCTCTACCTCACCGAAACCACACCTTCACCGGGTTCAATCAAGTTCTGCGTGCATAGCTCTTTCGCTTTTTCATTGCTATATAAGAAGAGCGGGCATCAGTCCCATGTCTTCATGGATCCAGCGATGAATATTGCGATGCAGCACCGAGCCCCTCAAGCCTGCAAATCATGCAGGAAGCTCAAGAGGAAAGTTAGTAACTTTCTGGTATTTTGGATTCTTAACCTCTAATCGTTTGTTAGTGCGTCTTCAACGAAACGTTGGGCAAATGCAACCGGTGCTTTGAGACCAGTAAAGCATGTGTGTATGCTGAGGTCAATCCGGCCGCTCCCCATGATGATTCCGTCGCCGTCGTCCATCACAATGCGTCCACGACGTCCATGAGTGCTGGTGCGCGAGTAAGGGTTATGCTTCTTGTGCGGCACTTACATCCCTCCACAGACTCTGGACACCTGGATGCCTCGCTCCAACAGGGCGACCCCTCGTACCTGGATCCGTTCGGCGGTACCCTTCAAGTTACACCCGACTGGTATGGACTTAATCAGCCAAATGTGTTAGTACACCTTCCTTTTTGCTTTCGCGTGATGAATATTTTTGTCAGACTGTCGAATGGAGGCCACGTGATGGGTCCAGGGAGTGGGGACATGGCCGCTTACCCATCCCCATCAACCCATGCTGGCAGACAGAATTAATAGCAGCCGCTCGGTCGGCACGCTGATAACACCCTCCTTGCAACCGTGTAGTTGTGATGCGTGCTTTCATGGTTGTTGCGCAAGGGTGTTATACAACCAGATGGAGTTTTGAATTATGTACCCACCTACCTCGTTGTCGTCCTATGATTCCCTACAAAAGATCTGGATATCTTTTCTCTTTCATCATCAAACCTTATGAAAATCAGTACGGCCACACTCTCCGACTTCAAAATTATCGCCTTCCTTTCGGCCCGAGGGCTCCTACCCGAAAAGAAATCATTCCTTGTGTAACGCTGTCTGCAGTGACCAAGTTGCCAAAAAATCTCAGTATATCAATATTACAGTCGGGCATTGTTTGAATGGCGGTCAGTTACAATAACAGGTAAAAATACAATCGTTGATGATGCTCCTCAAGTTTGGCTACGTCAGCCCTGTCACTACAACGGCCAATCGAGTTTCTCTCCAAAGTTCCAATGAACAGCCTTGACCGAAGTGTACTCATCAAGGGCATAGCTTCCAAGCTCGCGACCTGTTCACGGAGTCAGATCGAGTGTTTTTCGTACTCAATAATAATAATTACTCACCAATGCCACTCTGCTTTTTGCCGCCGAACGGGACATTGTTATTCAATAAATTGTATTGATTGACCCAAACCTTTGGATACCGTCAATTAGGGAATATACCGGAGCGATATAGTAAGGCATACCGTCCCAGCTTCAAGAGCAGACGAGACACGCATGCACTGATTTGCATCATCTGATTATTCGAAGGCATTTCAGCGTCAATCAATACTCAGGGAAGACTGCGCACTGGAGTGCAAACCAGCACCGAGGCCGTAAGATGTGGCATTAGCTAGCGAAACGGCTTCCTCTTCAGTTTTGAATCGGCCCACCGCCAGAACCGGTCCAAAGATCTGTTAGTCAATATTACTATTAGAAATTCAGGGTTGCGCCGCAGTATGTGGGCATACTGCCAGCATCAGAAGCACACCTCATCTCGGACCTGATTCGCATGAACGTGAGTCTGAAGCACTCTAGGGGACAGTTTTGGCGCTTACAATTGCCATGTCTGCGCTGATGTCCGTGAAAACTGTACGTTGTTGAAATCAATCAGCGCTGGTCGCAATGTTCCGAAAGCTACGGATACTCACTCGTAGGGTCGACAAAGAAACCCTTGCCTGGACGCTTTTGGCCACCCAGAACCACCTTTGCGCCTTGAGCTTGACCGCTCTCAATGTATCCCCAAACCTTGTCGAATTGAGTTTTGGACACCTGGAAAAGGGTTTAACCTGTGGATGATAGGATCTCCTATGTTTAACTGACCAGGGGCCCACCACCGCTCTTCTCGTCGAAGCCATCGCCAATCACAAGCTCCTTGGCTTTAGAGACGAGGAGGGGGACAAACTTATCGTAAATCGAGTCTTGAACATACAAACGAGATCCGGCCGTGCAATCCTGGCCCGTATTGTACAAAATCCCGAGACAAGCCCAGTTTGCAGCTTGTTCCAAATCCGCGGACTCGAAGACCAACTGAGGTGACTTGCCACCTAACTCGAGAGACACCTTCAGACAAACAATATTAATTAATTGGATTGCATCTATGCCTTTGAATTTACTCCACCTTCTTCAAATTGCTTTTGGCCGCGGCTTCCATGACCTTACGGCCAGTTACTGTAGACCCGGTGAACGCAACCTTATCGACATCCATATGTGCAGATAGGGCCGCACCGCCAACAGATCCAAGGGAAGGAATCGTGTTCACCACGCCTGGTGGAAAACTAGTTCAAAACCGGGGGTCAGAATGAATACCATAAATGAGCGTATCCTTACCCGGCTTCAGCGATGAGCTTCGATAACATAAGAGCCGTCAAAGGAGTAAGTTCGGAAGGTTTCATAACGATGGTACACCCGCACGCAAGGGCAGGGGCAACTTTCCATGCCCTAATGAAGACGTTACGTTCCGATCTCCAAGATCTACGCAGCTAAATGCATACCACATATTGATTGGGTAATTCCATGGAATACTATATTTTGTTCGTGAACATGTGCAAGGCAACACATGGAGACCACCCACATCTGTCCGCAGACGCCAATAGGATCGTGCCTGGTGAAAGCAAGCTTGGTTTTGTTGTCGACTTCGATGGTCTGAGAATAGCAAACATGAATACAAATTCATTCCGGCGTAAATGTGCTCCATAATACTTGTCCGGTTATTTTATCGGCCCACCCTGCATAGTACCGCAAGCACTGGATACTGTCCCCGATATCAAAGTCCCTGATATGATCGACGCCCATTAAGAAAGGAAAAGTGAAGAAGAATTATTTTCGTACCTCGCAATTTTGAACGGCTTGCCGTTATTCAAAGATTCGACCTCTGCGAGTACATCCTGATCCCTCTCTATAAGATCTGCGAGCTTATTCAGGAGCTTCGACCTTTCGAAACCAGTCACATTTTTCCCCCATGTGGTGTTGAAAGCGTTGCGAGCCGCCGCGACCGCTATGTCTATGTCCTTCACCGAGCCTGATAATCATTGTCAATTTCCGTGATTTTTAGTGTAATAGCAATGTGATTTACCGGCTACCACGGAACATATAAGCTCCTCTGTTGCAGGGTTGACTGCGCTGCACGGGTTCAAGTCAGTCGCAGTCCTTATCAGACAGGTATGAACGATCGTACTGAATGAGTTCATTAGGGGAATCCGCGGAGGGAACAAACTCGTTGTTGATGAATAGGCCAGTCGGAACCTCGAGTTCGCGGTTCGTAGCACGTATACCAATGCGGGCTGAGAGGGATGCCATGGTGGAAAGTGGATGTGAAGAGCGATAGAGCTTCAAGTTCCGTGGAGGGAACGATAACACTCGACCGAACAACTTGGTGTGAATACTGTATTTAGCTGCCATCTATCGACGTCTGCATCATATTCGTAGATAAGATAACGCCGCATGTCTTTCATGTAAAAACAAAAAAAACAGGTACTTAACACGTGTGCACCATACACAACAGATCTTCGAACCTGGGGTATACGCGAAGCATGCCTATATTCAGGACCCCGGCTGCTCACTCTGTCAAAGATTTGCTTCCCTGCGATGGGGCGCAGCGTTCTAAAATGGTATTTTGTTACACCATGCTGCCGCTCGTGTCTTACTGCGCATCCAGTTTCCCACCTAATGTTTTACGAACGAACAGAAGAAAAAACTGCCTTTCAAAAGCCCACCTTGCAGAATTGTAAATAGTCGGGCCGTTGTTTTGCTGTGAATTTTTAGAATGAGTTTTTATTCCCGTCGGCATGCGTTTTTGAACGAGAATGAGAAAGAGAGATAATTAGCATCGTGAGGAGAAACAAATACTGGTGGTCCCAAAAAAAAACATCTTTGGCACCGACAACAGGTATGCTCTCATGACGGATGTCTTTGCCACTGCCATGCATCCTGTGTATGCGGACCAGCTATCCAAGATGGCAGCCCTGATAATACTAATAAGTGGTATGAATATTGCGCGTCGTAACGCCAGGTGCTTACTTTTTGGTGCAGGAATTTACACGAGAGCTGTCAAGACTCTTCAAGACGTAGAACAACCGTAATGAGTCGTATGGCGGTGCCCTGGCAGATGAATCTGCTGCAGAACCCGAAAGTCGAAGGTCCGCCATCACAGTGAAATGTGCATTCGTAATTTCAATGCACAGGAAGATGTCACTCATTGATGCATGGAGAGCCGCATCGTTACGGTGTTGTTTCTATGGATGGAGTGCCGCAAGGACGTGCTGGATTTCATTTTAAGTGCACACCTGCTAAAACGACACTAAACTCAATCAAATCTCTGCACTTCAGAGAAAGAAAAAACCATAGGTACCGTCACCCACCAGCATGTCGTTGCCATTAGACCGGCGACGTCCCAGCAGCCTCTCGTAGTCATCAAGTGCCCATTTAGGTTAGATGAATCGTCGACTTCCGATGGAAGGCATGAATCATGATGGCCGAGGTGAAGCAACAAGTCTCTGCGACCTTTCGGGGCGCTACTGCCGGTGATGTATATGTCCGAGGCATAACACTTGGGGACCATGGCATGGGTGATCCTGAGACTCCTCGGGTTGCTATTGGTGGCAGGGAACCGATGTGTGTTATCTGATACGGAGCTTCAACCCACGTAAGAGTTGAAGGCCTTACGGCGCTCCATGCAGATACAGTAGGTTGTTCTCTGGAGATGGCCTAGGACCTACAAATGCGCCTCCCTGTGACATGATAAAGTCTGCGCAAATAGATCGACGGCCACACATTCTATATAGGCTCATGAATTTCCGCCACTGATATTCCTGCACACGAGACTCGTTTAGTGTGCCATATACGCAATAAGGAATTGATACAGAATGTTGTTGTCACGATGACATACACATACGCTGCAGCGAGTTCTCTTGTCATCTCAGGGCTTGCTGTCCCCGTCGTACGACATCCGTTCCACTGGTCCGCTGAGCAACGTAAACTTGCTATCTTCGATGTTCTCAACACACCCAAGCCTACCATTTATGGCGGGTACGTGGGGAAGTAGGCTTACAGAACAACAAACATGAGGCAACTGGAAGGCATGACTGCAAATTAATATTGCACTTCTCGCGCAAGCATGCCAGCATGCTCGTCGGTTGCGAACATGTTACTGTTGAGACCTTGGAGGGGATTGGGGGACCAATTTCTAGCCCGCAAAATTCTGCGAAGAGGCACGCTCTTACAAACACGGTCCTGCGCACAGAGTGGAGATTAGTTGTAGCCTTTCCCTAATCGTTTGGTGATCCGACTCACAAACTCTGGATAATTCTGCGCGAATTATGCCATGGACCCTAGATAACCAACGGCGCCTAGTCAGGCCTAGCCTTGTTGTTCGGTCATGTGAACGCTACACAGCGGCAAATGAGCAGTTCGGTGGCGGAGCAGTCCCTAAGAGAGGGCACTATCGCTTATACCTAGACGGGCTGATCACTTGCCCAGCCTTGGAATACAGTGCTTGTTGTTCCTGGTCAGGATGTATCACAAACGTTAGTCCCTTACTTACAACGTCGATTCCCTCACCCACTGCTTCCGAAATGATTATGGTGGCCCAGCGAGTGATGGTGGAGTCGCCACTGATGCCAGCTGAATGATTCGCTGAGACGAGATGCCTCACGGAATCAACATCGACAGTCCGATATCGATATCATAGCTACATGTCAGAGATATGTTGCTTTCCGCGGCCTTTGAAGTTGCAAACTTGCGACTGCCGTGGGAAGAATCGCGGGGGGTTCCGGAGGGCCTTCTGAGTTCTAACTAACTTAGCACTCAAGCTCTTCGACTCAACATCACTGCCCTCATATCTCCAATGCTCGCCCGCGCACCACACTCCTTGCGTGCACAAGTCGCGCGCACTCGCGTTGCCTCTCCTGCACGCTTTGTGCATGGTCACGGGGAATATCATGTACGTGTTCTTCGTCTTCCACCCGTCCACCGCATTTACTCCCTTCTTAGCACTTGCCATTCCAGTGGCCTGGAAAGAAACGATTGGCGTTCGGTATCAAGCTCACTGCTTTCCTGACAGTAGGATTCAGCATTCCTTTCGCGGCTGCTAAATTTCAATTGTACGCGGTTGCTCAAATACGATCAGGAAATCACACTGACGCATGTTGGCAGGAACAAGTCTGGTGCAGCATAGACGTGTGTAGGGCATTCGATACACAACACAGCGTTTGCGTCTTGTCACTACCTACACCAGGAATCAGAGTTCAAAGCGAACGCCACTAGCAGTTACTAAATAACCTCCATGCCTTCACCGGAATCCTCTTCAGTTGTGACGTCCTGCCCCTCCTCAAGATCAGCCAACATTTTTTCCAGCCTATTCTTGTAGTCTTTCTTTCCCACTTGTGTCCGATTTCTACAGCTGCAGTTGTGTGCCATAAAGCTGGGGTCTCCCTCCAATGCATCGAGAGCGGTAGTTGACGCCATGCGCCCTGCTATATATCCAGTCGACTCTGTGGCGCTTGCTAGGATGATGTCGTGAACAATAACTAGAGGAAGGCTCATCAGGACCTTCCACTTGGACACAACTTCAATCCTACCGTCACAGCGAGTTCCGTGAGTTTCGCCTAGTTTTTCTTTCTCGATGGAGAACTGCTGGCAACCCTGAGCTTGCATTATCTCGAAAAGGATTTTGGTGGGGTGATGCGAAAGTGTCTTGATTGTGATATGTTGGTCGTAAAAAGGCTCGAGAATTTTTTTGAACATTAATTCCACGCCGTCAGATGTGAAGCCGTCAGAGATATAAAGTGCACCGATGATCGATTCTACGACATCAGAAAGGATCTAGAGCATGTGTCGGTTCATTCTGCTTAGAGACCAACTGCAAACGTACCTTGGGTGGCTCCATATCAAGCCAGTACTGCCCTGGAGGCCTCCCATCCCTGACTGCCCTTTGTTGTTCTTCCTGGCGCCTTGTCTCCAGTTGCTCAGCATATGACTGAATGCTGTTTCCAAGTGCATACGACTCATAAAGAAGATACTCGTGTAGCCCAGTCCGGACGCAAACCGCTGCCAATGTTGAATTTGACACCATAGCGGACTAAAGAGGTATCCGATGGAGTAATAATCAAGACAAGTGCATACATACCCACCTTCAATAGTGTCATCGCTCCAGGGGACATATGGTCATCCCTGTTAAAGACATGTCGTACTACCACTGCGAACACCTGTCAAACTGTTGTCACGCAGAGGAGAAATCACGTACGAAAATCCAGAACGGCATCGCCAAGGAATTCAAGCCGCTCATAGCACGTGTTTTCGTATCCAAGAATTGAACCATGAGTCTACAAAGGCGTCAGCTGACGGTGGCTGAAGAGAGATGGTACATACCAGAGCTTGAGAGAGCAAGTGTGGATACTTAAGTCTAGCTCCAATAATCCCTTCCACTGCCGAAAGAGTGCCATCGCGGAGCCTTGGCGTGACATTTGAAGGGGGAGTAAGAGCTTTCCGGCGGAAATCTTCCCATTGTTCAATATGAGCGACAGGTAATCGGAGGGCCTTGATCACTCTGAGCGCAACGTCGCGGCCTCCAGAAAGATAAGCTGCTCCTATGATAGCCTCTGCGACATCGGCGATCGTCTACAGAAGGTTATGAGATAGTTCCAACTCAAGAAATACCTGTTCACCTTGTCTCCGAGCCACTGTGTTATGTTATCATCAGGGGCCTTATGTTTCGTCCTTGACTGGGAGGTCGAATGTATGATAGGGACGTTGGTATCGTTGACGGGAGCCTGTGTCTTGGTGTCAATTGCTATCCCATCATTACCACTTGGCGGCGTGACATCGTTAGTCCTCCCCAGATGCTGCGAAGATATGTCCTGAACCGTGAAGTTCGGAGGTTGCCACAATTTGTGACTGAACGTCTTTCCCTGTATGTATGATGGCAGACCAATCAAAAGACCACACTGCGTGAGCACCCTGTTGCTGATAATGTTCTGTCGTGCCTTGTGCAATGCGCCCTCACTCAAAGCAGGGTTGAAGACGAACACATAAACAGAACTGAAATATTTCAGAAATGAATCGCCTTGCATTGTAGTATGAGTGTTGTGAACAATACGTATTGGACAATCCTCACCAAGGAGCTCCAACCTTTCGTAATCCGTTTCGAAAGTCGCAGAAGGAGCGAAGACGGCTGACAGCAAATGTTGTTCCAGGATCATATTTTCGAAGAACTGTGCATTGAGCTCCTTTACGATCAGGAAATCATCGATTCGTCGAGTGATGGATGGTAGAAGTAACGCAGTGCGGTATATGCTGGTTGACAAATTACTGTATGAGCATAGTGATGGTCTCCTGCCAAGAACACTCACCTCGCTGGAATTGTGCACTTGCCACAGAGCTCTGGAATGAGATCTACCCAGTGTTAGCTACGCGGTTTACAAAGGTCAGAGGAGCAACTTACATTTTGGACCTGTCTTATTCGTCTCTACAAGCGGCTTATGGACAGGATTTAGGCGATTCAGCACGGCGGCAGCCTTGGATACCTCTATTAGAGGCTGGTTGTTATCTTGGAGGCCTTGAAAGCCTTTGCGATGCGCTCTGCAATACTCCAGAATGTTCGCATATGCCGCCTCGCGCTAGAATGAAATAGATTAAGGATCCGTAGATTGACAATTATTGACGATCACCTACTAGGCTGTCTGAGGGTTTGCTCATTGGTGTTAAATCCGGTCGTAAACGGACAACATAGCATCGTCGACTGAACTCGACTAATCTATCCTGGATGACTGCATCCTCAAACTCGCTTGCGTCTCGCAAGTTATTAGAACTGAAATGCGTGACATAGTTGTTATTGGCTTGTGCCACGGCTTGCCAGTCGATAGCATCTTGTAGGTTGGTCATATTGGAATACGATAAATCCTTGGCTTGGGAGGGAAGTAGAGGTGCGATAAAGTATGCCATTTTTTCCAACGAACATACAAATGCTTTGTTGGCGATCGTGCGACAAATTCGGAGCGTATAAGAGTGAAGGTCAGTGAGACGTTCGCTATCAAAAGTGAGAGCGGGAACCCGTGCATTCTTGACGGTGGCGAAAACGCCATAGAAGAACAATTTGAAGGGCTCCAGATGAGGTAGCGGTTGACGAGTTAGAAGAACGATAGGCGCATAGGGTTCGGATGGGCCTTCTGGATTGCCTACAGAAATGATGACAGGGAAGAGGCGTTGTTCAGCAATTCGCAATGAGTTGACCCAGAAGTCTGGTCTTTTTCGCTTGTAGCAACTATTTCCAGAAACTAGATCTGACATCAATAGGGAAGGATTTGTGTAGCCATTGTCGCCAGACCGATGCGGGGTATGGATCAGGCGGTGGTCCAGACAGCTGAGCTCAAATAATCGTAGGCAAAATTGATAGGCTCCTGAGCGACGCGCATGGGTGGGTGTGTAGCGTGGAGGACCCTGGATCGTCTGCAATGGCAGTCCAGGCGGGAGTGTTACAGTGCACACAAATTGTTGAACCCCACCCATGCTAGATGTGCATATGGGATGGACAACAAATAGCGGATGTCGAGAGGGAGTTGTAATGCTGCTCTGAAGGTTCGCAGCGATGCGGAAAACAGCAAACAAGGCATCGTCTTCAAACAATCGACCACCATTAACCGAGTCTTCTATCGAGATCTCTTGCCTGGAAGTCGTCGCTTCCTCCGACCGGTAAGGGTTGCCTGTTTCCTTCAATGGACAAGATGGAACTGGCGAATTTCCCCCTTGTAAGACTACCCTGATCCACCTGTCATCAACTGCTGGACCGCTATACTCTTGGAGAATTCGGCGATGTAGGTCATTCCCTTTCTCCACCATATGGATGAGATGTCCATCAGGCACTAATGTATGCGCGCAAGCAAATGCATAGGAAAGTTGGCTTTCGAACAAGTCGTATCTGGAGCACATCTGAGCGAAGCCAAACTAGCAGCAAGAATGACACGCACCGTATAACGACATGGGCGCGTGGAAGGTAGACATCTTGCAAGGTTTTGATTACAATGAGGAGGTTATACTTTCCACTCGCGAAGTTGTCGAGCAAATCGCGCTGTCATGATGCGTCTCAGTCAACCATCTCGTAAATCATGAAACTTCACATACCTGCTCATGACTATCAGTGACAAGGAGTTCGCTGACCACAGCGTAAGGTCGAATGAAACCCAGTTCATCGATCATGGTCCTCATGATATCCACCATAATTGTCGCGACTTCGGGGCGTTGGGCTACAGTGTAGACCATTTATCAACTCGTATCAAGATAGGTTGCCTTATACAAACCCAAGACGATTCCACGGAATTTGTCCCCGTAAGCTCCACATGATTTGAGAACATGAATCAACTGCACGAATTTGGGCGTCACATTGAAGCCTCTAGAGAAAAGGTTCAAGTTCGGCATGGCGAACACCCAGTTTTTGACCAGATCGCAGATTTTGTTGGCGATCTCAAAAACAGGGTCGTCATCGTCATTCCTATGGGCGGCATATTCTCTAATGTCCCTGCGCCAGACGAGATCACTGGCACATAAGCCAACCTCGGCCAGAGCATAGCGGGCAGCGCGAAAAGTACTTGCAAAAGAAGATTCCTCTGGATCAATCTCGTGGAGAGCCTCCATCAATCTCGATTCTGCGTTTGGCAAAAGTGCATCATAGAGAATGACGGCCTCAGGAGGACGAATGTCGGACGCACAAAGTACTGGTCTCGAAGATAGAGAAGGATCCTGGAGCATGGCACGATTCAGGACAACACCATCGGTGGCTAGGGGAGCCGATGCGCTATTATTTAAACCAGGCCGGTCACCGCCAGCCTCACACGACTGGGTATCCTGATTCATGTCGCACTTCAAGTTAGGACTTGGATGTCTAGCACTAGATGTTTCTTTCCAGATTCTCAACATCGCGACTTCTTCTGCAGATGAGAAGAAATATTGTCGCAGAGACCAAAGGAAACAAGGAATAACGACGCGACGGGGACAGCAACAGATTGAATTCCTCGAGCAACTTTTGAAGTCACTGGTACTTACGGCTGCCGTGACTTTGCCGTGACTTCATCAGTCACAGCATTGTGACTACTTGGGTTGAACTATGTAATCCACGATTCAAGCGCTCTCCAGCGTTCATCCCATGAAAGTTACTGGTCTGCTATCAGCAGACGGCTGCCCTGCATAGGCTTCTGCAGGAGTGATGGTAAACAATGCACCGGTCATCTTTTCTATCGTAGATCGCCTCGGCCCCGACTTTGCACAACGATCGGTGACAAGGGCCCGAGTTTCCCCTGATCCATGCCTACCTGCGCGTTTGCCTACGACAGGTGCGTCGTAGCATCATCTTCCTCACACCATACCCAACATATCTCAAGGCTTCCTGCAGCGAGAGGCCGAGCAGAACGCACCCAAAGCGGTGTTGAGACAGTTACGACGCAGTCCAACACCACCTAGTCCAACTGCCGAATACCATGATGCGACAGAGGATACCTCAACTCACGCCGGGAGAAGGGACAGTATTTCTTCAGGCTCAGACCAAACTTCTCCGACGTTGGCTTTGGTGGGCACGTCTTCGAGAAGTCAAACCTCAGGGGGTTGGAAAGAGCCTCAAGTAAGTTGCTGTCACTCGTCCCGACTAGTACAGGGTGTTCATACATTCCATTTCGCTAGCCATTTGAAGTCTTTCGCGCTGTCGAGCGTAAGGATATCATGTTTCTGATGGAAGTTCGCGACCGTGCTTTCCCGGTAGTTCAAACACCTTGTATTTTCTTCCTCATACTGATGATTCCCCAGCTACTACTTCGCAAAACCGGGGATGCTACACCTCTCCTTCACGCTATGCGTATCGGACAGTCTCACCGTGACGTTGCCATCCTATTGCTCGGAGCTTTCTCTCGTTGGATCAATCATCTAGAGGACAGCGAGATTGGTCTCCCACGGACAAGAGTAATTCTCAAGGCTTTGCGTTAGTCCAGCTTCAAGCAATTCCTAATGAAGTGCTTACCTTGTGGCAGGAACAAACCTCAAGCTTGGCATAGATTATGGTCTCTATAAATCTCAGAGCGATCTCGCAGCATCTTTTATGCAAACACTTGTGATGAGCGAGGGAGAAAAATGGATTCGTGCCCAGGTATCATCAGTGTCTCTTGCGTTGAGATCTGGCAATGCTGGAAAACCTGTTTCCACCGCTGAGGCGGCGGTGCGAAAGTTCGCTACCAAAGAACTAAGTAAGGCAGATGCAATCGCTGCCTTGGAGGATTAGTAGGTCACTTTCGATTTGGTATTGACTCGCTTAACGAACAAACCCGCAAGTGTGGCAAATGCTACGACTGACCTTCTACTTCTTGGTGCTTGGGCGATGGCATTGGAATCTATCGAAGGGGATCAAATACCGGTAAGTAATGGAATTGAACACTGCCAATAATTTACATCTGCTCTTGCTTCTAGGTCTATTATTTTGCTCGAGATGACAGAGTCTTTAAGGCTTTCGCGGACAGAGTAAATACTCACCAAGCTACCATTCGTCGCGCACTGAGTCGACGCCTGAAATGGCAATTCCGCGTGCTGCAGAGCGTACTAGAAGGGAGAAATACCACTTATCGAGTAAGCAATGTGTACTTCGTGCTATGCAACTTACTTAGAATTTCTTTCTCAGAGAAAAGTGGAAATTTTGACTGAAGAATTGGATGATGGAGACGGGGTGTAGTTTATGCGGATGGACATGAACTTGATTACGCTCTATGTTCAGGTATCGTTTCATCTAGTGTTCGTCTCTATCGTTTTATGGACAAGTTACTGCCTGTGAACATTCTGCAGCTTTCTCGGTGGTCTCTGCTCGTACAAGGTGCCCTCGGGATGCAAGACCACATCCTGGTTGGGGCGTATCATCGAGCAAACATGGAGACATGAACACTTTGTTCTGTTCGTCAAATGCATATCCTTCTCACACTGCTGTGTGGAACCGCGGCGCATATAGGGTTACTTATACCTATTCTCGGGTATGCGTTGCTATGATCCATGACGAACAACATTATCAGTGAAATATTTATCATGTTGAGCTAATGCAATCTATCTATCCAATGCTAGTAAATAACTGTCCTTTCGCGCGATTACTATGGTTCGTGCGGTCCGTCAATGTGAAACAGAATCACAGACCGAGTTTCATTCCTGTGAACCATGTCCAAGCTCCTATCATCACTAAGCTAAGAACGGCCCAATTCAAGTTCAACTGTACAACTGTATACAGCCATATTGTTGCGAATTGCGGACACTTGGGGATGATCTGTAAACGGGGCATCTTCCCGGGACAGAAGACAACATACCTGTCGCATATTGACGAGCCATGATCCACGATTGATGAGCCATATCATTCGGGGCCCCACGCCGAGGGAGAGTATGAACATAGCGAATTGTGTGCGAGGGTTAGCCTTGTGTCGCGTGGCTAGGGGCAATCAGTCAGAAGGTACTCCAAACTGACACAGGCCAATTATACTCACTGTAGAACACAAATATCGACAAAACTGCACGGTTTTGAGCATCAAGAATTCTCCAAGCATATTTCGAACATACTAGGGAAGTTTGTGAGGAGCCGCCGGGCAACCTCGCCAACGGTTGGCTGCAGTGCGTACTGTTGATGTATGAGGCTGTCCAAAATAATGGGAGGTGAGGTGGGAGGCAAACACTAGGCGTAAGCTCACATGTCCATCATGATTAGAAAGAAGGTAAACGGCATAATGAACACGACCGCGTTGAAGATCTCCTCCGCAAGTGGGAGTGGTTCGACATTGCCTGCAGTCTCCCCAGGTTTTTGTATGTCAGATTCAGTTATCTTCCTGAGAACACCGGCTTCTTGTATCAAGCGCCACTGCTCGTCTTCGGATATCTCGAGTAAAGGCTTCTGCGCAGGCGTAGTCTGCGTTTTCTGGCGATTCCTAGCCATCGTCCGTGAATTTGAGTTACCAAGTACTGGCAGGTACCGTGGCGTTTGCAACTCTGGGAGAGTTGCCGCCGGAATTACCAAATTTAGCCAAGATTTAGCTCTTCCATTTCAAACAAGGATGGAATAATCCCACTAGTCTTGACCGTTGCTTTCAAAAATCAAAATGATAGAGGACGAGGCAGCTAGATTGCTCGACCTCCTACAAGCACATGGCCAACAATTTCTAAACTCTTTCGATCTCAGTCAACCTCCTCGGAAGAGGCAGAGAATAGAGGAGTCCCCCGAGGAGCTTGAGAGCGAGGATTTTGAGGAGTGGAGAGGCTTCAGCAACGCAGCGGTCGAATCTTACGCATCCGAAGAAGATAACGACGACGGTTTGTGGTCATCCAGGCGGCTCTTCGTTAACTATAATGGCTACATCGTCAGACACTCCCTATGAATACGATGACGGCTTTACCGCCAGTTCTTCTGCTAAGATGCCAGATGTAGTGGTGTTCTCAGATTCGAGGCCGAAGCCATCAGAACAGTTCTCGAAAGCTCAGAAAAAAGCTTTCATGGCAAGTCTTATATACCGGCACCTTCATATACTGATACAGGAGTGTAACAGTCTTCAAAAGTAGCTAAAGTTACATCCACAACAGAAGCAGACGGTGTCCCGCATCAAGACGAAGATGACATACAAAATGACAATGAGGATATGTGAGTCCTCGATATTTCGAGGTCGTTCTCTTACATATTCTGCCAGCTCGAATGCCCAGAACGATGCTCTCCTCCATCGCTTGGTCCACACGAAACTGCTATCTGGGTCTTTGAACCCTGAGCTCAACCTGACACATGCACAACGAGAGAAAGCACTTTCCGGTCGTGTCTTAGAACTTGCAGGGAAAACCAAACTTGGTAAGGGAGAAGTCGCCATTCGTGCTGCGGAACGAAATAAGGCTTCCAAGCGAGTGCGAGAAGGGCTCTCAAGGAAGAAGAATGAGCGAGAAAAGCAAGAACTGGAAGAGGTTCGTTTCATCGCGTTTTGCTACTCAATCACATCGTGAATAGCGGTTTTCTCTTAGGCTAAAAATTTGGGAAACTACCACCCCACTCTCAAAAAATTGTTTGATGCATCATCTTCTGGGTCGTCAGACCGTCAAAGACGAGTTAGAGGTATCGGGATGGGAGTGGGTAAGTTTAGTGGGGGAACGCTGAAGCTTAGTAGAGAGGAAATTAATTCGGTGACCGGTCGTGGGGTACATGGCACAGCCAGGCGCGGGCACAAAACAAGTCGTGGTCGAAGATGATGTCCTAGCGGTAACATAACATTACAATAATTATCCATCATGCACGACAGACGTGGAAGTATCAAATTTGGAAGGATTGCAACCCCTCACTGATTTGCTCAATGGGCTGCATGTCCGAGGGACGAGGCTCGTCACGCAGCCGACTGGAATTGGATTGTCGGTCGTCCGCAGGAGTCCTGCTGATCGTCAGAGCGCCCCTCGCTGCCTTTGCTTATTCACTCACTGTGAAAATTGCCTCTCAGACCTGCTCGAGGAAGCGTGGCTGCGGTGACTGTTTGACCTGTGCGTTGGTGGTTGCGATCCTCGTGGCTGGTCCTCGGGCTGCCAATCATCCCTTCCACGGTGGCCCTTATCTCGTGGGTGTCTGTCCCGGTGATCCCGGGTTCTGTATTCCCTGTCTCTGTATTCCTTGTCTCTGTATTCCTTGTCCCTGTATTCCTTGTCTCGATATTCCTTGTCTCTATATTCCCTGTCTCGGTAGGGATCTCTGTAGTCTCTATCCCTGTAGTCTCTATCCCTGTAGCCTCTACCCCTGTTCTCATGATAATAGTCATCGTGGTGCCTGTACGAGGGATCGGAGTGATATCTATGGGACGAATAGTTATCGTGGTGCCTGTACGAGGGATCGGAGTGGTATTTCTGAGACGAGTAGTCATCATAGTGCCTGTAGGGATCAGAGTGGTAGTTCTGGGACGAGTAACCCCTGCTAATACAATAAAACGATATCAAGGTCAGCATCGCGAGTCTTTTATGGCTCAAAGGCTGACCTTGGGCGTTTTGAACTATGTTGATTGGGATCCATCATAACCATTCTTGGATCCCTGGGACGGTAGGGCCTCTCGTGATCGAGGCCTTCATAGCTATAGTCAATCCTTGAGCGAATCTACAGAACCAGAGTGTCACATTGTTGTACCTGTAAATCTCACGCCCATGTTTGTCCTGCACAATAAAGGGTGCAGGACGTGGTGCAGGACGCCCGCTGAAATCGCCAACTCTTCGATTAACATCAATGCAAGCCACGGAACATAACATCAAACCAGAACTTACCTCGCGACTTCATTCCCGTATTCGTCTTGGAATATAACACTCACCCCGCCAGGGATGATGTAATAGATAGGACCGTGGCTACCTGAGTGAGGTGCCCGGCCTCCTGGATGGATTTCTTCGTGTCGCATCGGACGAATCTATAATAAATCATTATGGTTGTCGGAAAACGTGTATTATTGGCAAACCTCGTGGCCGTCCCCGTATATATTAGTAGGGGTCTTCCCCGGGTAATTACCCGGCGTGTGTACAGAAGCCTGGAAGGTGGCTGTCAGAAAACAGATAAACATGTGTAAAGTATAACACACCACTCTCGCATTAGAGTAACTAGACATTGGCGTTCTGAGCGCCTCAACAGTGTGATCGCTCCCTGAGTCATCAGATCTGTGAATTTGGGTGATAACAGGATCGTCAGGCATGTGACGACCTGAGACACTGCCGTGACTGAAAGAATCTGCCCGAGAGGCCCCATCTAGCGTATGACGATGGAAAGGTGTAGGTTGAACTGGCATCCTTGGAGGGCTATGTATAGTGTGCCCTTGCTCAGAAAATGTTTCTGAATATCGACTGCCGCCATCGTCTCGTTCGACGGACGGAACAGGGCTCAACGGACCTTCTGGTCTTGTGGGGCGGGCGTTGAGACTTCCCCCTAGAATAGTCTGTGGATTATCCACCCGAACGTAGCCATCGTAGTATTCATCTCCATCAGTAGGCGCACGTGATGGAACAGGAGTGAATACCTGTCCCGCGTTGAGCTTTAGGTTGCCATACAATGGAACGCAGAGCTTACTGGCTCCATCCTCTATCGAGAGGGCATGATATCAGCCCTGAATCCTGCAACAGAATGATATGCTTACTTTTCTTGTCAGTGTGTCATGCCTTCTCAGCTGTGGAGGAGGAATGGATTCGTGATGATCTGGTTTTGGAAATCCATTCTCGTAGTCATTGTAGACTGCGCGATCAGGACGATGATTATTGGGATTGCGAGAAGAGGATGTTCCGAATGCCTTGAACATGTTGAATGGCATCGTGACAGATATGTTTGAGAGCTGCGACGTTAGAAGGGGCAATTGTGGCTTGGGAATTTATGAAACCAAGACACGAGGCAACCATGAGTGATTGTGTAATTGAGCGTATTCCGCGCTTCTACAGCATGTCAAATCCTTGTACTTAATCTCCAAAGATAACACGGCGGATGGTGAGAAAACTGCGATACTGATCCCCATTTCAGGTAGTTAAAGCACTGTGAGCTTTCGGAAGGAGACTTTAGAACCTCGGACTAACATACATGTATATAGCCCACGGCCCGAAACCAAATATTATTATGTGTTTCTGTCGGGAACGACGACCAAAGTCACAGTATTGGGTGAAACAGGCTAGTACCATCAACAGGAGCGATCGGATAAACCTAATGCTCTTCTAGCTGCCTTACTTGGGACAAAGCCTGTGCAACCTTGTTGATGGCATCCGCAGCTGATGCAATAGATACCACGTCCATTTGATTTGCGTTTCCGCAGATCTGCGCAAGTCTTTGTGACATAGCATCCAAACACAGCTTAAGTGCCTGAACAGGGGGGTGCGCCGTAACTGCATTTGTAGACGGGACGCTTCCATGCTGCGCAAGATCGTCAGAGCGTCACAAGGCACTTGCGAGCACCGTACTAACCAGATCTCGCTCGCTACTGTTAGCCAAGTCTCGCGTGGAATTCGAAATATTGATTGTCAACTGATAATAAATCAGCTTACTTGATAATTAATTGTTTCGAAAGACAGTTACCTTTGACAACTCTGACGCAGGAAGTAATGACGAAGGCTAGGATCTATGTCAACTGTGATCTGGCCGAGCAAAATAACTTTTGGCACCTGTAAAGGCATACTGCGTATTACTGCCTTCCCCTTGTCACGAGAGCCCAATGTCATTGGAGCACTTGACATAGTGTCGGCAGCCCCCGAGCTGGCGCCTGCTTCAATTGTAGGTGGAGCTGGGACAAGGCGCTGCCACCCTTCGGAGACATCAGTAACATAGACCGTCCCGCAAATCACGCATTCCTAGACCCAGATAAATAATTTGTAAGTGAAAAACTATTGGGCATAACTCACCTTGCGAGGATCTCTCTCCTCTCCGACTTTTGGAGGTCTTACAAGAGGTATACCGTAACACCTGATGTTTGGGCATTCTTCGCCGAGCATCGCCCATCCCTTCAAAAGACGCTTTCCGATCTCTGCGGATGCTTGGTCTGATTGTTGCCGCCTGCGGATTGTCTCTTCGGTGTCAACGGGAGGGGCAAATGTTGGGGAGCTCAAAGCGCTGGATATCTCTGTAGGAGGGGTTGATGGTCGTGAATGAAACTCATGAGTTGATGATGAATCTGTTGATGATGAGTTAGACCGCATCGATGTAGCTGTGGATGAGGCAGGCTACATCATTGGACCAGAATATGATGGTTAAGCAATTCCTTACATTGTTGATGGTCATTACAATTCGCGCAAAAGTGAGTTATCGATGAACCATTGTTAGGCGACCTCATGAGAGGAACACCGCGACACGCGGGGGACGGGCATGTTGTGTCTGTCAACACCTATAATGAGGAATATGAACTTAGATGGGCAGTTCATAGAAGGAAAAGACGCGACCTGACCCAGCCTTTTATCATGTATTCTCCAAGTTTGCTAGAGACGTCGGCGATATTAGTGTTCATGTTTAAAATTGCTACAGGATCGTAGTCGCATTATGAGGACCAGTGCCAAGAATATGCGATCCTTCTGTCGACCACGTGATCACCAGCGCGAAAGTCAGTCCTTCCGCAAACTGTCCACGTCTACTATACTACTGATCAAAATCCGTGACTGGTTTTGATTTTCCTCTGCAGCATGAGATGGGGCAGACGTTACCCTTGTACATTTGCCTTCGCCCTCTTGATTACTCTAAATAACGGAGTCCACGCGCGGCAAAACACCAACACCAGTCTTCACCAAGAGACTGCTTGGACCTCTGAGCGCAAGAGGTCATTCAGGTGTGCACGCCTCTTTCTAATTTCCATTCAATGTCCGTGAACAACTATCCAGGGCAACCACAAAAGACCTATGGTACCATGGTTTTAACCATTATATGTCCCACGGTGAGCCTTGTCCAAATAATTCATGCATGTCGCCCACCTGTTGCTAGCTTTTCCGCTCGACGAGGTTCGCCTATCCTGAGCTAGTGCTCTTTCTATGCTCCAATTTGTTTCCAGCTGTCTCCGTTATCTTGCACCGGCAGAGGTCCAGATTGGGAAAATCCGTAAGTGTCACGGTATTGACCTGGCTTTGACCTGCTTGACACACCTAACAGCGCAAATATAGCACATAATGATGTTTCAGGAAACTACTCCCTGACTCTTATTGATGTTCTAGACACGCTGGTTGTGCTAGACGATCCTCCGGGGTTTCAGAACGCAGTTCGCAATGTCCTTGACTGGGTGTCATTCGATGTCAACACAAAACCGCAAGTATTTGAGACTACTATACGGGTGTTGGGCGGACTGTTATCTGGCCATATATTTGCGAGTCAACCTGAACAACCTTTTTATCTCCCTTGGTATCGCGGCCAGCTTCTAACGATGGCGTATGATCTTGGGAATCGACTACTACCTGCATTTGCCACCCCTACTGGCCTTCCTTTTGCTAGGGTGCGCATCTCCTTGTGTCTTTATAATGCACAGTACCAACGACATACAGGTCAACTTACGACACGGGGTTCGGCGGGGAGAATCCCTTGAAACTTGTTCGTTCCTAACAATTGGATCCATCGCTTTTAATATTAAAGTTACTGTAGGCACCGCTGGCGCCGGTTCCTTGATACTGGAATTCGCTACCCTTAGTCGTCTCACTGGAGATGACCGCTTTGAGAAGGCGGCATATAAGGCGTTCTTCGCACTATGGAACAGGAGATCTGATATTGGTTTGGTTGGCAATACAATTAATATATGGACTGGAGTGAGCTCGGCCTTGTTACTTTCCTTCCCGCTTCTAACTGGATTTTACAAGGTGTGGACACCACCAGAAGTAACAGGAATCGGCGCAGGCATTGATTCTTTCTATGAATATGCCTTGAAGTGGTACGTCATGAGTGGTGCGTTTGTCGAGTAGTTGGTGTATTCCATGCATTGACATCGCACATGGGCATCCTGCAGGTGAGGTAGAGTTTCTTGACGTGTGGCATGAAAGTTACGCCGCTGTGATGAGATACGCCCGTTCTCCGGACGGCCATATGGTCAGCAATGGTTGTCTTTCTTGTCTTAATGGTTCCCTCAAGTTCTTCTGTAGTTTCGCAGTGTCCACATACATACGGGTGATCAAGCGTATACCACAATTGATTCTCTGTCCGCTTTCTGGCCTGGTCTGCAAGTGCTGGGTGGTGATGTACAAAATGCCATCAAATCTCATATGACATGTGAGTATCTCTCATTATCCTCGGCTGACCTTGTTAATGATGTATTGGTTTGCGACAGACTGGAACATCTGGAGACGACATTCTGGTCTTCCTGAAGTTTGGGACGCTCAGTTTATGCAGGCGACGTCGTTCCAGTACCCTCTTCGACCAGAGTTCGTCGAATCAACGTGGTACCTATATAGGGTAGGCTTATCTTCATTCTCGCATGCTGTAGCTCATCACCAGACAGGCCACTCGAGACCCATATTATCTAGATGTCGGTGAACGTATTTTGAAAGATCTAATTATCCGTGCCAAGGTGGATTGCGGATTGACTGGTATCCAAGATTTACGGACCAATGCCAGAGATGACAGAATGGAATCGTTTGCATTGTCAGAAACACTGAAGGTCCGTCATTATAAACGGATAGTGCCTTGGGCTGGTTCTGATTACGATCTATCTAGTATTTGTTCCTTTTGTTCGACGAGGACAACCCCCTACACAAAGATGATTCACACTACGTTTTCACCACCGAAGGACACATTCTATCACTTCCGAAGGAAGTTCTAAAGCCCATGTCTCGTGTTCGACGAAACATGCGTGGCGAAGAGAACCACCAGTGTCCTTCGTATGAACCTGTACAAGACTTCACGCCTGATGGGACCATCAGTGGCCTCATCCGAGGTATCGGTTCGAGAGCGGACGTGGAGTATGCGAGATACCTGGTCGGATTACGATCGCAGCCTCTGGATGAGCACCACTGGTCTCCTGACGGCTGGTGCACAGTCCCTGAAGTTGATTTATATGTAAGGAAAATCCATGACATCCGACCATCGCAGTGACATCCTTCAGTAGTCTTTCGATTTCATTATGTCGCCCGGTGGCAAGCAGGTTCCCGAGGACCCTAACCCTGGGCCCCTCAAACTCAAGGCAGTGGCAGATGGGTTTATTCTTCATAATGTGACGGGCATCCGGGCCCACATCGTAAGTCGATTAGATCGTAAAGGTTACGATATCACGAAGCGTGAGGCCTCTTTTCCCCCTCAACAGGCAAACGAACTTACTTGTGAAACATCCTACTAGTTGGGCCGCACGCTGTACGCACTGGACAAATGGTGTATGTCAACGACTCTGCACTGTGGGAGCCCCTTCGAGATCCTCGCCCTACTTATCGTAGCCAGGACGTTCAACTTCGTATTTTTCTTGACACGTTTGACCCGGCACTCGTAGCGCAACCAGGGGCTTCCAGCTTTAACGGAGAGACGTACGTCAAGGCGCATACTGCCCAGTTTGGTGGAGACTTGGCTGCACTTGATGGCTCTGACCCCCTTCGCTTCGGCTATTGGGAAGGCACGGAGGTGCAGCGGGACAAAAGCAACCTCCTCGGGTGCAAACCGTATGAAACCGAATTCAATGGAAACGCTGTCCTCGTCCATCGTGGTGACTGCACGTTCCTGGAGAAGCTGGTCTATGCGCGGGATGCAGGCGCTTCAGGAGTCATTGTTGTCAGTGATGAGGATACTCCTATCAATCCTTCCGCTTCACCCGCAGAAATCGCTGCTGCGGGCGACATCAGCGACGTCGCTTTGGTGCTGTTGTCGCATACCGTTGGCAAATCTATCACTGCCATGGTAGACGCTGCTGGGATGTTTGGCTACGGACATGTCATGTTTGCTGTTGATTCCGAGGCGCAAGCATGGACAGAGGGATTAATAGATCCGACACCAGGAGAAACTGGGCAAATCCTGTACATCAACGGACACCCTTTACTAAATACTAGACTAATGTTATAAAGTAATATTTGAGCTCCAGTCGAGACTTTTGCGGCCTTCTATAGGTCTGGCTGGGGGAGACTAGTCACTGATAGGGCTACAACGTTGACCCATGAGTTCAGACATTCAAGTTGTAATGCGCATCACAAATTGACCGCTGCACGCGCTGTTGGCATCGCCTCGGTTTCATATATTTTGCGGCCAACACGCCTATGTCGCCGTGGACAAGGACAGAAATCTACGTATACGATGGCAGCTAATGAATGCATGAACTCATCTATACCTAAGCCTAATCCACAGCACTAATCACAGGAACGGGTATCTGTTTCCGACATAAAAATATCAATAAATGAGAACGCGCCCAGCAACTCAATCCAAGTATTGAATAATAGAGTATGCGGGGGCATCCAAACACTGGTATCCCTTAAGAAACATTATCTCGATGATGAAGAGATACTCGATTGTCACCCCGCCTAGCTTCTTGACGAGCTCGCCAGCAGCCTTGGCAGAGCCCCCTGAGAAAAGTGTGAAGCACAGCACCAAATGATGAGAGAGCCTGGACTCACCGGTGGCAATTAGATCATCTACAATAATCACGGACTGCCCAGGTTGAATGGCGTCTGATTGCATTTCGAAGGTATCCTGTACGACACCAGTTAGACCGTATTTGACGCCCAAAATATATAAAAACTCACAGCACCATACTCCTTTTCGTAGGTCGCTGAGACACACTCTCCCGGGAGCTTGCCATGTTTACGAACAGGTACAAATGCTGCTCCCAGTCGCAGCGCAATGATAGGCCCAAGGAGGAATCCTCGAGCGTCTAGGCCGACTACGACATCAACTTTTTTGTGCAGTGATTTTGGTATAGTTTGCGACGTGATGTGATAAACAAAATGTGTTATGAGTGTCTCGAACGTGATTGGATTGCGGAGTATAGGGAAAATGTCGAGGAAGCTGATACCCTGGAATGGAACTATGTTGAGGTTCTCTCCGGGGCTGCTAGAGTAGAGCTCTGACGAACCTTCTTGGGAAAATCGGCATGGAGTCGAATGACACTTTGCAGGTATTCGACGTCGGCCATGGTGTACTATACAATAGTCTACGGTTGCAAGAAGGTGGTTGCTAACCGGGAGACAGAATGAAGAGGGTGACGTTTTATACCTGGAGGGATATCAGAAGCAAACCGTTTCGAGTTGGTTTCGAGCGAACTCAAATTGGCTGTCTTGACGTGTTGAACCCGTCTTGGCACCGCGAGATACTACAGCCTTCCTGATGCCACCTGAAACTCCTCGTCGGGCCTCGGCAATTCACGATTTCTCATTTGAAGCTGACTTTACAACAGATTGTGCATGGTGTCATGATGCTCATAGATTGAACGATACCCTTGTAGCATAAGTACTTGCGAGTGGTCATATGAAAAGATACAAAGGTAGACGACGAGTAAAAAGAGTTTTAAACAGACTCGAGAATCTCGGGCTCCTTGAAGTCCTTTGCTACCCGGGTGCCAGTCTCCTACAACATTGATGTCAGTTTCTGGTCAACTAGAACAAGTGTGATGATTGCTTACATCCGTTGAGTCGCCGTGAAGCTCAAGTAGTTTCGAGACATCGAACTTCGGTGCCTTGAGGATTTTTGCCTTGCGGACGTAGACATTTTGTAGAGGGTAGATGTTACGGGTGTGCTTCTCTATCTCCCGTCCAATAGCCTCTGGCACAAACTTCTGCACCAACTCCTTCAAATCACAGCTCGACGCTTCCCGAGTCATGATCTCGAACATCTTCTTCCGAATTTCGCGAATTTGACTCGTCTGGGCGTAGGTGGTCTTGCGCACCTGGTTTGGGCGGCGCTTGGTGAAACCGATAGCAAAGAGGCGGATGAGGTAGCCGTCGGTCGTCTTCACGTCGACGTGTGCCTCAATGAGAGTTTGCCACTTGCGGACAAGGGAGCGTAGCTTGTCCGAAGTGAAGTCCATGCCGTGGAAATTTGTCAAACAGTTCTTTCCTTGCACCTCATCGATCCGTAGTTTGATCTTACGGAATGATTGTTCCTCATCCTTGTTGAGGTCGGCGAGGGATACCTCGATAATGCGGCCCTTGAGAGAGTCATTGGCGTTTTCTAGTAAAAACATCAGGATATGTGTTTGATTTGAGCGACGAGATCTTGTACGCACTCAAACCCTGTGATCGATTGACGAGAGTCTTGCCAACATTTCGGACTTCAAATGTGGAGGGTGCTTTGACATCATACCACTCTGAATAACCATGATATTAGCCAGATAGGTCACGAGCAAAGTAGAATGAAACTCACCCTTGCGCGAGAAAGGGTCGACGACCTTCTTCTTGATACCCTTCTTACCCTTAGACAGACGTTTGTTCTACGAAATGGATAAGTGACATATACCAGTCTGATGAAAGCAAATCAATACATACTTTTCCTACAGCCATATTGAATTCGTGCGCTGGCGGTGGGGAGGGGACCGCTAGTCGTTATGAGCCGGCACTTGGACGAGCTACAGAGTTTAGGTGTGTTGTAACGGCTATAGAATTTGGTCTTGTTGTGCTCCCTGAGATGGTGGCTTGAACCTTATTTCAATAATTGTACAGCACGTTCTCACGCCACATTTGCTAATGACCGCAACGTTCACCCGACAGCAGTTCGACGAGGCATGCCGGGAATTCATTCACGCTCATCAATCCATCTCATCAGAGTCTTCTGCGTATGAAGACAGGCTTTCGGGATGGTCTTGGAAAGAGCATCATGTACGCCGGCATTATATATAGCCTGTTTCTTTTCATGGATTTCGAAATGCACAGACACTGCCAGGCTTCGGTTACATGCATCGGATTATCACTTTGAACTGGCGTCACCCAGCGTCAGTTGAATCATCTCTTGAGATTGAGGATAGTTTGGACGTCGTCGACGATGGCACAACCGCTTCGCATGGCTCCCCCGATTCGTTGACTTGTCATCAGTATGTGGTGCTATCAGCGACTTTCCGTGTACCAGCATTTTATTTTTCCATTCATGGTTCGAGTACGTGTGGCTAGGATATACTCCATAAATGAGACGCACTTAACTTGATAGCGCAGGCGGTTCCCCACTTCAGCTGGTTGATATCATGAAAACTTCTCTTCTCCGTAAGGATGTGTGCGAAGGGACGGTCGCTACAACATTCGCTGTATCGCACCCGGCAACGAACTTCCCCCTCCTATCGCAAGGTGAACATCCGACGCTAGGCACGCCCTGTTGGTATTTTCACCCATGTGAAACCGCCAGTGCAGTTCACGAGATCCTCAAGGAATCAGAGGAGAGCGGCGGGAGAGCACTGAGATGGATGGAAGCTTGGTTCACAGTGTTGAGCACAGCCGTGGCCACGTAGTGATATCCACGGTATTTTTGGATGGTGTTCTCAGGCTGGGATTTGGGTGGAATGTGTTTTGGACAAAAGGCTTCTATAGGCTTCGTCAGTCCCTCACATGTGACGAGATCAACTATATGTAATGTCCCGGATCTTGCGTGCAATGGACGTACTTATATATGAAGGAGGCGATGGGCGTTGACTGAGTACTGAACATTGTCACCACCCACGTCGAGCTCAAAGGTCAGATCATTTGACCCACACATCGCACCACACGCTTATTCAATTGCTGTCGTACGATCATACTGCTCAATTCCGAATAATCACACTTGTCAAATAAAAGCCAGTCCATCATGATGCTTGCAGCGCGTCTTACATCCGTATCAAAGTCATCCCGTCCTTCTATCTCATCTTTTGTGCGCAAAATGGTATGTCTTCTTATGTGAAATTAACATAATAGAGCTCATTTTTTCAAGTCCTCCCATGAAGCTGTCATTGTTGCTGCCTCTCGTACGCCTGTCGGATCCCTATACGGGTCACTCAAGACTTTGACTGCACCCCAGCTTGGTGCTGTCGCCCTCAAGCATGCTTTCGAACAATCCAAAGTCGATCCCGCAGTCGTCGAGGAGATCTACTTCGGCAATGTCGTTCAAGCTGGTGTCGGTCAATCACCCGCACGTCAAGTTGCACTTGCTGCCGGCATGAAATCTGCATCTGACGCTACAACCATCAACAAAGTTTGTGCTAGCGGTATGAAGACCATTATGCTGGCTGCCCAGAGCATAGAGTGTGGTTACAAGAACGTGGTTGCAGCTGGTGGTATGGAGAGCATGAGTAACGCTCCGTAAGCAATACAGTCTTTTATTGCCCGTTTGCTTGTCATATTGACGTAACCTCAAGTTTCCTCCTTCCCCGCACGAATCCTTTGTTCGGCAAATTCGAGACCAAGGACTCTGTCGAGAATGATGGTCTCTGGGATGTCTACAACAATTTCGCTATGGGTAATTGCGGTGAGACCGCCGCAGAGAAGTACGACATCAGCCGAGTCTCCCTTGATGAGCATGCAATCGAGTCGTACAAGCGTGCTGACCGTGCGTGGAAAGAAGGGGTCTTTAATGCTGAGATAGCACCTGTCACCATTAAGGGCAAGAAGGGCGACACCGTTATTAAGGAGGATGAGGAGTATAAGAAAGTCATGTTTGAGAAGGTCCCCTCCCTAAAGTCAGCCTTCAAAGCAGGCGGACGGATCACAGCCGCCAACTCTTCAAACCTCAATGATGGTGCCTCCGCCCTGATCTTAATGTCAGCAGAGAAAGCAAAGGAGCTTGGCGTGAAACCGCTCGCCAAAGTCATTTGTGAGTCGGGGCCTATTACGCCACTTGTGCCTCGTCTGATATGCCATTTTCCGTAGCATATGCGGATGCTGGCGTTGAGCCCATCGATTTCCCCATGGCTCCTACTGTTGCTCTCCCGGAAGCACTAAAGAGAGCAAACTTGACTGTCGATGACATTGCGCGTTTCGAGATTAATGAAGCCTTCTCGGTCGTTGTCCGCATCGCCGAAAAGCTCCTACAAATTGATCCTGCAAAAGTTAATGTTAATGGGCAAGTGTTGTGACTTCACGTAGACGTTGCATCTGCTAATGCGATTTAACAGTGGCGCTGTTGCACTTGGTCATGCGATTGGAAACTCGGGTTCTCGCATTGTGGTATCTCTGGTTCACGCCCTGAAGTCTGGTGAGTATGGTGCAGCAGGCATCTGCAACGGGGTAAGTAACTCGCAATTCTGTGTTATGTCACTCACATCGTGCCTTTCTAGGGTGGTGCTGCTTCAGCCATCGTTATTCAAAAACTATAGTTTTTGTTTTGCTTTACTTGTTTCTGGATAATCTTACGAACTTTCATACAATACACTCATTCGTAATCTATTTTTCTCAATAGAAACCATCCAAATCTCTACGCAACGTTCGTGAGAAGCTCGAGAATAAATCGGTCTCGCCGGCTTACCGTGAATCCGTCCTTGGCTTGTCGGGTGACTTATCTCCCGCTTGCCTCATGGAACCTGTCGGCTTGCTTATCTGTTCCCTCACTGCAGCACGGGTCGTTGGAGCCACTAGGTTTGTCACTTATCTTGCAGGCACAGCAATGTCACCAAGCCGTCGCGGATGCATTTCTTTCTGGGAGATGCTTGAGAGGATAAGAAGCCAGTTCAATGTTTGAGTCTTGATTACGCGCTAGTGCAATGTCTTCCGAAACTAGTGCGGCAAAGAATCTGGACGAAGTCGAGAAGAGCTCGCAGCTTGAGACATATGACGAGAAGCTTGGGCTAGACTCGATCGATACTTCTGATGGTGATGCGGCTCTTCAGCTCGTCGGCGCGCAGGCAACGGTTCACTTCAGTGAGGAGTATAACCGAAAGCTCAGGCGCAAGCTGGTAGGTACCCCTGTTTCTTGCACTTTCGCGTCTTTGACTTGAACATTGACGAATCTACAGGACTTTGTCATCCCTACCATTTCAGCCGCTGTATACTTCAGTCAATATTTGTTCGTCGTTTGATGAACTTGATATTCCTTTATGCTCACCTTAAACAGGGACAAGACCTCACTGAACTATGCGAGGCGAGTGCTATTTGCAGCAATGCTGGTTGACGTGAATATTGACAATGTTGCAGTATCATGGGTTTCCCGATCGTGGGCCAGGCAAGTTATAATATTTGCTGCATCCAGTGCATGCTAACATGCATCTAGAACTACAACTTGGTATCCATGGCCTTCTACCTGGGTAAGATTCGATTCTGTAGACAGACATAAATCTGTATGAACTGCTCAACTTCAGGTTACCTCTTTTGGGAGTTTCCGACCGTCTATATCTCGCAGAAACTTAGGTTGGCCAAGTATCTCGGTGAGGTAGAAATCAATGAACCATAACATCAGCTGACCATTTGTAGGCGGCAACATTGTTGTATGGGGAATCATCCTCATGCTGCATGCCTCAACAGACAACTTCGGAGCCTTCTTTGCTCTCAGATTCCTCTTGGGTAAGTCTCTTTGCGCATTATAGACACAAAACACAAACTCGAAATGGTCAGGAATGTGCGAGTCTTGTGTCGCACCGTGTCTCATTCTCATCATCTCGATGTTCTACAAGAAGGATGAGCAGGTGGGCGAGAATTCTGTTGTGAAATATAGCAGCTTTTGACCCATAATCATAAAGGCTAAACGTATATCATGGTTCTACATCATGGTGCGACCGTCTTCAATTCAAATTTTGCACTGCCTCTGACTTCGTTTAGAATGGCCTAACCCAAGTGTTCGGTGGTTTCGTGGCATACGTGAGTGCTTACTGCACTAGGGGACGCAAGATCAATGATGCATGCTCTTTCAGGGTATCTCATTCTATGGCGGCAAGGCTTTACCGCCCTACAAGATCATTTACATACTGCTTGGTGCTCTTGCGGTCGTAGTCGGCATAGTCGTTTTAATCTGGCTACCAGATTCCCCCGTAAATGCTTCCATGCTGACAAGGGAGGAGCGGATTGCTGCTCTCGAACGTGTTCGGAACGATCAAGGAGGTACGGAGAACAAAAAATTCAAGAAGGACCAGGTCATCGAAGCCCTCACGGACGTTCGCACATGGCTCGTTGTTTTGTCCACGATATTGAGTAAACTCTTTCGCCTGGATCTGCATAAAAGGCAGCTAATGCGGATTTCATAGCGAGTATCCCCAATGGAGCTTTGAGTAACTGTAAGTCGCATCAATAGAAATCAGCCCAGTGGAAGTTAATTTCTTGACTGAAGTCAGTAACATCATCATCAAAAGCTTCGGATATACGTGCGCCGACCGTGCTATCTTTGCTTCTCACTTACATGCGTTTCTCTTAGATCAAAGCAAACACTGATCCTTGGCACTCCTGCGGGATTTATTGGTTCCGCGATGGTGCTTTTCTGTGGATGGTATTCTGACAAGAAGGTAGAACGCCTAAAATTCTCTCGGTAATATTCTAAACCACTTTTAGGGCGAGCGGATGATCCCCATCGTGTTTGCATTGATTCCTACCATTGTCGGCGCAGGTATGCTGTTCGTAAATCTTAGAGGGGAACGTCGATTGAAAGTGAGAGATAGCCATCCTAATTGGCCTGAACGGTTCTTCCAACAAGGGTGTTCTGCTCTTTGGTCCGTCTAGTTGTCACCCCGTTGAATTTTTCATGAAATCTGATTGTCGCGGCAGCGACATACATAATCGGTACATTTGGCAGTGCACTCTCCACGATCTACGCATACAATGCAAGCAACACCAGTGGCCATACCAAGAAGGTACGGTTGAAGTTGGTCCTCCTCCTTTATTTCCTATGTCTAATTTATGTGGTGCTTAGGTGACGATTAATGCAATGACGATGGCCACTTTTAGCATTGGCAATATCATTGGGACTGAGATATTCCAGCCTAAAGATGCGCCGGCCTACATTCCGGGAAAGACTGCGATCATGGTCTTGTTGATCGTGCAACTGGGCGTCTCGTTTTTACTACGCTACATCAACATTCGCTTAAACAGAAATCGGAAAATCCAGCTGGCGGAAGAAAAGGCGCGTCGGGGTTGGACTGATGAAGATGTGCAACGGGAAAGGGAGCGTCACGCATTTGCTGACCTCACCGATAGGCAGAACCTTTTCTTCATATACACATGTTAAGAGGATGAGTACATAACTCTGTATATCAATGTATTTCTTAGGTCTATGGACAGTTGCACCGTCTGAAAATTATGAAAGAGCAGTGAAGTTGTCCAAAAGGCCGATAAATTTAACCGACATGGCGGTGAACAAATTAAGCAACCGAAAAGGGTTCGTGTATATAACTTCCGCAAGAAGAACCATCAGGAAAAAGTTGAATGCGAACTCGAACTTGTAAAATCGAACATCCTTTAATATGGCTGAACTGGCACCGCAGAATATGCTAATCATGCCGTATGAGTGGTTTCAATCGATAATGATGGTAAACCACACGACAATACAGTATTTATGCGCTATAATGGATATGCCTGAAATCAGGCTGTGGAGGTGTCAGCATGTGCACATGGTCACAGATAGCACGTACCCCGTATACGTTTCCAATATTCCTTGATGGCATTAGGTGCGTCATCGGCAAGCGGATGTTCTGGTTCCCATGACGCGTCATCAGAGCTATATCCCTCCCAGTACACTAAAAATTCTCTTTCGCCGTCCGCTCCTCGGTGTGATTGAATTGAGGCCACGACAAACTTCTCGATGTACTCAACTTCTGCTTCCTCCTGACATTTGATACGGAGCGATTTCCGCGCAGGAAGCGCCCACGCCTTGGGAAGACGCATCTTTGGAAGTGCGCCAGATGAGTGAAAGGGGCGACGGGCTGGCGTTTCGAGCTTCCTGACATATTTATCGATCTCGCATAAGGTATGCTCGATATCGCACAGCATAATAGGACGAGCCTTGGACCCTAAGCCATTAAACTTCAGTTTGAGGCGCGAGAAATGATCGCTCTGCGTGAGTTGCATCCATCGGATTATGTCAACCTCGCACGCGCGAGGAATGAGACCTTTGAAACAACGTTGAAGGCCGCGACGCGAACCCAACCCAACCACCACAAAATCGTAGTCCGAGAAGTCCAGAACACGTGAATAGGACAGGTTCAGCACAAGCTGGTACGCAGTGAAATCTCCCATGCTCTTAAAAGTGCACAGCCATTCAAAAACATCTGCAATGTACTCGGCCTTTGCGCACTGCGCGGGCAAGTCTTTCATCAAGACCTCCATGAAAGCCAGATGGTTCATGAAATTTTCCACGAAACCTAGACTAGGTGCAGGCTTTTGAAAAGCCCCAGTGTATAAGGCGACTCTGTCATCGTACAAACGACGCAAGACGCGTTCGTAATCGGCTCGTTCGTAGGTGGACCAAGTGAGAGGTGTGATCGCGCCTCGTAGTGTTTCATATGTATTGATGCTCGTGAAAGTGTTGAAAAGCAGAATTCGAAACACCAGTTCGGTGGGATCTTGAGAACCGTTTTCGATGACTTCGGTAATGATGAATTGGCTCACTCGGTCTAGAACCCGGTACGTATTGCAGAATGGAAAGACTTGTAAAATGGGGTCGGCTGTCCATCTGCCAAATATATTGAGGTAGGCATCAAGGGAGGAATGGGTGTATACATACGGGGCGGGGAGGCCTTTGAGACGCTTTTCAGTTATGGCATGTCTTTCTGCCGCGAAACGCCAAAACGTATCGAACACAGGTGTTGGTTCGAAAGTCCGGCCTCGTACAGTGACAGTCAAAGGCGGTGAGGTCGCATCTGACGGATGAAGTTTTGAGCGTTTGGGACATTTGTCCAAAGCACAGTTTTTCGCTGTTCGTTTCCGGCTGGAACCCATGGTGAAACGAAGAACGATTGGACTGTAGGTTAGTTTTCAATGTGAATCGGCTCGCCAACTTGAAAAAAAAAAAAGAAAAACATACACGCCTCTCGAAGACAAGAAAACAGCGGTAGCGACTGGCTGCTCGATGACTTGAAGAGAACCAAGTGGCGTTGAATAGTCCCGCTCATTATTAATGGTAGATCCCCGCGTCCGAGTCGCGCCTGGACTCACGCGTTTCATTTTAGTCGTCCCGAACCCCCTTTTCGCCACCCTGACTTGTACGTAAGCACGCACTTCTATTGAAGTTTACCATCATTCCTCAAGCTCGCCGCGCTCGAGCCATGGATAAGTCATTAAAGAATGATTATATCCAAGCATACCTCGACCGTCAGAAAGTCTATGTACATTCATATTCTTCTGAGGGAATCGAACTTCATCGCCCGTCAAAAATATCCAACGGGACACCAACGAGGGCGCGGCGTGAAGAAACGAAAGAGCTTAACTTTGGGTTCGACACGCCTATACTCGTCCCCCGCGTGGCCAAGCCTATTATCAGTACGGACAAGCGCTCAGTCGCAGAGCTCTCCGCCAAGGCAACGCAAAGGACCCGAAAGCCTCGGAAGGTACTTGATGCTGAGACCTCTGCAAAGGAAACCAAAGGCTCAGTGCGTGCACCGCTCAGCACCGCTCAACGTGATCCATCCAAGCGGAAGCGTAAGAAGGCTGAAGTCCCGTCGGATTCCGATGAAGAACGCCAGGCTAGTGAGTTCTTGCCTGTGTCTCCATGAATCTACCCTTCAAACAATTAATTATGTAAAGGACTAAACGAGCGTCGAGAACGGAAACGCGTAAAGCGCGATATCGTGAAACCAGACATCAATATCGCAGTGGATAGCTCTCCAGCAAGTAAAAAGGAAGATAAGATGGTTGCTCGTAAAAAGGGAAAGAAACACTCGGGCAGCGCGGGTCTTGCACTCTTGCACGGATTCTCAGCGACTAATGTCGGTAAAAACCGCCTCACGGTGAGTACTGCCAGTCTATTCCTTTACGCCTGGGTCTCACCGTGACTTGAGTTAAAACCGTTGGCATCTCTCGGAGTGTTTATGAAGGGAAAATCATCCGCCAAGACGAAGGTATACAAAGCGAAGGAGCCATGTAAGAAACGTACACATTTCTTCTTCAGAAACATTGATCATAGTGCATGGATTCCAGCCCAGAAGTTATTTTCAGAATTAGCGTTTCTCGAGAAGACAACCAAGCAACACGAGTCTCTGGTGGATGGGTCAATTATACTCGACTCTTCCTCTCGACCACCCTCCCCATCTGGGAAGAAGATCACGATTACGAATTATCGCAAAGACAAGAAATCGGCACGACGACCCACAAGCCGCCATTCTGCGGTTCCGGACCTTCCTAGGGGAAGCCCAGCCATGTCGGAGCCGTGGGACATCGAGCTTCAAAGCAAATGTCTATCTTCAGACGGTTTCTGCCCTCAGCCAGACAAACACATAACCGGGTCGCTAGTACTCGATCCCCGTATGGCCAGTTGGCATGATCAGAAGCTACCATCTGAGGGCCAGGTGGTACACTCTTCCCTTATAATGACTCCCGTGAAGGAAACGTCTCATGACTGTATGCCTGACGAAATTCTATCATCAGTTCCGGCGTCTGCCATCGCGACCGTCTATGATCTTAATGGCGACTCGTCTATTCATCCCTCTCATTCTGCGTCTCAGGTTGGCCTTAAACGACTTGACCATCCAAATCCTTCTGTCGAGCTTCTCACTTCAAAGTATTTTGATGTACATGACAATCATGACACGGGGCGTGTATCACCAACGTTCGATCAACCACACCCTATAGCCAACTCTTCTGGTGTGATGGACCACAATCCCCGTGACGCATATTCTCTCTCTGTTTCCCACCTGCATGACGCAAACACAACGCGTCACGCCACTCCTTTGAATGACATGATCTCCAGCAGCCCTTTACGCGTCCATGGTATCCCCGAGGAGCCTTTTCTTCCCTTAGCAGACGATCTTATCCCAACTTATCGAGGCTACTCTATCACACAGGATGGTTGCTCAAACGAGGACGTTATTCCGGCATGGTACGCTCCTGACGAATGTACGACCGACTTTTTTGAAGGGGACTCTGACTATCATGATCTTCGTGACCAAGACCTGGCATTTCTGGAACCTCCACATCTTGTCAATGAGTCCAGCTTCTACCCTCCGGTGCAGGCTTACTCGAGCGACGGGTTGCACGATATTTCAGTGGATGACGTGGTCGTGCTTCACGAGGCATATGAAAGTCCTAGGCAACTCATCGAATATACACAAGAGGTGGACGACTACGAACATTCAGACGTCGTGATCGATCGATCTTCATTGTATCGTGATTCTTTCTCGTCACCCTCCCGCTCTCAAGCTACAGCAGAGGCATATGACAACACTTCCTGCACTCTGCGCCCGTTCTTGCAAGGTCGTGCGATGCTACTTGGCATCCCCCCGTACGTTCCCCCTTTGCAGGACCCTGAACAGACGAAAGTTGGAAGTGGTTTGCTGTCAGCTGAAGTGGATGTTGCAAGATACTTGAAAGACCATTGGCGGCCGCATAGATTATGATAGTTGTTCCTTGTATACGTTATAGTATTATCTTGTTCGAGTCATTGGGGAGGGGTTACGCAACCTGTCACGAACGCGAAAAGTCACGCGTGACCGCAAAAATAAAACTCCGCCCCTCACGTACAGGCATTTAGCGCTGTGAAATCGTGTCGCTTTCCTTCTCACCCAAAAGAGAACGTGTCTTCATTATCGCGTAGCTAATCAAAAGATGGGCTCGAAGGAAAATAGAACAATGGAAGGCGTGTTGGTGAGTCCAGCATTTTTCTATCCCTCGGTGTTGCCATTTAGCCCCTCTTCGACGCGATTCGCATATGACCAGCCTGCTCCTGGAATTTTCATCAAACCAGAACCAGAAGATCTGCCTGCAGTTCCGTCTTCTGAGTCTACGCGCCGCATTTCGAAAAATTCGACCAGCACCCCAACCATCAAGGCCGAACCGAGTGATTCGAAACGTGTTGTGAGTGGTAATATCTAGAACATCTACGAACGCGGAGAATTGACGTTGTCATCGAAATTTTCAGCTGTCAGATAGGGGCACTACAGCCCCACGCAATGTTGCTTTAAAAAGTCAACATAACCTTTCTTCATTGCCTGACATTAAAAAAATCAAAGCGGAACCAGAGCTGCCACACCGACAAGTTGTGAACCAGCCAATGTTATATCAGCTCTACGACTCTGCCGACAATATTTCATACACCCCTGAAGATGCTCTTCAGGCAGGTCTCGGAATGGTGAAGACTCTAAAGGCTGGAATCGACAAGCTCGAGCTCGGTAGCAAGCTCCGAAAGGATGTTTGGCTACGTGAAATTGATAGGTACGTCATCAGCCTTGTGTGAAGACTGTAATAAAATTCTGTCACAGTCTTCTTAGTCAAGGTGCCCCTACAACAATGATAGCCATTTGTGGAGGTGCGTAATTATCAGTCCCAATATGCATGTTCACCGAAGTCTTCTTTAGCAACTGGGGCCGGGAAGTCTTCGATACTAAATGCGATCTTGGACGGTAAGCTAAAGTAGTATCTATGCCTCTTTGTGCTAATTTTTCTTGTAGACACTATTGTCCCTACAAGTGGTATGAGAGGTGAATTAAGACCTTTCGCTACTGGGAACCATAGTTGCTAATCCCACTTACAGCATGCACAGCCGTGGTCACGGAAATTGCGTATCATGCCGCACCTACTATCAATGCGGACGTCTCATTCCTTTCCGAGGCTGAATGGAGAGCAGAACTTTCTGTTCTACTCGATGACCTTGTGGACGAGGACGGTAATTTGAAACGTACTACTGACCTACGGAGCGACGCGGGTGTCGCATGGCATAAGGTACGGATGACTAGAGCTTTTCGGTATATCGGCGTCTGATTCATTGATAGGTCCACGCAGTCTATCCGTCCGTTGCACAGGAGCAACTTATCCATATGACGGTTGACCAAATTTTGGCCCGCGATAAAAGTAGGTGTTTTTAACGCGGACGCCAAAATGATGCTGATTCTTCGTATAGATATTGCTAACATTTTGGGCACTACGAAGAAGATATCGGCGAAGAATTCAACGATATTCGCACAGGATATTGCGAAATATATCGATTCCAAGGACCAGAAACGAGGGGGGAAGAAGGATAAGACCAAATCTTCTGATAATTCACTCATGAGTATGCTTTCCAAGGACAAGAACAAAGAGACGAAGAAGAAAGACCATGGCCCAGCTCTATGGCCCCTTATTCGTCAAGTCAACGTGCGGTGTAACGCCCAAGCTCTTTCCACAGGCGCCATTTTAGTTGATTTGCCTGGTGTTGCCGACGCTAACGCGGCAAGAAATAGCATCGCAAAAGACTACATGAAAAAGTGCGACTGCATCTGGATTCTGGCACCTATCACCCGTGCAGTGGATGACAAGACCGCCAGAGGTATTGGCATTGGCTCCGTACCTGCGTCATAATTCTGATGCATCTGAATCAGATCTTCTTGGTGAAGCTTTCAAACTGCAGCTGATGAGTACGTTCTTTATCTTCAATTCTTAGCGATATGCTAAGAATCGTTTTCAGTGGGTAAGCCCTTCCACTCGAATGCTCTCAGGTAGCTTATTGTCCACGACGGTTCTTTTTCATCAATCAGACGGCAAGTGAGTGACCTGTCCTTGACTTGAGTCGCGAGTGTCTTATTTATCTGGCCAGCTACGATGCCCACACGATTACGTTCATTGGTTTGTCACAGTCCGTTACTTGCCTGGTCTGGTTCTCACTAAAATCATGTGGCACAGCTAGCAAGTGCGATGATATATCTTGCTCTGAGGTCATCCCCGCCTTGGGTCTCGAGGACGACCCTGAGCTAGAGGAAATTGAGGGCCGCATCGAACAATATAAAGAGGAGACTGCTGAGCTCAAAGAGAAAAAGACTGACACGGAGTCTTTGATGAAATGTACGCATGCGAATTTCGTTCGTGCGGCAATTTCCTCATCTAATTTTCACAGCTATCGACAAGGAGCTCAAACAGGTTCGAGCCTTTCTAAATGAGTATGAGCAACATAAGACGGCACTGGAGAACGGCGAGACATTTACACCACAGTTGACTTCAACCGCACACAAGAAGGCCAAGAGCGCGGGCAAGAAGCGAAAGAACACCGGCAGGGGGAAATCTGGGTCACCCAAGCGCCACAAGGGCTTTGGGGACGACGACGACGACGATTTTGAGATGGATGATATTGACGATGATAGTAGTGACATCCACGTGGACGATGAGGATGAAGGGTCGGATGAAGAGGATGAGGACGACTCAGACGGGGAACAGGATACACAGGACGAGCCAGAAGAGGAGGCCACGGTTGAGGTTCTCCAGGCCAAGATTGGCGACGCCAAGGAAGCTATCAAAGTTGGACGCGAACACCTCAACAACGCACGCAAGGCACGCAAGGATGCGGTAGATGCCCTCAGCAACCTCAAAAAGAAGGAGATGAAAGCGCAGCGTGACAAGAACGCATTCTGTTCTCTGAAGCGTTCAGAGGTTTGTCTCAACTATCGTGCTTTGCTACATTTCTTACCCGACATCAACCAGTTCTCCCGCGATGTCTTAAAAGAAGATTTCCGCGTTGGATTGAAAGATCTTGATGGTTGGTTGACTTTCTGTCTTGAAAGAATCGGCTAATTCCCACAACACAGACGCCGCTGCCGAGGAACGAAATCCAGATTCTTTCGATCCGACTCAGAATCTACGCAGTAAGTTTTAATCTCGTCCTGAAAACACCAACTAATGGTTGTTTACTCAGATTATGATGAGATTGATCTTCCTGTGTTCACCTGCTCATCCCGTGACTACGTCCGTATCACGGGACAAGTCGAGGGTGATGGGGACCCGTCATGTTTCTCTAATATCCAAGATACTGGGATTCCTGCCCTACGGCAATGGTGCCACCAATTGACCGTCAGTAGCAGGTCACGGGCTGCAAAGCAGTTTCACACTCACTTGAAGACATTTGCGAACTCGGTGCGGGTTTATGTCGATGGCATTGGTGATGTGACAATTGCAGACCGTGAATCCCTTCGTGAAAAATGGGAGTCAACACCACAGGATCAGGAAATGTATGATAGTGATGATGAAGGCATGCCTTATTGGCGCAGCTCACCTGATCCCATGAGCGCCCATGCCTTCCAAGAATTTCGAGGCATGATGTCGAAGGACCTGATGGATGCTAGACTTTTCTCGATGAGCAACCAGTCATCCCTAAAGGTGGATGCCCGTGGCGAACCCATAGGAGTGACTCCTCGGCTTGTGAAGGTGGGTTGACTTGTGTTTTCCAAGCTCATATTTCTTATTCTTTGCAGGAATTCGGTACACATATTGAAAAAAGCGTCTCGGATTTGCAGGACCTGTTCCGTGATGGTCTTGAAGATAAATGTCAAGTTGGAGCGACCAATGCAAGTAGACTCCATTGTGGTCACTTATTTCATCTAACGTCGTTCCGATAGGCTGCCGAGGGTGCAGTTCAACACGTCGACGAGTTTGCGGGATCCATGCACTGGGCAACCTATCGAGCCAGTGGGTGTCCCAGTCCACATGCGAGTTTTCGCCTCGTTGATTATACTGAATATTAGCACTTCGTCGTCACGGGTCTTGGCGCCGGGATCTGAACGTCGAACTTCTGACACCATTCACTCGAAACATTGCTTCTTCCTGGTCGACGCTATTCGAGTCTGATCTATTCGCCTCACTATCCCGCGCCATCACGGTATGTATCAATAAGCTGCTCGCAGATGTAGAGGCCAGCGCAGCAGCAGGACTCAAGGACCGTGTACATGCACAAAGCTCTATTTCGCAAGAGGAGGCGCGTCTCGCATTAGGACAGACCATGGATGTCGTAAAGGAAGCGCTCGGAAAGGAGCAGAAGGAGATATCACGTTGTCTCGCCCCTCATGTTCAAAACGAACTAACGGAGGGCTACAATCTCGCCTTGGAAGAGCGAGGCAGAGGAAGTGTCGCACGACAAAAGGTTTGTTAAGTGCATCACTTCAGGACCTCTTCTGATTGAATGCAGACTGTGTTCCATAACTACGTTGATGGGCATAAGCATGATGTTTTCGATGGCGGGGCAGAGGTCCTGATGGGTCGGCTGTCCGCTGCGGCTGAGACCATTGGGAAGGCCCTCAACGAGACACTTCGAGAACTTGCGGAAAAGGTCAGGCTCTTCGGTTTCATCTTGGCTTTGACATCGTTCATCATCTCTTGTAGATTGAAGTGTCGCTTGCCGTCCTCTGGGAAGGCACACGAGACGCCCCCGATCAAGTTCGCGCTCGATTGCAGATTGTCCAGTCTGTGTCCGAGCTGCTCAAACAGTTGGCCATGTGGTCCACGGCAGCGGAGAAGGCGTCTACCGCATCCTAATGGATCATTGTCACGTCGTTTCATTTTACAGCATACTGTCGGCTTCTCATGCAAGGAATGTTAGTGCTTTCGTTAACAATACGTTATCAGTTGTTCTGTAATCTTTGTGCTTGGCATTTCTAAGTACTGTTGTTGATATTCCTATTGTACATTCAACTAGTTAGCTTATAGTTGTTGCTTTTATTTTTACTATAGTCATGGAGCAATCATTGGACGATCAAACGGTTAGACTTGATTGTACACAAAAACCAGTACTTAATGTACAGAGCGTCATTCTTTGAGTATGCGTGCATAGATGAGTCAGGTAACGCGGTCCTTCTCTTTCACTACATAAACTAGATGTAAGTACAGCTACCTGATTTAATAGCGATGGATCGGCCTTCCACGATGATCTACTTCTCTTCCGTGTTCGTCCACGTAGCCACTGTGTTTCCTGTTGCTATGTCTTCTTTCATCTCTCATACCGCCATAAGAGGTGTGGCCCCCGTGCCCCTGATTTCCGTAGGAATTGTAGTACGAGTTTGATGACTTCCCTCCAAATAAATTCATAAAGCGGTCACCGAGTGACGGCGTCCGACCTCTGTAGTAGTCACCATTGCTTGCATAAGAATAGGAGGGGCGCGAGTGCGAAGAGTGCCTGCGCGACGTTGAGTGACTGCGATGTCCTGTGCTAGGTTGCTAAAGATACCAATACGTCATTAGCTGCCGGACTGAGACAAAACACAATTTAGACTTACGATGTAAATAGGAGCCTGGGCAGTTGTCGCATACGTGACTGGGTAGGTGGTAGTTGTACTGTATCCCCCGTGACGGCTATGGCTACTGTGCCTGGGTCTGCTATGGCTACGGTGTCTGCTGTGGCTCCTGCTGCGGTGGTGCGAGTCAGGGATGGACAGGTATTGAGCAGTCTGCGGCGCGGCGACTACATTGGGGTAGCCATATTGTGCGCTAGTTGCGTAGCCAGGTCCAGCAGAAGATGCCCGCCTCAGGGGCGTCCCGTAGTTATAACCCCCATGACCGTGCTGTGAGTGAGAAGAAGATGTGTAGACAACAGGCTGCTGCTGGGCGTAGGGGGATGATGGGAAGGGGTATTGAGACATCGTCTGGCGATGGGTTGGGGGTTAGTTATCGGATAGTTGTTGTGAGAGTATGAGCGGAGGACAACCACTTGTGGTGGATGGGTAGTCAGTCGCTGGTTAATATTTGTGAGAACGAGATGGTGGTGGTGTGCGAGATAGAGCGCGGGCGTGATGCGGGGGTAGATAAGGATAATAGTAGGGGCGCTTGACCGTGGATATGGAACACGTTCTGATCTTATATGGGCGTGATTATGACCCGGACTGGCACCACTTCCGTCACTGAGTCTGGCAGCTGCGGTACCAATTTGCGTGCACTGCCCCGTTGGAGTCAACAGGTGGATTTCAAATGGAGCGCAAAGTGGGAGTGAGTATGGAGTTGGACCTGACTTGCACTGCGTTTTATGCTCTGACAATCTTGTGATTGCGATATACATGAGCGCAGAATTATTACAATAGCAAACAATTATTGCCACAACACAGGATCTTGCCACCTATAGAATGCCCATGTCTCAGTTTCTGAATCAGATTACAGGAATCAAACCTTGTTGATTAAGCGTCCACGTCAGCGCCGAGTCCTTGATTAGTATATGCACGGAAGGCCGATAGTGCGCAGCCTCCCGTAGTGCATGTCAAGGATCGCCTAGATATACAGGAAGTCTGTCTTTCGGACTCAAAAGTTAGTCGCACACCTGGAGACACGTCGGGGTTATAACGTTAGGTATTCTTTACCGATGCGTAGCCCTCGTGATTCGTTGTCCGTCCCAACCGCACGGCATGTAAGTTACGTAGTACGTACTAACCGATATGCTCATTGTACCCTGTGCAAGAATTCCTTGACATCTTCGAAGAAGTGGCGGAAAGTACCGCCTTAGAGTTTCTTTGGTCATTCTGGGTTGATAAGACCAAGTGTGGCCAGCTTCGCGGTGTTGATGATGATCGAAATCCCTCCCTGAGTACGCAAGATCTAAGGGGTGGCGTATATCAAGAGATGAAGGCTCAGTCCGTGAGGATTACGACAGCATAACGCGCCGGAATCATGCGCAAAGATGGGAAGCAGTAATGATCAACACTAACAGTTGTAATATGAAGTTTCCTGGTCCAATTGATACGGTTCCGTTGAATGTCGAAATCAAATGCCGGTGATTGGCTTAGACATAGAGGCGTGATATTATTTTTAAGTTCTGGCGCGAGAAATTTTGTTTTTGTTCAGTATACCCAGACGAACCCCTGGTGTGGCGAGATGGCAGACACTTTGATCACCATGAGGTCGCTATCCAGAAATCTGGGACGCATCGTGTATCAACACAGGATGCGTTATTTGGGTAGCAATGTACACTCCTATTCCATATCAGCAAAGTCGCCTTCGTCTAGATCATGTGGCTGATATATCGTTATTAGTTTGGATTATGCTGGGCAAGTGACGTGATCTACCTCTTTTGGTTCTTCATCTTCACCATATTGCATAGTAAAATCAATATGGCTGACGACTGTCTCAAGTGAATCCGTAGACGTTAGATCCAGCGGCAAGAAGGACACTAAAGGGTGGTCCTCGATCTAAGCAAGCTGTCAGTCTGGAACAAGGCCCCGAGCTACGACATACTAGTTGTACGATGGCCCGGTTAAGGTCATGGAACCTGCTGTTGTCGCGTTGTTGATCTCTCCCATCCCTCGCAGCAACAAGTAGCATTGGGTCTGGGTCAAGATACCGAGCGATATCACGTTTTCCACGTTTTCCGTTTCTTGGTTCAAACGTATCCGACGATGACGATCCAGAAACGAGATCCATTTTAGACATGATGTTTATCCAGGGTACTTCAAGATTAACCATCGCGGACATTGCGGACAGCACACCGCTGGACTAATGTCAAGGGTTGAAGAGAATATAACAATGAATTGATGCAAACCTGAAGAATTTGTATCGATCTTCCATGAATTGGGATTCCAAAAGGTACACAGCACAAGTCCGTATGCCCATTCGCTGCAAGTTCCGCACGAGTTGCGGGAGGAACGGATGATGTGTGTACAGCTCGATTTGGCCTAGAAGCAATGAATAATGTGCGGTCATATGTGTAGCATTATACCTGGACAGTCGATTATCAAGTAGTCGTCGTCGTAACCGCCGAGTTCCTCCTCAAGCCAATCCATATTTTGCAACAAGTACCTTAATGACACTGTCTCAGCATGTTGTCCTCGACACATTTTCACGCGTGATCACTTACTCACTCAAAGCAATACACAAGACCGCCATTAGGACCCATGTTCATTTCGCCCATGACATCGTCTAGCGTCACAAGCTCCCGGATGTCAATGGCAGGTTGATACTCGAAAGCATCACCAGTTGCAGCGGGATCAAGGTTCACGATATGGGCTGTGCGTTTTGAGACACGAAGATGGGTAGCAAAAGCAGTCGAGAATGTGGACTTGCCCGCACCAGCAGGACCAGTGACGAGAACAGCGTATCGCATAGCGGATGAGGTACAAGGTGCAATTTCAAACTCCGATCTCCCTCCTGTCAGAAACCAAGTAACTGCAAGTTCAAGTACTCCGCATACAAGTAATTCTATAACATGGCTCGTCCGCCATTGTTCCCCGATCAATCCGCAGCTGGCATAGCCGTCGATCCACGCACGCTTGAACGTGTGATACCAGAATCAAAGAGATCAGATGGAACGTACGTCCGCCCGAGCCCACCATGGACTAATCATTTATGATTCGATCTCTACTACATCACCAGTGTGCGCAAGCAGCTTAAGATTAGGCCGGGATTCACACCCCAGGAAGATGTTTCCCGATTCCGTGGATCACGCCAGCAGGCGATGGATTCCACCGCCCTTCCAAAGGGCCACATACTAGGCTGGGTCGCGCCTTCTGCTGCCACGCCATCTAAAGGCAAGACCGCTACGCCAGCACCCAATAAGAACGCGAAAAAGCGCGCCAATGCTCGAGCTAAGAAGAGCGCAGAGAAGACAGCTGTTGTGAAAGATAATTGGGATGATGAGGAGGAGGGGGAAGATGAAGCGGCAGCTGATGTGAAAGAGGCCACTGAGGAGTTGAAGGAGGGAAGCTCGAAGACCAGTAGCACGAATGATGCGACGACGGGATCGCACACAGCAGACAAACCAAACCGAGCCGCCACACCAGATTCAAATTTAAATGCATCATCATCAGGAAACCAGAGCTCTGTTGAGCTTTCGCACAAACTTGAGGAGCTACAAATCAAATGATTATATTCTTTGATTTGGGATATCTACTTGGGAGTACAGGCTGATAATAGGTGTTACGATTATGGCCAGCATAAAATTAGTATGTTTATATGTACAACAATCTATGCTCGGTCCATGCGGCTGTTCATGTCCTTGTAAGATAGCGAGTATGTTATCTGTGAGGAGTGGTTATATTGCTGTGTGCTATGACACTGCTTCACCATCTGATGGAGGCGGTCTAGCCAGCGGCGGCGGCGGTGGCGGGTTCTGTTTGGTGAATGTGTACATCTCCATGCTGATAACGATGCATAAAACAAAAGCGCCCAGTGCAGCTATACGGTTGTTGAGAATTGATGCAAACAACATGAATAAAAACGTACCGACAGCTTGACGCATGTTATTCCATTTGACCTCTTCCATGTTCGCGCGGAGGTCACTGAGCGTTATAATCGCCTTATTGAGGACTTCCTAATTTGAAATTATCAATTTATGCAATATTAATGAGAATAACCCGAACCTCAATTGCGATGGTCTGCTGTTTGAGCTGTGCCTTTGACTCGTTCTTGCGGGTGTCAAGCTCCATTTGAATCCTAATAAACATATGAAAAATACAATCATCTGACTCGACCACCCTGACTCACTCATGTTTCAAGGTACCGAGGTCTTCTTTCATTTTGACATCTAGGCGATCCACTTCTCGGCGCAACGCAGCTGTCGCAGAGCGTATTGCTGCGCTTTCATTACGAGACCTCGCGGTTTGCTCCGCGCGCAGCTCAGAAAGCGCTGCACGGAATAAATATGCTTGCTGTTCAGTATCTGAATTAGTATATATCAACAATTTTCACATGAATCCGGCCCACATTATCCAAATCTTTGATCGTCAGGCCTTCTCGCCTTACCCGACCTATTCTGTCCACCAGCAAAGCACGCGTGGCCCTCATCAAACCTCGCGCTGTAGGTGTGGGGAATGACTTCTCGAGCGCGGCTACAAAGGCATGTGTGTGGAATGGAGGGGCTGTATATGACTGCTGAGAATCTGGTTGGTGAGTGCGTGCAGGAGGACCTGAAAGGCTAGCGGAGGGAGACGAGTCGCACTCGGACGGAGGCGAAGATGACGGAGGGAAGTCGGAGTACCCATGTCCAGACCTTGGGTCTTTCGGATGAGCAAGGGATATCGAACCTGGACCAGACACTGTTATTGATTGTGATACTGAATCTACAGGGTCAGTGATGCCAGTGGGTTGCCCGGTGGAGCTGTAGTATCTCTGTAATATGGTGGTATAGGAAGTTCCAATGAAATCTGGCGTCGACGGTGGTAGCGATCGGTATCGGTATATCCGGGGAATGACCCTCAGCATCCTTGCATTTGGTTGATAGAAAACCCTAGATTTCCTTGAGTTAATCGGTGTTCAGAACAAGGTACAGTGCTAGAAGGCATGAGAGATGTTACCCGTCACGTGTCACGGGAGCTGAGCTAGTGACTCTGAGCTCACCTACTAAGTCCTTACTCCACTGGGAAGCTTATGCTGTCTTATACTTTCTAATACGTGAAGGCGGCCGCGAGAAATGGATGCTAGCTTCCTGAACCTGAAGGTAGAGCCAGCTGCTACATCTTTTGCCTCAAAGCTTGGCTCAACCGGCTTGCCAGTGAGTCTGGACTCTGAAGAGAGAAACAGGCTGTGAGAGCTAGACTGGTAAGTAATGAGCGAGGAAATGCATTTTAACGCTGAAGTGACTTAGCGTTTATACATGGTGCTTCAGAGCCTTTTAAAGTTGTTTGCAACCCGCTTGCATTACAGTGCCACAACTTCCCTGAACGCTTTCAGCAATCACGGTATTATGTCTCTCATAAGTGCTCAAGTTTCCCACCATGCACTCATTGCGAGACCCTTCACAGTGAGATGGAGAAATTCTTAGGAGACGATGTGGAGGAGTCTCGGGCGGCCCTGCAGCGCTGTCCCCCTGGCCATTAAGCTGCGGGGCGTCTCCTGTCTAACCTCGATGAGGCTATGGGGCTCCGTTGAGCTGCACTGGAGCTCAGTCCCCCCAGTCGTTCTTATCGGCCCGCATATTTCTTCCACCTTGCCTACAGTCTCTAAAAGAGATTTGAGCAGTCGGGCGTCCTGCATGACCTCGCTGCATTGGAGCTTTGTGGCCTATTAGGTCATTCTGTTCGATTCATGTCTCTTAACAATCTTGCTATCTGTGATTCGAGCAGCGGGGCTTCCCGTCTGACATTGACGAGACCACTGAGCTCAATAGAGCTACCAGCCAGCCACGGTTTCTCAGCGTAGAGCTGAACGGAGGACTCGTCTGGTGCGTTGGACATGGTCGACGGGTTCGGATAGCCCTGGTGGTGGTGCTTGACGGAGAAACCTGAAGGAAGGTCAAGAGAGGCATGAGCTCAACAACCGAGTAAGATCGTGGCAGAATTCCAAAGGCTGCGCTCGGTTGGCGGGGGGTGCTCAGCGCCAGAACATCATGATCATTGATAACTAACCCTTGGTCATCGATAGATCATCCCGCGCTGCACCCAAACACATACTAAGTTATGTAGCGGCGGCCTGTATCCATAGGTGATGTTTTTTCTTTTGGTCCTAGATCATCGGGTCACAAAATCGTCGATGCTATAAACAACTGTTATGTACCAGTATCGATACACAGAAAACCGTATGTAGGAGTACAGAAATCACTGTGAAGAGTTGATGAGCTTAGTGAGGTCCTTCCAGCTCGACATGGATGTTAACTTGTATAGAACACCGTCGATATCCTCCGGCCCCTCATCGTCGGACTGATTGGTTGCCCCTAGCTTCAGTAGCAGGTTGAGGCGAGAAGCTCGATCTGCGTCATTCTGTCGAAGCATCTCGACACAATCCACGAGGAAACACCCCACACGTTTATTGATGTCCTTGGGGTAGTAATATCGCAGACAGTTTAAGAAAACGAACTTGTGGTTGCCACATTCTACGGCGCTCTTGGTCGCCCATTCATCCAAAGGGCGCGATTCCGTTGGCAGAAGGACTCCATCCCTGTATCGCAAGCAAATCCAAATGAAAACCCATAAAAATGACTCCAGATCGCGACAATACAAATGTTTGACTTCGCCACCTTCCCTCAGAAGGTCGAGTGCCATGAATGGCACCGTGCCCGTGCGATCGTTGTCCCGAGGACCTGCGTCACCCACCAACGAGGACAGATCATAGTCGTTCAAAACGCCTATCAACTTCCCGTCGTTCTCGTACCACATCATGTTTCCAGGGTTGACATCCCGGTGATACATCCCTTTCCTCCACAGAGTAGCATGGCCTGCATGCAGTGTCACCGAAGAGCCCCATAAATGCATTGAGAATACGTACACTTGATACACTGCTGCCACGCATCAAAAAACTCTATGCCGTGTAGTTCCGTAATGGGCTGAAGCTTACGGAATTCGAGGATGTTGAGTACGTGACTGCCCTTGGTGGGTTCTGGCACGCTGAGTGCTTCTCGGATATCGGATGTCAGACTCGTAAGCGTGTGGTGCCAGAGCAGCTCAGTAGTATCGTCTTTTAAGGTAGCGTGCACCTTGGCGATTTCCTCAACCTTGGTCGCAAAAAATTCGGCGGCATAGAGACCATTCTGGATGGTCACATCTAGGTCGGTGTCTGTGCCGTCGGGCTTGCTGTCGGATTTTTTCGCGGCGCTTCCAAAGTGTCCCTGGCCTTGTGCTTGGAACTGGACCTGCAGCTGGGCAGCAGTAAGGCGGGAAGATAGAATTGTAGCTTGGTCGATTTAGTTTGATCTCGGCATTCGAAATACAACCACTTACGTGCCGTGTCGGACGCGGGTTTCTTTCTCTTGAACTCGATGCAAGCTAAAATATGTTGCCACTGGCAGAGGATGTTGTTAGGAGATGCCATGGCATTTTTGTGCATGCGAGCCTTGAGCTTCTCGTCGCGCTCCTCGCGGTACTCCTGAATCTTGTCCTTTTTCTCGAACGGAGCTCATGCGTTATTGAAGAATGACGAGGACCTAATAATGTTCCAACTTCCAAGTGCAGTTCAACTCAAGTTCAACTCCGACGACGCGTTCCCATCAATACGCGCACGTGACCCTGACAGAAAGAAAAGGTTCCGAAGACTCTATCGTACACCAGCCCACTGTCTTCCATATCCATATCTTCTAATCATGATGGATCCAAACGTTCCCACCTCCTTACATCTTCATGGGACGGCCTCATCTGTGTCTGGGACACCTCGGTACCTGATGACCACCAACTAAATGCCATAGAGCGTGGCGATGACAGAAAAAGTGGCGTAAGGAATATTTGGGATCGTTGACAATGATTCTGTCCGTGCTGCACAAGTACTAGTACTACGTATGTTGAAACCCATTGAACATTTGAACATTCAAAGTTTCTGATCATGATGCTAGACGCCACTCTCGACTCCCGAGTGACACATGTGGATAGTGCACGGACAGGTTACAGGTCCTTTTTAACGAGCAATTGCAATTTGGGGAAATGGATCCTTTCTCGTGCAGTGTTCGCCATGGTGCGTCGACTACTGCTGTGGAACTGGTGGAGCAAGGCTGTCCAGTATCCTGGACCCAGTTGGCACGCTTCTGCACACCGCTCGATGAACTTCCCGTGTCAGGTGACACTGGCGCAGCCTTGGCGGAAGAATCCAAGCAGCTCGGCTTTCGCCTTCGTAACGCGTTCGAGCAGTCCACACTGAACACCAGTCCTCCCAAATCCGACCATTGACTATGCAATGGGATGACATTTCACGCATCTGCATGCTACCCGACTTTTTTCGTTTCCTTCTGTCTCCACTGAAGAAGGCCCAGTCATCATCGTCAATGCTAGTCGATACAGCTGTGACGCCTTGATTATCTTGAACGCCCAATATCCTGTCCATGTTCCACTTGATATCACGCAGAGCGACGTCTCCGAATTGTCCTTCAAGTTTCAGTCCCTTGCAGAGTAATTCGGTTCTTCTGGTCATCAACACAGGCTTGCCAGCATCCTCCGCAAGCTTTGGAATGATATTGTTGACCCAGTGGTCCAAGCCCTTGGGGAGTCCGTGGTTCACCCTGGCACGCGAATCTGGTTGTGCTGAGTTTGCGCTGCTTTCTCTACAGCAGTACCCTACGTCTTACACTTCGACTTTGGCGACTCTCATTCGTGCAAGACAGCGAGTTTCTCAAAATGTGTCCCCGCAAAATTTTGTAGGCATTTGTCAAGGAAACCCGGACAGAAGAAAGGCACCCGACTGTGTCGTTCCAGGGCTAGCCATCGTTGCTCAGCACATCCCGTCCTTCACATCGCTTTTGGAGAGCCATGCGACAGTGCAGGGAGCATTCAAAGCATTGAGCCGGAATCAATGGCTTGACCTAGCCTGCCACCGAATGCCGATTCGACAACAACCATTGAGTCTCCCTTTGCGATACACGATGGACCTTTCATGTAAGGACACTATCCGATCTCACTGGCAGAATCCAGAAGTTGCATTCTGGTCGGCCTGCCACACTACCCGTAGGCGATGAGAAGAGTCCTGATGAGTCGATACATCTTGCTGCAGCTATGCAAATTCTACGGATCTTGCAGTGTGATTGGTTCCATGGGGTCTGTTGACGATGAGGTTTCACGGCAGATCGTGTCTACTTTTTCACGGCAACCTGGTTCAAGTCCATGGTTCAGAGAGATTAGCTGCACACGGGCCATTGCACAGGCTGTGCAGCAGGTTGTGTGTGTTGACATAGGTGTGTAGTTAGTGTACTCTCTATCACGTATACTAGTGATGAGGCTTCCAGGAGCTAATTGTGAATATTACTGGGCCCTGTATTTTATTGTGTTCATTCTGAACCAGTCAGTTCTAGGCCAAACCCTACCAGCCCGGGCGTACCTGTTCATTCTGCAGCTGACGTAATTAAGCCTTGGTTGTTAACGCCACAAACCCCTGTGGCGTTAGCCTCTTTTCGATCAACCATGCATCGATTATCCGCGTTCATATTGGCACATCGCAGCCTGCCACCGGAAATCTTTTGCAGTTGTCGTCGCTGTCCACCCAATTCATCCACTGCACATATATCAGAGGATAAAGCCCATCCGGAAGCTGCATCCACTGTGGTCAAAGCACTTGACACCGAGGCTGACTTGGAGTTACTCAACTCCTACACTCCGGAGTCTTCGATTTTCGGGGGCTACCACGGTTGGTTTTCAAAGCAGGTGGTGGAATGGCCGACTTTTGCAAATATGGAACTGGAAGTCAAAGGACGCTTTTCAGGTCAGTCAATCTCCTGACGTTGTTTTTGTGACGCCTGATCAATCTGGGCTGGTAGTGCATCGAAGCTTTTGATCCAGCTTGCAAGCAGCAAAACGACGAGATTCAGTTTTCTAACAAGCGATCAACCCTTCATCGCAATGGAACTATCGTTGTATTCCCCCGTTCATCCCGCCAATGCCCTCCAGCTCACCGCCAAATTCTCGCTCCCTGCCTCGGGGATTCTGTTTGCACACAAATGCATTGCCTTCGACCCCATTCCCAGACGCACAATCAAATCATCGCTATCGACATAGACATTTCAGGGAGCCCCCTCGCTACCGAGCCTCCTTCTTTCACATTCTATGTTAAACGCAACACCCACTTGGAACTCGAGTCAACCTATACGAGCCGCTATGGAAAGGCAAGTGAAGGCTCCTCGTCTGCCTTGGTCCAACTGGGGCCGAAGTCACATCCGATCCTTCTAGGAGAGCTCGCACGATCCTTGCAAACACTCCGTCTTTGGCTTCCGGACCGTATCTTTAGTCGGCGACCGAAAGCCGCAGCCTGGGCTGCGACCACTGTGCATTCGCGACTTCAACCCTCATCGAGTGGCAGACTTCAAAGCGGGGAACAGAACTAGATGGAATCCACAACTTATCGAGGGTGAGACATCAAGCTCGAATCTGTTCTTGGAGCAACTTGGATCCCCGTATCGCGAGACGATCACTCAATAGTACTTTCTTGCGACCATATGGCCATGGAAGCAAACAAGGTGATGTTGCTATCCTTAGAAGTTGTGAGCACAATTTTGATGCCGCATGCAGGTGAACAAAGCTTCGCCGAACATGAAGTCGAACCGACCCTTACCTCAAGCTTCGTGTCACTCAAGCATTTCAATCCATGTCGCGTTGACTGATTCATGCATGATGGAAGTCTGTACGCCACTGATGTCAAAGTCAATGAAGAACCTTTTTTTCATTTTGTGAAAACAACTAAGCGAGGACGATGACGAAGAGTATTCTAAGGGACAGCCATTCCAGCTTTCACAGTTTCTCTCTCCAGAAGCCGGTTGAGCCAAGCCTTGAAGTGAACGAATGAGCGTGTTTCACATCAAATGATGATGACTCTACCTTCAGGTTCGGGAAAGCATCCAGCGTCTCAACACCTGCACGATCGTGCAGCCTCACCCTGTTGCGTAACTCAATATCGAAGCAAAATATTTATCTGAATGAAAATGCGGACCATGGCATGACATTCACGTCCGCAACGCTCAGCTTCCCAGCTCCGGGACCCACGAGGTAGTCGCGGCCCTGGAGGCCGATATCGAGCACGCCGTAAAGACGGACAACTTCATCCCCATAACCTAAGGAAGGATGTCAGAACCAACGAAAATTAAGTCGAATCAGTACATACGCTTCTTGCCATAAGGCACGTCCTCAGGGGCATATTGCCGGAAGTGGTGCGCTGTAAGGTTGGACTGTTATTCGGGAGATATACATGAGGAGCCCACACAACATACATTGACCTTGCATGGGACCGACTCCTCCGTGCTGTTTTGTACGATCGTGAACGCGCGTCTCCAACTGCAAAACTAAATCACGTACGGCAAAGAAGATCCACTGCAACATCTGACTCTCCTCATCACTGCCGCTCTCGAACTTGAACTTCCCTTCCTTATCGTACTTCTGTATGAGATACAACAGGATTGCCGCACTCTCGAAGACGGGGAAGCCATTCGGTTGGGCAGCAGTGGGATGGGAGCGATCAACGAGCACAGGGATACGTCCGTTTGGATTCATCGCGATGAACCAAGGCTCTTTTTGGACGTTCGTAGCCAAGTTAATCTTCTCGACGCTATCAAAGTCTTATGAGCAACGGCATTGGGGTACGATGAAAGACCTACTCGTAATCAATGTTCCCGTAGGCTGCCTTGAGCTCTTCGAGCATGATCGACACCTTGTGGCCATTGGGGGTAGCTGCAGTATAGAGGACTAGAGGTTTCGACATATCGACTTGTTCGTTGCAAGGAGTCTGCGGAGGGAATGATTACTGTGAATTGAATCCAGTCCACAATGTCAATAAGTAGCCATCGTTATGGGAGAGGATGTTCAGCTGACACGCATCAGGTCCAAAATTAACCACTCGTGCGATTAGGCTCGCTAAGCACGACCTTGTCACAGAGTGTGTTGGACAAACTTCCGATTAGCTTAGAAAGACGGGTGAATGCGAGAGCAGAATAATTCGCAGTAGTGAATGCTTTCTTTGATTTTGAAAAAAAGTGCTACAACGACAACACATCTCCTATTGGATACCAGCAGAGAAACTGGAAACATAATTCTTTGAGGGGGATATTATGACATGGAAGAGGATACGCACTAGGACTGGAATTCTAAGGGAAAACAATGAGTCGCGGGTATCGCCATCGTTATAGAACTTGGTAGTGGTCAAAAGCTACAGCAAAGCCATCCGTCACGTCAGGATTCTGCAGGAGGTGCGGGACTCTTCTGCTGTCTCAGCTTCTCAGCATCCATTCCCACCGTGTTACCTCGAAACCGCGTCCTCATATCCAGCTTTTGCGGCCATCAGAACATGTTCTCGTGTATGTAACAGTTAACTGCCGCTCACCATATTGCGTTTGCACTCGAAAGTGGCCTTCCTAAGTAGCTGACATTGCTCCGGCAACTCATTACTGTGCTGCTTGAGACACTCCGAGGGGAGATGTCCTTGCTTTTGGACACAGTCGGAATTGAGAAGACATTCCTTGAGTGCTGTGAGGAGAGCGTCACAAGAGGAGGACATGATCGATTTCCCGCTATGAAACTAGACGCGACTTGATGTCGTGCAGCGTCTGAGTGATGTGATCAGAGGTCAAGTCAAAAATGACTTGATGGTTTGAGGAGAGCAAGAAACATAAATGATTTGTTTCAATCACGCGTAAACTTCTCATGCTCTCTTGATGCCGATACCACCATCACTCCGTACGCTTTTAAGAACAGTTCCGACACTAGCGCCTGTATCTAATCGCGCAGTCCTCTCTGTTTCTGGCTCACAAGCAACCGAGTTCCTCAACGGCTTACTAGCATGCAGTGTGCAGGGCAAGCAGACATATGGGGTGTTCTTACACGCTCAGGTGCGACTTAGCTTCGAGTGTCTGCCAGTATATAATGTAACCATGCAGTTCGTGGTCGTAGGGGCGCGTCTTGTATGATGCTTTCCTGTACAACTCTCCGACGCCTTCTCTTTCATCTCCTGGACCGACATATCTCATAGAATATGACCCTACTCCGTCTGAGGCCCCTACCCTCATGAGCTTGCTCAAGCGCTACGTCCTTCGCTCAAAGGTACGCATACGGGACGTGTCGGAGGAATGGGATGTTTGGGCTGCGTGGGGGTCAGAAGGTGCAAAAGAAACTAGGGAGTGGAACTGGGCTCGAAGCGGCGCTGTCGAGCCAGTTTGGCGGACGAGCGAATGGCCATGGGGAATTGAGAATGGTACCATACTTGACCAACGTGCTCCGGGGATGGGGAAGCGGATGCTTGTTCGCAAGAATGATACGCGTGAGCTTGTCTTTGGAGTGTCCCTTACATTGAGCTGGAGTTGATATTGTGCAGCTGCCGAAGCGTCTACACATGACTTGGCTGGTAAGGATGCATATTTGCTGCATCGGATTATGCACGGAGTTCCCGAGGGGAGCGTGGACATGCAGCCCATGCATGCATTTCCCATTGAATCGAATTTAGACGTGATGGGTGGACGTATGTTCTCGTTTTGTTTCATCTGATACTTATGCTGACACGCGCAGTGGACTTTCGGAAGGGATGCTATGTCGGTCAAGAGTTGACAGTGCGCACATATCACACGGGCGCAGTTCGGAAACGTATACTCCCAGTTCACATTTCGTCTCCTGCGTCATTGACACCATACATGTCGATTAAACCGTCCCTTTCATCAACTACAGAAAGCGCCGCGGTAAAAACACCCCGCCTACGCGGATCATCCACACTCCTGTCCACGATAGCTGCTCCGGGTATAGGATCAAGCGTCGGTTTGGCGTTGGTACGACTAGAACATTTGCGTCCTGGTATAGCATTGGTTACTGAGGAAAAGGAGGGACATTCGTGGAAGGTGGAGCCTTGGTGGGCGGATTGGTGGCCCGAGCAGCCTCCCGACGAAGCACACACAGCCTAACATAAGTTAGGATCATGGATGGAATTCTTTGTATTGTTTCAAGCTAGACACACCACTCTTGAAGGATAATAGACGTATCATGTCGACTCCGCGATAACCTGTGCGTAGATGTAGTCTCCGTCGTGGCTTACTGAGACGTGCAATTTATTCGCTGGTCCAACATCGTCGCGGACGGGATGGTAAACAAGCGTTGGTTTTGCGCCAGTGGCTCCATTGAATGACGAGTATGAGATCTCCTTCCAGGTAGGGCGGATGGGATACAAGGCTTTGTACGCAGCTTCTTTCACCGCCCATCTATACACATGTTCAAGTTGGATGAATGGTCTGGTAAGACGTAAGATGAGGATGAGACCCACCGCACGCCCAAAAACCGTACAGTCTTTTCGGTTTTGTCTTCTCCATGCTGTCCTGCGAGCAACTGGAATGTTCGTAATTCCTGGGAGCTTAAAATTCTCGTAGCAAAAGCTTCAGATCTCCTTCGATTCAATAGACTGATGAGACGCGGAAGGTGCAGGATATCGACACCAATGCCGAGGATGGGCATGTGAATGGATTGTCGATGAACTCTCCAGGGATAGTATGCGTTAAAGAAGGAATGTCGGATTGTGTGAACGAGTTTACAGTCCTTTCGGAAAGTCTTGACTCACGTGTTCGAAATGGTTCAAAAATAGTGAAAATGTCGAAAATTCATTTAAATCACTTTCGAGTTTTGTATGCCTCTGAACGGCTTCAAAAACATCATATTTCACAAGTTTCTCACTCAGACTCGTCATGGTCTACCAGAGGACCAGGTTTGATCGAAAAGAACGAGCCCTGTGCCTGCTTTTGGAGGAAGGATGGGACATCGAGCGCATTGCTGTTGCTCTCGGAGTATCGTCAAGAAGTATAGAGCGGTGGGAGGCAAATTATGATGAACATGGACGTATTAACCCTCCTACACCAATCATGGGTCGCCCTCGCTTGCTGGATCAAGTTATGACAGACGAGATCCACGAGCTGCTAGCCAAGGCCCAAAACCCTCTCACTGCTACTTGACGAGATCGGCGAATGGCTCGCCATATACCACGATCAGCCAATATCGACGACAAGCTCTCCACGAACACCTCAGGGACCTTGGTCTCACCTGCAAACGCTTGAGAAGGGTCGCGGTCGAACGTGATGATGGTTTCCGAGCTGATTGGTTGCACAACATGACAACCAACTATACAGCTGAGCAGCTTGTGTTCGTGGACGAGTCAAGCAAAGATGACCGCACCACACTCCCTAGATATGGTTGGTCACTCAGTGGACAAGCCCCCTTTGACAGTGTCCGCTTGAACAGGGCATTCGATACAGCGTGCTGCCGGCTCTCACCATTGACGACTATATGAATGTCCGAGTCGTTGAGGGATCTATAGACGGCGCAGAGTTCTACGATTTCGTTGTCAACGACATAGCAAGTATATCCTTTTCAGCGTCTGAATCATCAATAGATTCATCATCAGAGTGTTGTGAATGAGAGGCATCCTCCTCATCGGAGCATTCAGTTACTGTATTAGACATAATCTAATGTTCAAAAGAATGACAGATATGCTTTTCTGCTCGACTTTGAAGGAGGGTTTGCTGAATTTTCGATTTATTTGAATTTTCAACATTTCTACTATTTTTGAACCATTTCGAACACGTGAGTCAAGACTTTCCGAAAGGACTGTACTGGGCAGATCATAGACTCAAAATCAGAACTACCAAGTCGAAGCCAGCGGCCCTAGCTTATAGGGTTCTGTCAGATGAGGAAATAGATGCGTTCGGGCTCAGCGACATGTGTATGTGGTAGTATGTATCAAAGAGGATATCATTGAACGAATGCGCGACTCGGCCCGGGACTCACTACATCAGTGACTAGGACTTCAAGTTGCTCCTACCATCTGCGTCGGAGTCAACGATCATCAAGGACAGCCGAATAAACGTAGCTGCAAAGCTCGTACTCAAACCTATAGCGCATCCCGAGATTGTGTGATCAATCTGCGCATTCTCCGAAATACTAATTAAATCTAAAAGTTTTAAGCCCTACTGCGATATCAGCGATGTCCGAGTCATCCGTTAGCACGGCATATATCTCAGCATCTACCAATCGCTTCAACCATGCTGCAGATGCCTCCACCTCATCTCTGATTGCCTGTGGATCAGGCAAATCAATCGCTCTGTGGAACACTCAAGTGAGTGTGTTGTCATAACTTGCATGACGCGCCTGACGATCTCATCAAAGGACACAGATGGCAAAGGTGTCTTCCAGACACTGCCCGGTCACCAGGGCCTAGTAACCTGCGTTCGTTTTGTGGCTTCGGACACGTTTGCTAGTGCGGATGACAAGGGGACAGTCCGCTACTGGAGATTATTTGGGACAGAGGTACGTCAATCTGCCTCCTATGTGAATGTCCCTACAATATTTATAGTGGAGGACCACCGTGAGCATGCAAGCTCACCAACAACCCATCTCTGTACTTCGCACGTTCGACAAAATCCTGCTTACCGGAAGTTCAGACTCTTCCATCAAAATCTGGGAGGTGCAACGCGGTGATGTCAATGGTAAACCTCTCATTCAGCGTAGTGAATCATGCTAATTGTGACAGATGAGGTGAAGGAGCTCCAAACCATCTCTCTTCAAGGGTATTATCCTTTGTCCCTAGCACTCGCATTTCTGCCATCTTCTGAAGGTGAGGAACTCAGTATCCCGATGAATAGGTACTTACTTTGGCGAAGCGATAATACTTGCTATTGGCGGAACCGACCGCAAAGTTCACATCTGGACGCGCTCTGACGGACCAGTGGGTTTAACATATTTCAGCTAGGCTTCAAATACTCATTCTTTTCTTTTAAGTTTATTCGTTCAGTCACCCTGTCTGGACATGAAGACTGGATACGTGCACTGGCATTCCGAGCTCCATCAACTCCAAATGATCCTCTCGTGCTCGCCTCAGGCTCACAAGACGGAACCATCCGACTTTGGAATGTGGAATCCTTCATTAAAATGCAGGCCCAGTCACAGACTCATACAAAAGACTCGGGAGACGATCTCAGTGACGATCTCCTGGACGCATTTGAAGCTTCACTAGGAGATCTGGGTGCAGACGCAGAGGAGGGCGGCAGACAGATTTCACTTAAACGGCATATTCTTACCGTCAAATCGAGTTCTGGGTGCGTTAATTTTGTAATAAAAAATGGTGAATCAAGTTGCTGATTGGATTTATAACGGGTTAGGACGCAACAATACTCTATCACATTCGATGCTCTCCTGATCGGCCACGAGGCAGGAGTTACGTCGCTTTCTTGGTCTCCTTCGAATATGACACTGCTATCTACGTCAACGGACTCCTCTCTCATCCTATGGGCCCCTAGCTCGATCGTCTCCACTGCATATTCTTCATCGACATCATCTATCTGGATTAATATACAACGCTTCGGTGACGTGGGAGGTCAACGTCTCGGCGGCTTTATTGGAGGTCTTTGGTCCAACAATGGCACCGAAGCCATGGCATGGGGTTGGAGTGGAGGCTGGCGACGGTGGCGTCGCATCGCAAGTGATAGCCACGGTGGAACAGCTGGCGAGGAGTGGGAAGAGGTCGGTGCGATCAGCGGCCACAGCGGTGCAGTAAAGGGCCTCGACTGGAGCCCAAAAGGAGAATATCTGGTATCTGTGGGGTAAGGGTAGTTTGATATCAATTTGTGTTCTAACTCCTAACTGCGCACTGTTAGGCTGGACCAGACAACGCGCATTCATGGTGCTATTACATCCTCTGCCCCTGAGCAGAGCGTTTGGCATGAGCTGTCACGCCCTCAGGTACATGGCTATGACCTAATGGGTGCAGCATGGCTCGGTCCTTGGACTTTTGCGAGCGTTGCCGATGAGAAGGTCGCACGAGTATTTGAAGCTCCACGAAATTTCGTCGAGGAGGTTCGGGTACTGGAAGTAAAGGATCTAGCCGAGAGCGATGTAAGGACCACTCCCTGTTATATTTCAGTGCTTCTGAGAAAACAAAGGGTGATAGACCGGCGACGGCTAGTGTGCCTCCTCTTGGGCTGTCGAACAAGGCTGTCGGTGATGGTATGTCATGATATGCGTGGTATTTGCTGTTTGATAGACCACCTTCCATTCAAGCACCTTCAGAACTGGACATAAGCAGACCTCGCAGGCGCCCTTTTGAGGGAGAGCTGGCGTCCATCACCCTCTGGCCCGAAATAGAAAAAGTCTTTGGGCATGGGTATGAGGTCAGCCAATCTGTGCTTCTTGGATGAAATGAGACTGAGATAATTATTCTTAGTCAATCACAATTTCAGCTTCTAACTCGCTTGGCCTTCTTGCGACTGCTTGCCGTGCAACCTCACCGCAGCATGCCGTTGTTCGCGTGTACACCACAGCTGGCTACCAGCCATTTGGTGCCCCTCTCGAAGGTCATAGCCTGACAGTCACACGCATAGCATTCAGCCCACCAGACGATAAGTATGTCCTCACTGTAAGTCGTGATCGAACGTGGAGGCTATTCGAGAAGAAAGAAAATGGTATGAGGCTATACATTCCCGTTGACCAGAATGATGACGATGGTTACTAGGTTATTTGCCCATAGCCGCAGATAAATCTCACGGAAGAATCATATGGGATTGCGCATGGAGCTGCGAAGGCGACCTTTTTGCTACCGCGTCTCGCGATAAGACCGTAAGCGTCTTTGATTCCGGAGAAAGATTCTTGATAGACCGTCCATCAGGTAAAAATATGGAAGCAGGACTCGGACTCTGCTCGATGGGGAGCCATCACGACAATGAAATTTGAAGAAGCAGCAACCGCTGTCGCTTTTTGTTCTGCCGGTGCTGATGCGCAAAAGTAAGTAAAATCCTTCTGTATCTCACGTCGATGACAACTCCCTCCAGACGCTGGCTTGCGGTTGGATTAGAGACAGGAGAGATTAAGATATATTCGAACTTGATGTCCACACCAGGTCAGTGGACACCAGTGTTGACCATCAACTCAAAGTAAGTGGTCATGACTTGCAAAAGGTATTCGGATTTCGCTCATGATTTGAAAGTTTGGCACATGTTGATCAGATCAACCACTTGGCATGGAGAGCAACTGACAACCCATCGAGGAAGCAGCTGGCGTCCTGCAGCGAAGATGGTACACTGAAAGTATTGATTGTCCAATTTGAAGTAGATTAAAGTACGTTGATAGACACACTAAGCTCCACAGTAGAAAATCGACATAGAGAATGGACATAAAACACAGTAAGCCGATTCGCAAGGAAAACGTAGTGAAGACAAGAATGAAAAGACTGCTATACAGTGGTCAGTGTCGAGAAGACTGGATACCAAGTAGTGATGGAAACAGTGTCAGTACGGAAACATCTGAGTTGATAACGCTAAAGGAATGCCATATATAGGGGTATAAAACAGAATTGCGCCATGGCAGGGCACCTGCCTGGGTAAGTGATACGTTAGCAGGTATAACAACACATCGGAAAGTGACTAAAGCAGGGCCCGTGAAAATAGAGATACATGAACGCCAAGCGCGTGTTTAGATGATATCGCGAAGACTCAGTGGGACTTCAGGCTGTCGAAAGTAAGTTAGGTTCTGGTTGCGACTTTCGATAGGAACACATACACATTTAATTCTAGATTGAAAAGAAGGACCCGTCAATCGTCAATACTAGGCAGAAAATCAAAGTACATACTTGTAAAAACATTCAATAGAGCGAAGCATTTCGACATCACCCCCAGTCGCAGTGACAAAGTTCACTACAACGCCAGCACGTGCATAATTGGAAGCAATGGCTGGAGCAACGCTGTAATATAGGTGAGTGTGTGTTTGACGCAGATGACGGCTCGGCCTACCGATGCGCGTATTCTTCTACAGCTTTGGGAAGGTCTAACAAAAAGTTGCAGCATCAATTCGGACTATAGCAGCCAGTTACTTACCATAGTTGATGATCAAAGGAACGTGGGACACTTCTGGGGTCTTCACCTGCACATCATTCACGACCAACACTTTGGTCACAGGCTCTCTCATCATGACTGAAGCTGAACTTTTGAACTTGTTCAGCGCCGCTAACTTTGTGCCTGCGTTCATGTCGCCGTGCTAGAAGGAAATCAGTTTTTAAGTATCGAGCAAAAAGAAGGCTTCTGGCACTAACAAGAGGGACGGCTTCCAGCCCACGGCTAGCAAGCTTGTGGACAACCGAATCCAAAGATGTCATGCCACCGACATGCACGATCGCCTGGCTGACCTCGACGTCATCAAAAATATCAGCCAACGCGTCAAGCTTCCACTCGCGAGCTTGTGCACTTTCAGCGCTCGATGCCCCGCGGCCAGAACCAATGATGCCATGTCCACCACCCGGTGCAGCAGGATTAGTTGTATCTGATCTCACACCAGCGGTGAAAGCAAGATATAGGTAGAATTGCCTAAGACCGCGAGACCCTTGCGCGGACTCGGTGCTGGTGACATTTCCATCACGGCGGACTAGAACGCGCACAGGTTCCTTGAGCTGGATAGCCGTGGCTAGATTGAGAACGTCCTGCGGCACAGTGTTGGAAAACAGTGCAGTCTGTCGTTCAATAACGTTCGAGGAGCCGGTAGTATCATTCGGAGGGGATGGGGGAATAGCAGAAAACCTGCGTCCTGTGTTAGAAGTCGCCAAACCAGGGTGGCTGTTTGCATCAAAGGAACTGAAAGAAGGTTGGGGCGGGGCAGAAGCAGAGTTCGGCGTTACATTCCCAACAGGGCGAGACCTTGGCGGAGGAAGAAGCTTCACTATGTTGAAGACGAACTCGTGTAAGTTGCGGGCAATCAGTTGATCAACCTCATCAAGAACGAGGAAGCGGACTTCAGATCCGACGAGACCTCCAGAGGCAGTGAAGAGTGCATGTAGCTTCTGCGGAGTACCACAAATGATGTGGGGCATGTTCTGCTGCAGGAGGCGGAGCTCCTGGCTGAGGTCACTAGGCGAAGTCGATGTACCTACGCCTAGCGCAGATCTAATACCAATCGGACCCCCGAGGTCACGAATCATACGCTGAGCCTGTGTAGCTTGGTCGACCGTGGTAGATATCATGATTACTAGAGGTCCCCTGGTAGGGGGGCGTCCAGCAGTGTTCACCACAGCTACCTGAATAGCGGGTATGACATATGCTGCAATCCGCTCTTGGGTGGGTGGAGCTTGCGCAATAATGTCTGCGCCACGCAGAAGAAAGGGAAGCGCGCGTTGCTGAATCTTGTTGGGAGGGCCGACACTAGTAACATGATGGTTAACATAATAACTGGTCCCAGTGGATTACTACTAACCCAAATTTGCTGAGAGAACGAAGCAAATCTGGCGCAAGATTCAACTGTTCCCACTTGGAAACCATGGAACCGTTATCACGACCTGAGCTACCAGACACCTCATTGCCCTGTGCATCAATCATCTAACAATCATCAAGCAGGTTAGTCGATTCGATGTCACTCAAGAGACTGGACCACGCACGCCTACAGATTCGCGCCGCATCATGCTCCCAGTGACAGAACGACGTTTGTCCCGTGGGGGTTCGAGTCGTCCCAAACTACCGAGAGTCTCGCTCCGCATGGGAAGATCAAGCGTTCCCGCCGACCAAGTGCGCATCGGGGGATTGGGAGCGCGTGGTGATGGTCGCATATCTGGTCTGTTCGGTATACCATGACCAAGGGCAGTAGGGTTAGACCCCATGCCGTGGGGGAAAGCTTGGTTTGGAGCCATGTCCTGCATTTGCGGGGTAGAGCGTCCCATCTGGGCAGGAAGAAGGCCCGTGGTAGCATTCTGAATATGCTGCTGTGTTTGAAGAGCCAACAATTGCCCAACGGACGTGGTCAACGTGTTCAGGCGTTGAGATATCTGTGTAATATCATCCCCAGGAGGTGATTGATTTGGAGCAATGTTTGCACTGAATGAGGCCCTCGGGATATTGACCGCCGGTGTCGACGCGCCAGAAGCGGGTGCGAAAGGATTTTGGAATTCAGGTTGAGCGCTGTTGGAAGAGGTGACAGTGCTCAGGGTCCTCTCAATGAGGATGTTGACTTTACGATGTATGTCGCTGATATCACGCTGGATTTCGCGTGTGTTGTACTCGCAACGCTGAAGCCGGTCTAAGAGGTCACGTATGAGTGGAGAAGCTTTGAGTTGTGCCTCCAGATTATGATGAAAATCAGCACTGGAGGCAAGTTGACTGCCCGAGTCCAAAGATGAGACCGGAGACGATGAGGGGAATGGTCCACTGATGTTGAATGATGAAGAACGTAATGTGGTATTCATAATGTTGACCGGAGGTGTTACATTGCGATTCCGGGATTGCTGCACGAGAGCCGAGATAAATGGAGACGAATCGCCCAGAGTGTGCATGCCTTCATCATGGGTATTTGGATTGGGGGTATCATCTGCTTCTGGGAGGGACTCTAAGCTCCCAACCTTGCTCATGTCTCGCGCACGAAACATATGCTGCCTCTCAGGCTCAACCTGATGGAGATATGGAGGTCTATCGCCGTGCGGGGGCGACAGCTGGAAGCGGGCGTCTGGGAGAGAATCGAGCGCTCCAGTGTGCTCCAATAATCGGGGTGGACTTGGGGACGACTTCAAAGACCTGCGATCAGCGGAACAAGCTGATTGAGAGGACGCAGACGCTCCATCTTGCTCCCGAAGTGTGGGAACCCCAAATCTGAACCCAGTGGTCCCATCTTCTTCAATATTTCGCATACTGCCAGGGAAGAAGGGCATCGAGGTCGGGTTCAGAGTTGCGCCTCTCGCCATGGCAGTGACTAGCTCCAACGAACGGTGAACAAACGAAGGGCAGCACTTGTAGCGTAGGAAGGTTTTAGTTTGGCACTAGAAGCATTGAGCCGATCTCACCTCAGGATCTGAAGAAATGTCTTGTCAACCCGATTCCATATAGGCAGTACAAAGGAGAAAGCCAAGAAAAATACCTGCAACTGGCCAGTTGACGCAGTAGCAGGTACTTGATTGAAGCAAATGTTTCCAGAGGCGTTGCCAAAGGTCCAACGCTTTATAAAGCTCACAAATCCGGCCGAAGGCGTGGTAACTGAAGGATGCTCATTCATTCACTTATCAAACCTATACAATGTGTCAATGCCTTACATTCAGGGCGTCTCATCGCCAACCATAATACATGTTGTGTATTGGCATGTTGGGCATACGGCATAGGTACATTGGAAGCCAAGACAGCGTGAAAGAAACAAAAAATGGCGACATCATTGAAACAAAGGTACATGGAAGAGTCAAAAGAGGGGCAAAGGGAAAGAAAAGCCAAAGATCTTCCCGCGCGGGTGTTTGTCTCCGGGAGTTTCTAATAAAATGGTGGGTTGGAGCTTCAGAGTCCTAGGTCAAGTTAGAAATGAAATTACACGTCAGCAATGGTTGTTCATACCTAATTGCGCTTTGGCGGGCACGCCTCGCATCAGCAAATCCATTACGAGCTCGATATTGTTCAAGACGCTGCTGGACCTTTTCAAATACTTCTGGAAGATCACCAGCGCTGCGAGTGACCTGGATTACAGTTTTGAGTTGCATTCTGAAAACACGTCCAAGCGACATACCACAAGTTCCGTAGATTGATCGCCTAATTGAAGACGAGACCCATTGAGGTCCAAAGCTTTATTGCCAGCTGATGCGTCAATAAATGTGATCATAGCGTACTGCCTAACAGAATATTGGGCAATATATGCTGGATCTGGGCGACCAATCGTCATTGCCAGACCACCGCTGCAGCGAATCTCAACAGAGAGAATTTTGCCACAGTGGCTGAAGTATTCTTCAATAGTGCCTTCGTCGACTGTTTTGCCGAGCTTGCATTGAAGTCAGGTTCCGTAACGTATTGGTTTTCATGGTCACTTACATTGCCAACAAATATGTGCATAGGCTCGCGTCGTCGTTGTTTGTGATGCTTCTTGATAGCATCGACAACGCGTTGGTTCTGTTTCTGCGCTCGCGCAGGATTGATGCGCGTCGGCTTGGCGTCATTTCTCCGCGAGCTTGTTACTTTTTTAGACTACGGCAACAGCTTGAGTGGAATGTTAGGAGAAATAACAGTATGTCACTAACCTTGGGCATGGATTTTGCCTCTGAGTTGTGAGCAGGAGTGTCATCAGAGTTTATGCTATGGCAGTGGTAAAGCATCATGATGGCTTATGTGTGAATGAATCTAAGGTCTTGAAGTTTATGGGTTTTGGCGTTCGTCTGAGAGCTGGCAGTTGAGTGTCAGATCGAGCAGCCTTTTAAATGTATTGAGAGACGGAATGGGGCTCAAGCAAGTTAATTTCCACAACATTATGGACGGGAGCCTGTGTCAGTGGCTTGAAGCATAAACAATGAGAGTTTAGCCTCAGGCTGAGTTTGTGGACTTGAATTGAATGGCGGATTGATCGTCCAAAAAAGGAAAACAGCTTTTTGGGTGTCACGCTTTTCCACCGAAGCTTTGAACGTTTGCTTAGACTCAATGGTTGCACATCATACACATGTCTATCGAAAGGTAGTCCGGGAGATAGCCAAAGCGGTATGTCGCCACTCTTCTGACTTGTGCTGCTTGTGACTTTTCAGTGATGTCAGACCGTCAAACCTCGGTCAGCTCGGAACAAAGACATTGCTTCAAACTTCCGAGCCCTATTCGCACAGAGTGGACCACCCGAAGATGCGCAACGTTTTCAACACGAAATGCAGAATGCCTTGACTTTCCTGCGATCCCAGCGGGAATATAAGGTGAGCGATCTAGTTGCACGCAGGGTATTACATACCAATTGACTTGTGGTTAGGCTTTATTGGAGAGATACAACCCATTGATCGACCTAACGGGAGAAGAACGAATAGAAGCGACCGCACGACGAGTCGGGCTGAACATGCCCAAGCTGCATGATTCCCGGGACACGTAATGACACACCATTAGCATTCAGGTCAAATTCCGTTTACCAAGAGCGGTGACTCGGTCAGGCGTAGTATATTATAGTGCCTGAGGATACTAAGTCACGGAAGATTTTGAGTGCTAGTTAGTGAGATGGCATTCATCATGAGGGACTTGAGCTCGTAGCCTATGCAAGTTGTAATACATGCATGTTTACAATCGATTTGCTTAAGATTTGCCTATCAAGTAAATTTGCCCGATCGGGTTCCGGACTTCCATCAATTGCAACTGACTCGGTCTGCAACTTCTGTGTATTGTGCTACATAATGAATGTTTTGAAAAGGTACCTCCTCAAGTTTTCGCTGAAAAAGTCTTCGCAGATTCAGGGCACGATGGCGGCGGCGACACAGGTGCTTGCATGCGATTCTACATCCATCGCATTTCCTTCAGATGACCAGGTGGCGATAAGCTCACCTGAAACTCTCGCAGCCTTGCGTACCGCAGCGTCCTGCCTTAAAGATCTCCTTCCAGTCGCTTTTCCAACAGAAACCGTCTATGGGCTGGGTGCTATCGCTCTAAACGCGACCGCAGCCCTTAAGATATTCTCGACCAAAGGCCGGCCAGCTGACAACCCTCTCATCGTACATGTGTCCTCGCGGCGTATGCTACAGACTTTACTTCCACAAAATTATGCACTCTCGCGTTCTTACGAGTTGCTCATGGAGCACTTTTGGCCCGGACCCCTCACGCTACTTTTCCCCTGCGACCACAGTTTAATACCCGACATCATTACTGCTGGCCAGTCAACTGTCGCAATCAGAATCCCATCACATCCAGTAGCACGAGCACTCATCGCTGTCACTGATGCACCGCTCGCAGCTCCAAGTGCCAACTCCTCTGGAAAACCTAGTCCCACCCGCGCAGAGCACGTGTTGAATGACTTGAATGGCAAAATTACACTCATTCTAGACGGTGGGCCATGTGAAGTTGGTCTAGAAAGTACGGTGGTAGATGGTCTACATGAAGATGGAAATATCCGCATCCTGCGACCCGGCGGGATCACAGTAGAAGACATCAAACGAGTGCTCGTTAATGGCTTCTCTGATGTTGATACACCAATACCCCAGGTCCTTGTCCATCGTCGTGATTTTCATGACGACGCATTGGAACAGGCGCCCACTACACCTGGCATGAAATACCGCCATTATTCCCCCTCAGTACCAGTGACGCTGATGCACATATCCGGTGCTCCCCTTGGAATAGAACCTCTTAGCACCTCTGCTTTTTTGGAGGATCTCAAGCGTTCGATGCCACATTCTTCTGACACTCTCCGCGTCGGGTTATTGATGCCGTCGGATTCTATTTTGATGAAATCCCTCATCAGCGATACGTCTATTCAGTGGCATGAATTTCCTCTCGGGCTGTTTTCGGAGCCGGCGATTATTGCAAGGCGGCTATTTGATGGTCTCTTGACGTTAGAAAGGGAAGGAGTAGACTTGATATTAGTTGAAGAAATTCCAGAAGAAAAGGAGGGCCTGGCAATCATGAACCGGGTTAAGAAAGCGGCTGGAAGCTCGCAATGGATCACTATTCCCTAGAAATCGCACGTAGGTGTTACTGTCTCTGTCATGTATCTTTTGCTCACAGCCCGCTGCAGGAATGTTGTCGTGTTTACATTGCTCATAATTATAATGACACTAGAGATATAATTAAAAGCCAACGTTCTTCACTTTCCATCAGCCGGAATCTCAGGCATGACTTGTGACCTTATCTCAAACAACATGCATGATGCGATAACGCATGGAACTGTGACGGAACCGGTAGGTAAGCCCGTACCCGTAACTCAAATCGATGGCATTGACAGAAACAGCACACAGAAACGGATGTTGTCTCCGAATAGACCTACAATGTGCACGCAGTCATTGTCGATCTTGCCCGTGTTCGGGAGCTTTCGGAGATCGGCGACACATGCTGCAGAGATATATTTCTGGTACTGAGTGTAACATCAGGGTCAGACGGCATCATTCTCCGTATAGCGGTGCTTGCGCTCCATCGCTGCTCGCACGCCACGCTTCTCTTGCCACGTTTCCGCAGTTTCATGCCTCGTGCCATATCTCATGTACACGAGGCACTACGTTTTTGGTGAGCCAGATCGCATTACTTATAGAACGATGTGACTCAGTGTAAAAAATCACACGTGGTTTTTTCTATCGTCTACTCGATGGATGAAAGCCTGGTGAGACATTGCTAATCAAAATGTTGGGACAGCTCTTACCCTTGTGATTTAATCGCTACAATTTTATGGAGGCTCCTGGATGCGTTGGCCGTCCCTCGGTGATACAGCATTTTTGCAAATTTGGCAGTATGGCACCGAAAAACATTGCCTGTTGGGCAACGTGTTCTACAATTGCAACGTGCTCTCGCGCGCTTCCGAAGTTGCTCTGTCTCGACCACGTGACATTAGCCTCGCGCCTTCTTTCAAACTGATTGAACCCAGTGATATTCCCCTCCTCGCACCGTTCCCTTTGTATTTCTCGTCCCCCCCTTCAGGTGAGCTCCCGACGCCTGGCAGGCCATGTAGTCGGACTATCTCCAGTCCTCCTTTATAACGCTGAGCGCAGCGCATATAAGAGTGGTGATAGTACTTAACCTCACAGCGTTCATTACTCTCAACTGGCATTGAGATCCTCTTAGCTGCACAGAGGCAACATTTTTTTTATAAATCTAATAAAATGGATTATAACGGTCAGTCTTCCCTCGTGTGGTCCTCGTGCTGGGCCGAGCTGACTATGGGTTGCCAGTTTCTAACGGCAGGCACATGATCGGCCCTTATCCCGTTGATATGGGTCCTAGTCTTCTCTATCCACAGCACTTCTTGTTTTCGCAGTCCCCCGCTTTCAGCGATACCTCTCTTCCTCTGGATGATTTGTATCGTTCCCAATCAGCACCTCCGTGCCTGGAGCAAGGAAACAATCTTTTCAACTCTCCCCTTTCCATTCCTCCGTTATTTCCTAATTACGACGTGTTCCCACTGGCTCCCTCGGCACATGGTGGCATTCATTCTTCGACAAAGGAACATATCCCTCGTCCACCGAATGCATTCATGCTCTACCGTTCACACATGCTCAAGAGCCGGGGTAACGCTGACCCTGAGAAGCGTCAGCAGAATCTCAGCCGCATTGCAGGGCAGCTTTGGAGAGATATGAGCAAAGAAGACAGAGCTGTATGGCATAAGAAGGCAGCGGAAGTCCAAGCCGCTCATTATGCGAAGTATCCTGGCTACAAATTCAAGCCCAACCGCAAGAGCGCTAAGTCGGCCAAGACTCTTCAAAGCGGCGGTTATTATTTGAAGCCCACTGAACAGCTTTGCACGGAATCATCCATAGGCCCAGTACGACGTGCTCGCTCGACCAGGATCCGCCCCCAGGGTGTTACGCGTGAGGATTTCCTTGGTGCTTTAGACACGCAGTTTCCATCGCCTTTCTCGTCCTCGTCTGGGCTCTCCCCTCTACGTTGTCCACCATTCATTCCAGCGTTCTCTTTACCTGATGGTACATGTGGTAACGAGCAGCCGAACACCATTCTGCCTAGTCCTCAGTGTACGAATGCACTTGGCTTGAAATTGAATTCATCACAGCCTCCTACGCCAGGACTCGCTGAAATGCTCTCCGATTTGGCACTTGATCTCGATGCTGTACGTTCCGGTGCTCCTTTACGTTTGCTTTTATCTGATCTTCATTTGATCCAAATAGACGCCAACTGCAGCAACTTTCCAACGCAAAGGTGACATACCAATGTCGGATGCTTCTCTGTCCCAAGATGACATATTCCTTGGACTGGAGCAACTTCGTCTTCCCCATAATCCAACGGATTATGACATCAATCGTCTGTCACCGCCACCTCATGGATCGGTAGGATATCAGCCTTCAGCCCAAGGCTATTCGTGTTCGGACGCTTTTAGTGGGGCTCCATCATGCGCCTCTGATTCAATTTTCTCCGAGTTTAGGTACGCTCTTTCAATGCCACTTGACCATGAAAGTAACGAGTGGAACAATACCTCGTGGATGGTTGACTTGGATAAGAACTTAAATAATTAACGTTTTCTCATGACCGTCACGTCCCTTTGTATCCTTACTCTTAATCGCTGTATTTCGTAGTATACCAACGTTTGGCACTGTATCAATAGAAGTTTCTTTCATTCTGACGCTTGATTTCAATCCAGAGGTCCAATTGTGACTCTTGGCATCGTATGTTTTACCGTTAGTATGACAACGGCGGGAGCACCCATTGCAGCCTCCAGGCCCTAAGGCCCCCAACCTCTCCGCGTTCCGTTATTGCCTCCCGTCCCTGAGGTCCCCGACTGTGGGAACACACGTCCAGCGCTCGATCTACACTCAAAAAGGGTAGACCGAGCGCTGGGCGTCGACTCTTGCGTTGTCAACTTGTTGCGCCTGGTAAATTGTAATGGCTGAAAGCAAATTAAGCACGTGACTATCGCGTGACTAACTCCAGAGTCATCACTAACTTACTAAGCTACGCCAGATCAATTGAGGTGAGGCGTAAAAGAAGTCAGCCGCGCCGTCCAGGGAAATCCTAAGCAATTCGATGAAACACGGACCAACTCTTACTGCAGATGAGCTGCTGAAATTGCAAGAAGGACGTCCGACGAAACGGCCGAGGACGACATCTACTTTCAAAACTTTTGCAACAGAGGATTTCGACCAATCATCTGCTTCGCATTCTTCCTCTGAGGACGTAGAATCTGAGGATATAATAGAAGACTCAGATGCTGAGGAGCCCCGAGATCAGTCGTCGAGCGAGGATGAGCACCATGAGCCCTCATATAAGCCTCCCTCTGTATTCGAGGACCAAGGACGAGTGAAGTTATCTATCACCCGAGAACTCAATGCGAAGGACAAACATTCCTCGTCTGCTCTTGTGCCCCCCGCAGGATCATTTACTGATATGGGTGTGGTGCCTCCTCTCGAAGCTGCTCTTGCGCGTATATCTATACGAGCTCCGACAGAGATTCAAGCTGCCTGTATTCCTCCCCTGCTTGCAGGTATGTCTTACAACAATTTTATACTCGAATCAACTTGTAACCTGCTTTTAGGGAGAGATTGCATTGGAAACGCAAAGACAGGCTCTGGGAAGACTATAGCATTTGCAATCCCAATCTTGCAGAAGTTATCTGAGGATCCATATGGGATATTTGCGCTGGTACTGACACCTACAAGGTTCGTTTACTCGCTTCTTTGTTGATTTGCGCATTATAAAACCTCTACCAGGGAATTGGCATTTCAGATATCTGAACAATTTGCAGTGCTTGGTTCTGCAATAGGCGTCCGGACGTCTGTCATTGTTGGTGGCATGGACATGATGACACAAGCTTTAGAACTCAGCGGCCACCCACATGTTGTAGTAGCCACTCCTGGGCGTATTGTTGACCACTTGCGGAGTAGTAACGGCGAATGGGATTTGTCTCGTGTTAAGTTTCTCGTCAGTGGAACTTCTGTGCAAGGTTGTGCAGGCACTCATGTCGAGCTAAAACAGGTATTGGATGAAGCGGATCGCCTTCTTACTTCGACTTTTTCCCCTGAACTCAAATATTTGTTCGAGACTCTCCCAAGCGATCGGCAAACTTGTCTTTTCACTGCTACCCTGACGCAAGCAATTGAGTCCTTAGTTGAAGCCCCGCCGAGACCTGGGAAGGTGAAACCCTTTGTCCATAGAACACTATCAACGTAAGGTGTACCTCGTGTACGATGCCAGAAAGTGGTTCTGATACATTTTCAACAGTGTCGAAACGGTCGCGACACTGAAGCAACATTACGTCCTGGTTCCTTCGCATGTCCGGGAGCCTTATCTTTACCATCTACTTTGCAACCCTCCGGAAAGCGTCGCATCACTCCGGAGGGCACCCCCAGAACCAATCAAATTGGGAAAACCCCGAGGAAATTCAAGATACCGGGGAAAGACCAGAGAGTCGCGAAAACCTGATCCGGACGAGGATATACCCTTACAACCACCACCTACCATCATTTTCTGCACAAAGCCTCGGACAGTTGCTTATCTTACTTATCTGCTTCAGACTTTGTCCATTCGCAGCACCGCGCTACATTCAAGATTGACACAACGCGAACGGTTGACGTCCTTATCACTTTTTCGGTCCTCTTTTATTCCAGTCCTTGTCTCAACAGATGTTGGCGCCCGTGGTTTGGACATTGAGGACGTGGCGATGGTAATCAACTGGGACCTGCCAAATGAGCCCGAAGAATACACTCACCGAGTGGGCAGAACTGCACGTGCAGGTAAAGGGGGTGTTGCCATTAGTTTTGTGACAGAAAAGGATGAGGAGCGGGTATCGAAAATAGAAGGACGCATCGGTGCGTCATTCCACTCTTGCACCGCAATGATTATCAGAGTTGCTCACTACTCATGTTAGGCATCCAATTAGAGGCGATGACCATGCCAGAAAATAAGGTTTTAGAAAAATTGAATGCCGTATCGACAGCGAAAAGGGTGGCAAATATGGTGCGAATTTTAAAGACAGCGCACTTGTTATTTCTTATGCGGGCCCCTCAGGAATTGCATGATTCGAACTTTGGCCAACGGGAAGAAATACACAAATTAAAGTCCAAGAGAAAAGTGGAGACATAATTGATTGCGTTCGTCAGTTACTTATGTATTTAACGATGACAACGGGTGCATTTCTCGGTCAAAGTCCCAAGCTGCGTCCGTAACGTGTTTCTCACTCCACGGCAACCTGGTGTGCACTAGACGCTGGTCTCGTCACCAATATTTAACGTTCTGGAAAGCGGGGTTGAAAAGAAAGTTAGGGACCGGAAGAACCCGATTATGGTAGTTCGCTCTCGATCGCCAATATCAAACTCAGCGAACCTATAATAGCGTCTTTAGAATTCCCGAACTGCAGCCCCCCTTTCTCTTCATACTTTATACGAGCTCGCCATCGCCCGCGTACTGTACTAATATCGGCATTTGACCACCATTATTTTAATTCATCCCCTTTCAAATCCCTGCATCCAGTTTGATCACCTGAGGCAGTTATGAGTACTTGCACGGAGAACACAGACTGGGACTTCGTCTTGCAGTTCGTTTCAGAGCCTTTGGAGATGGAATTTTCTCATGTACCTGAAAGGCCCGTCGCGGAACGCTCACATTCGGCGGTACCTGTGCAGGTGCCAACACCTCCCGTGCGTAGTTTTGACTGCAAGGATGATGTCAGGCGGGTATTGACCACTATGACTTGTAAAGGATTCGTTTACCTCGTCTCCGGTTGATCCCCCAGCCGAAGAAGATACACTTGTCTCTGTTTCCACGACATTCTTTCCCGGAGCACACATCCACTCACACCCACCAGATGTTGTGCTTCTGTCGTCCGACTCTGTATTCTTTTATGTCCACACACAGGTTCTGCTCGGGGTTTCTGAAAATAATTTTGACGGTCTGCTACCACCTTCGTCCAAAGCGACAGCTGGACAATTAGGCCCAGTCTTGATGGTCCCGGAATCTTCCACCATTCTCAATATCGTACTTCACGCCGTATACGACATGGCATGTTCCCATTATTCCCCTTCATTCGAGTCCCTTTCAGAAGCATTGTCAGCGCTAGCAACTTATGGAGTTTCTGTCAAGCGCCATATTGGCCCTACTACTGCCCTGCATTCGCTGCTTCTCTCGCATGCTCCTCTTTACCCCTTGGAACTCTATACGCTGGCTGCTTCACACGATCTCTATGACCTCGCCGTTCCAACGTCATCTCACTTGCTCTCCTTCTCCCTGGCGTCCTTGACAGATGAGATGGCTGACAGAATTGGCGCTATCTATTTGAAACGACTATTTTTTCTCCACTTTGGCCGCGCAGACGCTTTGAAACGTCTCCTCCTACCACCACCTCACCCACACGCCCCCACCAATGACTGCGACTTCACCGAGCAGAAGAGGCTCACAAGAGCCTGGGCTCTTGCTTCTGCATACCTCGCTTGGGATGTCAGACCAGGTATGTTTCATACCTGATCAACAACACTATTTTAATTGTAGTTAAATCCAGACTTGTCCACAAACGCGATTGAGTCTGCTTTGGCACCTTTAGGTGATCAGCTATCATGCGATCTCTGTCGAAAAACACTTCGAGATCGGCTGAGGACGTTAATTATACAATGGTCGGCAGTCAAGGTACGCACACTGTACAGGGTCTCGTACCTTCCCGCTGATATCGGAACTGCAGAGGACTATCTAAATTGTGAAACGACATCATGCGGAAGAGATATCTCCCACCCTGGACGAACATACCCCAGGAAATGCGCGCACGCACTTCTTCAGTCCTCATTCTTCATTCTTTCAAAAGACTGTATCACTTATCCCTTTCATTTCACTGCATTAATTGTGTAACACACTGCTTACTTCCTGTATATCAACTGGAATTGTTCACTCTGGTGAACAGTCTGCCTCGAGTCCATCATACACGACCTGTACTCATTAGCAGCCCCTCCTTCCGTAAATAGTATCCTCTGTTTCCACTCACGACTCCACGAGTTTAACTTTGTACTCCATGTGGCCCACACACGCATAGCATAACCGATGGGTAATAACATCACGATTCGAAACTTGGGGACAGATCGGGGTAAAGGCAGTGAGATAGGTATGCAACCTTGTACAATGAATCGCTAAACATAGGACTCGGTCATCGGGACTTGTCCTCGGCAAGAATGGCGTCATTGAGCTCATCCAGGGGTGCTAACTCTTTCTTGTCCACGAGGTCAAACTAGCAGGTTTATAATTAAGTGACACCGGGCAGTCGTGGAGAAGATTGGAATCACCTCATTTATGAATAGAAAGAAATGCCGATAACTAGTGTTCAGATGAGCTGGAATATTTCGTTAAGCTGTCATAAGGGAAGTCAACAGCAAAACCAGATGACATACCTTCGATACCAAGTGCACAAATTTGGTCAAAGTGGTTGCTGTATATATGCGCGTATACGCGGAACAATCGGCGTACGATCGTGCGCACTGTTTCGCGAAAATTTCGGGGGAATGGCACGCCTAACGTTTCGTCAACTACCACCGCGGAGTAAATTCATCATGCGGTGCATACCAATCTTGTTGGGGAATACAGTTTCATCGTCGAGAATGTTCTGAGCCCAGTTCATCAATGCATCTACATATTCGGGAGCGGGCAGCTTCGTGGGTCTCTTATATTTGATACCATCTTCCCAGAGGTACTCGTAGCTACCGGATTACAGTAAGTTTGTGATATATATATGCCACAGACAGAGGCTCACCGCGGACCAGCGGACATTATGGGACACTAAAGCCAGCGGACACTTCAGATCAAGCGGCAAGTAATCAGCGGTGTCATACCTCCTGCGGCGTGCAGAACTCGGTGACAGTGCCGTACAACATATTCAAGTGGTTAAAGAAATCAACCGCTGTTCATGTGAATACGACGACGCGTTGTGGACGAGCGTAAATGGTCCGCACCATGAACAGCGAGCCATTCATTTGTATCTTCACCTTCAGGCAGCCGGACAGCCATCCTCAGATTGCCAGAACCCTGGATTGCATTTGAAAGTTCGATGTTATCCTGGCATTAGTACTGACCAGTGTACTTTACCAAGGTTGCTTCTGCATACTTTCGCAGTTGATACTGTTTGGTGCCTTCGGGGACGTCCTTTCGAGGTTTGAATGTGCGAGTCTTGCCGCTGGAAGCAAAGGCTGACGCGTTAGTTCATGGTCTTGTGGTTGGAAGGACTACTGACAGTCCGAAGAACGAAGACATGCCGCCGATGACCGCAGATCTACAGTACTTGTTCAATGATGCTATATCCCGCTCGCAAAGGTGCCGAAGACCGGATGGGCCTGTGCACATTCGCCGCTTGAAATATGAGGTTCGCGCCGCGCGGTCGGTAATATTTACATAACCATGTTTTATCTTATCTTATCAACATTACAAGCCAAGGCTTTTCTCAAGCTTGACCTACTTGCTCTGGAATCTGTGCATCCCAATGTTCCAGGTTGATGCACATGTACTGCAGTGTTGATCGACAAGTTGAGTCCCTAATGATTCAATTGTAAATTCATGGTCACCAAAGATCCCGCTCCACTACAGGAGTCCCGTTTCAGGGGGTAGCCTAGCGTGTGTGGCCGAACTTTCAAAGATATTTAAAGACCACAGTGGCCATGAAATCACACACCATCTCACTCACTGAACACCATGACAAAACGCATCCTCTTTGTTTTTACGTCTGCGAACCGCACATTGACAGGTGCCAGCACGGTAAGTGGAGCCTTGCACTCGTCGATGCGACATCAATCCCTAATCGCATTTGATCAGGGATGGTATCTTCCTGAAGCTGCTCATCCTTACTACGTCCTCGCACCCCATTTCACTATCGATTTTGTTTCTCCTGCGGGTCCTAATCCACCTGTGGATGAATACAGCGTCCAGGTGAGCGTTCAGTTCAAGAGTAGGTTAGTTATTAGTCATTACTGAAATCCTGCCTTCAGACGTTCCCGGACGACATAGGCAAATTCCTTGAAGATCCTGTGGTCCAGAAGAAGCTCTCGACCGCTAAAAAGCTCTCTGAGGTTAAGCCTGATGATTATGATGCGGTTTTCTATGTAGGGGGTCACGGCCCTGTCTTGGATCTGGCAGTGGATCCCGTCAATATCAAGCTTGCATCTGAAGTACATCTGTTAATCTTCCTTGTATGATGCGCCGCTGACGGTTTCTGATCCTCTCAGTTCTACCGTGCTGGAAAATTGGTCGCCGCTGTTTGTCACGGACCAGCGTCAGCTATACTATAACAACTGCTGTCATGAATGATACTGACGCTGTGCTACAGTGCCCTTGTTGGTGTAACTGACGAGTCTGGAAAATCTATCTTTGCTGGCAAACCTGTCACCGGCTTCTCGAATGTTGAAGAGGAGCAGATCGACAAAGTGAAGGTGAGCATCAATTAGCCAGTGTTTGATACTTTTGCAGACTTGTTATGGACATAGGATCTGCCCTTCTCGTTGGAAGACAAGATCTCCAGCCTTGGGGGCAAATACGAGAAAGCAGCAGAACCTTGGGGGGTAAATATCTTGCTTGAGTTGGTCGGATGTTGACTCATCCACTATTATTCCAGCCCAAGGTCGTCGTCGCTGGCAACCTGATTACAGGGCAAAATCCGGCTTCAGCTTATCCGATTGGAGAAACAATTCTCAAGGCCTTGCAGAAATAGTGTGCTACTGGTAGAAGCAGAATTGTCCTGAAAACGGTGTCCCTCAGCATTTCTCGTACCTTGCAGTATGAATCTATCTCAACTGAGGCGATGTAAGAGAATATTAAAAATTAGTACAGATCTCGCGGGTACGACCTACAACTGTATCGTATCAAATATAGGCTACAGACATCTTCCAGCCCTTTTTTAGTGTGAAGCCATCTAAGGCGTCTTTTGCGGTTGATGCAAGTTCTGGGGAGTCGAAGAAAACTTGCGCCATCTTTACGCTTGCACCAGCAGCATTTGGAGTTGGTGATTGAGCGACATGTGTTGATTGGAAACCTTTGTACCTATCGGTAACATTTGTGGATGACTTGGATGAAAAAGGGAATGAATACACACTGTTGGAATAGTACAGAAAGCACATCGTCTGTAACCTCTTGAGGGAGATTCGTACAAAACAATCTTGCAGACGGCTGTTGTGTAGGCGGCGGAATGGTGGCTTTGAATAGAATGATTGAAATCATGAGAACATTGTTGATGTCATGACGTACCTAGAGGTTTGAGTTGTGGAGCGGGCTCCTCATCTTCATCAATCTCCATTTCTTCACCATCACTATCGTCCTCTGACTTTTCACGTTTGGGTTTAGGTTGCCCATCTGCCATGTCCTCATCGCGCCGGCGCTTATCAGTAGACGAAACGGTGACTTTTGGAAGCATGGCGAGATCCTGGTTTGCATGAACAGATGTTGGAGCGACAAAGGTGGGATCTTCCCTTCGCGAAGTAGCGTATGATTTCGATTTCGCGTAGGTGATGCGCTGCATACGTGAATTCAGTTGTGTCGTCTCTTGGAAAGGCAGTTTTAAGCTTACCATTGGCTTGTCATAAAACACCATACCCTCACATGCTCTCATGGCGGTAGTTGCGGATGCCAAATCGGTGAAGACGAGGAATGCCTGACCCCTCATCTTTGGACCTTTGGACGCGATGACATCTATAACCTTGCCGAATGTGGTGAAAAGTGCATATAGCTGGGTGCGCATTTCATCCTTGTTGATTTTGTCATTGAGATTGTTGATGTAGAGTGTTGGAATTGGTTGAGAGGACATGATTATTGCAAGTCTAATAGGTCAAGTCGCGAGGATGGATGATAGTTGTTATCCTAGAAAGGTATGATATTCTCACGACTTGTTGAGTGTAGGGAACGCGATTTAGACTTATATTAGAACTCATTTTAGTTCTCAAGTCTTCAGATTCCTGCTAACACGGTCTAGGACACGTCCAGCATCTTCGCAAGAACTTTGACAAGGGTTCAGTCGCGTTTTGTCTCCTCAAACGTAAGACATAACAAACAGGCACCAAACGCACCCTCGCACGTTGCTCACCCTGTTCATGAAATTTTTGACGACCTTCTGCTAACCTCCTTCGACGCGTCCTCCGATGAACAGCCATAATGCCCTTCAGTGGCTACCATCTTACATCGTTCCATTCGTTTCACTCTCTTATCCAACTCCTCCCCCCCTCAACCCCGACTCATTCCACCATTCCACGTACTACAAAACCGGGGTGCTAGATGGCTGCTTCATAATAACCTGCATTGCTATCATGGCTGTTCTGCGCGACGTAGTCCGCATATTTGTAATGGAGCCTTTCGCTAGGTGGAAGCTCACCCGCGCTTGGGAGCGATCTAAGTCCCAGCACATCCAACAGAATGGCAACAAAAATGGCGTCATGAATGGAAACGGTCATGCTGGGCATGCCAATGGTGATTCTAAGCCAAAAAGCGTAATGTCTGCTCGGGATGCTCGCAAAATTCATCGCAGCGTTCTGAGGTTCGCAGAGCAAGGCTGGTCGGCCATCTACTACACACTCCAATGGTCATTTGGCTTTGTACGTGGTTTCACCCAGCTGACGTGGCATCGCTAATCTTATTTTCAGTACGTTCACCGAAACCTTCCTACCCAAGCCCTAAACCCGACGGAGTTATGGTCGAATTACCCTCATAGTCCCCTTGCTGGACCACTGAAGTTTTACTATCTTACCCAGACCGCCTTCTACCTCCATCAAATCCTCATTCTCAATGCCGAGGCCCGAAGGAAAGACCATGTGCAAATGATGACCCACCACGTCCTCACCATTTTCCTTATGGTCATGAGCTACTTCTGCAATTTCACCCGTATTGGATGCCTCATCATGGTATTGATGGACTGGAATGATATCTTTCTCCCAGTAAGTTGCACTCTCCGCTCTTTAATGATGCAAACTCATCTGGTCACCCCCGCATAGATCGCCAAAATGTTCCGGTACATTGGTTTATATACCCTTTGCGATATCACTTTTACTTGGTTCCTTACATCATGGTTCGTGGCACGTCACGTTCTCTTCGTCATCGTCATAAAGTCGGCCTGGTTCGATGGCCCGCGGTTGATCACCGTTGGCTGGGTGCCAGAATTGGGACATTATTACTCTGAGCGGACTTACAATACCTTTGTCTACCTGCTGGTAGCACTACAGGTGAGTGTCAGCCTTCACGTCAATGTACGCATCTGATAAGTTCTTCAAGTTCATTCAAATCATCTGGTTCTGGATGATTTGTCGCGTTGCATGGCGCGTGATCAGCGGTCAAGGCGCTTCGGACGATCGCAGCGACGACGAAAGGTGAGATTCTCATACGTATATGTCCTATCCATATTGATGTGTCTGCAGCGAGGAAGACAAGAAGAGTCAGTGATCTAGTGCATTAGACGCAGGGGCGCGATATATCGATCATTTAATTGCCACACGTCGGCCTTTGCATATCTAGACATTTCTGGACTCAACTACCATACAATTCAACATTTTGGATACTTAGATTGTCACTTGTGACCGAATGACTAAAAGCGCGATGAAGCGGCGAGTTGCCTTATTCAGTTATCAGCACTTAGCGTCAGAGCTTCTAGCCCGCTGCGGCAGTACAGCACTTGGCCAGCCCTTTGTCCTGCGCGCATCTCCTTTGCTTTGATCTGCTTTTGTACTTAAACCATGATGGCTGGGATTATGTCTTACTTTGGAGGGAGACGAGACACGAAACAAGCAGCGCGAGACGCCATCGTTGGGCTAAGGCAGCAACTACAGATGATAGAGAAGAAGGAGGAGCATCTACAGAAGAAGATTGACGAGGAACTCAAGAAAGCGAAGGCGAATGCTGTTTCAAACAAGGCTGGTACGTCCTCCACTCTGCCGTCGAAACTCACCGTCTACATACACGATGCACAGTGGCCACGCAGGCTCTGCGGCGGAAGAAGGCGAATGAATCTGAGATGGATCGATTGGCGGGTCAACGCTTGCAGCTGGAACTACAAATCAACACACTAGAGTCTGCGAATCTGAATGCGGAGACGATGGCTGCTATGAAGAAGGCTTCAGACGTACTTGCGTCGATCCATGGTAACATGTGTGTTATTCTCCTTACTGTGCTGATCGCACGTATGGTGGTGACCTTGATTCCCGTAGGACTATGGATAAGGTCGACTCGACCATGAGCAAGATCACGGAACAGAGAGAGATTGCTAATGAAATTGCAGAGGCTATATCATATCCTACTGGCACAGAGGCAGACGAGGTGCGTTTATTTCATGATCTTATGAATGCTTTTGTGCTTATGATTTGATTAGGATGACCTCAAGGCAGAGCTCGCGGAGCTTGAGCAAGAGACACTCGACGAACGCCTCGCTGGAGCAGAGCATGTTCCTTTGCACATTCCTGCAGGAGCTCGTCGGGTGGAAGAGCGACGTGAGATGTTCCATGTCAACTTCCTGTCATCAGCTAACCTCTTGCGCAGCCAAAGCAGTGGAGGAAGACGAGGAGGCTCAGTTGAGGGAACTACAGGCTGCACTAGCCATGTGATATCTCGACTCCCCTTTCTCTTACCGCATCCTGGTCGATCCGTTCACTGGGTCTCAGATCTGACTTTATACATATATCCAAGCCCCTCCTCATAATAGCTTCTTGCAACAGATGATTGTTTAGGATTTCCCTGCTGACGGCTCGTCGTGTTCTTGTGAAATTGAGATAGTGTACAGGATAAGCAGTATTAAATTATGTAACGAAACTGCCTGTACTAAGTTATGAGCTTGATATGCAGCAAGACGTGCGTGCAAAATGCTAATTGTGACATGCAGGATGATGGGTGCGGCGATGTGAGACCATGAGGTAAGAGTCAGTTGAGGATGGGTGTTAAAGGAATATTATGATGAGAACCCGCGAATGCCCAATACCCTCCGTACATCTCCGGTGAAACGCAGCGAATCCAGGATGGGCAATAAATCGAGTAGGGCCTCGTCGAGTGGGTCATGCGTCCATCCCTCTATGGGTATACCATTCGCTGTTGCGAGAGCACACTCAGATTGGGAATTGTGAAGGTAAAAGTGTGCGTACCTTCATTGCCACGGTAGCTAACCGGCGAGTTATCGATCAGACAGACACGAGAGAGATCTTGTTCTACCACAGACAGATCCTTGATATAAGATCCATTAGGAAGTTGGGTGCAAGACTGAACAAGTTTGACAGCGTGGTGAGGAGATGGATTTCGTAAAGAAAATCACAAGACTTGCCTCTCGGAATAAACGGCGCGCAAGAATGCCACGTCCAGCGTCTAACCAGTCAATGACTGGGTCGGCATACTCTTGCATGGAAGCAGTGAAGACAACGAGTGTGTACCAAGTAGAAACCTGGCAACCGCTAGTCAGGCTCTGATAGATTGACAACGGTAGCGCGCGACTAACCTTGCGAAGGAAGTAGTCGACAAACGGTCTCTTGTATACATGATAAAGGGTGCTCCGGCCGCCCAGGACTACTTCGACTGTGTGTCCCTTGTTCCTGCGCCCGAAACCGAGAAGTCCGGAGCCACTGGACGAATGTCCGATTGGTTTGGACGTCGAATGTATGAGAGTTTCATCGAGATCAAGAACGAGAGTCTTTGGCAAATGGAACGGGGTCTTGTGCGTGGTGGTCAAAATGGGTGTCGGGGATCTCGATGCGGTATCGGTTACGGTAGTTGGAGGAATTCTGGGCGATTGTGGATGGGATGGAAGCGAAGGACCTGGGGAAGGCGGCGGTGTGGGTAAAGTGGCAATATCTGGCTGGGAGAAGATAACTTGAAGGACGTGAGATGGAATATGTGGGGATGATGGGGAAGGAATTGATGGCAGTGGCGGTTGTGTTTCAGGTAACAATACATCAGTAGGCTCGTCCAGGGGTTTTTCAGGATGTTCGTCTGCCAGACCCTCTTTCTCCTTGCTTTCGATCTCTCCTGGGGTCAATTGCGCCCATGTAGCGCAGAGGGTGTTCCATACGAGAACAAAAGCGCGAACAAGAAACAGCCGTCTGAGAGCACTTCTTACTCTGAACCTGGACTTCAGATGTATGGCAGCCTCTGTTGGAGGCGGAGGAGGAAATGGCCTCAGAATTGGTATGGGTAAGAAACCTGAAGGAGAGGAATATGAGCGCTTCGGTTTTGGTGGGCCTTGCGAGTCTGAGCCATGAGGCTGCTGGAGCGACTTCGAATTCGTGCGCCTGAAAGAAGCACCAGAATCTGATCCTCTGCGAGCAGACGGTGCCCTGCGAAGAAAGGATGTCTTATCATCCACGGGAGTTGACGGAGGAGTTCGAGGTGATGCGAATACATCGAATTGACGTGAGATGTAAGTTAGAGAGTTCATTGCAGCTTACACGAACTCGAATTAACGAGCTAGTGAAGTCGAACTCGCGAAACAAGACTTAAGCGAGGTTTACTGCGATGTTGTGAGGAAGGTGGAAGTACTGGGTTCAGGTGCTGATGCTAAGCTGCCAGCGCGCAACCAAACGCGTGACCTCACAAAATCAGTTTATCGGTTGATTCGGTTCCATCCAATTACCCAACGTTGGCAACCTTAGCTTCCCTTATCGAACCTTTTGATCTCCCACTGTCAACAACATTCGTCTGTCAAATTATTCACACCAATCACAGCCGGTTTTTTTAGCTGCACGACTACCTCCTTCCGCTATTAGCGTATCATGGGCCATCCGACAGCAGGCAGCAACGTTTCCAATTCGATTGTTCCTCAAGGCTCATAATATCCACAGTACAAGTCATGGCAATTGCATATCGCGTCCGAGTCGGCTACAAGTTGTAGATCACCGCGCGATCAATCACAGAAGGTACCTGAATCCCTTTTCCTTGATCCCCTTCTCCTGCTCTTCACGTTCCAGCTCCTCGTTCAATGACTTCAGATGCTGCTTGAAAACCCAGGCCATTATAATCGCGGTACCGCTACCGGCAATGCAGATGCCATAGGAGTTTCGGTAGGTAGGGCCCCAAGTCAAAGGCCAAATGTACCTGCAATCGGCTTCATTAATAAATTCCTACCACGCTGATTGGTGGATTGCACTCACGACCCTGCAACGTTTCCGAGTTGCGAAAATCCGTTGATGATCGCCACGCATACCGCACGCTTTGACGGCGGTCGAGGGAATGAGTTATTCATCCATGCGAGCATCACAACGAGTCCTGCATATGACTGCGCCATGAGGAACCTGGCTACCATCAGCGAGCCGCCTCAAATCGAGATCCTGCGCTTACAGGGACACATATCGCGCTGCAGTGTTCATGGTGCTTATTGCAATAATGAACCCGATAATACCGGCAATCCATGAACTAATAATGTGGTAGAAGCGTTCTTGCTTGTAATCAGAGTGCCTGGGAGTTCTTCATTACTAGTTCCTAGATCATGTCATAGAAGCTCACCTGCACAAACAGAATGTGACAATGACTGCAAAGATGAACGGAGGGGCAACAAGGAGCAGTGTTACTGTTGGGTTGTACCCAAGCGTCGCACTGAGAGTGGGGAAGTACGCATTGAAGGACAATGATATGACCTGTGCATTCACTGCCATCGCGAACCACCACACCTTCCAGTCGGTTACAGCGAGGTAAAGGCCATGAGCGCGGCCGCCCTGCTCAGTTTCTTTCTGATCGCCGACACCAGCATCCTCCTCCATACGCCTCAATGCAAGTCGACGCTCATCGTCAGAAAGCCACTTCGTCGTTGACGGAAAGTCTGGCAAAATAAAGATTGCACAGATTGCAACAAAGACAGTCAGACCTCCTTCGAGGTAGAAAAGCCACCTCAAAAGCCAGATTCAGACCCCATCCCTCGGCAAAAACAACTTGATTGAAATTACCTCCATGCGGCGTGTCCGAGGACATTGTTCATGCCACCGAGAATACCCGATGCAATAAGCGCTCCAAAGGCATTGCTAATGATGTTTCCGCTGCAAATTCCCTGTTAATGGAAAGATCTTTCCACCAGCAGATTGGCGCCCTTACCAGTAGAGAATTGCTGTTCTGAAACCTATCTCTGTTCTCTTGTACCTGCAAATTAGATGTGAGGCTGTCCGCTGATAAGACCGATAGCCCACGAACCACTTCGAAATTAGAAATAGTGCACCAGGGAAAAACGCTGCTTCTACGAATCCAAGAAAGAAACGCGTTAAGACGGCTCCGGTAAAACTATCACAAATGACTGCGGTCAGTTGTTCGTCAGACATAGATAATGCGTCATACTTGGTCGTAATTCCAGTCAATGCCGATATCATACCCCAAACGGCCATACAAGCAGGCAAATAAAGCGACGGCTTGCCGGTGAAGTTAAGAAACATGTTAGAGGGGATTTGCATGATGATGTATCCGACATAGAGAATAGACAACAACGTCGCAAACTGTTGATCAGTGAGATGAAGGTCGGCGACGAGCCCTCGGGAGCGCGCGGCACTTTTTGTTTCGTGAACGACACGTCAGGAATGCATGAAAGGGCGTACCCAGCATTATTTCTATCGACCTAGGACAAAAATGAGACGGAGACAAGATGCATTGATGCAATGTCACTCACATAATTGAGGATATAGATAAGTACCAGGATTGACATGCGAAGGTCAAGTTTCCACAAGAGTTTGCGCTCCAGTTCCTTACGTGCCTCTAGGCCACCGAATTCTGCGTCAGGATCAATGTCTTCACAATGATCCACGTGCTCCACGTGCTCCTTGGACACTGGGAGCGACGCAGAGTCTGAATATTGGCTAATTGACATGATGGTGGTGGGAACCCAAACTGGTTGATTCTCTTCTGCGCTTCATCTTTAAAGCACCTCTGACGGCGGAAAGATTGCCAAAAGGAACAAGAGTGGTATCCGAGAGTGGGTCACAAGGACAGCGGCGACAGGTTGCCTGAGAGTTCTTTACTGGTCATTTGGTTTGATTGAGCAGCTGGTATACTCAATGATAAGTACTATACAATACTTGGCACCCGGTGCTTGTCCGTGCTATGATTGAAGTGCAAATACTATATTTGGTATCTACGCCGTCACATTGACATCACGTGATGATGTCGCGCGTATCGCGTGTTTGTTGACGGGATCAGCTTGGGACCAGCATCATCTCCTCAAGGTCGACAAAGACGCGACAAGTCCACATTTTAGATAGAAGACTAACATGGACGACAACGTGAACATCCCAGTATACTCCGAGCGTCATCTTGCACTCTTTCAGCGTGTCAAAGATGCCTTGGACGACCTTCCTGTCTTGCATGATTCCGCTATTCCAAAGGACGAGGCCTGTGCCATATGTCTTACTCCTTTCGACGCCATACTTGCTGGCGAGGTGCCTCAGGAAGGAGAAGGAGAAACAGAAGACGGTGTCACAAAGGTGGTGGGCTGCGGACACTTATTCTGTCGGAAGGAGTACGTGATTTACATCGATTAAATCCCCGTCACCTTCTGTTAAGCCACAACTGCACGCAGCTTATCGGAGTGGATACGAAATTTTGTGAGTTCTTTCTTTCGGCGCTAAATGAAGTCAAATGTTCCGCTGACAACTACTCCTATTTCGCAGCACGGCAGTTGTCCAACGTGTCGACATCCTTTTCTGGATATAAAACCGTATACCGACTCTGACGCGGAATCCTCTGATGATGAATATTTTCCTGATGAAGATGAAGATGAAGAAGACGACTTCTTCGGGATGGACGATTTCGACGACGAATTCGAGGTGGAGGAGATGGAAGTAGACTTGGATGACATCTGGGGTTATGTCGATTTGGATGCTGGTGATGAGTCTGATAATGAGGAAGAGCGTCCCGAGCCGGATATTGATGGCCTGTTTGAAGAGAATCACGGTGTGTTACTCGGCCTATTCATCGAAGTCCGCTGACATTTCCTCAATAGAAGGATTCTGCGGCGCGTCTGATGCTGGCAGTGGTGTGGAGCCACTGGAAGATACTACTTGCGACGATTCGTCTCTACACGACAAATAAGTTTCTTTTATGGATGTACATTCATTTCTTCTAGATCGTTTTGTTTGTAATATTCTAGAGCGTGTATGGATTCTACGTCGAAATCGCTTGGAGGACTTCGGAAACAACAGCATCCTCGCGGCCATCTCTCCAGACACCGGTAAATTTGCCACTCCACCTCGTGCCCTTACCCCCTCCTTTGACGTTCAGTTTACCTTTGAGAAAGTCCCCAGCCATCTTGACACATTTCTCGTCCGATCCGAAGATAAGCAGCACGCTTGAACTCGAATTTGTCTGGGACGACGGAGAAGACGAAAATACCAACACGAACGGCCGCTCCGCTGGAATGGTATTTGCGAAAGCTGTGGTTATTGCTGACAAAAATCCGAGAGGATTCACAGAATCATCTGTCCGGTGAACATGTTTGACGAATAGGGCTGCTTCAGATGACTTCATTTCTTGCAAAACGTCGCCTGCGATATGTTTTGCGAGTTCAAATTCAAGGTCATCGACTCTCTTCTCGGCTCTCTTCCGCTCGTCTACAACTTGCCCTATACGATCTGGGACTTGCGGGGCGCCACAGCTGAGCGTGGCAGCAGCAGCAGCGAGTTGGGAGTGTGTAGATGTGATGTAGGTGATGAGGCGCGGTCCAGCGAGGAAATAGAGGCGAGCAGATGTGGTAGCCGACCTAGAAAGGGTCTCCGTTTGGGGTATGATGAAAAGCTGGAGGTTGTGAAGGGTGGGAAGGTGCGTGCCGCAGCATCTGCGGCATTGATCTTCAGCTTCTGAAATAACCTGCCAGGATTGAACGAACTTACGGATTACGATCCACTCCATCAATGATTACTGTTCGCATGATGCCTCCAGTGTAGTCGGTCGGGACTCCTTTGCCCACGGCACGACCGCTTTCTAATACAGGTACTGCCGGTCGTGATTGATCATCCATTTCCTGCACTTCTACGTGGACCTTCCGTCCCTCAAACACAAGTTTGTTGGCTTCGCTTTGTATCGCCAAGATCTCCTCCGCGGTCATGCTTCTGGCGAGTTCGACATAACAAGGTGCTGGTGCAGCCGTGAGCGACCAAGAAAGAGTAGGAATCTCGAGATGATTTTCGAGCACTGCGGAAAGCAGGTGCTGGGATGTGTGCATGGACATCTGTTGGATCCCAGCTCAATGATTGCGCTAGGACGAAGAAGTCGGGTACGTACATGATCATATCTGCGATCAATGCCAAGCTCTCCGAGAGCAACAGTAACCTTGGCTCCAGGGGTGAGGCAGGAAAGACCCTCTTCAGCTTGTTCAGCCCGGACGTAGTGAACTGCATGTCCACCATATCGTTTGGCCTGAGTCACTGTCCATGTACGTCCATCAGCTGTCTTGATGAAACCTGTATCTGATGGTTGTCCTCCGCCCTCCGGAAAGATAACAGTATCATGCAGTATAACCTCAAGCGTAGGATGGTCGACCGGGGCTGGTGCCAATGCCTTCTTTCCTTTCTTAACGCTAGGAGAGGAGGCAAGCTGTGAGATCGTGCAGCTGATAATAGTTGTTTCCAGTTCCTGGAGGAGTGGGTCGCCTGAACTTCAGCTTAGATGGAAATGTCTGGACGTGCCAAAGGCCGAGGTGCTCACGTTGACATGCCAGGAGACCCACGGGTATTGGTCGTTGGGTATCTGTAGGAATCTTCAGGGTTTGGGAGACGATTCTGTGGTAGGATGGCGGAGTGACTGTAGGGTATAGTGTGACCACCGCGGCTGCCATATTCGCAGTAAATGGATGGGTTGAGTGATGGTGCTCTTCAAGTCTTGTGAGCCTGAGGGACTTTGATGATCATATCAGCAACTCCCAGGAGTCAAGGGATTTTAATATTCGAGGATGCCGTATGGCGCAATGCATGTAATGAAACTATACTTGATATGAGTTAGTACTAATACTTATCGACGGATTCGACGCTGCAGTGGAACTAGTGCTAGTAGCCTAGGCCTGTAGGACAGACATTCCTTCTTTCGGGCGGAATGGCGAAGATGAAACCCGCTCCAAACTGCTACGTAGCCACTGGCCAGCTGTCACGACCGCTGATTATCTGAGCCAAAACTTTTGGCGACGCATCACAACTTGGGAATGTCGGATCGCCCCCTGCTCGATGCAGTCAATTACACTCCGCACTACGGCTCCTCCGAGTCTCGCAGCGGCAGTGACAGTCCCACACTCTTGTACATCGATGAGCAGCTGCTGCAGAACAGACCCGTCGTGGAGAAGAGCCTTCTCCGCAAGTTGGACTTGCGAGTAGCCTTCCTGGTTCTGGTTTACATTATGAACTATGTAAGTTGGTGCACCTAGCATCCCCGCTACTGCCTAAATACCCTGCATAGATGGACCGTAGTAATGCAGCGTACGTGACCCGGTTTCGAAATCACTTGGAGTAGTGTGGCTTAACTGCCTACTTGCAAGTGCGGCGAGGCTGCGTGGTTTTGAGGAGGACCTTAATATGAAGGGGAATCAGTTCAACACACTTATTAGCATCCTCTATGTGGGATACCTATTGATGCAAGCTCCTTCGTATGTGCTGCTCCGTCATCTTTCTGCGGCATCTCCGAGAATTCACAAGCAACATTTTCTTAGATCGCATGAAAAGACCATCACTGTACCTCTCAAGCTGCATGGCAACATGGGGTGCTATCACCTTGTTCATTGGTATGCATATTTTTGTTTTCGTTTGATCAACATCGCCTAACGAGGGTCGTGGAAGGTGCGGTACGAACGTTGGTATCTATCACTCTTGCGGTGCTGTTCACTCTTGAGCTAACTTTGTTTTAGGTATCATGCAGCTTTGATCTTGCGCTTCCTGCTTGGATTTGTTGAGGCAGCGTTCTTTCCCGGGGCTGTATTCCTTCTTTCACGATGGTATGGTCGTTCCATGCCCTCTTAACTGTATATACTGACATCTATTTAGGTACAAGCGCAATGAACTAGGGCTACGCACAGCGCTTCTTACTTGTGGGAGCTCAGTCAGTAATGCTTTTAGCGCCCTTGTAGCGTCAGGAATTTTGGCAGGCCTAGACGGTACACTGGGTTTTACGGCTTGGAGGTCTGAAGCGATATTTGCATGCTCCCAAAAGTAATGCTGATGGATGCTGCAGGTGGCTTTTCTTCGTAGAAGGCACTTTGACCATCACAGTTGCAGTGTGTGCAATCTGGATTTTACCAGATTTTCCTTCAACCCCGAGCATCTGGCTGTCGCCTGATGAGCAAACACTGGCGAAACGACGCATGGAGGAGGACGCTGCGACCGGAAACGACGACCAAGACAAGCCTGTAGAGGTCTTTTCTGGTGTTTCCGAGGCTCTTACGGATTGGAGAGTATGGTGGCTTGGCGTTGCCCTTAGTTTGATGATCGCCTCCTTATCATTCGGCAACTTTTTCCCGACACTATCTGCTACGATGGGTTACAACGCAACCATCAGCCTCTTGCTCTGCGCACCTCCGTGGATTTTGGGAACTGCGACCTCATTTTTTGTGGCCAGGTTAGTCTTTACTCGACAGGCTCGAAAGTTGAATGAATAATAGATAAGACACTCCGATGTAACTGGTGATCGATTCTGGCATATCGCTGGCCCGCTACTTGTCGGCGACATTGGGTTTATGATTGCCATCTCTACCATGAATACGGCCGTTCGATACCTATCACTGTACGAGTTCTCTTATCCTCGTTCCGCGATTCTACGGGCTAATGTGCCTCGTGAAGATTCTTTATGACCCAGGCCTCAGTTGCCTATGTTATCTTTTTGACTTGGGTATTGAATACCTTTTCCCAATCGCGGTCGAAATGCGCTGCGGCCATCGCACTGATCAACTCGATGGCAACATTTGGCAACATCGGTGCATCGTGAGTTCACAACGACCTCGTACTAAATACTGTCACTCACACCATCGCAGATACTTCTGGCCGTCCAGTTGGGGACCATCATACGTGAACTCATACCTTATTTGCATTTTGACGAGCTTCATGTCTATTGCGATGTGCTGGGCATTTAGGAAGCATCTTTCTCGGTGCAACGAATCTGCTGAAATAGAAGAACAAGCTCTGGGGCTGCCCAGGGGTTTTAGATATATATTGTAGCACTACGGTTCGACTGGGGTCGTTGTCACGAGATTCGTCAGCAGTTCGATATCGTATCTAGTACGTGCATAATAGTATTACACCCAGCTATTTTGGGAAGTCGTATTTGAAGTTCGGCTTGAAGCTCTTAGCTCGGAGCGGCTCGTTCAGTGAGAGTGATACGATAGCTTGGATGTCCGAAACGGTCAATCCAACGAGAATATCCCAGAACGGCTGGTTCAACGGGACTGCTACGACACTTCAAGTGAAGTATATGTTCTCGTTGATCCAGCTGGCTGTGACATACAGGTACAAAGTTAGTATTGTGGTTTCTCAGGCCCTTCCGATCAGTGCTAATGGATGTCGTTCTTCTGTCCCGGACCATCTCACATGTCGAGCAGAACTTCTCGCGGGATTGCATATGAACGTTTGCGTGAGTGTCAAACAGGAAGATCGTCAAACAAGCTATTGACCCTCTATTTGTTTTGTAAAGCATGTGAAGATATTGACACTGCATTCGAAGGCAGCCTGGACAGCGATACGGAATCGCGGAATGCGATTGACGACGAATTTCCGGACAGACAACATGTAGAACAAAGTCTTCTCCGTAAAGTCGACCTCAGGATGTCCATCCTCGTCCTCATTTATATCTTAAACTATGTGAGCCGAGTTGGTATCTACTGACTTTGGTAATCTAACAAGTGCAGATCGACCGCAATAATGCAGCGTGAGTTTACTTTCCATGCCCGATCACTCTACCATAGCTGAAGTGTAGTCCTGCTTGTGATGTAACAGTGCAGCTAGATTACGTGGCTTTGAGGACGATCTTCACCTAGAAGGGCAACAGTTCAATACCATTCTGAGCATTCTTTACGTCGGCTACACACTAATGCAGGTCCCATCGTATGTGATTGGATGATTATCTTTTTAATGTGATATTAACGAAGACGAAGGAATATGTACTTGAACAAGATAGGGAGACCCTCCATATATCTGCCGATATGCATGGTGATGTGGGGTTTGATATCAATCCTAACGGGTTAGTTCAGCCCCTAAGCGTGAATATAGTCGATGTTGATAATAATACAAACAGGAACAACGACAGGGTACGTTCCTAGCTTTGGGGTCGTACACAGACTGATGAAGTTCTGAAGCTTCCGTGGAGCTGTGTGCACTCGGTTCTTCCTGGGATTCGTCGAGGCCGCATTCTTTCCTGGTGCTTTATTTCTCTTGTCTAAATGGTGAGTACTAAAAAGAGGGAACATCTTTCACTGACACTGACATCGTTCAGGTACAAGCGAAGAGAACTTGGCCAACGAACAGCAATATTAAGCTGTGGTCAGTCCCTTCCCCGTGTAACACTTGATGCACCCAACGTTGGTAGTATAGGTATTATGATCAGTAACGCTTTTGGGTCACTCTTAGCATCAGCCATTTTGGATGGTATGGACGGAGTTATGGGCCAAGCAGCTTGGAGGTAGGTGGTGTCTGTCTCCATGTCGATCTAGTGCTTAGCTTCACTCGTAAGATGGCTGTTTTACATTGAAGGTTCTATGACGGTTTTAGTTGCAATATGTGCCATATTCATCCTTCCCGACTTCCCTACCACATCGTGTGACTGGCTCACAGCCGAAGAACAGGCTCTTGCTCAATTTCGAATGGAGGAAGATGTCGGTGTAGATGATGAAACGGAATGTTCCAAAGGTGGGGAATCTGGTCTGAAGCAGGCGTTCTCAGATTGGAAGGTCTGGTGGCTCGCACTTGCGATGACTCTCTTGAACGTCTTGCTATCATTCAATGCCTTTTTCCCAACGTTGAGCGCAACGCTGGGTTACAGTTCGACTGTGTCATTGTTGCTCTGCTCCCCGCCTTGGCTGTTTGCAACGTGTGTAGCATTTTTTACGTCAAGGTAAACTATCTTCTGGTCCCTGTATGAGTCCCCACTGACATATTGTGAAGACATTCTGATGAAACAGGTGAACGCTTTGGCCACATTACGATCCCTTTACTCGTCGGAATCGCGGGGTTTATGATGGCCATGGCGACTATGAACACCGCAGTTAGATACTTCTCATTGTAATGCCTTTTTTATTTCCCTAACTCCGTTCGTCGTTTGACTGAAACTGTTTTACAGGTTCCTGATGGCTCAGTCTTATACCGCGTTTGTCGTGTATTGGGCATGGGTTAGCAACTCTATTCCCCGTCCAACATCAAAGCGGGCCGTAGCCCTTGCATTCATTAATGCATTCTCATCGTCAGGAAATATCATAGGCTCGTGAGTGTTCCGGGTCTTTCGACTGTTCAAAATCTCTCATGCGCACTTTTGAATAAATCAGCTACGTCTGGCCAAAGTCATGGGGTCCTTCCTATTGGAACTCGTATGCCATTTGTATAGGAAGTGGCGCTCTTTGCATCATAATGTCGTGGATATTCAGGCGGCACTTGATGCGGTTGAATCAGGAGATTGAAACTAAGAAGATAGAAGAAGGAGTGTCGAAGGATTTCACATACCTGCTGTGATTATCATAGGCAGGCTAATATCCAATACCTACATCTACACACCACAACGCAGTAGTCCACATTCTTTTGTACGTAGAGATCGTCATCGCCGTTGATTTCCTCCTTTATTGCGGTGGCGGTTGTAACAAGTTACAATTGCGCGCGAACGGGCCATACTTGTTTATGGAAGACAGGACTGCCGCGCTCCGTTACATAGCGTGACCACACTCATATTAGGCAGGTGTGATGCAGGGACTCCGTGCACCTCTGGCAGCTTTGTTTTTTCTAATAAATATGTGAACAAGTGCGGCCAAGTGTCATTCAACCGGACAACAAAAACAGTAACACAAAAAAGACAAACTCCACAGTAAGTTAAGTCACCAATCAAATGTTTCATCATTGTCCTCCTCATCAGAGAATCCTGCAATAACCAATACCTCCTCCTCTATGATTGGAGCTGTAGGCAGTAAGTGTGCACCTGGTTCGTCCAACTCAGCCAGTTCATCCAGCCGGTGATGATCAGATGCATCTAATGTGCGGTAATTTAGCGCAAATTTTATTCAAACTGAGAAAACGTACCAAGACCTTGTCCGCCATGAATGCCACCCATGTAGTAAGCACCATCAATATCCTCGTGAAAAATTTAGGTCGTTTTGGTTTTCGAGGAGAGGCAAAGGCTCTTCGTCTGGGTCAGTGCCATCTGTAAGAGACCTGACAACGGCTGGCACCTGCGCAGAGCGCTGCATCGAATCATACAAATCTAAGTAGATTGTCCACGAGTTACGATGGACCTTGTAATCCCAGCGCTGCCAGGCCGAGACACTTTCAAGTTCGGGATCATGCAGGTGGGTCCTACTATTAACTCCTGCCATTGTCTTGGAATGTCTGCGGTGTGCCTAAGCTCGTTGTTATCATGCACCGCGTGCGCAAACGCTCGCCGCATGGTAGGATTGCAGTCAGCCAAGTCACGAGCGATGGTGGTGGATATTTTCTCGTGGGGGCGGTCTCCATGCGTGCGATCGAAGCAGAAGCAAGCTCCCAGACCGCCTTGCTCGTGAGACCAGTTGGCTATGGTATGAGCGATGGTATGAGCGATGGTATGAGCGATGGCCGATTTGCCCTTCCCCGCAGTGCCAGAAAACCATAAGACACGTGGCACGTCAATCCCTGTGTTACAGACCCAGGACTTGATGTCGGCCAGAATATCTTTTCGAGTGCCTGGGAGACAATTTTTGGAGGTATTCCTTCCAGCAGCAGGCACGTATTCCATGCCGCTAAGGTTCAAGTCCTCAGCTGGTGTCAACAGTGATTTGATCTCGGAATTGCTGCATAAGTTTGTCGAGAGCCTCGCTGTAGCTTTTGATCGCAGCATCTGTTTCGTTGACGACGTGCTTGCTAAGTCTTCGCCCTATACAGAGAGTCTGAGTCTTGAGCGACGATGCGGTGGGAACGACTCACAGAAACTTGTCACCTCCGAGTAATGGACGATGAAATCGGCACACTCGAGCGTCTGTCACGCTATCTTCCCATATATCGCCAGCATGGATTTCAACTTGGACAATTCCTCCTCTTCCTTGATGAAGGTGTAGACTTCAGATATCTTTGAGAGCAGAAGGGAGACAGCTGATTGAGAATCATCTGCGACGAATAGCTCCGTTCACTTGTGAAGGTAATATAATTGAAAGAAACACACCTTGGACGCGAGATCGAAGTGCACGGAGTCCTATTGCCTTATATGTGATTGTGACATGACTAAGTGAGCGCGGCAGTTCTGTCTTCCACACTTGTTTACCCGGAGAAATATCGGGAACATATGACCCCCATACCGTGAACTATGATATTCAGTATGTATCAAGATGCAGGTGATCTCGGTTGTCCTCATGTCGCAGGATTTATAGCTGCTCTATAGAATTAATCCCTCTGTTACAATTCCCACCATGACCACTGGTAGCATCATCAGATCTTTGACACAAGATTGGTCTTTCACCCAAGTAGGCGGCGGACGTGGCACGAAGAACGGCGAATGGTTGGCGGTATCGCAGTTCCCAACCACCGTGCACGTCGAACTTCTGAAGGCGGAGCGTATTCCAGATCCAGTATGTCCGATCATGATAAACATCACATCAACTAACTTGGCTCATTCCGCAGTTTCTGGGTCTCAATGAATGGGAGGTGCAATGTCAGCGCCATGCTAGCCCCGGTTGTGTTTCAGGGGCTGACTGAAGTGTGTAACTAGGGGTTGGAGAGTCCGATTGGACTTTCAAGAATACCTTTGAGGTTTCTGCAAAAGAACTTGCGGCACCCAACACTGACCTTGTGTTCGACGGTCTTGATACGTTTGCAACCGTGGAGTTTGTGCGTTGCATGATTTTTGTCTCTCCACATGATGGCAACAGCGCTAAAATGGTACTTTGACATAGAACGGACATAAAATTTTGGAGTCAGCGCGCTCCATTCTGCCTCCGTCTCTTCCTCTAATTCTTATTGCTACTCAGCACGGAAAATCAGTTTATCGCATACAGAGCACCTGTGAAGCAATACTTGAAATTGGGTGCCAATGAGCTCATTATCAACTTCTCGAGTGCGTTCTTGAAGGTAAACTAGTTCAATATTTTAGATACTTCCTCCTGACTGTCAGCTGATTAGGGGAGGGAACTAGAGCAAGCCCATGGGAAGTTGCATCTTTGGAACGGCGATTCCAGTCGCTTGCATGTACGCAAGGCACAGTACAAGTAAGCTTCGCTGTTGATATTAATGGGAAGGCTGTCAACGTGTCTCTAAGTTATGGTTGGGACTGGGGGCCAGTTTTGATGACTATTGGCCCTTGGAAGCCTATCACCCTTCACACCTACAACGTCCGCCTCACCGATGTTGACATCAGAAGTAATGTGTCGGAGGCTCTGGATGTAAAGGTCACTGTTGACCTGACGTTGTCTGCGAAGGCTCCCGGGTCAGCATCTGTAGTGCTGAAAAATGCGCAGGACTCTGTGATCCACACGGAGAGCAATTTAAAAGTCGGTTCTGGGAGCGCCCGCGCTGAGTTCCACTTCTCGCCCGGAGAGCTCGAACTGTGGTATCCAGTTGGATTTGGCAAACAACCTCTATATACAGTCGAGGTTACAGTTTTTGACTCGGTGAGAGGGACTTTTCCCCATATAGTACTTATACCTGGTGGCTAAATGCATAATTTCAGCAAGGAAACACTCTGGACACGAAAACGCAGAGAGTATCCTTCCGTCGTGTTAGAGTTGTCCAGGAGCCTCTTGTTGATCAAGAAGGCCTCACTTTCTTGTTCGAAGTTAACAACATCAGAATTTTCTGTGGTGGTAAGCAGTGCCTCTTTCTTGAAGGAACGCATAGTTGAAATTCTGTTTATACTAGGCTCTAACTGGATCCCTGCTGACTCTTTTTTTACTACGTTAGTATGACACTATCCGTATCAAATCGTCTTATTGACATAATCTACTACAGTCTTACTCCGGGGAGGTATCGTGCATGGCTTCAACTTCTCGTGAATGGCAATCAGAATATGATTCGTGTCTGGGGAGGGGGCATCTATGAATACGATATTTTCTATGATATTTGTGATGGTGAGCACTGTCCTCTTAGCTTCGAGCCGCGCATTTGACTACATTCCTTCCATTAGAACTTGGAAGTATGTTTTTGCTCAATTCCGCAGACCGTTTATTCATATTCTATTGTAGTTCTTGTCTGGCAAGACTTTATGTTCGGCTGTGGTCAAGTAAGTTGCTGTTGTTGCACTGTTAGTCAATGCTCATTGGTCTGCTAGTACCCGGCATATGATTCTTTCCTGAAGCTTGTTGAAGTTGAGGCGGAACAAAACGTCAAGCGATTAAGACACCACCCATCTATTGTTATCTTCAGTAAGTCGGATCTTTTGTAAAGCGTCCCTTCCTCTTTAGCTGTTTTTTACAGCCGGAAACAACGAGGACTACCAACTTGCAGAATCGCTAAATATCGTGGATTACTCCGACGAAACATCGGACTTTCGAAAGACCAAGTTCCCTGCCCGGCACATATATGAGCGGACATTGCCATCCATCGTCCAAAAATTCTGCGATACTCACTACCATCGCAGTTCTCCTTACAGCGCCCCCGGTACAGTGACCACAGATAAGACACTTGGGGACCTTCACCAGTGTACGCGAACAGGTTAGGTGATATATGTCGTTAGTCTAACAGTACTTCAGGGAATGTATGGCATGGATCTCAAGAACCGTGGCACAATTGGGATATACTCGCTGGTCGCTTCGTATCTGAGTTCGGAATGTGAGTGGCTCTGAGCCTGCTGGCATCTACATTTGCTCAGGCTCCGCCAGGGAGGGATACCCCAACATTCGCACAGTTGATTACTGGCTCGCTGGCGATAGAACAGAGCGATATCCTCAATCTCGGTAAGCGAAATGACATTTGCACTCCACCATACGTCACGCTGAAGGTCCCCTTAGCGTCAACAACAACCATAACAAGGCCGATGGCTTCGAACGCCGGTTAGAGGTATGATAAACTTTATTATGACGTTCAGAGCTCCACAATCCTCTTGTTCTAGCTCTACCTCGTGGAAAATTTCAAGCATGCATTCGACATGGACAGGTTAGCCGTTACTGCGGGCTGTGTATGTTTTAATTGCCAACTCCTATCTAGCTATGTGTATTACACACAAATCATGCAAGCAGAGACGCTTGCATCTGCGTACCGACTCTGGAGGAGAAATTGGCGTGGAAAGGGTAGGGAGCACACTGCTGGTGCTCTCGTATGGCAGGTGAGTGTGGCACGAACGTCGGGTTCTCAAGTTAACAGCAACTAGATCAACGACTGCTGGCCAACCACGTCGTGGGCCATCGTGGATTACTTCATGCGTCCCAAACCAGCGTATTTCACCATTTCACGTGAATTGCGTCAGTACACGGTCGGGATGACGCGCAAGGAGAAGAAGACATTTGCGAATGATTTATCAGCTGCCCAGTTCACAATCTCAACAGTTCTTGAGGTCTGGGGTACGAACGGCACTCTATCAGAGAAGAAAGCCAAACTCGAAGTCACTTGCTTCGACCTTCACTCGTCCTGGACGGAGCAGTTCTCCAAGGATATTGTGCTTGCTCCCAATTCCAGCACTGAGTTATACTCGGGAGACCTTCCCGGTCAACCAGTGCGCACATCGCAGAGCGAAGTTCCGCGTGCGATCATCGTCTCAGCGCGTCTCCTTGACGCATCTGGAACTGTCCTCGGCAGATATTCCAATTGGTGGGTGTCGGACGCACGGAGATCTGTAGTTTGTATTTCCTGACCTATCTGCTATAGGCCAGAACCTTTTAAATTCATTAACTTTCCTGCCATCGAAGATCTAGGGTTTTCTGTTAAAACCAGCGGCGACGGCGATTCCGTCGAACTCTCCACTCAGAAACCTATAAAAGGAATTATTCTAGATGTTGAAGGTGAGGACGTGGAGTGGAGCGACCAGGCCATCGATCTGGTTCCAGGAGATCCCCAGATTGTGAAGGCCGTCGGGTTGAAGGGTAGAGATGCGAAGGTCCGCTTCCTTGGCGATGGTACGGCGTAGATGATAAGAAGTTGTGGGGGCGGCATTCATAACTTACGTATAACGAGATGAGAATTAAATCCAATCGACCTACCGAATAGGAGCCAAGCACCTCATGGAATGGCCGAATTGAAGCGATATGAATATGAATTATGAACCACCAGGGAAGACACTAGTACTGTTGAAACCAGACAGAGAGACCCCAGGAAAGCATTATTTTACACACTGTACAAGTCACAAAGAGACATGACTGATGTAGCGGATTATAGAGACGCAGTCTAATCCGATAGAAAAATCGGATTTAAAAGAAGACTCCTAAGGAGTGGAGGGAAATAGAAAGAAATACTTATTATGTATGCAGAAGACGGCGATGCCAGCAAGGAAAAATGGGCGGCTCAGGGTATGAAAGGAGATTGGGTAACCGGAGAGCATGACAGCAAGGTGACCAGGGACGGCCGAGTCGCGTCTATCACATTATGAGACACCTGCTTGCTTCTGGCTGATCCGTTTTGCTGGAAGGTGATCGCTTCTCAATCTCGGCCAGACATAGCTCGAAGACTTTGCCTGTGATAAGGCGGCGTAAAGAAGCGAATGTTGAGAAGTGCGATAATTCCTTACCAACGTTGACATTATTCTTTGCGCTAGTCTCAACCCAAGCAGCGTTATTGAGTTTTGCTAGCTCTTCTCCTTCATTCGGGGCCACCTGTCTACTATTGGGACTGTGAGGAAAGGACATAAAGCAATGATGAAAAGCACAAGTGTAGGACGACCAAGAATAAATAAGGATGATGACCTACCTTGATTGTAAATCAGTTTTAGCGCCAACGATTACGCATGGGATATCGTTTTTGCCACAAAAATCAACGATTTTGTCGTATACGATTTTGATCATGTCAAAAGATCTTCTTGAGGCGACTGAGTATACGAGGACGTAGCCGTGTATGCCAATTGCGTGCTTAGAATTGAGAATTGAGTACTCGTCCTGTCAATGCGAATTGAGCTCGATATGCAGGGAGGTATGAGATCGCATACCTGGCCAGCGGTGTCGATGATGTCACAGTCATATTCTACGCCTCTATAAGCTACGCCTTTCGAAAAGGTGCTTTCAATAGTAGGATAGTATGCATCAACGAAATGGTTCTCGATGAATTGTATGACAAGAGAAGATTTTCCTGTTGCGTGTGTGTCGGATGAGTATCACGACGCGGAGAACATGTTGAACATACCAACTGAACGGGAACCTAGAACCGCGATTTTTCTCTTCCTCAGAGTGTTGGTGGCCATATTAACAAGATAGTGTATATGAAATAAACGAAGGAAGTGGAAGAGAAGGACGAAGAGAGCGGGGCACGATGAAGAGACCAAAAAATGTAAACAGTTGTGGCGATGGAATGGAACTGCGACCCCAAGTTTAGCCGTACCCGTTATAAAATGTTTCTCCGTGACAAACTTCGTCAGCGAGCGCTAGCTTAGCACTCAGTGGGCTTTTTTCGTTCCAGTCTGCGATGGACTTATATAAATACGATTGAGGTAATTGGATCCTCTCCTAGCAGGAAATGGCAGGAACTCCTGTACTAGTACTGTATTGTATACGGGGTCTTACTCGTTCCAGCGCGGACGACTTTATTCGGATTGTATCCTCAGGAACACTTGTCCACGAGTCGTCCACGTCGAAGGTCTCGCCCCATCACTGAGAGTAATCACTGGAACTAATACCTAATACCACAAGCTTCTTAACCATCGGCCTATCGTCACTCCTCTCACCGAAGGACCCACATGGGCTCTCTCCTAGGTCGGGTGATCCGCTATAAACGGCCCGAATCTCTCGGCAACAACACAACCATTGTCATGCAAATGCAGATAGCAATGGGAACAGCCTCCGCAGTGTGTGGCCAGCCAGCGGTCTTTTCCGATCCATGATTGACATTTTTGATGACTGCCGCTCATGGAAGATATTTTTTGCCTGCAGGGATAGATGCGATGGCATGATCCCCGTTGGGCGCGAAGATAACAGTCATTTGAAGACCCCTGCCGTAACGCAGAAGTATACTTATAACCCTGAGCATTACGTTGCTTGGTTTGAAGCACAACCATATCGTGAATCTCGGAGGGAATTTAGTATGCTTCTGAGGGCAAGATACCAAGCTTTGAACCACCAACCATTCGACTTGCTGGCGATGACGGATGAGTGAAGCCCCTCGGGGGGAGCTTATGCGCCATCGGCAACCCAAACGACAAGACGTAAAAACCTTGGGAAAAAGGCCATTCAGTGGCGCAGGTTGGGAGTCAAGCACTAAATTGAGCTAGCCACGACGTAAGTTAGGCAATGACAAATGTTCTATACTTGTTCACCTACCCACCACAGCACGAGAGGAGAGGCATCCTCTTGGTTGAAGATCCATCACGTAGAAACGGTATCCACCCACGAGAGGTTCAATTGAGGCCACGACATGAGAGATGACACGCACGGTATGGCACGTGGGAGGACGTGACATTGTCGACAAGCTCCCACACGATCGACAAAGCAGGTTCCACGACTTCCTGCTTAAATGAAGAGTACCCAGGAGCTTGAGCGCCCCTAGGTGCGCAACAGATGTGGAAGTAAATGGCCGTGGAAGGTAACGCCACCACACCACGTACTACAGCCAGCGAAGCCAGATGACAATCACTTGGTTAGTTATAGGAAATATTGGCCCTCCACGCGCAGTTACAGACACCTAGCGGTCCTATGATACATGTGGCCGACGCAGAAAAACCTCTGCCGGTACAGCCTGCGAGATTTCTATGACAGAGTCTCGGAGATTGACTTGGTGTCCCGGAGATTGAGGGAAGTCCGAGGCATGAGCTGCTCCTGGTATAAAATATTAATGTAGGGCTGAGAATCGAAATTCGCTACCAGTACTCGCGATTGGAGGTATTTCTGATTCCTCTGTGAACGACGTCCACAGATGCGTGCACGTGGTCATAACGTCACGTGCAGCTTGTCACGCGTCCAGTTGATTTTCGAACGCGACCAAGTCACCAAACGCAATCGGCTTTGACTTCAACCATCTGATACTCGACTGCTTTGTCTTTCACAACTCCTTTCTGCTCCTACTTTGAAAGCAACCGATCACAATGTCTGCTACATCTACGCCTACAGATTCTCCTGTCTCTGCTCCCATTCAGCCAATGCATAATCCCTCGCAAGCTGCACACATCGTCGTACCACAAGCACCTCTTGGTCATGTCGCAAACGGTGCTAATAACGCTATACCTGGAATGGGCATGAAGGCCCTCTTGGCCAAAAAGATGGCGAAGAGCAAGTGGGTTCAGAAACGCGTAGATCAGTGGCAGATGTTGACCTTACTCACGCGTTCTTTCCAGCAATCCCAAGTTTGTCTCACCGACGGACAACTTGATGACACCCGTCACACAGAAACTCAATGCTGCGAAGCAGAAACATTTCACTAAGTACGCGTTGCCTATCCCCGTGGACCTTGTACTCAGTCCTGACGCCATCTGTGATGCAGGGGCGCAAAACCCATGGGTACCCTCTTCCCAGCCAAAGAATCTCCATCAGAGCAAGAGGATCACAATCAAAGCGACACAGAACCTACAAAAGACACGTCTTCAGAAGTCCTGATGGAAGAAGACGAGAATCCCTTCTAAGACAGCACGCAGTTGGCCCAGTTGGGCATCTCCACGATACCCTCACGTCGTTTGTTGTATTATGCCCTTGTCTTGTGCCACTAAATCTTGCTTGGCTGTGTAGTGTCTAGTGGTGTTGTAGGAGGTTGTAGGATGTTCCCACGCTTTGCTGTAGTGTTACGCGTCGCGGCTCTAGTATGTATGCCTTATACTGCGGATGCATTGATTGCACTCGTTTCCCATCCCCCTTAACAAGGTGACCATGGAGCGTCCCCAGTTTTCTATGAGTACTAGTGTTGCAGGTTTGCGTGCAATGCTTGAACAACAAGGCTTGGCTATAGGGAGATCCACCCGTCTTTCCTCCCGGATACAAGAGCTCATTACAAGCCTCCCTAAGATCTCAGAAACTGAGCTCAAAGACTTGGGACATTCTGGCGAGTTCGTTCATGCTTTATACGTTCCCAAACTAGATATGCGCAACAGAGTCCGTCTGCCCCATATGCTTCAATACGTTCTTGGCCGTCCTTGCTGAAGAGGAAATGGCACTCGTCATGGACTCCCCCGCGCATCCGATAGAGGAACTGGGCGTGACAAGGCTCCACGAAACATGCGGGCATCTATTCTGCCGACGAGAGTTGAGCCCACATCGTCTTTCTTTCGAATGACGTTGCTGACCACCGAGATTAGTATCACGAAATGGATACAAGACGGCGTGAGTTAACAGGCTTTATACATGTACTTGGCTACTTCCATTCATACCACTTTCCAGCGCAAGTCTTGCCCCACTTGTCGCAGGCCTTTCCTTACGGCCGCGGCTGATGGCGACCAGCGTGACGCGGAGGAGTCTTCTCTGCAGCTACCAGATGGTTTTTCTGAGTGGATTGTTGAGAGCTCAATGGTTGCCAGAGAATCTGGCGACGCCGCAGGTTTCCTGCCCATCCTTGGTGTCCCATCGATGGCAATGGGCGGCCACTCATCTGCCCGTCAACGGGAAACCCCAGATGAATTTTCTGGGATGTACTCGTAGTGTTGTACTTATTACATGCATCTCATGCTTAAATTGAGATTAAGCCCGCCATTCATTCATTGAGTAACCATCTATCTACTACTCATTTGGCGCAGACAAAGATAGGCTAAGTGAATAAAAACGAGTGAAGCGTCAACCCGAGTAGTGTAAGATGATACTCATGAAATTCAGATTGTCCAGCTGCATAATACGATCGAGGAGAGGGATACGAAAGGAGAGTAGATGATAGCTGTTTTCATCCAAGTCCATGCACAATGATAAATTCTGTTTACTCAACACGAAAAAGAGAGAAGCCGATCCACAGCTCAATTCCTCCTGCAGCATCTGAAAAGATTGCGTTTGAACCAGTAAAACAAGCACTGAAGCAATGCGTGAGCGACATTACGACAAAAACACTACTAGAATAACTCACCCCGGTAAACCGCACAGCAGCAAGGGCAAATGTGGAGTACAGAATGATAGCAAAATACGTGTTTTGCTTCGTCTGAAGCTCTTGCTGATCCAGCGCCGCATCTTGGACACTCGTGAGACCATTGATATTCTCAATGGCAACCGCCAGTCCAGCGTTCGTGAGCATCCAGAAGGCGACAAGACGCGTACGGAATGTCTTGTTTTCATCATCCATCGTCGGCTTCTCAATGACTTCCTTGACATCAATCTTGGTCACCGCACGAGTGACGGTCTCCTTGAATGCAGCATCCACGTCTTCTTGGATGCGGTGCGTATCCTCGACAACAGGAGAATCCGCATCTTTGGTCTTAGACGACGAAATTGATGGTAGAGCTTCTGCCTTGTCACTGCCCTTTGTACCCCAGGACACCTGAAACCATTGTTGTCAATCAGAACTGGGTCCTCAATAACGACGGACGACGCACATCGTGTAAGTTACAGAATGCGTAAACGTTGAGTACGTTCGTGAAACTTGGTGCCAGGCAAAGGTATTGGAAGAAACTGGAGAATATGTGCCAGGGATCCCGCTGAAACAAGAGGTCAGACAGTGCCATTTCGAACAGGGATACAACTCACATAGAGGAACGATGCAATGAGGTAGATGCCTGTATCATGAATGAGTCAAGGAATCACTACAAAATCGGAGGCACTACATACCGAAAGTGGAAACCATCGCAGCAATCAAAGCACCAACAGGGGGCGTGAAGAAGGTGAAAATGACTTGAGATACCGTCTTATTTTTCAGCTCGTTGGGGATGTTCTACCAGAACCATTCATTGTCAGGTCAGGCCAGTCGACGCAAGGACACCCAACTTACAGCGAATGCCTTGCCGGTTAGCCAGAACGAACAAACGAGAAGGTAAACGGCCAAGAAGGCGTAGACCCTGTACACAAGTCAGCTTGACTAGTATAAAGACTCTGGCTGACACAAACCATAGCGTGATTGCATATGCTGTTCGTTCACCCTTTGGTCTGTTACCAAGAGCTAGTACAAACTGCATCGCGAGGAAGGCGAGGTAGATCCATTTGAAAGCCAAGTTAACCCAGTGCGTCTGCGAGCCCATGATCAGTATCAATCTTTCAAGAGAAAGGATTGTATACATACGACGTCGGCAGTGCCGAAAATGATGATGCCTTGCGACGGAAGCAGGTCAATGATGATGCTGAACGTTAACCAAATGTTCGCCAATGCAAACCACGAGAAGATCAATGAGAAGATGTTGTACTGCCGCCTGAGTCAGCAACAGGATACAAACCAGAAATGACAAGACGCACAAGAGCTTGGACGTGGAAGAAGAACATGCGGATGATGCCATGGCCAGAGCGGTAGAGTTGGAAGAAATTGACTAGGGCGTACTGGTGAAAACCGATCAGACAAGCTTGTGTCGAACAACATGTTCAATTACTCACAACTGAAGCAGCGAATGAACCATTCAACCACCGACGACGTTGACCAATCAGCTCAACGGCAGATTCTGGAACATCTGTCTCGGCTTTTGACGGCTTGACATAAGTCAATGTCCACCTATCACCAGCCTTGGCGACGAGCTCGAAACACAAGATACGGTCCTCAGCCAAAAACATGTTCTTGGTAAAGATGTTCATGCCATAGATACCCTTGGGACCAAGACGGTCGGCCAACGAGTGGTCGCCGTGGAAGTACTGCTCTAGTGGCCGACCCAAGATCGCACGGAAACGGTACGCCGAGAAGGCACCAGGAAGCACTGATACATAGCCAAAACTACTCTCAAGTGGCTTGTCTGTCATGTAATAAGATAACAGTTTGCATGATCTGGACGAATAACATACCAAGAATGTTGGACATCTTGTACTCGAAGTTTTGGGCAGCGACCAGGGGGTTGAGGAGCTTCCTGCCACCCTCAATCATGGCGTGAATTTCACCACAGCACCCACCAAGATGGGCATCGTTGTAGAACGCTTCCCAGAGGTAATAGATGGATTTGTGTCCAGGTTTGGTACCAGCGTCAATGAGCACGCAAATTTGGGGCTAGAAAGGTTTCAGTTAAACGAACATCTGCTTGCGATTCGCCTCACCTCCAAAATTTTACCGATGGCATTAAACAACCACCTATGCGAATTGATCTTCTTCTGATTCTTAGCCTTGAGGACGAAAATGATCTGTACGGGTACCAAATTATTGGGATCGTTCTCATGAGGAAGCACAAGCTGGGGCTTGGAGTCAACCGACAACTGAGTGGTATACTGTAGTAAAAATATAAGCGATACGGCTCATGTCAATTGGATGACTAGCACAAACCTCGAAGATGTGTGCGACAGTGTCTTTACCGTCAACTTGTTTCTTCATGACACCATCTTGGTAGACACCGACGGTGGCCAGAATATCCAATACGCTCTTGTCCATGGCCTCCAGTCCATCGACGATAAGGGCAACTGTGATTCTTTGCCAGCCAGGCGAGCCTTCTTCAGCCGCTCGCCGCCAGTACTTGGACTGCTTGGTCTTGCAAATGTCGCGAATGTTCAGCATGACGCCATGGAGTGTTCTCGCATAAAGTGTCTTGTCTTCATTATAGGACGTAACAGCGATGAGCAAGTCGGTTTGCCGATTATAAATCTTGGTCCTCAAAGACCAGCCATTGGCTTCTGAAAAATCGTCCGGGTCACATGTTGCTGCGCTGTACCGCATGTGGCTGAGAGATATCCGCATTAGTTGGTTTCTTATTGATTTGTGAAGTAACTTACGAAAATTCAGTAGTGTTCGTGGCGGCGTATTTTGCTTCAATGGCACTATGCACTGGCGTTGGAACCGGGTATTCCGTAATGAAGTTACCCTTTGTAAGCTTGACTTTGCGGGTCACACCGCGTTTGATGGTCTGACGACGCCTCCAAGCAGTGTCTACGCCATTTGTCGAGGACGACGTAGTAGACATAGGGCGTGCGTACGGGTCCCCATAGGCTGAAGGGTCGACTGGTCTAGAAGATATAATTTTGTAAGTAAAATTTTAATGAAGTTGAAGAGAAGCGCCCAATAATCGAGATATTGATTCAACTTACGCTGGTGGATAAAAGCCGCCCGGATTATAGCTATCACCTCCAGTGAGCGGAAGCTTTTCAGCATAGTCTTCGTCAACGTAATTGGCACCGAACTCGCGGGGTAAGGTTGTAGTACTCTCGAATGGAGAGTTCGACGCGCTATCATAAACGCGAGGCGGTGGCTCCTGGAAGTGTGTCTGGCGTGGACGATCCGCAAAAGGGTCGCCGGAGAATTGTTCATCACGGGGCCGCGGGGAGGTCATACTGTATCACACCAGGTGGAATACGCTGGAAAGAAGAGCTTGAAGACGCCTTGGACGATGCCCAGATAATTGAAGGGGCAGAATGGAAGAGGCAAACGTTGAGGGTTGTGAATGAACACAAAGCCTCAAGGCAGCAACGGTTTTGTGCAGGCCAAAAAGGGAACAGGCGATGATATACACCGCTTCTTTGGACCCCAGCCACCCCTTCGCCCCCATTACGTCTCCGTCAGCCTCAGGTACTCAACTTGAAAAAAATCAGTCGAACCCAGCAAAGTCTTAACTATCCACCACAGTAACTTCATTGGAAAGCCAACGTCAACTCGTTAGAGCTAGAGATAATTCAAAAGACTTGCCAAAGATATTGGTTTATTTTTATACGTTGATGGTGGTTGCTGACCGGGGAGGTGTCCGGGGTCACTCCTTCACTTGGTGGGCTCTGGCTGGGCACGTCCTTAGGGTCGATCTTCATTCATTTCAGCGTCTCCTAATCCCACCTTATGTTTTCAGCGCTGCCCACTTGCATAAAAATTGACCGATGCCTTTGAACATTTACCCTCTTCCTGAAAACTTTCAGGGTTGCAACCGTTGGCTGATGTGACGGCGCAACAGCTGCGCTTTCAAATTAAGCATCGCGTGTGAAGTCACTTTGTCGCAACCAAGAGCACACCTCACTTCCTCGAGCCACCTCAGGTGGTCAAGCTCAAGCACTAGCTAGGTTCTACCCAGGATGAGGGTGAAACTAATTATCCATGTCAGCCAATAACGGTAAAGCGAGACCCGACGGCGAAGGAGCTTCTACTCCTCGTGCCCCAAAATGCGGTGCACAAGACCTGAAATTTGAAACCTGTACATACAAAAACAACTGGGCCTGAACTAACAGCCCTGGCAGCATAATAACAGTGAACCGATTTACTCAATATTAATGCCCCATCCTTGAGAGAAGGTTCATAGTAATCGTTAGAAGCAACCCCCGTGACAGGGGTCCATCGGTAAATCATCAACCCCGTGCGAATTTCAAAGTCGCAAGTACCTCTCCGTACCTCCGTACCTCTGCATTCTCCCTAGCCGTTCGGAAGCTTGGTCACAATTTTGCAGTGCTATAACCGCACACAACCCATTTGTCCCAATCTTGACGTCTTTCAGCGGCTGGAAATCACCCCAGCAGTGCTGAACTGCCGCGTGTGGTGCGGGGAACATGATCAACCATCAACTGAAGACATGGGTCAACTTTAGTACACCAGAAGCTCGAAGCATCGTACGCAAAATACTTGCCTCAGCTCCTCACCGTGAACTTGGGCTCAAGATGCACGAGATCTACGAAAGAGCACACACGGAGTTCTCAGATGTAACTACAGAAATACCACCCCCGAAGCCAATCCCTACTGGTCTTCGCAACCATGGGGGCAGGATAGCACCCGTTAAACCTCTGCCTCTGCCTCCTAAACTAGATCACGCAATTCGTTCAGTAAAGTGAGCATTTCCTTTCCGTCGGAACGAAACATTAAATAAGAACACAGATACCTGAAGAAGACAATCCTCGAGGAAATGGCGATGGCACAGGAAATCGAGAAGGTACACATAAAACGAGGAACACTTCATGAAGACGGCACTCGCGATATATCTATCGTGTCTAAGGCATATGGCAAGACGGATATTACGAGTGACTTAAATATGCCAATGTCCAATTTCTGGCACTGGAGGTTGACGCCGGACTACGAGACCAAGATTAATAACTACCCCAAACCTCCCATAGAAAAAATCCTTTGGAAACCGGGAGAGAAGGAAGCTAGAAGGAAGGCTCGCGGGACTGTAGGTTCTGGTTCTGTGGTTCTACAAAAGACCATGCAATACGAAGAGCCAATAGAGGAGACTAGAAAGCTGGACGTGCCTGAGGGAACCAAAGCTGACGACACAGCGAAAAGAGCTAAGGCTCCTGATTTTCCTGCATTCAGCCTTTAGCAACAATTTTTACTGGGGCACGAACCAATTTGAGCCCGTATATATCCGTCCATCGTGCGTCATGCCCACTTGCCGATAAAACTGTACTGACATGTGCATCATAGTCTAACCCTGCCATGTGCCCGAGCTTCGTAAGGCTTCTTATAGTCTTGACCAATTGCATGTCTAGGGTCCAGCAGCCCGTCACGGGAAGATCTCATCGCGTAGTTTTCACTTCCGCTCACACATACCACCAAGATTGTACACATCGATCCTTGCAATTCAAACCTCTATTTTCATTGCACGTCGTTACATTACTTTGTCCCAGATCCGTACACAGCCAGACAACGTTCTTCAAAGGCCTGTACCATGAGCGTAGACACCTTCCCAAAAAATTTGGCAGAGAGGGCAGAATGCAACGGATTCTCAAATGCGAAGGCGATATCGAGCGTGACAAGAGTGGGCCCGGCGTCAGGAGAATGGCTGGCGACGGCGACGGAGTTCCCAGCATCGCCATGGAGCGGTGGACCACTGGAAAGATGAGGGGATGTTGATGAAGCTGGTTGGAAACGCCATGTTGTTTGAAGCGTCTTGAAGAGAGGGGTCGAAGTCGATGCTTCAGCCTATAATTTCGAAAGGTGGTGACTGCGTACTCCACAAAAATAATGAAAGAAACTGACCTGGACGGATTCATACGGTCGACACGTCACTCTGCTCACGTAGCTCTCCTTCAATGCAAAGAAACCGACCATCAACTCCACGTCCATCGTGACCACACCATTCTGGCCCATACGTTGTTCCAAAATTCTCGAGCCGGTGCAATACGGCACAAAACTGTGATATGAACCAACATCTGCAACTAAATTGTATAGATCTTTGCGTCCATAACTTGGGGGCACGAATCTGTCTCAACGAATGTGGATATGATCGTCGGGGGGCAACATACGGAAAAATCTTGCGTTCGTGGTAAGTTTGTGTTGCTGGCTGTTCATCAGAGTCGGGTGAGGGCGAGAAGGGCGAGAAGTTTGGAAGGGTGAAGAAGCCTCTTTGATGAGAGACCTTGCGGCCGGTAATGCAAAAACATCGCTGTCGCACGAGTCGCAGCATCAAGCTTGTGAGCTGTTATTAAGTGATGAAACACAAGTCCACGGCCTCAGATGGAACTTTGATGCCGTAACCTTGGGTGCCACGCCCTAGCTCATGATGGGTTTCTCATGTTATCAAACTACTTCGGAGCAACTGACAGACATTTGGGCAGTGGGCACACTAGTACTGATTTAGCATGCGGCACAAGGGATGAATTAATGATGATCGAGCACGGGGACGAGATACCCCAGATGAACTGCGAACTCGCACTTCGGAACGTGGGTCTAGGTCTTAAGGTATTAGAATAAATAAAAAGGTGCAAAAAGAAATAGGTAAAGGCTAAATCCCAACAGGCGAGCTGATAGCGAACCACGGTCAAGAGCTGTAATGCCGTTGAGAATGATGCGCGGATATTTATCGGCTTATTCAGGGTTCAAATCGTGACTGTCTTCGGAGAGTACCAAGCGAGCTGCAGCCTGCTCCCGCAGAAGCAAATAAGATCCTCGGGCTGCGCTTAAGTGAATAAGATTTCAAAGATCAACAAGATCAAACCCCGGAGTATTGATAACGCACATCTCCTGTGCGCTTAGTGATTAAAACGTGGACTGGTGCTTCTGAACTGATAACGAAGCGGCACACTTCCTTTGTCTAGAAAGGTCCAATTGATTATCTTTAGAGCGAGATAAAAGCAAAATCTAACAGGCGGGATCATCGACAGGATTGATTCTCTGCGTACCCATGCACCCTGAAAACACGTTGGTTAACGCTGAGGTGCTGTGAAAATGACGGCTGCTACCTGTTCATCGGGAAGAAATAAGCTATTCAAAGAAATTTCGGACTGATCTTAATGCTCATGCAGATCAAGAAGTCGCACCCTGAGATTGCGGAGATCAAAAAATGTCAAGATAACTTAGGGAACTGCAAAATAAACATCGCACGCATATACGGAAGTGGGAGTAGGCGATCTTCTTAATATCTCCAATAATTCACGAGACAATTCATGCTGCAAACAACTCGGCATTCTCTGGGCAGTCCCGGGCGATCTGAAGGGGATATCAAGCACTGGTAAAAAGAAAGCAAAAAAACAGATAAGACGTACATGCCCCTCTTGTGAGCACTTGTAACAAGTCTTGCTCTTAGTCGATCCAGATGTTCCGTCGGCCAAAGTCGATCCCGGAGCGGCGAGACAGTCCCTAGGCATTTTTAGCGTCGATACACGATAGAATTGTGACTATTCACCTCGCCATATGATTGGGTCCGCCGCATCGGTAGCATTTCACCGGAGGAAGTGTGGATGTGTTCAAAGCACGCCCCGGGGGAGGTGCACGAGAAGCAAACCCGGCCCCTGACACTCCAGTAGCCCCACTCGGACAAACGCGAGCAATGTGTCCAAACCGACCGCAATTCTGACATGGAATGGTTCAATGGGTTATGGCGCTCTTGACAAGCTGCAAACGTACGTAGCACTTTTGATTACCGCTTTGAGCCCTCAAATTGGGACATTCTGCCTGAATATGACCAACACCACCACAGGAATAACATTGTTTTGCAGCAACAGTACGAGGCGACGGACAAGCTGAAGACTCATGACCAGGTTGACGACAATTGTAACAGAGGCGCTGCTCAGAAGAGCAATTTTCAGCAATGTGACCCACTAGAACAACATTAGATTGTATGAAACATGAACAATGGCATAGGAAGAACTTGCAGTTTCCACACTTGAAACATCCCTTCCTGGAAAACTGATACGCCATATCTACAGTCTCAGATCCTTCTGAACAGAAACGAAGAATAAGACGAAAATATTGAAGACAGTAAATGTATTCGTACCTCAACACTTCCCTCTTCCAGCGAACCACTTAACTTCTCTTCCCACCTTACTTTGACGAGGACGAGGGTGACGATGAGGAACTGGTTCAATATGAGCGTCAGACGTCAATTTCGTAACCCGCGTATTTGCAACCTGCCCTGAAGCAGTAACCTGGACCCTGTGGCGCAACCTAACCTCGAATACTTAATCCGCTAAAATTTGCCAGATTGTAAAACGGCTCTGCGAATGGCTTCTCTCGTCTCCGAGTCACCTGCTTCCCGTCGTCCGATAATTAATGAGCCGGCCCATCAGCAGATAACACGTTCACTGAGTGCGGCACGATCGCCTCGTAAAATGAACTGCTGAGGTTGATTGTCGCGCTCTTGTTGTAGGTCAGACTGATTGGATCGATTCGGGGTGCTCATCCTTGCGGGGCAGCACCCCAAATCAACCAGAACTATGATCATTTATTGAGCAAACTCCCAAATGCGATCTCAGGCCTATTTTGGCGGGCACACATGTTTCGAAACATTCACGCCATCTTATCGATAGCAACAAATACCTCCCTCATCATATTGTTGCCCTGTCTCTCGAGATCTAGGGTTACATATGCAACCGGCTCTTATAAAAGCAAGGGTGCGCAAAGCTGTTTTCTCCTTAGGACCCACAGTTCTCACCTGACGGACAGGTCAACATTTAAGGTCGGTAATGCCGTACTCGCTACGATCTTACCAAATATTCAAAGTCCACATTGTAGTCTTGACCTTCCAGCGGGTAGCCGACCTTCGCGCGCTCGCGCATCGCGCTTCTTGTATGGGCGCTGAGGGATATCCGCTCAGGTAGGCTTTCTTAGCTTAATGGTGTTTTTATGTTTCTGGACCTAACAGGCCGCACAGAACAATCTTCTTCTTTTCTGACACCCCTCCCCGCCCCCACAAGAAACGGCGTATCGAGCGACCTAAGCACGGTTCAGCGTATGGGAGGAAGATCAATGTACGACGTTCCCAGGTTTCATGCCCTGAGCTCGTTTTCGTGAATCAGAAATCCCAATTCCATGATTTATGCTTTATGCCTATGCCTATGCCTTGGTTCATATCGTTACGCACATTCTTAACTGCCTACAGTTTACAGTTGGGTTGACGACGTTTATCCCTACGCACGCCCTGGGCTACTGGTACAAAGCCTACGTATCTTGTGTTTTGGTTAATTCATCGGTAAATTAGAAGCAGATCAAAAGCACGTGAACGTGAGACTGAGCACGCTTAAAGACGCTCAAGTTGCGCAACTTCACATCAACTAGCTGCAGTTGGTATAAGAAGAGCTCGAGATGTTATTATGTGGCAGTACTAGCAAGCTTACTGGAGATTTGTCTGACGGTGACCAGCTGCGACCCTTTATTAGGAATCGACTAGACTATTGGTCTACTGGCTAAAACTGCAACCATTGCAGAGTCCCCAGTCATTGATCATACTATGATCTGACCTATCCTCACTGCCCGTAGGCTAAGCCTACCGCAGGCGCCCCTCCGCGATCGCGACAAGTCACAAGCGTTTTTGGTCGGCTTTTCGGGGCCGCTGCTGGCAGCCTCAGAGTCTGAGAGACCTCAATCCGACATGCCGCCGTCCCTGCTTCATTCTGGCATCACATGTGGCGAAATTCACGATTCGCTGGCCGTTATAAATCGGTCTTAGTAACACCGGGATATCTTAGTAAACAGCTTGTCCTTGATTAAGGTATCGGTAATAGGTATAGGTAAGTAATTCACCTGAGTGACATAAGATCTCACCTTTATATAGCTCGGTGCCTAATTTGGTCTCCGGGGGTTATAACCCTCGAATCCATTACTCCGCTACACCAGCAATACCACCAGCGTTACCTCGGTACTTCAGGTGTACATAGCCTGGGGATTAGATCATTTAGATAACAATAGATAACGATAATCTCCCTGATAATGATTAGATTAATAACAACGCGTCCCACGAGTCCCGTGACTTAAATAGATAACAATAATTGATTAGATCAATAACAACGCGTCCCACGAGTCCCGTGACTTATCGTTTGATCAACAACGTCTCCCACGAGTCCCGTGACTTATGTTTTGACAGCCGTGCTGCTCGTCGTCGGACACAACGAGCTCAAGATACTGTGCAAAACTGTTCTATTTCTGTAAGACTCTTAGTATAAAGCATGTAAGAAACACTATACACAATATAATAGACTAGAAGGACGGAAATGCAGGATATATTAGGTGCAAACAAGAGAACAACTTGAAGGCCAACAGGAGCTCATATATCAAAGCCAGGAGATGAAAAAAAGCACTAGAATACATAACCATCAGCTGGAGTAAGGGTGCTGGTGCCTGCGCCATGCAAAGGCTCATAGGGAAGATCCTGGCTCTCGAGGAACATGCGGAGGACTTCGGGATCAAAGGGATCCAGGTCATAATCAAGCGGAGGTGTAGGAAGAGTACCGAGGGAATCTGGTCGCAGCATCATATCATCGGTCATAGTGATGTCGTTCTCCAGGTGGGTGTCTTCGCGTTGGTTGCCATTGAGTTCCTGGTGTTGTTCCTGTGTGTTGATCGTCTCCGGTTCTTCGTCTCCATTCTCCTGGTTGTTCTCGTCCTCTGATCCATCAGTATTCACAGTCTCGCGACTTTTATGGGTCTGTTTTGAACCTCTCTTTCGACTGATACCCTTGTCGGAACGTGCAGCGCGTCCTTTGATCGTGCCGTTGAGAACTTGCTGCTCGAACGACTCCTTCTTTGCCTCCCACTCATCTTGAGTAAGCTCACGCCAATAGCATTCGTCGTTCTTTAGTGCAGCATGCAGACGTGCAAGTCCGACAGACGAAGTGATGTTACCAGGGTTCCGGACTTCGCCCTCTGTCCAGCCACTCAATTCCACCCCCCATTTGACGACGAAGGCATCATATGAGTTGTAAGCGACGCTGGGGACTGAATCCTCGGAGACGCCTCTATTTTTAGTTAAAATTTCATCTATTACAATGAATCAATCAATCACATGTATATGAACAAAATTTATGAAGACTTACGCATGCCAACCCGGATCATTTCTCGAACTTGTCCTCGTAGCTTCGTTGTGTTGCGTCCCGTCGTCATCTTGATAACACCAGCAGCTCCCGATGCAATGTAGGCATCGGTTTGCATACCCACCGACTCGATGGTTGATTTGTATAGGTGGAGGAATGCTGTTTGGAGAGGTTCGGAGGCATAGCTACGTGGAATGAAGGAGTCGCTGATTTTGCCACGGGCAAGAATCCACATAATATTACACCCGGTACGCTTCTCGAGGCCGAGTAACTGGTAGTAGACATTAGTGGTACACCAGCAAAAGCTGAGGGAAAACCTTACCTCTGGCTGAACACGAGCCAGCGTGTTCTCAATGTCAGATGCTGCTTCACGGCCAGTTACTTTAACATTAGCCTTCATCTCCTTCTCATTTTGCATGTCTCTCAGGAGGTCGTCTTCATCGTCGGAGTCGAGATTCTTCCACTCACCAGACCTGCTGACTTGCTTGGTGACAAGTGCGAGCGCGTCGCGACCCATGGGTAGACCTAATAGAAATAGAATATATCACTGTTAGATAAATCACGCACATGTACTCACCGTTTTCCTTGCGTTCATGCATCTTTCTGCGTACAAAGGCGTTGAAAACACCGGCAGTTCGGTTTCTCTTTAGAAGTTTGCCACCGAGATACATCTGACCTGACATCCAGTCTATTGACCTGTGTGAGATGGAGTGAGGTTAAGCTGAATGAAACAAAAAAATGACAAACATGTTGTATTTTTCAGCCAGCGACTCGATGATTTTGAGGTACTCGGTGCGTCCTGACTCAATATCGGCCCACATAGCATCGGAGTTCACCTTTGAAAGCTTCCGTTGTTCTTGAGTCCTCGCAGCTTTCGTTTTCTGAGTGATAGGAGCCATTGTCGTGTACACGCGCAGTAGAAAAGTCAAAACTTGACAACTTGAAGAAGGAAAAATAATCCAGCTTGACCCTTCACCGGACCTTCACATGCTAAGTTAGTACTCGGTTTGACGTAGCGGACAGGGATGACAAGGCGAAATATATCAACAGTCAAACGTAACATGATTATATCGCATCACAATTCGTTTAAGCAAATTTACTTACAAACTGCTGAGCACCAATGAGAACTACATCAAGCTCCTCGTTAGAAAGTCCTTCTATGATTAGGCTGCGCAGTTCAATTGCATCTGCATGACTCAATCCAACCTCCACAAAATGAGCATACCAACAGTCTGCACCGTAATCAAGAATCATGTCGATTGAGCATAATGTGCTCGGTGACACAACACGTGCGCGGAAAAAGTCTTGTACCGGTAACGTGAAGTTGAAGGATGACATATCAGGATTAACGTAGTAAGCTGGCGGGGGTTGTAGATTTCCAGATGGTGACCCTGGCGGTGTCACAATCCAAGATGGGCGGCTAGAAGGGCTATGATTTGGAGCGGCTAGGGCTCTATGACTCAGAGCAGTGGCGGACACATCAGAGACATCCGAAACTATCATCCGAGCTATCATCCGAGCTGGATTCAGTGGAAACGACAGCAGGACTGCGATGTTGAGTCAGAGTGCGTGATGATGGGGGTGTAGATGTGGGCACGAATACAGTTGCTGGTGCTACAAGTGGCACCCATGAATCCCCCGTTCCACGAGTCATAGCAGTATTACATTGGTCGTACCGCAGGCCCCCGCTACGGCGCTGGATTGGCGAGTGAGGCTCAATAAGGCCAACATGCGTGCTAGGAGATGTGTGAGGTGCACGAGATGTGCGAGGCTCATTCAGGCCAACATGCGTGCTGGGTGACGTGTGAGGTGCACGAGATGTGCGAGTGCTGGGAGATGTGCGAGTGCTGGGAGATGGGCGAGGTGCATGAGATGGGCGAGGCTCATTCAGGCCAACATGCGTGCTGGGAGATGTGCGAGGCTCGATAAGGTCAATGTGCTGAGAACTTGCTGTGGGAGGTGTCAAAACGATGTGTGGTGACTGTGACTGCGAGCGATGCTGAGTGGGAGTTGGTGTGACTGATGATTGCTGGGCTGCGTGGCCTGCATTGGTTGCGACATCGGGGAGTGATTGTCCTGCAGCAAGCTGAATGTTTCTGGTCATCACCCGATGAGTCTCTGGGTCAACACGATACCCTGGTCCAGGTGTGACCTTATTCAACTTGTCTTGAAGATGCCAGATGTGAAGCATGGCGATTTCCTGAACAAATGTTTCTCGTAGTCGTTCAGCGACACGCTTGAAGTGAGGAACCTGCTCGAACTGTCGCGTGGTAACAACATCAACTGTGATATCAGAGGTGCGAAGAGGCTGCGTTGGATCCCACTCGGGTCGCAGACCGAACCCAATGAAGAGTGCATCAGCGATGCGAGCCATGCCTGTAGCCTAATGTTGGTACTGTTAGTTGAAACTTGATAGTAGATATAGAATCAAATACGCACTGCATCTTTTATATCTGACATACCCTCATGGAAGGCAAGTTTCCGGTCTTCTGCATTGAGGCAAAAATGTTCGTGCAAGGACAGGGTGTCAGAGAATGACTGATCCCTGTCTTTGCGAATCCCCCGGCGACGAGAAAACCGCTGACAGTCAATGTCGCAATTTAGTGGCTGGGTGTCTTGCGATTGCACCCACTGACGGATTGCGGGAGGGGAATATGGGGCTCGCATTTCGCACTGTTTGTGTTGACCTGCAAGTAGTGGGGTTTAAAATACAAGCAGCAGTGAGGCAAACACGTGTTGGGTGACTCAAGCTCAAGTTTGATAAGATCAACAGATGAAAGAGAAATTCATTCTAGGAAATGCGATAATGTAACATACAACTTGTAAGGACATTACTGGTTCATGACACTCGTACTGTGCAATGCGATGAAATATGACAATGCGCAACAAACCCCCTGGACAACAGACAACAGACGAGTTGCAGAAACCATTACTATTGAGTCCATTCTACGACACATGAAAGTACACGAAGTATTTAATCTAGCGCAATGTTTTCCAATACCTCAGCCAGACGAATCATATCATCATTGAAAGCATCATCGGCCACTATGTCTTCCGGCGATTCATCATCCTCATCCAGCCCAGCATCAGATGTCATGGTACCAGCACCGCGCACTCCACTAAACTCGGGCAGCGCTTCAATAGTGTCAAGACGAATAATGTGGGTGGCGTTGATACGAGCTAGGTGCACCCTCAATTCTTCTACTTCATGTGCCAGAAGAGGGTCTGTATCGCGTAAAAAAGTGACTCGATCTTGAAGAAATATCCCTTCGTCATGGATGAAGGTACGCAATCGACGAATCTCCACATTGAGGCGGGTCAACTCCTCGTATGAGCGCTTCATCTTGAAATACATTGTCGCGATCTCGCGGTTGCCCGGAACTGTCCAGGGTTTGGTTAAGACTTCCTGTTGAGAATGCGAGTGTTTGAGCAACTCAAACTCAGACAGAAACCCATAGTTCACGATATCATTCCAGGCGAGTGGCGGCGCAGGGGGTAGCATAGAGGGTGCTAGCTTATTGTATTCATCGAGGGCATTGCGGATGGCCTGGCTTCGTGCCTTGATGGCCTTGCCGATGTGAACACGAAGTTTATAACCTGTAGAAACCGTTAAACAAACAAAAACCAATTGGTGCGTCATCCTGCCACTTACCTGTGCCCGATAAATTGGCTTTTGAAAGCTCAAGTAGACGCTGTACGACAAGCTGTTGCAGCTTGTCAAGCGCACGTCGGAAATTGTGAGATCTAATCCGCTTGAGTGCTGACATATATTCAGGATGCTGGGAAGTCCATCTCTCTTTGACGCCGAGCCTATCTTCCAGATCTGCAACTGCCCGAATGCGGACCATCAAACCATCTAACGCTGCTCGGCGTTGCGCTTCCAATCGCGATGTCCATTGCACGTCTTCTGCGTAATTGATGGCATGTGCGTGTGACGTATTCCTGAATGAATCCGACATTGTTTGCCATTTTTGACTGCGTGAAGTTTAAAACAACGTTACGGAAATAGATACATCACTTACTCGGCAGATTGGAGATCCATTAGTGCCTGAACGTACGAACATGCAAGCACATGTTCTACAGGTTCATCTTTGAGGTCCATCAGAAAATTCTTCTCTTCTTCAATCCAGCATTCGAAATCGTCTTCACAGAGGTTAAGGCTCGAGACGAGCGTGGAAACCTTGTCCTTGTATTTCTTGATAATGCCAATAGCTTGCCTGTAGTTGTTCAGTAGAAACTTGCCTGATGATGTATTAGTACGAGAATGTGATGTGAAACCTTGATTAAACTCACTGAGTTCACTGTATTTGTCTTCGTCCCACTGTTGAAAGTGGAGATCGAGGAATTGCGCCCAGTGGTACCTGGATGCATAGCGTATAACACGTGAGACAGAATTCGATGACGAGAACACGCGCTCCATGGTTTCAAGATCCTCTAAGCCAAAACCAGGTAGATAAAGGGGGTGGTGCTGTACTTGACATAATCGATTGTGAGCGTAGCCGTGAAATGAATTGACACAGAACTGTATCCGAGCTTCTTCGGCTTTCTGGCTGAGGAGAGGGCTGTTGCGCACAATACCACCAAAGGTACATCCTACATCATAGCCCATGCCAATGTCTTTGCCATAGGCATCAATCATACTGTTCGTGATGGCCAGTGGATATTTCGCTCTACATTTACAAGCGTCAGAATCAGATGAATTACGTCAAAGGCTGACTCACAGCTCTCCACTCCGGACCATTTCACAAACTTTGATAATGAAGCCGTGACGGCAAGCAGACGCAAAAATCCCAGTTGTTTCATAAATATCAGCGGCTTTCTTCTTGTGATCAGGAGCGCTACTCTTCCATGTTAGGCAGGATGCCAGTGTCTCATCAACATCCTCGTCCTGGGTCTCAACTGAAATCAATAAGCACAACGACAGAGTGAACAAAAAAGACCTTGTCATGGTTGACACGTTGATGGTGTTGAACTTCATCCTTGAACCGGTCAACTTCTTGACGAGAAATGAAATATGAACTGTTGAAGTTGCGGTGATCTGATGGAGCTGCGCTAGCAATTCGCTTGCAGGAATTGTTGCCGTCATGGGCAGCCAGGATCTTCGGCTTGAGGATCTCTTCACCATTGACCTAAACGCACAATTAAATGATTGTAGTAAGTGACATGAGACGGCTTACCTCATAAGTGCAGCATGGACACATGTGCTTCAGCCGCCAGTCCACGTCACTACGTCCAAGAGCATCATCGACTTTCGATCGAATGTGCTGGAGAATGGAGAGATACGCATCAAATGCTATTGAGAATTGTTCTCGAAAACATGTGCGATAGTTCACCTAAATATAAGCATTAGCAACGTGAAGACAAAATGAGGTTACATACTTTATGAATATCACATAATGCTCGTGTAAAGGCTTGTATGCTAAGCTGTGCATGACGGCGCCGTAGCCTGTGGTAAAGCTCGAGCGCATGGACCTCAATAGCCACAGACGGTTCAACCGGGGAGCAGCCCAGGAGTCCGTGTCTTAAAAGCGCCGCATTGGCAGGCTCCTCGGGATGCTGATGTATGGAAACACAAGTGTCACGCTCTGGATTTTGATTCATTGTATGTCATAGGTACATAGTTGTGTAACGTACCGAATGTTCCAACCGCAATCACATGAAATATATGACCATCCTCCTCCATCGATAATTCCATGCTGTCATGTTCGTTGCTGTGTTTCCATTGCAGATAGGTGCGGGCGAGCTGTGGAATCTGCAAGTCCCAATGAGCATACATCATCCTGAGGCGCTCACGTCGTGCTTGTGGGCCTGTGTGACTAGTGTATCTAAAACATGATTGAGATTGATTCCTCGATTCACCAACCAACAAAATGATCGGCAAACTTACTTTGACTGGGCTGCGAATTGCAATGCACAACTAACTGCATCCTCGTATTCGCCTCCTTCATGAGATATATCATGGTCGATTTCATCGTGCCAGTGGTCTTCAGAAGTCAGAAAACCCATGTTGTCATCAGGGAGGGCGCCTGAACTCGCAGCGATGCTGCTAAATGCCCTGCGTGTATCTGTAGGTAATGCTATTGAAAAGATCAATAAAATAAACGAACAGGAGAGACTTGATTACGCACACATCAGGTAGCCTCGACGCTGTTTCAGGCCGTCCTGCACCTCCTTAGCAACTCGAGCACCAGACTTGAATTGGCCCTTCCCATGCGTTTGCGAAGTTGCATGCCGAATTCCAAGAGGGACCTTGAGTTTTGAGGCTGCTACATGCCTACCACGCCGATGAGACATGATGGAGAGAAGGTGAAAGCAGTGGAGAAGAGCGAAGAGGCGTTGACGCAACGTGCCCATGTGGTGCCACGTAGCCGATATCTTCCGGTGGCGATGCGATGCATGCTAGCACGATGCCTTGAGGCAATCATTCAGAAAAGGTTAGAGTGCTGGGTGGGTGGGTTGAGCTCGTTGTGTCCGACGACGAGCAGCACGGCTGTCAAAACATAAGTCACGGGACTCGTGGGAGACGTTGTTGATCAAACGATAAGTCACGGGACTCGTGGGACGCGTTGTTATTGATCTAATCAATTATTGTTATCTATTTAAGTCACGGGACTCGTGGGACGCGTTGTTATTAATCTAATCATTATCAGGGAGATTATCGTTATCTATTGTTATCTAAATGATCTAATCCCCAGGCTATGTACACCTGAAGTACCGAGGTAACGCTGGTGGTATTGCTGGTGTAGCGGAGTAATGGATTCGAGGGTTATAACCCCCGGAGACCAAATTAGGCACCGAGCTATATAAAGGTGAGATCTTATGTCACTCAGGTGTGAAGGAATGGAAGATTCGGGGAACAGCGAAAGAGCAAGACCTTTACCCTTGAGTCGTAAGGTGGACTCGGAATCATATTGGCAGGTGAGGGTACAACCCCTGTCACGCTTCAAGGTTGGTCCATGTATTTATACCTCAACCAAGACAAACAAGCAGCACATTGAATTTCCTTCAAGTATTCACGTATCCTCAAACCGTCCCTCCACGAACGATCTATCATCACTTATATCAATGCCTAAACCCCTTCCTGCTGGCAACTGGCTGGGCTACAGCCTCAACATGACAACTGCTTCCCCTGTAGACATGCAATCGGTGATTTCTGACCGTCCATTGTTGCTTTCACGATATCTGAGTCTGTCACACTTCTGACAGGTCATGAACGCAGTTCTTAAGGGCCGCCGAATTCTCAAGCAGAAGGAACCGCAGACGCACGTCGTCGAGCATGGTAAGTGCATGTCAGTCGCTTCTGAGCTTGCGTCAACGCTGCCTACAGGCGGGGTTGAATATACGGCGGACGCGTGCATTGTACTCAGTGACTACGGTAGAACCACCAAGAACTTTATCTCCTTCAAATCGGGCACCGAAGCATACAGTCAATTCGCGGTAGATGCGTCCATGTCAGCTCGCTATCTCGCCGTAAGCGCGGGTGCTTCTGCATCCTATTCCCTCGAAAAGACCTTCAAGCACCAGGATCAATGGGCGTTCTACAACCTCACCGCCGATACATATATGGCTGAAATGATAGAGTATGCTGATCTACTTAATGGGGCTAAGCTCCAGGAGCGGCTGGATTCAATGCCTGCGTTCAACGGGGGGAATCAGGAAATTGTCCAGGAATGGAAGGATTTCTTTGCCTCGTTCGGCTCACACGTCATCGTGAAGGCTAGGTATGTGCACGAGTTCGTGATGATCAGAATCATTGACATGATTTATTACAGCTACGGAGCCATGTTTCAGTTGGTGCGTGTTGTTTAAATGTGTTCTGTAACAATCCCTAGCCTAATAGCAGGACTTTTCAGAGCGTTTGGGCTTCGAACACCGAGCAAAGCGTCAACGAGAAGTTCTCCACCAATATCACTGCCAAGTACGAGGGTATCACGTTTGGTGGGCAATTCGATGCCTCGGTGAAGAACGAGACACAATACAAGACGTTCTCCGAATTTATGCAGGAGACGGTCTCCATCGTCGGGGGCAACCCCCAACTGAACAGGGCTGTCGCGGACAAAGCCACTGACTATGAACAATACAAGAAATGGCTTGGCACTATCGATGAAGATTCAGCCCTGTCATCTTTCACCACTGTTGAGCTTTGGATTTTGATGAAGGATGCGAGTACGGAACCACTGAGGAAGTTCTCCAACATGGTCCACAACGCATATAACTACATCACCACGCACCCCCAGCTCTACGAGACTGAGGTCATACTCGATATTGAGAGTGACTGTAAGGTTGTTTCCAGGATAGCCACAACCCTGCTGATCTTTGATGTCAGGGGCCGAGTTCAGTTTGCTGTCGCCTAGTGCTACCATCGCCAAGCATCGCACCATTGCTTTGCCCGCATACACCGATTTCACGTCCATGACACGCATCATGTGGGGAAAAGAGCACAGTCACAAATACCAAAGACAAAAACTTTAGTAAGTTGTCAACCCAAGCTAAAAGTTTCCTAACTAATATGTCCAAAGTTTCTATGTTGTCAATGATGGCTCCCCAATCGATTTTTCTGTCTCACATGGGTCGAGTGGTGGCTCGAGTGGCAAAGGGCGGGCAACCGTCATCATAAATGTACGTGGACATTTCTATGCCTCCTCTCGCATTTACTCAGAAACCCGATTTTTTTTTATTCCAGGAGCATTATGTTGCCGATAAAATAACTGGTGAGTCGTGATCGGGATGTTAGTCGTACCTGAGTCTCAACCGCCATCAAGATAACAACTGGAACACCCAAAAGTTCTACCAGAAACCGGTAACCCGCAAGGCTCGCGATGGTGGTATCGTGAGATCCGACAAACCGCGCTCCTGGAATGACGTGCTCGATGAATACCTCAAAGAGAGAGGTGAACAGGTCCCCACAGTCGCATCTGCTGAATCGGCAGTAGAAGGCAACGAAACGTGAATTGTGGTCCTTCATACCCTGTCGTTGTCGTTACTCGTTGTAATGGTTTTCTCCCCTGACTGTAAGCTTGCGAAACGTGTTCTTCTGTACTACAATTATGTACGTCTCACAAATCAATAACTCTGTCCTCCATGGTCCCGAGTCCTATCTTAGGGTTGTTCGTGTCAGTCCGCTGTTCACATATAAACTTGAAGTGTATTCATATGTCTCTGCTCAGTTGGAAAAAAAACCTAAGTTGTTAAGCACGTTTCGAAAATCGATTTCCATTAGTCTCATTGTCATTGAGCACATCCACCTCTCGTACGGCGTCTCCTATATAAATGCATGTACAACCTCCAGCAAATCCCTTTGATAATTTCGTCGTGTAAAACAGCATTGTAAACATGCGTGATGCTCCAGGACCTCTCACCTTGAGCCATTGTCTACCAAGGCTGTAGGACTTGGACCTGCTATCAAGGATCTCGTCATGATGTGAAAGGAGCGCATGAGATCCAAACGTGGGATTTCTGCACCGATCAAACATCGTAGCACAAACCCTCGACATGGTGTCACGACGGCATGTCAGGATTCGGTGTGCGCAAGGGACCTTTCCAATGAGACTCACTTGAGTAACGCATGCCATCTCGTGCGTTTAAAAGAGTCAAAGGACCTTGGCTACCTAGCAAAGTGCTAGACAGAGTGACCCCCTTCTAGGTGAGCGAGCATGTGTCACGGTGGTCTGGAGATTCACGTTGTCCGTGTTTTGCATGCAGGAGTTGATGATCTGGACCATTTATTCCTGCATAAAACAGGGTCAATGGACGCATGAAAGCCTGTAAATTATGCGTCTTTAACATTTGCTCCTCATGCATAACCAGCAGTGAGGCGCTGTCCAGTGCGACTGACCAGCAAGGACTCGGGGAGCAAGAGGCAAGTACTGAAAAGATGTTACCTTGGTAGCATGTCAAGCTACCACGTCGATGACTGACGACTATGTATTGACCTACAAACCGAGGAGTGCAGGAGCTGCTTGGGTCCTTGACGTGGAAGTTTTGTGTGGGGTTTGATTGGAGCGATGTGACGGAAAAGTTGTGTCGACCCGGCCAGACACTCAATCACTGGCCTGCTCTGCGAGTTGATTCAAAGTGGGAGTCGACTCCATCAATGAATTTAGGCCAATATTCATGCAACGAAACGAACGAATCATGCTCACATGTTCAATTGACAGTGAAATTTGAATAGGGCTAGCGCAATACTTTCCCACATCCCCTGACTAAGTGTTTCCCACACCCACAGGTCCGTTTGCAGAGAAAGTGTTCATCAAGTTGTTGCCTATGATAGAACCCTCTTCCACTAAAGTGGAGTCAGGGACACGGTCGTTACCAACAAGGCCCGCGGGTTACGGTGGTGGCAGGCGCATCATTGTAGCTCTGCCTGCCAGTGGGTCAGCTCTAGGCTTCTACTAGTAGCTGCATCGAGATTCAGCCTGCTACACGCTCGTCCATCAAACAGCGCTCTCGTCCACGCGCAAACGAACCATATACTAATCGCCTATGTAGTACCCGAACCATACCCAGCCACTCAAAACCAAAATCAGACGCCAGTTCGAAAGAAGTTCTTGATCAACCGATTGATCAGTCGGAAGCGAAAGCGAGGAATGATCGCCGAGGACTTGTTCGGGACAGCAGAATGTATACTCGATCGAACCCAATGTCCAGGATAACCGTCTCAAAGGAACGACTCGGGCCGTCTACATTCTGAGAATATGTCCTAACCAGTACTAGCGCAAGTATTGTGAACCATATATCATTTGACTTTGATCAACTCGCCTGAATCATATCACCCATTGCCCCTACCATCAATAGTACTGCAGTTGACTTGCCCTTCAAACTGGTCATGCCGAATTCTAAACTTCCCGTCAATAGCTGGCTCGGTTACACCTTTGACCTGTCCACTACAACTACAATGGACATTACCACTGTGAGATACGTCCATAAACGATTCCGTTTTCGACTCACGAGCACCTTCAGGCAACTCACGCCGTCCTGAAAATTCGCCGAATCATCGACTACAAACCCGACACAGTCCTCGGTACGTTTGAGACCGGTGTGTATTTCCTCACAGTGTCTGCATAATACTGCCAACCTCACTTCCACTCGCGTCTTTAGACGGGCAAGTATATGATGTGCCCACGGCCGTGTCTATCACAACCGATGTACTTAGCCCTCAAGGCGGTTTCCGCCACTACTCCACGGGCACTGATGCGACCACCGATTTCAGGAAGGACACTAGTCTCAGCATGCGTTACCTCGCAGTCCAGTCCAGCCCCTCTTGCTCAGCGAGGTCACTGACCAAGGAAAATCAGTACGCGTTTTACAGTTTTACCAAGATTATGTATGGCGCATATCTCAAGAACTATGGGGATCTTTTAGACGAGAGAGCTCTCCTGGAGGGCGTCGCCGACTTGCCCATTCCTTTCAGTGGCACTGATCCAGATATCCTGAAACAATACAAGGTCTTTTTTCAGGGATACGGGTCACATGTGATCATTGGTGGAAACTACGGAGCGCGCTTCCAGATGGTAAGTACGAGCCGCCTTCTTGAGAATTAAGTTGTAGCTAATAGTCTGCAGAACGTGTGGGCTTCTAATAAGACTGATGCTGTGAACGAGAAATTTGGAGGTGATGTCGTGGCTGCGTTCGATGGCATACCATACGGTGGAAAGTACGACCACTCCCTGCCCAACGAACCGCAGTACAAGACCTTCTTGGAGTATATGCAAAAGCTGGTCTCTGTCTCTGGCGGCGACCCCAAGTATGCGCTCGCTGTAGCCGCAAACCCCTCGTGCTATGCTACTTACGAGTCCTGGTTGAAGAGCGTGACGAATACACCGCGCTCCACAGTTCTGAACCTCCAGACGGAGGAGATATGGGTTTTGATGAGGCGTTCTACCGATATGCTGCTGAAATACTTTGCGGACCAGCTGGAAGCTGCGTTCACATACATTCTCGCGCACCCCAAACACCACAAAACGGCCGTTGTTTTCGAGATCGAGAGCAATTGTATGTGATTCTGCGTTGTTGAGTTCGTCCAGCTCAGAACGGTTCTTCCTCAGGGGCTGAGTTTAATTTGCTCACACCAAATGCGACTGTCGGTCCCGATCCAAAACATCTGTACCCATTCGGCACCATAGCCTCGAACACCCGTGTGAAGTGGAGTCATAATTATGCAGCCAGGCGGACTCTCAGGTACGCGTACATCCATGATAGTCCCTATGGTGCGGTACCACTGATTCGTCGGCTAGGTTTTTCATCATCAATGACGGATCCCCGATCGATTTCTCCATCTCTCACGGCAGCGGAGGACATAAGGGAATGGCGCAGGCCACGATTGAGAATGTAAGTTGAATTTTGTTCCTTGCGCCTCCGCCATAGCATTGAATGTCATGACCTGTCGCTGGCTGCTCACAGCGTCATTATCTTAATGACGATATCACGGGTAACACGCACTGGTTCTACCGAGCGCCTGTTTCTGGAATTCCTGAAAAGGATTTTTGAACGATACGCCAACGGGCTTGGGTAGATATGCACTGTTACTTTGAAGAGGTCAGCAAGCGCTGTTGAAGTGATGCAACATGCATGTTGGTTGTATTACATCTGTTGATATCATTACTGACGCCGTATGTAAATGCTGCACGCAAGTAAGTCAGTCAAAACATCCATGGGTATTTCATGAACGCGAGAACTCAAAGTGATTGTTTGCATGCCGTGCCACTACAATGGACGTACCTCTGAAGCTTAACCAGGAGCCCTTTGCCGACTCCTGTCGCGGCGAGACAGTCCCTCCCATCCACTTGCATGGTGTATTTCCACCACGCAAGACGGACGTGTCACGTCGCCCTGTTCGCAGATTACAGAAACAGAAGAGACGATAGACTCGTGGTGTGCGAGGAGCGTAGACTGGGCGAGAGCATCCGTGCACAATAGACAGTTTGAGCCATGAGTAAAACCCAATTAAGAAATCATGATATACTACTAGTGGTACGCGTGCTGGTTATGTTGGACTCACTGTCCGCTGAAAGCCCTACTCACTAGCTGGCACGGTGCTAGCAAAATTTGGAAATACCTAAGAAGATAGTTCTGGTGTGAGTCTGACTCATCCCTTTCATACCGAATCCGGACTCCCTGCCAGCCTGGGTACCGGCCGGTAAGTATGTATGCCGACTCCCGAGTACGTTGGCTGACTGCCAATATTTATTTACATAATTAAGTCGCTCTCGGATCCACACCATACCATAAAGTACGTCCATCACAACTATTAGAAGTTATTTCTGATCAAGATGCCATACGTACTGGTACTATGATTGTGCAACATACCAAGATCCAAACTCTTCAGCCGCCTCGGTTCCGATCCAGGGCACGTGTTATGAGCTTCCAGGACAATATTTTGTCACCGACTGAATGTTGAACCTTAGCTTCCAAGCTTCCAAGACAGATGTGACCATAGTATGACAATTTAGGAGTCAGAAATCGCTTCGTTCTGTAGAAGCACACATCGTTGCATACAACGTGGTTCCGCCCGACGATCACTTTCAACTTTTGGATCGTGGCGTCCTCGTTGACCTTTTCGGGCCCTGGGATCATCACGATCGACCGCATTCCGTGGTAAGTTCTTTGACTAAGTAATAAAAAGACAATGCCAAGTTGATCATCGGTTCTGACGATAAGACTACCAAATAACTCTGTTCGGCAGAGAAACAAAGCGTTTCAAGCAGGTGGAATGTTCCCAAGGTTGTGTACGTTCAGTGTGACGTGAATCTCATCGTGTCAGTAGATCTTTCGTCCAAATAATGGTATATGATTCATATCAATACCACTCCTCCAAACTTATTTAATCGACGGAGCAGCTGCAGTTGCGACAAACTAAATCACTCTATAACCACCGTCTCAACGCATATCATCTCCAGTCGCTTTATCTTCATTAGCGAAATGGCTCCACAAATGTTACTGGTCTTCTGTGATGGGACTGGCATGGACGGTAACCTGGCGTCGCGCAGTAAGGGGGGTATTATTTTCCTTGACATCGTATAACGCATCGAGCTTTAGGTTCCGTCGCTCAGTCCACCAAAGGCAACGTGAACGAAGTCGTCGAGAATTCCGGTTAGCACAAATATACACCTTCATTCTTGTCAGTAGCTGATTTGCTGCTCGTGTTTCAGAGACAACCTCGTCGGAAGCCCGTAAGAAAACACATCGTATCCCCATAATCTCTACTCATGTAGTGTGGACTAGCTCGTGGAGGCGGGAACAAGCAGTTCCCAACGAATGTTATCCGCCTTGGTAAGTTTGTTCACTATTGTTTCATGGTGCAATCTAACAATACAATACATGCAAGCACGATCCGTCAAACCTCTGACTGCGTGAGCAATTAGCTGATGTCTTTCCAACAAATTCTCTGACATCTGTGTAGCAAGGGGAAGAAGCAGATCGTCTTCTATCAATCCGGAGTCGGTTCGGAGGCCAATTTCAAAGGAGATCAGGTGACGGGGACGACGTTCGAACGTGAGTAGTGTGAAGTTGGGAAGTTTGTGGAACTTACGGAATCATCGTTTGATTCAGAGGCATTGGGCACCGCAGTTGGTTAGTTCAAATGTTTCTTCTAGGAGGATGACGAGACTCTGATCGATATTTGTGCTCTCCAGCAAGCAAAATTCGTGACGCATATGCATTCATCGCTCAGAATTATGAGGATAAGGATGAGATCTGTATATTTGGGCGAGTGTTAACCCAGTTGCTTTATGGATTTGGTCTCACAGATGTTGATTTATCATTTGACAGCTTTTCCAGGTGATGTTTGCCACATTTCTCGCGAGACCTCGCATTAACCTTCAAAATGGGTATTCAGAGGCGCCTACACGGCGAGAAAGGTGTCTGGGTTGATTGTGAGCAACTCCGACTCACAAATTGTTCCCGCATGATACGAATATTGTAGGATCGCATTGGGTTACTGAAACGAGAACATCTTGGACAATTCTTCCTGATTTGGAGTCAACTTGTGGACGGCGAGACTCCTACCATCCCAACTGGCACCCGGCGTCCAAGAATTAAGTAAGAATACACTATGTCCTTTCATCCCTTGCTCAATTACGTGACAAGGTGCGTGGGTGTATGGGACACAGTTGGGTCGGTTTACAAGACCATCGATGCGCTCGCGATCAAGGATACAAGTCTTCCGGCAACAATTGACCTCGCACTTCATGGAATTTCACTCCAGGAGAATAGAAAGTCATTCCTGCCTACCTTATGGACCGCGCCCCCAGGTGGCGTGCCCCCCACTCAGAAATTAAAACAGGTGGATGCTTCGATGCGCAGTAACTCCTAGCTTAAGCGCTGATGTCGTTGCAGATATGGTTCCCGGGAGCCCATTCCGACGTAGGTGGTGGTTACGAGCGCCGTGAACTTCAAGACCTTTCTCTTTTTTGGATGGCGGTGCGTGAAATTCTTTGATCGGAGATTTTCTAGTTGTTTATTGCTCGTAGGGGGAGATCGAATCCTTCGTTGACCTGGACCTCGATTTCTTGCAATCGACAAGGCAGCAGAACCCCGAGCCTTGGGGGACCTCTCAGCCCCACAACGCGTATTCGGAAAGCTCCCTTGCAATGCAGGCTATTGTCGGTCACGAGACCCGACTCCAGAGCAAGCAGATCAACAAGGACTCCGACTTCCACAAGAGTCTCGAGAAATCTCCTCAGAAGCTCACGTCCCCGCAATACATGATCACCAACACCATAATCAAGAACGAATTGGGTGCGGGATTCCAACCGAAATACGTTGCTTTGAACGCATTCGAGACGAAGTGCAAGAACAATTGGAAGTCGCAGCCGGTACGTGATGCAGAGCTGTTCGCTTTCTATTCACTCATTTGTTCCTGCTCTCCAGAAAGATACACCAGAACCTATCTTCGACGACCCAGGTGTTATCATTCGGCCTCCGGTCTATTGGGTGGGAGGCATTGTTCTTCTCCTCACTCTCGGGCTGATAAACACATGATATGCAAGACTCCCGGTACCCGGGGAATATTACCACCTTCAGCCATTGAAGGAGGCCGTGATTCAAATGGCGACCTCCTTTATATTGCACGTGCTCCGTATGCGGTAAGCTAAAAAATCCTGCTGGTTCTAGCTGTTTTTCTTATATGAACAACTACGCAGGGTGGTCTTCGTAAGTTCCAACGCTGGCATATTGACCGAAGCATTTACCATCCCGTCAAATAAGATCCAGGCAAAGCGTCTTCAGAGTTTGTGTACATCAGCTATGATGGCAAAGAGATCATTGTATGTTCGCTCCAGCATCTCGACCTGCGTTTTGTCCCAACTACCTCATCAGGTCAATGGCGAATTTGAACTTCTCGTGGGAGATCGGGAATCCGTTCGCTGGCTTCTAGTTGACGGCCGGCTTTCTCACCAGAAACTGGGCGACACTATTGCTGTGCTGTGGGTCTACCTCGCAAAGGAGTTGTCTTCTCTTTCCTAACATCATTTCTGATCATCTAGTGGAGGACATGGGGCGGACGGAGATCCCTTCTTCATCGCCCAAGCGGCTACAGACGAAGGTATTCAGTGTGGCAAAGTCAAATTCAATGGCCATGGTTAGTAGGCGCTCAGTGCTCCTCAGACACGGTTCTAATCGTCCTCACTTGCAGCTACTATTCCATTGGATGGCTCCGAGTTCATCGCAGAAAGCTACAATGTTCTTATATTCTCTTGAAGCATGTTTCAGCTTGTTCGACAGTGCTAAAGAACTCTTTTGGAATGTTGTACACTTGTAACACTAAAAGTTGCCTCCCTGGACGTGTGTAAGTTGTATTAGGTTACAGTGCCTGGTTTCCTGCATGTACAATATATATGGAATGATCAATTGTCGCTCGACTATGGAGCAGATCGCGTGGACATCACGTCCACAGTATCACTTCTATTCATCGGTATTCAACCCAGTGGTGATGCGAAAGGCATGCTTGTCTCGTTCATCACCCAGCCTCATTATTCCAGCCAGCCCGCTTATTAGTATCAATGGGAAATAAGTCATTGCTATGCGCAGTTCGTCTTGTGAGAGCAACAGAGGAATCGATTCTAATCTGATTTGAATCTCTTAACTTTTGGGAAAGGACAGGTCAAAATCATGCTGCTGGTCAATGTACTTACTACACTCGTTTTGCAATATATCGAATATTGAATCAGGAAACATCCCTCACATCATGTTGTGCTGTGGTCAATGAGCACATTTGGCAGGTAATTAGTAGCGCACCAGGTTTCAAGGACAAACGGGACGTTGATGTCGCAAAAATTATGCGTTCATCAGGGCAGACGGTCATGAAAGCAGAAATACAAAAAAGACAACAAATGGACGAAAAGGTATACCACAGATATCATATCATGCCTTGCTCTTCTTTTTCTCCTTGTCTTTCTTGTCTTTTTTCTTTTCTTTCTTCTGAGAGGTGCCATCCTGAAGAAGAAATTAGCCAAGATCGCGAGTATTTAACATACTCAAGCGTACAGTAGCAGCAGCAGCAGCAGCCTCGGCTTTACGCGCTGCCTTGGCAGCCTTCTTCAAAGCCTTCTTTTCCTCCTTCGACGTCTTCACCTTTTTCTCCGCGGGCTCTTCGTCCGCTCCATCCACATCCATATCATCTCTCGACCTCTTCTTTTTCTTGTCTTTCTTAGGCGTGACTTCAATCAAGGGCAATATAGGCTCTGCATCATCCATCTCAGCGTCTGGCTTATCATCCATGTCCTCGTCCTCGTCATCCTCCAAGTCCAATGCGAGACTGTCGAGGACTTTGCGGATGGCATCGACGTTCTTGGTCGGTGGGGCGCCGGTCTCGAAAAAGTTGAGGCGCTCTTCGACTTGTGTGCGGAGGGCTTCACCGAATTTTGCGGATGGGTTATCTGAGTAATTTTAGTAAGGGGTGAGTATGTGGAGATGGGGCGGAATTACCTGAGTAACAGTCTATCCGGGAGGCGATTGAACACTTGTTGGCCAGGAACCGGGATATCCGGCCTTTGTGCTTTGGGTCTGCACGGCCAATGAAGGAGGAGTGGTATAGTAGACCGTACTGTGATTCAAAACAAAATTAGCTTGATTGGCGCTTGTAATAGAGTACATTACCTTGGGGGTGTTGCCCTTGGTTTTTAAAGCCCGGAACAATGCCTTCTCCGCACCGAGGATCTGCACGGTACTAGCAGGGTACTTGCTCAGGTTCGTCAAGCTACCCGCATGGCTGATCAATCGTGCACCTATCCGCTCTCCCAACAACGCCGTGAGGGAAGGAGCGACAAGGTTCATTTTTTCGCTTAGGTAGGTAACGAGCGATTTGCGGTAGTCGGCGATGGAGACGACGCGGGTTGCGAATGCGGAGATGTTGAGCATGTCGATTTCGGATATAGATGAGCCCATGGAGCCGCGGGCGGCGTCGAGGATGTTTTGGGCGAGGGTGGAGTCATCCGCCAGGAGAGTAGTGAGCTCAGGCAATTTTTCCTCTGCCAAAGTGTCCTTGTCGCCTATGAACTGTGCGATGCGGGCGTATTGGTAGTTGTCTGGGACGAGCTTGACGAGTTCGGGGAAGTGATAGCCGTACCACTCTCTTATGCGCATGGCGAACAGGTTAACGTCCTTGTCGAGCTGGTCGAGGAGGGCGATGGCTTGTATGATCATGTTGTCGACACGGTTGACGTTGAACTTCAATTTAGCGCGGGAGTAGGAGTGGCCGAGACCGAGCTGGGCTTTGATGAGGTCTGTAGCGTCGAGGCCTTTGAGAAGCTTTGGGGCATGGAAACGGATGCCGCGAAGGACTTCCTGAGAGGTTTCTGAGGCGTCGCATTTTATAGAGAGATTTTCAAAGATGGAATTTGCGAGTCCGACCTCTGAGACTGCGAGGACTATCTTGGAGCCTTTTTTAGGCTTCGAGAGGTTAAGCTCAAGTAGGGATTTGAGGTGGTCGCTGAGGATGCCTGGTGATCATTGATACTTCTGTGACCACGAGTAATAGGTTTAGTAATACGTACCTTCTGAGATATCGTTTATGTTCTCGAGAGCGTCCGCTGCATTTTTGAATGGCGAGAAACTGACGAGGGTGACCATTTTGCCGAATTTTGAGAGGTCGTTGATGGAGTCCTGGACTGCCTTTACGCGCGAGCCGATGTTTTCATGGAGCTTGACATCGAAGATGGCGTATCCAGATGCCGACTCGAAGAGTGCGTGCGTCGCCATCGTGGCTTGTGCTGAGCTCCTTGTCGAGGACGTCGAAGAGCAACAGCTGAAATTTTGGATCGGTATATCCCGAATGGTAATTGCCAAATGCGTAATCACACCGCGGTTCTACTGGCATGGAACCAGTCTGACGCTGATCATTTAGTATTCTCCAGACTACTATGGGCCCACAGCGGCCCCCGATTGGACCTATATCCACTAAAGGCGAGTCACAGGATAAGGGAAATGTCAAAAGACAACGTCAGGCTCCCCCCAGGACAGACCAGAGTTCATCATCCAGCTCCAACACGAAAGTGGCGCCCGACAATTTCCAACTGTTCATCCCCAGGTTCCCGATACCTGAGTATGATTCTGAAGAAGAGGTCACCCCACCACCCGGGCCCAGTAAGGGCACAAATTTGTCATAGTGCTGATTTTTGACGACTCCCCTCCAGGGCTCGGACACCCGCCGCTCTCTATCTCCGTGAAACGCGGGCGACGCAAGAGTAAAGTACGAGACCAGCAGTCCCCTAGTACCTCACGTGTGTCCTCTTTCTGGTTCATGCGGTCTAGGATATCATTTTAATTCCAGTCTAAATTTGCAGTTTTTCTCCCCTATCTTCGTCATACATACGAAAGCGATATGATCCATTCATACGGTGACCAGGCTGAGGCATTCATGAGGCACGCGGGGCCGTGGCTTCACTGGCAGCTGGTTTCGTGCCATCCAGCTCGACCTAACCTATCCCTTCACTTCGACGTCGCTTTTCCAATCCACGACATCGAGTACAGGCAGGATTCCTCACACGGGATCCAACGGACGCCCCTGTCTGAAGTCGATCTCGGCATGCAAGCTGCAGACCAGAAAATAATCAAGATGACCATCAAATTTCAGCGCGATCCATTCGAGTGGGATATCAATGTGGAGCGTAAGGAAGGCATTCGCGTTTGCGATGTCTTCGAGGCGATCCATGCAGCTTTCGACATACCGCTCACAGCCTACGAGATGAACTTGATTCCGTTTCACCTCCGTGCAGGGTGTCAGGAGGCGTTTAAGCTTCGCTGCAACCTTGCGCCGGTGCTTCCGATCGCTCAACTTCGCCTAGGCTGGAAGCGTGTAGACGCCCTTCTGCACAAGACCATCTTCCGCGCCCTGACTCGGTCAAATTCGGGAGAATGTTGGATACTAAATCTTGGCGGGACGATGTCCAAAGCCACTCACAGCAGGCGTCTAGTATCGGATCACATTGCAGGCAAAGATCGGATGGATCCAATGGCTGATCCAATACGTTACCGGGGGAGGGGTCTGCTGCGGGATGCTTTTCTTGTGCGTCACTATTTGCTCGCCGATATTTTTGTGGCTGATACTTAGGCCTGCCCGTAATTTCAAAGCCGGACCCCTTGTTTGTAGGAGAACCTCCCGATCTACCTTCCTCGCGCTCCCTGCGCATTCATGGCATCGTTGATGGATTAGAGGAGTACCCACCACCGTTCCTCAACCAAAATCCAAACGCGCTACCGGAATATTCCAATATTGATGTGTTCAATCTACCTGTAATATTCTGTGACCCGTTCGCCTTCACTGACTGACTCTGATCTTTAGTTATCTGCCGCTTTTGTATCTGCCATCAGTGCGGACACTGATATAATGGTACGAGTCACGTATATTACGTCTCCCTGATCACCAATGACAAACTCTTAAGTTCCCCTCGCGAGCTGCCTGCAGGATCTGTAATTTTGTGGGGTTGAGTGCAATCCTTCAACACGGAACCTTGTGCACCCTACTGATCAATATTTCCCCATTGATCCTGGAACCCCCAAGTCACGACTATATCTGGGCGTTCTTTTGTAGATTTGTCCCCCTCGATGCTTTGTTTGACTCGCCTAGTCGAAGTCCAACGCATATGATCCCGTTGGGCAGTGAGCGTACTCACCTCATTGAAAGGCTCGAAGCGCACCTCGAGAACCCCGGGAATATTATGTCGTGGCTACACGGACCTTCTGGCGCTGGAAAATCCGTCATTGCATACACTCTTGCCAGTCGTTGCAAGCAAAAGCATCGACTGGCAGGCAGTTTCTTCTTCTCTCGTAGACACGCAAACTGCAGAAGCGCGCGTTCTGTCGTGCTCGCCCTTGCATATCAACTTGGGCTGTCTCAACCGCAGGCGAGGGAGAAAATAATTGAAGCCCTTAACTGCGATCCTAGTATAATTTCCCCTCATCGAGATTTGCGTGAGCAATTCTCCCGGCTCCTCATCGAACCCCTGGAGGCCGTTGATTGGCGCCCTCCTTCGAGAGTGTTTGTCATCGATGCCATGGATCAGTGTCAAGACCACGCGCCCGAACTCATTTCACACCTTACTCGACTTCTCTCTCATCTAGCCAACGTGGGCTTTCACATCTTCTTCACAAGCCGTGACGATGTAGAAGGAGTGTTGATCAGTCGTCATCTTTTGCCAATCATATCGGACATTGCTCTGGATCGCACCGACATTACTCGAGACATGAGATTATTCCTTTGTCAATCTTTTGATAAAACACACAAACGTCATCGTCTTCAATGTCGCAAGCCGTGGCCACCGGAAGAGGTGCTCGACCGTCTAGTGGATAGAGTAGGACCCAACTTCATTACAGGATCCGTCATCGTTAAATTCGTTGGAAGCCTTGACCATGACCCCGCAGAGAGGATGGATCTCATTAATCATATTCTTTTCAACCCTTCATTGCCCTCGGATCCATCAGTAGATGTCTTCTACAAATCCATCATTTCCACAGCCGACGACCTGAAAGAGGCGTACCTTCATCTCACGATTGTTGCGAATCTTGCCGGCATGTTGTCATGTTCGCAACTGGATAACCTTCTTAACCGAGGGTCAAACCAGACATTTGACATCGACATGCGTTCCGTGCTGTCTCAACTGTCACCTCTGGTTCACATTCCGGATAATCACGACAGTGCTGTGCAATTCTGTCACGAATCCCTTTGCGATTTCCTGTCCGATCCTCTGCGCTGCGGAGAGCAGTACATTTCTCAACCCGTGATTCATCGGCTGCTGGCTTACTCTTCTTTGAGTGTCATGATAGAGGAGTTGCCGGATGATAGTGCTCTCTGCTCCCGTTTATCCCAGTTAGCGGGGGAAATCAGCTCTGTATCGCTCAGTGCTTTTGACAATGCGGATGTTCTATCATTTGCAATACACTCACTGCCAGAGCCTCTGTCATTTTTGTCTACGCTCTGGCACATCACGCAACGTCAGCACACGGGGCTTTTGGCTGATTCTCGAACGGCATTTACTTTGCAATACTTTTGCCGTACCTGGCAGATTTTACAGCACCTCGACTTGTCCGCGGTTGACACCATGCCTGCTTTCCGCTTCCTAGCTAACATTCGATCTCTACCTGCACTCCTTGCCTTTCCAATGTTTCTCGCATTTGAATCCACCGGAAATGGCGACACTCCGGGCCTATCGGCTCTACAGCACGACCCTCGCATAGAAATATTGGATATGGTGGCCGAAATCGTGACCCATGTGCATGCCCTCAAGGATCGGTGCAGATCGGACTCGGGTGCCCTTGATTATGCTTGCACTCACTGGGCGTATCATCTTTCTTTGGCGGAGTGGAATGACGAACTCCGCTCCATTTTGACTGCCTTCATGGAACAGAAGCTCCAGCAATGGGTTGTGAAAGCATGGTGCCTCCAGGATTTCGAGACCTGCCTTCGGACGTTGTGCGAGGTTCGGGAGCTTTACTTGATGTCTATTCGTTTTGATTCCGATGCGCAACGTATCAAAGCGAACACCAAGGCTGAGGAGGAGGTTGAAGGAGGTTTTTTTTCCCCACATCGTATGGAGCTGCAGAGTATGCAAGAAGAAACATATACCAATCATTGGAAATATGACCCGTTCGACTTGGATCATAATCTGCCTATTCAAGTACCTGGTGGTACCCCAACCATTGTCACGCCACCGTTCGAAAGCTTCCCCCTCGCCCAGAGCTACGAAGGCGATGCTTCACATTCCCACATCGCAGAATCGTCCAGCTCTGCGCAGCCATCGAAGGAACCATCACCACCACGAATACCAGTTCCGATTCGGCAACTCAAACGAAGACGAAGAATGTCAGGTTCTGGAGAAGAATGACCATCTCCAAGTCGTATGACCATAAGGTACATTTTCTGCTGAAAAAATACATAGTGTGTTAAATGAGTGTGCCGCAGACTTCCATCTCCACACTCCATCATGCAGTATGCAAAACACCTCCCTGCCCAGCTCTCCCCTGTCCAGCACGCACCTGCCCAGTACCGCCCCGCCCAGTACCCCCCGACCCAGCACGCACCCGACCAGCACACACCTGCCCAGCACCCCCGCGCCAAGTACGTGCCTCCCTGGTACCCTCCTGGGTAATCAAATATAGCTGCCCGCGTGCGTCGGTCTATAACCATTCTGTACGTGTAGAAGTGATAGTCATTGTACAAATCGCAGATGATTTTTTCGCGATTTCAAACCAATGGGGTCTGTGCCACGTTCAGGATGGCCATGCATGGTGCCAAACCCTCCAAATACCTGTCTTTCAAACCAAGACAGTAGTTGGTCCTACCAGAAGGTACAAATACATGTGCGCAAACGTGCATCCACGACCTCACAGTGAGAGATACAAGCGGTAATTATTAATATACATCACCATACAACTGAACCGCAAACGAATTACTACTCGTTGAAATCGATGGTCTGTGCAACGTTCAGGATGGCTATGCATGATTCTAAACCCTCCAAGTACCACTGTCTTTCAAACCACGACAGCAGTTTATCCCGCCAAAAGGCACGAAGAAAAGTGCGCAGACGAGCATCCATAACCGTCGAATCCTGAGAGAGATACCAAACCCAATGCTGGCAAGCATGTCTGAGGGCTGGTGAGCTGGACAAGTTCCGTTCGCTTCCCTCCCGTACGTATTGCATGAAATGCTTGAGCGCTGGAGGCATGTGCGACTTATCGTCGGACCCATCTATCGAATTGATATCATGGGAGGAGGAAGGGTGAGTGTGACGAATTGCCAAGAGTATCACGATGATCAACATTCCTGGGAGAGTTTGTAACGTTGACAAGAGTTCAAACACGTGCAAGTCGCGAAATTCAGATTTCGCTCGGAAATCCTTGAGTGCCGACCGAGCCTTTGATATGTCCTCTGACATATTACAGGGCTGGACACTAGGCGGAGCGCAGCAGAAAGGGCCAGTCCCTGATTGCGTATATTCATGGTACCAGGTGGTCGCATATATGGTCTTGTTACACGGCTGTGCCAAACAAAACTTGAGGAAAACCATCAATATCTGTGCAAATGTTGATGTGAGAATAGTATGTGTATGTAATGTAGGCGCATACATTATCTGATTGCGGACCTGCTTCAATAGGAACCTTCGTCAGTGGCACTATTCGTTGTAGCTCATCATGGAGCCTGGACTTGAGCAGGAATGAGCTTTTCATCATCCGCAGACTGGACTGTGCAAGGAGTTGAGATGCACACGATGAAGGCGAATGTCGAGAGAGAAACTTCTGAAGTAAGTGCTTGTGGGGAACCTCGACAGCGCGGGAGTCATCGGCAGGGACGCTGACTATTGGTGATAACGACACGAGAATGGACGACAAATCGCTTTCTGAAGATCCCAGGAGCTTCCGTAAGTGCAGAATTTCTAATGGTTTGGCGAGATTGACCACCGTGGATAGATGTCGGTATGCACGGGTCGGATTTTCTGACGAGTTGATGACGAACTCGTAGAAACGGAATATTTGGATGGTATGTAGATATGCATCACCGGGATCCTTCATAACGTTGATTTTTTCATCTATATCGGATGGTACTTCATCATCATCTTTGTCGTGGGTCTCGAGAAATTTCATCATCATTGACGCGGTCCCGAATCTTCCGTTTGCCCTGTCAGCGAGACAGAGGATCGTCTCGTCATCGGGCTTGAGGCCATGATTCCTCTTCAGAGCGTCCTTGAAGAGGAGACAAAAGTCCTTGCGAACTTCAGCAAGATCAACATCGTCGAGAGCAATACGATGTATCGACTCCTTGCAACTAATGGTTTCAAATACATCATCAATGACGTCAAGAGGGCGACTGGTGATGACGATGTGCAAGTGCGGGATACGTGGCTGGCGGAGGAGATCCGAAAGACATAAAATGAGATCGGAGATGCGTTCGTTTTCGCATGCGTCAATCGCATCAATTACAAGCACCTTTGGTTGTGACCCCCACGAGACCTGCAAATTCTGTAACGGTTTGACAAGTAGACCTTGTATTTGATCAGCGAGCGGCTTCCTTGGATCAAGGATAGCAGGGTCGGATCTGATGGATTGAACCACAGAGTCTTTGGCCAGGTGTTTACTTATCGAAATTTGGTAGCCCAATGTGGGCGCAAAGAAATCAAGGCTGGATATGCCCGGCGTATCCTTGTGTTGGCGGCTGAAAAAAAACGTTCCAGCCAATCTCGACTTCTTGCTGAGGCGGCTCGCGATGGTATGAGCAATCGCAGACTTTCCTGTCCCAGTAGAGCCAGAGAGCCAAATCAGCGTGCTGCTGCTTGCCTGCAGAGTTGTCTCAATTTCTTCCAAGATTCTCGTGCGGGTGCCATCTAGGCATTCAAGTTTATGCCGAGAGCCCCACTCGGGACAATCGTATAATGCACGAAGGACGGCAACCGCACTTAATGATTCGAAGATCTTCTCTGCGCTGCTGGTGTCTGCTACCACTGTGCGAACGGCACTGTATTTCATGACGCAAGGAGAAGGCGATAGAATTGGCTTTCTGCAATTTAGTCAGTGATCAAATTGTGTTATAATGTATACATTGTGCTTAACTGGAAGTCTATGCACTGTCAGAAGGACCAAAGGCCAAATCTCGAGCGATACCTCCAGTTTGCGAAGGGCGCTAAATCGCGCGGTCGATATTGTAAGATTCCAAATCATACAAAACGAGAGGATTGGGTACTTACTCAAGAGCTCTGAATCTTTCAGTAAAGATGGAAAAATTCGACGTATCAATCAATGACCGTGAGCAAGAATCCTTCGCGTGCTGGTGTGCAGAGTATGTAGATACATACACTGATACAGCAAGTACATTGCTTGGGCTACCAGCGTTTACTGACTGTGGGAGTAAATCACGTATTAATATGTTACACGGCAGGCGGCAGGCCGATAGAGGCCCGAGGCCCCTGATGAAGTTCTTGTTCTGTACTGGTTCAGTGCTATTAGTGGCGAGGACGGTTGGTCTCAGACTTGAGGACTGAGTACTGATTTCGCAGTCGTATTTCTATATAATCGGCAGACACAAGGATGAACGTTGAAGGGAGAAGGCGTAAGTAGGAAGACGCGGACCGAAAGTGGTAGATGGTTACCACGGTCACGCGGGCTATGTTGAGAACTCACCAAGTTTCTCCAAACCTTCTCACTCTGTCACGTTCTCTGACAATCCTCCTGTTACGGGTACGCTCTGGACTCGAATTCGATGTTCTAAAAACGATCACCGGCCGAAGGACGGTTGGCACTTGGAGAGAGGGAAACTTTTCAGTGTTGACCGCAACTTCGGCAACCCCGTGGTGCCTCAGGAAGTTCCGCTGAAAATGCTGGCCATTATCACTCTTTTAAAATGATCACACACTTTTGGGTATGTGCACGACAGCTCAACCTGTCAATTGAGGTGGAATTAACGATTCTTTGATGACAACAAATACAAATATACATATGTCAATCATGCGAGGTCACCGGTCAGAATTTCGATCGGATAATTTCAGGCGCTGCTGGGCTATACCACTCCGCAAGCCTGGGGCTTATTCGAATTCGCTGAAATTATTCATTCACCCCTATTAGTCCAGTTGCTGTTGTCTCTTCGTCGCGATCATCTCGGTGGCGAAACACGGGGTATGCGGTCTTGCTGTATGCTATTCATAGCGCTTACAGGTCATCCCTTAACAGAAGGCTACTAATATAACCTACGAGGCCGTCCCACTGCAACGTGCCTCATTTGACGAACGATGTACCGCAGTGTCGCATTCCAGATCTTTCGGTATCTCTGATTTCCCCCGCACCTTCTGGTACCCAAGAAAGGTAGGGTAATTCACAATTGCCTCCATCATGTCCTGAAGCTAATCTTCGATTCGTGCAAGGAGGCGGACGGCCCGGCTGCTCCTGCCTGCGAAATGATGGGCGATGGCATCAAGCTCTCAGCGATTATTGGTTTTATGGTAGTTGCCGAATTTGATTCTCTCTGTCCACGACATATGTGGAAACGCATGCACTTCAACGTCTGCCTTGGCTGAGTATCACAAGAATATGAGAATTCAATGATGTTCCGAGGGTTTCACCTGATCAATTCAATCCCCTGATTATGAGGCGCTTGATAGGGCTCATGTTGTTGCACGGCATCTGTCCATTCGGAAGATTTCGGACAATCCTTCGTGGAGCAAGACCCAAAGCTAGTTCCGCTCTCCCTGGAGCTGTGAAATTGAAAAGTCCATGGTTCAAGCGGTGTGGGTCCCAGCGCTAGCGCTTATCACATTATAATTGGCCTAGCAGTGCACGAATCATTTCGGCGTAAATCATTGGAATACAGCTTGAAGCTCGTGATCTGCTCTGCAATAACTCAGCACCGCCCACTGTTCCTCGGAATTTGCTGTGTGGTAGTCAGCCAGGATGTTTACCGTGGAATGACGGATAATTTACTTTGCTGCATCGACGTGATTCTGAACAAATGTTATGTGCTAACATGGTGACGTGCCCACAAAACATGTGGTGGATGAAGCTGATGTGGTTTATCTTTTGTTTGATTTCGAATCCCAACACGCGTAAGCTGCAACCTAGGTAGATTACGACATGCTGTTTAAGCCCGTTAAGGAGCCTCGTGAATGATTTGGGCACTGATACCATTTTCGGAAGTATTTACGCCCTGTCTTGCCTCGTGGTATGGAACGTATTTCTCGCCGCTTGCAAAGCCGCTCGTGGCCTGCCAGCTCTTGTGTCTTTCTTGGTCCATATAAGACGCAGGATCTAACTGCGCGGGCCCCAGGTGGGACTTCAGAGGCTTCTCTGCACTTTTCTTCTGCGCAGGCCTGTCTAGTTCAGGTATGTTCTCCATCATCCACTCAGTGGCGAACTGTACACATGGTATAACACGTTGTATGATTATCTCCAGCCCTCGCCCCTCCATTGTCTTGAAATCCGCCACAAGACTTTCGCCTGCATTGGCAACTTTAACGACCTTCATGTATAAGACGAAACACGACCTCGGGAGTCCTAATTTCAATCTCAACACTCCCAAGATACCCCCAAAGGCGCTTCCACAGTCGCCACCACTCATGTCTTCTCGTTCTTTTAGTAGGGCTGAACATCGTTCGTTCACGTTGATCAAGCCCTCTCTTCCAAGCTCAGTTTCACGGGCGCCCACGCCCAAGCCTTCGACACCACAGCCCCTCAAATCTATCCTGAAGGGCAAGACTTCCCCTCCTCGTGACTCATATGAAAGCGATGGAGAAATCACAGCTGCCAAGAAGATTTCGCGGAGTAACGTGTATTCAGTTCACAGATCCCTTCCGCAAAATGCGCACTTGGGTGAGTCCTTATTCCAGTTCATTCTCTCTTTTCCCCATTACGTACCTTATCTGATCTTACATCCGATAAAGGTCCCATGAAGGGTCCCGCACTAAATCTTCACTGGTCGCTGCTCCCCTATCATCCAGATCAATCAAAACGATTTCTTCACTTCGATATCGCTTTCCCAACTCGCAACATCGAGTTCAGGCAGAATTCGTCTCGTGGTGTCCAACGAATAGGCTTGTCTGATGCCGACCTTGATAAGCAGGCCGCAGATGAGAAGCTAGTCAAGATGACCATCAACTTCCAGCGAGGTCCGTTCGAGTGGGATATCGACGTGAAGCGCGAGCAGGGCGTTCGCGTTCGCGATGTCTTTGAGGCGATATACGCAGCTTTCGATGAACCGCTCACACCATATGAGAAAAACTTGATCCCGCACCATCGCCGGGCAGTATATGAAGATGCGTTCAGGCTTCGCTGCAAGTTGGCGGCAGGGCTTCCTATCGTCGAGCAGCGCCAAGGATGGAAGCGCGTTGACATGCTTCTACACGAGACCCTCTTCCGTGGTCTAACACAGCCGAAGTCTGGGGGAGACTGGGTATTGAATCTCAGTGGGTCGGTGCCCGTGTCAAAACACTGAAGAACCTCACGATCATTGCATGTTTTTTTTCTCTCACTGTATTCTTGGTGAGCACCTTCACCGCCAAAACATGATACAGCGAGCTTTGAACTAATGGTCGCTTTGATGCAGAACTGGGTTTCAGCATTCCAGCCACGCTCGTTCGGCTTTATCGCACTCGCATCGTATCAACTCTCGCTCTTCGATCTTCAGCACCCCTCAACAATCTGTTCCTCTTTAATTCCGCCCGTATTTCTAAATGTGTTATGACCTACCCTACTCATCTGTTGCAGCCTTCTGCCTGGTTCGTAGTGGCGTTAACCTAGATGGCAAACGCTCCTTACTCTGTACTTTCTTGCGATACTGGTTTCCTATTGTCTGGACGGATCGATTTGTCCCGATCAAGGATACCATGTTACTACTGATTACCAGTATACCTCATGTTCGCATTTCCTTCATCCCATAGACATTTTCCCTCGCAGTGGAAGAAATAGCACGTCTGTTTTGTGCGTCGAAATGGGGACAGATAGTGTCTTCTAACAGGGTGTCCGTGGAGGACGGAAAACTGCCGAATTCACAATCAAGACTAGTACACTCTCACGACTTACAGAACCTCAGCGAACAAGATGGAAGGCCTCACGAAGAATCACGGACCAAACATAGATCATAGATCACGTACGTTTGACAGGTAGGGTGCAGCTGGGTTGATGATCGATGCGTCGTGGTGCCCTGAATAGGGACTAATGAACGTAACTCTGTCTCCATCAAAATTCCATACCTCCAGCCTCATGTCGATGGGGGGCGTGCAAAACGACTAAGTGTGAATTCAATAGGAGAGCAAGAACCTTGTCCCAGTGATAACGATGAATTGGGGCACGGAAAATTCATTCAAACGATTAGGTTAGTGTTAGGATCTGAAAGGAAGACTTCCCTACTCTGCGATCGTGATGGGTAGCTCACTATTTTTCAGATAATGACGGCAGGGCCCCCACAGGGGGCTCCGCATCTACCCTATACACGGTTCACCGCCGATCAGTGTAGTACATCTATGAATTCCTCGTGCCAGGCAAGTACCAGGAGATTTAATTGCTTGGAGATGCGCATGTGACCACATCTCCATGGATATGGAGCTCCAGGGTGACCGGCCTTCATCCAGGTGAGCTTCTTGGGACAATGTGAAATCAGCTGCAAGACGCCACCAGTATCGGTTCTTGTCTGTTCGTTCTTACACGCACGGAGCGGAGCGGAACAAGAGACAAGCGGTAAACTGGATCAAGGCTAGTAGGTCAGAAGGTATATTTGACTTGCGAGGTTTCAGCATCCCTAACGTACGCGATGCGCATTGTAGTCCCCTATTGCTGGGTCTAGGGGTTCTGTCGTTAACTGATCAATGCATGAAATTTAGAGATGTGACTTATCGTGATGTCGAACTATCCCCTTGAAGTACAATTTCGAACTCAAGGAGTGGGTGATAAGCCGATCTGCTGTAGCTGCTAGACTCGTGGGCAACCACCTTAAATGAGGAACACGGGTGGGCCAGGACCGCAGGTTAATGCGGTTCATTGTTCCACACTACGCCACCACCGTCGTCGAGGAAGACATGGCGGCTGGTGACGAGACTATACAGCTGCTGCAGTGATATTGGACCATATCACTGTCAAATTCGTTGTCGAATACAGCACGTTCAGCGATCATAATATAGAAGGAACGACTGTCTTCCTTCTAGTATACATATTGGTCTGACCGTAGTACGGAGACAAGGCTGGCCTTCGAATCTTCATTTTCGTGCCACATACGGTAAGAATTTACCACAATCCGATTCCTTCAGTAATTTCCCACCCTAGTGTGGTTCGAGCGGACTGCAGTGCTTTCAACTTCTGAATCAGATCTGAGTCGCAATGGATCTCTTGGAAGGCTATCGGTTTGTGAAAACGTGAAAAGCCACCTCCGGACGTACACTGATCGAAGCTCTATGTCGAAGTTCTCGAGTCAAAAGGCGGCCTTCAAGGACTCATTCTTTTGGACAAATCTAGTGCGTTTCCCCCGCATGCCAAAGTACAAACGGTCGCACCATAGTGCTAGGTGTCTCTTATAGAGTCACCCGCCGTAATCCTCAATAAAAATTGCGCAAAGCGGTCGATTCCCTGCACAGTCATGGTGTACTATCAGGCAATCCGCGCGTGACAAATTCATTCAGGAGCAAGCAATAAATGCACGTTCCAGGCATACTATAGGACATACAGAATGGTAATCGGTTCTTTGACATCATACTAAGCAGCAACTTGTGTCCTGATTCCTACTGTGGAACCTTCTCTTTCTTTTCAATGGTGTAAACCCCTCCATACCCAACGCGGACAGACCTTCTCAACACCGCACTGATCACCTTCACTCCCGCAAGGTTGGAAACTTGGATAACGCGACAATGTGACAGCCTTTGTTCTTCTGGCACGGACTGAGCGCTGGATTTCGACACACGTAAGTTGTCGATGGACTGGTGTTTAATTCTTCGCTGATTAATCACGCTTTGCAGTTCAATATGGCGTTTGATAGCCTGATAACCCGTGTATTTTCGTATTTTACAACAAGAGACGAGGCTAACATCGGTGCCGAATACATCTTAAATCGATGTCGCCGAATGTCGGTATGGAGTCCATCCATTGAGCACCCGATGATGAGGCTAACACGACAAACGAAAGGTTATTTTTAAACATCCCTTGCGACGGGCACGGAGGAGGCATGACAGAATTCTAGGAAATAATACGTCGATCGATTGTCATCGCTCTTCGTCAACTCTCCGTACTAGATGGGAACCCCCGCCTCATATTCCGCTGCCATCGTGCTTACTGAATATGAGAAGGTCAGTTTCCGTATGGATCGTAATCTGGATGAGTATCCATCCTCATCGAGGGATGACGACTCATCGGAGAAAACTAAGCCGACGCCAAGTTATTATGTTACAAGACTCATCTGCATAGGATCCGTAAAGGGTCGTGCGAGGGACATTCCCGATACTACGATTAAAAGTGGTATCACTTCTCAATAAGCAGATCCTGCACTCAAAATTCGAACTAGAGGCGTTGATCGTCGTCCTGCTCACTTTATTCTGCTCCAATGACTTATGCATAGTCACTCGTCTCGAGTCCGTAATCTCATTTCACATTCACGGTGCGGTCGGCCTCTTCATGGTATGGACCACCAGTCAATACTGCGGAACACTGCTGACACTTTATTCCTGGCAGGACCTACGGATCTAGTCGTAGATACGCATCACAACAAGCGTGGTATTCGCCCTACCGGTTCACGCGCATGACAGATATGTACGTGCAGCACTTATCCTCCAACCAGAGAACACTAACTTTAAGGGCTAAGTTCTGGTTCGTGTATAGGACTTTTAAAAACTCAGACACGCAGATCTACTGCAAGCCTACGGGCCGGCCACTTCCGTAGCTTAGTCAGCCCGTAGACTTTTTTCACATGTTCATTGTTCCTCTGCAAAGTGCAATTTCAAACCAAACGCTGGACCTGCGGAACATTCAGAGCAGCCTCATATTTGTCTCGAGCCGACATCCAAGACTTCGACAGTCAACAACGTAATTGCGCCACTTGACTTCCCGGCGCCCATTCAAGTATAGTCGCTTAATAACAAGAACCCTTGATCTCCACCGATGGCACTATGCAAGCATCCAACCCCACCAGTAAACGGGGTGCACTATAGAAACTTGTCCCCCTTTTTACTACTTTTTCGCTGAACGCAGAGCGCCGCATCCCGGTTACTAGTGTGCCTGGTGTCCATCGTTGTACCGCACGTGCAATGACATGACATGTGTCTCCCCTTGATGATCCGATGACAATCAGCTGTCGAGCCCACATTCCACACCACTTTCTCCCGTTGCTGCCCTTTTACTGATGGAACCACAAGAACTCAATGACATAATTGGTATTATTTTTCTGGGACTTTGCCATGCCATCGCTAAGCAATGGGACCTCTCACCAAGTACATCGAGAAGGAGAAACAATTCCATAGTCGGAAGGTTTCAAATTCACGCCACTGAGTGTCTTCTATGAATTTTGGCTGACGATAATCAATCTTAAGCAGGGATTCTTGCAACCAATCCCAGAATTATCGGGGAACTCCGCGAAGTTCAAAGATCGTTGACATCTCGAACGTCGTGTTCGCCGTCAGTCTAGAGGTCGGTATCTCGTCATTATATTGGACCCTTGGACCCCCCGACGTCATTTTTTCATAAAAATCTAGTGTGGGCATGTCACCGCAGCGAAGCATCTTACGTAGGCAATCGCGATCCAATGTTTGTGAAAGTTGTCAACTCCGACAATAGCATAGAGTGTCTGACAGTTGACTAGACCGAGGAAGCGAAGAAGTGCATCAATTGGCGTTATTTTTGCGAAGCTACCGGGATAGGGGAAGCCCGAGCTCGAGAAGAAGTGCGAAGTCGTTCCATCTGTTGCACCAGTACTATCAAAAAGAAAGTATTGTCATCAAGATTGTAGCTCCGACCTTCGATACGGAAAGCTATTGATTCTTCCTGGAAGGCTCGAGGCGAGTGGTTTTTGCTTAAAACTTTTCGCGACAGGTGCTGGATGCTGAGTATGTTGCGCTGCAGCCTTCTTCAGGGAACCAGGCTGGTGTGCAGTTGCATGATCGTCCGCAATTAGCACAACAGAACCTGGCCGAAGGGTATCCAGGCAAGTAAACTTACCAAACATCCCTTGACGTTCTGCGTCAAGGGACGTTTGACGAGCTTCGGTACCACGAATTGTAGGTGTAAGTTTGTGTGGGATGAACTGACGAGGAAAAAAGTAGGAGTTCAAATGAACCGTGGAGGTGTCTTACCTGATAACTCTGACCACTGCATTTATAATATACTCAGCGGTGGGTGCATACGAGGTCGAGGATGTGACTTTGACTTACCAAGTTTCTCTTAGCGGATACTCGAGAGCCAATCCACGAACACGCGTGGGCCGGCAGGGGTGATTGGAGAACTCTGATTGAAGCAAAGTCTTGGACCAATCTGTCCGTGTAAACATTCCTATCGCAACGTCTGAACAACTCACCCGTTTCACCTCAAATACTCTCATACAGCGGCTCCGGACGTGACATGAGTGGCTAGCTCAAACACACAATTCGCATGAAGTAGTAGCGAACCTATGAGCGATGGCACAGCAATCTCACATGGTGGGCCTTTACTAGGCCAATTCAGCTCACAGGCCGGACGCCATGCCTAGAGTTGACTGGCGGTTGCAAGGGCGACTGCCACATCTGAGAGTCCAATGCTATTCCTGTCGTCAAATTTCGGGCGGACTTCTTCAAAAGTCGAAGACACGTTTGTCGTCATTAGCAAAAAGTGATGGGTTCCCTCGAGATCGCCCCCCAAGAGACACGCTTGTGGAAAACCGACACCGGGATCCCACAACACTATGATAGCCTACGAATAATCGTGCAAAAATCGTAGTGTATTTCAACGAAAGTTGTACCAAAAAAGGCAACTAGTGCACTGACTTGTTAAAAAGGAATAAGACACCCACGCTCGGAACGGGCCGGTCGTATGATCTCACCGTGGCTGAGCAGCGTATATCACTAGTTGTAAGCATCGATCGACCTGCCCATTATCTCTCTCTAAGACCATCATGACCACCTCTCTCGACCTCCTCAAGCAAACCGGAACCGTTGTCGTATCCGACTCCGGTGACTTCGAATGTATGTTCGCCATCGTCTATCACGTTGATCATCCACTAATAATCTGGTTAATCTTATCAGCAATCGATGTTTACAAGCCACAGGTAATCGCTGCAACGAGTCTATGTTTATTACACCTTTAATTAAACATCGTATTGTTAGGATGCTACCACCAACCCATCCTTGATCTTGGCTGCTGCCAACAAGCCGGGATACTCCCGTCTCATGGATGCCGCCATCAAGTTCGGCAAGAGCAAGGGCGGTGACCTCGAGCACCAAACTAACGCTGCCATGGACCGTCTGGTCTGTCTTTGTCATGCTTGCGCAGGTGATGCTCTTACTGATCTATCTTTATAATCAGCTTGTCGAGTTCGGCAAGGAGATTCTTGCTATCATCCCTGGCCGTGTATCGACAGAAGTCGATGCTCGTCTCTCCTTCGACAAGGCAGCCACCAAGGCCAAGGCAAGTGATGTTGTGACATATGTCGACTAGCTCCTTATACTTTTGATCCGTAGGCTAAGGAGCTCATTGCCCTCTACGAGTCCGTTGGTATCAAGAAGGAGCGTATTCTTATCAAAATCGCAGCGACGTGGGAGGGTATCCAAGCCGCTCGTGAACTCGAACGGGATGACAACATCCACTGCAACCTGACCCTTCTTTTCGGTTTCGGCCAGGCTGTCGCCTGCGCTGAGGCAGGTGTCACCCTCATTTCGCCCTTCGTCGGCCGAGTATGTCCACAACTTACCCGATCTATGTTTCACCACTGATTAATATCTTGCATTCAGATCCTCGACTGGTACAAGAAGTCAACTGGAAAGACCTACGAGGGTGATGAAGACCCAGGTGTCCAGTCCGTGAAGAAGATCTTCAACTACTACAAGCAACACGGCTACAAGACCATCGTCATGGGTGCTTCCTTCCGCAACGTAAGTACTTGTTTGATCATGCATCATCATACGAATCTTACTCTGTTTGCAGGTTGGCGAGATCAAGGCCCTCGCTGGTGTTGACTTCCTCACCATTGCCCCCGCACTGCTCGAGGAACTCAAGAACTCGACCGCGCCCGTTCCCAAGAAGCTCGACGCCCGTGCTGGTACGTACCTTGTGATTTCCATGTAACAAATGACTGAATGTCCTCCTCAGCTGCACAAGCCGAGCCCCTGGCCAAGGTCACTTTCGTCGACGACGAGCCCGAGTTCCGCTGGGCCCTTCTCCAGGACTCGATGGCATTCGACAAGCTCCATGAGGGTATCAAGAAGTTTGCTGAGGATGGCGAGACGCTCAAGGGCCTCCTCCGCCAGAAGTTGAGTGCTTGAGTCTCCGGCGATTGATAACAGGGCAACGAGTAGTTGTAGTAATATTGTAGTGTTCACATAAACAAAATTCACTCGCCAGTTATGTATTTGGCAATAGACTTTTTTTCTGTGCATATCCAACTGCGTTGATAAGATTCAATCAAAATGTGCATGACTGTACATCTTGCGTGTGTGCAATTAGAATGGGGCATATACATACACGTGACTATGTTGCGACGACAGGCAATGAAAGTAAGAATCTAGACGTAAAATAATCTGAGAAGTGACATATTTTGTGGGGTTATCAATCGTCATTACTAGAGACAAGACTGCACATGAAACACGATCAGAACACCCGTCTTCTCCAACGTTACACAGCATCACTCACAATACAGGTACACTTCCAAGAAGCATGCAAAAATGAACGGACGATCGCGATATCGATCGATCATTCAGAGAGCCGATACGCCCTCCTCCCACTCGTCCCTTGTGACGGAGCCCAGATCGCGGCACACAGGGCACGCCACCTTCACGTGCGGTTCCGCTTTATCTTCCCCACCCCATCCAGCAACGCGCTCCGCACTGACCAAACACGCAGGGTGGAATGTATGCGCGCACAGAGATCCCACTCCAGGATGCAACAAGGGATGTATCGAGAGCTGTTTCATCGGCTCAACGAACATCTCTGGGATGGGTTCTTCATCAGACGGGCCAATGCCACACGAGGGGTCGTAGCACCGCAAGCCTGCCTCACGCTCCTTCTGCTCCACGCGTTGCCGCAGCGAGGGGCCCGGGGCAGCAGGTAACGTCCATGTCTTCCTTTCCCGGCGCGGAGGCATCGGACGCGTCGGGCGGAGGGGGTGGGTATGCGGGATATTGAATGGTGGTATCGGCAGGGGTGCACCACCTGGAGGGGGTGGAGGTGCATTAGCAGGAGCGGCCTGTGCTCCATCAGCGGGTGGCTCCTGCGCCTGTGTAGGCTGGCCCTGTGGTGTGGCTTGGCCGTTGTTGAAGATCGGGATGGGGATGAAGGTGCGCGTAGCACTCTGGATGAGATTGTTGATGAAGTTTTGGAACTCCTGGGGTACTTCGCCACCAGGCGCTGCCTGACCCGGCATTGGTCCTGGAGCTGGCCCTGGAGGTTGGTTCTGCGGCTGCTCCCGGGCCTCATCTCGAGGCTGAGGCTGAGGCTGCCCCTGTGGGTGAGGCTGCTGCTGCTGTGGCAGGGGCATGTCTGCGGGCAGCCCCTCGTCGAAGAAAAAATCAAGGCCGACAGTCACGAATTCGCCTACTTGCGGCCCGCCGAAGGGACGGGTTTCTGCAATGTTAGGAAGGGACTGCGTGCGGGAGCGAGGAAGAGGAGGAGGGGGTGGCATGGGCCCCGCCCCAGCGGGAGCAGCTCCTGCTCCACGACGAAAGAAGTCCTGGAAACCATTCCCTCCGCCAGGGAACTGCAGGAAATGTACAGTCGCTCCGGGGCCTACAGGCACGCCGTTCGATAGGGTGAAGCGCTGGCCAGCCTGGCCAGGATTGAAGAAATTAGGGGGAACTTGGTTAGGTGTAGGCTGAGGCGCTGCAGTAGCTGCAGGTTCTGGGGCAGCGGGTCCTGCAGGCGGAGGAGCGGCGGCGGCGGCTTGCTCGGCGGTAGGAGCTGGTACGGGTTGTGCAGCATTAGGCGGAGGAGCGGGAGCTGCTTGTGCGGCACCTGGCACTGGCTGGGCAGCAGGAGCAGGGCCATTTGCTTGTGGAGCTGGACGAGGCGCTCCAAAGTTGAAGGGGGGACGAGGAAGCGGTGAACTAGTAAGGTTCTCAGGATCGATGTTGAACCGACATGTCGGACACGTCGCTTGCTTCGCCCTCGTAAACCAGGGAAGCAAACATGATTCGTGGAAGACATGAGCGCAAGGAAGGGAGACGATTTTGGCTTCGCCGGGGACGTATGATTCTGATGGAGAGTCGGAGCTTTGGGAGTCGGTGGGCATCGATGCAGACGTAGAATCAGTGCTCATCGGCACATTTGATTCTGCTTCGGGTGTAGTCAATGTTTCGGTGCTAGCTTCAGCTGACTCCTCTGGAGCCTTCGGTTTGAAACTATCACTCTCGGCATCCAACAAAGTATCCCAGCAGATTGCGCATCCTGGAGAGGAAGAGTCGGTTTCTGTACCATCTACGTGGCCGCCAGGTGCACCACCAACTCGTTCCAACCGCTTCACGAGCCCTACGGGTACGGTCTCCAGTCCAGCAATGAGCTTCTTTGCTCGGTCAGGATCTTCCCGATTATCATCAAGCCCCCCGAATTGCTGCATTTGCTGCAAGAAATCTGCGAACGCTTGGAGAAAATCATCCCGACCTCCGGCATCTGGCTGCGCGTTTGCTTGGCCAAATGGGGGCGGAGCAGGGCCAGCTCTATTCTGATTCGGAGGACCTCCAAGAGGTATCGTGAAAGTAATACCTGCAGTTAAGATAGGCACGACAAGATGTGCGCCACCAGGGTTTGGATTATTGTGAGGTCGCGGAGGATGGGCAACGCCCTCACCAGTATGTTCTACCGTGGGATTCTCACCGCCAGGACCAGGTCCCGGAAATGTGTTACCACTAGGCATCCCATTCATCCCAAATAAGGGACCGAGGAAGCCATCTAAGAATGCCTGGTTGCCCGCGGGTGGGTGCTGCTGGGTGTTAGAGGGCTGTGGAGGAGCGATAGGAGGTGAGGCAGGACGACCTACACGCTCTGATGGATGCCTACGGTCCCGAGCTTCATCTACATCGTCCTCCACGCGAGCACGTCTGCTCCCAGCAATAGGCTCGAGCGGTGGTAGATCATCTTCATCATCTGTCCATTCACTGTCATGGTCATCATCGACAGCCAGGAAATTAGGTACTGTCTCTGCATGCGAGGATTGGCTGTCGTCCGACTCATCAGAGTCTGTCACGGAGCGCAGCTCAGGCATGGAGCCCTCATCGTCATCATCGTCATCGCGGGCGGTGAGTGTTTGCAAGGATGAAACGCTGGAAGCTAGTGGCATATCTACGTCTTCTGTGGATGATCCAGACTGGGAGGTCTGAGCTGCGAGTGGTAGGGCAGATGTTTCTGGAACGGGAGTCCTGTCGCGATCTACGGCAGGCGCGTGAGCGTCTATAGGCTCGAGCGGGGGCGCGTCAGACATGACGACTTCCTGTGTAGAGTCCTGTTGTGCAGGATGACTGTGATTGTGGGAGAAAGCCTGGTTTATATTCCGAAATACGTTCTGAAGTGAGGTTGGTAAATGGAAGTTGTGCCCAAACCGATGACTGCGACTATCGTCATTACCGCCGTTACCGTTATCCATGGCGAAACTGTGCTCTACGATGTACGCAGTCGTAGAAAAGAAAGTGGTAGTGGTGGTACAGGTTGCAGTGGAGGTGGAGGTTGTAGAACAAGAATGAACGGACAATTGGGCTCTTGGTCCAGTGGGTGAGCAATCTTGGTCTACCACAGCGTGACAATGCCGTGTTGATGACTAATCACATCCTGTAGCATTCCAGTAAACACCAGAATATTCCCTATCTGCGTCTGACTCCCAGTTCGGACAAACGTCGAGCATAATTTAAGAGGGCAAACTTCATTCATGCACAATAAGTACCTACAATAAGTATATAAGGGATATCATATAATGTCTCATTGCGCCTTCTTCCCCTTTCCTTTCCCCTTCCGCTTCTGCTTCTGCTTTTTGACGTACTTGAGCACGCTCGGCACGCCGAACTATGTCCTCGGTATCAGCCAACGCCAAATACAAAACCACTCAATGAAGAAGAGAGGCACTCACCCTGATCGCCGGATATAACACCAGCAATATTCCCCCGATCATCCACGCCCACCGAACATATAATGGAAGCGGTTCCGTGAACTGACCCTTGCTCCATTTAGTGATGACCAGAAGCTCGGTCAGGATCGTGGCTAGAAGGAGCCAGACATGTTGCCCCATCCGTTTCGCTTTTCTAAGAGCGATAGGAAGTGAGAATATATCCGGCACGATAGTCATTAACAAGCATACGCACCTCGGGTTATTTATGTATTGGTAAAGCTCTCGCACAGCAGGCAATGCGCAGAGAAAGACGCCTGCAAGCCGTAGGATCACGATCGGATGATCGGGTTCCATCCAAAGGAGACTCTAAGGCTTCCGTGAGAACCGCATCAAGGGGAACCAGCGTATCAAGTTCGCCCACCTTGAGATAGAATGGATTCAACTCCGCAGCAAGAAAGACTGCAAGAAGCAATACGACGATCAGATAGTGCAAGAATGACGTAGTCCCCTCCCATTTGAATGCCGTCCAGTCGTGTGGGGAGAACTGGCTAAGCACGCGGCGAGCCTTTGATCGCAGTCCCCTGGTTTGCCGTAGTCCGCGCCATTCGTAAGGCTGAAACAAACGTGCGCTTCCAGCGCCCACAAACGAAATGGAAGCCACTGCTCACCTTCACTTCCAAATACTGGCAAGTCTTCATGCCTATCATGTCGCATTAGCGCCCCAGATATTTCACACCCGAAACACCTGATACCCACCCAGATAAGTCCCTAGCCAGTTGCAGACTAGAACATCAAGTATCCACTGCGGAAACAACATTATCAAACGTCACGTTCAAGGAGATGGTGGCTTACATGGTCCCACCAGCACTGTCAATTCCCAAGTTTAGAATAAACACCAACGGGTAAGCAATAAATCCGACAGACCTCAGCAAAGTTCGCAAGTTGATGCTGCAGGCTATACTCTGCAAACTCGAATGCAATGCTCAGTATCTAAAGCCAAGATATGGATCCGTAAAATCAAATACAAGATAAATTAAGAATACCCAACAAAACCAGTAGTCGCGCAATATCATGGCCTTGCCAAACCAGCCCAGAGCATGTGCTAGACAAAATATATCAATCGCATCCTGTAGACCTATCAATACCTATGTAGCAATGTTAAAAATACCCTCACCCATATGTTCTGCGGCGTCAATTCGCAGTTTTCCGCATAGCTCTTCTCAGGTAAAAGCCGGTTCAACGAAGGATCCAAAAGCGTCATCATTTGTCGCGCAGAGTTCAGATCTTGGAATAGCAGGAATACGAGCGCAAGCTCGTAAAGCAAATTAATTCCAAGTATTGCACGCCAAAACGCAGGATGGGGACGAATGAATGGACCGTCCCGGAATTGGATCATCGAGAACAGGAGGAATGAGACTACTGCAGCATAAGCGCCCCTGTTGAAGAAGATCATCGGCGGTTAGTTACTATTAGACTTGACACAAATACATCATTCAAACTCACACACGCCGCTTGTCCCCACCTTCTTCTAGGACGTCCTGGGTCATGGCCACATAGCTCAGTGCAGCCATGCCAACGCCGAGTGCAGTTAGCGTGATTGGCTTGTAGAAGAACCTAAGAGCTATGAGCACACTAAACCATCATATTGCTCATTACTCACTCTACAGAAGTATCGTGCCACTCTTGGAAAGGCGCGATCCGCGTGTACGACTCTGTTCTATCCGCCTACGTCATAATTCCCACTTAACCTTTTACTGTAAGTTCCAAACTCGTTCACTCACATCATACCCTATGGAGATCGCTCAACCCGTGTAGCACCACAAAAAAACCGGGGCTACTCACAGCGAACAGGTTTACCATTGATTCCGGGCTCCGGATTAGCATCAGGAGGTGGTGAAAGTAGCGCGTCGGGGTCTGATTCCTCCACTGGAGAGGTATGTGACACATCCTCGGCTTCGGGAGCCATCGCGATGTAGGCCTAGTACTGGTTTGAAAACAACGCACTGGAGCTTGCTGGAAGCTTGCCCTACTCGTTTCATTTCTGCTGGTGACACGTGAGCAAGGTTACCAATTAGGATCAGTTTGGATGGAATTCAACGACGCTGGGACCAATTTGCGAACCGACTTGTTGCAATGAAATTTGGTGACCTTGCACTATGTCAAGTTGATCATACATTGAGGGATGGCAACTTGAATATCTCCCAAGCCCCTATAGAGGAGGAAGACAACCTTCCCTTCTATTGTTATAATTATCCAGCATCGGACCATGGCCCCCTATGACGAACGGCATAGCCCTGGGCGTATCGACGGCGAACAGAGGCAAAGTCTCACGTAGGTGAACCAAATGACGAGTGTTGGAAACATCTGTACATATGCGGTCGATACGGGAACTAATTTATCATCCCTAGGCTTCCATTGTCTCTGCCAACGGTATATCATATATGGAACGTCCATCATTGATCAATCAATCGAACATCATCTGAAAAGAGGCACGTGAACAGCACACAAGCATTGGGCAAGGCCAGGTACCGAATGATGAATCGAGTGGACAAATACTTTGCGAGAGCTCGCTCGAGAGTCTTACCGTGGTAGGCGCTTTTGGTTCTATGATAGAACGCAGCCTTGGCTCGTTCTGGACTCTTGTGGTCATGCGACATCAACCTGCCCCAATTTGCAACTGACGGCGTGACGACTGCAAACCAGCTGCCGAAACCGTCCCCGCAAATGAATTGTGTGCGCAGTGAACAGGTTGTAATAGGTAACAAGATGTAATGTTCTGCTCTGTTCTTGTTCCGTCGTAATCAAGTAACGCTGACGGAATAATTCTTTACATCAGTGCCTGGTCGCTGGCTATAAGGTCTCGACTGCATTTTCAAACCGTGAACCCCAATTGAAATGTTGGCATTTTTCATTCATTCATTCATTCATTCCATCACCCCTCCCCCGGGTCAGCACACTTGGTTTGCAATTGGCTCTTTTAATGATATACATCCCCAGAAAGGTCGATCATCATCGCTATGTAGTGGAGCCTCATCATCGACCACACTAGTACTGAATCGCCGTCGAGAGCTAGTCGCAATCGGAGCTGGCCCCTCTCCCCTACCCACCCAGCGCCTCCACTTTTACCCATATCCGTCAAGATTAATTCATTTCACCCTCGTTTTCTCATCAGAAAAACAGCTACATGCGGCCAATTGGATTCTCCGACGCCATCACGCCGTGCCAGCAAGTTTGTTATTCTGCCAACCCGGATCTCCGGCCGGCCTTATCGGGACAACCGTCGTTCGGATGCATACTCGCTCCTCGTTTAATGGTTTCATTTCGCGAGCTGTGCGTGCATGCATGCATGCCTTGCACGCATGCGAACACAAAGAATGTAAGATCGTGTCAGCGCTCGAAGTTCCTCTGCGGCCTTGTGCTCCACATGACGAGAGTCATGGGGCATCCCCAGAGAATCAAGTTTCGAGGTACGAAGGGGGCGTTGCAAGAATGAATGAATTCGAATAATACACCCGTTTCGACGCAAGCGGGGATGGGCGAACGGAGAAGTCTGATAAATGGGTCGTTTCATGACACATCCCCATGATACATTAATGTCAGAACCAATGGTGATGGACACCCGTTTGATACTTATCGGTGAGAGGTTTCTTCTCCGGGTGCTTCGCTTCGGTGGTATCAAAACAATGACAATGTTTCCATCCGCGACGGACCATTTAGTGCATCTTTGCTATTCTTGTTTAGTTCTCTGATATCTTGACGCGACGGCGGTTAAAAACGTGGACTAGGAGTACCGAAACTGGTCGTAGTATGTAAACCTGTCCGGTTTTCGCAATGGGAGTTGAAAAGATATTGGAGCATGTTATGACAAGTTCCACAGGATCACGGTTAGGCGGTGCTTATCTATGCAGTCCTATGGATATCGCTGTCCGGCGGTGCGACAGAGAAGTAAGTGGGTAGAAGTCCCCTACATACGATCGTCGTGGGGTTCATATTCTGCCAAGACATTTAGTGCAATAGAGGATTGTCGATCAGTCAATTGAATAATTGAGTGCGCGATCACATCACATCACTGTGGGTCGAGGTTTGTGGTTCTTCTTCCGTCACGACTTGCTATCAATACAAGGAATATGACGTCCCTGCACATCCTGACTGACCTCTCCGCTTCATTTCGCGCATTAGCTTCTCGAATTTCTAAGTAGAACGGGTACATATCTGAATGGTACATCGATACATACTAGGAGACGTAGTAGCCGCCGGTGAACTTTCCACGTAACCGGTGATGGAATGCTGTCCTCGGATTTCCTCCTGACGATCCTCGGCGCAGGAACGAGGTACCTGAATATGTGCCAGCGTCATTTTGGCGATCTCACGCCATGCGCGGCCCTGAAGGAGCCAACTGGGGAAGGTGCGTGGCAGGGACCCCGGATAATACCAGAGAATTTTGATCCCGGGGACGGATGCGTTTGTGGAAAGTCCGTCCGTCCGGATTACGGGTGGGAGTGGGTGGGAGTAGGGGAATCCGTGAGCTGGGTTTCGAAACCTTTTTGCGCCACGGGAGGGATTTGGTGAGCTGATTTTGTCGTGATTGGGTGATTCTCCGCTTGTCTTGTGGCTGTCAAGAGTTGCAGCCGACGAGTCACCCAGTGACGCCAGTGGGAATGGTAAGTCAGAAGGCATGCCAGACTGCCAGTGCATGTTGATGCCGTCGCCGTGAGAAAATGAGAGTTTATGTTGGAGGCGGGATTTAGCGTCATCGCTAGCAATAGAAGTGTACTGACTTGAAGCAAAGTCATGTACCTCTTTGAAGCGTGTCATGTACGCTGGCGCCACGAGACTCTGCGTCGTGACTAAAACTCGTTCAACAAGTGGTTCCCGTTGTCGGACCTTGAAGGAAGGGCAACCGCGTTTATCCGGACCGAGTGATATCCGGGGTCCTTTAGTTGTTTTGAATTGTACTCTCGCGGGATTTTACAATAATTGAACATTAAGGAACCCTCTTCCTCGAACTTGTTGGCGATGAGGGATACGAGGCCAGTAGTCCCCATGTGCTCGAGAATGGGTTGATGATAGCTACGGCGGTATTCATTTGAAGCGATGACTCGGAAAGTTCCCTGTAGGCGAGCGGGTTATTCCGCGACGGAATCGAATTCGGTGTTCTCCATGATTAATATTTTTGCCTGAGGATGTACAGTGATAGTATACAATGTGGAATTTATTAGAAAAGGAAGATCAAAGCCAATTGATTGGTAAGTTCTTGGTTCAAACTCAACTATGGTGGCCGACTATAGCGGATCCTTTATGGATGGATATGTGGAGTCCAATCTTGACAATTCAAGTATTAGGGCGGGCAATGCAATGCCACTCCGAGCTAAGACGTAAGGGTGAGGACGAGTGTCCCCGTGAACTGATTTAGGTACTGACCTCTGTGCTATGCTACTTGTAACGCGACCATGGCTGTCGCGGCGGCGTTCGCTGAGATTTAATTCTCTAGTTCACATGTGATGGGAGGCTAATCAGATTTCCGAGGTCACACTGCTTTTGAATTTAGACTCGAGTTCAAAGTCGACTGTCCGAATTGGGTATCCGCTCACACGTTGTATTTATGTCACTGCCGAGACTGGAAGGCACCTTGTACAGGGCTGGATCCCACAGACAAGTCCACTCTTTTTCGCGAACAAGTCTCCATCACGATCTTAGATCTAGAATCGTCACTTACTTAATGCTACATAAGAACTAGCCTTTATTCTCTTAATCATCTTCAATCTCCTTCCCTCTTTTTTTTTTTACATGTCCACAGCTGATTCTTATCCACTTCAACTAAAAGGCGAAATCATGGATCTCGAATTCACTGTAGATACTGACCATCGTAAGAGGAGGCGTAACAGAACAACTCAGTCATGTCTCAACTGCCACACCTCAAAGAGAAAGGTTCACCCTCTCTCACAACCGAAATCCCCCCTCCTCTGACAAACAACAAACCAGTGTGATAGAAAACGTCCTTGTCAGCGTTGCATACAACTCGGCCTAGTATGTCAACTCAACAACGACCCCTTCTCACATTAACTCTTTTTCAGACCGGCCTTTGTGTCTATGAGATCGATGACCCAGCACTCAGGTTCGTGTCTTTGTGGCGTTGGGTTCACTTTATCTTATAAAATCAGAGATGATCCCACGATCGATGAAGCTACTCGTTTGAGAAACAGAATCGCAGAACTCGAAAGTCTCGTCAGGGAGTTGCGTGGTCCGTATCCCCCTCCATTTCACTAAACACACCCCTTACATCTCTACCAGGTAAACCACATCCTCGATGGGCTGATGCAAATTTCCGTGACGGAGATCCCTCAGAAAGATGGCATTCACGAGCTGCCAAGAACAACATGCAACTCAGACGACGCGGTCGGTCGGACGACGTACTAGAGCGTTCAAACCAAGAACCCCGCGGCTTGGTTTCAGCCGCTGGCGCTCCCATCAAAATTGAACCCGTCACAGATATCACTCAACCTCATCTCTATCGCTTCACGCCGTCGCCTCCCGCTAGTTATTCTGCTTTTCATTCAGATAACTCTTCATCCCCTCCATTCGAGCGTCAAAACGGTCATCATTACAGCAACAGCTTACCAACTAATGGGCGCTCCATGCCGTACTCTTCCCCCACATCCAATCAGAACATGACGTATAGCCATCACCATACCGACTCCTCGTTTCAAGAAAATGGGCACGTCTATCCGATGAACTCCGCCGAACAAGATAAAGTTTTTGCCAACCACTTCTCAGAATCCCCCGTCGCCCATTCTTTTTGTTCCTGCCGAACAAATCCTGCAACTGGTCACGCCCTCATTTCTCTCAGTCATCAGCTCCAAAGCACCCTCAACTCATTACGTCAGTATGCCCAGCATCCCGAGAATACCCAGTGCCAGCTGTTCAGGCGTATCATTGAATTACATGATCTTATGCGGTGTGTTGTCCCTGTCTTGCCTCGCGGCGACCTCGTGTTCATATTAACTAATTTGTTTGTGGTGAGAACTAGTGGTAATGATCCGGATGAGGCATCGGGATCACCATATGGAACCCTTCCCACACCTACTGAAAGCGACATTTTGTCGTCACATTCGTCCTCAAGTACCCCGTTCCACGGATCCTCATCAGCTTCTGTATCAGAGTGGAATGCCATGGCTTCTTCGAGATACAATCCCTACTTCCCCGTGTCCCCGACTGAACAGGGTCTGTATAGTAATATCATCACATGAACGGGGATCCGTTCCATCGTGAGCCTACGCCTCCCCAAATATATTTACATACTCTCGTCACGCTGGCTTTGACGATGTTATGATGATGATGTCTGTCTATCTTTCGTCTCTTGTGCCTTAGAGTAGCAAAACTACAGCACTTGTACATTACATATCTGTACTATCATCATACAAAGTGCGGCGAACTACATAGACATCATTAATCCAAGTTGAACCGGAATTCACGTTGCGAGGTCGGATCTGACAGCACAGGCTTGGCATCGACTAGTTTCCACCTATCTCGCTCGATAAACAACACCTCCCCAGTCCGCTTTATTAGTATCACCGTCGAAAGGCGCGTTCCGTAGTATCCGTATATCTCATGCATTACAAACGGTTCTACTTGCACCGTATTCCTCAGCTCAGAGCGTGCGCTTGGCGGGTGATCCGACTTCCAACTGGGAAAAATGGCCAAAGTAAGACAAAGATCTAGAGGGCTAGGCTTAAGACGCAGTCTGAAATACCCACGTCAACATTTCAAAGAGATTTTCGGCTAGTTCCATCTCCGGTATGCGCGGCCTGGCCGTGTTCATGATCGATTTAAACGAATGAAGCCCGTGTTGGACTTTTGGCCATGTTCCAGCGTCTGGTTCTGGTCCATCAATCCCATTTGACATGCCCCCGCTGCTTCTTTCGGCGGGTGTGGATGCCCGGGTTGTGATCGTCCCTCCTCCACCGTGGTTGGTGACATATGTTGAGTTGAATGATAAGCTGCGGTTGGGTCCGTCACGGGAAGACCAGAACGGCGTCAAGAGTAATAAATTAAACCCTGCGTATTTGTCCTCACGAGGGATAAGAGCGTCCGCGTCTGCGTCCCCATCGCCTGACAAAAGAAAAGAGGCAACGAGGTCACCCCTGGAAGAACCATATGTCCCGTACTCTTCTGTGATGTTCGTTCTGTGAGAAAAAAAAGAAAGAAAGAGGGGGTGTGGTCAGGGGCGTGCGTTCTGGTGAATGTGTGTGGGGCGAACTGACAAAAAGGCAACTCGTCCGGTCCGAGTGACACCTAGCCAGGTTCCACCGGCACGAACGTCAACGCCAGAGAGAACGTTTTCGTGTTCGGTTCCCTTTCCTGATTCTAATCCTTTTTCTTTTCTTTCTGGGAGGTGCTTATCGAAGGAGTGAAAACAGGCCGGATCCGTGGCTCGGTCGAGGTATTCGTCACGGTTGCTGCAAAGCACACTTTTTTCATTCATTCAGTCATTCATTCATGTAGGCATGTAGGCATGGGTATTGAATTGTTGGTTTGTTGCGTTGAACATTATAGATCAATATCAATGATATGTCATGATAACGTATAGCGAGACGTACAGGGCATATTCCGGATGCTCGAGCGTATAGAAGCCAACGCACATTAGAAATCTTTAATTGATGGGGCTGCAATTCGGGTTGTTGTTGTTATCGTTGGAGTGATTTATTTTCAGGTAGATGACAATGACAATGACAACGACAATGAGGTGCGCGAACTTGCGATCACCGCTTGAAATCAGCCCATCAAATAATGAGATCAGATGAGTGTGCGTTTACTTGCGATGACTGGGATGTGAGCCTGTGAATCTCACGTATGTTGGGGGAAAGTCAACGTCAATACTGACCTTTTCCTTCGGAACGCCGGTTGTTTGAGTCTCACTGTGGGTGCGTTCCTCTGCTTGAGGATCCCTGCAGAGCGAGCGATTAGAGATTCAATGAAGGGTGATTCTCATAAGAAATAGTAGACTCTTGGAGGGAATGGCTCATTGAGGCTCAGGCCGTTCTCACGCACGCCGAGTTGACGTCCACGCGGGTCCTCAAAGTTTTGATCGCCGTTGGCGCACTCGCAGGACCTTTCACCCCGTCGTGAGCTCTGAGATGCAGCCTCAGACCACGGTCATATTGGATAATGGTGCCTCTTCAATCAAGGCTGGTCTAACCAGAGGACCTGAGGGAGATGACGACGACCAACCCAAGTAAGACTAAGACTGTCTGCTTTTGAGAAAACGCCTTGACGCCAGCGGAAACTCCAAAGATTGGTCCCAAACGCCATCGTGCGCTCAAAAGGTGATAAGACAACGTATTTCGGCCATCAGTTGGAACGATGTCGAGACTATTCTGCGCTTCATTACCGTCTGCCTTTCGAAAAGGTTCGTGATCAAAAATGTCATTCTTTTGTACAAATGTGTCATTATCTGTGGAAGCGCTGCAGGGTTATCTAGTGGACTGGGATGCGCAAAAAGCTGTTTGGGACGGCGTGTTCTCGTCCGAGGTTCTGAACGTGCGTCCCTCCCCTTGGTTCTGGTTCTGGTTCGGGCTTGATGAAAACATTGTGCTTGGCACCATTCCAGGTAGACACCGCCGAGTCCTCGTTACTTATCACAGAACCGTACTTCAATCTACCGAATATCCAAGATGTTTACGACCAGTTTGTCTTTGAGGAATACGAGTTTCATTCCTATCACAGATGTACACGTAAGTTGCATCGTTTCGGCCCTCTTTCGCATCAACTGAGCCTTTTGTAAGCGGCTGCAACGATCCCCTTTGGCCATCTCTTTCAAGCGGGCGGACCTTCACCACCCGAGTGCCTTGTTGTCATCGACTCAGGGTTCAGCTTCACCCATGTAGTACCTATCATCAACCATCAAATACAATGGTATGCCGTGAAGAGGTGAGTTATGTGAATGAACCAGAAGATTACCGCTTATATGGTTAGACTCGATGTAGGCGGCAAGTTACTAACTAACCAACTCAAAGAACTCGTCTCATACCGCCAGTGGAATATGATGGATGAAACTTACATCATGAATCACGCCAAGGAGACATGTTGTTATGTGTCTACGCGATTCTTCGAAGACCTCGAGACCTGTCGGTAAGATCATGTCCGTTTAGCGATCGCGCAATCACACATTACCTAACCCCCTGAAAAGCTCGAATCCTAAAAAGAACATCATAGTTCGGGAGTATGTACTGCCAAATTTCTCAATCAACAGACATGGCCGCGTCAGGCTTCCCAACGAGGAGTTATCGGCCACTGACCAGGTCCTTCACATGGAAAATGAGCGATTTACAATTCCTGAGTTATTATTCCGTCCCGATGACATCGGTCTGTTCTGATCACTTTGTATACCGCACCACCAAATTAACAGCATGATCTTTAGGTTTAGAACAATCGGGGCTGGCAGCAACGGTGGCTGCGTCTATCTCGCTCCTTCCTCATGACCTTCGAGGCATGTTTTGGGCGAATATTGGTCTGATCGGTGGTAGTACCAACTTCCCAGGATTTTACGAGCGATTGTAAGGCCCTTTATGTCATGAACTTATCGAGACAATAATAGTACTAACGAACTATCCGCAGATCATCCGAGCTGCTGTCACTTACCCCTATCGAATATGATCTGCAGATATATCGATCAGAAGAGTGCGTCCGACAGTCACTGATCATTTTTTTTCTCCATGTTCAACGCGATGATACATTTATCAGCGCTGTGACAGAAGCTTATCGCTCCGCACTTGCTTTTGCCAATGATCCTGCGTTCTCTAAGAACGTTGTTACGAGGGATGAGTATTTTGAGAGCGGGAGCAATGCCTCGCGGAGGAAATTCCATGGATGGCAGTCGTCTGCTCCTCCTGGGGATACGGATATTAGCAAAACGACTCAGGAGTCGGTGATCGAAGAACGGGGTCAGCTAAGTCGGAAGCCTAGCCGTCCACGAATACGCACGACCTCTACATCTGGCCGCCGAAGATAGAGGAATCCAGACCTCCGGTATTTGTGGGTCGACTACATTTAGATGTATACATTTACACTGAAGCTTGGCACCCTTAGGCGGAGGCGTGAGCTGATGTCAAGTCTCCATATTTGTACATTCAACCATAGTATCTGCATATAGATGTAATAAGTATACAACTTCAAAACGCCGATTCAAGCTACTCCTCGTCAAGGGCACTGGATTCGTGATCGCTTGGCATGTTACCCGCGAGGATACTAAAGATCATTTCCAGTTAGTCAGAACCAGGAACAGATCAACAAGACATCGCTAAATGAGTCACCTTTCAAGAGAGGCGACATCCCCAAGCAAGCTCAGAGGTTCCTTTGTGTTCGGATGATTCCTGATATCAAGCCAGATCTCGGCCGGTAATGCGAAGGACGCCACCGAAAGCTTCGCTAGCGTGTCTTTGGCTTCATCGTCCAGTTTTGCATGTACGGATTCCAACCGGGTATAATCTTCTCCCGCCTTATCCTCGAAGCGCTCGAAATCTTCGTTACACAGTTCGAATACTAGTGCGGATTGGTTTGTCCGGCAGACACGAAGGCGCACCCCAAATGTCGTCCACTGCTTGTAGTCGGTCCAGGGGAACAAGATCTTCGTCTGGAGGTCAGATCTGTCATTCGTTACAGTGCTGCTAATGGGGATGAAGAAGTCCTCAACCACTGCCAGTGATGGAAGTGGCGTATCTCTGGATACAAAGTGGACGATCACGTCTTCACAAGTACTGCCATCCTCTTCGTTCCAATGCACGAGGGATGCAGTGACAAGCCCGAGGTAGCGCCCGGGGTTGTACTCGCGGATTCGGCGATGGATCTCGGAGTCTTCTGGGTATTGTTGTGCGATCTCTTCCGTTGCTAACCTGAAGGTGATATATGTCCCTGGGCATATTTTTCCGCTTGTGCGGGTTTGCGGAGGTGCGAATGTGTCAAAGGATGCTGTGAAGCCATCTGCAGATAGGCTCTCGGAGGTGCTGTGCTGCCGCGCAGAGGAAAAACCCTCAAACGACGTGTAGGCGCCAGCGCTTGGACATTCGGCACTAGACGGAATCCAGTAGGTGCTCGAAAAAGATGGTGACAGTGGCGATAATGGTTGGAGGCGTTGTTGTGGCATGTTGATGGACAGGTGATGCAGTGATGACGGTTAGTCTGGTACTGGTAAATTTGGCAGTGCCGCTCTAATTTATGTGTTTTCGGAGGTCAAAGTGGTGTGGAAGCCAGCTGTGGTGCTTGCGCCCACGTCAGGGCCCAAGCGTTGTGGCAAGATCTGAACAATAGTGCGAATGTCTGTTGATCATTTCAAAGCGTGTCTCACTTTGATGGGGCTTTGTTTGATGGTCCACCTCGCACTACCCAAGCGTCTCCACAGTGAGCGGAGTGTCACGTAAGTCCGATATGGGTTGTTCTACATCGAGTGTTTGCATTCCTCCAAGGTTGTGGACACCCTAGGCCTATTGGGCCCACGGGTCCGGGTACTCTCGTCGGCCCACTGATTGTAACGGCGGTGTTCCACTAATCTATACCGTTCTACAATAGCCGCAGTGTATAATTACTCCTGTCAGGGTGACAAGATAACGGGGGGCGTGCTATTTCATTATTATTTTTCTCGCAGCTTTGTAATCTCCACTTGCAGAAGATATCTCCGCTCACGTCCTATGATACCAAGAAAATGAAATCAGTACCTTTTCCTTGGTTGTCTGGAAGGACTGTGCGTGTGATCTTCATCGCAGATCATGGTCTCGGCCCCTCGATTTCGTCACGGTGCTCGTCAGTGTCCCCCCGGATTTTCTGGATGACGGTAAATCTGCGCCCATTAAACACCATGAGGACTGCTGGTCATTTCAATTTCGATGCCATGACGTGCACGTATGCCGTTCGCTTCACGGGGGGCTATGGAACGTTATAAATGATAGCCTGGTGCGTCGAAGCAACAGACAGGTTTTGGGGATTATGCTTTTATTCGAAGTAATATTGTGCTGTTAACGTTGATAGGAAACTCTGCAATCATCGACCGATGTCGTGGTACACATGATATCGCTCATCTCGCCAACGTTCCGTCAACTTTATCACTCGCCAATTCATGCTCAAAGATACTCACCCCTATGGAAGGAGCAACATTGCGTTCCTCCTAATGAAGACTCGACGCCCAGGAAACGTCCACGACACCATGCCGTACGAACAATCAACGCCCAACGTCACAAGCGTCAACGTTCCAGCATAACCCCGGAGACTATTTATGCACTTTCCTGCTATAGTCCTGTCTTTAACGTCAACCTCCCTCGCTAGCCAGACCTATTGAAGAAGAAACATTGCGTTCCTTCTAATAAAGACTGGACGAAACGAGAACAAGGCTCCATGCTCCATGTGTGCATAGCGAGCCAAGCGACCGGAGTGCCGTTTGCAATATCACATTTTCTTTGTTTGAAAAAATCCCGTTCTACCAATGTGTCCTCTTGGAGCTGGCCCTATATGCAGACAGCATTGGAGTAAAATTTACGTGTCCCGTTCAATTGAGTTGACTAGGTATGAAAAACCTCGTTCATTGTCATCTTGGGGTTTTGCCCCATGCAGACGCTCGCGACCTGTACCGGTGAAGGCTAATGCGCTAATGGGGCGAAGAGCTGTGGAAGCGCAACTTGAGCCCTCTCCTTGGTAGTACTTGTGGTGCTATATTTATGTGCACCGCGGACATGATGTCTATGACCTTGCAGATCCGCGCCCAATCACATACGAACACAACGTGCAAGATCCGACGAAGGCCAACAGTACCACAGTGTAGCGAATCTGGTAGATATGATGCCCAGCAGCCTTGAGTGCACGCGACTAGCACCACGATTGAGATTATTAGCACACAGTATTGCACACTCCCATCGATCGAATCATTGTGGGATTGTACTTTACTATGCAGCATGACTTCTTCTGGTCCCTGGTATGAGGAGTCCAGTCCCAATTTTGATGTTATTTAATAGGCGATTGAAATTCGCGTTCTTTTGTGCAAAGCAGACTCGGAGAGCGATGTAGATCTCGAGGCTCCACATTCCGGCTGCGGGAAAGGCACTTCCGCATCGCACACATGGTCTTGCGTCTTGCAAGGCAGGGGTGACTTCAACCAGGAAGGGCAAGATACGAACAATCCGTAGAAGGCGCTCGATCATGCTCGATATTCCAGACGAGATCTGGGTGTGGAGGAGGCAGCCAGAAGTAGACATTCTCGGAGATTGATATAAAACCTTGATGAATGAAAGTCTGGTGCAGACTCTGCAGAACGGCTAACCGCCAAACAGCAAGAGCTTGTGAGTGGAACTTTCAGGGTGGGTAATTGAACTTCATTCAAGTTCAAGTTGAATATTGAAAACTGACTCGGAATTAAGCGACCGTGAGACCGAGTCCGCGCCAAGAGCAACACGATGGCAGTGATGCACCATGTAGAAGGTTCCTGCCGCAAAGTTCCTACTAGAATTTCATGACAATGCGCGATCAGCGCTGTCACGCTCAGCCTCACAGTGCTTCGCTGTACATAGGTTGGCGCTAGATCTGAACAAGCTGATCGATGTGTAGTGATGGCCCATGGTAGCGGTCATAGGGCCATCATGCAGCATCATATGTTCTTTTTTACGCAATTCGCTCAATTGAACATGCTGTATTGGGTACAGTGTTCTGCGCATCATGAAGCTGAGAGAACCTATCAGAAGTTCTTTCTCTGTCATGATGATCCCCGCTCCTCGGACATCCTTCAAGTTCCTGCAGTTTCTTGGCAGTTTCTGGCTGTAGTATTTTGCCGCGCCTGCCTGGCAGAACGGGAGCGTTTTGCCAACACCGATGGCGACATACTTTTCCAAGTTGTTGGTATGTCAGGTGACAGAGCATCAGAACAGGTACGTTCCCGTGTCGCGTCTCCCAATCGCTCCTGTGGCTAGCCATTGTTCCTGCAGTTGTAGACTCTTCTTGTGAGGGCTCTTCATCAAGAAAAAAATATGTACTAGTAACTGATCGACTCTCCTGTCTTCAGACCTGCAGACAGCCGCTCCCTCGGCTTTTTTGTCTCGATAAAAATGAACAAGGCTTTGACTTCTAGCAGGTACTCAGTGACCTCATGAAGCGGTAAGTTTGGTAGTGATTCGCACATGTCGCTCTCTTATCAAAATTATCATCTCTTTCTTAGCCGTTCAAGCTGGAGGATCATGGACCTCCAACTCGATGCCATGTCGAAGGACTTGCATGTTGGTGGTGCAGGTTCTCGCACGTGGTTGAATCCCACCGTGGGCCCATCTTCCTATCCTTTCAGCGCAAGATCACGGGAATTTGACATCCCTTACCTATACACACCTGGTCTGGCTTCGAGGTGTGTTTGTTACTGGTGAAATTCTTTGTAAATCCCAATGTTGATAATCTATACAGTGGTCCATGGGCGTGCTCAGCCTCCCTAAAGACGCTTGCTAACCAACACCATGCTGTTATGGGTGAAGTTTGCTATGACTCATTCATCCTGTGACTATTTTGTCAGGACGGGCGTCGAACAACAAAACATGGAGACTACGCTCTATTTCGTGGTTGCAGGCAGGGCATTCTAATTTTCTTACATCGTCTTAACAACATATTGTTGTCACCTACGAACCCGAATGAGAGAAAATTGTGCCTTGGATACGAAAGGTTTGTCCCGTGGACATCAGAAAGCCTTGCTAGCTGATTTGTGGCTTCTCAGAGACTTCGTTTGTCAAAACAAGAAATTGAGTGATCGGTACCGCGAGCTATATGGCCGAACACAAGCAGGCATACCGGTCTAGCGCTGTTCTTTATCCCGTTTACCATTCTACTTCATTTCCCGCCATTCCAACTGCTCATTTTCCACTATATCCAACTGCTCATTTTCCACTAATTTTCGTCCCTTATGAGACCAGGGTCGATCCAGGCTACTACCATCAAATCCGAAGTATTCAGATGATCACATCTCCATTGATCCACCTCCTTCTGCCTTTCCAGCCATCCACGACCCAACGCTCTTTCGTGGCTCATCGAGAAATGGAGACATCCTCTCACTCCATCCGCTAGCGAGCCTAGGCGAATTTATATGGTCACGACAATCCCAACGACCTGTATAGGAATATATCTCGAGGTAAGTTAAGTGGCTGCCTGTCATTTTTTATGCCAATCTTTTGATGTTCCGCAGCGGCAGGTGCTGTTCTCCATTGCTTATCCGACATGCCTCGCAGGAAGTGAGCCTGGCTCAAGCGAGAACGGATAGAGGCCTACCCACCACCGAAGGGACGCCTCGTGCGTGTCACATTCAATCCTTGTGCAATGTGTATCGTGTACTCAGCGCGTCAATGCTGCTACCTGGCGTCTATGCACCATTAGGTGAAATAATGTACATGCAATCTACCTCTACATTCAGTTTGCGCAAACAATAAAAAAATATAGGACGACCTCCAACATGGAGCGGTGGTCCTCAGGTGATTGGAAAGCCGACAGGTCAGACATCTTAGCCCGTGCGTGGTCATCTTAATGGATATCGCAATTGTGCGCTGCAGTGGCACACCTCGAGAATGCCCTATATCTGATGAATTATGTCAATATGACAGTGATCCCGACGCTAATCGAGAAGTGGAATAGCTCATGGATGTTTTGTAAATGCCATCCTATATAATGAGAATGCGTCCATGAACAAGTTTCACTCGGCCCCCCCAACTTCACGATGAGCCATTCACCCGTCACTCCTCAGTCTCCTCCACCTACTACTCCTCCAGAAATGCCGAAGCATTGGAAGGTCCCGGAGGATGACGGTACTTTGCTATCACACATCAAAATCCTTGCATTTCGTGTACTCTGCCTCATCTCGATCACTCGGCCCTCCCTAGGTGTTCACTGCTGGCTTACCAAGAATGATGATGCAGAGTGGGAGAAGCATCGAAAGATGGTTTGTGATAAGCTTAATGCGTCAAATGTTGTGGTTAGCGCACGCTTTATATATGATGTACATTGCACAAGTTCAAGTTAACACATTTTAATCTTGTAGGCAGGGCTCGTATTGACGACAAGCGCAGTCTATCTGACTACGCAGCCGCCGCCTACAGAAATGAATTTATTGCCCTACACGACACTGGCATCATACATATTCTCTATTCTATCCTTCGTGCAGGCGATGGGGAGTATGCTGGCGGGCGTTGCTGTTATCGCCGTGTATGAATCTTGTGATAGGGAATGGACTTTGAAGATTCATGGCTGATCCGTCAGGGAGCTTACTACTTCATTGCCCAGGTCCTCACCTCCACTTCCGCGTATGTCGCACTCTTGTGATTATAGCGAGCCCCAGCCTTTCCTTCGTCGTCTCCATCATATGTCTCATGGCCGGTGAGACCCTCGGTTCTTCTGCGCAGCCCACTGACAGATTATGTGCCCTAGCATTGATGATCGCCGGCATGACGTCTGGTGTCTGGTTCATCCGGTTAATTGTTTACCTTGAAGTCGTATGCTGGATATGGGTACCATTCGTTTTCCTCTGGTGTGCTGTTCCGGAGGAGTTTTGGGACACTCACTTGATGAAGGTTGGAGATATCGCACATTCTCTGATGCGAGTCCCCAGACCCTGGCGGAAACGACAAGGATCAATGCCGCTAGGAAGGTAGAGCTTTGTGAGAATAGATTACGCGGGACATAGGAGGGATACTTCACAATTCGACCCTCGGGAACTCGATGACATGACTTAAAGAGGTTCGCAGGCCGCATGTACCAACTTTAATCAAAACTATTTTCTTCGTGATAGAGCGAATTCACTGAACTCTAGGTCTCACGTTATTGAGCGAAATCAGAGCTCTTCCGAGTGAAAGTGGAGTCAGCTTCAGCAGTGGCGAAGTTTGAGCGCGTGTCGTTGGACTTTGAGCCCAGGGGTCCCACTTTCCATCAAGTGGTACGATAAGTGGTAGAAAGGAATTCGAATTAATCCTGATATTATCCTCGAACTGTAGATCATGTAGGTCAAAAGTTCGAGGCTAAGGAATCCGTCGAGTTATAAGTCGCAGGCATGAGTACAAGTCTGGAATGGAGACCAAGGCTTCCTGACTTGAAAAAAGCCAATAGTGAGTCTAGTGAATATAAACGGAATTGTGTCCTCGACGACCTCACATGAAGCCTGCACGTACGGGCGGATGCCGGTTTTCCTGGATGGATCGAAGGCAATGTGGTTAGAGTGAGAGGCTGACATAGTGTGGTTACAAATGACGCGAGCAATTTTCTCCGAGTGCGATGAAGAATTGGATACTATTTAGAAGTGGCGAAGTCCGTTCAAGGGTGACGACCCTTTAGATTACACTGTCTGCATTGCGGGCCTCCGCTCGTAGGGCAATCACCCGTGAAATGCGTTGACACAGGGAACACTAAGGAAGGACATCGTCCTTCAAACCTATTCGCATGTGAGCCTGTCGCCTATCACGCCAACAGCGGCCAGCTTTCACGAGGAGCAAGATGGCGAAAGCCTGATGTAATTGTAGAGATTTGCCTTGGGGATCTGATCGATGTAGATATGGATATGTTCTGCTTGCTGCAGGATCTTCCCTTACTCGTGTATTACAGGACCGAAGATCCGGATGGCTAGACCGAGAATTTGGAAAACGACGTTGAACCAAAGATACGGTATCGACAAGAGTCCACGCAGCGTTTCATAATCATAGGGCAGTAGGCAAGTGCACATGTGGGTGTGGCAAGGCTGTGGTGCAGTGTCAAATGAGATAGAATCTTCTGACTTCGAGGCTTGAAGCCCTGGGAAATATATATGGAGATAGGGTTATGAGATATCATTGATCATATGATGGAGGTTGAGTTCGAACCTCGAGGACTGCTCGTGGGATGCAGTTCAGTACTTACGTCACATTTATAGTTGTACGTACCCTGGGCCACGACTGCCAGTCACTGCAGTCTAGTGATCGTATACCGGCTGTCAAAGATCACCAGGCTGCTCCCAGGGCTCGCCTTTCCTCGTACAAACGTGTTCAAACCTTTGACCATTCAAGATGTCCTTAAAGCAAGGCCGAAGAAATCGTTCCTGGGCCAGCCGTTTACTAGCCGCGCTCTTTCGTCCATTCATGCCAGAGGAGGCTCCTCCAGAACTCCCCCTCCTATTCTTCAACAGAACTGATGCACCTACTAGTACGGCGGTCACCAATTGGTACTCGGGGATGGTCAATATTGATAATCCCGATAATCGCTACCTCACGTGTTTGCTTAGTCGCATTGACTACTGCAAGTGCAAGGATGACCCCGGGCACGAATTCCTTGTATTCTATTTCAGACATTGGATCTCAGGCTCTTTAGCAGAGGCTGCTGTATGTATCGACCGCACTGTGGTACTAGACAATGGGTCTAGTCAATCATTGGAAATCATCTCTCCCTCTCCCTCATCGAAAGCCAATGCAGCTATCGACCACGCACATCTTCTCGGTCCACCTGACGATGCAGTCAGACATCTCCACTCTCAACATGGGCGCTACAGGACACTCTGTACGCTCACGTTTTCTTCACCTTCCGCACCTTCAGCGCTCCACGTAGCTGCTATTTTATCCCTCGTCCACCACCAAGCTCCTTCTTACCAGTTGTACGAGAGACAATGCTACTGGTATGCTGATTCCGTGTGGATCAGCCTGAAGAAGATTTTTGTTCCGAATCAGGAATCGTGCAATGATCATAGCGCACGCTCTCGCTACTGTGGAATCACATTAGGACCGTCACCTGCCACTGTCCAGGCTGTTTGCGCGGCTTTTCCGCCAGAGTGGCAGAGGACAATGGGTAAGCTCACGCAGACAAGACAGCGCCACGAAGCAAACCTAGCACAGGTAGGCTTATTCTCATCAAATATGGTCTTCATTCATAGTAATGGTTTTTGCAGAGTCGACAAGAAGGGTTCGCAGAAGCAGAGGTGGGCTATTCTTAGATGATGGGTCTTCATTTGTTGATGATACTTGTCTTTCGGCAGCAAGCTGCGGATGAACGGGTTCGCCGAGCACAGGTCGGCTATTCTTAGAATGTTCTTTAGTTAACAATACTTATCTTTCGGCAGCAAGTCGCAGATGAACAGCAGCAAGTCGCACATGAATGGAGGCGAGTCGCAGATGAACAGCGGCGAGTTGCGGATGAACAGCGGCGAGTTGCGGATGAACAGCGGGTAAGCTACTTGTTCTCAGAACATATGTTATTTGTTTGTTGATTATGATTATTGTCCAGGCCGAAACTGAACAACTTCGCGCAAAGCTTGCAGCTTTGGAGGGCAAAACAACTGCTATTTGATTCAGAATGCCTTGCACGGCCTTGTCTGCATTACTTCATGTTCCTTCATTTTTCGGTTTCATTTACATAGATCATGGTCTCGCTTTGTAGTTCGCGCTCAGTAAAGTGACCCGGTTCCGCAAGATACTAATATAGACTCTAATCATATTGACATGGGCAGCATTTAACTAGGGATCCATATGAAGTCACCCGACGAACAAATGTACAGAAAAACTGATACTTGGTTGTAAGTGTGGGGACATCGAGAATGTCTACCTCAAATTCATCGTCTTCGAGTTCATCGTCATAGACTGGCGAGGCGGATCGGCCACCTTCTTCTTTCGGAACCAGCTAAGGTAAAATAAGAGTGCGTTCTGTCGTGTTCTGTCGTGTTCTGTCGTCTACAACAACCTAGCGAATGAATCAGCCAGATCTAGCAAGCCCAAAAGACGAAAAAAACTTGTCCGAAAAGAACGTCAACGACTTGCGCAGCCTGTCGTTTCGGTTGACGCACTCGTAGTTCGCAGGGTTATTGCTTTGCTGGCTAGTAATCTTCGATGAAGAATATCTAAGAAAAGGAGTTTTATATTCTTGATCGATGGCCAGCATCAACAATGAAAGTAAAAGTGGGGTAGGCCACACATCCGTTATTTGCCCTCTGAAGGACCGATCTCAAATTTGCACGCGCGGAGTGAAACAACAGTAGGCAGGAGCATTCTTTAATCCCGGACTGGGGATCACGGCGTGCTGCGTCTATCTCCATTGCAAGACTGCGAGCGGTACCCGGAATCAGTGTCCCAAACGTCCACTAAAAACATATTTCATTGGGCAGTGGGAACGGGTAACAAGGCAATTCGAATTACAGTTGTGTTGCCCTCACGAACAACATACTTGATCGTCCTGGGAATCCACCGGTTCACCAACTCATTGCCAAGCAGCACTCTGCAGAATCACCTCGTAAGTTGAACTAAAAGTTACACGACGGGCTACTCACTCGCAACCACCTAGGACACAGTGGCTTGAACACATTCAGAACACCATCCTTTAAGTCATCCGGAATCGCACCCATCTTCTCTCGAGCACTACGCATAGCGCCAAGGTTTGTTGTTGTGCAGGTATGCGTCGTCCAAGAGAGTGAACGGTCCACGGAGTGTCACGTACGACAAAGCCCTTGGCAAGTTGGGTGTCGAATCTCGAATTCGGAGGCAAAGAATGTGACCAAGCACGTGACCGCGTTCAAGTTAACGTGAGGGCGCTCGACTCCGCCAGTTCAGGATGATTTGACCCCGTCGGATAAGAAAAGGCTCATGCAAAATTTACGCCACCAACTAGGTTCAATGAGACTTCAGTCCCAGTCTCACAAGCTTCGTGTCATCTTCAATGCTTTGGGTGGTTTTGTCGACGATCCCCGCATCCCTTGGGTAGATCGGAAGATTTCACGAACGTTCTCATCCTGTCGAGCATTCGTTGCGGAGGTCTGGACGGGACTGGATTGACCGAAGAATCGTGACACATCGCAACCCCTACTACGATTTCTCATCGAGCACGATGGAATTTCCATTGTCTTTAGCGAGATATTCTTCCAAAGAATTTGATTTTCTCGGGCGGCCTCAGTCGTTGGCGATCGGGCGTAGAGACGATATGTATCATCAATTAGGAGTACGCTGGATGGATGCCGATTTTTTGGGATGGATTGAAGGCGACGTGGTTGGGGTGTGAAGAGTACTTAGTGCTTGCAAATGAAGCGAGCGGTTTCCCCCGAATGGGATGCTGATTGGCAATCCTATGGCGAGTGACCAAGCACGTGACCGCGTCAAAGTAAGCTACAGTCCGTGACCATGTCCATTCCCCGACTCCGCGAACATAAATTGTCAAGTGCTTCAACATTTATTACTTATTTAGGATGTTTCAACTCTTTTTCTCCTTGCGTTTCTCCCATTCTCCAGCTCCCGTTTGCTGTCTTGACCATGTCCACTTCTGCTGTCGCTCCTGCTTTCAACCGCCGAGTCGTGGAAATAGCCAGCATGCTCTCTCTACAAGCTCCTGGCGCGAACGCTCATTTTGATATGCTGGAGGAGTGGGGGCGTGATGTTGCACTTTTTTTCGTGAGTCCCTTTACTTATCAGAATTATTCATCGCTGATTGTAGTTCTTTGCCTAGACTTGGCTCCATACCAAAGAACACAAGGAACCATTCACACTCACAGCAGTCTCCAACCTCCGCACGACTTTCCAAGATCAAGTGGACACGCACCGACACCTTTCTTGGCTGTCTTGGGGCCGCCTCTGGCTTCCTCTCACTGTCGAGGCTTCAAGAGCAGCACTGCGGGCTCTCATCGTGGAACTTGATATCGAGGATCCTCTCGCTAGCCACCAGCAGTCACCACCTGCTGTTGCCACTGTGCCCGAACTGTCTAACAACAGCAAAGGTAAAGATCGGGCTACGCCCCCTGCTGCTGATCACAGCCCGGATCCCGCCCCTCCTACCGATGAGAACGACGATCCTCAAGACTCGACAGATTCTGCTAGTTCAGACGACGGGGGAAGAAACAAGGAGATTCCTGCTCGCACTTCCACACCTCGGGCTAAACGTCCTCGAGAGCCATCACCGCAAGTCGACGCAAGGCCTTCTAACGACCAAACGGTGCTTATGTTTCCTGTGGTTCTGCATCTCTCAGTGACTGACGCTAGATTCCGTCTACAGCATTCTTCGCCCGCGAGCCGTTCGTCCAAACGGCCTCGACTGTCGGGTTTCCGCACGCTCAGGCTTTCCCACAAAGGTCGCTCTAGTGGCGAGCTGATGCATCACTATGACTTGCGAGACCCTTGCGAGGTGAGCTCCTGAGTCTACGTCGACCCTCGCGCCCGCTTAAACTCCTTTATTGCTATAGGTCGCGCATAAATGCAAGAGATGCACAGCAAAGCCCTCAGCGAAGCCCTGCGTCACAATACTTCGTCAAAATACACAGACTAGCCAGTATGTGCTGTCTGAGCGCTGCTTGCGCTGCCTTCTAGAGAAGCGCAGGTGCGAGTGGCCCGCTGGTGCTGTTGTAAAGAACACTGGTATGTTTCTCTTGCTTTGATGGCGTGCTGGCTTGCTGAATGTGGCTTGTCCTTGGAGAGCGCCGTGTGCGCGTCAAGTCAGGACATTCGTTGCTCACCGAGGACTTGTCGGTTGCTCCAAAGGGGCTGGAGTCAGTCTTGGGTCAGTCAAGCGCCTCTGCCCACCAGGTAGTTAGCAATTTGGCGCATAGGAACACGGTGAAGGCAACTTCTTCGACTGGGCCTGCACCAGGCCCTTCTTCAGCTACTGCGACAAAGCGGGCGAAACATACCTCACACAGTCTCCCACAACTGCCGACGTTGAAGGCCGAGGACGACCTCGATGCCATTGATGTCCATGCTTGCCCATATTTCAAGCCTGAGGCAATCGATGTCAAAATACAGTCATTGACCGTCATTTGAGTTCGAAATTTTCGGAAGTCTACCACAACACAACCTGACACAATCTCGAAAATCGCTTTCGGGGATGTCACGATAGATAGCTAATCTACTTCGAACAAAATTTTGAAGAACATCAAACGAGATGTTATTCCGCAATGAAAAGTGCATAAATCTTGGTGTTATCGTACGTTCACCATCATTTGAGTTCACCCAAAAAGGCAGATTTATTCCCTAGTCGCGCACTTCCTCGCTATGCATCTGACTCATCCTCTTCCTCGTCAATGTGGGCGAGTGCCGGCTTTGGAGTTCGTGTTTATCGGATCTCGCTTATTTTGCTTCGGTGACACTGATAAGATACTATTGAGACACTCTGCACCGGCAACATTCTGGCAACATACACACTCATCAGCTCCCTTGCGGAATAGAACAGTGATGTGCTTGAAGGTTGTTTGCATGTATTTCTTCAATCTACGAATCCGATTCTAGTTGTTTTGCTTTCAGGGACGTATAATAGTGAAAATTTCGCAACAAAACATAACATCGCACAGTTGTTCGAGGTCTTTCATACCTATCATTACTGCCAATATGTAGTTAGGCACATAACTCGTATGATAGAACAAAAACGTTACATGGGATAGTATCAAATTCGAGTGTCATACAAGGTAAACGCAAATGATGGTGAAAACTCAAATGACGGTCAATGACTGTAATCAAGAACCCCGTGCCAGTTGAAGGTGGGGATGAAGAAGTTGTAGGCCCTAAAGTAGTAGTCGACGGGGAAGGCATTAATTCTGAGCTTGCAGACACCGATGATGGGCACGTGGACCATGGGCGCTCTCTGATTACCCCCAGCAGCTCCTCTGGTAGCACCTCGTGCGGTCCTGGGTATCGCACAACTGGCGTGCAGGTCGATATTCGAGTTGATTCTATCGACGAAGCTATCAACATTATTCTTTGCGCTACTGATCCTGAGCTTGAACGGTCGAGTTTCTACGACAACCATGATCACGGTGAAGTGAAAACCGTGCGCCGCATTATGTTGGACTGGCTAGCTCCCATGGACTGGCGCTCTACCTGTAACAAGTGCACTGACTTCCTTGCTGCTGTCAGAGACTTGGAGGTGGCTCAAGATCAATGAAAAGCGGTGCAGCGAGTAGCAGAGCTGGGCGCTGCCCTTCCTTATGCAAGATGTGACAAGGACAGTTCAGAGGCAAAATGCGAGGAAGTGTCTCGCTCGGGGACATGCATGTAGTGACTTGGTTCGTAGTTTCGTTGCTTGATTTTGATTAAGAAATGGCACGGAACATGTTCATCATACTTGATTTCTGCTTGTCTCGCCAATCTCATCAACATCCCAATCACCAGGAGGATGAACCAAACTTTGTATGGCACTGATAACGGGAGTCACGAGTGCGTCGTTGAACAACGGTGGTCTTCTTTGTGAAATCGCGAAGCTTATGAATATAGCAAGGTGTTGGTATGCGCGGGCACTGGCGATATGAAGTGCATCAATGAAATTCGAGTCACTCACCACTACGATTATGTCTGCTGCAGTACTGACGAGCATGGTCATGGTCAAGCAGAACCCCAACGGCGGGCCATGTGCACACCGAAGTAAATGCCTTCAGCATACCATGGTAACCTCAGACATCGTACTTACGGGTGCTTGCAGATCGGTATGGATGCGGATGGCTCGCGTGTTACGTGTTATAACAACGGCTGGTCGTTTTGGTTTTTCTGTTCGCAAAACAACATTGTCGAGGTCGTCGAAGATTTGTGAATGTCATCTTCGAGTAGAAATGATGGCGGGAATGACTGGAGGAGTTTTGTATGCTGCGTTATGCTGCCAGACGGCCGTGTGCGCGTATTGCGCATGCCAACATTTGTTCCTCCTCATAGTCCTCGAGGACATGCATGTGCGTGTTATCTAAGAGTCCCAGCCACGAATAAGTGAGGAAAACATAGGAATATCTGAACCTGCTAGTGCAGCGCAACCGATCATTCATACCGACGAACTTTCAAAGGTACTCCAATACCATCTTCTCCAACAACCCGTGGACGTGGCAAAATCCCCCTCGCAACCTCAAGCTGAGTATCCGGTCCATCCCGCATCTCAAACACGAAGTTCTTCACAAGAACCAATAGAACCGCCTGTATTGCAGTGAGCAACATAGAAACTAGCTGATTTGTCGCAATCACCTTGAATTCTGCAATCGCAAAATCTTTTCCAAGACACGTCCTCGGGCCGTCGACGAATGTCAGCAAATGCCTATGACCTTGGACTTCCTTGGCCTTCCCACTGATGCCCCCTTCAGCCAGCCAACGTTCAGGCTTGAATTCTTTTGCGTCAGGTCCCCAGATGGCCAAAGAGCGGTTGATTGTCGCGGCTGGTACCGTAACCAATGTCCCCTTCGCTACATAGATATTGTCCGTCATTTCCCCAGAAGCATTGCACACAGGTTCGCTCAAGGGAATAACGTCATCTGCGACTGCCTGTATATCTATTGTCAAGATATCTGTTCGCACAGACAGGCGCACTCACAAGACGAGTGAACTCAGGTATCGGAGGATGAATTCGTAGAACCTCGTGAACAACCGCATCTAAATATGGGAGATTGGCCTTTAATTGGTCATATGTCGGATCAGCACCAAACGCAAGTAGTTCTTCTCTGAGTCTGGTTTGGGCATCGGGGTGTTGCGATAGCTCGATCAGTGCCCACTGATCATCACATGAATGGCGCGCGCAGACATTATCAGACAGCAGACTTACCGTAAGACCAACTGCGAAGGAAAATCAGCCAATATGATAGCTCCGGAAAAGAATCAACTCACCGGATGTCGTCTCATAACCCGCAACAAGCAAGACCTTCATCTGCAGGATGTCAGCTTGCAAATCATGGCTATCATAATCTCCACAGACCTGAGCCACTACTTCCTCCTCGGACATATGAAGCTCGGCATCCTGGCCTTCAGATTTGACTGATCGTCGCGTCAATCAAGGGAATACAATGAATCATGTGGAAAGCGTACGCAACAATCCGATGATGGACTTTTCCTCGTCCATCTCGATCATATTCGCATCCTTTTCCCTACGACTGCGAATCAACAAGTCGTTCGATATTTCTCCCATGGTTGCACTAAGTTTTTTGAACAGCTGCGTCCGCTTATTGGGGATCTTGATAATGGCAGGAAACACAGACGCGAGCAGTATAAAAGCGTGGTTCACTCCTGAGGCCTGTGAGTCGTTTCCGAAGGTATCAAACACCTCGGTCACGCTGGCGCGCTGTCCATCAAGCGAGCCAAAATCATGGGAGAAACCAGCAATGCCGACAGTATCCAGACTGATGTTGTGTCATTTTCGAGGCTTCAATGACAAAAAATTGTCGCGTACGATATATGATTCATCCTTGAGTTGTTTCGATCAGGAATGCTACTTTGTCAAGCCAAACAAGCTACGCACCAGTTTTGAACTTCAATGACAGCGGCATTCCCGTCTTTGCTCGATTCTATGGCAGTGTCCCATGCACCTTTAGCCTGTAACGTATCAAGCTCAGAGATGCATTTCCCACATTGCGAATCCTTACCTTGTATGCTGAGTCATAAAACACTGACGTGAGTTTCCGTATAGCTGCATTAGTGAAAGCTGGCGTAAGGGCCTTCCTCTGTCTGATTCCAAGGTAGTCGATTAGTTTCTGGCGCGAGGACAAGAACTGAACAGCACCTCCTGTGGTTTTCGCCATGAGACCACATGAGCCCTCTGCCGATCTGACAAGAAGATATCAGATAGATAAGGTAAGAAGAGGACGTTGACATACTGATACCTCTAAAAATGTCAACATAATGGGTGTGTGTGCATAGGTCCATGTCTCCCGGGCATAAAAATGTGCTATAGCTTTTGGGTCACATAGCACAATTGTCGTTTGTCCGAGGACGCTCGGAATCATATACGCTACCCCATATCGCGTCGCCCACTGTTCATACATTGCACTGCTATCATGAGATGACTCGAGGTCATGCGAAACTCCATATACGAAGCTGGTACGAGGTGGGCCCCGCAATTGAGTCGTCTTCAATCGCCAGCGAAGCGCCCTTAGGACTTTGACAAAAGCCCATAGTGCAGTAAATGAACCAGCGACATTCAGCGCGCCAACCGAACGCACGGTTGTCCAGATACTTAATGTAGAGGTTATAGCGATAGTAGATGCGTTCATTGTTGTGTTGGATTGGATGTAGAACCTGTTGGGAGATTTATAGCCATGTCTGTGGCAGCGGCCATGACAACAAAATTCACCGCCTTCTGGTCAGAACAAGACTGTAGAATGCAGGGGCGATGCCCTCAGCATAGTGATTATTTATAGAAGTCGAAACCTATGTCTGATCAAACATCAGGGGCTTAAAATTTTTGCCTCTTGCAAGATTTCAATCAAAGCAGATCTATGTAGACCTGGCTAGAGCGTTCCAGAGCACTCGAAATTACCTTTTGATTATAATTCCACTGGCGGAAAAAAGTGGTAAAATGTCAGTTTCCCCGCTGTGTGAATTGAAAATGTGACGCCTACTTGGACCTGAGTAGATGATGCGAATATTAAGCAAGAGCCCATTTTGAAGGTGACAGGTGACCGTCGGCTGAATGTCGGTGTGCAGCCTTACACGGAGATAAGTTCGTGCCGTGGTGATTCGACAGCTAGGCAGCCCACTTCTGGCTAAGTTCTTGGGAGAAAGGTGTAACACGGGTGATAAACAGCACCCATCTCTTGCGGTTGCTTGGGCTACTCAATTCAACTGAGAGCAGAATCGCTCCCAGGATGGGTGCCACCTTGAGACGCACAGTATATATCAGTCAACAGTGACTGGGCTGACAGCGGTCCTAGCGCAGGTAAGAGAACAGATCTGAGGACAGCTCCATCAGGGAAAGCTAGATCAGGCGTGCATTGACCGTGATACCGACGACCTGGGTGACTGGGGCACAGTTGAATTTTCCTCGACTCCCACGTTAGTGGGAGGGAGAGGGTTATGTCACTGTCAGTTCCAAACCGCTGTGGGAACATTTCGAAATAAAACTATACAGTCGATGGATGACAAAGCGGTACCTATGCATTCTAATAGTTCCGAAATTCAGCGGTAATTCTTAGCTTGGTCACTCACTAGAACTCACTAGCACTATTCATATAGACAACGTCTGGACCCCCTTCTTTCGTACGGCTTTGGATTACCTGGCTTCAATGAGTTGATGAGAGTCGTAGTCACGGGGAGCATGTCGCTTGCCGGGGACTATTAATGGAGCTTCAACTTCAGTAGCCTGCCGCAGTCATATAACTTAGGGCATATTAATCAAGTTCGGAGTCGGGGACTGGCGCACAGGCGCCGCTACAATACAGACATCCATCCGAGCATTAAGGCGATGAACAAATGGACCCATGGTTGAACGTTGAACTTGCATCAAATAGTCTCCGAAATGCACGAGCAGTTGAGCCAGGCAGACTATGGTTCATGTGGCAAAAGTACAGCGAATTGCTGATCGAGAACAGAGGATACGAGAGCACGGTAAATTAGTTGTGTTGGTCCGAGGAACGTATTATTGATGAGTATTATAATTTACATGGGCGAAGTTCTGTCGACATCTCTGATCCAAGTCGACAGGATGGCTATCATGACAACACGCATATTCAGTACAGGTGAGTATGTGAAATTGCTACCCATTTGATGGATGTCGATGAGGGTGGCCTTGTTACTTGCATACTCTGCAAATGTGTCGCACATACCTTCTCCGTTTCGTTGGGTTGTGAGTTTCATTTTACCTGCAATCATTGCGTTGATCACCCGCTTACTGCTCAGATCATGATCATCTGATTTACGTTGAATTGACAATTGTGCACCTTTTTCTGCAAATAATTTCAAATACTACATCAACCGAAAGCGGTTGTTTGGATCCAAGGGCTTTGCCACACAAAGCTGCACAATCCGATGCAGCCGCTATGTACCGTCTCCCGAACCTTACGTTGTCCTTCAGCACGTTCGCTCTTGCCTCTCACGACCATGACAAGATCAACACTACGCGCATCTCACAGGACCTCATGAAAACTCCTGGGAATACATATAATATTTTCCTGAGGTCGACAGATTTCAGCATCGTGAGCCGGGGGTGGAGCTCAATGGTCTCGTGAGGTGGGCAGCAAGGAGCGTCAAATAGTGAGTCATACTCGCAAAGATATCACGATGTCGACAGCTGATTAAATCTGCTCTGGGCTTCCTACGACTCTGAAAAGTATCTGAGACTCTGAGTTCTGTGCGTGCTTCATCTCATTTGCGATCTGCACTGATCTATTCTCCGTATTGACTAGTTAAGATGTCATATCTACTGGCGGAACATCATCTCTCATGGTCTTCGATCTACATAGGTCGTTGAGTTTTGTAATGTCTCAAGCGACAATCGAGGCAGCGTGGCAGCCCAAGTCCAAGCGCTCACGCTCAAAAACACATGTGGGTTTTAAAATGGCATGATATCGATATCAGCATCCCTGTGCTCCGCCGGGGCTGCCGATGATGGAGTGCAAGTGTTGACATAGAAATTTCAATGTCGATTTCGTTCTGCATCGGCGGCAGGTTGCTCAAATCCACCGCGGTACCATCATATATACATGCTGTTCCTGATACGCTAATGATATCCTTGAAATCAGGGCACAATGCGTGCATACGAGCCTCATGAGCAATCGGTAGCGCACCCAATATCACATGTCCCTTTGTGGTTGTCTCGGTGACGGAGACATCAATCACAGAGAATGTCCCTCGCTGGATACCTTCGTGTAGTACGATACGGATGTCCTTCAGGCAGGTCCCCACTATAAGTTGAGGGGTCACGTTGATGATATGTGTATTCATATTCGTCTAACCCCGCGCATCGCGATTATGCAGTCACGTCATTGCGATCACCACAAACTACATCTACAAAGGCGACATCTAGCTTTTATATATGCCAACTTCGAGATCTCATTAATGCCGTTCCCTACAACACTTCTGCTGCGCACTTCATGAAGGCCTACAAGCCTGAGCTATTGCGATGTTTATTATGAGTATCATACAGTTCTCAGATTGACGAGGATGCTCTGACGCACGCTGAGAAGCCAGCTTAGAAGAGCCTGCCGAGACATTTAAAGATCACGGGGGAAAACATCAGAACGGCACGGAAATGAGAAAATGATTAAATATCACCAGTGTATTGCCTCAGGCATACATCACAGGGTGGGAATCGCGCGGGATCCAGAGGAGAAGTTGTCCTTTGGGACCTACATAAACGAGTTCTGTGCTGCATCCCTCAAGTACAAGCATATCCATCACGGCCTAATTACCCACCACCCATGTCAATATGATGAAAGTGTAAATCAGTATGTTGCGAAACCAGGTTACCGTACTGAGGGTCGCCCGAACTACAAAGCGAGCCCGTGATCTATGTAAATGAAACCGAAGAATGAAGGAAGATGAAGTTAGGAATGCAGGCAAGGCATTCTGAATCAAATAGCAGTTGTTTTGCCCTGCAAAGCTGCAAGCCTCGCGAGAAGTTGTTCTGTTTCGGCCTGGATAAGAACCATAATCAACAAACGGAGACATTTCTTCTTAAAATAGCCCACCTGTATGCGGCGAATCCGTTCATATGCAACTTGCTGCCGTTCGTCTTGTTCTTGCTGCCGAAAGACAAGTATCATCAACAAACGGAGACATTTCTTCTTAGAATAGCCCACCTGTATTCGGCGAAGCCGTTCATATGCAACTTGCTGCCGTTCGTCTGCTTCTTGCTGCCGAAAGACAAGTATCATCAACAAACGGAGACATTTCTTCTTAGAATAGCCCACCTGTGCTCGGCGAACCCGTTCATGTGCAGCTTGCTGCCGTTCGTCTGCATCTTGCTGCCGAAAGATAAGTATCATCAACAAACGGAGAAATTTCTTCTTAGAATAGCCCACCTGTGCTCGGCGAACCCGTTCGTCTGCAGCTTGCTGCCGAAAGACAAGTATCGTCAACAAATGAGGACATATGTTCTAAGAATAGCTCACCATTGCTTCTGCGAACGCTTCTTGTCGAATCTGCAAAAATCATTACTATGAATGAAGACCATATTTGATGAGAATAAGCCTACCTGTGCTAGGTTTGCTTCGTGGCGCTGTCTTGTCTGCGTGAGCTTACCCATTGTCTTCTGCCACTCTGGCAGAAAAGCCGCGCAAACAGCCTGGACAGTGGCAGGCGACGGTCCTAGTGTGACTCCACGGTAATGACTACGTGCATTGTGATCTTTGCACGATTCCCGATTCTGAGCAAAAATATTCTTCAAGCTCATCCACACGGAATCGGCATACCAATAGCTTTGCCTTTCGTACAAGTGGTAGGGAGGAGCTTGCTGATGGACGAGGCATAAAATAGCGGCCACTTGGAATGCTGAAGGTGCGGTAGGTGAAGAAAACGTGAGCGTACAGAGTTTCTTGTAGCGCCCATATCGAGATCGGAGGTATCTGACTGCATAATAAGGTGAACCGAGAAGAAATGTGAGGTCGGAAGTAGCAGTTTCTTTCGATGAGGGAGAGGGAGAGCTGATTTCCGATGACTGTCTACAGTCTTTGATTATTTCCACAGTGCGGCGGTCGACACATACAACAGCCTCTGCTGAAGAGCCTGAGATCCAATGTCTAAAATAGAACAAAAGAAAATCATGTTTGGTGCCATCAGTGCATCGACAGTAATCAATGCGACTAAGCAAACACATGAGGTAGCGATTATTGGGCTTATCATAGACCATCCCCGAGTACCAACTGGTGACCGCCATACTAGTAGGCACGATAGTTCTGTTGAACAATAGGTAGGGGAGTTCTGGAGGAGCCTCCTCTGGCATGAATGGACGAAAGAGCGCGGCTAGTAAACGGCTGGCCCAGGAACAATTTCTTCGGCCTTGCTTTAAAGACATCTTGAATGGTCAAAGGTTTGAACACGTTGCTACGAGGAAAAGCGAGCCCTGGCAGCTGAAGCGCTGATCTTTGACAACAGGTATAAGATCACTAGACTGCAGTAGCCAGTCGTGGATCGAGGGAACAGCTATAAATATGACGTAAGTACAACTCGAACTACATCCCACGAGCAGTCCTCGAGGCTCGAGACGTTTCAACCTCCGTCATATCAACAATCTCTTATCACCGTAACTCCATATATATTCCTCAGGCTTCCTGGGTTGGAGAGGTTCCTGACGAATGAAAACAAGGGGTATCAGAATCACAATAATCAGCTTGGTCTCCGGGAATTGGTCAATGCCTTGGCGTCCTTCTGCGGACTTCATCAAGTTTTTGAAGAAGACGTCGACGCACTCATACATAAAATTGGGTATCCGCATGGTCAGCTCTGAGGAGGAGAGGTTCCAGAAGGGAGTCTTGATGAAACCGCAGATTGGCATCTATGAATGCACAATGCTGAGAGTGGGAAGATTGTCAGAGCACCCTTAGATAGTCACACCAGTGTGGTGATTACTTCAGATATGCCTCCCGACGGCAAGACGCTAGCCAGCGCGTCATGGAACTGAGTCAGTTTGTATGACGGCGACTTGGCAGAGGCAAGATGATCCTCTCTCCTGTGGCGCAGGTGCTTACACAGTGCATGGAAATCTCGTATTACTGCAATCCAAGGGAGAGTAAGACGCGAAAACGAGAGAATACGAAACAACAATAGTTCGTGCTTTCTACAGAGGCGTCCGATGCCTTCTTTTGCTCTCTCGCGCTCTGAAGTGTAGCTCTGAGGGTACACTAGCAGTGCTCATCGTGACGCACATATTGGTACCTGCGATGTAATTCGCGTCTGTGCCTGCGGTTGTGGTCTCGCAAATATTCGTTGTCCCGGCCCTGGATCTTCTGGCCATCGTGTTCGGGCCTGCGCTGGCGCTTGTACTAGCGCCTGGACATGGAGACAATGGTGACTCGCTGAGTGCAGCTGGAGCGTTTGGAGCAAAATCATCAGCTTATAGTAGTTTTGAAGGAGACAGGTATCATTCCATTGTTTAGACACTAGTCGTAGGCGGTTCAGACTGTCATCAATGCTGATACATGATGTAAAGGAGCAAAAGTCGTCAATGAAATTGGGGGATAGAATACAGATTCTGTAGATTGTACGCCATGGAGGACGGGGTACGATGGATGGAGAATATCGTGGGCGATTCGCGTTCCGGCGCTTTTTGTGACGACAAAACGGACCGAAAAACATAGTGTGTCATCCCGGCTGAAGCAGTGCTTCGGCACAATGTTCCCCGACCCAAGCGCCTACATGAGGCAATGTCGTTCGTCTTGCAATAAGCTGCATGCTGTAGACGTATTTCACCAGCCACGCACCTTAACCAAAACATTTGCTTCAGCAATAGGTATATTTCTCGCACTATCCTCTTTGGCATCTCTAACTTCCCGCTAGGCATAACAGACGAGGAACTTAGCAGCCTCGAGAGAACAACTGAGGATGAAGGACGGCAAACAGCAACCTGGATCACATCGAGAGCCTGTCAAGACGTTTCAGGGCCATGATAATAGCGTCAATTCAATCGCAACTTTTCCGGATGGCAAGAGAATAGCGACTGGGTCTCCCGACAAGACAATACGCATATGGAGGCTTGAGGACGGCACGGAGATAATGAAGTGGGCGGCGAAGCACATTGTCTGCGCACTTGTAATCTTGGGAAACGGGAAACAGGTCATCAGTGCTGAGGGAGAAGACCCATTCCCAGGAGACGATTCCGATCAAAACGAAGAAACTTTTTCAAATAAAGTAGTGTGTTGGCAGTTATGGGTACGTGATGTTGAGAGTGGGAGGATCGTCGCAGGTCCCTTGGAAGGTCACACCAACTTTGTGATGACCTTGGACATTTCCCCTGACGGCAAGATGTTGGCCAGCGGGTCATATGATCGCACAGTGATTTTATGGGACACGACCACCTGGCAGAGGAAAGGTGGTCCTCTTGCGTGCGGATCACCCATCTTTTGCATCCGATTTTCTCCGACAGGTCAACTCGGTGTTGCTACCCATAAAGATATCCAAATATGGGACTTGGAACGAAGGAAGCGTCTTGCTCAATTCAACGGCCACTGCGACTTTAACAGTGCATTGAACGTCTCGCTCACCTGGACTCATGATGACAAACATCTCTTCTCAGCCGGTAGTGAGGATGATGCTGTCATCCGCTGTTGGGACACATCGACCTGCAAACAGGTTGGTGACTCCTGGACTGGCCATAACGAAAATCAAAGCATCTTCCACATCGTCTCGAACCCAGCTGGCACCCTTCTTGCATCAGCATCTGGAGACCACACTGTTCGATTATGGCAGTTCCCCACAGGCACAGAAGTCGCCCGATTTGAGCACTCAGATACTGTGTTTCGTGTTGCGTTCTCGGTGGATGGACGCTCCATATTCAGTGGCGGCATGGACAAAAAAATCTCGCAATGGGAGATACCTAAGGATGTGCTCGCAGCAGCAGAAAGTGTTTCTCTAGCCAGTGCGAAGGACAAGGTGACTACTCCCTACTGTGATCTCACTCCCTCGCATGCTCACACGCACTCATTTCAAGGCTGGTCAAGCCAAAAACAAGGTGCGTTTTCTAACATTGCATATGATATACATCCTGACTCTCGATCAGGGCGGCAAAGGCTGGGCGTAGCGCTAGGGAGATGATGAAAATCTGCGATGAAAATCTGCAGCGATATTCTTGAAGCATCACGAACAGTGAACGAAAGCCGGCAGCGGCATCAAGACAGCTAAGGCTGGTGGTGCTGATGCATGTCCGATTGGAAGGTCGCAAAGAGGTTGGAGACCTGAGTCTGCAAGCATGAATAACGTCGTTTGTTTGTAAAATCGCCCGGTGATCGCTGGGGAGAAGTATGCACCAATCAATACCTCGTTATAGACGTACGAGCACCCGGGAATCAGATGTTGATGGACTGGAAAATTCGAATGGAATGGCCGGACTCAGGATCGTGTGGGCGATTGGGGCCATCAAAACTGGTGATCAAGTTAGTCTGGGAGATGGCATGACGATCTTAACACACCATATTCCATCACCATCTCTCAAGTATTTGCTAATGTCTGAAGACAAGACTTCAGCCAGTGCGAAGTCAGAAGAAAGGCAAAGGTAAACGACGGCCATGATGTTTGGGCTACGAAGCAGCCAGAAACAGCTGAAAGAAGTTGAATACTGACGTCAGCTCATGAGTCCGTCAGAATAATTGGCATCGTACACATGCATCGCGAACGCTGGCGAGTTAGAGACCAATAATTGCATCCGAAATCTACAGCATGAGGCGTGCACTTGTTAGTGAAACAACGGTGTAGTATCATCACTCAGCGCTACGAAGTGGCATTCTGGCGTGTACAAGGAGAGAAAAAAAACCCACCCGACAAGGACGCCTATAATATGTAGACGAGATATCGATGGCACAATGACCAGAGAGATAACACCTTCTGGAACATATGCAATTGACAATATCTCGCCGGTCTGACATAGGACGTTATTTGAGTTCATCTGTGGGAAAAGAAGAACTCCGTCAGTGACTGACGATACCGCGGTACCAAGAAAAGGGGAGCTGGGTGTCCTGTGAGCAGAGAAACTTGAGTCGATGCTTCAAAAAGTGGTCCTTGAAGGGATGGTATGATACCGCGGAACATTTTGTGCAACGAGCGCCTAGGGTGAGTTATAAGTTGTGCAAGTGCTTGAACTGAAGCGGAACTCAACCGTGACATCATGTGATATACCATCGACTTCTCTGACTCGGATTACAGTTACTCAGGCTAATGACACTATCTTCGTCAGATCTGATGTGGTCCATTGGATGACTAGAAAATAAGGCGTTTCGCCGAGGGCTTTCCGGGTTACACCACGAATGAAGTGACGTCAAATGATATGCGGTACACTACAAACGTGATGCAGATCTGAATCTAAAACTTTCATACCAAGTTGACAGTCGATGGTAAACGCCAAGAAGTTCAACAGGTCGCCCAGGTGCGTGATTAGCAGGATGGTTTGCCCCATGCTGAAAAGCGCAGAGTGGGCGAACCACGAAATAACGTTCGGGGTTGCGAGTTCATGGGAGATAGAAAAAATATTCTGTGGGATAGATGATTGATTATATGCCATAAAAGACGGCATACACTCTACATAAAATTGTACAGTGAAGGCCGTGAAAGCGTAATGAGCGAAAAAGACATTCCTGAGTCCATTCTATAGCTGAGACCCGCCGCATTTGTGCAGTCAATATTTAATGTTGTGAAGGAGTCTGCGGGTAGCATCGTACACCAAACGTAGCTAGCAAAATAGGGAGTCAGTGTAGTTCTTAACGGTAACACTGACGCACTCAGGAACGACCATGCAGGCACCAGCACCAGCACCGGCGATAGTGTAGAAGTTGAAAATCTGCTGATGTCAGGTTGTGGACGTGATGGTGGCTTCGAGGCAGGGAGGGAGAATGTCTCCATGAAGGTTTGGATTCTGGAGCTAGGTGGCAGAGAGCGCCTCCGGCACGTAGTGGGACTTGGAAATCGATTGCGTGGATGCAGCCAAGCCGTCCTCAACAAGGATTATAGTGTCGATGATAGGGCCTGTGTGAAAAGGGAAGTGCCTGCGAGTGTGCTCCACGTGGTGGTCGTGCTCTGGGAGATCGAAGGAAATCCAAGGAGCGGAAGGTTCCATGATTGTTAAATGGTATGTTTTCGTACGGTCCATGAATTGACAAGAGAGGTGAAAATTCCATTGACAGAATAGTATGTGCATGTTAGGCGAGATTCAGAAACGGCGCATGAAAGGACCGAGCATGAGTTTGCCAGATTGGTGTGTGATGACATATAGTTCATTCCTTCTGGGCGGTGCAATAAGTGTTCGAGAGCTTGCCTTGTTAACTTTTTGAGCAACGTGTTTTGCGGTAGGGCCGAAAGACACCGTATGAGTCATACGACAGCGAGAAGTTCAGAAAAACGAAGAATCGATGCATCATATACTAATCACAAGTTTATTATAACGTACCTCTACAGGGCTTTGTTTGAAGGTGCGGCTTCA